GCGAGTATAAAATACGTACTAGGGAATTACGTATACTATTATATAGGGAAGGTTTACCTTAGTCCTTTTTAGGTTTCTAAATATCTCTTAGTATTTCTTTATAGCTATAATCTATAAGAGTATAATAGGATATAGGTACGTTAGAAAAAGAACCCTACGCTAGTACCCGGCTAGCGTTATCTATAGTTATAATAGCTACTACTTATAGGTTTTAGAGAGAAGTAAAAAAAAAAAAGAAGAAATTAGTCGCTCTAGCTAACTTACTAGGATAAAGTATACGTAGTTAAAGAAAGTTCTAGAATTCCTAAAACTATACGCTACGAAAGGCGCTATACGCTATAAGTTACGCTACTTTATAAATAATATTTTATACCTTTTTTATAATAATTAACGCTATAAAACTTAAATATATTTTATATCTTATAGATAGTATCTAAATACCTACTACTACGTTATCTACCTATATTTAGAGTAGAAAACTAAAGTAGTAGCGACTAGGCTACCTTTAAATATTAGCTATAAAACTAACGCTAATAGAAGATTAACTCGCAGAGATTAATATAAATTAGAAAAGCCCGTAAGTTTAATATCCCTCGAAAGAGAATTAGATATTAATATATATCCGAAGGTCTCCGACCGAATTAATAGGAAGAGGTATAATTAACCTATAATCGCGACTTAGCTGTCCCGGTACACGGTACGTCCCTCGACAAAGGGACAGACGTTAGAGAAGATATGTGATATGTCCTCAAAGCGTAATATATACTTGTTACAACTTTTCGAGCTAACCTGGGCCGTTTCCTACTTCTCTTTCCTGAGCCTGAGACCTTTTTCCTGCTCGTTCGTCTTATTCGTATCCCAAAAGATTCCATGAAAAAGAAGGAAAGAAACCAATCTCATCAGAATCCAAAGAAGAAAATTCATGTGTCGTGTGTGCTTAGCTTGGGTGTGCTGTTCTGTGTCGCTTGTGGTACTTGCTTGCTTGCCTGATATTCCCGGGAAGTTGACTTTTTTTGGTTCGACGTTGATGTTGCCATTCAATTTTTGGCGGTTCTCATGTCGTCGATTTTGAGGTTTGTCGTGCATGCACGATTCTGATCATGTCGTGCTGGGGATTTTTGGCCTAAGCGAAGCAGTTGCTGAAAAAAATCATGAGTCGTGAATGCTGAAAGTGTCGTGAGTGCTAAAGCCGTAGAAAGCTGAAGTCGAAATGCTGAGATGTTGAACTCTCATGCGTGCAAGAAAGAAGGAGTCAATGCCGTTTTGAGGCTTGCGTCCTTGCTTGCTTGCTGCATGAGAGTTCCGAAATGCAGAGGGTGGAAGGGCCAGGCCGTTGAGGCTCGGCTTTCTTCGTACCCAGCTGATGTTGGAGTGATAGTGAAAGTCGCTTATCTGTGGTCTGGTGACAAAGGAAAAGGGTTCTGCGATTGGACATTAATCTGTTGTCTCGTGGGTTGGGGAGGGGAGGAGGGCGAGGGGATGATACGTACGCTCACATCCTTGATGGACGTGACATTCTGGTGCTGGGAGACTTGTGTGTCGTTATTGTCGGAAGTGAGTCGTGTGATGTGAATGCCGAGTGGGTCGAGCTGCGTCGGAGTCTGCGTCTTCATTGCATCACTCGTCGAGCATGCCCATCAGCTCGTTGCCGACGAGCTCAGCGCCGGTGTTGTCGTTGACCTCGATCTCGTCGACGTTGTTGTAGCGCCAGAAGACGTCGTGCTCGTTGAGCTTCTGGTAGTGATCGTCGAACGAGTACTGCTTGACGACGGATCTCTGCATCCAGTTGACAGTGTTATTTCCTGGGACACGAGGAAGACCCAGGAAACGACCGTGGATGCGCTCAGTTGAGATCCGGTCGTCGCCTTCGTACTTCGCCTCCTCGCGGCATGGCCAGTCTGCGACGTCCTTGTACACTCTCTCCGGATGCTGGAAGAAGTCACGGTCGCGGCGATCCTTCTCGAACTCTTTCGTGAACACCGTCTCCTGGGATAGGACGGCCGAGCGGTTGTTTCCCAACTCCTTGCCTCCCATAGCTGGCTTGACCGCGTCAGGGAACTCTGGTAGACCAAGACGCTCCCGGTCTCTCAACTCCTTCACGCGCCTTTCTCCCTTCTTCTGCATCTGCTTGCGGACATCGTCGGCGTACAGGGCACGATGCTCCTCGACGTCGTAGTCGCGTGGCCAGGCGACCGAATCCTTGCAGACTTTGCTTCTCGCGAAATTGGTGCGGCGTATACGCTCCTGCTTCTTAACACCTGGAGCGACCCACTTCTTGGATTGCGAGTGCATTTCTTCGTGGGTAATCTGTGTACAAGTTCAGCTCTAGATCTGGCATACTCACTGACTTGAGGAAACTCGCGAGGGTGAAATCGATGAAGTCGTAGATTCCGGTTGGGTGCGGCTGTGCAATAAGTCAGTCTCGATCACGCTTCAAGTGCTTGAAGATACATACATTGAGCCGGGGAGAGATCAAGAACGGTGGGTGAAGAGGATCCTGTGAGTAGTCTTAGTCTCGGTCTTTGCATGTTGTTGTTGCCGCACTTACGTCCCCTGATGGCGGTATAGCGATGTAGTAATGTGCGTTGACGTAGCGTGCGTCCTTGTCGACAATGCGTTCAACGACTCCGATCGCCGACTCCCACTGGCGGTCGGAGTATGTCGGCGGGTACTTGCTGTGGAGCCAGGCGGTGTTTTGGGTGAGACGCGACCTCAACACGTCGAATCGATAGCCGGATGTCCTCAACTCCTGCGAAATCTGGTCAGTATTTTGGGCCATCGCTCAAAAATGAAACGATGGCCGCCAGTGGCGGCACTGGCGATATGGGCTTGGTGCTATGTGCTTGGTTGATGGCTTCCTGGCAATGTTGTGGTATGGCTTTGGAGAAGGAAGAGAAGAAGAGGAAGAAGAGTGGCAGGCAGCAAGCCACCATATCTCCATTTCGAAAATGAGTGAAGTAGATGCCTCCAACTTCGACAATACGTCATCTTCCAATGTCCGCCTTCACTCAAGCCGTCGTGACACTAGGCAGAAAAGGGAAGATGGTCAGAGTGAAGGAAAGTGAAGTAGACTTACTCTCCAGATATGCAGGGTCCTTTCGAGCGGCTCTAGCGTACGGATACGCTTCTTCGTTCCCGCCAAGCAATTTCGTTCGCTTGGGTGAAAGCTGAGTGCTGAGGGTTTCTTCACTGATGCGAATGCCGAGTTTCAGGTAATCGAGGTTGTGTTAGCAGGGGCGGTGGTGTTGGACCTTGTGCCGCGGATTGCGCGTCTCAACGATGGATACCTTAGGGGAAGTCTCGTGATTGTTATTCACACTGGCGACGTCGCTCGTGCCGATGGAGGTGAATCGACGATGCCGCTGCCGCGCGGACTTGTTGAGATTGATATGCGCCGAACTGAAGATGTGCTTTCTACCTGAGTGCATAGGGTCGACGTCGGGGGTTGCGTGCCGATGGTCGAGTCTCCGGGTACGCAGAGAGGCTGATATGGCGGGGAACTGCTCACGGCAAGGTCATGCGATAGGGCGGTCGTAGATTCCTGGTAGTCGGTGAAGGACTTGGCGGTTTGAGACTGGCGGGAGTTGTGTTGAAGTGATCGAGCGTGGTCGTCGATGAGATGTGGTTGATGTGGTCGATGTGGTGAATAGTAGTTGGGATAAGTCAAGGTTAAGTAGAAGAGTAGTCAAGGGGGTTGAGGCCGATGTCCAAGGATGCGAAGTGGTCGGTGTGTTGTTGTTTGATAGAAGGATGGCTAGAAGAAAGCAAGCTTATATAGCTGCGCCTGCGCCTCAAGTGAGTGCTTACAAGGAAACATGTGATTGCAGCGGATAAGAGATAGCTGGCGGAGGCATATGTTGAGCTTCAGACCCAGTCTCTGCTGAATTAAGGTTTTCTCCGCTGGCGAAGCTTGAGGCGAAGGGACATCGAGCCATTGTCTACACCAACCTTGGACTTGCATTCGGTTTTGTAGCATGAGAGGTGGAAGGCGGAGGGCATTGCACATATGTGTTTCGATACCGTCTGGAGTTTCGCTCATGATTCGAGTCGCGATGTTGACATATCTCTCGAAGAGATTTCCTAAGGCAGAGCGATTCTGTTGACATCCCTCAAGTTCTGTAGATGGCTGGACGTGCATTTGCAACCATGGCAACGACGTCATCGCAAGGAGATGGACGTATTGCGATGATTCGACGAGATTTTGAGAGAGTGTGTCATGAAAAAGCATTGGTAGGTGTGAGGAGATGGTATTTGCTGTTTTCGAGGTCGGCAACGACATACACTGATGGATTTGGTGGTGTTGTGGGAGAGGTGAGGTCAGACGACAGTTCCGAAAGGATGTGCACGAAACAGGGAAGCGCCACGACACTAGCCACGCCACGAGGGCAGCCGCTGGGGCTACATAAGGCTTTCACGCCCGCCCGGCCTGCTTCTCACGCTGTGAAAGAATGCGGTGCGCTCCTCGTCGTCGGTATCGTTTGCGGGCGAGGAGCGCACCCGGCGTCTGCCCATCGCGCGAGTCCCGTGAGGATGTCGCGCGACGCCGCCGCAGCCATCTCCGCCGCCGACGGACGAGATGGCGAGCGTGGCGCGGGTGCTTCGACCAGACGACGGCGACCATCGCCCATCGACAGTGCAAACCCGCGCATCCATCGACGCCCGACTCTCGACCGCCGGGAAGCCCTCCGCCGCGCTCATCCTCTGTTCGGCCCTGCTCCATGCGGCCATGGGCATCTTCAGCTCGTTGGCTGGCAGCAACCGACTCTGCAAGCGCCGCAAGCCTGCAGTTGGGGTCCGTGCCACGCGACTGTCTTCCTCAGAATGGAAGGCGCGACAATCACTGGCTGGCATGTGAAACGCCTGTCGAGGCCATGCTGCGTTTCCGACAAAGACCTTCAACAACGGACTCATGACCCGCTGTTCAAAGAAACCCATGGTACGTGTGCTATTCTCATTCATTGTCGCACTATTGTCCGCTGCTTCTTCCTCGCCCTCCTCCTCCGACCCTCTTGCAACGACGTTACGAATCTCTTTTGTACAGCATTGCAGGCCACGACCATTGCATTCACCCCCGCCTTAATCATAATACCTTCTACAACACCCCAACGCATGACACTTTTGCTCTTCGCACACCACCACGCCCGAAGCTCAAACTCGATCCCATAAAGAGTTTCATTCACACATCTTGGCCTTCTGGAAAGCGCCACAACCACGAACACACACTGAGACACACCGACAGGCACTCCCGACTTTCCGTGCCAGTCACCAGCATGGCACCCTCAGAGAACCAACAGCAACCCCCAAATCCCGCGCCTCCGTCTCTTTCCGCTGGCGCCCATGAGACGAGCTACTACTACGCAGAACAGAATGCATCACGACCTCCCTCACAACAAGAACCATACCCGACACCTTACCTCGGTCTTCGAGCCAGACTCGCTCAGATCTGGATTAATCGCTGGACGATCCTTCTTTTGCTCGTACTGATCCGAACACTGTTCGCCATCGCAAGTGTCGACGACAACATCGGCACGGCGAGAAAGCAAGCCTTGAGCGCCTGCACTTCTGTCGAGAATGTAGGCTCCGCCATGGCATCGATGCCCCACTATATGAGCGAGGGCATGAACGAAGTGACCGCACAAGGCATCGAGAAGGCCGTCAATGGCCTGATGCAGATGCTGATCTTGACATTGACGGGAGTGGAGGAAATTGTGGTCTTCATCATCAACTTGTTGACCTCCACCTACGTTTGTCTAATCACCCTCGCCATCAGTGGCAGCTTGCATGTTGCCATATCGGTGGCCGAGGACGTGGGTGACTTCCTCAACTCCACCGCGAAGGACGTTGGCGACGACCTTGGCTCTGCCGCCTCAGACTTTCAGAACGCTATGAACGGCTTCCTCTCGGGAATCAATGATATCGGCGACCTCACCGGCGATGACTCCAAACCGCCAACGATCGACCTATCGGGTGAAATCGACAAGCTCAACAACCTTGAACTGCCTTCGGGCTATGATCAGGGTCTTCAGACTCTCAACGGCTCCATTCCGACCTTCGAACAAGTTCAAAATTTGACCAACACTGCCATCAGATTTCCATTCGAAGAGGTCAAGAAGCTGTTGAACGAGAGCCTGCCCAAGTACACCATGAACCGATCCTTGTTCCCGGTGCCCGCCAAGGAGCAACTGACATTCTGCTCCGATGACGACGGCGTCAATGACTTCTTTGACGATCTTGTCGCAATCGAGCAGATGGCCAAGAAAATCTTTCTCGGAGTCATCACGACTTTGGCAATACTAGTCATGATTCCAATGGCCTGGCGCGAGTACCGAAGCTGGAAAACGATGAACGAGAGAGCACGCTTGGTCAAGGACGATGCATACGACTCCCTCGACGCGGTGTACATCGTGTCGAGACCGTATACTGCCGGCGCGGGCCTGTGGTTGGCGAGAAAGTTCAAGTCTCCTCGCCGTCGCGCTTTGGTGCGATGGAGTGTGGCTTACGCAACCACTGTCCCGGCTCTGTTCGTCCTCTCCCTCGCGATAGCTGGTCTTCTTGGCTGCCTCTGTCAATACACCCTGCTCAAGTCTCTTGAGAAGGAAGTGCCAGCCCTGGAAAACCAAGTTATCGGTTTCAGCGACAAAGTCATGACCTCGCTGAACAACGCAAGCCAGCAGTGGGCTATTGGCACGAACAAGATCATCAACGATACAAACACTGACATCAATGATGATGTTTTCGGCTGGGTCAACACCACCACCGGTGCGGTCAACAATACTCTGAACGTGTTCGTGGACGAGATGATGGGCGCCCTGAACGACACTTTCGGCGGCACTGTCCTCTATGACCCAATCATGGACGTCCTCAATTGCTTGGTCCTGCTGAAGATTCAGGGGATTCAAAAAGGTCTGACTTGGGTCAGCGAACACGCCAAGATCGACATTCCAATGCTACCCAACGACACGTTCTCTCTGGGAACTGCTCAGAAGGTAGCAGGCTCCGAGTCGAATATCCTAGCTACTGGTCCTGATGGAGCAGCTGCGGATGCGATTACGGATGCTGTGGATCACGTCGTCCGAGCCTTTGCAGAGGCCATCAGACAAGAGGCTATCATCTCAACCTGTATCTTGCTGATATGGGTCATTATCGCTCTCAGCGGTATCATCAGAGCCTTCTACTTGTTTTACCGCGGCGGCGATGCTGGCGTCTACCATGGTCAAGATCCGACTGCCCGCTCTTCCATATCTCAAGACAAGTCTTACGAGTTGTCCCGGATTCCAACCTACGAGCAGGCAACGGCATCTCAGCAACCAGGCAACAACCGAGCGAACATGTACAATGGTCAATCGTACACCCTGACGCCAGCACCAATGCCAACCTTCGAAGTCACCAGCGCCACTTCGCCCATCATGCACACAGCCTCCAATCCGCCAGAGGAGAAGATGGGCACCGTCAATGGCCAGAACGTCGATACTGCTATCCGCCGTCCATCGCACATCCGTGCTTCAAGCCACGGTGACTACGCCGTCACCTCACCGATGTCGCCACCGCAGGCGAATCCGTTTCTCAGTGCGAACGAAATCCAGGATCGAAATCGAAATCCTTTCTCAGACCCCAGACGTTGACATCACTGTCATGAGTGGTGTCAGCCATACACCTGACCGCTCTTCTCCCCTCCGAGCGGCCACTTGGTTGGGAGAGCTCAGTGTCATCCGTATGGTCACGCGGATGGGATCTGAGTCTGCAGTCGAGACTTTCAATATGCTCAGACCGAGGAGTGCTTCTGGTCTCTGTGTCTTGCAGCTTTTGGGCAGACACAGGCGCATCACGCAGCCTCGGCTGGCATTTGCGCAAACTGAGCGACTTTTGTGAGTGCAGTTGCGTCGTGCTCTGCACCTGTTTTTATCAAGCGTTGCGAAACCCCTTCCACCCTCCTTCACCACGATCCAGACGATTGAAGACACCCATCGCTATTTTTGGACGAACTTGAATCCTCTTGCGATCTGGATGACTTGAGAGGGAAGAGAAGGCGTTGTATTTCCTTTGGTTAGTAGCCCTCGACGCCCCATCCATCCCGCTCCTCTACCCCGTGTCATCCTGCATTGCGTCGATACCGCTGCTTCTGAACTCAGCACGCCCGAGCCGGTACTCGAAGAACCTGTCGTGGCTTGCCCCAGGTTCTGACAGATGCGGTTGCGGACCTGTCTGGGTCGCTGCAGAGATGCACTGCGCAATGCAGTGAGCGCGGCGTACGAGCCGGACAAGTGTTACCATGCTACAGGCGCATGGTATGAGCCGATTTGCCGATCTTCGTGAGAGGGATCTGCTTGGGTATGGCCGCTCTTTCGCCGGATCTCCCGTTTGGACCTCCTCTGCTGCCTTTTCCGCGCGAGTTCGTGAGTCCGGCAACGGGGGATCTGTTGCTGACGGATAACGAGCGTAATCATTTGTTTTCAGAATGAAAGAAAGGGATGCCGACGTGTGCGGTTGTTATTTGGGAATTCCTTTCCTCTGGATTGAGAGTTGGTTCATCCGCTTGGTCCTTCGGGACCGTGGAAATCTGTTGGCTCAACTTTGCATTTCGAAGGCTGGTGTCTTTGCAGTGTTTCGATGCAGGAGCTTGGGCAGAACCTGACCATCCATACCATCCTTTCGACCAACACTTTCGCTTTGAACTATGGGGGATCAAGAATGCTGTACGTAGCTGGCAAGAAATACCATCCTCATTTGACGAACAATGAATGTCCTACCTTTTTTAATCAATTGGCTTAATCAATGTGAACTAAATTTGGCATCGCCCCTCAGTCTGTGCACAAATAGATCTGCCCAGACCCCTGCAAGCCGCTAGCGCCGTCTTGCTTCGCGACTCAGCCCTACGGAGATGACAACTGCCTTCACATCGTCAACTGCCTCCATTCACCGTCGACATCCCTCTCTTGGACAGCGTGCGCAACCAGCATCATATTCCCAGGCCACATTCGCTAGCATCATACCCCGACGGGATTATGACCACCGCCACCACGACTTCCCCGCGGTGAGGACGCCATGAATACCAACAACAATTTGCCCCTGCGGCCCCCGCCGCGGTCGCCCTCTGGAAACCGGTCACACTCGTCGCTCTCACAGGCTTCATTGCGGAGCGAGTCCAGTCTATCCAATGCCTCAACCGAGTCCAACCAGGTCGGTGTGCAGTCCATGAATAGGCGCTCCCCGTACCTCCAACAGCCGGCAGTTCGCCCATCTACCGCCGGAGGTCTCACACCATCACAGAGCACAAGTACTCTCCAATCTGTGACAGCTCCACGACATGCCACCAGAGGATCTGTTGATGGGACTATCAGAGTCGCGTCGCCCGGCATGCCAGGCCACCGGGCGCGACAGCATAGCCAAGGCTTCTTCGAGCCCTCTCTGCCACATGCCACTGCCAATGCAAGTGGACTGAGTGCGTCACAAATCGCTGCTCAAGCGGCTATGCATCATATTTCACCACCGGCCTCCACAGTCAGTAATGAACGCAAGCGGTCATATCCGGGTCTGGCTCCGATCAACACTTCAGGCCCAGCAGGCAGTCGACGACCGAGCGACCATGGAAGCCCACAGATTTCTATGGGGGCCGGTCTCCCATACAGCAATGGCACTGTTGGGGGCAATCGCTTGGCTGCCGCGACCGCTGCGAATGTTGCATTCCCAAATGGCAGAAGTCCACTTCCTTCGCCGGGTATGCCTCCACCGCCATCGACACTAGGCCCTCCGCCTGAAAAGGAGCCTAAGCCGAAAAGCTCGAAGATGAAGCTTTTCAAACCCAAAAACATTGCCCTGTCAAAGGATAAAGAAGCCAAAGTCGGCCCCGTCTTGCCATCTCCGGGTAAAACGCCCTCAACATCGAACTTTCTCCGCGGTGGATTCCCGAACGCTTCAACTACGAGTCTCTTGGATCAGAGTTCGGCTGCGAGCTCTTTATACTCATCAGCCAATGTCTCCACGTCTACGCTTGTGCCCACGATTTCTGAGAAGGACAAGGAGAAACGACATCACTTCTTGTCAAGACAGAAACACAAACTTCGCGATGAGCCTGCTCAACTACCACTCTCCTCAGCACACTCGAATTCACAGGCGACAAATCCTGACAAACCGCAGCCCCTATACTCCTTTACCCCGGATTCGCCTGGACCTGGCGCTTTTGCGAAATCCATGTCCGGATTTGACCTCAGGCATGGTGGCAGAGCTTTGAGAGAGAAGAAAAAGGAGGAGAAAGCTGCGGCTGCGGCTGCTAATTTGAGCTTGACTCAAGTCACATCAAACACATCTGTGGGAACGTCTGATCAATACCTTGGGCCTAGTAGCTACGATCCCAGCTTCTCAGGACCACCATCTGGGAATGCGAGCGTCTTCTCTTTCCCCTCTGAGACGACATTACCTGTGACCGCACAGGCATTCAGCAATATTGGGGCTCAAATGGGCTTACCTGGAATTGGACCGGATGATGCCTGGCCTCTTCTAAAAGCGCGACTGCTTAATCTCTTCTCTGGGGAAAGCTTGCGGACCCCGATCGAGGACTTCAACGCTCTCGTGAGTGTACACGTTCGAAGATGCATCCAGCGGAGATCCCCAATTGTGCTGGTTGAAGATGTGAGGGAACTCCTGCAAACTGGCTTCAGCTCTCTTGCTCAGACTTTGAGAGGTGTGCCGGATGAGAGACTCGTCACAAATCTGGTCGAGATGTGGATAGGGGTATATGGTGCCATATTGCCGTTTTTGCAGGCGGTCTTTCTACCTTTGGAGCTGGAATTCAAAGGCCGCGGTACTGTCATGACGCAACGAGAGGCACAGGAATTCTGGGGCGCGATCCCAGAGTCGCTGAAATCAGATGAGCGACCGACTTCTGCTGGGGGATCACAACGACTCCCAAATATGGCGGATGAGCTCGAAGTAAGGCGCATTACTTTGATTGCTTTCAGGGACACTGTGATCATCCCAAAGCATGAAAGTCTGATGAATATCTTCAGCCGCTTGTCGCTGGAAAGTCTGAATGCTGGAGTCACGCCTGAAAATACCACCAAAGGACGAGAACACGCTCGAAGCGATCCAGCAACGACAGGCGCAGAACGACCAGGGACTGCAGGCAGTCTCAGTCCGAGGCTCAGCAGTTTCAACTCACAAGGTTCGACATTGCTGGATGCGGCGAGCACTTCATCTGGAGGTGCGATGAGCCTTGCCAGCCGAAGCAGAGCCACTTCAAACACATCAGCTGGCAGCTTTGGTACCAGCATGCCACATCTGAGCTCTCCTCTGGCAGGACCAGGCTCATTCAGCGTGACGAGTCAACCTCAAGCATCTCCGGTGGCGCTCACTGATCCGGCAAAAGTCACAGAGACTGTAGCCAGGATGTTGCAATGTCTGTACGTCCTCGCATCATGCCAGACTGGAGATGTAGCTCAGGGCAATGTCGAGCGACTTACAGGAGCGTTAAAGTACAATTGGCTAGGACGGGGTCGCACGGGACGAGATAGGAGAGGCTGGGTTGGAATGAAAGGACAGAGAGTTGGACTAGTAGGTGCGTAGGATTCGAGCAGGGCTTGATTGAAAAGGAGCTGGATCTCGGTGATGATGACGAAGAAGGAGCATTGACTTGGAAATACCAAAAACCCGGCTTTGAATGCCGATGATGCTCCCGGAGCAGAAATGAGAAACGTACTGATGAACTTTTTGAAAGCCTTAACTACGATTACAGACTCTTCGGCCATTTTTGGTGGCTTTTCTACCCTCAACCCTTGTCATTGTTATGTCCGGCTTCGCTAAGCACAACTTTTTCCTTCCCGTGCGAGCTGATGTCGTTTGTACGTGCTTTCGGGGCTATTACTCAACCTTCGCTTGTTACCAACGAGCACACCAAGCGGATATTAATGTGAAAGTGACAGTATGGCCGTTGCAAAGATACGAGAGGCAAGAAAAGTAAAGGTCTTTTCGTATAAAAGGTATACTTGGCACTATACATCGCCTGATCAAAGGCAGCATAGAGCAGAGCAGGGGCATAGCTACAGCTCAAGCCAAAAAAAACACCTACTCCATCCACAATCCTCGTCCATCAACAACGCCCATCATGACGACTTCCAATTCCATCGACGGCGCCACCGTCGCCCCCCGCTTCGCCCCTTTCAACATCATCTCCCTCGACTACAAACAAGTCAAAGGCGTCGGAATCCCCCTCTCGATCCTCATCCCCAAACAGCTCAAAAAGGGGAAACACCCCATCGCGGTCCGCTGGCATGGAGGCGGGTTTGGGACGGGGGAGAGGTTGTTTGCGGATTGGTATGCCACTTAACATCGATCACCCTCCCTCTCCATCATGCCACAAGATTTCCCTGATTGTTTCGAGGTGACTTGACTGATTCGTATATGTCTATGTGAAACAGGTACGCAGAATGGACCCTCTCCCTCTCCCTCACCCACAATCTCCCTCGCGCCCGACTACCGCCTCCTCCCCTCCTCCAACGGGCTGGACATCCTCTCCGACGCCGAGGACTTCTACACCTGGCTCTTCTCCCCAAACACCCTCACCGCCCACCTCCCCGCCGGCATCCTCCCCGACCTCACCAGCGTCCTCGTAACAGGCGAAAGCGCCGGCGGCTGGCACGCCCTGCAAGCCGGCCTCCTCCACCCGTCGCGAATCACAGCGATAATAGCGCACTACCCCATGATCGACCTCGCCTCGCCGCACTTCAGTCAACCCCCACCCCCAAACCACCCCAAACAAATCTTCTCCCCACCACAACCCCAAGCCGACCCCTCCCTCCTCATAACCTACCTTTCCACCCTGAGCGGGCAAGAAATCATCCCCAACCGCATCCCCCCCGACGGGGATATAAACGTCCTGATCATGCTCCAGCAGGGTCTGTATCCTCACTACTTTGGCACGGATCCGAGGTTGTATCCGTTGGAGGTGTTGGAGCGGGTGGAGGGGTTCCCGCCGATGTGGGTTTTGCATGGGGAGGGGGATTCGGTTGTGCCGGTGGAGGGGACGAGGAGGTTTGTGGAGGCTTTTGAGGCGAAGGCGAGGGGGAGGGAGGCGTGGGGGCCTTTGTTTGTGAGTTATAAGGAGGGGGCGGAGCATGGGTTTGATTTGGGGGATGATGGGGTGGGGTGGAGGGAGGAAGGGATTCGGTTTATTGAGAGGTTTTGGCCGGTGAGGGAGGAGGAATAGAGGACGGCACTAGACGAGGAGGGAGAAGTTTTAGCGGTGGTAGTCTTTCGATGTTTGTTTGAGAGATGTTGTTTTTGCACTGTACAAATTGTGTAAGTCAATCAAGCGTAGACTCCCTTGTCTCCTTGCTCCAAGAGCAGCCACATCCTGATCCATCCATCATCCAACCCTTGTTTACGCCAATTGGAGTCCAATAAGACAAGTGACGCCAAGTCGATTTCCCAAGTTCTCTCTCCCGTTTCCATGCAAGATTTCGAACGCTTCAATAAACAAGACCACCAAGATTCAGGGTTAGGAATAGAGGTTATGATCTCTCGTTGAGCAATGCCTGCACGCTCGACCATTTCTGCTTGAGGCTGTCGTGGTCTGATTGCGTCTGTGAGGGTTGTCAGTATGTCGCCTGTAAAGTGAGGGAGGTTGTTGTTGTCACTCACCTGAGCATGCGCCATCTTCGCATTCACCAACTCATGCTCCATCTCGTCCATCTCTTCCTTCAGTGCGCGGTTCTCATTCTGCACTTCGATATTCCGCTGCATAATGCGATCCATCTCGTCCTTCAGCTTCTGCTCGATCTCTGCGGGTTGTGCGTCGACAAGCTTCTGGAGTTCTTCGACCTGAATCTTCAACGCTTCATTCTGATCCATGAGCGAGTCGTTCTCGACCTTGATCTTGACCAAGTCTTGTGCGATGTTGACGTGTTCGGCATCGTGTTGTTGTACACGCTCTTCGAGGCCCTTCACTTTGGTAGTAAGTGCGGCATTCGATGTTCGCAGATTCTCCAACTCAGTCTCCCGGTCGCGCTCCAGTCGCTGTTGCTCTTCCCACTCAATCGTATACCTAGCAAGCGTCTCATCCGAAATCTTAATATCACACGCATCTCGCACCATCTCATCTGCTCTGTACAACTCCTTGTCGGCACCGCCAGTGACAGAGCCGAAGAATCCGGAGTCGAGAAGAGATGACGCAGATGGGGATTTGTCAATGTACACGTCAAACAGCTTCTCCTTAAGAAAGTTGGTCAACTGACTCATGTCTTTCATCTCCAGCAGGGCTGCCCGGTTATGCTGCATCAGAACAATGCCAAACTTTAGGATGGCCGTCAGCCCTTCGCTGAGGATCAAATCGTAAATCCGTAACACTAGTTGCAGCGGAAACCGGTAAGCGAACAGTGTCAGGAACCATTGCGTTGCATATAGCTGAGGGCCGACGTTTCGTCTTCGGAGGTGGCAGTAGACAGCCGGTTCGTATTCCTCGAGCAGTCTTTCGAATTGATATAGTCGCAGATGTAGGCCTGTCATATCAGGCGTGAACATGCTTCGCAGATCGTACTTGGCCATGAGCCTGACCAGGAGTGTGAATGCTTCTTCCTCGCTCATGTTGAAAAGGAGCGGCATTGCAATGAAGTTGATGCCCTGTGCATAGCCGACACCCTCGTCGAACAGTGCATAGGCTTTGCACACGCCGAAAAGTCCGTCTTGGAGGCCAGCTGATTGCGTGTACTTGGAGTAGGACGTCCTCGAACCCATGTCTCGCTTTATCGCCTTTTCAAGCTTCTGCAGTGCAAGTGACTCGCGCTTCGTCTTCTCTTCAAGCAGCTTTGACTTCAACTCCGGGGCATTGCTCTCCACTGAAGTCGGTGGGCTGGCCATTCCGGAGTTAGCAGTCGTGGATCGCTCTGAGTGCTCACTTGAAGCATCAGACGTTGCCTCTTTGTCCCCATTGACACCGTTGAGAGTAACACTGGATCCCGTTCGCGAGTTTGGAGGCCTCTGATGCTCAGCGTCTGTCCCTCTAGCCTTGAGAGTGCGATATATGTTCTCCAACTCTTCGTTCTTACTTTCAGCCAATACCTGCCATACAACACCGCGTATCGCTGGAGGGATGCCAGAAGTGATGGCTTGATTCAGCTCTTCGCCGCTGGTTCTTGCTACCGCTGCTGGTCCCTCATAAACAACTTGTTGCCACAGATCCCAATTGACTTCTCTTGGCTCTGCTGCAGGACCAGCTGACATGCCAGAAGCGGTCCCAGGCGGCAGACTTGGGTTGAGAGGCGGTGATTTGAGGCCTGATGTCGAGTCTGATCTTTCATGGCGGGGAGGGCTCGAAGTTGGTTCACTGTCACCGCTCGCATGCGCATCTTCCTGCTTGTCTTCTGCGACCCCGTTCGCCTCGTGGCTGTGGAACTCTTCTTGCCTGCGGAGGCTAGTGAATTGATCTTGGAGGCTTGGCTTCCCACCATCATGAATTATTGGCAGGCCGTCTGAAGCAGCTGAAGCGCTCGTGCCTCGTCTTTCACTGAACCGACTCTCTTGTCTCGGCGCAGGGGGTGATCGGGCGGGCTTCCTAATACTGCCCATCCTCCCCAAAAGCGCGCCGAATCCACTGGAGGCTTTCCGCAGAGGTCCTGGAGGAGGCGGTGACGAGACTCGATCGTTCGCTTGTCGCTGCTCCAACGCGTGCATTCGGTCTGCTGATGATGGCGGTGGTGTGGGGATGGGCAAGTCTCCGGACAGTCCTCGCATGGTGCGCATGGGCGAGTGCTGGCGCGAGCCGACTTTGCTGGGCGACACGCTGCGATCGCGCGACATTGGGGAAGCTGCGCGTGGAGGCGGGAGTTGCACGCTCTCGAGGGTCGTCTGGCGCGAATGGCTGCTCTTGCCGTCGTCTTCGTCCTTGTGCTCTTCGGCTGTCGCTTCACGCACGAGCACTTCCGGTGCGACCTCTTCTTCTTCCCGCTCCTGGCTGGTGGATCTCTTCGGAGTGTAGGTCTTGACACTGCCATCTTCATTGCTTTCCACCGCACGCGCCTTGACAGTCTCGGCGCCGCTGATTCCTAGGCCGCCCTGGTCTTTCTCTCCATCCTCGGCCGCCTGCTCTTCAACGATCTGGGGTTCGACCGACGAGGGTCGCGGGGTAGAAGTTGCATCCTCAAAGGTTTCCTATTCTCAGTCAACTAACGGGTTGTACTAGAATTTGGTGGCAAGGAGCCTCCATACCTGTCTGTCCTCATCATCGTCCTTGATCCGCATCTCCGAAGCCATGGTCACGACAGAGAGCCTCTTTGATCCGCTGCTTTTCCTGCCTCCACGCGACTCGCGCTTGCCTGGGCGCAGAGACTTTCTTCGATCGGGGATGCCAGGTGCTTGATTGCGCACAGTCGGTTCAGGAGGGGATAAGGGTGGTGGAGCTGGTGCAGGAGGCTCAGGAACAGCAACGGTTGATGAAAGCTTGTCGGCAGCGATCGTCACCACGGATTCGGTAGTCGACATTATGCTATGTGGCCGTGCAACGCGACCAAGAACACAGCATTGTATGCACCGAGCGACATACCAATCGAGAAGAGAGGGTCACGGTCAACAAACCGCAGAATTTAGCACTCGTCACGCACATGGAACAACAAGGGCCGGCCATCAGCAACACGCAGCGCCAGGGGCAGTGTACGGCTTCTGTCTCCTGGCCACCCACCGCCGGGCCAACCATGCCCATCTACTACTACTACTACCCTCGAGTCTGACCACCCAGGCCACTCGTGAGCAACCCCCCTTTGCGACTCTGGCTCACTAAGACGCGCCAGGACGCGTCGTCTCTTGGACATGTCTCCTCTTCCCGCTCTTGTATTATTTACCTTTGAGACCCCACAACGCCCTGAGACAAAAATAGATGACAGCAAACAGGGTTGTGTTTCAGCTTGTCGTTAGGAAGGGCTAACCGTCTCACGTGATGAAGATGTCGCGTTTTCCGACTCTAAACTTTTGCTTTGACTTCAATTCATCCGGCCCTCAGGTTCTTGTCTTGCACGAGAGATCGCACGGTAAACTCAATCTTACTGTCGAATCTATCTCCCAAAGCGGCGCCATGTGCGCACACGTCGACTCGACAGTCAGTGTTCGCGCGGATTGATAACAGCCTTCATTTAGGCCCTTATCCAACTAGGCAGGCGATGTGGTAGGCAAGCAGATTCAACAGTTTCTCCTCTTCCAGGCCACCACTTTTCTCATACGACTTCAAGAAGAGCGGATCTCCTTCGTCAGACCTCTCACACATTATTCCGCTCATTCAATCGCAAGATGTACTACACTGAGAGGCTAATGCTGCGAGCTTTTGACCTGCGGGCAGATGAGAAAGTCGTCGCTCAGATGTTCAATGTGAGTTCACGTTGCTAGCATCAAATACAAGACACGTTGGCTAACTTTCCCTTTCATAGGACGTGGAAACAATGTGGGCTCGTAGGCCGACCGTCCAGACGACCTCCGGGATTGAGCTGATTCAATTCGACAGTGTCAGCTGAGGTGCCTCGTGCAGATCAATACAATGCGAAGAAATTCATCGAAGGGATCGCTGCACGCACGAACGGAGTCCCCTCGTTCGTGATCTGCCTCAAGCCGGAGCAGGGCCTTGACTCGCTGGGACCAGACGACGACCTGTTCGTGAAAGATGGCAAGGCGAGATATCCCATGGTAATGTTCTCCGATTTCCTCACATTGATTTGCCATTGACATAGACCAGATCGGCATGCTCAACCTCGGCGGCTCTCCGCAGATGAGCTACGTTAACCGGGTTATGAGGTTCGGTATTAACTTCACGAAGGAGCATCAAGGTCCGTTCCTCGCCCAATGTCGTGGCTCTCGCTGACTTGATATGCAGGCAAAGGATTTGGGACCGAAGTGCTGACATGGGCGATGGATTACATGTTCGGCAGTCTGGGAATACACAAATGCGAATTGGACGTGTCGTCTGACAACCCGAGGGCAATACGTTGCTACGAGAAAGTTGGATTTGTGAGAGAAGGCGTGCTGCGCTCAAACTACCTCAAGAACGGGCAGTGGCTGGACGTGAGTATATTAAACACCTCTCTACGCAACTGCTTACATTTCATCTGGCAGAATCTGAAGATGGGACTCCTTGAAGATGAATGGCGAGAACTACGAGCGGGAAAAGCCGCCAAAATTCCACCTCGAAGCACGTGACTCGCTCAATAGACTTCTTTATTGAGAAACAAACAACGCCTCGTCAATGGGCGTTATTGAAAGAACTTCTTTGAAGTGTCAATAACACAATGCATTGTCAAGATTCTTCTACTGCGCATATTAATCACGCTGTTCTTCCCCATCAACAACCTTTCGCAGATCATCACGACAGTCTTCAACTCTTCCATCGGACATTCAAGAAGGCCTACAACAGCTTCAGAACAGCAAAGCAATCCCTCAAGAAGTCCGAAAGAGCAGATACTCGCAGTCCAACATCACACAAACCAACTCTGCAAGCACCGCACCGAAGATGTCGTTCGATCTCGAGAAAGGCGCAGGCGCCTCCAGCGCTTCAGTCCAGCAACCCACCACCGCACGTCTCTCCAACACCTTCCCTCCAACATACGAGCAGCATGTCAATGACAACATGCGCAACTTCGAGTCCGAGTTCCAAGAGGTCAAGTTGAGAGACTTCGACGGCATCCAAGACTCCAAGCCCAAGCAGCGCAAGCGCAAGTGTCCGGCATGGGTGTGGCTCTTGACGGGCATTTCCATCTTGCTCATCATCAGTGCCTTGTTGGGCGGCTTGATCATTCACTACATGAACAAGCAGAACAGTCATGTCGACAAGGTAATTACTGCCCCCTCATCCGCAATTGCAACTGCTCTGACATTGACTAAGGTGGCTTCGCAGACGTCTCTGGCTACTCGTTCTGAGGAGACCACGACGATCTCTCCTTCAACGATGACCGTCTACATTACTCAGACTCCGCCCACCCCTTCGACGCAGGTCGTGGTCACGACTCTCACACCATCGACATCGACTCCATCGATCGTCACGGTAACTTCGACAACGACGGCATCCAGCCCTGAATCGACATCTACTTCAACCACCGAATCTCCCTCAACCACCACCACGAGCATCATCACCACCGCTTCCGCATCAACCAGCAGCATCAACCCCAGCGAAGCCGCTCTCAGCTCCAGCATCGCAGCCGAGCGATCTCTCAAGAGCGCCGAGATGATTACCTCGCCCATCACGACAACTCTCATGTCCGTCACCACGGCCACAGAAGTCAGCGTGTCGACTCCACCACCTGAACCAAGCAAGACATTGATTCCGATGCCTGGTGGTGAGATTGGCAAGTGTGGTGTTCCTGGTCAAGCCTGTAACTAGAGAGAGGACGTGAGACGGGAAAGAGACGAAGGGCAGACCGAGGTGGCTGTGGTTTGTACAGTATCACTTGGGCCAAGGCGTTTTGGGCTTTGAATTTTCGTTGTAATGTTAGCATGGGCTGGGCTGAGTATGGGTCTCAGAACCGTGGACTGCAGTCGCAGATAGGTCTCTCCAATCGTGCTCACCGATGAGCTTCTCGAACACATAAGTATCCCTTTCCTTTTCCTTTTCCTTCTCTTGATTCTCGAATCACATTACACGATCAATATTTCCGCTATACTCCCAGTCGATATACCTAAAACACCACACGCAGTATATCGGGCAGCTGCACCCTTGTGCCTTTACGTGGTTCCTTCCTTGGAAGGCTCCTACCCGCAAGCTCGTTCTACTTTCTCTTTCTTTCAACAACATCATCATCAAAGAAGGCTTTTTGTTCCAAACAAGTGCCTTGTACCTGGTCTTTATACTCCCCCTTGACAAAGAAGCCTTCAGCAGCATTGTAAGTCCATCTCCATAGAAACCACAACTTACCTGTAGTACGTACTACCTCTACTCTATCATTCTTACTTGCCAAAGCAGCATTGAAGTTTTCTGAATATCGCTGGTCGATACAGAATTGTCTTTCCTTTCGACACAACGACTACATTACGACAAACGGAAGTTTTTGGAACATCGCTGGACGACAGAGAACCGCCTTTCCTTTCAACACAACAGCTACATCAGAAAAACCAAGGCAAGTTCCCCACCTGCAATCATGCCTGCTAATTGCTCATTCTGCCTCGAGCCTACCAATACCTTCATCCCCGTTTCCGACACCGAATCGGTCTGTCATGGTTGCGTCGACGACTACATCGTCCCTCAATTCCACCAGGCGCTCGACCACGAGGTGAACTATCCCGTCCTTGTCGGCTCCACCAGAGTCGAGCCAGACCGGTTCATTGATTGGCTAGGCAGCACCTTCATCCAGCGATGGGCTCGTCGGAAGGAGGAGTTTGGGTGCAACGATCGAATCTACTGCCCGCACACCATTGAGAAGGCTCAAGAACTTCCTGTTGGTGAGGTCACCCACATCCCTTTGGCACTTTCTGACTCGCAACAAGCAGATTGCCTCTCGCAGAACGTCCCAACCACACCCTGTGGAGGCTTCGTCGCCAAGAAGACTGACGAGGTTGCAGTCACAGCTTGCAAAAGATGCTGGGGATACGTCGCTACTTGTTGTGGTGCCGCCGTTTGGAGTGGATCGTCTATCCACAACTGCAAGCTCGAGGACTCTGACCCGCTGGCGGGCCAGATCCGGGGCAAGCACTACCAGATTTGTCCTTCATGCGTAAGTATAACCCCCCAGACGTGAGACATACAGGGATCATGGCTAACATCTTTCTCAGACTCGAAAGTATCAGCTATCAAGCGGATGCAATCACATGCAGTGCCCTTGTGGCGGCCAGTTTTGCTATGTCTGTGGCAAGCCGGCAACCTCCACGAGCGGTCATTGGAATACTGGATCGACTTGTCCGCGCTGGAATCACCCCGATAGCGACAATGCCCAATTCGACGCCCCTCTGAACGACGATTTCCTCGAGGAGAACTTCGGCGGCGAGAATGGCTTGCCGTTCGCGCGATTGTTAATCACCGACGACGGGTTCGATGAAGAGATCATTGTCGGCTTCGCTCACTTCCAGCAGACCACTCGAGAGCACCTGGATCGCCTTGCCGAGGAAGGCGAAAGCACACCTGAATATCCTCTGTTCCTCACCGAGGTCCTTCGTCCCGATATGGAAGCTGGCTTTGATCTCCGACGGCCAAACTCGTCTCTCACTCAACTCGCTCCTTCGGGAATCTTTAATATACACAACGAGCCCAATTTTCACCTGGAGCTTGACCTGGTTAAGATGGACATTGAGTTCTTCTTCGATACGAGAGCCGAGCTCTTGAACGAAATTGTCGAGGCTATGATGCCTCGTCCACGACACGTAGGTCCAACCCCCGACGAAGACATCGTAATCAACATTACCCCTAACCTGGGCATGCCCGGCCGGCCAGCCATGCGCCATGAGCACATGTTCTCCGTTGAGCTGCACCTGATTGTTCGATTTCTGCGCATCTGGCTCATGAGTCAAGACCGGGACCTGCCTGTCACCGGCCCGCTACTTCCCATGGCCGAAGTCATGCTCATCACTTTCTCCGGTGAATACCGGTTCGATCAAGTAGCCCGCATCGACAATGTGTACTTTGAGCCTGTCGAGCAGAATGATGAGCGAGACGTGGAACAGGTCCGAGAAACCAATGCTTTTCTCGATGCGTTGAACGACGAGCTGTACATGCACGCTGACCAGCTTGTGCGTGATATTCTGAGACGCTTCCACAACCCGGATTGGACGATCGGGGATGAAGAGATGGATCTCAGCGACTGAATCGTAGGGACATTCAGCACGAGCAGTGAGATCCGATGAGAGGACCCACAGGTTGGGTGAAATAACTAGGAATAAATTTTTACAAAAGAAACGAAGTTATGATTGACGAAGCACCTCAATTTTATTTCCATAATAGAACACACTGTCAGGGGCGTAAATGGCCTCGACATATTGTGAAAATGTCAAGTTCAGACAAGACGCTAAATCTGCTATCATGTGAAGTCCCGAATCCAAGTGAGTGAAAAATTCCATGCCTGAGGCAGCGAAGAAAATCCGACACCTCCAATTCCGCGCTACTGACTTCACTTCCTCAAAACACCAACAAACAGAAAAGAACCCATTCGAATCTGAACCTTTCAACATGGCCGGCCCACCGAAAAAGCGTCAACGGCGTGAGGATAAACAGGAAGGGGAATTGCCCCAGAAGAAATACTATCGCCAACGCGCGCATGCGAATCCGTTTTCTGATCATGATTTGACTTAGTATGTCCACATTCTTCCCATCACCTATTTCCACTCTCAAATGAGTAGTAGACATGTGACGAATTCGACCATGCTAATCAAGCCTTACAGCCCCGAATCCCCCTCAGCAATGGACTGGTCCCAACACTACCCAGCCTTCATCGCCACCGAAGAACAAGAATCCACAACCCCCAACCCGGCCGACACCACGGACTCCCACCCGAAGCCCAAGAAAATGACCCAACAAGTCACAATCGCAGACATTGGCTGCGGCTTCGGCGGGCTGCTCTTCGCCCTCGCGCCCAGATTCCCGCAATCCCTCATCCTAGGCATGGAAATCCGCACCTCCGTCACGGAATTCGTGCAGGATAAAATCACTGCTTTGAGGAAGCAAGCACAAACCACATCCAACACCTCTCCCCATACATCAACGACAACAGATCATCCCACAATGAACGGCTCCTCGGCTCCGCCCCCTCCCTCCTACCAAAACATCTCCTGCCTCCGCGCCAACACCATGAAATTCCTCCCCAACTTCTTCCCCCGCTCCCAACTGCACACCATCTTCCTCTGCTTCCCCGACCCACACTTCAAAACCCGCAAACACAAAGCGCGCATCGTGTCCCCGACCCTCAACTCCGAATACGCCTACGTCCTGCGCCCGGGCGGGAAAATCTACACCATTACGGATGTCGAGGATTTGCACTGCTGGATGGTGGAGCATTTGGCGGGGCATGCGAGTTTTGAGCGGGTCGCGGAGGAGGAGGTCGAGGGGGATGTTTGTGTTGAGGTCATGAGGCGGGAGACGGAGGAGGGGAAGAAGGTGGAGAGGAATGGGGGGAGGAAGTTTGTGGCTGTGTTTAGGAGGTTGGAGGATCCGCCTTGGCCGTGAAGAGAGAGGGAGAGAGAAAGAAAGAGGGTTGTGGTATTGATAGATGATGGTATTCATAGTATTCTTGATGGCTCATATCGTATACGTCTCTTGATTAGCTTACTTTGCAGGAACTCGTCCAACTTCCTCCCTCAAACAAGGAGAGAAGAGACGTAGATCCTTCCCATTAGCCATTGACACTGTATATAGTACAGGTAGCGAGCTCTTCTTTCCTTTCTTTTCATTATGCGTCAAATCCATTCCCTCTCTCTTCGCCTTCAGATCCCATCGACTCACATCCTGTCTCCCATTAGATGCGGTTCGAAAACTGGCAAAAAGCTCTGACGCTCATTTTCATCCGTCATTTTGGTGGTATCCTGCGAAGAAGAAATCCCCAAATTATCATCCCTAGGCGCTAGAAAAAGCAGAAATCCGATGCCGTTGCGATGAAGTCTCATCGTCTGTGCAGCTGATGCGAGAAACGCCACTATTACTCCCGTGATGACGTAGATGCGTATAATATTCGGAATGTGCAAAATTAGATCACGAGCTCGATGTTGCGCTCGCGGGACTGTTGGAAGCAGTCCCTGATTTGTCGCCCTTCTTGGCCTTCTCCTTTTCGAAATGTTCCGGCCCTTGGTTCGCGAAAGTGTAGCTCTTGGGACCGTGGTCGACTGGGGGCTTTCGAGGGGTCGCTGTGCGTTTGATATCCTGTGGAGGGCTGTATTCATGAACAAAGAACTCAGATGCCGGTTGAGGAGGCTTTGGCAGCTGTGTCGTCACGTTCATACCAGGTGATGCTCCCGACGACGTGACAAAACTGAACTGCTGACCCCCTTGAGGAGGCGTTTGCATGTGAGGTTGTTGTTGCTGGCCCTGAGTCTGTGGGGGTGCGTGCTGGATGAATTGCATTTGCTGCATCTGTGGTGGGTAGGCCATGGTGAGGTTGCCCTGCGCATTGACAACAGGGACACCGCCGCTTGCGAATTGCATCGACATTTGTGATGATCCATCAGGCACTGGTATCACAAATTGCTGTGCCGGTCCATACGATGCAGGCACCTGGAAATGCTGCTCTGGAACTGGTGCGTTCATGTAGTGCTGTTGCAGCATATAAGCTTGCATTTGCTGTGGCTGCTGCTGTTGCTGTTGCTGCTGCGGCGCCACGAAGACATTAGCCGGGAAGCTTGTCTGCGCCGCGGGGGCCGACTGGGGAGGTGTATTCTCCGTGATGACATTGTTCCCGACTCGGGCCTGACTGAGCTGCTGCTGAGAATGTTGCTGATGGTGATGATGGTACAGCGGTGTGTGCGGCGGTGACGAGACGGGCTGCGGCGGCACTGACTGTGAGGGCATCGGTACATTGTGCTCAGCATCCGTCTCGCTGATGCTCGCTTGACGGCTAAAGTGGCCAGACGCTGACTGCCAAGGCGGAAACTGGGGCCGGCTCTGCTCCTGCCTGGCTGCCGCTTCTTTGGGCGACATCGGCGTAGGAGGCGCGAGATTTCCCATGGACGAAGAAGATGCATGCCTCAGCATCTTGGGCGAGTTGGTTGCGGCGTCTGCAAAAGTCCAGTTCAACGGTGACCGTTGCGCCGAGCCAGGTACTGATTTCATAACACGGCCTTGTGCCACCCCGTTGATTACATTAGAAGATCGTATACGTCGTAGTTGTTGTCCTGGAGCGGCAAGATTTGACGTCTGTTGTTGTCCGGGAGATGCTGGTTGAACTGCGCCGCTGTATGATTGACTGCGCAGAGCAGCCATACCCAAAGGCTGTGGCTTTGGGCGTTGACGTCGGACAGCAATGCTGGCAGACTGCTCTCCTGGATGGGCAGGGGTCTTGAATGTAGCTGTCTGCTGTGGTTGTGGCGTCTGGATGGCAAAGTTGCTCATTTGTTGAGCAAGCATCGTGCCATTCTGCGAGTCTCTACGAACGAAAGCCTCGTCCGCAGGCCAAGCCAATGGCTGCTCATGCTGCACCATCTGCTGCTGTTGATGCAATTGTTGTTGTCTTTGAGCAGCTTCACGGAACTGCTGCTGAAGATCATTGGGATCCACTGGGACCGATTGTCCAGGTTGCCATTGCGAGGTGGAGGCGTTGGGAGCCTGCTGGGAAGCCGGCACTTGCTGATATTGATGTTCTTGCGATAGCGACACTGATGAGCTGCGACTGTCTCCCCAGTCAGACGCTGGCGCAGAAACAGAATATTGCTCCTGCATCGTGGTTGACGAGGGGAAAATGGACTGTTCGGAAATAGTGGACGGAACGCTGGAATCGTTGCTGGAGAGCGGAGCGCCAATGGGTGCGGGAAAGGCGAAAGTGTCTTGCTGCTTGAACTCGTTTTGCATCTCGGGAAACACCTGACGTAGGACGTCGGCATCGCCAGAGAAGCCATTGTGGAGGGTATCGAATTGCCCTGAGCGCATCATTCCCCCGTTTTGTGCAAAAGCATCGAATTGTTCCTGGGTCAAAGTGCGGCGGTTCATTTCCTGTGGGCTATCAAACATGTCCCCCTGGAGTTGCTGACCCTGACCCATCGCAGCAATGTTGAAGTCCTCGTGTGGAGTTGTATTGTTGGCGTAGGGCAGGCCGTGTACCTGGTCCTGAAACTGCGGCATCGATGACATTGACATGGAGGTGGATGTATTGTCGTCGGCGGCGCATTGCTGCATCATGGAGAAGTAGTCGGCGGACGTGAAAGAGGGCGAGGTATCAGAGTCGGACGGGTAGTTGGCGGACGCAGGCTGTTGCTGCTGGGCGAACAGGTTAAAGGCACCGGCCTGCTTCTTCGCATCTTGCTTGGACTTTGCGCGTCGGTTCTGAAACCAATTCTAGGCACGTCTCAGCTGCGCTCCCAAAGCTTAATCACAAGTTTGCAGATGGAGACTACTCACGTTGACCTTGTCCAGCGACACGCCCAGGGAGTCGGCGAAGCCCTTCTTGGTGTTGGTGTTGGGCTTCTGCTGTTTCTGGTAGTGGGCCTCGAGGATGTCGTGCTGCTCCTTGGTAAGGCGCGGCTTGATGTCGCAGGACATGTGATGCGGCACATGTTGGGGGAAGTGTTCGGGCATGGAGGCGTGGCTGGCGTAGGGGTGGTGGTGCTGGTGGTGGTGGGCATCGACGTACGTCTCGCCGGCGTCGTGAAAGGGCATGTGGCCGGCGGAGGGAGCGACGAAGGCCATGGTCGGCCGGTTGTCGCTGCTGCTGTGTCTCCTCCTGCGCGCGGCCTGGCAGCAGCAGCGGTGGCCTCGCTCAGTCGCAAGTCAGTCTGACAGCAGGGCTGGTGCTGGTCGGCGGCGCGCCAGCCTGGCTTGCTGCTGGCCGGCTTGGTTCCTAGTTTCCCAGTAGCAGCAGCTGGCCTGGCGGAGGGAGATCGTCGAGATGGGACCCCGGTGTCGTGCGGCCCCAGGCGTTTCCCGGCGGGAGATCCAAAGCGAGCGACTTTTGGGAGCGCGGAGACAGGGCGATGCCTAAGAATAATGCAGGACGAACAACAGCACCAAGCGAGGGAGGGCGAAAGCGAGTGTGGAGGGCGCGATTATTGCACGGTACAGCGCGGTGGAGGAAGAGAGGAGAAGGACGACGGTTACGGCAGGAGCGTTGCAGTGGCAGGCGCACGCTCGGCGGAGGAAGTCGCAGCCCAGCAGCAGTCAGTAAGTCGCATCCTCCGCAGTCCAAGTCCACTCACAGGCAGCCGGCAGGCAGGGCAGGCGACAAGCAGCAGCACAGCACTCAACTCTCACCGGTGGCGCGGGAGCGAGATGACGGCGGGACTGCTGCGAGGCAAGACGACCGCATCCCTGCCGCCGTGCTGTGTACTACGCCTGCAGGGATAATTTCTGGTCATGTTGCTGCCGTTGCTGATTGGCCGCGTCTCTTTATTTTTAGCCACCAGCAGCAGGAGCGAGGTGGAGAGCCTGCCCAGTCTCTCCTCCTCGACCGCCGCCGACGCCCAGAGCGCTTCTATTGCTGCACACTGCTTTGTCTCGCGGCGAGTGGACAGCGCGTCGCATGTTCTTCGCAGCGCAGCGTCACGAATCGCAATCGCCCTGTCGCTGGCGCTACGATCGAACGTCGTTGCCGCCGTTGAAAAGGAGCATCTGGCCAGGACCGCCTGAAGCCCTGTGCAAGCTTCGGCTAGCGCCGTTCCCGGCTTGACGGACCCGAACGACCATCATCCACCTTCTTTGTCAAGACGAAATACTAATCAACATCTACACTCTTCAATCAGCGACAATATACTGCCATTGAGATCGATGTCGATCTTACGATACGTCTCCAGGCTTCAATCGTCGGCCTTCGCAATGATCATTTCGTCCAGCGCTGCGATATTTTGAGCGCTGTCTCGAAAAGCGACCAGGCCGTCATCCTCTTCGGCCCGTGTCAACAACGTATGTACCCCCGACTCGCCTGCTCTTCAAATCCTGGCGACTCGCCCGCCGACTCCAGCCGGGCCTGTGTGGCTTGCGCACCATGCAGTCCTGCACTGGGATGCACGCAGAAAGGGGGTCCAGACATTTTTCTTGCCAGAATGCGAGCGCACCGCCATCGAACAATCTCCGCGCACAAAAATGTAATAGAGCGTCGCAGCATCATCGTCATTCACTCTACAGCCGCCTGTACCAAAGATTGCTACCTCGCCCGAGATTGTGTGGGGCACGACTCGTAGATCTCCTGCAACCAGCCGTACTCTTTCATTTCTTGGTACCAGAAGCTCCTCCACCACCGACGTCTCCATTTCCCGCTCTCCGAACACCAAGCCTTCGCAGACATCTCCGCGTTACTTTGTACGTCGGGCTACATATGCATTATGTCAATGCCACACTCCAATCAACGACTCCGCGAGACAAGGCGTCGGATGACCAAGACCAGCGGACGCTCCGCGAGACTTTGTGTTCCCTCAGGTCGTCGGCGTTTGGCCGTTCCTTGCATCTTCCACGTCCGCTCGGGCGTGTGTAGTGTTACACGTCCATCTCGTACCACGGCAAAGATAGAAAAGCACCTGGCCTTGGCAGGACACATGGCGAAAACATGTCATCACACCCGTCACACGAGAATTAAAACATTGCAACTGCCCCTGTCATCATCTGATCAAGTGCTGGTGGCAGAGGAGGTCGTGGCTGCGATTTCCCACGCCATGTTCTCGCGTCCTGCAACCGCCGAGTGTTTTGACGGCTTGATTCATCAGACCGCCAGACGCAATCCTCTGACTCGAGAACAAATCCCGCGTGTTGTCCCAGCCCGTCGGCAATATCAGGGTATATAGCAGGGATCATGTGTCTTTGCCCCAGCCGTGGTTGTCTCCCCATCTCATGTTTTGAAAAGCCATGTGTTGAAACAATCTCCCCTATCTCTATTGATAGATGGAACGTGTCACAGGAATGACGCCAGCTGGTGGTACAGTCCTCGTTCTCTTCGTCGGAGAACTTGACGGAGACGTATCGAAATTTGATTAATGCTGGACGGAAAGTGTACGCTTTTGAGCAATGCAGGAAAATGTTGAGAGTGAAAAGCGTTGCCAAAGATTGATGAGGTGCCATTTGGATATGCGCCTTCGGCGACAAGTCGGACCGAAGTCGCAGGTTTGCCTCGGCGATGTCGTAACCTCAATCTGAAGTGTTCCCTTGGCACAAGATACATGTTCCTGCTACTTTATCACCCTTATATACCATAGCAGACATGAACAAAATGGCAGCACAAGTTTCTACCGACCCGACGAATGCAGGTACTTGACCGCGAGCGGAGCTCATGCAGCAGAAGCTTACGGAGGTACGAGCTCGTGCTCGAGTGCTGCTGCTCCCATTGGCCGCGTTACGGACGGCACCGGTAGTCTCATAGACGAGCTGTGAGTGAGAGCAGAGAGCAGCCTGTTGTATACCAATCTCATGGAGCAGCTTGGCCACATGTGCTGAAGCTGCTGAGCAGCATGTGGTAAGGCTGGTTTCTCTCTTTCTCCAGATCCTCAGAAACCTGCGTCATCACTCCCCACGCCATCAGGACACCGCGTATAGCTTCACATCGTTTGCTGACGTCCGGGACTGCTGATAGCCTCTAGAATGCCTGGCCAGGCGTACGTATCAGATTGAGTGTCTTCACTTTGACATGCAAGTACTGACTGTCGCGGCCAAGCGATATCCGAGGGTCCGAGACTGAAGAACAACGGCAATATGAGCAGAAAGTCCACCAGCAGCAGGATCTGAGCGACTCGACGGAGGATCTGGATAAGGATCTGGACAAGATGAAGGTTTCCAAGGTAGATGGCGAGGAGGGAAAGAAGCCCAACTTCTTCAAGGCCAAGACGAGTGCTTTCTACCACAAGGTCATCAAACCCGCCTTTCCGGAAGCTATCCAGGATCTCAAGATCATGGGTGGAATGACCGCCTTGGAGTCTCGTGTCAAGCATGAAATCAACGACCCGAAGATATTTCCAGAAATTGAAAAGGTCGCAGAGGTTCGCCGTGGACTTGACCTTTGTCCGGAAGAGCAGAACTTCATTGCTAAGCGCCAAGTCAATGCTCGGGATCACTTTGCCAAGTATATGGGTCTCAATCCGGCAGATGTCAACCCAGAAGATGTGCCTGTGGTTGCTTTCGGTGGCAGTGGAGGTGGCTTTCGTGCCATGATCGGATGCTTGGGTTATTGCCAGGAGATGAAAGATGCCGGGCTGTGGGATTGCCTCACTTACGTCTCTGGTGTTTCTGGCTCATGTTGGTCTCTCGCGGCGTATTATACCATCGGGAAGGGCAGCATGCAGTCGGTGATTGATCACTGCAAGAAGCGATTCTCACCTTACCACCCTCTATCTGGCGATGCTATTCGAACGATACTCAGCGCACCGGGCGGTGCTAGAGTCACACTTGGACCACTGATCCAGAAAAGCAAAAGCGGTCTTCAAACCGTGGCCATGGACTTATACTCCGTCTTCACAACTGGCTGGATCTTCTTCCAAGACGACCCAGCCAGCCATCCAGGCGGAAGTGCGCACAAAGAAGTAGCCGGCTATCAAAAATCCTGGTACAAGTACTCCAGCGCGAGAGAGTATACCGATGACGGTAGCGAACCTCTTCCCATCATGACCGCCATCCGCCACGAGAGACCTTGGAAAGACTGGGAAGACAAAGAGCATCCGTTCAAGGACGCAGATCATGCTACGGGTGACCACGCAGACGCCTCAGACGCCTGGTTCCAATGGTTCGAGTTCACGCCATACGAGATCGGCTGCGATGAGATCGAGGCTTGGGTCCCAACATGGGGATTCGGACGTCCATTCAGTGAGGGCAAATCAACAATGCAACTCCCTGAGCAGTCTCTGGCCCTCCTCCTGGGTCTCGCCACAAGTGCACCAGCAGGGCCTCTTACATCTTACATTTCCACCATCAGCCGCAATCTCCCTACCGGATTCCTTGGCAACTCCATCCACAAGATGGCGCATGCCGTGACCAAATTCTGGGGCAAAGAAGGCACCGAAGAGTTTACAAACCACCACCCCCTACACGCGTGCAAGTATGCTTACCCCCAACACCCTCAACCCCAGCAAACCCTCACTAACCACCCCCAGCGAACACAACTTCATGTTCCACTACACCCCCGCCGACCAAGGCAAAGGCCGGCCTCCCGGCCTCGAAAACTCGCCCCGAATCCACCTCATCGACAGCGGCATGGACAACAACTGCCCGACCTACGTCCTGCTGCACCCGAAACGCCACGCCGACGTCATCATCAACATGGACGCCTCCTCGGACGTGCAAAAGGACACCTTCCAAGAACGCGTCGACCAGATCGGCTCCCGCCGCGGCCTCAAATTCACCAAACGCCACGCCGACATCAAAGCCGGCGACGACCCCAAGGACCCCGACCGCTTCAACGGCCTCTACGCCCAGATCTACGACGGCGTCCCCTGCGAACGCCCGCAGACCGTCGTGGATTCCTACGGCCGCACGGTGCGGAACCCGCCCGCGCCCATCACCGACCGCGAGTGCACGATGATCTACATGCCGCTGTTGCCCAACGAGCGCGCGGTGGCGGATTTCGACCCTTCGACGGCCAAGTTCAGCGGGAGCTATAATCTTGTGTGGACGCCGGAGCAGGTGGAGACGCTGGTGAAGGTTTGTGATGCGAATTTTCGCGAGGGCGAGGGGACGATTAAGGAGGCGTTGCATGAGGCTTGGGAGAGGAAGAAGAGGGAGAGGGAGGCGAGGGAACAGAAGGCGGAGGGGAATGGGGTCTTGAATGCGAATGCTGATGCCGGTGGTGTGGTTGGTGCTGTACCGGCCACGACTGCTAACGTGAATGTGAATGTGAACGCGACTCCTGATGCTGTGGTTGATGCATCGCAGATTGTTGATACCCCTAAGTAATGGATGTACATAGAGATGAGACGTTGGAAAGCGTGAAGGATTCGTTTCGATTTCGTTATCATGTCTCTTTTCTCGTCTAACGATTTATACCACGAATACTCTATTGTACTCTCTAATCATCTCTCATCTATATCATATGCCGCTAAACCACTCATCTCCCCTCCCAAACACACACAACCACCCCTCACTCCCCTCCATCAATCTCGTCACACCACCAACCCCTCCCGAATCTCCACCTCCACAACCCCCCTCTTCCCATCCCACCCCTTAAACACCACACTCCTCATATCCCTCACAATCCAATCCGCGCCAGCCTCCCTCAGCGCCTCCACCGCATGCGTCGTAGCTAACCCCACGACCCGAAATCCCGCCGCCTTCCCCGCCCTCACCCCGGCCGGAGCATCCTCAAAAACCACCACCTTGCTCCCCTCCCCCTCGAAATTCAGCCTCTTCGCCCCCATCCGATAACACTCCGGATCCGGCTTCCCATGCACGACTTCCTCGGCCGTGACCATATTCTTCGGCTGCGCGAGCTTCATCACATCCAGCCAGCCTTGCACCAAAGGCCGGGTCCCCGACGTGACGATCGCCCACGGCGCGCCGACGGCGTCGAGTTGCGAGAGGATCGTGCGGGAGCCGGGGATCTCGACGATGGAGGAGCCGTAGAGCTTCGGGATGTTGCCTTCAGCGAGGCAGACGTAGTCCCAGTTGGCGCGGTCGGGGGCGAGGAGCGCGAGGACGTCGATGGAGCGCCGGCCGTGGGAGGTGAGGAGAATTTCTGGGGAAATTGTTAGGAGAGTGAAGGTTGTTGTTGGGGGGTGGATGGTACGTTACCTTCTCCGGGCACACCGATTTCCTTGCCGATCTGATGCCAGTGTTTCACGATAGCTTCCGTGGAGTCAATGATCGTTCCGTCCTAGGAATGCACATATCGTTAGCGAATAGTACTCCTCATCTCGCGATCATCAAAAGTCTGGGAGTCTAGTAGAAATCCATCTTCATAAGCCACGAGAAAGATCATATTCATTCAACCTCAAAAAACACCTCTCCTCAAGAATCTCCCGTCAAGTTTCTCAGACACTTTTTTCTCCCATGACCTTCGCAGACGTTCCCAACAGAAATGTCGATGTGAAACTCACCATATCAAACAACAACGCCTCAAACTCCTGCACCTCCGCCGGCGCACTGAAGTTGTTCTCCTCATGGTGTGGCATCCTCAAAAAGTCTTCCGGCGATCGATTCTTTTCCGTAGGGATTCGTTCGTCGTTCGTGATCGTCCGGTGTTGGCCGCCTAAAACGGTCTTGTTCTTTTCTTCTTGATGAGTCTGACAGCGCGGGGAGGAAGTGCCAGTCAACCAGTTTGCTTCTAATATTTCCAGATTCCGAACAGTCGGTCAAGAAAAACAAAACTTCTCTCCGTTGTACGAAAAAAGGTGTTCTGTCGCCCCTTCTTTTTAATCCCGGTGGAAAGTGAGAAAACCCTATATCGGCACGCCTTCCCGTTCCGGCAGCGGCGCCCTCCTCTTTCGTGCAGGCCGACCAGCACGTGCTTGCTGCTGATTCACTCACATTTCACGTTCACATGTCAAGGTATTGGAGGAAAAGAATAGAGAGATACATTGCGCAGCGATCCATTTCTCCCCTTTTTGTTTTCCACGTCCTATCTACACTCCTTCCTCTCCTTTTGCTTCGTGGCCGCGTAATCGCAACCCGTCTCATCCTCACCTCCAAAACGATCGTGTTGCAGAAAAAGGGTTTTGCGGAAAAAGGGTTTTGCGGAAAAAGGGTTTTGCGTGACAGGCGAAGAAGTCGCGTGTCCATGGTATGAGTAGTGTTTTTTTCTTGAATAACCCCCCAGTGCGAAAACGCTCGCTATGCATTCGCGCTGGCCGCTTGCAAGCCAAAACCTCGGGAAAAGGAAAGAAACATGAACAATCAAAAGCAACAGCAGCCATTCCTATTTTCACAAGTCCCTTCGTGCATGTAATTCCGCCTGAAAGAGCGATGACCACCGAAGACAAGCAATCCCGTTCCCGTCGTCGTCGATCATGCAAGTGGTGTCAGAATGGCCAGCTGCCGCCGTAACATCGCGTTGAATGTTTGTAATGACGATTCCGCCGTGTCCTTTCCACATCGCAACATCGATCGTAGACCCCACGAAGACCGCCCTTTTCATCTGCATCGCATCGCATCCATCCACGTAGTAACAGTCGAAGTAGAGAAGAAGAATGTCATCGATTGACTCTGTCCCAACGCCATCCCAGAAGCCATCCGCGCGCCCAGATCTATGCATTGGTAGTCGTCAATCAACAAGTCGAAAAAAGTATAAGTCATGCTTTTGTTGGGAGTTTTTGAAGTATGCACCCGGCCGAATGAGTCGAAAGAAACGCCGGGAACGCCAGGCAGCTGGCAACTGAGGAGCCACGGGCAAAACATCCACAGCTTCCGCAGCCAGCAACTGATAAGAGTATGGTATCTGTTTCGGTGCGTCGGAGAAACACGTTGCCAAGATTGGTTGGCATACTGTTCGTAGTATTCGCATCGCTTCCAGCCAGTACATGGCGAGCTCGCGTGCGCATTAAGAGTGAGGGTGTCTCATAGGTGCGTAGACCACAGTGGGTGGTCATAGCGATGATGTTGATGCTTCCAGAACAATGGACTTCGGAGGCCAAGATTCGTGTGGACGGTATCACGACTCGAGCTGGTCTCTCAGTGACTCGTCCAAAATCTCGGTCAGCTTCTTGCGGTTCTTAAGATTGAGAGCCCCGTTGCGCCAAGCCGAACGAAGCTGCTTGAACGCCAGATCCTTGGTGATTTGTGGCTCGTTCTTGACTAGCTGGACGTAATCGTTGACAACGTGGTCACGGATGGTGTTGCTGCTTCCAAGAGCCTTGGCGTAGAACTGAACCAAGTTCTGTAGACCGACCTTGTTGTGACGCTCCTCGGCGTCACCATGCGCCAGCATCTTGAATTCGGCGTACATTCTTCGGTTGAAGTTGCGGATCAAGAAGTGCGACCAGAACTGGTAGAGGACATCGAGGTCGTATGGGCATGTGCCAGTGGCAGCTTGCTTGCGCTGATCGAGCGCCTTTTGGTGGAGCTGGATGTAGGGCTCGAGGGTGGCGTCCTGAGGGAGGTTGTCCTGAGGGACTTCCTTATCCTTCACCCAGAGCAGCATGAGTTCGGCGGCACCGTTCGTCTTTTCGGGAGATCGTCCAATGCCTGGGCTTGAGAGGCGCGTGATGTTTGGCGAATGCTTCTCGCCATTAACGACAGGCTCTCCATTGGTAGCAGGGACGCCCTCGACCGTCTTGTCAAGATCATTGAAGACGCTGCGAGTGTCGATCGAGCCATTCGAGAACGTCCTCGCCGCGGCGTGATGATGGGCACGCTGTGGGTTCATCTTCACGACGACGGTCAGAGTGCCTGCGTGCTCGTCAGGGAACACGTCGGGTTCGGTGTCCTGCCCATCAGCTGCATTGAGGATCGCCTGGTGCATGGGCGAAGCACTGTTCTCGCGGATGGGAGACTTGGCAGCACGTCCCCGAATCTCGTCTCCATTAGGCACGTCGCCGAAGGGATTCTCACTCAGTGGCGAGAATGGAGCAAAGGAAGGGACAGTGCCGCTCATGCCAAACCCAGCATCGTATGACCTCCGTTGCGGTCCTTGAGTGGCGGGATATGGAGGTGGACGACCGCCCATTGGAGGTGACCAGATGTGAATTTGCGGGTGCTCAGGACGCTTGGCATTCTGAGGACCATCGTTCTGAGCGCTGGCGTCACGCTGATCCACAGGCAGCAGGAATTGCTCCCACTGATTGTGACGTCGCAGGCGCTCCTTACCGTCGTCGCCTACGCGAATTTCGATGATGTCAGATCGAAGGCAGACAGCTTTGAGCATCTCCTTGTCAACGGTGAGCTGCTTGATGCGGTTGAAGTTGGCGATGATGTCGAGGAATACGTAGCCCTGCGAGTCCATGTTTCGTCGAAGGTACATGTCCTTGATCAGGTTGTCAATGGAGAAGTAGTACTCGAGCTGAGTGCTGATCATGTCCATGAGGTATTGCTGGTCCATCATCGGGTTGTAAGGCATGGCAGACATTGGCACGCCAGCTTGATAGTCGTACATGTTGGGGTAGTAGGTCTGCATGGGAGGCGGTGGCTGAGGCCAGTATGGTCGCGCTCCTGCGTACGGACTGTCGACAGGTATCGACTGTGAGCGAGGATTTGGGTTGCGTGGCCAACCTCCACGTCCTCCATAGTTGAACTGCCCTCGAGTTGGCTGGTACGAAGCAGGTGAAGTAGGTGAGGCAAATGGGTTGCCACCAGCGAATTCGATGGCGTGGCCGTTGGGGAACATCTGGTTGGCCTGATGTCCGTTGATGGACTCGCGAGAACCACCACGGCCTCGGCCATTACGCTTTCCACCACGTGGGGCACCATTCCACTCCTTGCCGTTATGGCTTTCGAAAGATCGCGACTCCTTCTTGCCCTCTCCTGGAGTCGCCTTCGTCGCCGAGCCTTCACGAGAGGATCCGTCTTCACGGCTGCTCTCACGCTGCGAGTCGCTGGGACTCCGGCGGGGAATAGGCTCTGGAATCTTCACGTCCTGGGTGTCATCCATCTTGGAAGGTGACTTGGCTCGACGTGCATCGGAGAAGGGAACGGACGGAGCAGTGGTTTCGCTGCCCGAGAAGCCGTCCGTGGCACCCTTTGCGAATCGCTGGCGCCCAGAAAAGCTCTGCTCACGAGCCTTGCGTCCATCACGCGACTCACTTGCGCTGGATGGTCGGACAGGCTTGGGTGGAGGAGGCATGGCCTCACGATCGACTGTGTTGGAACGACCACGCTGGCCTGCACCAGCACCGGCTTCAGCATCCTCAGGTGAGCCATTGCCTCTCGCTGCTGCGCGGTCTGCAGCCTTTCCGCCGTTGGGAGCTCCTCGGAATCCACCGCGACCCCTACCAGCGCCACCTCGGCCACCTCTCTCACCTTGTCCGCGGGGCCGATTCATCTCTTCGGTCTCCCACACGATCGTTGGCGTGACAGGAATTGGCTTCCACGTCGTCTTCGGTCGAGACTTGGCACCAGCGTTCTGCTCAGCATCGCCGCTCTCATCCGCTTCCTTGCCGGCATCTTTCTCAGCAGTAGCAGCTTCCTTGCGCTGAGTCTCTTGTGCTGTCTCTGGCGTTGGCCACGAAACCTCATCTTTGACCGGTGGCGGTGCTGTATTCAAGTTCGGCAAGCTCTGGTGCTCACGTTGTGCCGGTCTGCCGGAAGGTGTGATCGAATCCGTGCGAGCGTCTTCTGTGACTGGCTTAGAGCCTTGACGTGACTTGGGACGTACTTGGTTGGCACGCTTACCTTGAACGCCACCTGCCTTCTTCACATCACCAGTGGCTGGAGTCTCTGCCTCACGAGCAACGCTCGTCACCGAGTTCGCCTTCTTCCGTGAATCTGCTCTCGGCCGCTGGTTCTCCTTGAGACCACTCTGAGTATGTGGAGCTGGCGGAGCTGGTCGTGACAGTGACTGTATGGAGATGGGGGCTGCTGGCTTGGACTTGGCGTTTTCCATGCGCTTTGCCCAGGGGTTCACCGCAGGTGGTGGTGCATCGTGGAGCACAACCGGCTTGGGTGGGGGCTGAGGTATCGGTGCTTCCGTGGCCTCTTTAGCCTCCTTGGCCTCTTTTGACTCTTTTCCCTCCTTCTTTCCACGCTTGCCTCGGCCCTCATCTGCTGGGCCACTCTGCCGCTCCTTACGCTCAGCTATCCAAGCTGGCTCGGAGTTCTGCGACTTGGTGTCCCAAGTCGTCTCTGATGACGAACCGCCACTGGGCGCTGAGGAAGCATCGTCCGTATTAGTCGTGCTCGATGATGCTGTGAGGTCTGGTGATGATACGCCGGACGAACCGTTTTGAGCTCGGCTCTCAGACTTGGTGCGCTCAACAGCACTGTCCTTGGCCTGTGAAGGCTCGGCCTGCTTCTGTGCGGTCTTTCTGGACTCCGTGGTCTTGTCTCCCTCGGTAGCTTCTACATCGTCGGCCCAATTGCTGTTTGGCCCGAGTTCAGAGAAGGTGCCGGTAGCTGGAGTAGCGGTGCCTGAAGTCACCTTGCTGGATGGTGTTTGCGAATTCGTCGCTGGTGCGTGGGCCTTGGCAGCGGCCTGTGCATATGAGAAGCCACTGGGGCTTGAGTTGACAGCAGCCATTGCGCTCTGTCGGTACCGCGTGGAGCAGTAGGAGAAGCGCTCTGAGACTGTCACGCCTCCCGTGTTCGGGTTTGCCCCAGCGGGCGATTCGTATGGAGTGTCCAGCAGACGCTGCGACCCCTGCCCTTCTGCGATGCTGGTGCAGACGTCTGCCGCTGCTGCTGCCGCGCACAACGTGGCGCGCGGGATGGGCGTGTAGAAATGACCTTTTGCCGAAACCGCTCTCGTCGGGTGAGGATGTCCGTGAAAGGATATCGACGGGGTGGGAGAGGTGGTCGGCGGTGATGTGACGCGCGCACGAGGATCGCGTTGTGGAAGTGCGGCCGTTAGAAGCAGACGGAGTTCAGCAAGCGAAGATGGCGGATCTGGACACCACGATGTATTAGCAAATAGATGCGGCGATGGCGACAAACGTCGCAGGTGGTGTGTGAAGGGCGAGAGAGTGCACGTACTCGGTAATTAATGGTCGGCGCGTGATTTGCTGGCACGGTGCAAATAGACGGTGCGGGTAGCCCTCGAGCTTGGAGGTAGTCGGCTGAGGGTGGATCTCACGGCGACGACGGGCAAGCGGTTGGCGAGCTCTGGCGGTGGGGAATGCGGTCGGCGGTGGTCACAGCGGAGGTGCTGGAGCGAGGGCGAAGGGGTGGATGGGTTGCAGCGGAGGTGGTGAAGCGTGTGCGGTGACCTAAGGTTTTTTCCAGGCAGGTCTGTGCTCGCGGCCGGCACAGAACCAAATCAACGGTCGGCGGCGGTGGTTGCACAAGGCGTTCGTCTGGCAGGCACGACACACGCTGCGTGGTGGGGGCGGAAGGAAGGGTGGGATCTCGCACGCAAGACGGCAGGAGGTGTAGAGAGGGAAGGAGCAGAGGAAGTGCAAATTGACGAGTGAGGTGTGGTGTGTGTGTGTGCCAGCAGTGGAGTCCGGCAGAGAAAATGAGCACGGAGGCAGAGAGAGGGACTACCCGAACCGCACCTCGCCGTCATATCCTCTGCGCTCCTTCCATGTCTCCTCCAGCAAGCAGGAGCTCCATCGCTCATACCCTGTCTTGCCGTCGTTCCTGCCGAGTTGAGACTTGTTCATCAACGTGTCCTGGTCGTCTTCACACAGCAACGCCCTTCCAACTATTGCCTTCCTCCACTGCGGTCATCGGTACCACCCGCCAACGTGAATACAAGTTTCATTATTAGCAACAAGTTTGCTTGTACTCTCAGCACAGCACACTCGCTTTCCGCGGCTGCGCTGTCAGAAGGCTGATGACTCCACTGCTGCTGCTGGCTGCGTTCCTGTCACGGGCATGCCTGCACGCAAACCCGATCGCTTCCTCGCCCGCAGCTCCTCTGCTTCTCTCCTCACCTCACCTCACCTCACCTCACCAAGCCTATATTGCTCACCTCCGCATTCGCACACATACCCCTCAGGCTCAAGCCGTGGTTAAGCGACTGAGCTATTACTACCTGGCCTTTTCTCATCATTGTCTAGAGCCCCATCGAAATCGCGCGTCTTGAGACAAACTTTTCCATCTTACTGCTTCCGTTCACAGCTGGCCCACCACTCATCAAGGTTGGCCGGTCTATTACCTGCAAGGATCGTCGGAAATGGTAATGCTTCACGTGGGTCTGCTGCAATGATCCTTCACGACTGATTCCGCGCACGATCACTCCGTATCTCACATGCCACTTACCTACTTCCCGACAACCCTACAATTGGAAGGTGCAGCAAAATTGTCGAAAGTCCATATCGCCAGGGTGGATCCTTTCTGGATTCTTTTTGAGCTCATCTGCTTTCCATCACCTACTAACAACAGGCCCCAGCCTCCCACCCAGCAAATCCTGCAAAACGGCCACAACCTCACTCCCCAACTTCCCAACCGTCCCCAAATCCACACTCGTCAAAGCAACATGTTCCGTCACACACCCCTTCCCCTTCACTGCCATGCCCTCCAACCGATCCGCAACCCACTCAAAAGCACTCCCACTACCCGTAATAGCCTCCGTCGCATGATTCCCAATGACATCCTTATGATACTCAATATTCACCCCGACGTCGTGTTGAGTGCAGTACCAAGAGACAAACTCGTCGGTCTTTTTCGAGGGGCTGATTTCGTCGGCGATGGCTTTGAAGATGAACATTCGCATTGTCGGGATGCCGTGCTGGCCCACGATCCCGCTCGCGTTGAGGACGGACTGTGGCGCTCAGTTGTAGATGGACTGTCTGCCGCGTGTGAAGTAGCCGTATAGATTTTGCGAAGCGCCTGTCGACATCGTTTGCGTCAGACAGCCGGCTGCGATGGATCGGAACTCGGTGTAAGTCACACATTTCACTTGGAGTCCCCCGGCGATGGATCAGAAGGTGGCGGCTTTTGCTTGTGACGAAAGGTTGAGGTCCCATCCTCGTGGAGATGTCCCGTTCCCACTCTCTTTCCCTCTTCATCCAGGAACTTGATGGAGATGACCTTCTTTGGGTCATTTGGATCTTTGTGAGACTGATGCAGCTCAGTGCCCTGGATCGATGCTTGCTTGATACGTGGATCCTGTATTCATTGAGCATATTGTTTTTTTTTCGCTGGATGGAAGCCACACTGACGCGAGTCTCCTGGTCATTGCAATACTTATGGACTTGCTTCAGGAGGGACGGATCTTTGAAGTCGCCCAATTTGACCTTGCCAACGTAGGAGATGAATCGGCGAATGACGTTGGCCATTGAGGACGGTACTTCGTTTGGCGACACGATTTTATTTCTTCCTTTGCTGGATCTTATCGTGAGGAGCTGGGAGACTGCGTCCTCTTCTACGGTCTCCCATGGCGACCAGCATATTGGGATGCCGTTTCCCGCATCCCTCGTGGTCGTTTTCAGAGGCTGAGGAAGCGACTATGCCAGTATGGAAGCGGGGACTCAGACTGTTTGGCAGCCTCGAGCGTGTCCGCCAGATGTGAACGCTTTAGCAGTATCGACACAGCATTGGCTGAGTTAGAGCACTTCCACCCACTCCGACGCAAGAGATCTGCCAGAATACCCCCACCTGGCATATCTCGCCTTGGCATCAAGTCCAGCCGTGGAGACATCGTTGAAAAGTGCGCGGACGAAATCGAGGGTAGCGTAGCCAGATTGGACGCCTGCGACGTACAGCGCGTGGAGGCCTTCGTAATCCGAAGTGACAACGTGCCAGCCTTGGTCAAGTGCGGCCGTAATTTGGAACAGTCAATGTTGCCGGGTAAGAGAGCATCGCCGATATAGTCGGGCTTGCGATCACAACATCGACAAAGGCCGTGCAATTGGCGCTCGCTTGGAGGGAGTATGAAAGGCTGCAATCGTTGTTCGAGGAATCCTGTATGATAAGGCAGTCTGAATTTATGGTCGCAGATTATGTCGCAAAGTCGGGATGGTAGTGGCTTACATAGGCAGTCCGGTACGAAAGCATCTTTGAGGAGTCCGCCTTATAAGGCACCAGTAACGTTGTCACTGCTGCGACGGCGTTTCCCAAGCTATCGGTCGTCCTATGCAGGTACTTATACGCCGAGTCCACAGTGATGTTGGGCTAATTGGGGGACAGGTTGTCGATATTCGTGGAAATACTTCTAGCCTCGATGATGGCTCTGAAACGTTAGCCGGTTGACCGTAGAATGGGTCCTGGCTCGGCAGCAGCACCGCTTCTGCCCACGCGGCGAGGGTGAAAAACTTGGCAAAGTTCCCCAGCATCATCTTTGCAAGAGATCGACTTTCTTTCACTCGGCAGCACGGTGCCACGTTGCACGAGGGGACTTCGCCCTTTCATATGTCCGCTCGTTGCCAATATACCTGCCCATTCACTTGAGCTCTGCATCGTATCCGGTCACCGGTGGCGTATCCTGAGTTACTCGGACGGCGACGGCTGGGCCGATGATCTTCGCATTCTCCAGAAGACACTGCGCTGATGGTCATGAAAGGGCCTTGGTGACATTCCGAATGCGGATGTGCCAATCGGTAGCACAAATTGTTGTGGATAAGCTTCAGAGTACTCCACGCTAAAGGCGGACGTATTCAAGATGTCCTGACTGGGACTGGTCTGCGGTCGATGTCTCCATTGCATGTCACTACCTCTGCAGCTGGCTTTGCTGTTTGAGCGGCTGCCGCGATCATCAGCAGACACAAGCGTTGACCAAACGCGGGATGTGCAATTCACAAGACGCATACCGTTCCTGGTGTGAGAACAGATTCAATGCCCTCGGTTGGCAGCTCGTAGTTCCACATGTGGTCGGTATAGTTGGTTCCTTCGTTTGCGATCATGCTACGCCACAGCTTGCTTCGCTCGTCTGCATTCCAAAGTCCCTCTTGTCGAGGGCATCTTTCTAGTAGGTCGACTGCTTCGTTCCGTAGGTTCACATCAGGACATCTCCATGCCACAAGCTCGAGTGCAGATATGGCCCCGAGGCCGACAGAGAATGTCAGAGTCGATATATCTGATTCGCTCTCCTCAATCCGCGAGAGTGCCGAATCGACGAGGTCAATAACTGCTCTGAATGTTTCGATTTCGGCATGGAAGGCTTCGACGTCGCAGGCCCAGACGTAGTTTAGGTGTGCCTTGGCTAAGAGACACCGAGCTTCAGTGAGGTCCCAAAGAGCACGTGCTTGTACGTCCTCGCCTGTACACGTTTGGCGTCTTTGATGGAAAATTTCCTCCAGGCGAGCTTGTTTCGCCCTCACCCGGGCGACTTCCTCGCAAAAGACCAAGCCCAAGTGCCCCTCATTTAAGGACACATGATACATAATCGCCAGAGTCTCGAGGATGAGACGGTAAACGTCATTAGATACCTTGCGAAGGTCGTCAGTCGTAGAGTCGCCGGGCGTATCGTCATCGAGGCTCGCCGTGCGCCACATCACGTGCTGTGTCTGTCGAGCAGGCGGCAGAAATGGGTTGAGAAGCATGGTACTGACTCCATATTGGCGCAAGCATCTTCCAATCTCCTTCATATTCCCAGATTTCAGAGACTCTTTGGAACTCTCAAACACGATTCGAATGCCGTGGTGAAGATGAACAATCATTTCTGACTTAGAACCTCGTAGAGACTCTAGTATCACCAAGAGCAGACATTCGAAGGCCAGAGTAGTGCGTTCTTCGCCGGAGTAAGCGTCTATCGATTTGCGTACTAGGGAGATGGCGTCCACATAGGCTCTGTCTACACCCTCCATTTGGGTGGTGTTCGGGCTCTCGGCAAGCCGCTGCTGATGCGCTAAGGCTTTGGCGACACTGCGAAAGGAGCTCGTTGACAACAGAAGTCGTGGAGCTGAAACATCCCAGAGAGACGATGGTTGGAATTTGCGAAGCACTGGCAGGGTGCGATGCTGAAAGAAACCCAGATCGCCTAGGGGCGGAGCATCATCTGGCTCAGGAATGTTGTACACCATTTTGAAAGCTCGAAAGCCCGACGAGCGTCGCACTCGCCTTGGGAGCACTTCCACCCTCTCACATTCAACGCCTGTACGCTGGCACCGTCGACAAGTTGGCCACGTCTCATCGCATTTGAGATGGCGTTGTCTGATGATCATTAGCATCGATGCTGTACCGCTTTTCCAATGTGGGTTGGATTATTGAAGCGTACTTGCAAGTGACACAGCCTCGCCTTGATTTTGTGTGTGATGCTCGTGTCCGCGTTGGTCTTGTCGTAAGAGCAGTCGGGCTTGTCATCTCGCACAGAATCGTCTTTCGATCACAAGGGTGGATTCGCGGGTTTTGCAGCTGGATTCTGGCCCTCTATGCTGTGATATCAGCACTATTTGTGTTGCTTTGGTCTCGAATCGGCTGGAGTGTAGAGGAGAGCCAGCAGGACTGCATCCGTTTCGAAGAGGAGAAGAGGAGTTCCACCGAACGGCGCAAACTCTAAATAAGGCACACGTGCTGTCGTTGTTCTGCTCCAGGGCTGAAATTGGAACTTGCATTCGCACGTCAGCTGGCGCTTCCATTAGAAGGCCGCTGCGATCGTGAACCTGGTCGCTCCAGATCTCCGAGGGGCACGATGTCCGCACGCATTGCAGTACACTCTGAGCGGACCGACGAGGGTAAAGAGATCCTCAAGCTCAATATCATACCTATCAGTACCCACCTTATTTCGCTCAGATTGGAAAATATTTTCCCATTGCTCGCGAGCTATCTAAGCAATCGAAAGTACGATTTAGAGCTTAGTCGTCCAAGAACTCGGAGATATAATATCGGTGCCATTCTGTGCCATGTCGTTCCACTTTGGGCGGAACGCCGAAAGTAGATGTCACAACTCGATCCTATGCGTTGTGGTACGACGAGCAGCGTGTCGGAACGCCATTCCCTGCATCCTGGACCCAGCGTTCTGTTCGGCGGGCAGGAAAGCGGTGACTGAAGAGCACCTGGCAGCCTTGAGCATTTCGCCAAGGCGTGCATGATAGTGTGGAGACAGCATGCGGTGTGGTTCAAAAGAGTAGCCATGGATCGTCAAGCAATTGCGCGGCGGTCTTGCGCTCCTCCGGCAGCCATTTAAGCATTGACCGAACGAAACCAAGAAACTTCTCTTTCTCGGAGCCTGACAGTCGAATCTCTAGATCTTCCAGGGTCGTCGATGGCACAGCCGCTTCGTTGCAAGCAATCCAAGCGCCTGCATAACAATCAGATTGAGAGCCGAAGGTTGGAACAATTGCAGGAAAGAGGAGAGGTGGGTTTACCATCACGATCAAAACATTGCTCGGTTGTCTCGCTGCGCCGCACGAAATCACCCGGTGGTGGCCCAAGTAACGCGACCATCAGTGCCAGATGCTTGAATGGATCGTGCTTGCCGTTACTGCTGAAGATGTCGCCAAACAGATGATAACCCTCGAAGAGATCCCAAATCTGACTTGCTATTAGCTAGAACCTCAGAGTCAAGTGAAACTTTCATCACCACTTACGAGAGCCCCGAGGTTCCAAATATCGACAGCACTTCCCCACGCCATCTCAAAAATGATTTCCGGGGCTCGATAAATGTGTGGTTGTACGAAGGGGCCGGTCTCCTGTATCTGTCCGATTCTAGCCTCCCCAAAGTCGCACAGAATCGGGAGGCCGAAGCCCTCTCCTGCGGAAGGTTGGCGAAATTTTGAGCTTTGATGGATCGTGCGCGATTCATCTACCTTCTTTCGAGGGCTCGGCTGTCTGATCTCTTTGTCCATGAAATCACTCAGCATTGCGTCTTCCTCCAGGCTGAGCATCAGATTGTCGGTCTTCAGATCTAGCCTAGTCAGCCAAAGTGCCTACCTCAGGCTCAAAGATGCGATTGAGGAGCAGTACCAAGGTGAATGACATCAGCTTCAGTATGAAGAAAGTCAAGCGCCAGCAACACTCGTTGAAGCGTCATCTTGAGAAGCGGCATATCGAACGGTCTGGGATTTCGCTCCATCATCTCAAGGAGAGTCATATGCATCGGTTGAAGCATAAGACATTGGTGTTGCCCGGCAGTGCTGGTGACCTCGAATGTGTCCCAGAGCTCTCGAATTAGCGATTGCCCTGGATGATCCGATTCGATGCTCGCGAGGTGCTCATAGACCTTGAACTCGCGGTGGGTTGCGACGGGAAATTCTCGAAGCGATGTCGATGCCTTCAGGACGGCAAACTTATGTCTCCTAGGCCAAGTCAGACAAATCGTGAGCCAGTATTAATTAGACCGCAGTGACACCGTACTGAATGTCCCGACAGAGCCAGCTTGTTGAGTAAGCTCCAAAGCCCAGCTTCCCCGTGACCTCGTACTTGCCGTTTAACACGTCGCCGATGTTGACAGGATAGAACTGTTCCGGATCGTAGTGGGGTAATGTCTCTTCTTCGACCAACCGCCCACGAGTTATTGCAACAAATGGTCTGCGATAGTTGGGTGTAGAGCGGTGCCATGCAACTCGGGAGACGGCTCTGAAGGCGTTGGTGGGTGGCGCCATATCTGTCGCGGTGGAGCAAAGGAATGAGGATGTCTGTGAGTGAGCTGTGGCTAGAAATTGCGTGTATATCGGGCCGAGGCGGACCAGTTCCGTTCACAACTTGAAACTCTAAATACCGTGCCCACTGCAGAGGTACTGTCAATCTACTCAGCGAGGCTGGAGGTTGCCTTGACTTGACTCCATTCTGGGCTGTAGCGACATCGTATCTTATGTTGTCGTAACGGGAGAGACGGATAAGGCCAGCGGAAAAGCCAAGACAGGCTTTATGTTGTCATAAAGGTCTGTCCACCACATCGACCGTTCTATCCACGCGTATTATCATCTTTTGGCTATCGTTGCTTCCCAGGCTATGGTTGCTCAGATGAGGGTTGTCAGAAGTCCTCGATGGCCCGCTCTGCACTTCAGCTTCGCATTGAGTAGTTGTGTGAACGTCCAGATTATCAGCGCCAAAGTCGAACGAGATCAGACCATCATTGCTCAAGGATTGATGATTACTCCCGAGTACGCTGCCCTTGCTGCCCTTGCTGCCCTTCGCTTGATCTGAACGTCTCGTCTTAAATGTCGACAATTGATACGATTTGGATCGAGATCTGGAGCCGCTGGAAGAATCACTGTGTTGCAGCGCGCCGTAGAATGTTGAAAGATCTTTGATGAAGGGGCGGAAGATTGGTAGCGTCGCTGAGATCAGTGAATAGTTGATCTGTGTCACGGTCCAGACCAAGTAGAGGCTCTCAGACCGAGCGAAGTTGGTGAGATCGTCTCGATTGAACGTGGCCATTCGAGCGGCAATAAAGGCGACTATTGGCAGGCGCAACCCAAAGGCAAAGACGACAATGGCTTTCTTGAGTAGGGCGGTGTGTAGCCTGGATACAAGCAGTATAGCAGCCATGAAAAGCGCCAGCTCCAGTGCTATGTCGAATGCGCAGATGGCCATTACACGAACATACACATTTGTGCAAGAGCCATCTTCAAAGGACCAGGGATCGGTAAGGCTGCATTGCAGTGCAAATGCAAGGACTGCAGCAACGGTCCAGGCAATAGATGCGATGATGATGGAGTCCATGGTTTTCTGCATCGTCGATTTGGGGGTCAGCCTGACAATAAAGTAGGCCACAGAGCACTTGCAAAGCCCGAGGGCGAGGACAGTGAGAATCTGGCTACTGTAAAATGACTTCTCAACGTATCGAAGCGCAGAAGGCTGTATCAACCCGACTGATCGTCCAAGGCCTTTCGCGCAAGCGGCCAGGATAACGCTCTGTTGGGCGAATGCGAGTAGTGTGCCAATGGCAAGAAGAATGTCGTCCAGTCCGGCTTGCTGTCTTGAAACTGCCTTCACGTAGACGCGAATTATGGTCGAGAATATGGCCATCGCCAATCCTATGGAGGTCACAACGATGATAATGCCTCCATGGTCCGATCCAGAGACTACCGCAAATGGCGGCGAGTAGCCGTCAGGCACGTGAAATTGTGTTGTATCCGACATAGCATGGCCCCGTGAGATGTCTGGTGTTTATTTCGCGGAATGCGTGGAGCTTTGAATCCAGCTGAGAGCAGATAGAGGCAGATAGATATGGGCAGCGATGGTGACAGCGGCGGTACACGAAAGTTTTGCTTGTCACCACTCGTGCTCGACCCTGAACCTGGAAGTTTGCAAAGCTGGCATGTTGTGGCACACTTCGGAGCTGCTTATCGTCCGCCACTGCCTGGTCATCTGCTGGTCGAAGTGATGGACTGTGTTGGGCCAGCCGATAGTCTATTCACGTCTTGACTTCTGAGCAGAAATAACCTTAAGAGCACGACGCAAAATGGTAGACTGGCGTCATTGGGCGCATTCTCCAGCGAATCGAGGCCATATCTTGCAGACGCGGGCCGGTGCCCAGATGCTTGAATGCTTGGGAATGCAGCGCCACAGCATTCCATATCATCCCGGCATCGTTCTCAGCGCCCATGGACTTCGAATCGAGTCGTTCTGCAAGCACAGCTTCTGTGCTGAGTAAGAGCGTCGGCCATCGATATTCCGGGTTGGATGTCCGTTGAGAGGGAGACACGACAGAGAGGGTGGGTGTCGTGTTGATTGCCTCGTAAACTTTGCGGTCAGAAGAGAGTTCGGGGACGTGCTTGCTAGCCTCTCGCTTCATGAGCCGGCTAAGCCCAAAGAGTAGCCGCGGCTCCACTCCTCCTTCACGGCAGCCAAAGACCGCACCTCATCGACGGCGGGGAGCTTCCAAGTTGCATTCGCACGCAGGATGGCATGCACAACGTGGCCAAGGGAAGAGCCTTCTCACGCACGCCTCTCATTCCTTTGTCGACACTCGTGCTTTACACCCACCACAGAGCGGAGACCAGCGGATTCAAAGAGGCCCGTCAACACGAGACGAGAGGACGAGCATCCCTTGCAGGCCACGCGAGCCTGCGATGCTGAAACCGCATGTACATCTCGTCTGGCAGCGATATCCTTGAACCACGGCAATTGACGGACGGACGTACTGCAGCAGTCCGCAGCGTGGAGTCCACCCCACCCACTCACCAGTCGTTATCTTGTTCCGGCAGACAGGTCCTACACTTGGCGAACTCTGTGCTTGACTCTTCGCCCAGAAACATCTTCAAATTCTGTCGCAGCATTGACACGATATATACTGTGACCCTTCGGCATCATGACCACATCAAAGGTCTCGGATATCGACATCTCGCCGACGGGTGATTTCAACGATGCGATACTGGACGACAAGCAGGACGCTGCGGCGTCGTCTGTGGCAGCCAAGTATAGAGGGACGGCGACGGATCAAAAAGATATGATGGTAAGCCAGATGCGTAGTCGTGCTCGTTTCTATATGAATGAGGTCGCTTATCACCATTAAATTTCAGACTCTTGGCAAGAAGCAAGTGCTCAGAAGAAACTTCAGATTCATCACGATGCTTGGCTTTGGTTCAACTGTAATCTGCAGTTGGGAGGTTCTACTGCCCGTCTTCAGCTTCGTCATAACTGATGGTGGCTATGGCTCGCTCTTTTGGGGGTTCATTGCCGTGACTTGTGGGATGCTGTTGGTGTACGCCAGCTTGGCTGAGATGGTGTCAATGTGAGTCGGTATAGTGCTCACGCGAGGAAGAGTGACTGACCAAATGTCTAGGTGTCCTACCGCTGGTGGACAGTATCATTGGGTGTCGTACGTCACAAACGTTGCTAGACACAGGATCACCAGCTAACCATTCCCCAAGTGAATTTGCCCCTCCGAAATATCAGAAAATCTTGAGCTATATGACAGGATGGCTCTGTGCCACGGGTTGGCAGGTCTTCCTCGCGAGTGTAGCCTTCATGGTGGGAGGCATCATCCAAGGTCTCATCGCGCTCAATAACCCGGACTACGGCTTCGACAGATGGCACGCAACACTTCTGACGATTGGAATCTCGGCCTTTGCTACACTGTACGTGCTACCTTGAACAACTGTGGGATTTCACTAACGACAACGCCAGGTTCAACACGGCTCTAGCAGTACGACTTCCTTTGATCGAAGGAATCATCCTCATCCTTCACATTGCCGGCTTCTTTGGCGTCTTCATACCGCTATGGGTGCTGACACCGCGTGCGCCAGGCGACGTGCTGTTACAATTCACAAACAACGGAGGATGGCCCACTACGGGTATTGCAGCCATGATCGGACTCACCACACCGTTGACGGCACTGATCGGATACGACTGCAGCGTCCACTTGAGTAAGTATAGACGAATCCGAGGGTCCTTTCGCAGTGTGACTGACATGGCATATCATAGGCGAAGAACTCCAAGATGCTTCCTACACCATGCCAAGAGCTAGTATGTCTCATGTCTCACCGTTCTCCTACATACGAGAGTGGCTGTACTGACCCTTCTCCTCTAGTAATGTGGACCGTCGGACCCAACGCCACCCTTGGCTTCCTGATGGCAATAACATTATGCTTCACCGGCGGACCCATTGACGATCTCCTCGAAACAAGCACCGGTCAACCGTTCATCACAGTATTTTACAACGGTACCCGCAGCCTCGCCGGCGCAAACACCATGGTCGCTATCGTCGTCGTCTGCCTCACCTCCTGCTGCATCAGCGAAGTCGCCACCGCCTCCCGCCAACTCTGGTCCTTTGCTCGCGACAACGGCTTGCCAGGCTCGACATGGATCGCACACGTAACGCCTGGTTGGAACATCCCCCTTCGAAGCGTCTTGATCTCCTTCGTCATCACCTCGCTACTCGCGTGCATCAACCTTGGATCAACAACTGCCCTGAACGCCATCAACTCCCTAGGAGGCGTCTCAGTCCTTAGCTCATACTTCATCACCATCGCCTGTCTGATTTGGCGAAGGCTATACGGCGCTCCTCTACCACCTCGACGATGGTCTCTGGGCAAGTTCGGCCTGTGGATCAACATCGCCGCCTTGTGCTTTTTGGTCCCGTTATGGTTCTTCTCCTTCTGGCCATTAGCCCAGCCCGTCACGCCGCAGAACATGAATTGGAACAGTACAATGTTTGGTGGCATGTTGATCGTGTCGGTGGTGTATTACATTGCGTATGGGCGTAAGGTTTACGAAGGGCCTGTGGTTTACGTCAAGCGAGACGAATGATTTGACGAGTTGATGATGCACATGTAGCGTATAGATATCACGATTGATGAACCTTGCTCATAGTGAGCTTTCTTGAAGTTGATGTTTTTTGTTTCGATTCTCGTCTCACGTCTAGCATCTGTGCTGTAACAATTGCCCGTTTGCTGCCTGATGCAGCAGCATTATCCAAGATGTCCCACGCTATGCAAGTCGTTCGTCTATCCTACAGCCGCCTCTTCCGAAGGACCATCATATCCCAAGGAACCACGGACGTGATTCTCTAAGCATCAGCTCTCGAGATGCCAGTAGATCATGCCCGCAATGCTTCTCATCCTCACAGCCGCACCTGCGAGCGACCTACTGCTGTGGAGGAGGCTGTATGGGAGGAAGTGTTGGAGCCGTAGCGCCAGGCTGTTGCTGGGCCTGTGTCTCCATCTCCGGATGTGATGGTGGTCTCGGTGGGATGCCATTCATTTCCACCTTCGACTCTGCGCTACCCTCCTCAGGCAACTTCTTGACAGGTATGTTGCCAGCTGTGCTGGCTGCCTGCTGATGCGGTCTGGGGACAAGTGGCGTCTCAGGAGGAAACACTTTCTTCTCGCTGAGGCTGTGAACCGCTGCAGGCGGCTGCGCCGGGCTCTGATGCTTCTGCGGAATCGCACTGGAACCTTCAGGCCATGGACCACTCATCCCATCCGCGGCGACCTTGTTCGCATTAGTCGCGTCGGTGGTGCTGCCTTGACCAAGCATTTGTTGAGGCGTTCGCAATTGGCCGGACTGATAGTCGCGGTGTGCGCTCTGATGCCCGTTGGCGGTAGATTGATGTTGAATGTGCGGTGTCTGTGCTTGGCGTGGAGGTGAGAAGTTTTGGTGGTTAATGGGTGGCAGTGGTTGCTGTTGGTGTGGTGACGATTTCACAGGCGACGAAAGTGGTCCTCGCTGATGCGATTCTGGTGGAGGGAGATTAGTTCTGGGGCTCTGCTGCAATTGTTGGGTTTGCTGCTGGGATTGTCCTGACGGTGATCCTTGCGCTGCTCCATGTGGCTGTGTACGCTGTTGCGGTGGAGAGGAATAAATCGGCTTTGCTGGTGCCTTTGCTGGAGATTGGAAGCCATTCATGAGCTGCGCAGAACCAGGCCTCTGTGTTTGTTGCTCCGGGTTGTGGCGCGGATGATGTTGCGATTGCGGTGGCGGGTAATACTGTTGTTGGGGCTGCTGTGTTGCAGGATACATGCCAGTCGGTGGTCTCGGGATGTACCCGTTGGCCAGTGGAGCATACTGCTGCTGATAGTAGCTTGGATGTGCACCTGAAGATGCAACTGCAGACTGATGCGCATAAAGATGCTGTTGTTGATGGTGGGAGGGAGGATAGCCATTGGCCTGTTGCGGAGCGCCACCACCATAACCGTGCGTCTGTCGGCCTGGAGGTGGCAGTGGGCTACCTTGCCAGGGCTGCTGTGGTGCTTGAGGAGCAAAGTTGTGAATCGGAGGATACCGGTATCCTGGTGGACCATGTGCCTGGCCATGTGGTGACAGACTCGGTCCATTCGTGAGTTGGCCAAATGGGCCGGGAGAGGGACGCGGTTGTTGTGATGCAAGGTGATCGAGCTGCCGAGCGACATGATCTGGCATGCGCTTAGACTGTTGACCATTTGCTGTGGTCGGGCGGCTCGCAGCCTTTTGAGACTCTGGACTTCCACTTCCACGGTTGTGGAGTTTGAGAGGCGGAATCTTGGGCTTCTTCGCGTCTTGTTCCTTGCGCTTGCATGTGCCACAGATGAACGTAAACCCATCGCTCTCCGCCTGCTTGGGTGAGAAGCCGTGGCATTTGCTGTGTTGCCAGACACTGCACCTGTCACAGGCAATGCTGTGGGTGCCATCGTCCATATTCTCGCCGTGCTTGCCGCAGACAGAGCAGTCGAAGTACCAGTTACCATCGTCTTCCGCAAGCTTCTCCAGTTCTTTCTTGTGCTGTTCCTTCTGGGTCTTGCGTTGGCGCTCTGAAGCACGCTTGGCTTCGGCCGCGTCTTCGGCATCCTGGGATTCAGCCCGCAAAGCATCGTCCTCCAACTTGGCGAGTTCTTCTTCGTGCAAAATGCGCTTGGCTTCGCGCTCTCGAACCCGCTGTTCTCGAGTGAGCCGACGGGACTCATGACCCTGTATCTCGTTAGCATTCGTTGTGACACTGGGCGTCCAGCTATACATACCTCTTCGATTCTCCTCTGCCTGTCCTGCTCTTCGTGGGCCATCTTCAGCTCACGTTGTCTCTTCTCCTCAACTTCACGCTCCTCACGCTCCTGCTTCTCCTTCTCTGCTTTGCCAGCCAATCTGCTCGAGCGCTTTGCAGTTGCCATCTTTTGCAGGTTCTCCAGCTCACGTATCTTCTTGAACTGCTTCTGCCTCAATGCTTCTGCACGCTTCTCAATGATTGGCAGCACGTCTTCCTCGATTCTGGATCTCAGCTGCTTTTCATTTGGATCCCGAGACCGGAAAATGCTCGCCATGAAGTCTTGGTACTCCTCGAGAGTGATGGCAATGCACTCCCACGTCTTGCTCGTGAAGCCAAATCCAGGTTCTTCCTCTGTTTGGTCTTTGTCTCCATTCGGCACGTCGGTACTGTCGGCCATAGTCTCGTCGAAGTCCTCCACTTGCTGCTCCGACTGATCATCCTCACTGTCCTCAATCTTTCTGCGCTTGCTGGCGCGAGTTCCTCTTGTCCTACTCTTAGCTGCCTTAGGCTTGCTCTTTGCCTTCGCTTTGGGCTTGGGCGAGGGAGGTGGGGGAGGCTCGTCAGTGCGGCAGTAGAGTCGGTTGTCGTCGAGCACATAGTAAGATCGATCGTCCTTGTCCCAGCCGAGTGGTTCCATGCGCCAACTGAGATGGTCCTCGTCCTGCGGCATCATGCCTCTTATCCGCTCTGCGTTGCCCAGAGTCCATGTGCTCAACTGCTGGAGGACCTTGATACGTGTGAACACGTCCATATCGTTGAACTTGACGGGCTCTTCGTCGTCGCCAAAGGGATTGCGCTGAGGGGCCTTGGCAAGATACTGACGGCGCGTATACTCATCGAAGATCTCTGGTCTGGGACACGTCAGTATACCAATGCGACCTGTGGTTAATATAGTTGTACATACGTCAGACCTCGATGTGACGAGACGTATTTGAGCAGCTGCAAACCGATGTGTGCGAGTTTGTCTGAAGGGGAGGGCTTGAGACATTCTGTCTCGAGGTCCTGCGGTCGCACAATCATCAGTATCCATCCTCGTTTCATCTTGACTATGTGTGTACATCCTCGCGCGGAGTTTCGGGGGTGTCTGCGTACCTCGATGTCGAAGTCGTCGTCGATCTTGACCACTTGCCCAAACAGAAATATGTATTGCATGAGACTGGCAAACTCCCACATGTTTCGAAGGGTTGTCAACGTCTCTTGCTGCTCTGGCGGTACTGCTGGCTCGACCGCGACGTCCAGGTCCATCTCGGCCTCGTCGCGGGTCCGCTTGTAACGCGGCATCTTGGATGCGCCTCGCCAGGAGTCGTCGCAGCCAGAAGAGGAGATCGAGGTCGAGCGGAAGAAGGTGTGTTCGCTCTATTCAGATTAATAGAATGTGCTCGGTCGGTGGTGGTTCGGCGTGGAGGAAGAAGGCGACGGGCGAAGAAAGTCGTGTGCGTGCGTGCAAGATGGACGAGCAGTCGTTGCTTGAAGACGCGCTTGACGGGTAGCCAAGCCAAGCCTTCGGGATCAGCCGCCGCGATCGGATGATCCCTGTCAGATCGACGGAAGCGAAAGTTTACTTGGAAGCCAAGACGAGATGAACAAGTGAATCTTTTGAGAATCACATGCAAGTCTGTCATGGATCACAACATGCGCGGCCGCTCATGATCTCGAAAACCGCGCCGCAGGGAATGTATCGAGAGTTTTCGAAGTTCAGCTATCCCGGCCTGGCCATTGGCCTCAACTATCGTGACTGCTGTTCTAGCAAACTATCAACCAGCACACAAATATCTATACCTTCGAGCTCCTGAACGCCAACCCTCAACCCTCGGAACATTCTTTCTCTCTAATATTTACCATCCATCAAGAACTGACACCCTCCTTGCGCGCAACATGAGCTCTCCCGTCCCTTATTGGTCATCGCGAGTAGCGAGCTGTCGAGCTCCATGCTTTTGTCATCACTCTGAATGCGATGCACGTACATAAAGCGTACAAGGCATATAGGAGGACTTTGATTCTTAACCTCATCTAATTGAACAGACCGTGTCATCAAACTCACACATCAGCTTCAAAATGTGTACTCCCGGACTCACTTTCGTGGCTTCCAACGTGCTCGATCCTGCAAAGACGTTGGACGAGAAGTACAACAAATTCTACAACGATGAGCATCTGCCGGACGTTCTCGCCTCGGGCCTCACGAAGCTTGCGTTACGGTATAAGAATATTAATACAGAATCCAAGATGCCATATATCGCGCTCTATCCTGTCGAGGATGCCAGTATGACCGGATCGGAAGCTGCTGTCAAACTGATCCAGGACACTCGCAAGAGCAAGACCTTCGATGGAGAAGACATCTACGACTATATCAACTTCGACATTCGACGTTATGAGAAAATACAAACATATGAAGCCTATCAGCAAGAGGGTCGCAGTGGCAACGAGAGGGGGCGTACTATTATTTGTGTTGGAATGGAGCCAGGGGATGAGGCCGACTTCGACGAGTGGTACCGAAAGCAGCATCTCGACATGCTAGGGATGTGCCGCGGGTACAGGAGATGTACGCGGTATAAGAACATGGACGACCAGCAACCGAGATTTCTGGCCCTACACGAGTATGATTGTAAGGCAGAGGACGTTCCCTCAGAGCAGATCAAGCAAGTGGTCGCTACAGAATGGAGTAAGAAGATCGTGGGAGAGGCGAAGATCTTTGACAGGAATGTGTTCGAGTTGATTCAAGCGCAAGGACAGACTGAAATAAACCTCTGAAAGAAGTTGTAACTTTCAAGGTCCCATAGTCGCAAAATCAGACGCCAGCTCTGAGGGTGCCCTCCAGGAAGATGACACCCGAAACGACACCGTCCACAACTCTGACCCTCTTTCCCAACTGCTCTCCAAGCGCCTCGATGCATGCTTCTCTCACGGTTTGGTCCAGTCCAGCCATGCCTGCGCATCCCAGACAGATAGCCTTGGCACCATTCGAAAGCAGTTTCTTGGTGGCGTCCTTCATCAGGCGATCAACTTCTTCCTTTGGCGCAGTGTGAAGTTGGTCTGCATTCAATCCTGTTGTCTCAGTTCCAGCATAGCGCTCGGGATTGTCAGAGCCTAGGAAGTTAGTCACGGCTTCGCCCAGAATCTCCTTCCACTGCGACCCAGTAGAGACAATGCCAAAGCTGTCATAGTTGTTCAAACTCTGCAAGCAAGTCGAGACCGAAGACTCAAAGATGCCAGTCACTGGCTTGTACAGTCCAGCCTTGGCCAGCTCATTGCGTAGCTCGGGGACAAGTGGATGCTGTGAGTAGCAGCAGACCAGGAACGCATCAAACTCGTTCAGCTTCTGCTTCAGGACTGGGAGACAGTGCTCAGCTGAGACAGCTGCATCGTCTTCATTGTTGATCGATGGGACGCCGGAGGGTGCTGTGAAGTACTCAAAGTGAGTCTAGCAAGACACGACTTAGCCGGTAAAGCATGAGCAGCGAGAAGTAGCTCTCATGTGCGTACTGTCCTGTACTTCAGCCTCTTCACCAATGGCTTCAAGGCATCGGTCATTGCCTGGGTGGTGTTGGGGTTGATGATGAGGACGGAGCGGTCGTAGTCGGAATCCATGGCTGTGGTTGGGGTCTTGTTCTTAGCAGAGCCTGTGATGATGTGTGTTGCCAGCCCTGGAGGTGTTGTTGGAACAGGAGGGGACTGCATGTGAAGCTCTGATCTAAATTGGGGCCGCGCTAACGGCTAACGAAGAGCGGGACGGCCGTTGGCCAAACAAAACTGCCGGGGCTGAACCCTGTCGTTGTCGCCGAGCATTCGGGATGCGTTTAGTTAAGCACAGGACGCGTCCTCGTCGCCATGATTGAGTAAACCATTCCACCACACTCACTCCCTACGCTAGACAATTGTGCCTGTACACCCTTTACCGGCCACCACTCGCTGTCCTTTGTACGCCGTTGCACGAACCGCCCACAACATCGCCCTCGCTCGAGCAGAAGGCCTAATCCCCCAAAGCACCGGCGCAAGTGTTTCCGAGGGACATTGCCAGCGCTACCATCACCCAAGAGCATTCCAACCCCCACACCGATGAGGACCGATATTGTGCGCGAGGAGCGCTGACTCCATGTCGTCGGACGACTCAGTCCACCGCCGAGCCCACACCGCCGACAGTGCCATCCCGCTGCAGGATCTCAACAATGATGGCACACCAGATCGGGCCGGTGAGCTCGACCGACATGAATCGCACCGCCGCACTCTTAGTGACAGGGGACGGGAGCTGTTCAGAGCAGGACGATCGAGCACTGCGGGCAGAGCGCCATATGCCCCTATACGGCATGTTGACAACGATGAATCACCAAGCCCCCCACCGCGCAATAGCCATATCTCGCCAATCGCCTTCGTCACAACGCCCTCGGGCCAACACGAGCGAATACCGGATGAAGATGACGAAGCAGCACCGTTCTCGCCTATTACGGATAGAAGCGCATTCCAGGATGCCATCGGGTTCGCGGGGTTGAGTTTCAACGCGAGCCACAGCTCACCCGACGAGTCGGACGATGATGTTCAAGAGACGCCGTCGAGACGGGCACGAGGGTCGAAAAGAGCGACGTTGGATAGTCTGCCACCATTGAATACAAGAAATAGCGGCGATGACATGGTTTCGATTCAGCTGGATGACGGCCCTGCCTTCTTCTCGCCGGGTGTGGCAGACGAAGACGACACTGTCCCGTTGACGGATTCTTCACGGCTAAAGGCATCGAGCGCGGTCACACACAGCACACCTGAGGGACAGAGACACGATAGACAGAGGAGCCGAGCTGGATCTGCCCTGAGTGGCCTGAGTATACGCTTCACGGGTGGTGGCAATCGTGCCAGGAGTAATTCAAGACTTGGCGACGATCTTGCACAGGCAGAGGGCGGCGCAAGAAATTCGTCAGAGCTGAACAGAACACCGTCGGCGCGGAAGTCGTCTCTGTCGCCACTGGGGGATTCTCCACTCCAGCGCACGGGAACCATGCTGCGAAAGATGTCACAACGTGTGGTAAACTTGAGCAATGAGTCCGAGCCTGTGGATAGACCGGCTGCCAGGAAAAGTTCGATACGGCAGTCAGGGTCTGAAGAAGCGGTGTTCCCAAACCTCCCACAGGTTGGCTTAGATGGAGCAGGGCCACCAAGATCGCCTGCGAGTGAGAAAATGCCGTCTTCTGCAGCTATAGAGCCAGATCTACCACCACTGCCAGCCATCGAGCGCAACCCACTGAAGGGCAAGTCTCTGGGGGCCTTCTCTCCAGAGAGCCGGATACGAAAAGCATTGCTGGAGTTCCTGGTTCATCCTTTCGTGGAACCCACAGTCTTGGTCTTGATTGTGATCCAAACCATAATCCTCGCTGTAGATTCGGCACCTGATGTCTACAAAGATCCGAGGCCACGCGATTGGGGGAACAGTTGGACGGACTATCTCCTCCTCGGGATATTCATCGTCTACACCATAGAAATCATCATCAAGATCATCGTCTCCGGCTTCATCTTCAACCCGACCGAGTACAGCACCATCGATCGAAGCATTGGAGTGAGACAAGCACTACAGAAGAAGGCAGACGCGATGTTTGCCCTCCATCGAAACCCATCCAAAAGGGGCATGAAAGGTGACCACTCTAACTCGCGCGTGCCAGCACCGGACTCTCTGCTGCGCTCGTTCACCGCACAAAACTTTGATGATGTTCCTGGAACTTCAAAACAGGCCCAGAAAAAGAGGCTTGCTTATCGTGCATTCCTGCGGCACTCATTCAACCGTCTCGATTTTGTCGCCGTGGCTTCCTTCTGGATCAGTTTCATACTTGGAGCTGCTGGTGCCGAGTACCAACATCAAATATATGTATTCCGGATGATGAGCTGCCTACGAATATTGAGGCTTCTGGGGATCACAAGCGGCACGTCTGTCATTCTCCGTAGTTTGAAGCGGGCAGCGCCGACATTGCTCAACATCGCCTTCTTGATCGGATTCTTCTGGCTCTTGTTCTCCATTGTGGGAGTCCAGAGCTTCAAATCCAGTCTTCGACGGACGTGCACCTTGATTGGAGCAGAGCAGTTTCCACCCACGCAAGACTACGCCCAGAATCAACCACCGCCGGCTGGTGGGTTTCAATTCTGTGGCGGTTGGATCGCACCGGACAATGGCACATACATGCCGTGGTTGAAGGCGGATGGCTCTTGGGGCGCAGACAAGCACAAAGGGTTCCTGTGCCCGCAAGGGTCGCGCTGTATTGAGGGTGAGAATCCCTACAACAACACAATCAGCTTTGACAACATTGCTCAATCCGCGGAGCTGGTGTTTGTGGTCATGACCTCGAACACTTTCACAGATATCATGTACTATCTGACGGACTCGGACTACTTGGCATCCGCATTGTTCTTCGCATGCGGCACCATCTTCCTCACCTTCTGGCTCATATCGTTGCTCATAGCAGTCATCACTTCATCATTCCAGGTCATTCGAGAAGAGAGCAGGAGCAGCGCTTTCACGGCAGATGACGACCCTGCGGAAGACCACGACATTGATGGTGACGAATCAAGAGGACCTCTGGATCTCAAGAAACGAGGCTCGGCGATCAAACGTGCGTACGACAAGTCGTATCTGATCTGGATTGTGGTCATCACTTTCGACCTGGTCGTCCAAAGCTTGAGAACCGATACAATGGGCGGATTCACGAAGGGGCTGATCAGCTGGACAGAACTCATTGTCACCATAGTGCTGCTGTTCGAAATCATATTCCGCTTCGCGTCGGACTGGAGAGATTTCCGCCACCACCGTCGAAACTGGTTCGACCTCTTCCTGGCAGTCATAACAGCCATCATTCAGCTTCCACCGATCCGCTACTCGGGTGATCCCTACGCTTGGCTCACAGTCTTTCAGATCCTTAGGATCTACCGTGTGGTTCTGGCTGTTCAGATGACGCGAGACTTGATAATGCTGGTTTTGCGGCATGTTTCTGGTGTGCTGAACCTGATCCTTTTCGTGTTCCTACTCACGTTTCTCGCCGCCATATTCGCCACTCAACTATTCCGTGGGCAACTGCCAATTCTCGATGGCCAGGGCAACTACCTTCAGGTAACATTTGCCACCATCTTCAACTCTTTCCTCGGGATGTACCAAGTACTGTCCTCTGAGAACTGGACAACGATCATGTACAACGTTGCGCGATTCGACTACCAATACGGGACGGCCTGGATCGGAGCCACCTTCTTCATTATCTGGTTCACGCTGGCGAATTTCGTCGTGTTGAACATGTTTATTGCTGTCATCCAAGAGAACTTCGACGTTTCGGAAGATCAGAAACGATTGCAGCAAGTCCGATCGTTCCTACAACGTACAGAGCTTGGCAACAACTCTGGAGGCACGCTTTCCCTCTCCACAATCTTCAAGTTTGGCATGGTCAGGCGACAAGATCCTTTGGACTTCGGATCGGCAGCCACTGAGATGTTGTTGAAGGATGCTGTGGTGCGGGATTTCCTCGACGAGCAGATAGAAGAGGATGGTGAGCTCAGGCGTACAGGCACCATGGGTCTGGCTTCAGCATCGACCCTCAACATGTACAAACAACCCGCTGGATGGGCCCAGAAGATCAAGGAAAAGCTCTCAAAGCACCTCTTCAACCGCGAGCCGAACCCGTTCTACTCCAAATTGCAGCTCACAAAACCGTACGAAGAACTGGACCCACGCAGTCTTGCACAAGAGGTTATGACTGCCGCTGAGCAACGTAAGGTGTCGCAGCGTGAGTACCTTCGACAGCACCCGAAGTACAATGTCTCGATGTACATCTTCAGGCCGGACAATCCCATCCGAAAGATGTGCATGCGCATCGTCGGGCCAGGAAGAGGCACGCGCATTCAGGGTGTCCAGCCCAACCCGACCATATGGTACACCTTCTCCGCCTTCATTTACCTCGCCATTGTGGGTATGGTGTTACTGGCCTGCGTGACAACGCCATTGTTCCAACTGGAGTACTTTAAGAGGCATCCAGGTGCTAGTGACAGGTACAATTGGTTCGTTTTCGTCGACATCGGTTTCGCCGGGCTTTTCACCGTGGAGGCTCTGATCAAGGTCATTGCGGACGGCTTCTTCTGGGCGCCAAACGCGTACTTCCGCAGCTCGTGGGGATTCATAGACGGGATCGTTCTCGTCACGCTGTGGGTCAATGTGATAACTTCACTTTATGATCCGGGAAGCGGCTCTCGGGCAGTGGGCGCATTCAAAGCGCTCAGGGCTTTGAGGCTGCTCAACGTCAGCGACAGTGCCCGAGATACGTTCCATTCCGTCATCGTCCTGGGAGGCTGGAAAGTGCTTTCGGCGGCATTTGTGTCGCTGAGCTTGCTCATTCCGTTCGCCATCTACGGCCTGAACTTGTTTGCTGGCAAGATGGCATGGTGCAATGATTGGCAGCAGTACGATGTGCATAATCTCACGGATTGTGTTGGAGAATCGGTCTTGTCGCCGCTTGGCTTCGACATGCTGGCCCCGAGGAGAGTCGCGAACGTCAACTACGCCTTCGACTTTGATTCCTTTGGAGACGCACTCTTCATCCTGTTCCAGGTCGTGTCACAAGAGGGTTGGGTCGACCTGATGTGGAGCGCACAGTCTATCACTGGCGTGTTCACGCAGCCAGCGTGGTTCTCGCAGCAAGGCAATGCGGTCTTCTTCATCGTCTTCAACTTGCTTGGTGCTGTGTTCGTGCTGACGCTGTTCGTGTCGGTCTTCATGCGCAACTATACCGAACAGACTGGTGTCGCCTTTCTTACTTCAGAGCAGCGTTCCTGGCTCGAACTACGAAAGCTACTACGCCAAGTGGCACCTTCAAAGCGGCCGAACCGGCAGAAGAGAAGACAGACATGGCAGGAATGGTGCTATCGATGGGCGACCGCCAAGAAAGGTCGCTGGCAACGCACCATTACTGGAATCTTGATCGCACATCTGATTCTCCTGTGCCTGGAATGGTATCCGGAACCCGAGGCTTGGGCGATCACACGCTCCTTCATTTTCTTCGTGTTCACCCTCTTCTACATTGCGAACGTCTTCATTCGCATCGTGGGCTTGTCGTGGGCGCGGTACCGCAAGAGTGCGTGGGACATGTACGCTATGATTGTCGTTGCTATCAGCTTCGTCACCTCGATCATGGTCTTTGCAAACCTTGGAAATACGGTCTACGCCCAGACGCATAAGTTGTTTCTGGTTGCTGTCGCCCTGCTGCTCATCCCCCGCAACAATCAACTTGATCAATTGTTCAAGACAGCAGCCGCAAGTTTTAGCGCCATTGCGAACCTGCTGGCCACATGGTTTGTGCTCTTTCTGGTCTACGCCATTGCCTTCACCCAGACATTCGGTCTCACCAGGTTCGGCGGAAACGAAACCGACAACCTCAACTTCCGCACCGTGCCTAAAGCCCTGATCTTGCTCTTTAGAATGAGTGTGGGTGAAGGCTGGAATCAGATCATGCTGGACTACGCTAATATCGAGCCACCATACTGTACACTGTCCGAGCACTACTACGACGGCGATTGCGGCAGCAAGCAGTGGGCATACGCGCTGTTCGTGTCGTGGAACCTGATCAGCATGTACATCTTCGTCAACCTCTTTATCTCGCTGATATACGAGAGCTTCTCCTACGTGTACCAGAAGAGCAGCGGTCTGTCAATCATCAGCAGAGAGGAGATTCGTCGATTCAAGCAGGCGTGGGCCGAGTACGATCCAGAAGGCACCGGATACATTTCGAAGGACGTCTTCCCAAGATTTCTGGGTGAACTGTCTGGCATCTTTGAAATGCGAATATACGATGGTGATTTCACCATCAGCAGCCTGATCGAGGACTGCAGAGTCGGTCCCAGGAGAGCGTCTCAGCTTCCCGTCGATGGAGAGTCATCGAGTCCAGAAATTGACCTGGGCAAACTGAGGAGACGATTGACAGAGCTACCAGTGGATGAAATCCGAAGACGACGAGCACGAATGAACACGTTCTACGAAGAAGTCCTTGTCTCGGCCGACCCTGATCGAGGGATAGCCTTCAACGCGCTGTTGATGATCCTAGCTCATTACAAGGTCATCAACGACAACAAGAGTTTGAGGCTAGAGGAGTTCCTGCGCCGAAGAGCAAGACTCCAGCGTGTTGAAGAGGCGGTCAACCGCAACATTGTGGTCGGGTTTTTCGATACACTTTACTGGGCACGACGATTCCGACGAGCCATGGACGCCAAGAAGAGTGCTCGCATGACTATGGTGCCTTCGTTCGGTGTTCCCGAGATCCTTGTACAGGATGAAGGTGGCGACGATGTCACGCAGGCGAGAAAATTCGACGTTCCCTCGCTGAGCGTAACGCCTGTCGACGTCGATGAGTCAGACACCGCGGCGTCTCTGGGAATTGGTCGAGCTCCTGCCAGTGGATCGGATGCTGGAAGCAGCGCGTCCGGCATGCGAGATAGGAGCACATCCATCCAGCTGTCACCCACAGCATCGCCGACTAGGGAAGGGTTCAACCTCTCTTCACACCACCGGCCATCGCCATCAAGCAGCAGTATCCAGCCAGACTGGCATTTCGCAGCTGCGATGGAAGGCGCGAGTAGGCCATCACCACCTGGCAGTCCTGGCTTAAGTGATACCGATGCGACGGCGGCAAGAAGTCGAGCGAATAGTGCTGTCAGCCAGCATGAAATGATGGGCATGTTCCAAGACAGCGCCTGGGGCCAGAGCATGAGAAGGAGCTTCACGACGAAACGAGGCAGTGATCGACGTCCTTCGTCATGAGTAGATGTGTAATGAGGGGAGGACACGAGTGGCATTTTGTTTTGTTGATGGAATGATAGACGGTTTTGTCTTATGATATACGGCGTTTGGGAGTAATGGAGAGGCTCGCTGGGCTCAATCGGCCTGGGAGGAGGAAAGGTCTTTGGTCGTGGAAAAGGGTGTGGGATAGAGCATGAGTGGCATTGAGACGGCTGAGATGCATAGCGGGTGGTGTTTTGATACCTTTTCTACCTAAGATACCGTGTGTTGCGAAAACTGGGCAATGTATGGCCTTTAATCCTGCTACGTCTGCCGTCCTTCTCCTATCACACAATGCCATCGAGGGTCTCGTTGAGGCCACGTCTAGTGAGTGCCACCCTGTTTATCTGGCGAGTTGCATGATATCTATCTGGAACGCGGCTTCACGGAGCCAAATCAATAAAGTCGTTCGTCCGAGCGAAATGTTGTGCAAGCACGTATTGCAATCCTTTGCGGTTCTACCAGAAAATCATCTGCTGTTCGTCAATAAATAGTTCCAAGAATAATGTAGCTTCCCCTTCACACGCGTTACGCACAGGAAGACGCCTTGCGCAAGCACCTTACGCAGTCCTCGCGCCAGCGAACCTGGCCCACGACGAAGGCTACCCCACGAAACCTGGAGTTCACAGATTGCGATGTCCCGTCTGCTCGTCACACGACCAGCGGCGACATCAACGTGACACCAAAGCAAAGCGACTATGGTTACACGTTAAACCGATCGCCGTGAGCCGGTTTCGCTGTGCACGCGTTTTGATTTGTCCCCTGACTCGCCCAGGGTCCTGCTAGCTTTCGCCAGGCCGCGAGCCTGAGACAAACGTTCGCTGTCCGGGCAGACGTCAGAGACGACGATGGCACGTTTCATCGCTCATCAATCTTGAATCCATCCCGCATCGCTCTCACGCACACACGGGAGTTTGTCTGCTCTCGTCGCCATCGTGCGCGCACGAGGGGCAGCTGAACAAGCGCGAGACTGAACACGAGAAGAATGAGCGACGCGATTGGCGATATGCCAGGGAGGCCTGGTACGCGGTGGATCATCTCGGCATCTCTCTCCCACGTCTCTGCACGCAAGTGCTCCCTCTCTCCTGTGTGTGCAGGCCCTTTTCTTCGAACGATGACACGCAACCTGCGACCCGCCCGCCGTTTGACGTTACGCAGGTCGTTGCAAATCATCGTTGTGCAAATCCACAGATAGCAGCACCAGCTCCAAGAACCAAAGGTAATGTGGGATTGTGTGCGATGGTGATATACCTGTTTCTTTTGCTCCCCGGCTGATTGCACCTACTCCCTCTCCTTCTTTCTCACTGTTCATTCACGCCATTTATTTGGTCGTGTCTGTCTGCCTCCTCCCAGCAAGAGATTCTTCATCTAACTGGCCTGCCTCTTCACTCCTTTCCCGGCACGCTCATTCACTCCGCATTCCTTTTGAGTGATTTATTACGCATAGAAAGGTCGCGACAGGGCTGGGCTCGGCATCTTGAAGGGACATTTCTATCCATCTTATACGAGAAGCTTCAATCTCCGGACTCCAACCGACTCCGAGACACGACACGACCTTGCACGACATACCTACCTACTACAATCTTTCCCAACTGGATTGTAATCTCGAGAAGAAGGAGACTCTTCTCAACGACCGCCATCTACACCTCTTTTGTGCAACGAAGGGATCTCATAAACGTCGAAAGACCTTTATCCATCTCCAACAACTGCACAAGTCTTCAAACCTACGTCGAAAGACACGTCGCGCGACATCACGCCACTCGACTCTGCCAAATGAACGACACGACTCAACACAACCACGAAACAATGCCTTCCTCAAGCAAATTCCAACCCCTCCACCCACGCACCTCCCTGCGCCGGATAAAAACCGCCTTCACGCCCTCCTCACCAACCCCCTCAACGACCTCCGCCTCCCCCCTCTCCACCTCGCGGCTCTCCAACCTCAGCTTCGGCAACATGTCCTCCTTATCCGTCAGCAGCGCCTTCAACTCCCGCCGCGCGATCCGCAGGAAGAAGAGCGTGGTGGAGCTCGAGCAGGAGGAGGAGAGGAGTCTGGTTGGGGATGAGCTGATGAGTCTCGTGGAGCCGAGGCCGAGTTTGGGTTTGGCGTATGGGGGGATTGAGGAGGTTTTGGGTGGGGAGGTGTAGTGGTGGAGGATGGAGGATGGATGTGTGATGATGGGCTTCTCTTCTTGAGATTAGCGGGGTTTGGGATGGCTTTTGAGAGGCTAGTGGCAGACGAGGGCATAGATGGACGGAGTGCGATGGGATGACTTGGCGACAGTTGGGATATGTGGTCTTTATCTATCATGAGCTATATCGGCATCGATCTGGGTATTTGGTTACCCCAATGAATGAAATCTTCAATGATTGTGTCTCAATCTCATTGACTCGCTTTGATATCTGTAACAATATACTGTCGATACATCCCACATCCCACCGCCATTCCCAATGTGATGTGCGGAAAATGGGTATCATGAAGTACAGATCCGGCCGCCCATAAATATGTCATCAAATACCCGTCGTTACGCTCGTGCATATTCATCCGCGTCTATCGCGTCTCCTCTGCGCTGCGCGAGGTATATGCGGCCACCTTCATAGACTCCCAGATAGAGACCGCTGCCCACCAGTGTCCATACACCTCTGAGAGCACCACCGCGGAAGAGACCCTTGACTCCTTGCTCCTGGATAATCTCTCTGGCGACTTGGATACTACCCTTGTGGCCCGGTTTCGGCTGGGTGGCGTTCTTAACCATCTTTAGGGGGTTTTCCTTGACTGCTTCGATTGTCTTCCCCGTGGCATCGACCAGGGCGTCTTTGGCTACCTTTGCACTTTCGCTCGCAGTGGCATTTGCGTTGTCTGGGCCGCTTTGGACGGCTGCGAGCATGATCCGCGTCTTGACCACATCGACGGGAGTCGTCACGACAGCAGCGATGCTTCCTCCTGAGCCAGCACTGACCGCCGTGATCAAGGCGCTCTCGAAAAGTGTGTTTGTCCGTATCCCCCGTTCGTCCCTGTATCGCCTGATGCTCTCTTTGATGCGCTCGAACATGGGAAACTGCAGCGCAGTGAAAGGCAAATTTCGGCCTGCCAGCGCGCTGTATCCCCTCCACAGTGCCAGTGGGTTCGATCTGAACTTCTTAATCGTCTGCAACGTCGCATTCACCCGCGGTCGATCGCTCCGGGAGTTGTCCACCATCTGAGCATTCTGCTTGATCACCTCAGCAGGCGTGAGGATCGCGCAGGAGACCAACTCGGCGGTCCCAGACGCAGCGGCGTGGATCAATGGCGTAGGAACGAAGGGTTTCGCGTTGACGGTGGGATTGGCGTCCGCGAGGATGGACTTTACGCCCTCGTAGGTGGTGAAGAAGGCTCCCGAGGATGGCAATGTTGCTATGATAACACTGCCCACGCCCTGGTACACGCCCCGAAACATGCTCGGGTTGAAGCCGGTATTCGTGCCATTGCGGTAGAGTTTGGTGTAGTCGGGACTCTGTAGCCGGGTCTTGATGGTATCGAGAGGGTATACGATCAGATCAACGGTCTGTCAAGGGCATTCTCGTCAGCTTCGATACAGCAAGATTCTCGTGGTGGTGGTGGCGAGACTCACGAATGCCGCGAATGCACCGGCTCTGTACGAATGATGTCGTCAGCCATTGGCGCAGTTCCATTTGGTTGAGGCAGATGTTGAAGAAGAGATTTGCGTGCTTACATCCAGATGTCCGCATTGCTGTTGTTGGACATCTACAGCCTCCACCGCACTGCGTCAAGCACACGAACAGCGCAATGCAGCAATGCCAGGGAGAGAAAGTGGGCGAACAGATGGAGTCGTGCGTGCTGCGAGCGGGTGGGAATGGAGTGGGATGGCTGGAAATCTGACGATCTGATACCGAAGTGCCGGACGCTGCTTGCACCTCGGCCGACGTCGCTGTGGTTTCGCTTCGCTTTGTCTTGTCACCGTAATGTACATCGTACGAAGGGATTACGCAACCGATCTCTGCTCTTGTGAGTTGTGAGAACTGTCCAGTCAGTCTCTCGTCCTCGACGACTCTGCGACCGCGAGAGACACGTGAAAGACTGTCGCTCGCTCGAGTCCAGAGCGAGACGTGTTCACGCCCCCTTTTGACGCGGAATACAGGAATTGCAACTACGTCGCAATACTCGTCTCGGTATATCAGTGAGTCTACATGATGACGACGAGGATTTCACTGTCCTAGAGACACGATCTTAGACAGTCCAATGCACGACGCCAAGGCAAGTAATTCCATCTAGTATGCTGTTTCATCGCCATCTCAATTCGTCCTCACACAGCAGCCTCAGCAATGCGTTCTCCTGTTCCAACAACATCAGACACCACCAAAGTCTCCAATAGACATGTCTGTACCTGCAACGATGTCTTTGTCACAAGCAGCGACGGGGGAAGAAAAAGCCTCGCCTTGCAGATCTATCTTTGTCTAGAAAGGACAATCTTATCAACGTTCACAGCCGTTGGAAACGCCATCTCGAACAACGCAATACAACTGCACCTCCCACTGCACGTCGGGCACGCGATCTCTTTCCTGAACACACGTCCTCCCTCACGTCTGTCGCCCAAGATGGGCGTCGACCCATACGTGGGTTGCAACTTCGACATCGCCAAGGATGACTGCACTTTGGAGACGTGCTGCCTGGCGCAATCCTACTTTCTTTACCGGCCGGACTACTCGGGGAATCTCTTCTATGTCATCTTCTTCTTGGCTTTCATCTTCCCGCAGGTCGGACTGGGAATCAAGTACAAGACTTGGGGTTACATGGTCGGCCTGTTCCTGGGACTCGTGCTGGAGGCCATTGGTTACTGTTCGAGGATCGGTCTCCATCAGAATCCGTTCTCGCAGGGTTCTTTCATGCTGTGAGTTGATCAAAGAAACTCTTTACCAACGAATCCGGCTAACAGCTTCGGAAGATACCTCGTCGGCTTGACAATAGCGCCGGTCTTCATCACAGCGGGCATTTACCTTTGCTTGAGTCGCCTCATCATTCTCTACGGCGAGGATCTCTCCATTCTCCCACCAAGGACGCTCGCAGTCTCGTTCATGACCTCGGACTTCCTCACGCTTGTCATGCAAGGCGTCGGTGGGGTGTGGGCACAGACAGCACACCAGAAGGGCGAAAATGCGAGACCCGGTCTGAATTTGATGATCGCCGGCCTTCTTTTACAAGCCATCAGTCTCGGCTTCTTTGTGGTCATCGGAGCACTCTTCATGCTTCGAGTCCGGAGAGGAATGCCAGATCAAAGCCCTAGCAAAGTCTTCACGCGTCGACGACCGCTTTTCAAGGCATTCTTAGGCGGCCTACTCCTCAGCACTATCCTGATCCTGATCCGGTCGATATATCGCGTGGCGGAGCTCTGGGGAGGCTTCAAGGGGAAGCTATGGAACGACGAAGCCGACTTCATGGTTCTGGATGGCTGCATGATGGGCATTTCAGTAATCTTGTTGACCGCATTTCATCCTGGACCGGCTTCCGGCGCGCAGTGGAGCGCCTCGAACTGGAGCTTGCGAGGCGACATCGATCCCAAGATTGAGCTTTCGAGTAACCCTGATATGCCTCTCGGGCCTGAGAGGCAGATGGTATCGCGGTGGAAGCACAAGAGCCGGCTTTGATCAAAGCTGAAGATATACGCGTATATGATAGCGGGCGATGGGGCTTCTTTTTAGGTGCATGCTGGGTGTAAGGAATGGTTGCAGGTGATGAAGTAGGGCTTTGGCAAAGTGATCTTCGCAGGACTGAGTACGTCTTTGGACGAGGGCCTGGCCGGGAAGCAACCGATATTTTGAGCAGACGTAGTTCTCGCAAAAAAGTGCGGGAAACGTCGCAAAGCTATCTTGGAGTAGTTCAAATTCGCCCGACAAGGTCTTCATTTGCCACACATTGCATAGCTTGCGAAATACGGAAATCTGCAAGTGTTTATCGCGCGCTTGGCCACGTAGGTATTCGTTCTGCCTCTCACACCGCAAACGAAGTCCGCATTGGGGTACGCAAACACCTTGTAACACCTCGCCATGCTGACGTTAACTCTGGCGCCCACCTAACCCTACTCCTCATTGCCGCGACTACAAGGCTACCGAGCGAATGGGAGAAGGAACAGGCGTCAAGAAGGAGCCGCTTCCGTTCTGTCTCGACGCTCATCCTCTGTCACCACGCACCCCCCCTCGTGCTGATAGCGGCAATATGGTTCCTCTTCGAACTGCGGAAGACGTCTTCCAGAGATGATCTCAGATACTTTTTTTATGCAGACCGGCACCTTACCCACCGACAAGACCTCCGTCCCCGCTCCAATCCAGCACATCTGACCATGAATGAGGTAGGTGTACAAGGTAAAAGCTAGGTTTCAACCCTCGCACGAGCTGTCAGACGTCGAATCAGGTGCCGAAGGACCCATAGACGATCCCTCCGAGTAACGCATGCGCCCTTGACTCCTCTAGGAACGCGAAGGACCCAAACCCTTCCATGTGCGAGCAGGGTGATGAAACTCTACTGCTCTCTACCTTGCTAGTAGGTGGAGTACTGCGATTCCGAGGGCCTTCTTTATGCTTGACATAAGATGCGACGTGATTCGCAATTGTTTGCTCCGCTTCTACTAATACATACATCCATACTTTGTCGTGTACTCCCACGTTGCTTTTAGACGAGGCGGCAGGATTCTGACCTCGCATTGTGCGAGTGACTTCGTATCATCGCTGAGAGCTATATATCTACCGTCCTCTCGACTCAGCTTACAGTGCGTGAGCACATCGCCAGCGTCTGGAGAACATCATGGCAACCGCAATGGACATACCAATCGCAGGCTGGATCAGACCCGACAACGCCCTACACCTTGCCATCTCCTTCGCCACCCTCTACGTCCTCTATCACACCATCCAAACAATCTACATCGCCTACTTCGGCCCGCTATCAGCATTCCCAGGCCCCAAACTACGAGCTCTGAGCCGCCTCCCGCGCATTATAACTCTAGTCAAAGGCACCGAGCCTGTCGACTTCCCAGCTCTGCACAAGCAGTACGGACCCATCGTACGCATCGCCCCGGATGAGCTATCAGTAAACACGGGCGCATCAGGCTGGAAAGATCTCCATGGGTTCAAGAAACCCGGTCAGAACCACCCTTTCAAGGATCCGTTCTTCTACGGCAAGCCGTTCAACGGAGTCGACTCCCTCATCACAGCGAATGATGCCAATCACACTCGTCAGCGTAAGCTAGTCTCGCATGCCTTTGCGGATAAGTCCCTGCGGGATCTGGAACCGATGTTGAAGCAGTGGGCCGGGACGATGAAGGAGAAGCTGGGCGAGAAGGCTGCGGCTGGAGAGAGCGTGGATATGTTGAAGTATTACAACAGCACGACGTTCGACATTAGTACGTTCGCCTCGAATCCTGTCTACTGACGTTGCTAACGAAGAACAGTGGGCGACCTCTCTTTCAACGAAGGCCTCAACATGCTCGAAGACGGCGAATACTCCAGCTGGGTCAAAGCCATCTTCCTCGGTATCAAGAACGCAACGTTCCTCCGCGCGATCAAGATCTCGTCCTGGATTGGGAAGTATCTGGTAGATGAATGGCTGTTCAAGAGTGAGACGGTTCGAGTCAAGCAAGCCGAGCATTGGAACTATACCAAAGAGAGAGTCAATCGACGACTGGCGAAGACGCCTGTACGAGCGGATCTGTGGAGTAAGATTTTGGAGAAGAGCAGCGGGCCTGATGGGTTGACGACTGAGGAGCATCATTCTCTGGGCGCTCTCCTTGTAAGTTGAAGGGATTTAAGAAGTATAACCAAAGTGATGACTGACCTATGCCTGCTTATGTAGATGGTCGCCGGAACCGAGACCACGGCGACGGCGCTCAGCGGTGTTACCTACTACCTCTTGCGAAACCCCGAATACCTCAAGAAACTCACGCAGGAGATTCGCGAGAGCCATTCGAGCTTCGACGACATCACGCTGGAGTCCATCGCTCGGCTGAAGTATCTCCACGCCGTCCTGCAAGGTAAGAACCATCACCCAAACCTTCCTGCAGCAGAGCTGACATCCACACAGAGGGCCTACGATGCTACCCACCCGTACCCACCGGCCTGAATCGCCGCGTCCCCAAAGGCGGCGCGACAGTCTCCGGCGTCTTCATCCCAGAAGACACGTCCATGAGCATCCACCAGTTCGCAACGTACCGCTCCGAAGACCACTTCAAGAACCCCTACGAGTTCCACCCTGAACGATGGCTGGGCGACCCCGAGTACAAGGACGACCATTTGGTTGCCGTGGAGCCGTTCAGCGTGGGCCCACGGAATTGCATCGGCAAGAACCTGGCGTGGCATGAGATGCGTTTGCTCCTGTGTACGGCGCTGTTGAGTTTTGATATGGAGTTGTGTGAGGAGTCGGTGGATTGGAAGGATCAGAAGATTTATAGTAAGTTCTTCACTGAGAGGTTGTGGCTGCTCAAACTTACTGACGTTTGGCAGTTCTCTGGGAGAAGAAGCCGCTTATGTGCAAGTTGAAGCCAGCCCAGAAGTAGAGAGTAGGTCGTGCAAAGGAACTGCAGGATTCCGGCATTGGGAAGCAGCATGCTTTCTCTCGTTGGACGAGATCAATCGCCACTTCTACCGTAGCAGGCCCGGGTCATGACCCTCGTGATAGGTTACAAAGCGGGCGTTTTGGCGCCGATGATCCATACGCTGGCGAAGATTCTTGGCTCAAGGGCTAAGTAGTTGATCGAGGCATCGTCGCGTTGCCAGCAATGATACCATGTTGACCGACTTCAATTGACCAGGAGAAGTGATATACCGCGAGTCCATCTGGCGAACCTGTCCTGGCCATTTCGTTGTGAGCCTTCAGAGGACAGTTCTTGTCGCCCGGCGGTGTACACGTGGAATCTGTAGAGCATGGTCGATTCAAACTTGAGGCGCAAGAGACCATGTCGCATGCATTCCGGCCTGACGGGGACGCGGAGCGTATCCTTCCTATGGGCTACAGTCATCACTGTGAGCAGGCTTAAGGGGGTTTGTCAGCGATTTCCTCTTCAATTTTGCAGCCGCCTGGAGCATGACCACGTAGCCGCTCTTCCGGCATGGCAACGCCATCGTGAATGGAGGTTCTGGACTCCGTTCTGCCTCTCTTCAAGCAGGCATCTCGAAGTCCAATTTGAAGTGAGCCACGCTGCTGCAGTGACATCCATCTCGAAGCGCCCACAGGACCGTGAGAAGTCCAGCGACATAGTCATCCTCGTCGATGTCTCGCAAAACCGAAAGCTCATCGACAAAAGCCAGCCAACATCGCTTCGATCTTCGAAAGGAGCAACAAGCGCCTTGGCAGGGCGAGAAGAGAAAGCCTTAAAATTAGGAACCATGCACGAGCTTTTGCTGCACTTCGAAGTTCCGTCCCGACAAACAGGTGTTTGTTGCTGTCGTGTGACTGGCGCCGGATGATGTGGAGTTTGTGTTGACGAACAACAATACGGGCGTCCGGGTGGCTTTTCACGAATTACACAGCCTGCTGCGAGCGTCAGCAAAAGGACAGAAGCAGAAGCGGATGATGATGTTCCTGTTGTTGCAGCCCGCAGGCGACACCGGATGCGCGGTTGTATTTTTTCGAAGGACCATATAGGGGTAAAGCTGCTATTGGAGGCCGTTGGCGCCGTGGGTGATTGGTTCAGTCGAAGCGTGGCGTCGAATCAAGCGCGTCGGTCTCGCCGCTTGCAGGCCTGCCAAGACCGGCCCTTCTCCCTATCCTCGTCGTCGCCCTTCTGCGTTGCTGTTGATTTTCATCAGCCTTCTTCTACCGTGGGTGCTTTGGTGCGGCGTGCCGTAACTGAAGGATGCGACCCCAACGCTAGTCTCGGCGCGCCACCCGTCGACGACCATGTATCTGGCGCTCGCGTTCGTGCAGCATTCTCCTCCTCTTTGATCATCCTCTCGTTGACGGGTGTTTTGTATTTTTGATTCATTCTTTCTGCGTCAGCCACGGGGCACCTTTGAATCTTTGGGAGACACACGTATTCGTTTCCGTGTCCCCGTTTGCTCTTTTTTCGTCTCTTGTACACGCACTCACGATCGTTCATTGCACAATTTCAGCGTTCGTTTTCCATGTTGTCGTTTCTCTTTGGAAACCCCACCTAACAATTACGCCCCACCATTCGTTGACAATATGCAACACCGGTCATGGTTGAAGAGTTCTCTTGCACTTCCTCTTTTCTTGCTATCGCCGCTCCAGGCCGCCGCGGATATCCACAAATACGACAAAGACTCTGGGTTGTTTAGCTATGTAACGGTGCGCATCCGGGAGGGCTCCAAAACTTGCGAGACTGGGCATTAACTGACATTCTGTTCAGCATCCCGAAATCAAAGCGCCGAGATGGAAGGTCAACATCACCGAACCGGACCTCGTAACTCCAGGATATTGGTTCGTAGCTCCGTTCGAGAGAATCGACCAGCCTGAGCCAGGCAATGGTTGGATCGGCCCTCACATATACGATGGCAACGGCGAATTGGTATGGAGCGGGGTGTCCATGACCGAGAACTGGGATACCATTGATTTCAAGATGAGCAATGTACGCGGCAAGGATATGATGACATTTCTGGTCCAGCGAACGGGCAACGGCCTGATTGTGGATAATTCTTTTCAACTGCGAGAGACAGTCGACGTCGGTACTCTCGGGGTTGACTTCAACTCGCATGAGTTTAATTTTATCGAAGACGGAACCAAGGCCATCGTACTTTCCGAGGGCCGAAGGAACGCCACCAAGGAGCAGGCTCTGGGCGTCAAGTATGAGGAGGGGGAATGTGTCGCCATGTTTGATGGCTTCAAGGTACTGGATACCAAGACGTGGAAGCCGCTGTTCGAATGGAGCTCGTTCGATCATGTCGCACTCAACGAGAGCACATTCCTGGACGGCCCGATCAAAGACTTGTGCACCAGTCCGTGGGCTTGGGACTTCATGTAAGTGAGTCGAACGTCTTTGGTCGTTGCTTCACTAACACTCCCAGTCATCTCAACTCCGTCGACAGGGACCACAATGGTGACTTCTATGTCTCTGGGAGACATACGGACACCATATATAAGGTATCCAAGGATGATGGACACATCATGTGGAGGCTGCATGGCCACCAGAAAGATGACGGCGAGTGGGATGCGAAGGGCCTTTCCTTCTCCAGGCAGCACAACGTGCGCTTTCGCGGATTCAACGGTACCCACGAAATCATCTCAATCCTTGATAACGCCCATGGTCAGGACAAGCAACACGCCACGCATGACTTCTCCAGAGGTCTCACCATTGCCCTGAAGACCGATGTAGAGCCCAAGACTGCGGGCATCGTCCAAGCAATCGATCATCCATTGGGCCACGGAAACTATGCTCCACGACGGGGCAACTACCAGTTGCTGCCGAATGGCCATGTTTTCATGGGTTGGTCTGAGCAGGCTACCCAGAGTGAGCACACCGAGGACGGAAAGCTCGTCATGCAGGCCACTCTGGCGACCGAGTGGCTTGGTACCTATCGCAGTTACAAGTTCCCGTTCGTAGGTCAGCCAGCGCATCCTCCGAGGGCGGCGTCCGCGGCGTATATGAGTGAGTACAGGAACACCACCTCGACGGTGGTTCACGTGAGCTGGAACGGCGCCACGGAAATCGCATCGTGGAATCTGTACAAGACCACCGAGTCGGGCTCCCCAATGATCAAGATCTTCTCGAAGGAAAAGACGGGTTTCGAGACCGCGATGGTATGGGAAGGATTCGCCGCCTATGTCATCGTGGAGGCAGTCGACAAGTCAGGAAACGTCGTCGGAAGGTCGAACATCGCAAAGACCTTGGAGCCACCAGAGGATGCCATGAGCGCCGCCGTGGCCGAGGAGTTGTTCTGGCTCCAGGAAATTTCCGGCGAGAACGATGGGTGGAGGGGGAAGGATGTCTATGTTCCAATCCCTGCTGAACGAAGCTTCAGCGTCTCTCTTTTAATCTTTTTCTTTGGTGTGGTCTGTAGCGTGGCGGCCTTCATCGTGGTATGGCGGCTGCGGGCGAAAGGGTATCTCCGCGGTGTGAAGACCCAACGGTATCAGGCGCTGGCGGATGAGGAGAAATTGGGCGACGAGGAAGTGGCTGAGCGGCCATATCCTCAGCGGCATTCAAGTCGAGGATTTCGAGATAGCTCTTGACTAGTGACTGCATTTCGTGATGGCTGCGTCCAACAGAATTTCGCTGAGGAGTCGTATCCTGATGAGAGTCGAAAGGTCCAGGGTGGGAAGGAGAAGAAGATGTAGAAGAAGATAGAAAGTCCAAAAAAAACTTGAAAGTCTCTCGCAGAAAAGGAGTCCAACAACCGTTTTCGTTTAGAAGAAGGATGCAACTAAACTCAAGAGGTGAGGTGAGGTGGTGGTAAGATTTATTGTTTGCCTTGAAGCAAGGGAGGAAGGAACGGAAGGTTCAAGGCGTGGTGTGCCACGCCGCAGGATACAGAGCACGCGATTGAGCACGCCATCTCCCAAGACTTCCACTTTGGAATGAGTTGACGATAAGATGGATGCACAAGCGAAACGAGACGTTTTGTTGATGATTACCAGCTGATGGGGCGTTTCGGAAGTAGGTGTTGCAGGAAAAGGGAGGAGATGATGCTTCGGATGTTCGTATCTGAGGAGACCTACCCTGGGCGAAACGTCTCAGCAGCGAAGGGAACAACCATGTTGACCTACGACCAGGGGCTCTGTGTATTGTGGAGAACGAAGACCGCGACCAAAGTATAGGGGCCTTGAATGTGTCGAGTAGGCTCAAAAAGACGGCTCGTCGGATGCAGAATACATGCCCTTGACATATTGGTGAAGTCTCCTGTGTTCATATCAACATTATTGTCTCTATCTAGTCCGTCTATCTTTTCTTGTATACTGTGCATGCAGATCATTCTTATTGTGCCCTCACTCAGTGGGTTTCGGAATCCACCATCAACGATTATGTTGCGTCTCGCTGTCGTAGTGAATTGAAAGACAGTCCGGCTTCCTGTGCCAGTCGGCCTCAATAGAACTATTGAAATCGGCACTAACGCGATGGCCAAAAATAATTGAAAGTTTCGTATGAGTGCCAACTACTTAGCGTATGCTGCAAAGTACAGTCAGTCTGGTCATCTCTATTACAATTGCATCCAACGTACCTTTAATCGCCGGCTCCACAGTTGTGCTATCCGGATACAGCAGCGTCGTCACCGCAGCAGTGAGAATAGAGTTCTCTGTCAAAAGCAAATCGGAGAGGTCCAGCCCTGAAGTCAAGTATTGTCCACAGATGCTGTTCAAATCGATCCGAGAGACCTGTCCTGGCCCGTCATGTGAAAGAGCGTCGACGAGGAGAGCATATCCGATGGGATTGTAAAGGGTCCCCTCGTGAGTATAGAAAGAGCCTGCAGGCTGGCCGGGACAGATCGTTTGGACCTCATTGTTCGTTACGCCGACTTGGCGAGCATCCAGGAGATATGCTGAAGCGGCGGTCCCTTGTTGAGGCTCGACGATCTCGTCGAAGAAGCCGCTGTATATAGTAGTCGTCGTAACATATGCCGAATCGCCGCCATTCGATCGTAACGTCTTGATGAAGTTTGAATTGTATTCTTGCGACAAGAAAGCTGGCGGCAGAGGAATGTCTGGGGTCGCTGCGAAGTTTGCGAAGATGGTACCATGGTAGTCTGGCGAGAACGCAACAATATCAGTGATCTTACTCCTCGTGGATGGCCAGTACTTGTTCGCCCATTGTGCACTAAGGCCGCCTTGAGACCATGTGAGAACGGCAATCTTTCGCTGCCTGCTGATGCCGTAGATGTAGTTGATTGCGTACGCCACGTACTCTGCATTCACCTGGGCATCGTTGAGCTGGTAACCTGGGATGTTGAGCCAGACTGGATCGGCTATCTTGCTGTTCTGCAGGAGAGGGATGTAGTTCCCGACGAAGTTGATGTAACCCGTGTTGCCAGTTCCAGGAACCAGAATGATAGGTTGGGGCGCGCCAGCACGGCCATACTGGAAGGAAGAGGGAATGTGAATAGCACCACGGAGCTGCGCTTCCGACTGCGAGTATGGTGCATCGCGGAAGTCTGCCTTTGGTAAGACCGGTATCGACGGTATTGCGAGGTCCACATTTGTTTCGCTGTTGTCGCCGGTCAACAGACCATCCACGAAGCCAACCACCGAGTTCACATTCTCAGTGGTTAGTCCGGCAGCTACGAGATTGCCGACAAAGGCGTAGATGTTGGACGGTGTTGGAGTCGCTTCGAGGATGTGCGACAACGTGGAGATAGCTTGCTGCGGTGATGTTGGAGCGGCCGTCGCAGTGACCAGTTTCAGGTCCTCAAGAAGGTTGTCGACAACATCTCCGCTCGCGACGCCCGACGCGACAGAATTCAAGTCATTGAGGATGTTGAGGATCGAATCTCGCTGCTGGAGATCGATGCCGTCCTCAGTGGGCGTAGGTGCCGCACAAGAAAAGCTGAATTGAAGAACGGTGGCGAAGAAGGGTACCAAGATGCTAACGAACCGCATCTTGAAGACGATGCACCAAGAAGAAGCCAGTCAAACAGAATGGGGAGGCGTGTAGGACAAGAATGCGAAAAGAGCAAGAAAACAATCCATACCTTCGTAGGCTAATGCCAGGGATGATCTCCCGTCCAAGTGGACGTCGGCGGCGTCGTAGTAGTAGCATTGTCGAATCTATATGAACGAAAATGGAAGTTCCACAGTCTGCTGAATCGTGAGCAGAGCAGATAGGCTTTAGATGGTGTCGAGGGAATGATGACGCTGCACCACGCGAGTAAGTCCTATTCGGCGAAAGGCAGAGTCAGTGGGTCATAAATTCCGGCGCAAGGCTCTCCCGCAACACTTGCAGGAAGCCGTGTGGTCATCCAGAAGTCCTCGTAGCTACTACTGCGCATTGCTCTTCGAATTGATAGGAGCGCGCCAGTAGGACGTGGGGGATGTGAAGTCTTGCGCGCATGTGAATGTATCGGAGAGATGTGTGTTTCAAAGATCACGTTTGAGCATGTGTGGCTTGGGGTGTATTTTTGGTAGCGCGTTCAACAGGGGGGCACGTGGGTCCATGAGATTGGGATCCTGGAGCCAGATCCCGCCAATGGGAGATTTTGAGTATGGCTGCCGTCCAACCGAAACTCTATAATATTGGACGTCACATCATCAGTGGGGTCACTTACTCGCTCCATGAACTCCTTTTGCATGACGAATCGATAGTTCCGACAACTCGTCAGTGCACATTGGTATTACGGATCACGGACTTTGTGCCGAATCAGCACCAGTAAGTGGACTAAAGCCATCCTACCCAAACATCCCAAACATCAACATGGCCGATCGATCTGGTTCGTAGTTGCCGGCAGCTGATCCTCGGCAATAGAGCTCCATTGAAACGACGTCTTCGATCGAATTATTGATTGAACAACTTGAACAGCCATGTCTGCGTACCGTATATCCGTTCCAGATGAGAAGCTCGTCACTCTGAAGATCAAGCTCGGTCAGGCTGAGTTCCCCGACGAGGTAGGATGTAACGTGAAGCGTGTGTTGGTAGCTCCGACTAAACATCCCAGCTCGATGGCGCGGCTTGGGAATATGGCGCTCCATTGAAGTACGCCGGACGAAGGTAACATCACATAACCCATATCAGATACTGAGACCTTCTAGGGATATCCAACGCCTCACAAAATACTGGCGAAACGGCTTCGACTGGCGAGCCCAAGAAGCCAAACTAAACGAACTCCCCAACTACCACGCCCCCATCAAAGTCGAAGGCTTCGGCGAATTAGACATCCACTACCTGCACCAGCCCTCTGAGAATGCCGACGCCATCCCCTTGCTCTTCGTCCACGGCTGGCCAGGCTCCTACATCGAAGTCACAAAGATCCTCCCATTACTTCGTCAATCCAACCAAGGCGTTTCCTTCCACGTCGTAGCGCCTAGCCTGCCACACTTCGGCTGGTCTGAGGGCGCGAAGAAGACAGGGTTTGGGTTGGCGCAGTATGCGGAGGTTTGTGATCAGTTGATGCAATCTCTTGGGTACAAGACGTATGTAACCCAAGGTGGCGATTGGGGGTTCTACATTACCAGAGCTATTGGATTGCGGTACCCTCAGAGATGTCTCGCTTCGCACATCAATATGATCCGGGCTTTCAAGCCGACGTTTGGCAAGCATCCGTTGCTGGCGCTGGAGCATGCGCTGTTGCCGTACTCCGAAGTTGACAAGAAGGGGTTCGAGAGAACGTAAGATCTGAACTCATGCACAGACCTTGAAGCATACTGACGGTGACCCTGTGAAGCGCCTGGTTCCAAAACGAAGGCAGCGGCTACCGCACCCTTCAAAGCACCAAGCCACAAACCATCGGCTACGCGCTACATGACAGCCCAGTCGCGCTGCTGGCATGGATATACGAGAAGCTTCACGACTGGACAGATAGCTATGCATGGACTGACGATGAGATTCTGGTCAGTTCGAACAAGATCTTATCGAATGTCAAGGACGGTGCTGACTCGCAACTCACAGACTTGGATCAGCATCTACTACTTCTCCACCGCGGGCCCCGCCGCCAGCGTGCGTATCTACTACGAAGCAATCCACACCAACGCTGGCGGCATCACGCGAGATCGCACGCAAGAATGGATCCCCAAGGTCAAGCTCGGTCTTTGCCACTCGCCAAAGGAGCTCGGTATAGTTCCCTCGACATGGGTACGTAACATCTCATACACCTGTACGTTGGAACATCACTGACGCTCTCTCTTCCAGGCACGAACTCTCGGCCCGGTCGTCTACGAAACCCGCAAGGCTCACGGCGGACACTTCGCTGCATGGGAGATTCCAGAGGAAATCGTGAAGGATCTGCGAGCCATGTTCGGAAAGCAGGGCAAATGCTACCGTATCACGGGACCGCAGTCGAAGCTGTAAATACGGCGTGTCGGAGGAAGGAGATATCGAGGGCTGTACATGACATGACACGAGAATGAATGATCGAAAGTTTGTAACGATAAGGACACACGTCCAGCATGAAAGTTTGTGAGAAAATGTATCAATTCTCTAATATCTCTGGGAATATGACCCGTAGAATCTCGTCTATTAGGGTGAGGATCAGGTGCGTGCTAAAACGTCACCGTTAGCAATTATTCCACGAAGAGGCAAAGAAGGATGGGAAGACGTACTTTAGCCTCGGATTGTTCAGCATGGCAACAATCTTTCGACTTGCAGCCTGCGCATTAGCTTTGCCAACCACACTTCCAGCCAGGTCTGGGACCAAGGCAGCAAGTAGTAGACCAGCCTCCCTGCGAGTGCGAGCTTTTTCCTGTGCGGTACGAGGAACGCTAGGAGGCCGCATCCTTCCATTCGGCCACATGATATTCTTTAGGGTCTCGACGTGGCCGGCAAGCTTCTCGTCCTCCAGCGCATTACGAGCAGTCTCTCGGACCTTGCGTTCGATCGTTCCGCCCAGGAGCTGGTGCAACACCACGACAACGGTCCGCCCACGAAGCCAGCTGGTGCCCTTGGCAAGCTCAAACGTCTCAAGGAATAGATCGCAGATGGGCTTGACGAAAGGCTCGGCCTCTTTCGTGGCCTCGTATGCATTCAGCTCGGCTTCCGCCTCAGCTGCGGTGGCTGGGTCCTGAGTTGCCGGGTCGAGACTATCGACAGGCGACCCGCCGTTGATCTGTGATGTTGCTGCTGAAATCAAGTTCTGGCCCGCGACGGATAGCTGGTCGAGGACAGGTATGTTGCCAAGGAACTCTTCCATGCCATCTGAGACCGAATTGTAGATTCGTGTGACGAAGTCCTTCGCGTCAGCCTGAGTACCGTTGCCTCCATTGGATGCGATGGCCGACTGTGAAAGGAAAGCGCGCAACTCGCGGCTTCCACAAATTGCCGGCACGAGCAGGAGAGATTTCAGATAGCGCTCCAAAGACGCTCGTCGCTTTTGCAAGAAGTCTTTCTGCAGAGTGAACAGAGTCTGCCGCCGAGGAAAGTCCAGATCTTTGACGTTCGGAAACCGTGCTTTGAGCCTCTTGTGAAGTTCGTGGAATTGGCTGTACCTTCGTGTCACCGCCCACGTTGCAGCCGGCATTTGGTCACCTGCCTGGCGTCGAACTTCGATCACGTAAAGGGCATACTCGTGCCCGTCTTCCTCCCGTCCCACCATAACCGATTTGATACTGACTGCTGCTCGCCCGTAAAGACTGTTGTCGCTCTCTTGGACGACATACTGCTGCTTCTGCATCTCCTTGCGTTTGATCTCCCGCTGGAGACTTTGTTCAGATTTCCGCAAGATGCGCATTTCGGCGGTGTTGTTTGTCAACTCGGCTTTCGCAGTCAGCGAGTCCAGCACGTTCCTCTGAGCATTGAGTCGCTCAATCTCTGCATTTAGCACATCAATCGCCTCGGCCAAACCAAGATCGCCAGGCGCAGCTTCTTGCACTTTGTCGTCGTCGCTAGTGTCAGCGCCATTGGAGTCTTCACGCTCATCCTCGGCGAACTTCTCTGCCTCCTCGCCGAAAAGATCATCAACGAAGACGCCTCTGCTGGAAGGAGCTCCAACCAAGCCCAAAGACGCGATGCTGGGCTTTCCACGGTCTGACGAAGCTTGGGCTGCAAGTACTGGCCTCTGCAGTGCATCGAGCGACTTCCGTTGTTCAGCCTCTTCAAGAGATTGCCTCCCTGTTGATTCCGAGAAAAGGGAATCCTGGTCACGGTCACCGCTGACGATGTTGTCCAGCGCCAATTGCATCTCCCTGACCGCCTTCGCCTCTTCCTGTGCCTTTCGAGCCGTTTCGCCATCAGAGTCGTAGCTTTTCAAGCTGGAGACAGACTGTATCATCTTCTCGTCTTCTACATCATCCTCAAAGAGCGCCGGCCGACTGGTTGTATTGCCATCGTCCAGCGAACGACGCGGACTGTCTGAGAACAGGCTACCTGTAGAAGCAGTACGAGCTGTTGCTTTGAGATCAGAGGTGGACAGCACCGCACGTCTCAATTCGGGTTCCTTTTGCAAGCCTCCAAGCTGTGGCTTTCGAGGTATCACTGGCGACGAGTCATTGCTGCCAGCACTGTCTGGCGATAGCATGTTCGTCTCTCTGGCTTGAGAAGCAGCAGCAAAGGCGGGATTGTCATCGATGGCAAGCCACTTGTAGAACAAGTCTGAGCGCTTGAAAGCATCAAATTGTGCATCTCTCATGATGTTGTACACTCGTGTCTGTGTCTGCAGCACAGCACGCCGAGCTGCAACATAGTCTTCCGTTTTTGCTTTCGAACCAGCTTTTAGATAGCGCTTGACAAGCTGCAGTACATCGTCCGATGTTTGCAGCTCAGGTTGACTGAGGTACTCGGCGTACATTTGGCCAATGTCCATACGGTCCGGATCAGTTGCAACAGATGGAGGAGGCTCATCCATATCACCTTCCAGCGGACTGCGAAAGCCATCCACGACGAGATAGAACTGCACCATCTTCATCAGCTTCTGCCGATCCATGAACTCCATGAAATAGCTGAGGCCAGCAGCGTCGTAGATCACTTCGCGCAATGACGCTTGTCGCTTACGTGCAGTTGCGTCTTGGTTACGCTTCGGTGGCTGGACGGCCAAAGTAGGCTTCGTCTTGGCAGGTCCGTTGGCAGGATTGGAAAGACATGCTATCCTCTGGTCCAGCAACCTCCTACCAGTCTCGAGCCTTCGTAGATATGCTGCATCCTGGCCTTCGACCTGAGAATCTCGCCTCAATTGACTCATGATCTCGCTGCGAAAGCGTCGAGCATCGATCAAAGTCTGAACTTGCCTGATCGCTCGCACGAATCGCTCAAATTGCCGTTCACTGTCGTAGGGTCGCAGTCTGGGGAATTGGCCACTTCTGGTAGCACGAGGCGAGGCCGGTGCATGCTCGTCCAGGGCAGCACGGACTCTCCGTACTGTCTTTCGATCGTGAAGCGTAGCACCTCCTACATTGACGATCATCTGGTTCCAAAAGTCCGGGTCCGAGAGCATGTCAAGAACAGGCCCTATCACTGCGCATGCCACAATCTCTCGAATCAATGCCGTCACCGCAGGACTGGATTTCATATTAGATGGCAGGACTGCCGGCAAAATTCTCTCGATCAACTTGCGCATGTAGGCCCTGGACGATGCTCCTGTATCCGCATGCGCCAATGCTGCCACAGGGTGCAGCTTGCCATTCCTGTACTTGCTCGCAATCGCCGTGTTCAACTCATCACTCTCAGTGACATTGTTTGACAAGTCCTTCCCTCTTACCAGCCGTTCAGCGTCGTAGAAGTCTTTCAGGTGGGCCGTAATAATCGGAAGTGTCCTCGATATCCCCAGCTCCACGAGATCAAGCTCCGTCAGCCTGGCCGTAACTGACAACAGCACGGCGCGGATGCACCGATCAATCTCGTTCTGGAACAGTGGCCGCTTGCTGATGTGTCCATACCAGCTGGTCACATAGTCCCGCAGTATGACATCCAGCAAGCCATCAACTGCCTTGGAGAAAAGCAATGCATCTGGAAAGATGGTGGGTCTTCTGTATTCCTCTCGTCCCTTCAGCGCCGCCTTCTCTTCCTCCCAAACGCCCGGAGCGGTGAACGCCGGCGTGATGGCGCCATATCTCTGCCCAACATGCTCTTCGTCGCGGCGGATGCGTCTCGATGTGGTGACTACGACGAACGCGGCTCCGGCGGTGGTAGCAAGGACGCCGGCGACGAAGGCGTGGGGGATCCAGCGGAGGGCGGGCAGCCAGTCGGTCAGCAGGGCCCAGGCGAAGAAAGCGACTACAGCCGATGCGATGGCATATTTGCGCTCCAGGGGCATTGCTCGTCGGCACGCGCGTGGCTGCGTACTCGATGCATTCTACGCGGCGTGGGTGAGGTGTAAGTCCATGGCAAGCGTGGTGCATGTGCTGTCTTCTGGCTTCGGCGTCTCGCAGAAGCTTGGCCTGAGCTTATCTCGGCGACGTTCACATGTCAGTGAAACGATATACACATCTACTGGTCTATAGGTGAGATAACAGGTCGTTTTACCGTGTTGATATCATTTGCCCAGTTCAGTAATTGAGTATTCAACCCCTAGAGTGATTCTCGTAGTAATGATAAGCGAAGCTATATATACATATATTGACGAAACTCGTATCATACATCTCACATCGTAGCATGCAAATCACGGCCATGCAATCAACTACTCAATCGTCTTAGCACATTACCGACATAAACAAAGTGGGCAGTTCACCCACCCGAGGCTGTTTAAACCGCAGACTCAAGAAGCTGTCTCGCGCTCCGTAGATTGTCTTCAAATCCCTCATCGCTGGGAGGGAGTCGGTGCAGCTGAGCAGACATAAGCAGTTCGAAACTACACTCGAAGGACTTGTCAATCACCACTGACCAGTCGAAGTGCTCTTCAAACTCGCTCCATTCGCCGTCCATGCCGTTGGGCCGTGTCCGGAGATGCACTTTTACTTTCCTCCTTGGTGCTTCGTCATCCCAGCCGTCGAATCCTGGAAATGTCAGTACTCGTAGTACACTGCTTAGATGTGGAGACACTCACCTGCGCTGTGGATTCGGCGCCACTCTGGAATGTCAGAGCATAGCGGAACGTCTTTGTCGCAAAGTGCTTCCTCGAATCGAATGCACATTTCTGCCGTACGAGCAGTCGTCTCCACATGCCAGATGCCATCCCTGGTGGGTAGCTTGTTCAACTGTTCGAGAGCTTGGTGTCTTATTCTACCGTCTCGGCAGTGGGTGCATAGGAAGAATAAGGGGTGAATCAATCCTTCGTCCAGGCTGACAGAGAAGAGCCGTCTTTCTGCGTTGTCGCTGCCCATGATGAAAAGACACGTCGTCAATATGTCTTGGAATTCCGGAATGTACCTGTCGAACACTGCCGCCTCAGAGTAGAGGCAGGTGGCCGACAGGATGCGATTGATCTTAACGCGACTGCGCAGCATCCCCAAGCCGTGTTGTTCTCGAATGGTGAGTTTTGCCGTCGGTTTGTGCATGTAGTCCCACAGCAGTCGATCGAGGTTGATAAAGTGCTGTTCGAGCTCCTGTGCCTTTGCAAGCTCATCCAGAGCAACATTGCCTGGGTCTCGAAACTTGTGATCGTCGGCGACAGTCCTCATGAAGTGGAAGAGCCGACTAGTCCAGGTGGTGACCAGATCCCGGGCATGTGTAAGGTCGTGAAACGAATTTGGCAGCATTGAGTCCGTAGCGGCAGTATAGAAGGGTAGCCCTGGGACACGAGAGCCCAAGAACATCGTTCCCTGCAGATCCATCCTCATGATTGCTCTGACCAACGCCGGATTGACTTTCCTGGCATCGAAGGAAGTGCTCGATTCCAGAAGTTGGATTGCATTCTCCACGTGCATTAAGGCCGGTACGAATGACTCTCTCATGGACTCAAAGTGTATGCAAAGCAGCGAGCACAGCAGCACGATATCTAATGACGCATTGCCAGCTTTGAGCAATGCCTGCATCTCGTTGAGCGCTTTCGAGTACTGTGCGAGTGGGAATCCGGTCTTGACGAGAGATACATCGATGCCTTCCTTGCCGGCCGACTTTCTGAGAGATCGTTCTTCGTGCAGACTTCCAAGAGCATTGACAGCATGACGCACCGCTGGCTCACTGTGACTTAGCTGAAGCACGATCCTGTCCCAGACCGAGTCGGCAAAGTATCCTGATACAGAAGGTGCTGTCCGAGCCCGGAAAAAGTCGAATGTGCGCCTTTCCAGAGCGTCAGAGGATACATCGAGGGGCACAACAGCTAAGGGATCCGGCGATTTGATTCTCGTTGAATCACCGGGAACGGTATAGCCATCGCATTTGCGGCCAGTGGTCGTGCAGCGCTTACACCATGGTTTCTCTTCATCGCATTTGACTCGTCGTATCCTGACGGGGTGGTTGAGGCGTCAGCATAGCTCTTCGAGTTCGGGAAAATGCTACGTAACTGCGAAAGCTTCTAGGAAATCGCAGAAAAGGCGCCATAGAGTAGTTGAAACGAGGAGGCTTCGTACGCCGTATTCGGTTCTCAAGTGGCTGAGAGGGACAACCAGGCTGCATGCCTTCCAACTCCTGAACGAGTTTGTCCACATAACAACCCTACAGGGAGTCCGTATCTTGGCCCTTCCTCTGAAACACGAACTGGCTCGGAAGTGGCGTAAAGGACAAAGTATACCAAAAAGCAAAGAAAAAGTGTGAGATACGTACTTGCAAGTGATACATCCAGACCGCGTCTTTGGCGCGTATCGTCTCTGGTGACCCGGTCTCCTCTCCGGTCGAATGATCTGCTTTTCGGGTACATCGAGCCCGCAATGGTTGGCGTCTAGGGAAGATCGCGGCCGCTCTACCACCACGGCGGTGGAATCATAGCGCATCTCGAGATGCCATTGAGTCCGGGTCAGCCGAAGGGATTTGGTCGGCGACTGCCCGCGATGGTGAGTGGATTGCGCGACACAAGCGAGCTGCGGTGGTTGCTGATGGCGCTGTACGTGTGCGAGCGGACCAAGAAGACCGCATGCTTTTGAAATGGGGTCGATGCCTAATGCCAACCAGGTCTCTGGCAAGTGCTTGTCATGTTTGGTGACAGTCAGCGTCCAGAACAAGGGTACGGGATAACCATGCTCCGTGAGGTTGTGGAGCAGAGGGGAACGGAGCAGCTGTTGACCATAGCTGGTACGAGCAGACCAATCACAAGCGCTGTGCCACGTTTTCCGCATGCTCTCTTCTGCGCGGGATCCATGGACTTGGGTACAAGTATCCGCAGATTCGCAGCCTGCTCGTGGTGGAGTGCTTGTCCCTTGTGAAAACGGTCGCGAAAGCGATAGAGACACCAGAGTCGAAAGAACTGACGCCATTGATAGCAAGTGAGAGGAAGTATGGCGCACAGGTGGACCGATTCAGTGAAGCGTTGCATAAGTCCCTCGCATCGTCGTGCGAGAAATGCTGGAGAAGTTGATATGGTTATCTAATTTACAAAGTCGAGCCTGGAAGCTGTGCGCTACCTGGATGGATCAGGCTGAATCTCAACGTGTTCGAGGAAGCTGTGCATGGTCTGAGTGGTGACTTTCGAACAAGGCGGTTGCATCAGGCTATGGATGCGGTTGTCTTGGGGTTGGGCGTTCTGGCTTTGAGAGTTCAGTCTTCGTTCCTCTTGGTTTCCTGGCCGGCTTCTATTCTCTTCGCTATGGCCTCATCTTCGGAAGTGAGCTCAAAAGCCCGCATACGAGAGATGATGCGTTCATCCAGCTTCATTGGCTCAATCCAGACGCTCTCCTCATGCTCCTTTCGCGGTTCATGGATAGTTTTCCACCAGTCCTTCTCTTCGAAGTCCAGTACCGTCTTCTGTTCCGGCACTTCGACCGTCGAGTCTGAAGCGGAATCTTCGTCAACAGCACCCACACTTCCATATGGTCTGTGCGATGCCAGTATAGCAGATGCGACCTGCCGTCCGACGTCGTCTTGTAATCTCCTTCTGGTCAAGAAGCGATATATTCTGATCGGCGTGTTTCTTATGCCTAGTAGATGAGGCATCCGTATCCCAACACTGGGGCCTATGATTTCAGGCGTAGAGCGCGATAAGGTAGCGGTCTCGTAATCCTCAGGCAAGATGTATGGAGCCGGGAACCGTCTCTTGGGCTTCTCTTCCTCTTTCTTGACCTCTTCAGCAGGAGCTTCAGTTGCGGCATCTGCTAGCGATTCCTCTGTTGCAGGTGAAGCGTCATCGCCAGGGGTGCCTTCTGAAGGCGTTGGGGAGTCAACCGAATCTTGACCGACGATATTTGTGGCAGCCTTAACAGCCGCGTCTCCCATGGAAGAATGTCCAGGTGTATGCGCGCTCGTCGGTGTCTCTGGAGATTGATCATTTTCCAGTTCTTTCGGGGGATCAGCCGAGCCCAAGTAACCTTCGTGAAGACCTCTTATGTACTCCTTCCAGGTATTTCGCCCTATTACGAGGTCTCCTGCCACGCCTGGGTACTCCACATACCCGTTCTTCTCTCGCAGTGACTCCACAGTATACTCCTCCTCATCTTTCTGAGCTTGGGGCAAGCCTTCACCATTCCTCTTTCTCCTTTTTCTGATCTTCTCGGATGTCTTGTGTCGAACATCGCCTTCTTTTCGACCTTCCACAACATCCCAGTCCATGGCCGCAGCTACTAGCACGGGCTTCACGTAGTTGTGAAAGTGTTCTCGTGCATTTCTCAGTCCATCTCCTGGAGGTGCGGACAGGTAGATCGTGATTTTCCGTGGTGCTACTTTGGTATCGAGCGGCTCCTCCGCGATGTGTGAGACCATATTGCACCACTTTTCCCGCATACGCTTCGTCTGCCATTTGTCGTATATGACAGCGCCAGCGAAGGATCCGGTTATGGAAAGAAAGATCATCCAGTTTCTTGATGGTAGCCGAAGCCTGGGAAGGCCCATGGCCCTGAATGCCGGGTTCTGTTGCGGCAGAGGCTTCTTAGGAGCGCCATTGGAGCTGGTCCCGGCATTTGTCGACGACGCACTTGAGCTGGCACCGGCTGCGCTGTCTGCAGCCGGCGTGCTCGCCTTGTCGGACATGATCGTGATGAATCTTTGTTGCAGCGCGTGAGCACATGAAGACGAGCAGAGCTTCCTGAAAGTTTGACGACCCTGAGCTCGGAATTGTTCCGTCTTCCGCGGACTTCACAATCACATGCAAATGTAAAACGCGTGCATTGAACCGACATCTCTCTCTTGGAGGTTGAATTCGATCATGCTCATCATTGCAGTGCAAGTTACTTGGCTCACCAGGATATCGCATGTCAGAGGGTCTTCTACAACGCGTGAAGCAGAATGGTGAGGACATTGCTGTAGCACTACTGTATGCAACGGCGATCGTAATCATGCTTTCATTCATCATCTTATGCCTCCCGTGGTATCATGCTGAACTTCTTGAAACGCCGACCCCGTAACTATCTCCCACTCGCCATACTTCAAGCCGGGTGCTATTGCACGGCTGGAATCGCGCCCTCAAACATGTCATCGATCCCGTCCTGCTCCTCGTCGATCTCGTCTTCCTCACTCTCAATATCCTCCTCCCCTTCATCTTCATCCTCGAAACCAGTCTCGATCCCTCTAGCTTGGAGTCTGTCCTTCATCTCCTCCCGTCGCTCCTCCTGCCACCGCATGAGGGCTGCGCTGGCGTGTACGCGAAATCCATATATGCGAGGTTCGTAGCGGCGTTGGGTCTTCTGCGGAATCAGAGCTGGGTAGACCTGGAAGAGAATGTTGTGGAAGCTGGAGCCGAAGTACGCTCCATCGATAGAGTTGTGCCGTGAGGACTTGGGGTTGTAGATGTCTTCGCATTTGGCACAGTACAACTTGACATTTGAAGTGTTTGGCACATCATGCTGTCCCATGGGTAAGAGGTGCTGAGACTCGCATATCACCCGCGGGCATTTGCCAAAGACTCCCTGCTTGTACTTCTCCATCTTGAAATTTGTCAGCAGTAGTTCACATCGAAGGCGCCACGAAGAGTTTACCATCTTAGCAAGGCCTCTCGTTGTTACAACGTAGCGAGCATGGACCAGGCCGTAAAGATGCCTTGCGCTCTTCTCGATCTGCTCCCGCATGTCGTCTTCCACTTCCATGTCGAATACGTCCGTGACCAGATCCAGAGCATATTGATAGTACTGTACTTCCGTGTTAAGGCCAGTAAGATTGAATCGGTCTGTGAGGTAGTCCTCGTCGATCTCGCAGAAGTATTCGTTTCCTCGAGAAGAGATAAACTGTCAAAACAGTCAGTGACATGACAAAGTACAAGAACAGCCCAAAACGAATTGCGAGGCTTTTGCTGAAAACCGGACTACGTCTTCGAAGTTTTGAGATTTGGGGTGAGCCGTCGCTGAGCGCAAACGCATTACAAGATCACAAGATCTCCATTGCTGGTGAAAGGATCGTCCCCCACACAGCCCACCACTACTTCACAAGTTTACCAAGGTAAACTGTACTAGTAAAAGCAAGTGATTCCAAATATTGCAGGCGAGGTTCACGCATCGTAGATTCTTCGCTGAAAGCACTTACCCAGTCGCGCCAGTAGCTCGTGTAGTCGCTGTCGGTGTCGCTCGCCAAGTCGTCCATGGCCGAAAGGAGAGAGTCGAGTGGCTTGTACTCTTAGTATTCTCGCAATGCGGTCGTCCAATATGGCGAGAAGAAGTTGTCGGCGTGAAGGTGTGGTCCTGGTTCAAGTTGTTTCGACCGGCAAGGTTGATGTTGGCGGGCGGAGGCGGCTGCGGCCGGCCGCTCTCCACGTGTGGATCCTTGCACAAGCGCGACGTCCAACGCCAGGAGCTTGCAGGTCCTCCTTGTCTGTGAATTTCGTCGTCTCTCACAACCACACCCTTAACTGTCGTCGAAGTCACCGATGAGGCCGCGACCAGCCGAGGAATGTTCAGAGCAACGAAGTGAAAGACGATGAAGGCACCTCCGTGCCAACTATTGCGACCGCCTTAAACCCGCCGACCTTCCTAGGCCAGTCTGAACACCTCATGAAATGTATTGGCCCATCGGCGCGCCGAATGTCTACGCTCTATGGAAGCATGCGATTCCAGCGTCGCAACTGACGCATTCGGATGATGGTCTGAATGGTCAAGATAAGGAGAAGGACGATAATGCAACACCGAACAACGCTGTCGCATCAGGTGCAGCCTCCAATGGCGTACACAGCCCACAAAATGGACAAGCCTCACAGAGCAAAGAGAACCCTGAATTCGCAGAGCATGAAATACTTGATGTCAAAGTATCCAGGGGAGGCAGCATATTCGTCACCATGACCCGCTCCGCTTTGATGGTATGGCAGACGAAGCCCACAATAGCATTGGCAGGCGTTGTCCGCTCCGTGCAGTCACTGAATGCTTACGGGCCGAATACTGCATTGCTTCTGAGACCTGATGCCTTGATCATCGTTGTACAGACGACGCTCGGCTACCTCATCACGTACTCGTTGGCAACGGACCCAAATGCTCGGGTGTTCCAAACAGTGCTTCCAGAGTCCAGCAGGCATCTGCGACGACCAAGCGCCGAGGGTTACAATAACCTTAGGCGACAATCAGTCAATCCCTCGGGCAGCAGTGCGGGTGAGGGCGACGGCATCCGAGAAATCAATGTACGCTTCCGCATGGTCATTCGAATAGACGCTGGTATCAGCAGGGCCCTCGCTCTAGATGACGAGTTGGTCGTCGCAACTCAGAAGCCATCAGCATTGCAATGTATTAGATGGGTCGCTGAGAGTGGCTCTTCACAAACCAGCACTGAACTCGTTGGTCGCATGTCATGGATCGGACGCAAGGTCTCGATTGTCGAAATGGTGCACGACCGACCGATGAATCTCACCACCTGGATAACAAGCGATGGACGAGCCTATGCAGTACAGCGACGCGTTGGTGCAAATTTAGATCCTGACAATCCGAAGAGTCTTTTCCAGGGCTTTTGTTTCCGTGAGCCCGAGACTGACGACGCTGCTTCTACCAAGATCGCGATCAATGCACGGTTTTCCCTCATTTCTGTGGGATGTGCCAATGGCCAAGTAGACGTCTACATTGTCAAGGACTACACCGGAAACATCCCGTTTTCCCACAAACTACGACTGCAAGTTGGACCTACGACGACGGGGCACCTGTCATTTCTTGCGTACTCGCCGGACGGCTACTGCCTCTTAGCAGGATATGAGAAAGGGTGGGCAATATGGACTGTTTATGGCAAGATCTGTGCCACTTCTTTTGGCACCGACCGCTCGCAAGCACTGGCTAACGATGAGCCTTGGATTGAGGGCATCAAGAACGCATTCTGGGTTGGAGGAGGAAGCGAACTGGCGTTACTTCCAGTTGCTGACAACCGTCTTTGGTTCCTCGACATGGCCAGGAATGCTGCGACTGGATGCTTCTCGCCCTCGAATCTGTCTCGCGGCCTGCTGCATTCCAGTCGCGATGTGATTTTGTACAGAGGTCACGAAATAGCGGATGTCACGTCGTTACCTTCCGACATGTCCCTTTGGCAAACCATTCAGGTTCCCACGCTGTACTTGGTACATCAATGGCCAATCAAGATGGCGGTCGTATCCCCAGATGGCAAATACATCGCAGTCGCAGGCCGCCGAGGACTTGCACACTACAGTGTCACAAGTGGTCGATGGAAGACATTCGATGATTTACAAGCTGAGCAAGAGTTTGTAGTTCGCGGTGGCATGTGCTGGTATCAACATGTCTTGATCGCCGCTGTGGAGGCCAATGGCCGCTTCGAGGTCAGGCTTTACTCTCGCGAGAAAGCACTTGAGTATTCACACATCCAGCACGTTGAGCAACTCTCGGCGCCAGCAATATCGACGAATATATCTGGAACGGACTCACTTCTCGTGTACACCTACGACAACACTCTCCTGCACTACATCATAGTAATGACGGGCTCCTCTGCCAAACTCGTCCAGGTCGGACAGATTGGCTTCCATGGCATCATTCGTGCTCCCCAGCGTGTGCGATCCATCAGTTGGATCCTTCCAGAGGACCAACTAGAACACGGCGACCCTGCGCAGGATGTGGCAGCCGCATCCGTTCTTTTCCTTGTGGACGGCAAGTTGGTTTTGCTCCAGCCGTCCACGAACGAGCTTGGCGAGTTGAAGTACGACATGCGTGTCATTGCGCAGAACGTCGAGTACTACATGCTACTGCGAGACCAGCCGGCGACAGCGGCCTTGCTCGAAGGAGGATCTAGCACGATATCAACGCCTCCGCTGAATGGCTTGTCGCTCAATGCTCACCTCGGCCATAGCCTGCGGGACTCGCTCTGGTACTTTGATGGTTCCGGACTGACCGTGTGGTCTGATGTTCAAGACGTCCTGGCATGCGCACCAAACGAGCTTGGCCGTGAACTGCCCCAAGCAGTCGCCGTACCTCTTGACTTCTGCCCACTAGCTGTGCTGGTAGGGAAGGGTATCATTTCTGGGGTTGAAGCAGATCTAACTCAAAGACGGGACGTCAACTTCAGCTTCTTCCGGCATACAGGGCGCACACAGCTCTTCCTTCCTCAGCTGCTGCGTTATCATCTGGCCGAGTTCAATTCTCCAGCGGCTCTGCATCTGTCGAACTCTTATCAGGATCTGCCTTATTTCTCTCACGCATTGGAGATTCTTCTACATGACGTGCTCGACATGGAAGTCGACAATCCACCATCTCCGCCAGAAACGGCCCTGCTACCTACGGTCTTGTCTTTCTTGTCCTCCTTCAGCTCCTATCTCGATGTTGTCGTGAATTGCACCAGGAAAACAGAGCTTCGAAGTTGGCAGACACTGTTTTCGTATCTGCCTCCTGTTGCAGAGCTCTTCGAGCAGTCTCTGGCGCAAGGCAAGCTCAACACAGCTGCAGGATACCTTCTTGTTCTACACGCATTCGAGCAGGACTCTTTTCAGGTGCACGAATTTGCGTTGCTGCTGCGACGCGCGGCTGGCGAGCAGGACTGGGAACTGTGCAGGGAGCTAGCCCGGTTTCTGATGGGTATTGATGCATCCGGTGAGACGTTGACATCTGCACTCACGGAAGCCCACCTGCAGGACACCGCTCATGGCACGTTTGGAAGTGTAAATGGAGCTCTTAATGGCGACAGCAGCTCCAACCAGGCGACGATGTTGCATCGCAGCGGTCAGTCAAAACTTACCGCCAATGGGGTCGCTTCAGGCGCGAGAGACTACTTCTCGTTGATGCCGCAGCGGAAATCATCAGTTGATGAACAAGAAGACCGATCGCCGTACGCCACCCCGGAAGGTTGATCAGCCCTGCCGTAAGGCGAGAAGACTACACACGAAGCTAGCCAAGTAGCAGACAGGCACTACAGCAAACGAAATTATAAAGCGATACCCAAGACTCATCAATGCAGCAATCAAGATGCATTGGAAGTGATGGCGTTCTCTAGCAGGAGACTGTCCAAGTACGCGCGAACCTGATCGCATTGTCAGCTGCGCAACCATTCTGTCGACTGAGCCATACCTGGACAATTATCCCGCTCTCGTTGAAACGCATCACCCACGCATACCGCTGCGGATACTTCATGCCTGCGCCTCTTATTAGCGAGCTTCGACCGGACGCCTGGATCCAATGCGAGGCTTATTGTCTTGTGTAGCAATGGCGCAAAGACACACCGTTTTTGCAGACTGCATCGGCTTCAAGCTCCACCACAGCCCACTCTTGTGCTCCCCCCACGACATTCACGACGGTCAGAGTCAAATGTTCCTTCACAAAGCCCTGCGCGACATTGTAGGCACCCTTCTTCCAATCGTCTGAGCCGGTCATCAGTGCGGTCGCATAGCTGCGGCCAAGGTGCATGACCTACCCAGGCTTGTATAGCGGCCGCTAATCTGCGAGGTGCCTTTGTGTGGCTGCATATCAGCACGATGCGTCCTGCGGGAGAGCATAAGGCCTGGCTTACCCATGACGTCCCAGACGACGTCTGGAGCAACTCTGTTGAAGAATGGCGAAGCATCTGCCGTCCCCAAGGAAGAGCATAGGTCTTGGATCTCTTCTCTGCTAGGATACGGCATGTTCAACGTCTCCTTTCGAGTATATCGATGAATGAAGAAGTAAAGCAGGAGAATTCATGTCAGTTCAAGTCATCAATGGAGCTTTCACCGGTCACTGTCCGGAAAGCCGAGCTCTTTGCGGATGGTCTGCCTTCTTACTTCTTACTACTGCGGCGGGGTAGGTATCGACTCAAGGTATTCCGCTCACAGTGGAGTATGCATTCTACTTTCCAAATGACAGTCAAGGCAACTCACACTGTAATCGTGGGCTTGGTGGCTTCCAACGTTCGAGAGAAAGGATGCTCACAAGCATTACACCCTTAGCTTGACGACGAAGATATCTCCTGGGTGTCCTTGACCCCCCATCCATCTCATGGCAGCACTACAAAAGCAGTGACTGCATTGAGTCGCTGCCTTTCCTGTGACACTGACGGTAAGTGGCGGAGGGGGCTGCACAGGGCAGGCATTGGTGTGGTCCAAGCGTGCGGTGCGGTGCCAAACGTTGCCGGGATTGTGGCTGTGGGCCACCGCCTCTTCACGCCCTTGCATCCGCCCACTTCACGCTGCGAGAGACTCAGACTGGGGGTGAGGACACCTTTGAACCGGTGTGCGTCTCTCCATCATGCCACGACGACGACAGGAGTGACGCATTCTCTCACCACGTCGTACATGTGTAGGCACCTGGTCTCTTCTGATTTCGAGTCTAGAGCCGCCGCGCAAGCACGAATGAGTTCGGTAGGACAGGCACATTACAAAGCCCGGCGGGCGAGCAAAGGGTGCTCCACCTGCATGCGAACAACACGCCCACCTTAACTTTCCTCTTGACTTCTGCGTCCTCAGCCTTCCTGATAGACGACTTCTGGGCGGAATACGTGCATAGCGACTACACGCAGCTACTTGACCTCCCACTCCAGCCCTACCGACCGTTGCTGCACCATGTACCCGGGGCGCCGCATCATTGAGGTGCATGCATAGCGGCATCGAGGTGCTGTAAGCTTCGGACCAATTCGAAGACCGTCCCCCACACACTACGGGCAGGCATTCGACTTGAACGCAGACTGTCTGGCGGTACAATAGAGAATCCGTCTCCAGTACCAGCCGATCACATAGACCTTCTCTACAGGATCTAAGGCTGTCTTCAATCCGCGCCACATACCAGAGCCTCATCGTCGGCTTCACCACCCGAGCTGGCGAACGAGGGGCTGTCCCATACCATACCATCGCTGGCCATTCCAGCTTTCAAATATGACGACGTCAACACGTACCGACTCATCCGCTACTCTCACTTTACCGGTCTACGACACCGACGCCAATCCCTCGGCGGGTTTCCCCCGTGTTGACTCGCCTCTCAACGCAGCTTCTCATATGGCTGAACCAGCGGAGTCTACACAATCAACAACAACAAGCACGGTGCAAAATGACACGGGCAACAATAATGAACGTGCGGCTCCAAGAAGACGACGTAGCTCTCACAAGAACCCCAAACCAAAGGCCCCTTCTGGTGACAACTCGTTTCGTTTCTTCGTGGTCGATCACCCTACCAAACTGAAAGACAAAGCTCAAATGAGACAGAACCGTCAACATGTCATGCACGACTACCTCGACAAGGAGCGCAAGAAGCCAGGGAGCACAGATGCTCGGGTCACTGGCAACAGTGGCACGGCTAGGAAACGCAAGCGGCTCAATCCAAGTTTACCAGGCACTTCGGACAACCCGAGGGCGCCTGCGACCATCTTTGCGACGAGGGGCATCTCCGTGTCTTCAGGGAGCACAGAAGGGTCTAGGCGATCAGCGAGCGTATCATCACCCATTGAGGAAGTTGAGGAGCCGAGAACTAGTAGGCCCAAGAGCACGCCTCGACGAAGTATCAGGTTCGCGGACGATATCACACCGTTGGTCAAGGGCATTTCTGGCGGCTTCAACAACTCTCGATACCTGCGGACTTCCCCGTACGACTTTCCTCCCATATCCAGCTACATAGGCTCGAATCTGAACCCCTTCGATACCTGGGCCAAGTTTTCGGATCCACTACTAGACGTAGAACAACTGAAGTGGAGCTGTAAGTGTCCAAACGAGAGCTCTTGACAGAGCAATATACTGACTGACCTTTCACAGGCTCACGAAAGTTCGGCAGTCAGGGCATCTCACAACATTGGGTGCCGACTCTGCTGAAGGCCAAGCATGCCTTCCTCAGCACAGTTTGCATCTCCTCCTCACATGATGACATCATGCGAAGGGGCATACAAGCGCCGCACGAAAGGACACCGTATCAATCAACGGATCGCATGAAGGTCAGGGGCGAAGTTATTGCCATGATCAATCACGCCTTGCAGGATCCCGACCTGCAGACTGCGGATGCTACGATTGTATCGGTTCTTCATCTGCTGAACAGCGAAATCATGGGATGCGATGATACGGTCATGATGATACATCAACAAGGCCTCCACGATATGATTAGATCAAGAGGTGGACTGGAGGAGCTGGGCATTGACGGCCAGTTGGCATCGATTTTGACGATGTAAGTTCTCAATTCGACCGAGGAGGCATCACGAGCTAACATATCGTCCAGCACAATGTACATGATCTCAGCCTTGCGAGAAACCGAACCTCACACCGACTTCGTCAAGTACGCATCACAGAAACGAACGAAGCCACCAGACGACTACCGCAAGCTCCCCGAGTCACCAGTCTACTGCAGAATGACAGGCTACTACACCATCAACCGGGCAGTCGCCCAAGGCAGCCCAACCTGGACTCTCCTCGAAGACCTCCGACTCCTCACCAACAGCTTCGTGCGAGGATCAGGCTCTTCCTTCGTAAGCCCCTTGACCCCAATCCGAGTCAACGCCTCCTGGGAACAATGCCAAAACAGCGTCTCCTCCCTCCGCGACAAAATCTTCGCCACGAAACCCGCGAGAGAGCATCTCGGCGATTTCAAAGACATGAGCGAGAAATACACATTCGAAGCCATCCGTCTTATAGGCCGCGTCTATGCCCACGCCTTGGCAAACGAAATCCCCTTTTCGAAAGCAGCTGCAGAGTTAGGGGGATATAACACCTACACACCCACTCCGCCGACGTACCCGTGCAGTATCTCGACGGGTTCGCCGGAGGACTATGGGGCCATGAGCTGGCACATCCTGATCAAAGCATCTCTCGTGAGGACTGACTTGAGCGATTGCTGGGGCCACATGGCAGGCGTCCTGTACTGGGTCGCCATCATCGCCGGCGCCTGCGCGAATCCAGACTCACCCAACAACAAACCTCGCCGAGAGCTCAGCGAGGAGGAAGAAGAAGGGCGGAAATGGCTAGCCGCTATCGCCGTTCGCTGCTCGATCTTACTGAGCTTCGAATACGGCGGCGCGATTCTCGAGATGCTCAAACGGCTGGTTGGGATCGAGCAGGTGCTTGCCAAAGCCGACGCGGATAGGAGGGGCGCGGAGGTGGAGCCTGTGGTGATAGGCGGCGTGCCTGTCGAGGATAGATTCGAGAGCGAGAGGGCGGGACCGGTGGAAGTTCCGTTCGTGCAGAGGACGTTTCAGGATTTCGCGGCGGATTTCATGAGTGGATGTTAAATGAGTATATGAGATCGTGAGGGATAGCGTACAAGCGAGGAGTCCGTTTGATGGGTTGAATGACACAGTAGAGAGGTTCAGATGTCTCGTTTGGTAGTACATGTCGCTTCAAATACCACCGCGTTCATGAGAGGTATACACGCTCATTATCAACTCCATACAGCGCCCTCGCTCACTATCCGGAATTGCCCTCGACGATTACCCATCCGTGATCATCGCCGTGTCCCCATTGACGCCCTTCCCATCCCCAAGCTTATCCAGTACACCCAAGTACCTGGCGTACGGCACCGTAATCCTCTGCAAATCACGATGCTTACCTAGGACCATTACGACTTCCTTCAAGAGGTCTTCTCGTTTCCACCCGACGATCTCGTCTGTAGAACTCCACTCGATACCCGCATCGCCTTCGTCGTCGTCAAACAGACGACCCATGAGGACTTTGAGCAGCTCGTCGACTTTGCCACGCAGACCTTCGGCTCCGATGCGCTTAGCGTACATGACCAGGTAGACTCTGAACTCGTCTTTGGCGCCAAGACTGTGTGCGGCGGCCATGCGGTTCTCGAGATGGGCGATTGAGACGCTTGATTCGAAGCCTTCGAAGCCTTCGGCTGAAAGGAGTTGTTTCACCAGTCGTTGGAGGTAATGTGCTCGGCCTTTGAGGAGGGCTTGTGAAGTAGTGTTGCGCTCGAGGAGGGGAATGATGCCCGCCGAGATGTTCTCTGGATTGATCTCGTCGAGGAAGGTAGATTGCGGATCCGCGTTTGTCTTCGAGACCGTCACTGATGAAAGTGATGTGTCGGTCGTGTTCCAGTACTGAGATCCCACACCCCACCACGACTCGCTCAATCGTTGCCAGGAATACATGCTGGTGTTGTATGCGAAGCCATCACCGTTGCTCATGCCCACAATGATACGCCCTTGGCTATTCAGGCGGGCGAATATCACACTAGGCCCAGGGGTGAGGTGACTTTGCTGAGCCTGTGTCGCAAGATCGAGCGCCGGGCCTAGCGAGACTGGAGGATGTGCTGCCGACGTTGTCTTAATGTTCCAGACGTAGCACTGACCGACAGCTGTAATGGCAAGAAGCCACCATCCTCTGCAGTCCAGAATCACTGGTTGAGCCTCAAGCACCAACGCATTTAGCAGTCTGCGACCCGCCGGCGTCCAAACGTGAAGTGTCCCATCCTCACAAGACGCAGACCAGAAGTTGCGGTTGCCGGTCACGAGCAATACCGCCCTGGGTAAGAAGTCCTGCCACAGTGTTTGATTTCGTCTTGTCAGTGCTATCCTTGTAGGTTCTCTGTCTTGAGGTCGACCAGTCCGAGACGGCCCAGTCGCATTTCGAGCCTCGAAAACAACAGTACTTTCGCTGTCTCCGCCTTCAATTCCATTCACTTGCTGCTCGCCACCATCCGCTCCAGGCTTGGTGGGGTCCAGGGGACGCAAAATCACATTCCTTACCAGAGGGACTGCGAGTCGGATTTGGCTCACAGTCATGCTGGGGTTTATCACAGCTGGCCTTAGGACTTCGGATGTCTCTGCTGGTTTCTGTGTAGCCGTTGCAGAGCTAGCTGGTACTAACCCGTTCTCGGTGTTATGCACAACTGGAGTCGCTCCAGTCTGCTGGATAGCTTGTGTGCGCTTCTCGTGACGTTTCTCTTCGCCATCTGCGTCGGTCATCTCTGCGAACTTGCGCTTATTGCCTAGCAACAGGCTAGCAAGGCCGCCTTTCGGTAGTCCATCATACGGCTTACTGAGATCCAGTATCTTCGCTGGCTCGTCCGAGGCCATGGAGCCCTGCTTTACTGTGGCCTGAAGCTGAGGACGAGGTAAATTCGCTTCGCCCTGGTTCGAGGAAGAGAGAAGTAATGGTGCAACTCGTTTTCTCCCATCCTTGGTGACGGTCACACGCTGCTTGAGCTTATCCACTCGTTCGACTTGAGGATCTTTGGGAGGCGCAGGTGCTACAGGTACTGGAGTAGGGTCAGGGTTGTTGCCGTTGGTCGTAGCTCCATTCGCATCCCTCATCTGGGCGTCGCCGTTTACAAGAGCGCCAGCCTGAGCATGTCCATCACCCATCAGCTCACCCATGCGGCCCTCGACGCCTTTAAGTTCACCAGCTTTACTACTCTCTTCAAGCAGCAAAGCATCTGTGTTCTCCACAATCCCAACTCGTCGACCAGCTCCGTACTTGGCCAAAGCCTTGTCGTACTCGTTCGCGGGAGCCGGATATCCAAGTTCACCCTTTTCGAAAACCAGAGCTGCAATCGTCCCGTCCAATGAGGTGAGATAGAGGGTCTCGCCGTCTGGAGCCCATGCAAGATCACTGATTGCCTTGGCACTCAACTCGCTAGTCGTTACGAACGGTCGAGGAAAGCTTGTGTTCCAAACACTCAGAGTCTTGTCCTGGCCAGCACAGGCAACAACAGTAACAGCACCGGGCGACACGTAGTCTTTAGGGTCCTGCATGAGAGGAGGGGGCTCTCTGCAGAATAGGCGCGGTGAAAAGGCACAGACCTCCACAGGCCCTTCGTGTCCTATGAGGTTGATCTCGCTGTCCCAGCTACCTCGATTAATGATAGCGACCGAGCTGACAGGTCCGTTGACCGCGTTTGCGGCTGCGATATGTGCTCCCTCAGGGCTCCACGAGCATCGTCTGAAGTAAGTCGTCAAGGGTGAGGTGGAAAACGGCGCTGTCACTGTCGTTTCGAGTGTGAAGTTACTCGTCTGGTCGTATGCGGTCGCGTTTGGAGGGGGCGAGGTGAAGCGGTAGATCTTGATACTGCGATCATCCGAAGCGGTCGCAAAGTACTTGTTGGCCGGATCGAACGTGATTCCCTTGACATGTGACTGATGCTGTGCCAACGTCTTGAGTTTCTCAAAGGTGCTGCCTGACCACACGACCACCTTACTGTCCAGACCCACCGATACCAGAATCGAGCTGTCGCAACTCCATCCCAAATCTTGCACATCGTTGTCATGCCCAATCAATCTCCTGAATATCCTCCAATTCTCCACCGGGGGCACCTCTTTACTGCCGAAAGTCGCATGCGCCGGAGGACCTGGATCTAGTGTGTAGACACATACTATCTTGTCGTCTGCGCCAGATGCCAGGTACTTGCCGTTGGCACTGAACCGCACAGAATGAACGGTGCCGGAGTGGTATGAGAGCGACGCAAGCTGCTTTGGCTTGGTATACGAAGGGTTGGCGGCATTCAGGATCGCTTCGGTCGACCAGATGCGCACATGTCCGTCGCCTGCTGCGGTGGCCAGGCGTGAACCATCAGGAGAGACATGGCAGCTGTAGACTTCGTGGTCTTTCTTCTCGCCGCCGTGGATGAGCCACGATGGCTTTGTGAAGCGCATGCTTAAGCGCGCGACCGCATATTATGGTGAGGGTGAGTGTCTCGATTCGCCGAATCGGCCAAAGTTGGCAGTGTCGCCGTTGTCGTTGTGTGAGCGCAGCCTGAAGCTCTGAAGCTGGAGTGCGAAACGCGTGGTGGAGGGTGAGGCGCGTGAAGCCGCGCCCAAAGTGATTTAGCTCTTAAGTAATATTTTATTAAGACCCCAGCAGCGCTCCAGCGGAAGATCGTCAGCGGCGCGATCCATGAGCTTAAACTTCAACTGAATTAAAGATCGTTGCTCCTTGACTTCATCCCATGCTGCTCAAATCGGACGAACTGTCCCCATAACTCGCAAGCTAGCTAGCCGTCGCAAAGCACCAGCAGAGGCGTGGTCGTATTCGGAGAATCGGAGAGACGGCCCCAATTCTTTGCGACCTGCTCTGAGCAGCGAGCCTAACGACGAGGGCAACCACCATGTCGGAATACTGGAAATCGACGCCCTCGTACTGGTGCAAGTTCTGCAGCCAATATGTGCGCGACACAGGTATCGAGAGGAAGAATCATGAGGCGAGTGCGAGGCATCAAAACAACATCCAACGAAGTCTACGGCAACTGCACAAGGACAAGCAGATCGAGGAGCGAGAGAAGCAGAGGGCCAAAGATGAAGTCGCCAGACTCAATGGGATGTTCGGAGACGGAAAGAACTCCTCATCCTCGAAGCAACCCTCTGCGCCAGCGCCGAAACATACCGCTACTGCCCCGCCTCAGCTAAGCACAGCGGCCCAGAGGAAAGCTCATGCAGAACAGTTGGCTGCTTTGGGTGTGGAGCTACCAGATGAGTTGAAGAAGGAGGTCACGGGCGTGGGAAACTATCAAGTGGTGAACCAGCATGCCGTGGAGGTAGCAGAAGGAGGATCGATCAGTGTCAATCGATCTCTGGCTGAGATCCTGGCGGAATCGAAGAAAGAGGCTGAGGAGACCGAGGATAAGGTAAAGACGGAGGAAGAAGTGAAAGCTACGGCACAGGGTGTTTATAAGAGGAAACTGGTGGAAGACGAGGAAGATATCAGGGATGAAGAAGCTGCGCCCAAAAGGAAAGCATGGGGGAGCAATCTCAAGACGTATCCTGGTTCGAAAGACATCGAGGAGGATGTGGGTGATCTTGATGCGCTTCTCGGCGGTGTCAAGAGGAAGAGGGAGCCTGAGATAAAGCCTGAGGATGGAGAGGAGGTCAAAAAGGAAGAAGGAGATGAAGCTGCCAAGCCGATCAGTGCGGTGCCGGACGTGGCTGAATCTGGGGAGACTGCAAAGAAAGCAGAGGCATGCTCATACGCAGCAGCAGCCCCTGCTGTGGTGTTCAAGAAGCGGAAAGGGAAGAGATGAATAGAACATTGTTGTCCCATTGGAGTAGCTTACCACTGTGTGCCCTTGGTCCACCCTTCGAAATCGCTGGTCTAGTGAAGATCTGGGCACGAATCCCCGATGGAGCAAGCCGCGAACCCCGAATGTCCTAACATATTCACCCCGTGTTATTTCGATAATAAAGGCGTGGATGGATCTCCAGTGAGACGACGAGGACCGATTCAAACATACAGATGTTCGAGACGTCTATCGGCTGGACCTGGGAAGTCACTGAGCCCGAGTTCGAGTCGCATCACAGCACTTTAACATTGCTCAATCGTCCGCAGGACGGCCGTGTGAGACCGATCTGACGTTTCCAACAGATGGAAATGTGAGCGATTCTTCTGGACTTTGGCAAGACACGGTGCTCTTCACGAGAATCACGATAGGTCGAGAAGCTTGTGTGTTCGGGGGGTACCATGACCCGCGACGGTCGATGCTATCTGACGAAACTGCCGCAATCACTCACGTCCTTGTCTTTGGGCGATTCTCTCCTGATATGGCTGCAAACGCCAACGGAAAGACAGCCATTAGACGATTTACAGGAGTGGGCGAGAGGCTCAGGGACACATCATGCATTACTTTTCCGCTCGCTAATTACATCAATCGCTGATCCGCAAAACCTCTGGAGCTAATCTCGCCTCCTACCCCCAAAATCGCCAGTAAGGACCGTATTCATGTCAAAAGATCTCGCCAAAAAGCAAAAAACAACAAAAGGAGTGTGAAGATCTCGAGAATCTCGAAGAAAACAAAGGAAATCCGTCAAAGCATGAATGTCGCATCGTGTCCTTCCTCCAAAGACCTCCAACTGGGATCCTGCAAGCTGCAAACGGTCCAATGTCGCCGTGCTGTATGTTGCTGGCGCTAAAGGATGTTGCTGCTGAGTATCCTGGTCGGTTGTCTGAGGTGGCGGTCTCGATGTCGTCGGGTATCGTGTAGTGTAAGTATGAGATGATGTGTGCTAATGCTGCAGTCGAAGAGGGTATGAGGTGGAAGGTCTCGTCTAGAGCTGCTGGCTCGTCGTTTCGTCCTCGTGCTGGCGAAGAAGTTCCGGAGTATCGACGCACCAGAGGATGAAAGGACCAGAGTACGAGCCATCTTCTGGATCCCACCAACGACCTACGATGATCTTGCCGCCGGGGAGCACGACGCCTTCGTACGCCCAGAGACCGCGACTGTAATCCACGTCGTCGTTGTGGTCCTTGAAGTACTTCATCATGGTCAACCGCTGCCAGCCAGGGACACCGTTCTGCGATGGAAGCGTGTTGAGCCAGCCGTCTGCGAGAAAGCCTTGCTTCGCCTCGCTGCCAGATCCGCCGAACCGAAAGCTTCGCGAGTCCCAGGTGAAGTCGTCCGGCTGTGATGAGCCCTTGCTGGCGCGAGTCTTGGCGTGCTGCAGCTTGGGTGCTGAGAGTGCCCCGAGATACTGCTCAAACACCGCAGGCCACGTCTCCTCGCCGTTGTCGAGAAACTCAAGCTCGAGGTCTTGGAATTCGCGGCTCTCTGCACAGAACTGATCTTGAATCGTTTCGTTTGGGCCATATTCACGAATCTCCTCTACCTCCTCGGGCGATAGATATGCCCAACTCCCTTTCCAATGGCGTCCGACAATGCCAGTGGATTGAGGGTGGTTGGTGAGCTGCTTTCCCCAGTAGCGTGGGTACTCACTGGCATCGAGTTGGCAATACGCGTGGCACAGTGTGATCTCGTCCTCGCGGAGCATGTGGTATCTCCAGAAGTTGACTTGGTGAAGCAGCCACTCCATGTCCAGACTGAGCCCACCTGACTTCTTCCACATCTTTCTGAAGTTGTACGCCTGTTGCTGGCTCTCTGGGAAGCCCCAGGGCGTCAACTCGGAGTCGAGTTTCAGGAGTTGTGACGTCAGGAGCACCTGAATCGTCTGCAATAGAGGATCAGGCTGGACGTTTCCCGTGCGCTGACGATGCTGAAGTTGTGGCCGCCTGGTATTGGGATCGAAGATGCAGCTGAGGAGGGATGGGCAGGCTTCGATGATCTTGATGAGGTAGGCCAAATTGGCAGACTTGTACCCTGCGCCGGCATCGTCGTGCGCCTCTGAGAACGATTCTGCGTGGGTCAGTCATCGCACAAATACAGGGGAAGGGACAAATACTGACCGACGATGATGTCTCGGACAACCTCCAGGCACGCCCTCTCCTCTTTGCTGCGGCCCAAGAAGAACGTGACGAGGTGGAAGTTGATGAGGCGACGCTGCAAGTACGTGTTCTTGTACTCGTTGTTGGACTTGGGTTGCGACGGCCTCTCGAAGGTGGCGAGGAAACGACGCCGCCAGAATGACCGACCATTGCCCTCGATGGCGGCGTGGGTAGAGCGACAGGTCCACATGAAGGCGCGCAGGCTGTCGTCTCCATCGAGGAGTTCGGCGATCCGCTGGTTCATCTGCAGGGAGTAGTTGCGTCAGTGACACTTCCACACACGAGCCCAACGACATGGCATACCTCAATGGGAAGAATGTCGAACGGGTTCGGGCGATGGTCGTCGACGTGCACATCCACGACGGCATCTTTCTTGTGGACGATATCCTCCTTAGGACGTACGATGCCTCCCTTGGAAGCCCGGAAGTACTGGTTGATATTGGACTGCATGGTGAAGACTTTGCTGAATGGATGTGGTGGCTGCACCAATGCTTGCCAGCAGGGGATGGCGAAGTCGGACGGAGAGGGGCAGCGACCAGCACTGCGGTGGATTGTGGTGAGGGGTGGTGATGCTCCAGGCAAAGAGGTGTGAGAAAGGTCGGTCGATTTGAAGGAGAAGGGACGAGGGAGGGCTCATGTGAAGATGTCGGAAGAATATCGACGAGGTTGTGCTTCAAACAGCAGCAGACGAGCTCGCTGGCCTCTGAATGCCCGTGCGCATGTGTAGCCAATGGCAGAGCTGCACGGGCTTCAAACGCCTGCAAACGCTGCAAACGCTGCAAACGCTGGCTGCGCACATGTGACGCTACGGAAATTGCCGAGCAGGTGGGTGAATGCTGAGACAAGACCACAACCTTTCCCTCGATCGACCATATTTCGACCACGCCGAGTGAGAGTGACACCAAAATATATGTCCTTGACGATGATACACTGGCGATGCTGCTCGGGTAATTTTCATGCGAGTTGGAGCGTCCGATGTACCAGACGTTCATCCCCGTCAGACGCCAGCACACCAAGCTCTGCACAATCCGCCTACACACTTTGTTTGATGCACTCTCCACGGAGATAATGATTTCATACTTGGTACCGCCTAAGTTCCGTATTTCACCTTCGTCGTCAGCGAGTCGCGGCTGGAGATCCTACTTCTTCGTAGCAACCAGCATGGACTTGAGTCTTTGACGTTCCGAAGGAAAGCCTCGTTCCGGTGCGTACACTGCTCATAGGGATAGCGGAATCGACTTGCGTGAGTGCCGTACACAAATTGCCTTGTCTGGCTGTCTAGTCACGTATCTCCAACATCTGCAGCACTGCCAAGATACTGCAGACTTCAACGCCACGTTTGCGCTATTCGCATGGTCGGGGATTGGGCCTTTACCTCCTCGAAGGATCTTGACAGCAGAAGACACTCTTGACTTGGATGAACGCATCGCAAGAACGATATCAAGATTGTTTCCGGACTATGCTTTTTCTTTCGAGCCCCCAAAAGCTCAACGTCGATTCAGGGGCTTGGGGTTCTTCGTGCCTACAGTGCGACGCTGTACTCTTCTGCAGCAGGATATAGCGACCAGAGTAGAGAGTGACAACGTATTCGCAAAGGTGTGGGAGTTTTGAAAGGCCCTATCTTCAGAGGATGATTCTCGAATGCAAAGCTTTCTTCTATAGACATTAAGCCTACGATATTTTCGACTCATGCCGCCATTCTCTTTGGCTCCATCGTAACCTCGTCATTCTACACTCAAGTAGCAAGCTCATCGAATCTATTGGTTTCCTCCGTTGCCAGCGTTTCCGCCGGCGCCTCCAGCACCCCCTGCACCTGCACCACCCATGAAGTTCTGAGCCCTAGATCGACCGTGTCAGCCTCTGAAATTGAGAGGTACCTTTTTCAACTTACAGATTCCTTAAAGCCGGATCGTTCATCAACTCCGAGAGATTTGGCATTCCTCCACCTCCCTGACCACCAGCGCCACCACCTCCACCAAATCGCTCCGCCATGCCTCTAAGCTGGGGGTTTGACATGATATTGTTCATTGCTTCTGGATTCGACATGAGATTCTGTGCCATGCTTCGCATCATAGGGTTCGAAAGCAGGGCATTGAGATCGAGACCACCTGCACCACCGCCCCCTCCGCCGAGCATCGATGCGAGACCACCAAGATCGGGCATACCACCAGCGCCACCAGCACCACGGGTACTGTCTGCAACATCGTCGTCTTCATCATCATCTGCGCCGGCGCGCTCCTCTTCCTCGACCTTCTTCTTTGCCGTCTCGAACCCCTTCTTCATAGCCTCACTTCCACCATTGCCCTCGGAATCGATGCCCTGCTGGTAAGCTTCCATGGCGCCTTTTGCATCCCCGAGAGCAAATCGTGCCAGGCCTAACCGAGACCATGCCTTGGTGTACTTTGGATCGGTGGCGGTCGCGAGCTCGGCATCGTTCTTTGCGAATTCGTGCTTGTTCAGCGCGCTGTACGCTGCAGCTCGGTTCGACAAGTAGATGGGGTTCAGGGGGCAGATCTCAAGTGCCTTGGTGTAGTTGTCCACAGCTGACTGGTAGTCCTTCTTTTGCATGGCGGCATTTCCAACACCCTTCAACTTCTCGCTCTCCTCCGTCGGTGATCCACTGGGTGTGGGTTGGTCGACATTTGCACCTGTACTCGCTACTGCTCCTGCTGCCGCACCGCTTGCCGCCGCTGCTGGCGTGCCCTTACCTTTCAATTTCTCGTATACTCCGTAGATGCTCAAGAGGTTCTGGCCGCCAAGCGCATCTTGTACGGCGGTCTTGTCGTTGGGGTCGACGTGGAAGCACTCAGCGATACAGTTGGTCGCGATCTCAATGGAGTCGGCGTCTTCTGGCTGCAGTGTGCCGTCCTTGAGCGATGACTGCAGAAAGTCGACGATTGCGAGCGCGAGGCGCTTGCGGGAGTCTGTAGCCTGCGCAATGTCAGTGTCACGGAATTCGAATAATGTCAGTGGACTCACCATTTTGGCTTCTCGGTGTGCGATTAGGAGTGGTCAATCAAGGAGATCGTGTTGATTGAGTTGTGGTGGTTGTTTGGAGTTGGGAGTTGGAGCCAGATTTCTGGAACCTCTTTCCAACTCTGATGCAGCCACGTGCAAAGCGGGCAGGTCTGCCGAGAGGTGGGGTGTGGATTTTGGCGGGGCACATGAAACAGAGAAGAAGACCACTTTCACTCCGTTACAACTGCATTCCAACTACAATCTCAAGATGTTCAAGAAAGAGTCAGTACGTGCCATATGCACTACCAGTACCCTCTACTCACTGACACGTCTCGCAGATTCACGCCTGGCGCGAAGTCCAAGGTCAAATCCTCCGCCCAGCGCGCCATCCGCGCCAAAGTCGTCGAGACGTACCCGCTCATTGAACCTTACATCGATGAAGTCCTCCCGAAGAAAGAACAACTCGACCTTGTCAAGATCCCGGACAGAGTGTCTCTCTATTGCAATGGTGGTACTCCACTCTTCTGGCAACACATGGATGATCCCATCGTCCCTCACCTACAACTCGTACACAAGTACCCATGGTGCTTCACCCGGGTCCGGATAGACCGAGGAGGTATCAGATTCGTATTGAGTGGTGCGACGTTGATGGTACCTGGTCTTACGTCACCTGGTGGTCGGCTACCTGGAGGAGAAGAGTCAGAAGAATGGGCGAATGGGGGCAAGGAGATTGAGGCAGGAGATGTGGTAGTGGTGGATGCTGAGGGCAAGGAAAATGCATGCTTGGTGGGAGTGCTTAAGATGGGCACGAAAGAGATGAAAGAGAAGAAGAAGGGTCCTGCGATCGAGAACGGACATTACGTCGGTGATGGACTGTGGAAGTTGGATTTGAGCTAAATGATACCCTTTTGCTCTGTTCGATCGCTGAAGTCGTGGTTTGGGATTGTGGCTGGGAAGTAGACGAGGATGCACTTCGGGTGGGCACAGGACATAGCTGAGCGTGTCCGTACTATGCAGCGGAGAAAGAGTCTCCGTCAAGACATACAAATGCCAACACAAGTCCAAAGTTAATGTCCATGTCGACGTAGATCTCAAGGTCTCTCATCTAGTGATTGGGGCGACGCTAGCGGGTGGCTTCCGTCGGATTTTGCCCTTCCGTTCTCGCTTTGTTGCCTCCGTTGCCTCTTCAGCCACGGCGACCTCGTCACTGCTTGTTCTCCTTCACTTTCATCTGGAGTACTGAGGATCACATGCGTCGTGGTCATTCGCGAGGCCGACATCAATTAGAAAAGATCAGACACAGCCGACCGCCCAAGATGAGGTGCTATGGCCGACAAACACTTCCAATTGCTCGTTCACGCCGGCGCACCCAGCACTCGACAGGACGACCGCAGATACATGGCCCAAGCTGAGGCTTACTTCGACCTCCTTTCTTCACTTGGAAATCGTGTTGGAAATGCTTCTCGCGTGGCAGACGAGCCTGATCTGGTACCATCGAGCCATGACGCCGCGACAACATCGCAACATGATCAAATTGTGGAGCCCACGACCAATGCTGCGATTATGGACGCGTCTGTCTATCTGGAAGACACGCAGTTAGCATACACTGCTTTAGAAAGCCAGTTGCGAAGCTCTGCTCGTTCTGTGGTCACGCGGACACCGACTGCAGCACGCCCAAACACCACAAGAAACTCAACGACTGCTACGTCTTCGATTAAGCGTGTCTCCCGGCTCAGTCAGTCGTCTTATCTGGTCTCTCCACAGTTTGCGCGATTCAATCAGGAGCAAAGAGCCCAGGATACCGAGCAAGTCCAGAAGTTGCCTCGTTTAGTGCGCAAACCCAATACCAATGCCATAGCCGGACGTCAAGCTGTCTATAGAGCCGACGGGAGCGATAAGGAGAACTCTGAACAGACCACACTCGAGGATGAGGAGTCTACGTCGGAACTGCCAACTTCTTATTCCTTGAGTGCAGGTGCCTCAGCCGGCTGTGACGAACGCGTTCGCTTGCCTCCGAAATCAGCGAGTGATCCTGGATTTCTCGCTACCGGACTTGGTGAGAGCGTGGCAAAAACAGCGTCGCCTGCCAGATCAATAGCATCTCCAGGGCCTCCTGCTGGTAATGCTCGCGAGCCCCAAGTTTCCAAGGCAAGTGAAGTCCAAGTTTGCTCTAAGCGTTCCCGACAATTTGCACATCTTTCGGATCCAAAAAATGCTAGGTTACAGGATCTTTCTCCAGAGATCTTTCTCCCAGGCCCTGAGACGTCAGTCAATCCCTTCAGCACACACGTAACACCTGCTCTGCAGCATCTTGTCGAAACTCCGGCTTTGGCAGCTGCTTTCAAGCCTACCTCACAGACTCGACAGTTCGAAGCTTCTGAGCGCGGCCATTGGCTCGTGCAGTGTCAAAATTGGTCCGCTGCCGAGTACATAGCCTTCTGGGAAAGCCTGGAAAGGTCTATCGAGAATGCGGGATGGGGTGTATGGTGCAGCCGCGAAACAGATCATCAGCTGCAGAGTGCGCCGTCCAGCACAGGCGCCATCCAGGAGCGAGCATTTGGGCCAGTTCGAGTTTGGTGCTGGGGAGAAGTCGTAAAGCATGTGTATCTACTGCTTTACGTTGCCAGCAAGAGTAAAGTCCGTAGGCTCGGCCTGCAATGGATAGACTCAGAGGATTGCGTGGTAGTCCAGATGCGACACGCACAGGAATGACCGGTCTTGCACAGTCGCGTTCGCTTTTCCTGCTGCCGTCACTTCGTACAGGACAGACTAGAGCGTTTCCAACATGAAGCTGAAGAGATGCTCCCGGCCTATTGCCAGACTCGGCAAATTGGACTACTCGGGAGGGGCTAAAACTTACTCCCTCCTACGGACGACGAAGTTGGCATCCACCAATCACAAACGAGTAGCCCTGCGGATCCTTGCGAGGTTCGCTGCTCTTACACTGGTTACGAACAGACATACGGACGATGGAACTCCTTGTAGGAGCTGAATCAGCCAACCAGAATGGTCTTCCTTCCGAACGATTGCAGCGGTATTGCATACAGTGGGGGCTGGGCAGTGTCAGCTGGGTAGTGTCAGAACATCTGACCGCGCCTTTATATATTTCGTCAGCTCACGCACATTGAGTGCAGCACATTACTATTGTCCCACCATCGAGCAGTCTTCAGGAACGCCATTCATCGCTCAAGCAAATCAAGTCTCTTCGTCAAGATGTTGTTGGATCAGGAGGCGTTGGCCAAGTCATCCGAGATGCACCCAGAGGTTCTCGAGGTACCTACAGTTCTTCATGCCCAATGAACGTCAAACAACAACTCACCATAGCACTCCAGTATGCTACCAATAATCCGTCGCCCCCACTTGATTGGGATGACTGGAAAGTGTGAGGAATTCCTCATCCTCGAGAGATGTGCCCACGCTGACATGAAAGCAGCATCCGGGGCGCCATGGCACAGATGTCCCAGGGGACCCTTCAGATGATTGGAGACGCCGAAGCTGCAATCACGGAAGAGTTCAAGGAGATTCCCATGCGAGACGGCTACCAGAGCACAATCAAGATCCATCGCCCTACCAAACCTCCGGCATCCGGTAGTCCCGTCATCGTCTACTACTTTGGTGGCGGGTTCATCGGCGGAGATATGCACCAGGCCACAGCGGCTGCGCGTGCTTGGGTCAGATTGTTCGGCGCTACAGTCGTTACTCCCTCCTATCGTTTGGCTCCAGAGCACAAATTTCCCACCGGCCAGAACGATGCCTGGGACAGCTTCAAATGGGTTGACGAACACGCTCATGAGCTCGGCGCTGACCCGAAGCTCGGCTTCATCGTCGCAGGTGCCTCTGCCGGGGGCGTATGTGCCTCAGCCATTGCCACTCACGCGATCGAGAACCCCCCGAGGAACACCATCACGGGACAGTACCTTTGTGTGCCATCCATCATGGACAAGGAGGGATGTCCCGACAAGTTCAAGCCTTACTTCCTTGCCTTGGGGCACAACAAAGATGCACCCATCCTATCGGCCGATTCCCTGAGGTCTATCGCCGACCACACTGGTGCTGATCCCAGGTCTCCTTGGAGGCATCCTGTTTACTCCAAGGCTCCGCTTTTGAAGCAGCCGCCAGCTTACATCCAAGTGGACGGAATGGATCCTCGTAAGTTCATTTAGAGACACAGGCAAAGAGGGATGTTTGGACCTAACCTGACTTGCTGTGTGCCCAGTCCGAGACGACGGCCTCATCTGGGACGAAATGCTCAAGGAAGCCGGCGTCAAGACCAAGATCGACTTCTACCCAGGCTGGTAAGTTTCGACAACCGAAGCTGATTCCAAACAAACATAAAGGCAATGGCTAACACCCTTCCAGCCCCCACGCCCATTTCGGCTTCTTCCCAGGTATCGGCATCACGATGAAAGGGATCAGCGACCAAATGGTTGGCGTCGGATGGCTGCTGGGAAAAGACATCTCGCCTGAGCAGGGACTCGGGGGGTTGATGCCCCAGGCAGCGTAAGCACATCATATGACGGTTTCGTCTGTCGATTGGCGCTGAAGCGTCCTTGAGTGCGGCCTCTCGCGAGTGAAGAGGTGGGCGAATTGAGCGGAGATGTCGAGTGGATAGAATATGGCATTGATTGGCAACCAAAATATCTGGTTCATCTTCACCGGAACACCATCCATAATCGAGAACAAATCCTCACATCTCCGACGTCTTCTCATCTCTCCCACAGAGCCTCATCCATCCATGGACCCCACTTTCCGGGGCGTAGAAAAGGATCGTACACATGCATTCATCACTCACTCACTCGGCATTAGACCCAAAACTCTAAAACACGCTAATCGCGCACGCTAAGGAGTACCAGCTCTTTGCTGCAGGACGTGCTGCATGGTGATCTATTTTTCCCATCTGGATGGCTGCTGTGTGGGGTCCAAGATAGCAGTGGTGGTGGCTGATGAGGGAGAAAGAGGAGCACGCAATCGCAATGCAATCAGAGGCGAATGTGTATTTTCAGCTATGAAACTCAATCTGACTTGAAAACAAATCGCTCGCTCGCTGTGCATCTCGCATCGTGGGTATCATCTCGCATCTCGCGGCAATGCAAGCAAAGATTAGATGAGATTTTGAGTTTCAACAAGTGAATGCCATGCAAACTGCACTTCGCCTTTTGCTCTTCCTCCCGCACTCACACCATTGGCTCTCTCAAGCGCAACGCCTCCGCCTCTCAACTCTGTTCTACGCTATGGCGCAAGCTCCAATCCTCCATTCTCGTTGACGATGAGGAGCTCATGGTCCCGCATCCAGCGCTCAGCGAACTCATCCCTCTTCCATTTGCGAGGATCAGAAGGTTGTTCGCCCTCTTTCTTCGCCGTCTCCATGTGTCGTCCGATGTGTTCCATTCTCTCATCCCATGCGCCGTGACCGCGAAAGACTTTCTCGCAGATAATGCAGCGGCATTCTTCTGGCGAGGAGCGGAGGGGGATATAGCATCTTGTTGCCGCGGCTTGGAGGTACTGCTCGTCGGCAGGGTCTTTGGGTGATCGAGGGATGGATTTCTTGTAGGTAGTTCGTTGGCTGTCGGGTGGGTGCATTCGTCGGACGTGTTGCGTGAAGAGGTCCTTGCGATTGAAGTCGTTTGGCTTTCGTTCGTTGGTGCAAAGGTCGCATCGCCAGAAGCCTAGGCGCATGTGCTGAGTAGTGACATGTCTCTTCCATTCATTCTTTGAGCCGAAGGAGGACAAACAACCATGGATGGCTAAGGGACATGGAAATGCTCGGCCTGATGATGGCACGCACTGAGGCTCGTCATCTTCCGTCGATTGTGTGTGGTTTTGATGGGAGGATGAACGTCGGCCAGCTTGGGGTCGTTTCGAAACCCTTGCGGAGGAGGCTGGAGAGTGACCATTCCTAGAGGATTGTGCGCGTCGACGACGAATGACTGGAGAAGCCAACTCATGACGTTGAGGGGGTTGCTGAGGGGCCTGCTGAGGGACGTAATCAGAGTTGTTGCCGCTGTATGGAGTACTGGATTGACTATCGTCTCCAACAATCGGCTGGTAACCCTCTTGAGCATAAGACCCGTAGCTGATGTAGTTTGCCGGTTCATTGTCGAAGTGATAGCTGTCACTGTCAGGTTGTGCATCGGCCATCTTCTGGACATCATGCATAGCCACGCAGCAACCGCCAGAGTGAGAATCTCGTCTTTCCATCGGAGGGTTGCCGCCAAACGCGAAAGGCACCACATCATCATTGTAGAAGTGGGAAGGCGAGTATGAAAGGGCACGCAACCCGGGTGAAGTCACAGGGGGTGTATCCCTTTGGTCGCTCCAGCTGCTGCTTGCGTTGGAGGTGTATGCTGGAGAGCGAAGTTGACCGTTGTCAGAAAAGTGTCCAGCTGCGTTGACGGCGAAGTTGCTTTCCCACACGAACGCTGTTGCAGGCGAAAAGAATGGCGCGTCTTGCTCCTGAAGGAATCTGTTGATCGTTGTAAAGGATGAGTTTCTGGAAGTGACAATCGGCGTGTAACCGGGAGAATCAATGCTGCTTGCCACGCTCCATCGATGACCATCGTGGTGCTGATCATAGGAGTAGTCACGCGAAAGGGGATCGATCGATCCGTCAAAGTCCATGTCAAAGAATGACATATCTGTCGTTGGATTGGCGACTCGGGCGTTGATCGTGTAACAACGAATGGATTAGGTCGAGGGGAGCCAAGAATGTCACTGTCGTTCTCAATGGATTGACAAGATTCTGTAAATGCCTCAACACGGATCAATGCTTCCACGTCAAAGAGGTCGAAATTGGAACCGATGGTCAACAAATAGACCCTCTGTCGTTCTGCTCTCGAGGGCGCAGGAGGCCGCAGCGATATGACGGAAAGCTGCAGACGGGATGGGTGTCTAAAAGAGGCGAAGTATCGTTCAAGCTAGCAAGTCAGGCACGAAAAGGTGAAGCTGGCGCTGTACAACACACACAACTCAGAGTTCTAAGCCTACCTGCATCTCGTGCTTTATGCTTGCTCCCTCACGGTCTGCGAGCAGAGGCAGTTCGCAGAGCCTCATAAGTACCTTGTACCTTGCTCAGGGCGCATGGGCCCCATTGCTGTCGGCGCACTGGTTCAAACCGGTGAAGGCTGTGCGAATCAACGCGGGAGGCTGCCGGACAGTGCATCTCAGCTTGAGGTCGGTGGACACATCCTTTCCCGTTTTGGCGCGCTCGTGCTGGTGGCCTGCAGATAGCGTTGTCAGTAGGCGCTTGGGAACGCACCTCTGGGCGGTGATGATGCATATGGGCGGTAGACGGGCATGTGAAGTGGACTCTGGATCGCAGAGGGCGTCGTCTGCGCTGGTACGCGGATGGGCGTTCCCCTGCCTGGACGGGCCGACGAAGAAGGTACAGCCGCTGGTGGCTGCCGGCTCGCCTGTCGCCCATGTGAAGATCGGCTGTGGTGGAGGGCGCGGAGGGGGCCGAGAACAACGGGCGTGAGGAGTTTCATGCCGGCCGGCGTCTTGTGTGTGTGTGTGTGCACATGGAAGCACTGCGAGAGGCGTCGTCTCCTGATGGGTGCAATATTAGCACATTCCAGTGGTGCTTGCATGAGCCCAGCGACCGGAGGTGATGGGTGGTGGCGCAGAGCTCATTCGCCAAATGCGCGCGACGAGGCAGCGCGTTGCCTTCTTCCATCGCAGGTTGCCTTCGCCTCGCAATCTGAAGCACAGCATCTCCGTGTCACCACTGCCGGAGCTACAGGCGGCCTCTTGCTGCGGCGTCGCCATGATTGTCGTGATGAGCTGTCAGGCATGAAGTCGGTAGAGCGTGTCAGACGAGTTGGAGCGAAGAGACTCGGCAAGCCGGGACAAAAGTGTTGGTGAACATCGATGCGACTTTAGGCCAACATGGCACTTTAGCCTCAATCTCATCAAGCAACTTCTCTTCGACATGGCCACATGACACGTCTGGGATCATCGTGGTCCGGGACATTTCAATTCATGCAGTCTGTTTCGGTCTGTGGAAATGCCGCTCGCGATCTCGACAGCCACATACGAGCTCATGATGGAACGACCGCAACTCCCTGGACACTCTCCAACTGGCATCAACCTTGAGTATGCTCTCGAACTGCTGGACGACAGGCATCGAGTAAAAGAAATCATACTGTGGCTTCTTGGCTCACTGATATAGCATTGAGATCACGGGTCCCGGTACTTGGCAAAGGTCTAGCCCTCGACGCCACTTTTCACATTCGGGGCCGTATCGGGAACTTGTGACCTTCTGGCAAAAACCAATTCGCAATCTTCTCTGCTTCGAGACGCTCCACCGTGCTCGTGGCGTCCCGAACAGGTCGGCCAGCATTAAGCCACGCGGCAATCCCGTCTCTCGCGTGGGCTTCGGCGTCATACTCATAACACTCGAGCACTGTCGTCGGGTCGCCATACAGATTGGCGCTCCGCATCGAGACTCGACCTTCAAGCTCACCCTTCATGGTTCGGTCTCGTGCGTCCGCCGCAGGGCCGTCTGGTAAGAGCCAGAGCCAGCCATTGAGGAAAGACAGCTGCTGCTTGTAGCTTGCCTTCGGCATTCGGCACTTCTCATGGACAGCAACGGCATCGGAGATGCTCAATCTTCCGTCGACAACAGCGCCCAAGCATTGCGCCAGGAATGCGCCATCTTCCATACTTGTCGCCGCACCTATATGGCAATGTTAGCAACCTCACTCAACTTGCTGCCAAACGAGAGTATGAACAAACCTTGCGCCATATGATTCACCATGCTGTGGCATGCATCTCCAATCAGAACGACGTTCTTTTCTGCGTTCGACCACGAATCGAGAGGGCCCGTGACGAGAAGCGGCCAACGAGATATTGGTGGCTTGATCATATCAATCGCACGCTTTATGCGTGGGTCATAGCCTTTATACTGGTCTTTCACCTCTTCCAGTGAGACTTCTTCAACGCAATCAACGGGCTTCTCTTGGAAGTGGTTCAACACCATGTTGAAGTCTTTGCAATCCGAGAGAGGATACGAGATGATGTCTTGCGATTGACTGGGGTTAGAACATACACAAAAAACAGGAGTTGGTTTACTTACAGCCAGTCGGTGCCATCCTAGAACAGAAATTGTAAGTGCATCTAACCACTTGAGCAGATCGCTACCATGCATCGACTCACCAGACTTCCATGGTTTTGACCAGATTGCCATTCTTGTCCTCCACGAGCTCTCTAGTAAGTGGATCTTTCCTCACCTCGTCATACGGCACTATGGCTCTATACGCACAGTTCCCGTTGGGTGGCCGGGGCTTTACATCCGGGAATAGAGTATTTCTCACGACGGACTGGATCCCGTCAGAACCCACCAGAAGATCGAATGTATAGGTATGCTTGTGTTCTGTGGTCACGAAAACTTTGCCGTCCGGCTGTTGCTGGAGCTGGACAACTCTGCTGTTGATCCTCAGGTTCACACCACGCTTCCGGGCAACATCAACCAGCCCAGTGTGTAGATGGTGCCGATGAACGAGCCACCAGGGGAAGCCAGTCGCATCCTCAACCTGCTTTATGAAAGTATGTCCAACCTTGGTACCGTCCTTCCTTCTGAGGTTGAACTCGTCGAACCTTACCAGATCCTTGCCGATGGCTTTGTCCACTCCATATTTAATCAGAAGCCTGGCCACATTTGGCGTCTGGGTTGTATCAGTAACTGGAACATCCTCGAGAGCTGACATACTACCATTTGGATACCAGCTCCAATCTCGCCAAGTTGCGAAGCGGCTTCTAACACAGTGACCGTGCAGCCGGCATGTGCCATGGCAATGGAGGCCATCACGCCGCCAATCCCGGCTCCCACAATGCCTACATGGAGATCTCGCCGCCGCCGAGCCATTGCTGGCAGTAGAGTCGGACTCAAGTCAAGATATGTGATAGCGCCGAAGCGTACAGAGATGAAATAGACAAAGCTTACATGGGCTGTGACTGAGACGCGAAGCTTCTATCAACTCCACAATGGAGAGGAAGAGACATCCGAGCGATCTCCAAAGTCCCAGCGAGATGGGAAGAAGAATGCTTGTACTGGCCACCTGCCGTTCTTCCAGACGAAGCACCACGTCATCATCGTCGACCTTGCAATAGGAAGGCTCCAGACTCAGGTAAAGATGCTCAGGGAAACGCGCCTCGTCCCCCGCAGAGCTCTCCTCACGTCAACAAGGTTCCGCTCGGGCGACTGTCGGAGGTCACGCCCGGCAATAAGAAGAAGTCTCATAGGTACAAGCGGCAACAAAAGCTCTTGACCGCGTTCGCAGCTAGAGATCGAGAAGAAGCAAGATGAAGTGCAGTTGGAAGAAGCATCGCGGACCGGGCGACGTCGTCGTTTCACAGCCAACGCACTGACCAAATTGCGGCTCAGTCTCCATGCGTCTGCCACGTGACACACATCCGGACACGGCAGTCCCGTCGTGGGGTCGCCTCATCGTCGATAGGGCGTTGATGGATTTCAAGCAACGGGCAAAGAAAACTCCTATCGTCGTTTCGACATCATCTGTACACGATTTCCATCTTCTCAACCTCTTCATCTTCATCTTCACCTCAATCTCCGCGCGGCTCTTTCCTTTCGTCTCACTCCTGTCCTGACGATCTGAACAACCTTGGAAGCCTTTCCCGCCGTAAGCTTTTGGTCCGCGCTTATTTGAGGCGAAGATCGGATACCTCAGGACCGGTACATTCTTTTCCTGGTAGTCGGGACGTCGAATAGGCAATTAGGCCATAATCAGCCCATTGTCTGGCTTGATGCCGGGCGAGAAGAATGTCGGCCTTGAAGGCCAGGCGACAGCATCTGGATCGATAACAGAACGGACGCCACTGATCCCGCCGACGCCTACAATCGTGGGCCATCCAAACGACGATGGACCTCAAGCTCTCGCGGATGTAGAAGGTGCAACGAACGCAAGACCTCCATCCCGACCATCGACAGCGAAATCCCTAGTAGACGATGCCGGCCATGTCGAAGCAAACCAAAAGATCAGCTTGCTGCGAGGCGTTTTATGCACATTCGCACTGGGCTGCCTCATCTTCCTGCAAGCCACGAATATCAGCATGCTCACGACAATCGGGAGCTACATCGCCGATGACCTGGAGGTGTACGAACAGACATCGTGGTTCACCTCGACGTACTTGATTTCAATGTCCGCTCTTGGGCCTCTCAACGGAAAGCTGAGTTCCGTCTTCTCGCCACGGGTGTGCATCTTCGTGGCGGCGGTATTGATGGCCATTGGGGCGATTCTATGCAGCCTGGCGAACTCCTTTGCGTCTTTCCTGGTTGGTCGAGCAATCGCTGGTGTTGGAGCTTCCGGCGTCTTCACCATCTCGATTATCATCGTTCTGGAGTTGACGGGCAGCAAGCGCAAAGGCATCGCGATAGGGACTTTGAACTCGGGCTATACCGTCGGAGTCGCTATTGGTGCAACGGCTACAGGTGCTCTGGTTGACTTGGTCGGATGGCGGGCTCTCTTCTGGGCTCAGGCTCCCATTCTTCTGTTTGGAGGTCTCATACTCTTCCTGGCCATTCCCCGAGACTTTACATCTGGCAAACAGGACGAATCTGGCTCCAGCATGTGGAAGAGAGCTAGCCAGCTTGACTTCCTCGGTGCTGTGACCCTCACGACATCCCTCATCTTGCTCTTATACGGACTCAGCTCGTCAAAGGAAATTCCAATCCTACCAATCGTCCTCTCGATCATCGTAGGCACCATATTCGTTCTGATCGAGCTCTACGTAGCGGCAGACCCAGTCATCCCCGTCGAATTGCTCAAGTCTCGAGGTCTCCTCCTGACTTGCCTCGGAACGGTATCCTACATGATGGCACGTTGGTCGGTCCTATTTTTCACACCAACCTACGCCATCGCCGTCAGACAATGGTCCTCGTCAATCGGAGGCGCCATGCTGATCCCCACAAATGGCGGCTTCGCAGCAGGAGGACTGCTCGTCGGCTGGCTCCACATCAAACGACAAGGCTCCTTCTACGCAGCCACCATGGTCTCCTACGCAATCTTTCCCTTCACCCTCGTACTACTCGCCATCTTAGCCCACCGCGAGGGCTCAGCAGCCGGCTTCGTAACCACACTCTTCATCTGCGGTTTCGCCACGGGAGCCGCGCTCAACTACAACCTCGCGCATCTCCTCCACCTAACCCCAAAAGACACACACTACGTCGCCAGCGCCCTCATCGCCACCTTCCGCGGCTTCGCCGGCTCTTTCGGCAGCGCTATCGGCGGAGGGCTCTTTACACGCACCCTCTCCACCTCCTTGAAAGCGCACTTCGCAGAACGTGGACTGCACCGCGATACGCTCATTCGCCAACTCCTCGGCTCGCCGAAACTCGTGCAGAAGCTTGAAGGAGTTGATAAGGATGTGGCGGTTCAGAGCTACGAGGAAGGGCTGCGAATGCTGTGGCTCTGTGCTGCGGCGTTGGCGTTTGCGACGGTGTTTGTGCAGGCGGGGGTTGGGTGGAAGGGGCACAAGGAGAAGGTGGCGGAGCAGGAAGAGAGGCAGGCCCTCCTTCATGATGGAGAAGCTAGAGATAGAGAGGAGGCGAGATGATTATAGAGTATCAGTGATGAAGACGACATATGAATTATGAATCATACAGCAATGCAATGTCTTGTTAGTAGACGTGATCTTGGAAGAGGGCACTTCCAAAGTTTGATTCCAATTTCCATGTCAAAGGGTATCTCCAATATCGCTCTATTCATTTCATTGCATGCATGCCGCTGCTGAGACAAGAGAGCAGTGTTCCGGTGCCACTGCTTTTCTCAAGCATCACGGCAGACCCATGCTATTGCCACTTCACATGACAACCGCCCAAAGATGTCTTGCGGGTGGCAAATTCGTCTGAGATGCGCCGTTCTACGCGCCGCCCTCCATCTTCACATCCTCAAAGTCACCCAAATCCTCGTCATCGTCGCCCATCTCATCACCAGTTCCTTGATCCGACTCCACCTCACTCTTGATCGGGGCCGCCTCTTCTTTGAGCTCCAGGTCTGAGATGTTGAGAAGTCTAGCCGTGTTGTCGTTCAACTTGTAGTTGCCAGTGAAGTCACCACTGCGAACCAGAACGGCGATCTTATCGAGGACCTCCTTGATCCAGACGTCCGGCTGCCGCAGGTGTCCCCTAAGAGCCGACATGGACCAATATGGGTATTGACGGAAGCACTGCTGCAGAGCGTCCAGAAGCTTGTCTTCGGGCATGCGGACGTTCTTCTCCTTGGGCTCCTTCTTCTTGAAACCCTTGCCTGGCCTGGAGGTGATGCTACCGAAGGTAAAGCCAGCGCTGGCAGCGCCTGGGTGGAATCCCTTGTCGACATATGGGAGGATTGTCGCCTTCCTGCCTTGACTCATAGCAGCGTCGTACTGACGCTTGAAGAAGTCGAGTGAGGTTTTGTCCTCGGCCGGCTTTGCGACCGCCTCATTGATAATGGGCGGAGCTAATATGGTCTGCTTCGGAATGGCCGTGCGGTAGCTGCCTGGCTTGCGCGGTCCGTATCGATCACTCTTCCCTGGGATACCTGAGGGCTTTCCCGCAGTAAGGTTCCTCGTATGGCCAATCTGCTTTGCGCGATGTCTGTCCAGGTCCTTCTCAGAGAAAACCACAGTGTTCTGGTAGCTGTTCTCCTTCATCTCCAGGTTGTACACACTCGGCAGCGCCTTTTGTTGTTCGAGTCCGTCGTTTAGTAGCAGTTCTACCTTTTGTGAGTTGGGATCGTCGCCCGGTTTCGCGTGGTACACGCGCAGTCTTCCTACTTCCACCTCTGCGTCGTCCGGCTGGCTCTGATAGATGTCGTTCCAGGCCTTCCACATGTCGCGAGATACTTTGACAAGCCATGCGCCTTGACCCTGCATCTCCGGGGTTGGAAAGATGAGGTCGGTGTCATCCTCGAACTCATCGATCTCCGCAAGCTTCGTGGGCGAGTCGGCCGGATCGAGCTTGATCTCGGGTTTGATCTCTGCCTTGACGTCCGCCATGGCGCGCTTCGTTCAGGTGGATATCGAGATGAGTAGTGTATTGATGGCGTGGATGTGTTCGAGTGTGGAGGTTTGTTGTCGTGGGGTGTCGTGTATATGTGTCGAGAAGGTGTAACAAAGGAATGAATGAACCAGCGTGGTCACTTGAAGTGGACGACGGCAGTATCTAGGTTCGGCCCGAAGTCCGTGCTGACTTATCGATACCAGGCACGTGCACGTGCACACCCACATGTCAATGTCAACGTCGGCCTTTTCGATCTTTTAGACAGCAGATGGAGACGGAGAAGAGCTTCGACTACAGCGTGCTTGACATTTCTCCAGCTGCCTAGCCTCGCACTACCAATGTTCTACCGTATTCCCTCCTCGATGCAAGCTGAAGAACTTCTAAATCTGGCAGCATCCACCTTTGCCAGCGGAAACGCCCATGTTGCGCCTCCGCCCAAAGGCCCGTTTGACTGACTGGTCTCATTCTTGCACGCCAAATGCGCCGATCTAAAACCCTTTCACCACCGCCTGCCCAGCTCCTCGCACCCAACTCGCCGTCAAAAGAAGCGGCTTACAATGCAGAGAAAACGAAGAGCTGTGTCGATGTTAGCAAATGTAATAAGGTAGGATATGAGGGGGACCATGCTTACATTATTGGTGGCCGCAATGGCAATGCTGTCTTCTTGTGGGTGCCAGCTCATGTGTAGAATCTTCTTGTTGAAATCGATCTGGTCGGCATCGGTCTCCTTCCTCATGCGCTGGGCACCGCCAGCTGGACTGCTTGCACGGCTCCCCTTCTTTCCGTCCTTGCCGCCACCGGGGCTAGTAGCATTGTTCATTGGTGTCGGGATGCCCACCTTCTTCGCTTTGAAGGCACTCTTATCGGCCTGCAAGACAACTTCCGTGTCCTTGCCCTCTTCTGACGGGTAGATCATGAAGTTGTTGTTGTAAGATCCGGTCATGACGTTCTTGGCATCGCCCGAGAAGACAACCTCGAACTTGTCGAAGATGCTGTCATTCTCGTACGTGTCGCAGAGCCGGGGTCGAAGGTGCTCGTGGATGGGAATGGTCTTCACAGGTTGCCGCTCCATGTTCACATCCCAAATCTTGACAGTCAGGTAGTCTCTTGAGAGGATGTAGCGGCCGTCGTAAGAGAAGCGGACGTCTGAGATGGATGAGATGATCTCGGAGAAGAAAGAGCGCGAGGCTGGGTCCTCTTCCTGCTCGAATTCTGCAGCATGGTCAGCACTCTTTGCCAGACACTCACTCCGCCACTACTCACGTTTTGCGTGCTCATCGCACAGTGCCTTTTGTCGCATATCCGCCAACTTTATGGTACCCTTACTCGAGGCGTACATAAACCAATTGCAACTCTGCGGGTGGAACTCCGCAGCTGTGATGACCTCAGTCAACTCCTCCATATTCGCTGGCTTGATGTCGACAATATTGAAGCTTTGGTCTTGAATGTTGAGGTTCCAGAGGTTTATCCGCAAGTCATCCGAGCTGATGAAAGTCTCGCCGTCTGAGTTGACCGATATGCTGTTGATGTGATATGCGTGGGCGTTGGCATAGACTCGTCGCGGGACAGCTGCAACGACTGTATCGTGATGGGTCATCCGTGGGAACTTCAAGTCGGCTACACTCCGAAAGTGATGGTTGGGATACCGGACAGGACCACCGCCATTCGCGTTGCCAGTGCCTGCAGGGGTGAGCTCGGATGAGAGGTTGTTCTCGGCGACGACCTTGAGAGACTTCTCGAAGACCTTCCACAACTTGATCGTCTTGTCGTTGGTTGATAGCAGGTAGTGGGAGGCATTTTGCCGCCTGCACCACTTTATCTTGTTGATCTTCTCTTCTATCTCGAGTGATTTGAGGTAATCGAATTCAGGCTCGTGTGATTGGAATTCGGTGTGAAATTTGTACTCGCAGGTCTTCTTCGTCTCGTTGCGCTCGAACAGCACGACTCTGCCGCCCTTGTCGCCAGTAGCGAGGTAGTTGCCGGTCTGATCGAACTCGACGGTGGATATTATATCAGCCTCCGTGATGTCTTCCACGTCTCCCTTATCGCCGAAGCATCTGTTCATCACCTGTTAGCTGATTGTCCTGTAACGCTGCTACTATAGAGGAACAATGAAGTGGCAAATAAGCAGTTTGAACTGAGTGAACGGCCGTCTTCAACCCGCGAGCGGATAACGCAGCCGAGCGAAGCACGCAGAATGTCGATGCTTCCGGAACAGGACCAGCGAGCGCTCCGACATTGTATCCTCAAGCAAGACACCCCGTCCAGTTGTTGTGCTCTGTCTTCTGCCAAACTCTTCCGTACAGCATTGGCTGGCTGCCCTAGGTCCTCCTCGTTCCGTCGCTGTCCATAGTGCAATCCTCCAATGGCGTCCTTCATCTTGCAAACATGCCACGGTATCAATGTGCACAAGCGCTGACCATGACGCCCTCATGTAGAGACAGAAGACATGCACATGGCAGAAAGACATATGCACACGTGCCTGTCGAAGTAGAAAGCGACTTACTGTGTGAACTTCCATGTTGGCTGAGGAGCGCCCTCCGCAGCTTCCACCATCTTCCCAGACTTCTACTATCTTTCACTGATATCTCTCGAATGCAGTATCCTGCGTCTCTTTGCAGATTTGCGGCTGCCTCTTCAACGTCGCCCAAATCCGGATCGCCTGCTTTTGTGCCTTGCTTCGCAATCTCGTAGCGGCCTCGAGGGGTGGAGGGCGGCCAGGGCGGAAGGTGGGCGATGACTCGGTGGGTGTCGGAAGTGCAGCAGTGGGTGTAGCTGCGCTGCTGCAGTGCAGTTGGAGCTCCGGTGGTGCTTGGAAGTCGGAGGAGGCAGGGCTGCGTCACAGGCGGTGACAAGCGAGACAAAGCCCGTGGCGGCGTCAGAGTCGCACACGCTGCAAGCGCTCGCGGCAGGAGGAAGATACACGTGAGAAGAAGAGGACGAGAGAAAGAGGCGGGTGTGATGTGTCAAGTCTCGAAGTATCGAAGTCACTGAGGCTTCTTTGTCGCTGGCGGCTGCGGAGAGTGATGCAACGAGAGAAGCTGGATTGGCCTTGGCGCGCCCGCCGTTCACTCACTCGTTCGCCGCTAGCTTCAAATGACCTCTTCGCTCGTGATATCTCAGCAAACACGCAAGAAGTGATTACGTGGAGTCAATACAACACTTTCGAATACTCGTTTTCTATTTGTATTTGTCCCGAACTTGCCATTCCTCGTCGTCTTCTTCAAATTACCGAATCGACTTCGACGTATTTGCCTCGTTGCGATGAGGGCACGACGGTGATCGCAGGCGGTATCGTGATCTCCCAGAGCCGCTCTTTAGGACCTCCATACACCTTCGACTGATGAGCTAACTTCTCTGCGCCCACCTGCAATGGTGCATCCCCATTCCACGCCCCACAGGAAATCCGATTGTCCAAGTAATCAATCTTGTTCTTACGCTTCTTGCTTGCGCAACAGAATCTGCGACCAAGGACGACAAATGCGATGATGATGCCAATCGTCACGAGCGCTATAACCACAGAGAGCCATATGATTGTCGTCTTGTCGATCTTGGGGCCTGCTTCGATTTTCACAGGAGGCCCAGACGAGTTGTTGTCATTCGAATCAGTCGCCATCTTTATGCACTGATGTGCAGCGGTCTTGTTCTATGCGGGTTATTTCAGGTGAGTGCACTCTGACTGTCGAATTTGATCTGACTCTTGATTTCACTCGTGGTGTCAATGGAGGACGAAAGCAACGGATATAAGGCCAGCTTCTTCGAGATCGAACGAGCGAAAGGGATGCCGACGCTGAAGGGGTGCTGAAGAATCAGAAGTGCAGAATCGCAAATGTTCTTGCAACAGACGTGCGACGAACGCAGTATTGAATGTCTGTGAAAATTGGCCTACTCATCCATCCTTTCAGAGACAGCTTGATGTCTCATTACCCTCGAGACAAAGAAGTGATCAGACCGAAGATGAGCTCGAATTCGGAGACCGTTCGTTGGGCCAGCCCTTCTGAACAAAGAGTGACGTGAACCATTTGGTTCATGGCGTACTCATTACTCCATAGCATGGAATGCTGCCTGTTTGATGCTGGCTGTAGCCGCATATTCGGGTATATTGGCGTCCGCATTCTGGTATGTCCGTGAAAGTGGCACAGTGGTGGTCAGCAGAAACCGAGAGGCTGGTTGAAGCTTGAGAAGCTCGAAGGACGCCTGGAAGCCTGGGCGCGGGGGAAAGCGTAAACATAAATACCCCCTGTCTCTGCGCGTGGAACGCGATTGTCGTCTTTCATCAACCACACTACAAAATCCAGAACGAAGCTCACTCTGACAACAAAATGCCCATCTCTCAATCACCAATGCCACGCTTCGCGGCGTGCTTCTTCGCAACACTCTTCGTCGGTTTCGGTGTCAACGCCATGGTCAATCCAGAAGCCGCTCTGTCGTTCTTCGAACTCAAATACCCACTGCTACAAGACCAGAAGAATATTGTCGATGTATTATCGATGGTGTATGGAGTCCGAGATATCTTCATGGGAGTTGCCATCTTCGCCACGGCCTATTTCGGGACAACACCTGCACTAGGTTGGATCTTGGTCGCCGCAGGAGCGTGTGCTGGCGTGGATGGTTGGGCTTGTAAGACAATCGTCGGACAGGCAGAGATGAACCATTGGGGCTATGCACCTGTGGTAGGAGTGCTTGGGCTTGTGTTGGCGGCCGGACTTTGAGATTGTCTTGGACACAGGCACAGGCTGCTGGGAGGGACGACCTCGGAAAACGAGCCGGTCACGATATCCTTTCATGAGACCCCAGAGGAATATACAACGAGTCATGCGACGACGAATCGAAGGAAACACCAGTAATCGGGGCAACGAAACGATATACTGGCATGCGTTCGAAAGCGACATCCATTCTCGGCATATGCTGTGCTTCGAGCAACGTTGCTGTGACATCTGGTTGACAAAGTAAGCAAACGAAGGCTATTCGACGAGTTCCATGCCGAGAAAATGGGGCGAAGCAGCCTCAAGGAGGATGTGAGATTTGAAGCCGAAACACATGTTTCTGTATTGGCAGAGCGGCTTTGAGGACGAGTGAATTCACCGTCTGCATCAAGGCCAAACGAGACTTAAGTCGCCACTCTCATCTGCGTCAATTTTGGGTGTAGCATTTGATCTTCTCTTAGCCGCAAATTGAACAAGCTTCTGCAGTCGTCTTTGCGTTGCCGGACTGTCCTTTCCGGTGATCTTTGCCTCCCACGTTACTGATTTCTCGAGGTCCAGTATCACGTCCTGTCTTTGTGCCTCACGCTTCTGTACCATCAAAGCCTTTCCCCGCAGCATGCCGAGCCCGTCATAGAGGTCTGGTATGGCAGGAAACAGCTCCGCACAGCTTTCAAATTCAGCGACAAGCAATTGGCCCTTCTCGAGCATGCTGTTGATCGACTTCATGGTAGCAGTGTTGCTCTGCGTAAGACTCGTCTGTCTTGTGGTGAACTCCCTGCACACTTTCCGTTGCCTTTCGAATCGATGGTGTTCTGGAGACTCCTCGTCACAGACAGTGCAACGGCAATCAAAGCCCCATTTCTGCGCTTTCGACTGACGTTCTGATCGAGGGAGGAGGATGTTGAAGTAAGATATGAGCACCTCCTCGCCGCGTCGCAATTGCCTGAGCGTATGGATCACGATACGGCCCCTAGGACTTTGGTCGCCGGGTGGGTAGAAGCAGACGTGCGCATTAGGTGCACAGGAGTGATTCGTCCTCGCCACGTTCGGGAACAGTGCACGATGACAAGACCCTTGACCATCTTGCAAGTCCACATTGAAAGCGTTGGTTTGCATGATACCAGCTACCTTGGCCATCTGCTCCAATTCGTCTTGGTCGAATCCTCTTTGAAGTAGCTTGTCCTTGACCAGTGCATCTCGAGCAGGATTGTCGTGAGCGCTCAGACTCGTATAAACTTCTTGATCGTCCTTCGTTATGCCATTGAATTGCTTGTAAAGCTCCGGTAAGTCTTCGCCAGGTTTCATCAAGATGAGGGGCGCATCTGACAAGATCTGGCAGAATGCTGGTATGTCGCGGACTGCAAAGAGGCCCAAGCCACGGCCGTCGCCAGAAGAGCGTGCCTCAACTGCTGGTGGCCCCAGTAGGATTGCAGTTGCGGAGGGGAGTCCAGAGAGCCATTGAGTCGCAGCGAATGAGTTGCATTTCAAAGGCATGGTTCAGACGGATTTTTATGCTCATGACATTTTTTGGAATGGTAAATTGTCATTGATGCGGGTTCGGCATCGATTGGTGTTTCTTTTAGGTCTTGCTCATGATATTTGGGCTGTAACGAACGTAAAACTGTATAGACCAGTTCCGATAAGAGGCCTGTGAGATGTTCAAGTGTTAAACAAGAACATGTTGAAGAGGAAGAGAAGTATCGAAGCCATGAAAGGTCAAGTTTGGCTTCTCCGGTGTACTACATCTCCAGCAGGCACAGATATCGGTCTACACCTCAGAGATATCTCCAGATAGGCAGTCAACAGTACGGCACTGACAGACCTATATCGTAAACGCTTTCCAAATGGTCATACACACTCTCGTTGACGCGGAAGGAGAGCGGAGGTTGGAGCAGATGATGGTGTTCTAGACTACGGCGCCGAGTTCTTAATACTGCTCTTCCCACGAAGGTATAATATTTTAGCTAAGTGGAGAGGCTGTGCCGCGTGGAATGAGCAGTGACAAAGAATCGCCGTGGCGAAGACAAAGGTAGGTATACGATGTGGATATAATAAAGCGACCCAAAGCGGAATTTCTCAAGTACATAGCCCTCCATAGCAGTAGAAGAGGTTCCCGAGTATCCCACAGCGCCAATGCCGTCATATCATGTGCTGCCACCGCCGCATAATCTACGCGACCTGTGGCCACAGCATCTTTTGTCCGAAGCCTCTCGTCGAATGCCGGTTCGCATCCATAGACCCAGTCCTGGATTATTCCACCACCTGCGAGATCGTAGCGCATCCCTACATAAGCTGGCGAGTCGACCAACTATGCCCCTCTTGCCAACAGCGACGCGAGACTCTTCTGCGAGAGATCGACAAGAGCAATGTGGTGCGATTCGACGAGTGGCAGTGGAAGGTGAGCTACGGCCTGCCCGGCGGCGGCGGCAAGGATTACTGGAGCAAGAAGGCGGAGAAGCGCGAGGACAAATCGAAGGAGAAGAAGGAGGAGAAAAAGCGGAAGAGCACGAAGCGGTTCAGTTGGCGAAGGACGAAAGATGGCAAGAGGAAGAGCGGGAAAGGTGACCAGACGCCGCGGATCGATGAATAGTGGATGAGTAAGCGGGTTGGCGGATTGGCTCCAATCTGGCGAGCTGCACTTCACCTCTCCAGACCTACATACCACTGCCATTGAGCTCATCTTGCTGCCCGACACGATACCCACAGTCACCGCACTCTCCATATCCGAATACCACTGCGACTTCACGGCCGCGCTGGGCCACCAACAAACATGCCAACCCCAGAGTCCGAGTCGTTCAAAGCCGCCAAACCCACCGTTCCTCCCACCTTCGATGGCGTAGACTACGACGACAACAAGGCGCTCAAGGCCGCACAAGATTCAATAATCAGGGAGCAATGGGTGCAAAGCATGATGGCGCGGTTGATTCGGGAGGAAATGGGCAAGTGCTACTACCGAGAGGGTGTGAACCATTTGGAGAAGTGCGGACACTTGAGGGGTGAGACATAGTCAAAAGGGCGGCGAGTGAGAGACCTGGACTGACATTCGCTGCAGAACGGTATTTGAAGCAACTGAAGCACTCCAAGGTCAAGGGATATCTGTTTGAGCAGCAAAATTATATCCCGAAGGAGTAGGAACAGGCGTTCGAAAGGAGGGAGGGCGCTCGGGATGGTCAGAGTGGGAGACAAAAAGCGCGAGACACTAAATGAAGTCGTGCTGTAAGATACAACATGCGCGTCGAACCGCAAAAGAGATGTGTACAGGATATATGAGATACCTCAAGACACACGATTCGTCCACTTCTGTTTTCCTGAACCCAAAGATGCCTGACACATCCAGAGAAGGCCTACTCCCCGTGTTCCTCCAGGCTCAAGAAACCATGTCAGAACCTAATCTACTCATACGCCATGTTCACACTCATCGCAGATCTCGTGAAACCCCAGCTGATCAAGCAGAACAAACAACAACACCGGTCTTATATCCCCCAACCTCGACACGTGTCTCAGCAAACTACACGATCGCGAGACACCACAATCTTTACCACCATTCAAGACCTCAAGACTGAGCACGAGGTAGAATTGGAACTCATATACGGCTTATCGAGAGCGACACAGCGCAGCCTAGAGTCACTTGGACAACCTCCAATCCTTCGGAAAATAGAACAACAACAATAAATACCACTACACGCTGCCAAAAGATCCAAGAACAACAAATTACCACACCCCCAAAGCCAGGAAACATACGCCAAATCAGCCATGCACCTACCACCTCCCAGCGAACCCACCCAAAAGCACAAATCCCCAACAACAATAACCCCCCTCCTGCACTCCCTCCTCCAAATCCCAGCCTTCGCGCCCAAACTCACCATCGCCCTCCTCAACTCAGGCTCCTCCACAGACTCCAACCTCCCAGCCCTCCTCCACGAAGCCGCCCGCCTCGCCAACCAACTCGTGGCAGACCTCATCGCCTTCGACACCTCAGGCCACCGAGAGGAATGCAATGTGTCGAGATCCGCGGTGATGAAGGTGGGGATCGAGGCGAGGGCTTTTGTGGAGATGTATGAGGCTTGGGTGAGGGATTGTGTTGATGGGGTTGGGTTTGCGAAAGAGGAGGTGGGGAGGGAGAAGGGGTTGATGGAGTTTTGGGGGGCATTGGTGAGGGAGGTGGAGGGGTTGGTGGAGCTTTTGGTTTGAGGAGGAAAAGTGATATTGGGGATGCTGTGGTTTGGGCGTTCTGTTTGAAGTCTCTCCAGTGTTTGGGTCTCTAAGCCTGAGGCTGATGGACCTCTTTTGCTATGGTGGCCCTTCCTCATCATCACCGATCCTCAAACGCCATCGCTATGCCTTTCTAATACCATCTATGCGGAAACATGCTGCTCAAACCAAGCCGGCTCCTCACGTTGCAGAATCGTCGTCACCTTCTCTACCTCCTCAGCCAGACCTTGGACATTCACATCCCATGCCCGCAAATCCACCATCACATTGCTGTGGCCACCTTCCTTCGTATTGAAGTGGATAATGCCAGCAATCTGGTCGATCGATCCAGAAAGACGCTTGCTCTCCACCATGGTCGAGGCGTACATCTCAGCTTTGTCGGGCTCGACACCCAGAAGAGCGCCGAGGTTCTGGAAGGTGATGTTGGCGTAGATGCGAGAGACGGCGAGGAGGTTGTGTTCGAGGACGGCTTTGTCGAGAACGGTGCTGCCATCGGAAGTCTTGGCGAGCTGGTGCTCCTTCAGACCAGAGGCGAAGTTTGCCACTTCTGAGGGAGAGAGCAGGCGATCCAAGAAGATCTTCTCTAGGATGCTGAATTCGGGCGTGTCGACGCACCGCTCGTCCTTGTACAGCTTCGCGAGCTGCTTGCCACGCTGCGGGCCGGCAGGTGCCAGGACAGCACAAGTGATGGCGGCAGAGAGCGCCTGCAAACGCTCCTCTTCGTCGATGACAGTCTCGTGGGAGAGCGCCAGGTACGTCGCAGAAGCTTCCAGGAAGCTACGTTGAGAGTCGCTGATACGTGCTTGCGATAGCTGGAACTGAAGTCGAGTGGTGTGGTCGGTGACGGTGTAGTAGATCTGCTTGATCTTGTTGAGGTACGTGAGGGCGTTTGTAGGATCGTCTTCTTCCAGATAGCATCGGCAGATACGCATCCAAACCTTGGCCTTCTCATCATCGGTCACAGTCCGTGTCGACGATTCGAGTGTGACGCCTTGGAGAGTCTTGGCCGAGTTGCTGAAGTCCTCGTCTTTTTCGTAGGCATCGGCCAGGATGAACTTCAGCTCGGTGTCTTGTTGCTCGAATGAGATCACTTTGGGAGCGAGTAATTGCACGATCTGCGAGCTGAGAATCAAAGTCAGTTCGGCCTGTGGAGATCTTGTAAAGAGCACAACACATACCCAGCCTCGATCTTGACATCGTTGTCGGCAAGGTCACGGAAGCGCTCGACAAACAAAGATAGCAGAGGTCGAGAGTTGATGACGCCGACACTGTCGGAAGTAATTGATTGCACAAAAGCGACGAGGTTCTCGGCTTGGTTCGAGGGTTCTGAGATGATGCTTTGAAGGACGCCGGCGTACTCCTCTGTACGTTGTTGGGTTGATGCTGTTGCCTCTAGTTGGCCGAGTTTCGAGGTGACTGCGCTGGATGCCATCTATTCAGTGTTAGCGATAATGTGTAGAGATGGATAGTCAAGAGGCCCGACCTTGTCAGTTGAACTCTGGAAGATGACTTTCGAGTTGTTAAACAGAGGAAGTTGATGGTGTGGTCGTCTCACATGTACATGTTTGCTGGCCAATCAGAGACGAGGGGAATCTTAAACTATCACGTGATACAATTCTGAGGCATTCACTCATGCACTGTTTCGTTAAAGCGCTGCTCGAAAGTACGTTTGTAGCACTAGTCTGGCATTCATATTTGACAGTGTATACTGTATGCTACATGCTAGTCATGACCCCTGTGACAAGTACTACCAAATATCACCACGACCCATCATCAGGTAGCTTATACAACCCGTTCTTTCTCCTCTCAGCCGCCCACCTATCACACCATGCCTTCATCCTCTCCCTACTCTTCGCACTGCCCACATTCACGGTGGGGATGATCTTGTCGATCTTCAGCGCACAGCAGAACATAGTCAGCTCTCGAAAGCTCGAATGTTCACTGTACGGAACTCCAAAGCAGCTTGCGCGACTGGAGCTGCCTCGCTGGGGCACAAGATCCTTCATGCTGAATGCGCTTTTCCAGTTGTCGGAGTGTAGTACTGTTTGCACCAGAGGACTGTCGGTGAAGCGGCTATTTGGTGGTTTGTAGTTCCAGCCACTGGGCCTAAACCCAACGGCGCGTGTGAAATGTGGGAAGAAGTCTTTCAGATAGTCGTCCAACGTTTCAGCGCGTATCTCGAAGAGAGGCGTCATGTGCACTTGAGCTTCACGAGGGTTGTTTGTCATGCGCTTGTCCAGCTCGGGATCTTCCAGTGCCGCGACTATCCGCTGCTTCGACGTGGGTGCGTATATCTTCGAGTTGAGGGCCTTCGCAATGCCCAGGCATATACGTTCCTTACCAATGCTATAGGTACCAACGACAACCAGTAGGCGGCCTCGACCCTTCTTGTCGTTCGCCGAGGACAAGATTTGCTGGCTAGCGTGTGGATTTTTCTCCACTTTCAGATCGTCCGCTGTTTCTTCATCCACAGGCTCCTCTTTGGTATCGGGGTTGGACTCTTTCCGTACGAACTTGGCCATTCCCTCTCCAGCACGCTGACGCTTCATCTGCTCCCACCCATCATCTTCGTCAGGTGTGTCCTTGCTCAAGCAGACACACATGTCCGCACAAGCTTTTATCACCACCTCTTGACTCGGAAAGGCGTACTTGGGGTTCAAGTATGTTGTATCAAGATAGCAAACGTCAAGTTTCTGCTCTCGAGACTTGCCAGAGACCTTGTCCTGCACTTCGGGCATGAGCAAAGGATGCTGTGTATGCATTCTGCATGCTCTGAAGTCGCCACAGTGCAGTATACGCTGTAGCCGTGGTTCGCCGTTCTGCTTCTTGCCAACGATCTTTTCAAACAGATAGAGTGAGCTTCCAGGGCAATGGTTGGCGGATATCATGGTGACCTTGACGCCTTTGGTGCCAGGCACGTCAACAGTCTGTTCGAATTCGAGGGGTACAACGTATTTTGGATCAACCCGGAGCTGCTGCTTCACAAGATTGGCAGTGACCTTGGAGCAATAGATTGGACCGTGAATCCAGCTCGCCGTCAAGCCCACGTAATGATCGCTGTGAAAGTGACTGAGGAAGTAGGCTTTGCAGCCCTCCACTGCTCCGTACCTGAACGCATCAACACAGATGAACAGCCCAGGCAGGATCTTGTAGAATGGACAGGTACGCTGATATGAAGGCTTTCCACGAGAAGTGTGTTCAGCTGCGGCAGCTTCAGCCCAGGCTGCGTCTTCGGCGTGGCCAGACATGAGTTTGTTAAACGCAGAGCCACCATTGGTGCTTCCCTGGCCGAGTGTGAACGGATTGGCCTGCCCAGGCTTGGCTGGACGAACTGGACGCTTATACTGGTTGGCAGACGCCAGATTGTCCGACTTCACAGGAGCAGCAGCGGGTGTTGTAGGTTTAGCATTTGGTAGAGGCGTCGGTTTCCCGTCTAAGCAATTGTTGACATGGACACCAGCATCTTGCTCGCTGACGCCTTTGAGACCAATGCTGCAGATTGGGCAAGTAGGATCACCAGTCGATGGAGCCGATTCAACGACTTGCATTTCATCGTACTCATTTGGTAGAGGGTCGTAGTCCTTCTCATTTTCTTCCGCTTCCAGTCTCGCCTGCTCTTCCATGTACTTTCGTTCGCGGTATTCATCGCCTTCTTCGAATGGATCTTCATCAAAATCTTCGAGGTCCGCAAAGTCGCCAAAGTCGTCGAGATCAGGGTTGACGCTAGTTTCTTCCTTGATCAGTGGAGGAACAGTACCGTTATTGTGCGAAGGTTCAACCGACTTCGATCGTTTTTCTCTTTGTGTGGGCTCCGGCGATGCTTGATTCGGCATTTCCCCTGCTACTAGACCATCTTCTTCGCCTTGGTCGATGCCAATCACGGCCTTAGGTTCTTCCTCTTCTTGCTCGCTGTCCGATTCTGCGAAGAAAGGTCCAGTCTTGCGCGCGGGAGTCTTAAGAGCGGATGCGATGTCGCCAGGTGATCTGTCGTTCACAGCATCATCCGACTGCGCGTTATCATCTTCCCGGCTCAACCTCCTCCTCTTGATCGATCCAGCAGCCTCATTGAAACGAGTCTCATCTCCGTCGCCTGTCTCTTCTACGGTTGAAATATCTTCGTCCTCAGGAAAGTGCTGTGACGATCGCCTCTCTTCAACGAATAGGCCAGGATCTGATTCTGCAACACCATCCGTCTTTTTGAAGAAGCTCAGGATACTACTGTTGCCTTTTCCGTTCTGCTTCGTCTTTGCAGCTGGTTTTTTTGCGCTTCCAGTTAGTCCCTGTCTGCCAATGGTCGGCAGAGGTGCAGGCTTGCTCGTTTTGGTTCTTGTCGTCATTGTCGGGGGAGGGATGCTCGGTGGAACTGCCAAAGTGAAGGGCGTTTTTGCTGGGGTGTGCGGTGGCGTGGGCGGTCTTCCGGTTACGCCATTCGTGTTTGTAGTGGTCGACGAGTCTCTGGGTTTCCGGAACATGTCACCCTTCTCCTCCCCATCGCATTTGGCATTTGCGTGTAGTATGGAAGCAAAGGATGGCGGATGGCAATTGGGAAGGAGTCCTCGCGCTCGTGGCGCGACGCCGCGTGACTTGATGACGAGTGTGGGGAAGGCGCGACGTGAGCTTTCACTTCACGTCGGTGCACAACACGAACCCACTTCATTTCGGATCTAAGCGCATTTGAATACGCTCTTGCATAGTCCAAGATTTTGAGACTTTCAACCCTTCCAAGCCTCCAGTACACGATCACACGGTGCTGAGCAGCAATGAAGTGAATTATGCCGTTGCTCCAGTGGCACTCCACCTTCAACACGGAGTACACCACCAGCACATTCTAATAGGCGACCCGAGTTCCAACCTCGAAGGCCTATATCAGATACTCATCAACATGGAGGCCGACTTTTCCCTCCTCAATGACGATTTCGAAGACGTCTTCCACACCCCGCATCAGATCCAGCTCCGGACTCCCTTTCGTCTTCTCGACCTTCCGCCCGAGCTATGGCTAAGGATATGCGAGTTCGCAGTCACCAAGCCGACAGCGATACGAGTTGGTAAGGAGCCAAACCCAGAAGATCAAATGGCAGTGGTTCGGCAACCCGCCATCACGCGAGCAAGTCGCCTGCTGCGGGTTGAGGCTCTGCCAATGTTCTACGCATTAAACACCTTCGAAATGCTACATTGCTTTGGTGTCCCTTGTCCGCGCAAGTGGATCACGGCTATTGGAACAACCAACCGGCAGCGTATGAAGGCTATGCTTATGAGTAAGTCTGTTCCTGATCTAGGTCTCGATCGCTGATTTACAGACGGCTGACACTTCTTTCTCCAATAGTAAGCAGCTGTGATCTTGGCTTTTGGGAGGGCTCATATCGACGTGCATCAATGGACGTGAGCGTCGAATTTCCAGGGAGTGAGCCGAGCCCAGTTCCGCTCTTCACAGGCTTCAACATGTTCAAAGTCTCTTTCAACTAAAGCGGCGCTGTACGTTGCACGTCAGACGACCCGATCTACCCCCGACTCGGGTGAACAGAACCGAGCCTGCATGTTAGACCAGGAAATTGAGGCTTGCAAAGATCCTCAAGCGCCATGGATCGATGTGTTAGGGTAGTATGGTCGTTCACGACGAGTGGAAGAGGTACTGGAAGTCGCCGTCAAATACGACCTGGATATGATCGCGGCTCCCGGCGGATTCTTGCAGAGGTTTGCTACTTGCACCTGCTTTGTAGCACAAATGACGCTCAGCCAAAGTCGGAATATTGCTCCATCGACGCATCTGAGCTGGCTGCGGTGAAAGTCAGCACGGTGACATCCGCGACCTTGTTGCATCGCAGGTTGTACAACATCCACCAGGAACTCGGTAGTTGGACAGATTCGGTGTGAAGTTGAGATGAGACGCCTTGCCGGAAGGAGACGGCCGAATCCTTCAACGTCTAAATTTGAACGGAGTCATCTGGATTAGTAGAGGGTGGCGTCCATACGGAATGATACGAATTGATGTTGCATGCGGCTCTCACCGTGTGTAGTAGTGGTCGGGCTATCGAAAGTGAAGAATTTGGGTCAAGGACAAGTTGCGGTTTCACTTGGGAGATCGCAGACAGCGGTGCAGTCGAAATTTCCACGGGATATATTTTACACCCCCGGCCCCTGAAGTCATCATCACACATGTCGAGTTCAAGATAAAGAAGCGTCCCATCCAACAAGCAGTTGCCAGGGCCCTCACTGGTCCAAACGGTCCGCAGGTGTGTAAGGCAGAGGTGAGAACGGCTGGCTGACTGCTCTGCGAAGTCAAAGATCATAGCCGCACCTGAGATTGCGGCTCAAAGAGCGACGAGTGCAGGCCAAGCCTCACGATGTTGCCTCCAATATCACGCCAGTCATCCGCTTGCATGCACAATGGTGAGCAATACGGGCCGTGGCAATAGTTGGTTGTTGGCGGTGTTGGTGGTGAGCGAACAGCTGTTCTTGGAGTGCCGTCAGACGTAGATTGCAGGCGAGAGATAGAGTTTGGCTTTGCTCGAAGCGTGCAACGTGACGAAAACTCAAATGATAGCGGCAAGGGTGCAATCGTGCTCGTCGGTGGGTCGCGTCGAGAAGCGGCCATGAAATTCAGGAACACCTCGCTGATGTTGGTGAGAGGCCGTCCATCAACTCATTAATTACGGCTCATTCAACACGCTGCTCGGCTCCACTGCGGCTCACCCCCAAGGACAGATAGCAGCTGCACAGCGATTGAACTGCTGCAGCACCAGAGCCAGCCAGCCAGCGACTCCTCGCGTGGACTTTGCCCGCTGGCCAGCATCCCTTTCTTCGTTTCCTTCACGTGCCATTGCCCGTCCACCACCCACTCCCATCCCCGGCCTGCGACTACGCTGCGCGCTCGACACTGCATCCTCGCCATCGCACTCGACGTCGCGCCTCAGGCACAGCCGCGAAACACGCTGCGGCCTCCATTACCCGCTCGCCAGCGCCCGCAGCCCGCAGCACACCATAGCGTAGCGCAGCTGTCTGCCAGCCAGGCTGACTGCACATACACGCCCGCCGCCGCATTCCTCGCATATTACTGCCGTCCGCCTCTGGCCCATCCGGCCGTGACGTCGCAGACACCGCGCAAAGGTGGCATCCTCGTACTCGCCCGCCTCCGGAGCAGAGGCCACTGAAAGCAGCTCAGGCCATCGCCGCAGGACCTCCCGCGCAAGTCTCAATGTGCACTTAGACGGCCACTCCAGGACGCAGCTCGGCCTCACATCATCGCCTACCAAGCAGGTCCAGTTGGGAACCACGCCCTTCATCGAGGAGGACGACCGAGATCCTATGTCTCTGGACCGCTCGCCCAGCCCCCAGCGTGACGGTGGATGGTCATCACCGGGCCTCACCACCCCCTTCGAAGACGCAAAGGGCGCCAGAATACGGGGCGTGAGCCCGAACATGAACGGGGGCCATGGCGTGACATGGGCAAGTGCGAAAGCGAACAGCGAGAGGGTCAACGGCTATCCCAGGTATCAAAGCCAAAATCAAGGGTTCTTCAGCCGAGTACGGAAAATGTCCATGAGTTTACCGCTCTTTGCACACGGCGGACAAGAAGACCGGTACGCTGAAAAGGAGAAGCTGGGAAGACGGCGGCAAGGCAGAGATGGCGGACGGATGGCGTGGTCAGACTTTCCAAGACGGATAGGCCTGTTACTGTCTAGAAGACGGAAATATTTGGCACTGCTGATCTTGGGTATATTCTTGGCGTTGTGGTGGTTCAACGCAGGTGAGTGCATGCAAGAATTGAGGGAATGGATTATGCTAACACGTGTCCCAAGCCATCACCTTTTGGTATCGAAGAACCTCATGGCTAGGAGGCGGCTCAAAGTTCGTCATCATTCTAGGTGCTAATCAAGGAGGAGGCGTGATGGAGTGGAAGGGCGCCAGGGAGTGGGCCATTGAAAGAGACAGCGTGAAGAACAAGAAGCGATACGCGGCCAAATGGGGCTACGAACTGGACATTGTGGACATGAGCACGAAAAAGCGATATGCCCATGAATGGAGAGAAAGCTGGGAAAAAGTTGATGTCATTAGGAATGCCATGAAGAAATATCCCCACGCTGAATGGTAACTTGCCCGGACCAAAGCTGTGATATTGATACTGACTACTGCGTACAGGTTCTGGTGGCTGGACCTCAACACCTTCATCATGGAACCGAACCTCTCCCTCCAAAAACATATTTTCAACGACCTTGGTCATACTACGTACCGCGACATCAACGTTTACAACCCTCTGAAGATCCAACATCCGCCGAATGGAACCTCCGGCGACCCGAACGCGCCCCATTTTGCGAATTACCTCGACCCCGAAAGCTTGTCAGCAGTTGGCGATGGCAAACCCGAAAGCGTCAATCTCATCGTACCGCAAGATTGTGGTGGTTTCAACTTGGGCTCCTTTTTCGTAAAGAGGAGTCACTGGACGGACAGGATTCTTGACATTTGGTGGGATCCAGTGTTTTACGAGCAGCGACACATGGAGTGGGAACACAAAGAGCAAGATGCGTTGGAGTACATCTACACCAACCAGCCATGGATTCGACCCCACGTCGCGTTTGTGCCTCAGAGAAAAGTCAACGCTTTCCCGAACGGCGCGTGCGGCGATGATCGCGGCCTACCTGAAGGAGGCTGCAGGGCATTGAAGATTGGCGACGACATGAAAGAGTGCGGCATCCAGGGGATCCACTACCAGGAGAAAGAGCGAGATTTCTTGGTCAACATGGCAGGATGTGAATGGGGCCGAGATTGCTGGGGAGAAATGTACAACTTCCGGCAACTCAGCAACAAGCTGAACCGAAGCCGATGGGAGAAATTCAAGGATTGGATCTCGGACAGCTGGAATGAGAGGAAGGACATGGAAAAAGCCAAGCGCGATCAAGAGGCGTTGGAGGCCCAGCAGAAGGCTGAGCAGCATCAGTGAGTGTCTTCCTAAAGGAGCACCACTGGGACGGGATTCATCACACGAACTGGACGAGTCAATGCTGCTCGGAGAGAGAAAGATCACACAACGAGGGTACACGAGAGAAAGGAGGGCACGATCTTCTTCTGGTTCTTCTTCTTCTTCTTCTTCTGCTTCGGATTTACCACGTTCGAGCGAGCGAGCCCGAACGCTGTTTTTTTGCATACAGAACGTCGACCACTTCCTTCACAACCATGCATACGAGGGACCGGCGCGATATACCACGTTGCGGGCCTCGACGGCGTTTGCACACAAAGGCGTTCATTGGCGAAGACTGGGATTGTATCTCGTACGCGAACCAGCAAAAGGAGAGACCAAACGGGCAGCTCTGGTCTCTTCACCTCTTATCCAGCTTTTTGTTTTTCGAGTATTCAGCGTTGTTTTCTTTTTCTTGTTTGATTTCCCTTGTGTGTCAAATATCCGATATTCCAGGAGCAGAAGCGACTTTCGTTTTTTGTTTTTGTTACGCCCGCCGCTCAAACGCACATTGTAGGAAAGCGAGGACGATGGGGCGAAATGGCGAGGTGAAAGGAGGGAAGGGGGAGGGAAGGGAATGGGGTGTTTTTTTCGTTTTTTTGGATCGGGCTGTGTGTAGAGATAGATCAACTATGTGATACCAATATCGAAATCGTACTTGTCGGTCGAAAAGAGCTGATGAATCTGTGTTCAGGAGTCTCGAGAATAGATAAAAACTTTATACTTCTGGATATCAATGTGCATTGAATCGGGATACTGAGTATATGCATGTAGACACGAGCATCGAACGTCAACACTGGCTGCTCCTCTTCGGCAGCATTGAACACGAAGCAATCCCTTCGAAAGACCCAACGCCACGCTAGAACGCTTTCAAAGACTGAACACTTGACTGAAAACATCATTCGCCGAGCTTGGCCCTCTTGTCCGACTCCACCGCAACACCGCCGTCTTCTGAGGCGCCTTCCGTGGCATCGTCGAAGTTCTCGTCGACGACATCTCGACTCCGCTTGAGGCCCTTCATCTTCCTCGTCTGCAGTTGGCCGAGATCTTGCTTGCCCATGTGAATACGGCCGATCTTGTCGCCGATCGGGTCGGTCTCGACGTTCTTCTTCGTCTTGGGCTGTAAATCAAACGTCAGCATAACATGCCATACATGCACAAAGGCGAACGGTAGTCTTACCTCCAAGTTCTTCGGCCTCCTCATCGCCTCCTTCCACATCTCCGGATCCGCCTCCTTGATCCTCCCTACTCTGAAATCTATCCTTGGGCCCATCTCTTCCACGTCGACCTTGGGTAGAGTACCGCCGCTCTTCTTCGTCTTGATCAAGTAACACCGCATGTGAATCATCGGCTTGACGCTCTCGTTCTCCTCCTCGTCCACAGAGAAATGTATCATGTATTGCAGTCCCTCCACGTCCACGTTGCTCACATCAGGCCCCTTGAACAGGTCCAGGAATATGCTCTTCGCGAGAGTGTATGCGTTCGCTGTGGGAGACTCGAATGCGCTTCCGGAGAACGCGAGCAGCGGCTTCAGCCCCACGGCAGTCTTTGCATTCTTGAACTGCGACAGCGAGCGGAAGGAATCGACATCCACCAACAACTCCATCATATCCAGCACCTTGAAGTCGAAAAACCGCATAAACGTCAGCGCATGCGGCCGCTTCTTGCTGTGACTCGCATACACCATGAGCGAAGCGTCATTCTTATCCGAAAAGAACTCGAGCGAAGAGACGTCTTCGAAGGGGTGGATCGTGTTCTTCTTGTCGAACTTTATGCAGAGCGGTCGCTTGAGGGAGTGGATGTCTTTTAGGACGAGCTGGATGATTTCGGAGGCGGAGCTGTAGCGGAGGAAGAGCGTGGTGCGAGGGTTTTCGACATTTTGGGGGCCCTTGTCGTCGAGGTAGCGTTTTGTGCGGGCGTTTTTGGGCTTGATCTCCCGGATGGGAAGCATCGTGGATGATCGTCGAAGGATCGAGAGAGGGAGAAATCGTGGTCGTCTTCGATGGCTGTATTTTGCGACTTTTTTAACACAAAAAGTCTCGCCGTTGCTGGGAGGATGTTGGCAAGGTTGTCGCGCGACCTGAAATTCCTCGACTGAAGCTAAGGCCGAATTTGAAAGATCCCTGCACGCGATAAGGCGATAAGCAAAGCTTATTTCGAGGGTGCCGAAGGGCGGCGGGCGAATGACGAGATGAGAAATCACAAAAGCACGACATAGCAGCAACCCAACTTACTCTTTCTCCACCACTCACTCTCGCCATATCATTGCAGCCAACACAAGTACAGCCACGACGACCACAAACATACCAACCGCCACCATTCCACCCCGAAGCCACATCGTCCCCATGGCGGGCACTCCCTCCTCCCTCACGCCCATCGCCTCCGAGCAAGAGTTCACCCAGCAACTCTCGCAACTCCCACCGTCATGCCTGGCCGTCATCTACTTCCACGCGCCCTGGGCTGAACCCTGCAAGCAGATGAATACCATCCTCACCGCCCTCGCGACCACATACGAAGCCACGAACCCCCCACGGATAGCTTTCTTCGCCCTCGACGCCGAAGAGGTCGCGGACGTCTCTGAGCGCTACAACGTCACACAGGTGCCGTTAGTGGTAGTACAGAAGGACGGCAAGACGCTCGAATCGGTGACGGGCACGGACGCGAGCAAAGTCAGGAGCGCGGTGGAGAGACATGCCAATGGCAACGCGGGAGGTTCGAGCCTTCCACCGGCACAGAACGTAAGCCAGCAGGCGAATGGCAATGGACTGGCCAAATATGCGCCAGGTGCTTCAGACCCAGCGACTGCGCCGCAGCATAGCTCGAATGAGATCAACGGCGAGCAACCGAAGGAGGCTCTCAACCAAAGGCTTTCAGAGCTGGTCAAGGCCGCCCCCGTGATGCTGTTCATGAAGGGCACGCCATCCGCACCACAGTGTGGTTTCAGCAGGCAGACTGTCAGCATTCTTCGCGAAAAGGGCGTACGATACGGCTTCTTCAACATCCTGGCAGACGACGAGGTACGGCAAGGCCTGAAGGAGTTCAGCGAGTGGCCAACGTTCCCGCAAGTCTACGTGGGTGGCGAGCTTGTCGGTGGGCTGGACATTGTAAGTTCGTTCCTCTTGCTGAAGTAGTATGGCGTCACTAACACCGCAAACAAACAGCTCAAGGAAGAATTCGAGAATGACCCCGAGTTCCTCAAGGACTACTCAGTCCAGTCGAAGCAAGGCGGCCCAGCAGCGTCCTAGGAGGAGGTCGAAGTTCGCTGACGATCGGAATTGATTTCAACCCATAGATACCAACTTTCTCAGGAGTTCTTGGTTGCTTGGTCCAGATTACCAAGTAGGTTACGTAGGCGATGTACATGTTAACATCAGAACGCGACGTGCACGCATTTGCTGCCTCTCTTTCCCACGCCAGTCTCAATTAATGTTGGCATGCACAAGCTTCATCTTCGGCCCACTTGGTTTTCGGCGTGATGGGCAGCTCATTACTTACACAGCCAGTGTCTTAGTTGTCAGTGCTCTTATTTCTGGCGCCGAAATCCTGATAAACAGAAGCAAACGAACAACCCTCCACAAAAGACCCATCACGACCCATCGCGCCCCAAGCTAACACCGGCTTGTTTCGACCATCGATGAGACGATCACAAGCTATCCAAGCACATCAGTCCCACCCCAACAATCACAAACTCCACGAAACTCACCAAGCCACACATTCGACCCAGCCGACAACTCATGATACACCCGTCCCCCAATCGCCTGGAACTCAAACTCCTCAAACCCAGGCGTCGCCGTCACGGGCTCCGCGACATTCTGCGAATTGCCGATCTCCGCCACGTCGACGCCGTAGGTCACGCTGGCGACGTCGAGGTGCAGGGCTTGTTTGTTGGGGTTGGGGCCTGTGAGGTAGGCTGTTTCCTGCCGTCAGCTTTTGGATGTGCTAGGATGTGGGTGGGAAGGTGGAGGTGAGGTCTTTTTTACCTTTTGCTGCTGGAGCCTGGTCATCGCCGACTAGGTACAGGTGGCGTGTACTGTAGGGGAATGCGCTGAGGGTGATGTTCCGAGCGGTGGTGCCTGAGCCGACGGTCATGAGGATGGTGAAGTAGTTTTTGGAACCGTAGGTCGGTGGACTTTGTTGTGGAGCGGCGAGGGAGGTGGCGGCAAGGGCGAGCAGAGTGGCGAGATGCATGTTGGATGTGATTTATGAGGGGGGTGATGGGCTTGAGTTCTTGAGAACGAGGATTTGAAGGCACAGGAATACAGGTCGAGTGGTTGGTTGTATCAAGGCGCCGCTTTTTATGTTTGAGGGAAGAAAGAAATAGCTTTGGACTCGGTACGTAGCTTCCACTCCTCCCTGCTAGTGGTGTGCGACTTCCTTTTCGATAGCAGACAAAGGCAGTCGTGGAAGGGGGAACGAAATCGAGGAAGGCGTTGGTGGTCTGTTCGACTCTTGTACGACAACGCTTCAAAGGACCTGGAGCACGCATGACCTCCGGCCAAGCGGCTTCCTTTAATAGTTTCATGCTTGCATCTGAAAAGGGGGCAAGGTCGCGAGACACGAGTGTTTGGCATCTACCACTGTTGGCGTATGTCATATTATGTACTCCAAAGGCCACGGAGACGACCTCGAGTCTCGATGTCTAGAATCACACTCTCTTAAATACCTCATCCCATCAACGCCATCCCCTCCCACGCTGCCTCAGCAGCAACCTGCTATTCATCGCCACAATCGTCCGAATCAAATCCCAATCCCCATCCTTCCCCACCCAATCCGTAACTACAATCCCGACACCCCCATCACCCTCCACAACCTCCCCAGGCGCATCCACCCCCTTATCTCCAACATCATGCTTCTCGCGCAGGAAAGCCGCCACGGCGGGATTCAGCTTCGCAGCAATCTTATCCGGCCAACACCCGACTTTCCAGAAATTCGAAGCCGACAGGAAGTTGATATACAGCGGTCCAGCCGGCACGGGGTTGACACTATCGGTCGTGACGCCAGGGATGGGGCAGACGACCTGTCCAGCTCGTTCGAAGTGGTCGCAGCACAGTTGGATTTTCTTGTCGATGTTTTCGGTCTCAAGAACTTCGCAAAAGTCTTGCACGCGCACGTCTCCGTAGGTGCAGTCGGGGGTGTTGTAGGCCCAGTTTTCGGCGTTTAAGCACCAGCCTCGACCGCCCCATTCTTGTTTGAGGCGGTCGGCGATGGCGAAGCGTCGTAGCAAGACAACTTTGCCGCGTACTTCGCCGAGTTTGGGGACTCGGGGTTCGGTGTACCATTTGGAGTCGTCTGTGTAGAGATCTTTGAGGATGAGGGACAGTTGTTGATCGGTGGCGTCTCCAGGGCCTTCTCGTTTCAGAGACATGATGAGGGTTTCGGATGGATTTTCTTTTAGGAAGTCTAAAACCTCATTGAGTAGTCCTCGAAATTTCTTCGGTCCAGTCAAAGAGATTGGGAAGACACCATGGACGAGATTCAGATTGTCGTCCTTTGGATCTTGAGGGTTGCCAGGCTGGACTCGAATGTCGAAGAAGCGCACACCATTCCTGAGCTGCTCTACTGGGCTCACGGCTTGACACCGAACAGATGGCAGTGCTTTGTGATATGTCGGCGAGTTATGAGTTCCGGGGATACTGAGCGCAGACAACGGCGTGTCATCGCCAAACTCCTTCATCCAGTTGTGTTGATCAGTGCTCTCCACAATAGCCAGAAACGAGTTACTCGGATTGTAAACACCAGTATACTCATGAGCAGGATCAGCCACAAGGGGTGTCAACTTCTGAGCCGCAGCAGGTGTCGGCGTATCGATCCTCCACTTCCCAGGACCATCCCCGTGCAGCGTCAACCTCAAGATTTCGTCCGGCTTGCGTTCCGTCGTCTTGATATCCGTCTTGTGCGTACTGAAAGGCTCCATCCGGACATCGACATCCTGCCGCGTGAAGCTCTCGGCTTTCTCGCTGAGTTGAAGATTCGTGGGAGCCCGTGAATCGCCGCCGGTTACGTTGCTCACGAGATTCGTGGTCATGTTGGCGAAGCTCTTCGTAAAAGATGTGAGGGAGCTTCTCCTCCGCTCGCCCTCGGGCAGGTCCTGTAGATTCGGAGCTTCATACCGCTCGACGACTTTGATCGTCAACGGCTGTGCTGTGAGGTTGCGGACGGTGATGGGACCAGACATTGTGGCTGGAGGTAGCTGCCGTGAAGAAAAACACCCTATGTTTGGAAGTTTGGCAGGTCCAAGTCTCGAATCAGTTCTTAGAGGAGCAAGAAGTAGTAGGAGAAAGCTAAAATTCACGCAATGCTGTCATAAACGTATGTAGAGGCTGTGTCGTGCTGCACGCCGAGAAGTTGAGCAGTCTTGTGAGGTCGATGCACCGCCAACTTCGCATTGATCGTGCCTTGGCCTGTGAGCCGTATACCCACCAATCAGCTTCGACCTTTGCGACCTCACCTTCTCCTTCTGAGACTCATGCTTGTCAATTCAATACAATAACATCCATATCTTCGATTCAACGCCGTCGCTGTGCGTTGTCAATGTCCGACTCCTTATATGCTGTTTTCAACGCCCAAGTTCCTTCTTTTTTTCTCGACTTCATCCGGCATGCTTCATCTCTTTCAACTCAGCGCCATCGAAACTGGTCGCTGAAGAAGAGTGCAGCTAATCATGTGCCCGCCGTGCTGGACCACACAGCTTCACCGGACCCAAGGTCGCTGGCGATGGCATCGAGTGATATTTGTTGATGCACTCTGAGAATCGAGACTGCTCGAGCCTCTCCTCAGTCTCTTTGGCGACCTCAACAGCACGCTCCTCCGTGTACTTGGAGTGCTCGACATAGTGCTTGTAAAGTGCAGGCATAAGCAGCACCTTCTGGGCCCAACAACCCGTCATCGGCTGCTCGAGTGGGCGAGCATATACTGCCGGCTCATCCAATCCCTTCTCGACAGCGCCGAGGACATAATTCTCTGGAGAATGGCCCATGACATAGGCCTTCTTCGCCTGTACCATGCCGTCTCTAGCACCGATGTGTCCCCAGCCCTCGGTCTCGATGATTCGGATTTTGGCCTCTTTCGTGACGTTGAGGCGAGAGTTGAAGCTGTCCTCGAGGTTTGGGAGTCGAATCGGCTTTCGCTTGCTGGCTTTCTCCTTCTTGGTTGCCATGTCGAGGAGCTGGATGTCGACGACGCCAGCAAGCTCGATTCCGAAGTCGGCAAACAGGACGTCGCTGGTGGCGCGACAGTCCCAGAAGGCCTTGGTGATGGTCGGATCTTCGAGCATGCCTGCGAGGGTGAAATCCTGGTCGAGGTCATCGAAGATGAAGAAGGCCATGTGACCAAGGACCATCACATCCACCAGGAACACGGTCTCTGCCTCGGGCAAGTAGATGTTGAGCAGAGTCATTTTGCCGTCACGACCAAGGTTGTCGCCGACGCAGTTCACGAAGAGGCGAGGAGTCGAGGTTTGGAGATCAGGTGTGTCGAGGATCAGTGCAAGCATGTACTCGACCTTGCCGACAGTGTCAACGATGACGGTCTTGGCCTCGGGCACGATGTCGGTTGGACCGACTCGTTTTGGTGGCTCATACGTATCACGAGCATCGACACGTGCCATGATGTCGTTGATCACATCGGCCAACTCGCCGAAGCCGAGAGACTCGACATCCTCGTGATTGACGTGGTTTGCCACGTTGCCGCGTACCTTGTACAGGAGGCTCTTGATTGCGACGACTTGGTTCTCGAAGAGGCTGAAGTCGTTGCTGGCGTCTTTCTTGACGTCGTACTGTGCGACTGTGGTTTGGTCAGCGGTGCTTTCGCGACAGCCTGTGAAATTCTGCTTACGGGTGGCCAGCCGATCGGCCTTGTCTTCCTCTGCTGTCCGATGGATGTGCTCCCAGCCGGTGAGGTTTGGCAAGGTGCGTGGTGTGGAGAAGTTGGCAGCCACGGTAAGCTCAGGGGTTGTGGTATCGTGAATCTCTCTGGCCGCCATCCTGGATGGCTGTGGCTGGATGGTGTAGCTCGCCATGGTGAGTGCTGGTGATATTGTGGGTTGGTAGTATTGTTGATGTGAGGTAGTGCTGATGAGAGGTAGTGGTGCTGAGAAGTGGTGTTGACGAGAGGTAGTGGTGCTGATGGCAGTCAATATAGTCGATGTTGGACGCTGTTGATGGAAGTTGCTGTTGCCTGTGGATGGTGTTGTTGTTTGAATTCGCTATGAACAGATCCATGACAGGCCCCTATGTGATACTTATAGGTGCTGGCTAAGTGCACACTGGCCAAGTATAGAAATTCAGATGAAAGTTTGGATAGGTGAATAACGTAGCTCGAAACTAGCTTTTTCAGCAGCTGATGATTTCGTAAATGAATGATTGGCCTATTGTTTGCTCACACCTATCACAGGATTTTGTTTAGCTGCTTATCACTTCCCAGGTACCAAACAATCATCTGAAAAGGGTCCAGTGCTAGAGAATAAAGTTTGTGTATGCAGTTTGTAGGTCATCAGGTACAGGTATTAAAAAAAGTTTCTACAATTAGCCTATGGGTATCGAGGGAAAGACACACTCCAACACATCCGAACCAAGAAAATCACTCGCACTCTCACGTCCTGTCCCCTTGGCGTCTATGCCTTGACGAATTTCTTCCCCTCCGTGAAGCCGGGAATCTGCCCGATCATGTAGTCCTTGCCCTTGACCATCGAAACGACGAAGCCAGGGATACCCATCCCGTTGAAAGCTGCCACACCAGCCTTGGGACCGACCTGTAGAAGAAAAAGTCGTTAGCGTCGCTATTACCAATGACTGAAACTCAGGAAACTTACCGGTACAAATTGAGTCTCGGCTGGCTTGAAAGTGTATTTCTTCTCAGCCACGTTGCCAGCCTTGGCGTCTGCCAACAAGTCGTGGGCGATGTTCGCTCCGAGGATTGGGAGGGTGTTGTACATGTTGAGCACGCCGCCAGCGTCCACGGCAGCGACATCTCCGGCGGCGTAGACACGCGCACCAGCTCCATCGACACGGAGCGTCGTAGCGTTCGTCTGCACATATCCTGACTTGGTCTTGAGATTTTCCGGTACGAACTCAGTGTTTGGAGTCACACCATACGCAGGGATGTAGACATCGGTGGTGACAGTCTTGCCGTTATCGAGCGTGACCTCAGTCTTTCCATCTGCCGTTTGTTGACTGCCTGTAGTCTTGGCGTTGTGGACGACAGTGACGCCGTTCTTCTCGAGGAGTTTCTGAGCCTTGGCCGCTCGCGACTCGCTGAAGACGGGAAGGATCTTGGAAGAGCCGGAGTAGAGAGTGACTTTAGCCTTGCCTTTCAAGTGGATGGCCACCTCTCCCGCAATTTCCACACCAACGGGTCCTCCACCTGAGATGAGAACCTCCTTGGCAGATGCGAGCTTCGTGTTGAGATCCTTCAGAGCCTTCAGAGAGATCGAATGGTCACCGTGAAGCGTGGTAGCGGCAGTCGGCGATCGAACACCAGTAGCAATAATCAAAGCGTAGTACTCCAGACTCTCCGAACCGCCCTCGTGCAGCGAAACAGTAACAGTCCTCGCCTCGGTGTCCAAAGCGCTAGCCGTGCCATGGTGGAAGATGATGGAATCCCTCAGATTGCCGTACTGCTTGAAACCATCCATGATAGGAACGAAGCATTGTTCGGCCTTCAAGTTCTGCGGCAGCACAATCTCACGCGGTGCGGCGATGTGCCACCAGAAGTGAGTGGAAGGGTCGACGAGGTGCAGCACATACTTGGTGTCTGCCGTCTTTTGCAGTTGCGGCAAGATGTGCTTGGCGATGTAGTGGGCGGTCCCCAGTCCACTGAAGGACGCTCCGAGAATGACGATGTTGCGGATTTGAGTCATGGTTGATTAGATTTCGAGTCTTTCTGGTGAGTAGTCTGTCGTTCTTAGAAGTGAAGCCGTCTTATAGTCGAGAGGTTCTGTTCAGGATCTCTTGGCCGCTGACACAAACTGTAAGCAGTCCTGAATCCGGGTCTCTGTGCGCAGGGGCTCGAAAGGGCAGTCGTGTCCGTCTGTATATTACAACGGGGAAGGCGAAGAAGTCTTAAGTACAAAACGAGAGTCGACGATGATATATCACAGCAGACGCAGCTACAACAGAAGAAAACGTATTCTCCGAACAGTAATAATAGCACGCTACACAGAGTCGTGGTCGTCAGGAGACAACGCGTGAGGTCCGTGGGTGCATCCGGCTGCCGGGGAGAAGCCTGCCACCAGCAGGGACCAATTTAAGATCCATTTCGCACCCGAATGCGGTTTAGGGAACGACCATTCAATGCATAAATGCCACCATTGGGGTCCACTTTGGTAATCAAACTCGTCGGCGAGGTCGACGAGACCAGTGACAAGTATGGAATTGGTTCCTTGTCTCGTCAGCCACCGGGCCAACCCAAGCGCCATTTGTTTTCACAAAAATCGGCTCGAGGCGAAAGATGCGTTGAAAACAGCGTAGGACACAGACGTTGGTGTGGCGCTCAACGGCTCAGATTCTGTCCGAGCCGATGAGACATCTAGAATGAGTAGTAGCAGTGCCGGCGATATCTGTTCGGTGAAGTTGGATGTCTTTTATTAAGCAGTGCTATCGTGATAAATCTACTGTACATGAAGATGGGAAAAAGTGAAGTTGATTGGAATCACTCTCACAGAAGCCGCCGTTCGGCTCTTCGAATCAACTCCTCGTACACCGTCCAGGTCAAGGCGCTGCTGATAGCCTTGCGACCAATGCGCAGACTGAGACCGCTGAACATGCTCCGTACGCCTTCGTCCCTCAGCATCATCTTCGCCGCCTGTATCATATTCCGATAGCGTCCAGGTGCAATCTGCAGTCGTGTCTTGATCGCATCGAATGGATTCGTCAAGGTAGTCGCAGCCGTCGCCGCCACCACGCCTGATACAAAGTTGATCGAGGCCGAGCTGGATACTGAACGCAAAGCAGCATCTCCAGCAGTTTCTGACACCGCCGACGACAACGCACCAAACTGCGTCTTCGCCTGCTCGTAGATCAACACGTACAGCCCAGCATACGGCGCATCTCTCACGGCAGTAGCTCCAAAACCCGCAAAGAACCCTCGCATACCCTCTCTCGCCACAATATCCCTCGCGGCACCCGCAAGAGACGAGTACGAGTAGTGCGACGACTCATATCTGACCTTCAGCACCGTCATCGGGTTGAGAACAAACCCAGCCGCAACCCGCGCAAAAGCCCCCGTCGTCAAATTCGCCACATTCCCCAACTTCGGCAGCGCAGAAGACCCCTTCACCACCAGCTCACTCTGCGCGGGCGTCACGAGGCCAGGCATCCGGGCGACATACTGCCTCATCTGATTGAGCATGCCAAAGTACAGCGCCGAGCCCAGTCCCGTCCTGATGACCGAAGGCGTCGTGCCTCGCCACAGCTGGCGGATCGGATTGGGGCCATTGAGGACATCGCGAAGGGCGTGCCGTAGAGATGAAGCGTTTGTCTGCTGCACGCGTGTCTTGAGGAGGTCGGCGGGTTGGAGGAGAAAAGCGCTGGCTACACCGGATCCAAGACCGGCGACGAAGTGAAAGCCTGCTTGCAAGAGTAAAGTCAACGGCACGGCTTGGAGAGGCAAAGCGCTGGTGGTGGGATGGGTTTTTGCGTACCTGAACTCGTCTTGCGTTTCGGAGCTCCATCAGACATCGCTGTCCTCAATCAACTATCATCTTCACGCTCCCTCGTGGACTGCCGTCATTTTATGCAGTTGTGCGAATGCGATTGTATTAATGATCAAAACGAAGAATCTTCGGGGTCGAAAGATGACGCTGTAGACTCAGATGCAGGCTTGGCCCGTGCCTCCGATACAGCCCGTCCAGCAAACAACTTCCAAACAAATTCAATGGAGCAAGATATACAACTTTGGGCAGTGGAGAGCTGGGTAAATAACACTATATACTATCTGTACGCTGCAAATTACATTTCCGCAAGATCAAAAGCACAAGTTCCAGTCTGGGTATATCGCAGGGGGTATCTCGCGCCGCCAGAAATATGCATTTCACGACCCAGCTCAGCTTCCTCCGAGCACAACTCGCGAATTATTACAAAGGAAATTTTTGTTTGCGGAACATCCGACAACATGTCTCTCTCACGTAGAGACTTACTCCTCCATTCCTCCCTCATCTTCAAGCTCCGCCTCGAGGCTTCGGAAAGCTGGAGGCTCGGAATCAGCGACATCGTCCAGATCGTCATCTTCAAACGTTTGCATGTCGACCTTGTGGTCTTCAGCATCGCGGTCGTAGCTCTGTTCACGGAACAGTGGTGTGCTCGGACGTTCTGACGTCCCCGAGGTGTGCCTGCTGCGAGGCTTCGCGGCTTCATCAGTTTGGTCCATGGCCGAAGACTTGGATCCTGGTCTGGAATTCAACTGCGGCGGAGGAAGCGACACCGTTCCTTCTGCAGCAGGTGAGCTTCGCAGATTGCTGGCTGGAGGAGTCATGAGTCCGGAGGGGAATCGTGAAGGTGGCTGTGGCTTGGTGTTGACTTTGGATGGCGTGTAAGAACGAGCTCCTGCGCCCGGTCGCTGTTGACTCTTCAAGGCAGAGCTCTCCATGGACTCCCGCCACTTGTTGAAGGCGGACGACAACTGAGCAGCTCGAGGCGAATTCGTCAGGCTGGTGAGACTTGCAAGGGCTTGTCCTCCAAGGCCTCCAGCAGTTTTGTTAGATCGCTCTTTCTCTTGCTGCTCCATCTGAAGATTGGCGCGGATTCGGATCGCAGTATCTCGAACAGTCGCACGATCGAAGTTGGGACGAGACAAAGTGTTGACGAGTTCAGTCAACTCATCACTGCGGAGCGCAAGTAGTTCTCGTAGCCAGTTGATCTCGGTGTCGCGTTCCTTGACCTTTGCAACGCCCTCGTGCTGCACCTGAGCCTCAAGACGTTCGATGCGTGTCTCACGCTCTTGCAGTTGCTCTTGGAGTACGAGTATTGATTCCCGCAACGCCTGTGGGGAGACCTTCTCTGGTATACCAGCTGATGGCAAACCGGCCGACGAGCTTGGAGGAGACAACGTCTTCGAAGCTTTGGCACTCAAGGCAGCGGCCTGGGCGGCGGATTTGGCCACCTCCAAACGCTCTTCGAGATGTGAGACTCTCTCTTGGTAGTGTTGCAGTTTGGCCTCGGACAATGCCAACTTTTCCTTCAAGAGGCCCTCCGTACGTTCCTTGTCCTCAAAGGCCTGCGACAGTGCTCGAGATTGTTGGGTCGTCAACTCTTGAATAGCTGACTCGTACTTGTGGCGTGCTTCGTCCAATGCAACGCTGTTGGAGTGGTTGACCTTGCGAAGGGCCTCCCTTCTCGCAGTCTCTTCTTCCTCCATGAGGTGGTCGTGACGCGCCTTCGCAGTGTCGGCTTCCATCTTGGCATTTTCAAGCTCCGTACGAACTCTTGACAACTCAGTCTCAAGCTCGGCTCTAACGAGATTGACATGGTTGTTCGCGGCCTCGACCTCCGTCTCAAGAGACATACGAGTCCGGTGCACTTCAGCTCGTCCAGACTCCTGGGCGTCGTGGAATTGTCGTTCGAAGCGGACAGCTAGGACCTGTTGTTCAGTCAGGTCGCCTTGCATCTTGCGGACCATCTCATCCAACGATGCATTCGTTGCTCTCAAATGCTCAATCGTATGCTGAGACTCTGCAGCCCCAATGGCGTTGGAGCGCATCACGCGCAATTCGTCCTCAAGCTGCACACGTTCTCTGTTGGCAACCACTTGCTGCGATTCCAAGACCTCGATCTTGGCACGGTAGTCCTCTTCCTTGGACTTCCAGACAGCCTTCTCGCTCGCAAGCTGGCCTGCCGCGGTCGCCATGTCGGAATGGAGCTTCTCAAGTCTGCGCTTCATGCCGCTAGAAGATTCCTGGTAATCTTCATTTTGACGCTCCATCGAGGCGATTGTGTTCTCGAGCTCTTCACGAGCAAGTTTGCCATCGTCAATGTCCTGGCGCCATTTGTTGCTCGACACTCGGTATTCTTCAAGAGTGGCCTGCAAAGCGTCCTTCTCTGCTTCAGCATCTTCCAGTTTGTCTTCTGCTTTTCGGCGGGCATCCTCAGATCTATCCAGACGATCGAGGAGATCCTGGCGTTCTTGTTCCATTGCTCGGATCTTCGACTCCTCGTCCCGAGACGAGTCTCTTAGCAAATTGAGCTCTTCTTCTGCCAGGCGCAGTTGCCGCCTGGCTTCCGTCTCTCGCTCCTCGATTGCACGGCGGTGGTTAGCCTCCTCAAGCGCTCCAGCAAGTGTCTCGTTGAGGCGACCCTCCAGTTCAGAGAGCTCTCGGCGATGCGTCTCCTTGCTTTCATCAAGAGCAATAGGTACAACAGCCTGACTTTGTCGGTTCAGGGAGTCTTCCACAACGGCACGAATATCATCAAGTTCCAAGCTGGCAGATGCAGCTCTGGCGAAGGAAACCTTCATATCCGCCAAGACAGAGTGAAGCTCAGCAACGTCGATGGCGGTCTGCGAGCGTACAGGGCTCTGCTCACGGAGTGCTTCCAAGACGACAGCCTTGATTTGATCGACACGCTTGTCTCGTCCACGGGAGATGGGTCGCTGTTTCTGCTCATCAGAGCCTTCATCCTCGTCGTCAGCATCGCTCTCCACATTCGAAGAGCTTCGCTGTAGCTTGAGATCTGTAGAGCGGTTACCACGGCCGACGTTGTTCTGAATATGCCGCAGACTCTCTTCGAGAGGCTGAAGACGCTGTTCGACGACACGGCCGATAATACTATCGATGTGACTGTCGAAGAAGTTGCTGCGTTGTTGCAGCTTCTCCTCATCAGGAGGCGAGAGCATGCCGGACCAGTCGCTCGTTGGAGCTTCCTCTGCTCTGTTGAGCTGGCGAACCTGAGGCCAACCATTGAGATCCTGACCTACGCTTTCAGGACGCTCGAGAGCAGCATCCAGCTGCTTGCGGTCTGGACTGGGGCTCGGAGCATCGCTGCGCGACCACTCACCCAGGTAAGTCACGCCCTTCATGGGATGAGAACCAGGGCTTGGCAATCGGGCTGGCGAAGCATCTCTGACGGTCTCCTTCTCTGAATCATCTGCGTTGAGCTGACGCATAACAGCATCGATCTCATCAAATGACGGCTCATGGTTTTCAACCTTGTCAATGCGTTCCTGTGAAGAGAACTCCACCGGCGGCGGAGGTCTAGCAGAGGATGGAGCGAAATCACGCTGCAGAGTAGCGTGCTCTCGAATGGGAGACACAGAAGGTGTACCATCTTCCCTGATCTCGCCTTCTTCCAATTCACTGATCGAGTTGAAGTGTTCATGGTGCTTTTCGTTTGGCTCTTCTTCGACTGGTGGACCTCCGGGAGGCTGGAATGGCCTGGCCAATGCAGACAACGAGCTCGAGTGCTTGTGCTTGTGGTGTGTTTCTTTCTCAGCAGGCTTGTCAGCGACTGTCGTCGCCTCGGGAACGTCGTCTTCCTTGGTAGGTTGGGTGCTGACATCTTCCTCGGGCTTCTCGGCGATTGCTTCAAGGCCTGCTGGGGTGTCTTCTGGGGCTTGCTCCGCGCCTGCGGTCGTTGCGCTACTGACATTCGATCCAAGAACTTTCTCCGGTGGCACTGGTAGAGCAGGAGCCGCGCTTGGCTCTGCAAAGAGTGGCACTTGATCGCCATCGTCGCCGATCTTGCGCGCCTGTTTCCTCTTCGCATCGCCTTGAGCCACACGTCCTTCATCGTCCTCGAAGTCGGTGCCAGATCCAACATTTTGAGCTTCTTCAGGACGAACGATAGCAATGGCCTTTGACCTCCGGGCCGGCTTGACGATATCGGGAACGTCGATCTTGCCAAAGATGCTTGGCAGTTCATCGACAATGTTCTTCTTGGATGCTTCTTCAGCAGTGCCATTGGTCTTGAACGTTGGCCCCGAGGACGAGAAGCTGAATTCAGAAATGACCGGCTTGAATGACGGCGCGTTGGCGTTGAAGGAACCGGAAGATTGATGCCGACGATGAGTCTGGGCGCTCTGTTCATTCGCTGCGGGTGCAGGTGCGCCGAAAGTGAATGTAGACTGTGGAGGTTGGAAAGCGCCAGGCTGTTGGAAAGTCGGCGCTGGCTGGAAGCTTGCTCCAGGTTGAAAGTTAGCGCCAGGGTTGAAGGTAAAGGAGGGCGCTGCCACATTGAATCGGGAAGCGCTCTTCTTGCGGCTATGTGCCGTTTCTTGAACAGGATGCTCGGAGCCGAGAGGATCTCGTTCAACAGGCTGAGGTGGCATCTGAGTTTGGAAGCCATTCGACTTCGGATACGGCAGGATCGATGGCTGCTCTTCCTCCTCAGTGACCTCGATCCAGTCTCTGCTTGCAGCCTTTTGCCGTTGTTCAGCTTCGAGAAGTTCTCGCTCGAGGCCTTCGCTGATGTTGTGGCGGTGACCTCTTGGAGTCGGGACCGCGATTTCGGTGTTTGCCTGAACTCTCTTATGTGGTGGAACGTAAGTCGGAGGAGTTGACCCCTCCATATCCTCTTCTTCCTCGTCTTCATCTTCAGGCAGCTCCGGCAGTGCGGGAGTTGGACGAAGACTAGAGCCTTGCGACATGAATGTTTGCTGCATCATTGGCTGCTGCATGGACTGAGAGTACGCGTGCTGTCTCCGCCTCTGGTCGTCCACCAAACCTCTACTGTAATCTTGAGGAGATTGAGGTAACATTTGTTGGTTCAAGGGCGAACCAGGGCCGCGCATAGAGCCAAGTTCCTGTCTAAGAGCAGAAATCTGGGCAGGTGAGCCGCCACGCGGCAAGCCTGACAACGCAAGTTGTTGCTGTGGGGAGAAAGGCTGCAAGCCAGGGATCCCTGGGGACTGTGGTTGCGGTGGCTGCTGTAGCTGGGGAAGGCCAATGGGACCAGTGAAAGTTGAGTGTCGGTGCATATGTCCGAATGGTCCGTTCAGAGGCGAAGCTGGAGAAGCAACAGACATTGTGTGTGAGTGACCACGAACAAGTCCTGGACGGCCCATGCTACTGCTACCGGCCGATGCTGTCGGCAGTGGCGGCGAGAAAGGTAGGGGCGGATACTGCTGAGACGATTGTCGAGACATATCTTGCGCAGGCGCCGGTGGCTGCGGTGGTTCTTCAATCCCAAGAGTCACACCAAGGGCAGCCAATTTCTGTTCGGTGAGCCAGTCTGTGTATGCTCTCCACTTCTGAAGATCCGGCAGGAGCACCTTGTACTCTTCTCGATTTGGTGCTTGACGGGACTCTGTTTCATCTGGAAAGATGGCTCTGACTTGAGCAGGATCACCAGCAGCTTCCTCGTAAGTCAAATCGTAGCCTAGGACGTTGTAGCCCGCATCTTGAAACTGCTTCAACCGCTCTTGAACTTCGACTTCGCTCAGGGGCTGGGATATGCCAGCTGCATCGAAGTCGATTCTTGGTATGGAAATAACAATGTTCTTCCCTCGCCAGCTCACGCGCTTCCTGAGGCGAGGAGGTTCCAGATGCTGCGTAGTCACGGGTGGATTGGGTTGTAGAGTCTCGCCAGGCGTAGTCGTCTCTGGCACATCAGGTTCAGCTGTATCCACTGGAACGTCAACTGGCTCATGCCCCGTGTCTGGCAATGCTGCATCCTTTTGTTCCTCCTCGACCTCCTCCGGCATCTCGTTGCTCTTGCCATCCATTTGAACGTCAGGAGACGTGCTTGCAATTTGAGTGGTTGGAGTAGCCTCTTCCTGCGTCTCTGGTATCGTCTCCGATGCACCATCTTGTTCTGCTGGCGGCTCCGGCGTGGGAGCCCACCTGGAAGCGAAAACGCCGTCTGTTGGCTTCTCTGCAACCTCTTGAGGGTTTGACGGCTCCTCTGCGTTGGCTTCTGGCTTCTCGGCCTTCTCCTGTTCTTGTTGCTCTTCCGGATCTGGCTCTGGTGTGTCTGCCCATCTTGACGCAGTTATGCCTTCGACTGGCTTCTCCTCAACATCGTCCTGTTCTTTCTTCTCACTTGGCTCAAACTCCGCAGCGTCTGCCCATCTGGAGGAAAGTACACCATCCTTCGGCTTCGTGTCCTCTCCCACCGGCCTAGCCTGTTGCTGTTGGTCGAATGCCGGCTCCGGCGTCGCCGCCCATCGTGAATCTAGCAAGCTTGCCATATTATCAGGTTTCTGTCCACGTAGGGTATTCCAAAAGGACTGCTGGTCCAATGTCCGATTGTTCTCCCGGGATTTATGCCCAAGCCTGCTAACTCTATCTCTAGAGTGCTGTATCGAGCTCGAAGAAGACGGTGCGCGAGGTCTTCTACTTTCGCTATCAGATCTGCTGTGCACCGACTCGTCGCTCCACCAATGTATACGTTCTGACTGCTCCTCCCGCTGTGGCAGTTGGACCCAACGTTGCGTACGCGAGCGTGGAGTTTGCGAGTGGTCGGGGACTGGCTGATAGATGCCCAATGCCGATGTATCGTGTTGAGGAAGACTGAGGTCGCTAAGGCGACTTGGAATCAAGTGCTCTAGTCCAAAGCTTGGTGTAGGCGAGAGCTCGTTGGCGTCTTCGCTCGCAGTCTGCTCAGAGACAGCGGTACGTGCGGATCGCGACAATTGAGACGGCGAGAGGTCGTATGGCGAGCCCCACGCAGCAGTGTAGTATGCAGAACTGGTATCTCTACTCCTTAAGCTCGCAGGCGTTCGTGGAGGAGGCAGACGCGCGATCTCCGGGCTCAATCCCTCGTGCAGCAACGAAGACTCAGGATGGTCGGCTACAATGCCATCATACTTGACAATGGGCGGCGACGTAGGCGGTTGTGCTGAGGACGTGGTGGCGGTTGTGCCTGGGTCGATCGGTGGTTAGCGATGCCCAACGCCCGCGAGCCAGAGGATTGCTGCAACGACCGACCTTCCACGTTTCCAACGACCGCAGAGCGACTACGAATCGCTCATCGACGGTATACCGTCTTCCACACACTCCAGCTGGATGTATAACGCGTCGAGATGTGTATTTCGCAGGGGTAGCTGCCGTGCCGACGCGGTCAGACGGCGGGTGAATTTCTGGTCCAAAAAGTATGCTCAACAAAAGAGAGGACGGGGGTTGGGTCAAGGAGCGACAATCGCCATCAAAAACAGACGCATAAGAGCATTAAGCACGCATCGAGAGTGAGGAAGAACGACAGCGACAACAGGTGCTTGCGGTGCCCGTCGATGCGGATGTATATGGACGGAGAGGTGTGGTGCGCAGTAGAGGTGTGCTACAGGCACCGAAGATTCCCCTGGCACTCGCCTCGGTCTAAGTTTGATCTCACAGCCCTATCAAATGAGCGATCGCCACGTTCTTGGGCCACAATGCTTCTCATCGATGTCATGTTTTTTGTCCTGTCACCATCCTCAAGAAATAGTGAAGGATCACATTGGTTTCGCTTTTGCTTGTTGCTCAATCTCATATCTATCACGCTTCTACAGCAGGAGCAGAAAGGCCGTCATCTTTCATACCATTCAACCAATCCATCGTAAACCCGCCAGTCTCACCACTCATCGCTGCATATCCGTCTTCCAGCGACCACACATCGCCCGCCGCATCGAGGTTGATCAAATTGTCAAAGTCGTGCTCAAAATCAGGCTGTATGCCCAGGTCCACCTGCTCCCCAGCGTTCTGATTCTCAGAATCCGGTGGCGTCGATGCTAGATACGAGTTCAGCTTCCGTGCAATGTCGTCGTCGGTGAGTTGGTCGTTCTCGAATGACGTTCGGGAATCATCCGGCGGTGGGGTGAGCGCACCTGTTTCTTGCCCAGCTGGCATGAGCTGCATTCTGCGGCCAGCATCGACGAGGCCTTGGGCCGACGTAATGATGTTTCGCGGCTCCTTGATCTCATCCGACTTTTGGGGCAGTGTGATTTCTGCTTTGCGGATCGCTGCCTCGAGGAACGCCGTAGAGTAGTCGGCGGCAGCGTAGATGTCTCTCAGCTTGCCCATGATCTGCATGCATTGGCAAAAGCCTTGCAAACTCGTCCTTCGAGTCGATTCATCTGGGGCCTTGATATCCAGCAAGTGGATGATGATGGCAGGCAGGAGAACAGTAACACCCGTCGTTGGAAGATATCTCACCATGTCGAGGTTGAACAGCCCGTAAGCAATGTTCGTAATCTCGTTCGCCGCAAGCCTGACTGCTTTTCGAGATTGTTCGAGCATGTCTGACTGTGTCTGCCTCGGGGGTATTGCTGTCGACGGCAATACTTGCGGGCGGTGCAGGGCGGAAAGTGTTGCGTAGTAGATCATGTGCAGCAAAGAACGGTTCAGCACGATGCTGTCCAGTCCAGAATCAACATCCTGCCATGACGGAACCGCATACTGAGCTTCAGCAGGCAGCTCGTTCTTCCAATCTTGGAGCTCCTTATCGCAGGTCTGCACTTCGTTGACCTCTGGGTCTCGCTTTCTAGCAAGACGGAAAGTTGTCTGGGTGCTACCCTCTTCGCTCAGCACACCGTGGTTGCTGTTGAGTACCGAGTATTGCACAGACAGCACATGGCTCATACAGATGCAGAGCTTGGCGCTCTCGATGCACATCAGTGCCAACTGATTTTGCATCCCAACATCTCGTAGAAGTCTGCAATCAGCCGGAATGCAAGAGATGCCGTCTGGAAGCACCGTCGACTCGAAATCGTTGATCGTAAGCATCGGCACATCGAAATCTGCGTTCTTGATGCGAGTCGGTCGCCGCATGCCAAGAGCCACGAGACGATCGCGCATGTATGTCGACCACCAGATGCGCTTCCACAGTTTCTTTCTCGAATCATCCATCGCAGCAGATTTGTCTGGGTTTCGATGGAGGCCGATCGTGTGTGAAAGAGAGACTGCGATGCCCATCCAATGATGACTATCCTTCTGATCGTCTGGCGTCTCGTACCAATATGTCATCAGCAGCAGAGACTGGATCAGTGAAATGCGATCGATCTCAATATCGAAGTCGTATAACAATCTCGTCTTTTGAAAGAAGTCTCGCCGTGCGTCTCTGCGGGTGGCGTATCCAGCGGCCCTTAACAAGCTCGCGTCGACAGTCGCAATGCCCGTAAACATGATCGCTTGAAAGAGCAACAAGCTCACAGGAGCAGTGCCGTCATTTCGATCGATCGTCGCGACCAGCTCGTGTACGTTCAACAACGGCATGAAGGGGTGAATGAACTCCACAAAGTTCCGCAGCAGCTCGTTTCGCAATGGCTCAGGCGGTATTGTCAGAGCACCCTTCTTCTCGAGATACACCAGATCTTCGGGGTCGAGCTTCGAAGGGAGAGGTTTAATGAATAGAGGCAGGTTGTAGGAGGGCAGAATGGGTGGCATTAGGCCGGCCATGAGAGGTGCAGGGTCGGACACGGATGGTTTCTGACCAATTCGTTGCAGATTCATGACCATGTCAGGCGCGTAGATGGATGGTCTCGGTGTTTGTGCACTCAAGCTCATGTCTCTACCAAGGTCTTGATCTACGGCACTCGTCAGTACAGGCCAGTCCGCTGGAGATGATGGCAACTGACACAAAGCGTGCGGTACATGTTCAGAGCGCTTGATGGGCTCGTATGGCGGTTGTGCGGACATGGGAAACATCGGCGACTTGTAAGGAAGACCGCCTTTCGTCTGACCTGGCGAGCCTTCGATGCCGTTGGTAGGCCATTTCCTGAAGCCTCGTGAGCATGCCTGCTGCCAAAGCGGGCCAAGAGGAACCTCAACTTACTTCTTGCGCTTGCTTTCCGACACGATGCATTCGACCTCATCAAGACGGCAATTCGTGCACGGCGGGCCATGCTCAACGACGTTACATCTCACTTTGCGTGAGCGACAACATTGGCAGGCTTTGGAAGCTCTTCTCTTGACGCTCTTCGCTGGGCGCATGCCATTGGCTTTCAGACCTGCATCGGCAGCTGTCCGCTTCGCTGGTTGGGTCTGCACTTCGACTGTATCCGAGGGCGAGGACGAAGCCTCTGAGGGAGCATGCGCGTCCATGGCTATGGAGCCCATTGTTGGGTGTAGGTAAGCAGCAGGGCGAGAACACAGGAGTGCGAGAGTAGGTAATCGAGGACGGAGTGGAAAAGAAAGCACGTCGACGAGAGACAGCCAGAAGAAGCGCCAAACCTTAGGTCCCGCGATCCACCAGAGGGGCAGGGTGGATGATATAAAACGAGTCCTAGCGCGCGAGTTATCTCCGCCAAGTCATTGGATGGCCATTGCAGTGAGAGGAACACATGCACGATCCACGCAGACCAGGCCAGTAGCGCGTCCCTTGTGCTTCGGCTTACCTGCGCTGCCAGCATGATGAGATGATGCGAAGACGCTCGACATGCCCGACATCCAGCATCATATCCCGCGGTCTCCGCGCACCTCTGTACCTGTCGCCATGCTTTGTACCACTTGATCAGTGAGCAAGGCTGCTGCCGCGTCCTCGCCATTGTGGACAATTATGTAGACGCTGCCGTTGGAAAAGTCTGGAGTCCCCACAGCCACTAGTGCGAGTGCTGGTGGAGGTGGGAGACGCCGGGAACGACGTTGCTTGGGAGTTGGAGCACCCACAAAAGCACCACTTCAAGCGGGTCTGGTCCCCTCCTCGCCTTGCCACCGCCCGGCCGCGACGACTTCTGCTCGCAACTCGCGAGGCTTGGATGCCGCAATCGGCACGTCGACGTCGACGTCTGTACAGTCGTATGTACATACCTTCGGAAAACCGGCGTACCGTGCAACTCGCGCACTTGGCTCCGGCGGGTGCTCGTGGAGCGGCGCACCTAACTCGGAGAATGGGTTCCGTATTCTGCACGCGTCTGACTGTACGAGTCGTCGTTGCGAGAAGTCGTTTTGACATATGATCTTACTCTGCTATTCCCTTACGGCCGCAGCCGAACCGGTAAGCGACTGCGATTTGTGCCACCAGACATATCCTGGTATGTTGCGGCTCGCTGATGCTTTTCCAGCGTGCCAGCAATTATTAATCGCAGTAATCGTGACGCCTCTATGGCAGCGGCATATGCGGTAAATCGAGACCCATCGAAACATCAAGTGTGAAGAAGGATGTCGCAGGTCGGGTGACATTTGACTGCGGAGTCGAAACGCCATCCACATGTGCGTTGCTAGCCACAGGAAAAGCCAATCGTGGACGGACTGCCATCTGAACTCTTGTCCATGTTATACGCCGCGCCGTGTTTTGCTTCTGAAAAGCATCGCGCAGCCGCTTCACGTACCAGCGAATTGTGTTGCGCCATTCTTCGCGAAGGGTACGGCAGCGCACAAACGGAGATGGCCTGTCGCTAACGTTCGACCGCGCATGCCACGCTTACTCGCATCGAGCGACTCCGTGACGGAGCGATCGCAGTTCATCGACTTTGGTCGCTTTGCCCGTGCTCTGCCCGTGCTCTGCCCGACCCACACTTTCGCTATCGCACTGAGAGGTGAAGCCGCTTGTTCCGCGTGCGGCCAAGGATCTTCGGTCTTTGCAGCAGCATTTCTGTCACATGCAGTGTTATATCCTGTTGGTATCTACTCTATCGGAGCAAATTTCATAGTGCCGCTCGTCAACGCGTCGTCTGTCTCGACGTCTAGTGACTCAGCTCTTCTTCTTAAGAATTCCATTGTGCCTCGTCTCATCGCGCACGATACGCGGTATCGATGTGAACGTGCTAGGCCACGACAGCTGGTACTGGTCGGTCTTGCCGTTGAGACAGTGCCGGAGCCACACGCCCCAAACTGGGAACTTTGTCAGTGCAGTGTCCTTAACACCGAGAGTTTCGATACTAGTACCGATGTAAAAGTAGGCTCCGAGGCCAGTCATGAGATGCCACCATCCATGCCCTTTCACTTGTTAGCTCTCTAATTCGTTAGATCAGAGCAACAGGATCACTGACCTTCCAAGAGTATACCCCACGGAAGACCGAGTTCGCGCCTCCAGATCCGAATCCTTTGGCAATAGAGGTTGTCCAGGTTCCAGATGGCGAAACCACCAAGGAAAATGGTCAACCCGAATGCAACCATTGTCCACATTTGCTTCAGGATCCATCGATCTCTATCATCTTGTCTGCGCTCTTCCAGCTTCTCGTCTTCGGATATCGTTTTGCTCGCCTGGACCCTCTCATGCTCTTGCCGTCGCTTGCGAAAGTATGGGCGAATGTTCATTTCCATGATGTACATCGATCGGATCAGGACGACGGCCGTGAGGATTGCATAGGCTGTCTGGTGGAACGTTGGGTCCTGCAAATAGTGATAGTACAGCGTGATGAAAAGCGCAAGCCCGGCGACAAGTACGGCCAGGATCGTCTTGACGAAGACTGGGCGCTTGTGCTCAAAGGTCGCCCATGTCATCAAACAGGTGGTATAGATCATCGACAGCTCGTCCACGAGTTGCATGGGGTATTTCAGCGTCGAGTGGAAGGCGAAGCTACCCGATCCAACTATCAAGAACCCTAGAAACGTGATCAAGAAGATTCGATCGTGGCCATGGCGAAGGCAGTTGTGAACCCCGACCAAGGCCAGCCATATGACCAACAAGTTGGTCACCGAGTTGACAATTTCGGCGATATATGTCGTTGCGTAGTACTTCTCCTCGCACCAAGTGAGCGTGGAAGTGATGGGGCTCCAGTAGCCAAACTCTTTCGCTGGAGGATACGGAATCGAGGGTAGTCGGAGTTGGGCCATTATGGTTGTCTGTCGGTGCGGAGCCCGGGTAGAAAGCCTAGAGTAATGTCGGTGGAATTGCTTGTTTGCTTGTCATTTGGCATCAATCTTTTATCGGTGCTCACACGACAGGCATCAACAAACAACTTCGTGTAAACAGCTGTTCGTGTGGACAGCTGCACGACGTCAGTCGTCGAGAAACTGGACCGAGGCGCACCGGATCCGGCCATCTCCGCCTCGCACGTGACAGAGGAGACTCGCTTAGACGCTGAGGAGTCTTTGGCCTCCGACGACATCGACCTCACCTGGTCGGCGCAACGTCCAGACATGGCCATCCCCAACGAGAAGCTGCAGCAGGTATGTCATTTCCGGGCTCTTCCATCCGCGGTCGCTGACCCCATTTCAGCTACTGCAGGAGATTGAGCAGAAGGCGGCATTCGCACAGCAGCAGCTTGGCATCGTCCGTTCGCAGATTGCGTCGAAAAACCGTGAGAACCGGATGCTGCAGCTCTCCTCGAGTGAGCTCGACACTCTGCCCAAGGACACGCCCATATATGACGGAGTGGGCAAGATGTGGGACATGCTCATGTACGACTGCCGGCAGCCTCGGCTAACATGACAATAGGTTTGTCCTTACCTCCACCGAGGATGTAAAGGGACGTCAGGCCAAGGAAGCAACCGATGTGAAAGCGGAGATCGCCAACCTGGAGAAGAAGCTGCACTATCTCGAAACGACTTACAACAATTCCCAACAGCATATGGAAGCGCTCTTCAAGCGTGGCGGTTGAGATGGCGACATCCGAAGCAGCTGGATACCCATGTGGAATTGAGGCCGACCCTTGAAGTATTGTATGGATTGCATGTGGGCTCGTCAGCACTCATGCAGGGCTTCAAACACCCAACGACTAGAGTTATGGGAAGGATCCCGGCCAGAGTCGCACGTGTGGGAGGCTCCGAGTCTTGTCATACAATGTGCGAAGCCAGGTTCAAGTCTTGAAGCTGGTCGCATCGGATTGAAAGAAAGGGGAACTTGCTGATGGGAGTAAGCCGTAAAGCCGTTGGGCTCGTTCGTTCAGCAGAGACATCAGCAAGTACCGAACGTCCTGTACCAACATGAGACGTGGTGTACCTTTCCAATCGACCGCGAGTACGACAATGCATCGTATGCGAACACTTCTGTGTCAACCCACGTCCCACCGGCTTCCTGTGGTCGCACTGTGGACCCGAGCCGATCTACGTCTTCCCCACACTTGAGTCTATGACGGTATCTTCTCAATTGTTGGCTCTGTTTGAACAACTGTTGCTAAGAAAATAAGAAGCCCGGGCCAAGGCTCTGTTGGAAGTCTTGTTCGTTGCTTACTTCATCGTTCATCCATCTATAAGAATGACGCGAACCCTCTTGGTGGCGCTCGCTAGCGCATCAATCGTCTTTGCCTACTGGGATACGCCAACAGGAGAGTATCGCCCGTTCGGGCCTGGTTACAGTCGAGGCGCATACCCTCAAGACTATGGGGTGACGGGACCGCCTATACAGGGAGTGCACGACTCGCAGCAAGCGCCGACAGGTCTAGCTGTAGACCTGGAGCACAACATTTACCTCACCTATCCTCGCAACACTGGCCAGACACCTAGCAACGTCGTGATATGCACATCCTTCAATGGCGAGAAGCCGTGGCCCAGTGCCGACATCCAGAACTGTACGCAAGGTCAAGATCCATCACAATGCTTCATCAATGTTCAGAACGTGGTGCTGGACTCCATCGGTCAGCTTTGGGTTGTCGACAGTGGTATCCCTTACTACGCCACACCAGGGAGCGACGCTATTAATGGAGGAGCTAAGATCATGTCTTTCAACCAAACTGGCGAACACCTTCGGACGTATGTCATACCACAAGATCTGTTGGCTCACGGCATGAATGCGAATGATGTACGGATCAACAACACGCTTGGAACGAATGGGTGGGCATTTATTACTGATGAATCTACAAACTCTTCAGTCCTGGCTGTCAACTTAGACGATGGCAGTGCAGTGAGGCGCCTTTTCAACACGTCTGTGGTTAGAGCAGATCCTGGCTACGTCGGTTCCTACGACAGCGAACTCATCTACTGCTGGAACAAAACAGAGAAAGGCTACTGTACCACAGGAGCGGATGGCATCGCTCTCGCTAGTGGACAAGTCTTCTGGGGTGTCTTGGCATCGAGAAGATTCTACTACCTCTCCCAAGAAACCCTCATCGATAGCAGCCTGACCGATGAACAAGTCCTCGCCGCCGTTCAAGATCCTGGACAATGCGGTTCGGAGCAAGCTGGATTCACGGCGGACGATCGCGGCAGAGTGTACATTTTCGCAAGCGAGCAAAACGCCATCTACTACGTCGACACTTTACAATCGGAACTTGAGATGCCAGTCGATGATGTAAAGCCTGGAGGGTCGGGACTCATCCCGGCGAAAGATTATGTGGTAAAGACGTTGGTGCGCAACGCTATGATTCAGCATGCTGATTCGGGCGCGATTTTGGATGGCTGGCTTTACTTCTGCACGAACCAACTGGAGTTGAGTCCGGGCAGGCAATACAACAACACTGATGCCAGGAGAGGTCCGTTCAGGAGCTTTCGTGTGTGGGTAGGGCGAGGGCCGGCGGTGTAAATATCATGTGTATTGGCAGCAATAGGTCCCGCGATGAGAAATATATCGCCACGTTAAAGCCTCAACCACGAAATGGTTGGGCTGACTGCTAGCTGGCATGAGTCACAACATGCGATCAACAAGGCTGGGCTGCTCTTTGCCTTAATGTGAGCAAACCCAGCCTGCATTACAATTGTGAGTGAATGGGCCTGGTTGCTATTGTCGAAGTGAGGTGGGGTCGCACGAGCACATCGAGTGAAGTTTCGGGCTTCGGCGCGCTACAGCCACTAGCGCAAACCTTAGTTTCCTATTGTCGACAATACGCTGCCCTGTCGACAATACCAACCACCTGAAGCTTCAGCGGCAATTTCTGCCTCACCGTGCGCGATATCAGTCACGCCGCGAATCATGATACGCCCAGCACAGTCATACGTTGACGAGGATGAGCCGTGGAAAATTATGCCGCTGCAGGGGTCTCGCCTTCCTGCTGTGGCCGGGTGGGTTGCACATGCTCGCTCAATAAAGTTAAACTTCCTATTGTCGCGGCCACCTCAATAGCAGTCAACAATAGCAAGATGCGCGGCGCATTTGCCTGACAATCTCACGCACTCTTGCTGTTGATCTCTCACACTCATAAGTTCACCCGCTGCACTTCGCTTTCTCACCTCTCACTTCACTTCAACTCAACCTCACTTCACTGCCGCCAGCCAGCCAAGCATAAAAGGCTCACATCATCCTCACCAACCAGCCATCATCACCATACGACACCTTCTTCTCGAAGAAACCAACACCTACACACCTCGTCTTCGACACCACACCATCTCAAAACAATACCAACTGAGGGCACCGACAAACACACATCGCCCTGTTCCTTCCTCTTAAGGACACCGCATCGGATCAACCACACCCGTCCGCAACACGTCAAATAGCAATCCGGCGCACCTGACCTGAGCTATCCGATCTCACGTGTCTCGACATGGACTCCATCACACGCCTCTCGCAAAAGATCCTCGCCGAGCGAGCTCGCAATGGAACACAGCCAAACCAGACGCCTTCGACCGCTCCACCTCCCTACAGCGAATCAGACATGGACTCCGACGACGAAGACTCCGACGATGAGTCTTCCCCTCCTGTCAAGCTCATCGTCAACGCCGCACACAGCATCCAAGGATCCGGGAACCTTGTCCCAACGTCCGCGACGCCGTTGGCGGATGCGACCAAGTTCAGCACGTTGCTGCTACATGCCGTCAATCAGATCAACGCGGTGAACAACAAGTCGTCGACATCAGCTACACCTACATGTCGACGTCCTCTCAAGGTCGACTTGACGATCAACTGCGGCGTTACCGTTGTGGGTGATAGGAATGTCATTGGGAATGTGGGCTTGAAGCCCAAGGCACCGAACGGGGTTGTTGCACCTGCACTCCCTGCGACAGCGACGGCGGCCACGACAGCATCTACTGCTGCTGTTGCGGGCGCGAAGAGAAAGTCAGAGGAGCCGGATGCTGGAGAGGAGCCAGCGGCTAAGAAGGTCGCTACCACTGGCGACGGAGGCGGCAACTGAGATATCTATGGAAATATTGCTACCATGTTCATGAGTTCATCTTGGCTGGCGGTGCTATGGGAAAGGGGGGTTGTTACTGGCGATATGATGATGTATTTGCTCCGTGTGTATGCGTTTGAGGAGCGAGCGAGGGAGGGATCAATGGCGCTTGCTTTTCAAAATCTTTCTATCAGCTTTTTTTGCTAGCATACAAAAACCGCGAATCGGACATGATATTTATGACACTTTCTTCGAAATGCGTCTTTCGTCCAAGACATCTATCTTGCTTTTCTTCGAGACGTTCGTCTCACTGACCAAGGCTACTCGGCTTTCTCTTCGCCTCGCTAATACACTCGTTGTCGATACAAGTACAAAGTCTCTATTGCATGAGTCACAATTCCAGATGCCTACTACCAGCAGAACTCACTCACTCCTTCAGAAACCCGGCGAGCCCACCAAATCCTACTTCTGCGAGCTCCCCAGTCCCGAAGATTGAGCCTGCAACGACTGCCGCTGTCCATACCCCTGACTGAGATACGAGCCCACGCCCGCCGCGCCAGGATAATTCCCTCCACTACCACCGTGCCCTTCCGCCGCCAACCGCCGCTCACGATACTTGCGGCCGTTGATGATATTCTGCAGGCGTTTCCGCTCGCGGGGTTCCGTGATTTTCGTCCAGTCGAGGTCTTCGCCGGGTTCGGCGTAGTTGATGATGTCAGCCATGGTGCTGGCGGAGATTTGGCCTTGGCCGCCGGAGGAGGCGCCTGTGTAGAGGTGCGAGGAGGGGTTGACGTCTTCGCGTTGGGGGCCAGGGTGGGGACGGAGTGGTTGGATTGGGGTTGATTGGGGGAAGGAGGCGAGGTCGGATTGGAGGTGGGAGAGTTGGCGGACGGGTGGTGCTTGGTTGTATTGGGGTATGTTGGCTTCTCGTGAGGCTTGGTTCTTTTCGTGGTAGAAGAGGCGATGGTTCCAAGGTGGAAGTCGCTTGTCGCGCTCGTAGAGTAGACCGCAGTTGGTGCAAAGCGTCTGCAATGAATGTTAGTCAAACTCCTGTCTTCGACCAGGTCTGCTTCACTTACTCTCGGACCATTAGGCCCATCTCGCACACCCCATACTGCCGAGCCCCATATGCAGCAGTGCGAGCACGCCCAGTACTGTCGTTCACCCTCAGAAAGTTGACTCGTCGTTCCACCGAAGCCAGCAACATCAGGAGTCTCACGGCCCACTGGTGACAAACTTCTAAAGCGTCGCTTCTTCTTCGATCGTTCGCCTCTCCCCATACGTTCATCATCGACACCTCCAGTCGCTTGCTGTGAAGAGCCAAGACCACCAGAAAAGTAATCGCCCAGCCCACTGCTCTGCCCTTGCAGTGTGTAAGTGGAAGTGAAGCGGGCTGTTTCTCTTCGTTGCCGACGGATCTGGCGTTCTCTGTCGCCTTCCCGCCTCTCAATCTCCTCTTTGCTGAGCACTTCAATCTTGGGCTCCCAGTCAACACCCAGACCGTCCTCGTCAAATCTCCAACCTGCACCCACGCCGAGCGCAGACTCTGCCGTGCCGTGGTATTCGCAGGCTTCATTCTCGATGACCCCCCAACCGTCCACGCCACTTCCAACAACTCCAGCCATTGTCCCGTTATTGTCAATCATGTCCTTCTTCAGCCGCATGCTTGACTCGTAGATGGCATGCGCCATCATGGGCACCCATTCTCCAGGCAGGCCAAGATCAGCACATGTTTGCCTGGCGAATATCTCCGGGAAACCAGGAGGATGTAGCAATGACCATTCGAACTTGTCTGTGTATAGCCTGTTCTGGAGGTTGATGGATAAAGTGATCACACAACGGTGCGTATCTGGAGGATTGAGTGCTGATGATGCGGACGGATCTCTCGGTAGGGGCTGCGCTGCCACTGCCAGAGCTGGCGTCGCAGTACCATTCGGCATTGGTGTGGGTGGATCTGATGAGATCTGATGGCCATTGGTCTGAGGTAGCTGCAAGAAGCCAGCGCTGGGGGTGTCTGCCTGCATTGGTGTAGAGGAGTCTTCTCGTGAGATTGCAGGTCGGATCGAAGGAGTGGGTGCAGTGGTGGGAGGTGGCTGGTTCACTGCCTCTGGTTGAAATAGTGGATGCAGCGCCGTGGCTGCGTTCTCCTCAAGCTGGATACGTATCTGCTGCGCGATCTCCAGAACCATAGCCTGCTTCCTCATGACTGGAAAGTCGAGCTCATCCACAAAGGTCTTAGCGAACATGTCCGGAGTGATGAGGGCCTCGTGTAGATTCCACAGAAACTGATCCTTTAGCCGGTACGGTGGTGTGGGCTCAGGCGCCTTGTAGGCAGGCAGGTTCTCATCAATGCCAAAGTCTTTGGCGTTCCCGGGTGTAGGCAATGCAGCCTCTGGTCGAAAGGGAGCCACGTCCAGATCGATTTTGATAGGTATGAGAGTTGTTGGCAAGGCAGACTGAATATGCATCTGCCTCTCAGTCAAGGTACGCTTCGGCTTGCCCATCCAATCTCGCCAGATGCCCTGGACATCAACAGGCGCATGAATCTCTTTGCCTAGCTCCTTCGCCTTCTCCACCATAGGGTCTGGCTCGCGTCGCTGTTGAGCGGTGCGCAAGCCAGTCGCCCGTCGGGGACCATCTGAGTCTTCAATGCTATCATCGTCAAACTCCTCAGCGTAGTTGATGGCAGTGGTGCCTCGTTTTGTTGTGCGGACGGGTGGGAGAATTGTTTGGGGCACGACAGGCGTCAACAGCGAGTTGCCGTAGGTTCGTACGCGCGGTGCATAGGAAGAGACGAAGGCCTGGGGAGCGTTCAGGCGATTCGAATTGACCGCGCCGGTAGCCATGGCGCGCTTTTGGCGAGACCACAAGGGCCTGCCGTGGAGGAGCTGGAGAGGATCGCCGGACGTCGCTATGGGCGTAAGATTGGTATCGTCGGAATCGCGAGACTAAGGCGACGGCGGCAGGGTCGTTGGTGAGGAGCGACGTTGGGTGTAGGGGTGGTGCGGAGTGGGAGTGTGGTGGGACGCGGTGGTTCAGATGCAAGGGCTTGGGATTCGCGTGAAGCTGTCGAGGTGGAAGGGTTGAAGATTGATTGAAATATGGTACGCCGTAAAACGGCCACACCGCAACTGCAGTATTCCGTACTGACTGTCGTCTTCCACAGCAGCACAAGCACCACTCTCACTACTGTCACAACATTCACTCGGATCTTGGCTGGAACTCGCGTCAACGCGTGTGAATATCTTTCCACAATCTTCATTTATGAAAGTCGCTTATCGCGCGGCTTCATCCTGCATGATCTGCTGGTCGGCGCGTAACGGCCTCACCATCTCTAGGCTGGTGTTTCAAATTCTTCTCTCCTGTCCTGGACTGCAGGCGAGCGTTGGCCGGGCCTGTCCGACCTTCAGCAGCACCAAGCAATCGTTTGAGAATTCGAACAACTCACCACTACGGCTGTCAGACTGGCATGGCACTTCACGCTGGAATCGACTCTCGCCTTCCGCCCGCCTCGACTGGGTCTCTGGCCGGCATGCACTGGGACAAAGCTTGAAAATGCTTGAGTTTCGTGAGACAAAGACAGCGAGACGCCAGGCCAATCAACGGCGCCTACGTGCAGAAAGACGATGTTTCCCTTTCACTTTCTAGTGAATGCGACCACTCCCAGGCCGAGTCTTATTGTTCACCCTCCACAATAACGCCTGCTCGAACAAAGGGGGCCGCGTCTCACAATGCTATTGTGTCACATCAATGAATGTGCGTCGTAGGTGCTCGACGCTTCCATTCAGGACCCTATTTAACCACCCCCTGCTGCCTCTCGTTGCTCTTCTCTTCTTTTCTGTGTGCATCTTTAACACTCCCAACTACAAGCCAGTCTTTAAACAGCAAGCAGGCCTTCAACACTCCTTACTGTGCACCAACCTCGAACAACTACAACAGCTCTTCAGCAACCCACAACTCTAGCCGGTCTAGAGTCGACACTGTCCTTTCGACAACAACAACCACAAGTCCAAGCTACCAGGACCCCCCACCGCAATGTCTAGTGTTGGATCTTTGGCCACCTTGGCCCTCTGCTTTGGCAGCACCTTTGTGGCTGGCCATATGATCATGCAGAACCCCGTCCCATTCGGCAAGGAGACTCTCAATAATAGTCCACTTGTCGATACGGCCATCGGCTCCTCGCAATCAGACTTTCCCTGCAAGCAGCGCGCCGGCGTCTACAAGATCGACACCATCAACAAGTACCAGGTTGAGTCTCCGATCGAGTTGAATTTTACAGGCTCAGCCTCTCATGGCGGCGGAACCTGCCAAATTTCGATCACACGCGACCTCGAGCCCACCGCCAAGAGCGACTTCCGCGTCATCCAGACGTTCTCTGGTGGTTGTCCTACTGCCCAAGATGGCAACTCTGGATCCACCGACTTCTCCTTCAAGATTCCCAAAGGCTTCCCCAATGGCCGAGCCACTCTGGCCTGGACGTGGTACAACAAGATTGGAAATCGTGAGATTTACATGAACTGCGCTCCTTTGGACATCTCGGGTGGATCTTCGGATACCACTGTCTTTGACAGCCTCCCACATCAATACATTATCAACCTGCCAACCACGGGCTCGGACTACTGCAAGTCAGCCGACTCCGCAGATGTTTTGATTCCAGACCCCGGTCAGTACAACACAAAGGCTCCCACGGCAAAGCTCGAGGCTCCCACTGGCCCAGGCTGCGCAGCTGCAGCGAAGGCCATCACCAACGGCGTCTCCAGTGGAAGCGGTTCTTCTGGCTCTTCTGGCTCTGGCTCTGCTGGCTCTTCTGCCCCATCAGCAGGTGGTTCTAGCAACCAGTCCGCAGCCCCATCTTCGGGTGATAGCCAGGCCCCAGCTTCATCAAGTGCCAGCCAACCTTCAGCATCATCCGACTCTGCTGCATCTCAATCTGGGTTTGCAACAGTGACCACTGTCGGTTCTGGTGCTGCTGCTTCCGAGTCCGCAGCATCAACGCCGGCTGAGTCTAGCTCATACCCGACCATGTCTGTCCCCTCTGACGCTGGTGTCTCTGGCCCTGCCTCGACAGGCTTCGCTGCAGCACCAACTGGTACAGGCTCCTCAAGCTCAGGCTCTGGTTCCAGCGGCGGGAGTGACGGCAGCCTCGTCTGTAACGGCACTGACCAATTCGGCCTCATGAACAACGGCAAGGTCGTCTGGCAACCTGTGGCTGCAGGCACCAAGTGTGTCAATGGCCAGATCCAGAAGCGCTCTGACTCTCGCCATGCTCATGTCCGTCGCCACGCTGCGAAGGACTTCTAGGCAAGATCGGGCAGTCACTTCTCGCATCGTCCGCTCTTTTCCCCCCACGACACCAGAATGATTCGACGACAGTACACATACGCATAGATTGGCATCGCATTGGATTGGCGTTTTTGGAACAGGGACTTTGAGCCCCTGCATCGCATTTGAATGGTATGGGTTGGGTATGGACGCAGGACATCAAGTCCATAAGTCACACAACGGAGTTCTGGAGTTTTGGGTTGGTTTTAGTGATTTTAGGAAAATTGAAAATGTTGCATCGCACACAAGTCTCTAACTAGTCTCTTTCTTACATTGATTTCGTTTGATCCGTCGTCATGGCTGCACTGAAGTGTATGGTTTCGCCGAACGCTTTGCCCGTCACTCGCCAAGCACGTGACCTTTGTCTTCCGCATGTGAAGCCGTGAAGCCTGAACTGCAGACCTCACTCCATTTGAGCATTCACGAAACATTGCTCGCCCACCCACACACACACCCCCGATGCGCTTCGATTCATAGCCACCCAAAACATCGAACATGATCTTGCGGTAGCGGCTGAACCAACAAAAATCCAGCAAAATGTCGCAAACACACGACCTGCACCGCGCCCTCCTCCGACCTGCCATCATCCACATGCTCAGAGCATCCGGATTCCACAGCACGAAGCCGTCCGTCCTCGACACGCTCGTCAACCTCTCAGAGCGCCACATCACTCTCCTCGCATCGACAACCGCGCAACACGCCTGGTCCAGCCACAATGACCCCGTCCCGACCATCACAGACGTGCGCATGGCGCTCTCTGACTGCGGCGTGCTGACACCGCTCGACGACCCGGCGGAAGAAGCGTGGAAAGAGCGATTACGGCGGCCTCTCAGTGAAATGGCCGAAGTGCCCAAAGGCGGCAGACAGCGCATGATGGCGGAGAAGCGCAAGCGCGACGATGAAGACACTAGGGATGTGCGCGAGTTTGCGAAGTGGTATGATTCGTCACAGTTCAGAGAGATGAAGCGCGTGGCGGGCATGACTCCTGATGCGAGTGCTGTGGGCGGTATACCTGCTGTGGGAGTAGGAGGCAGTGTGGTGCACGCGGACGACTTCCTTACGACGTTGAAGAAGAAGCAAGGGAAGGCTGGTGATGATAGTCGGTTACAAGGGACGGTGCTGGGGAGGACGGCAGACGATAAGGAGCTTGTGGTGGAGGGTGGGCCGGCGCAGCATATCCGGGATTGGAAGCCTAAGCTTGAGGAAAGATCGGTGAATATTCAGGATGGAGCACAGGCGGCCCAGAGGGAGGCTGTGGAGGAAGGTGAGGCTTCACAAGATCCGAAAGATCCACCAGCGACACAGGAATCTCCTGAGCACATGGATTCGGCAATACAGGAAATTGCTGCTGCGGCGTGAGCGAGCAAGAGTGTTACTTTGGCGTTGTAAAATATGCTGTTTTAGCGAAGGCGCTTGGGATGGTGGGTTGTGATAGCTATTGCGAATACCAAGACTTCAGATATCCATTTTAAAATTCATTCTTACAGTGCCACAGCATGTAGAATCTGCGATCGAGACGAGAAGTGAAGACCAGACACAATGTACGTTTGAGGGTCTTTGTACATTTGCGAATACGTGCAGTATATAAATCGATCTGAAAGCCGCTCAAGCAATGTCGCCCACTCGAAAACAATAAGTCATCGATCTGAACCAGGTGATACTCTCGCTTCTTCGTCATGGCCGTCGCAGTCGTCTGAATCGTTTGGATGTCAAGAACACCCTATTTGGCATGGCCATTGGCGGAGCCGTTCGCTTTAGCAGGACCGTTCGCCTTGTTGCCCTCTTTCTCAGACCTGAACTTCGCAATCTCCTTCTCCACATTACTGTCCAGCCTAGCCTTCAGCTCTGGTCGATAGCCAAGCATGAACAGCACTTCCAGCCAGACGAAGAACGGCGCAAGGAAAATCGCTTGAACCAAGTTGTCAAGCAAAGCTGGTGCGCGTCCCTCGAAGACTCCGTGGCCGACGAACTGAACGAGCCAGGAGACGATGTGGACGCCGATGGCGATGTAGTTTGCTTTCATGCCGTAGGCTGATGTCAAGTGGTTTGCGTAGGCGGTTCCGCCTACGAGGAGAGGGGCGAGCATTGCGCCTGCCACGGGTTCCATCAGGATGTACAGCGAGGAGTAGATGAAGCAGGCGATTGTGCCGAGGTTGAGTGGCAAGTTCGGGATTGTCAGCCAGTCTGGGGTTGGGAGGGCTGGGCTGTTGGTTCCCTGGAGATGGTGTTAGAAGGCGATGGAGCTGGTATTCGGGCATTATGAACATACGAAGAGGAAGCCGGTCAGGAGTAAGATGGGCACGAAAGTGATGTGGATGCCGATGTTGACCTAAGATTTGTGAGACAGAAGCTCAAAAGTCTCGATTTTCGTATATTAGCTTACTGGATCATGATGATATGCTCCATACTGACTCTCAATCAGTCGACATTCGATTCATAAGGCTGTACTGCATGTGACATACGAACAGGAGCTGTTTCTCCAGGTTTAATGCCATCTTCGGGTAAGTTCGGCTGCTATGTACGAGGGCCGTGCGGGTATCTTTTGTTCAAAAAGACGGTTTGAAGAGCTTGGTGAAGGGAGAGCAGCAAGAAGGGAAAAGAGAAGTGAATCGTGTATGGAGAAGGCAACAGCGTAAATGTCAAGTTAGAGGTGAGCGGCACGCTAAAGTAGACGAGGTGAAGTCGTTGCTGGACGTTCGGGTTGAGCCGCCGGGCTTGGCTTGGCGAAGAAGAATGCTCTCCCTTCGGAGCTTCATCACCACCTCCATCCAACCCATCCACCCTCTCTCCGCTCACACTCCATCGTCCATCCGCTGAGGGAGCGGCATCTACACAGACTCGCTGCCCAAGCACTTCACATCACAATGTTCAGGACCGCGCTCCGGACGAGCGCCCGCGCGGCGTTCGCCAGCAGCAGAATCGTGCCAGCGGTATGTACACACCCTCGCGCCCGCCACCAAGCTCCAATGCCGCCGGAAACCGCCATCAATCGACTCAATGGGCATGGAGACCCCTCTGGATGGACATTTGAGGCGGCCTTGGAGCTTTGGGCGAGCGCTGCAGACATGCCTGCCAGCTCCGAGGCTATTCAGGGACAGGCGCGCTAACATGGCTTCTTGCAACAACAGCAGCGAACCGCACCCGCCGTCGTCAACGCCTACCGTGGCTATGCCGCTGACACCAAGGCCGCACCCACTGAGGTGTCGTCCATCCTCGAGCAGAGAATCCGTGGCGTGCAGGAGGAGGCAGGTCTCGCCGAGACTGGCCGTGTCCTCACTGTTGGGTATGGTGGAATGAAACAATGGCGGATGAGGATACAGTATCACTGACCTTGGGTTCAGTGACGGTATTGCCCGTGTCTATGGCATGAGCAATGTCCAGGCTGAGGAGCTGGTCGAGTATGTTTCCATCAGCTCTATACATGCCAAGCATACCACTAACAACCATCAAGGTTCGCCTCTGGCGTCAAGGGCATGTGCATGAACCTCGAAGCCGGCCAGGTCGGTGTTGTGCTTTTCGGTTCCGACAGATTGGTTAAGGAGGGTGAGACCGTCAAGCGTACCGGCGAGATCGTAAGTTGGACCACTTTCAGGACATGATAATCAGACCAGACCTTAACAAACTATACAGGTCGACGTTCCAGTTGGCGTAGAGCTTCTCGGCCGTGTCGTCGATGCTCTCGGTAACCCAATTGACGGCAAGGGCCCAATCAAGACCAAGGAGCGACGTCGTTCCCAGATGAAGGCTCCAGGCATTCTTCCCCGCAAGTCTGTCAACCAGCCCGTGCAGACCGGTCTCAAGTCCATCGACGCCATGGTGCCCATCGGCCGTGGTCAGCGTGAGTTGATCATTGGTGACCGTCAGACCGGAAAGACTGCCGTCGCCCTCGACGCTTTCCTCAACCAGAGACGCTGGAACAGCGGCAACAACGAGGAGCAGAAGCTCTACTGCATCTACGTTGCTGTTGGACAGAAGCGATCCACCGTCGCCCAGCTCGTCAAGACTCTCGAGGAGAACGACGCCATGAAGTACAGCATTGTCGTGGCTGCCACCGCCTCTGAGGCTGCTCCACGTAAGTTTCGCGAAATTTCACGAAAATTTTCCCCCATCGAGGCCCTCGCTGACCCTAAGCATAGTTCAATACATCGCTCCGTTTACCGGCATGTCCATGGGTACGTAAACTCCTCCCTTCATAATTTTCACCCCCCAGAATTACCACGTGATTCAGAAAACACGTGACCCCAAACCGCACTGCACCTTCCCCATCACCACCACCCCATCCCACCCAGCCCAGAAACAGCAGGAACGATACCACGCGCGCCCAACGCGTGCACCTTCCAACACGCCATGGATGCCTGGAACCTCAATGCCATCCTCCTCTTTGAGGAAGATGAAGAGCCATACCATCACACATTCTCCAGCAAAGGTCATCGAGAAGTCGCCGTCAACCACCACGACGAGAAGCACCATCAGCTTCCTGTCTTCGTGCGTCGTCTCTACGCTCAAGGTTACCTCATCGCTCACTTTGGCTGGCCTCACTCTGCAAGCCAGTCGCTCCCTCACCTCACTGAGCTACTTCATCGCTTCAAGAGTACCTTGACGAACCTCATCTGCTCTGCAAGTCCCGACTGCATAGACGAGCTGTACTCCGACTTCATCAACGAGTCACTCGATCATGTCGTTGTCCACACTTCGCAACGTCATTGACGACTACATGTTCAAGCATGTCAAGCTCGACGCACCTGGCTGGTACATCAACCCTGCGTACAACATCGTGCTGGACTCCGAACAGTACGCGGACATTGCTGCAGCTTCGCCGCTTTCCTTCGCTCCCGGTCTTTTGGACGTCGTCCAATCTGACCAGCCGCCGCCACCTGACTTCTTCACCACCACGCCAACGCCGAAGGGCAAGTTCTGGGCTGTCTATGCGGCACTCCTCACCAAAGAAGACTGCGAGCCACATCTTTGCATTGGATCTGGCACCAATGCAGCTTCTGGGTATCGCTCGCGCACTGCTCAGTACCACGACAAGAAGCACCCACTGCTTCCTCGCTTCGTGCGTGCTCTCTACGACAAAGGTTACGACCTCGCTCATATTGGTCTACTTTGCTGGACGCCTATCCCGCCACCTGCATTTCAGCCACGAGTCAGCCTACGCATAAACGCTCTTGAGGGTACCTTCACGAACCTCTTCTTCTCGTCGATCCCCACCTGCATGGATGGGCTGTGGACCGAGTTCATGCCCTGGTCTCGCGATGATGTCGAGTGGGGCCCTGCGAACAGTCACACTCCGTTCAATGAAGGCGTCGCTGGTCTGGACATGACTGCCGAGGAGCTCATCGTCCGTGATGAGAAGCGACGTGAACGCCAAAAGGAGGTCCGGCAGAGATGGTATGCCAATCTGCTCAACGATCCGGAGAAGCTCAAGCTCGAGCAGCAAAAGCGTGCCCGCAAAGAGTGGTACTCCCAGCACGCTCAGGAGCTGTATCAACGCGAGCGTAACACTGATCCCGTTGCCTACCTCGCTCGCAAGCTCGCAGAGAAACTGGCGTGGACGGCGAAGAACAAAGACAAGGTTCTTGAACAGGCCAAGGGTACCCGTGAGAGAGCAAAGGCTGCAGAAACGCACTATTGCACCGACTGCAACCATGCCGCCGCGACCGCCTATGCACTCGTCAAGCACAAGAACTCGGATGAGCACAAGCTGGTTGTCGCCGTCAATGCCGGCACAGCGAAGCGTCCGAAGCAGAGCGACAACGCACGCCGAGCCCAAGAGTTCCGCGAGAAGCACAAGCGCCTGAGGACTTTCTATTGCGCCGATTGCAAGCACATCGCCGGCTCGCGCGGTCACCTTACCAAGCACTTGAAGTCGACCGGCCACCGCAAGACGCTCATCAAGCTTGGAAAGCTCATTCTTCCCGCCGATGACGACGACGAGCTCATGGCCGAGGCCAACGAGTAACTCGTTCCAACCCACCTCGCTCACCTCTTGGACCAAAAGGATCCATTGGACGGATCCAAAGCATCACCATCTCGCTCGTATCTTGGCCAATGTTGGACGTCGTCCGAAGATTCCAAAGATTCCAAAAATTCCATTGGATCCGTTGGGCGGATCCAAAGCATCACCACCACTTCACCACCACTTCACCACCATATCGCTCACATCACCATGTCATCATGCCTCTGGCAGAAATCTAATTTGAAGCAGGAGAATTCTTCCGCGATACGGGAAAGCACGCCGTCATCTGCTTCGACGATCTGTCCAAGCAAGCCGTCGCCTACCGTCAGATGAGTCTTCTGCTCCGTCGCCCACCAGGCCGTGAGGCCTACCCAGGAGAGTGAGTGACAGCCGACCCAAACTTGCATCACCATCACTAACAGATCTACAGCGTCTTCTACCTCCACTCCCGTCTGCTCGAGCGTGCTGCCAAGATGAACCAGAACTTCGGCGGCGGCTCGCTCACTGCTCTGCCAATCATTGAGACCCAGGGTGGTGACGTGTCCGCCTACATTCCAACCAACGTCATTTCCATCACCGACGGCCAGATCTTCTTGGAGTCCGAACTCTTCTACAAGGGTATCCGCCCAGCCATCAACGTCGGTCTTTCTGTCTCCCGTGTCGGATCCGCCGCTCAGCTCAAGTCCATGAAGCAAGTCGCTGGTTCCCTCAAGCTCTTCTTGGCCCAGTACCGTGAGGTCGCTGCTTTCGCCCAGTTCGGTTCCGATCTTGATGCCGCCACCAAGCAGACCCTGAGCCGTGGTGAGCGTCTCACTGAGCTGCTCAAGCAGAAGCAGTACCAGCCAATGGCTGTCAACGAGATGGTTCCACTTATCTTCGCTGGTGTCAACGGTTACCTCGACAGCGTCCCAGTCAACAAGATCCTGCGATGGGAGGCCGACTTCCTCAACCACCTCAAGAGCAACGAGAGCGCAGTGTTGGAGCAGATTGACAAGGAGGGTTCGCTCAGCAAGGACCTCGAGGCCAAGCTCAAGGACATCGTGCAGACCTTCACCAAGAGCTTCTCGTAGACTTTTAGACTGATCCCCGGGGTGGGTCATGTATAGTACAAGGGCAAGCTCGAGTTGAGAGAGAAAAAGAGATTCTTCACCACTCGAATGCCAGAGAAAGCAGTGGTGCAGTAGTAGCAGTATTGTAGATACGCGCGTACTTGTTTCCTTTGTTCATGAAGACGGTGTTTCTCGTTCGTTTGCCAGGTCAACCTAGAGCCCAATCTGTGCAGTCTCTCTGGCAGTGAACAGAGTGTGGTTGACATATTCTAGGCATTGCTGACCTAATAGTGCACCAGTAACGAAAGCGGACTGGTCCATCATGCGGAATTCCTTAATTAGCCTGGGATCACAGGATCGCACCTCGCTCCTCCAAACCTTGCACCCAACTGACACCTGCCATGCGACGTGACTGACTTTCCAGGACGACATGGCATCAAACACAATCTGCCAGGGCCAGCAAGCTCCATCTCCCTGCGAACCCGAAACTCACGACCAAGCCCAGCGCGGACAGCTGCATACATTGCAAAAGATACAGCAAGGACAAATTGCTTCCGGTGTGAAGGGACGTCGTTGAAGCCTCCCAGAACGGAGATCTATGCGAGTCCGCTACACGATTCCGCCATTGCGCTACGGAGCCGTTAGCATGGCATCGTGATGAGGACGTGCGTGGAAGGCGTGTTGTTGGTGCAAGGCTTGATGCATAGCATGCATGCAGCCGCCCACTGTACACTCTGCCCGTGGCCCGAATTTCCACACGGGAGTCGGCTTGAAACGACTGTGCGAGCTCTTCATGGACGAACCCATAGCTTGGTAGGATCCTGGACGACGAGCAGGCATCTTGTTGGTGACCTACACGTTCTGTTCCCTGGTGCTCCCACAAGATGGTTCTTCATGCGTCGAGCCTCGCGCTTAGACCTCCCTTCCAGCTTCGATGTGGAACATCCTTCGAACGCCTCTGGTCTACTTAACGCAGTTAGGATCAAACGAAAGTAATCGCTACCCGATGGACTCATGTCCGTCGGAGTTTGTTGATGTGAAGCAGCCTCGAACGACGCCACCGTAGCAAGCCATGCCTCAGCTCGAACAACACATTTCAGCCTGTCGGGTCTTGCTGGCGTGGCCCTAATTTGGGTGTTGGTATGTTGCTCTGTCTGGCGCCTTCCCATCCTTCAATGGCAGGGAGGGCGCTTGTCTCTCTTGTATCCTATTCCTTGCCTTGTCGAAGCTCGAGCGCCGTTGTTAACCTGTTCCCTCGTTCGCCCGTGCCCCCAAACGGCTTTCCGTCGTATGTCTCTGCGCGTTGCCGCATGGACTGAGGGACGTGCTTGTTGGGTTTTGCATACATTCGTCTCATCTTCTACACTTTATCGATTCATCTGGGCGACTTCGTCATTCTTCCATCGGCCTTGATCACATTCCAAATCATGGGCACTCCTCATCAGCAGCAGTGGCCCTTCAAGACGAATCGCAATATGCCTCCGCGCTTCTTACAACGACTCGAGAAACAGAACGAAGCGTACAAGCAGGCTTTCGGGGGCGAGCCCAAGTTCGACCCTCCACCATATCCCGTCTCGACACCGAGGTCTTCAATATCGGACGCATCTTTCCAGCAGCAAAGTCCACCGCCCCAGTATTCCCAGCTCAACCATCGACCGTCTTACCACTACGAACGACTGGCACTACCTCCGAACTCTTTGGTTCTGGTTACTGGCGCAAATGGATGGCAGGGCATGCACGTTGCGGACCAACTACTGGAGCACGGGTATCGAGTACGAGGGACTGTACGAGACGCAGACAAAGCCATCTGGACGAGCAAATACTTCAAGGAGAAGTATGGAGCGGGAAGATTCACAACGGCCATCATCCCGGACGTAGTACCGCGTGGATCTCTCCATGTCGCCGTGCGAGGCTGCTCAGGAGTGGTGCACTGCGTATCCGTCATGACCTTCTCTCCAGATCCCACCGAAGTCATCACTCCCACGATAGCTGGTGCGCTGAACGCCCTCGAAGCGGCAGCGCAAGAGGTAAATGTCAAACGATTCGTGTATTGCAGTTCCACCGTAGCGGCGGTAGCTTCTGGCACTGGTACTCGGACAGAGGTCACGAGCGATAGCTGGAACATGTCTGCTTTCTTGACGGCATGGCAGCCGCCGCCATACGATCTCGATCGATCCTGGTCGGTGTATGCTTCAAGCAAATTGCAGACCGAGCAGGCGGTTTGGAGGTGGTATAGCGACCATCGGCCGCATTTTACGCTGAATACGGGTATGTTGCAATCCTCGCAAATCAATCGAAAAACGACTCGGTAACATCTTGGTAGTGCTTCCCGGCGTCTTGTGGGGCAAACAACTCTCACCAGGCTATCAAGGCTACCGAACGTCCGTCAAATATCTGAAGGGTCTTCGACGGCGACGCAGCCTCGACAGCCATATCGCCAGCACGTACGTTGCTCCTTCCCTCCCTCCCCTCTACCCTTCGAGCTAACCCCCCTCATGCTCACAGAATACTTCGTCGACGTCCAAGACTCGGCCATCCTCCACGTCGCGGCCCTCATCCTCCCGGACGTCTTCGACCGCCGCATCTTCGCCGCCAACCGCCCCTACAACATCAACTCGCTCCTCACCCTCCTCCGCGCCCTCTACCCGCATCGGATCCTCGAGGGCGATGTGAGCGATCATGGCGTCGATGTGACGGTTTATCGCGAAGCGGGGTATGCGGAGGAGTTGTTGAGGCGGATGGGGAGGAGGGGGTGGACGGAGATGGAGGTTAGTGTGGGGAGGTGTTGTGAGAGTTTTATTTGAAGAGAAGGATGGAAGAGAGGGAGGGCGGGAGATGGTGAGGTTGGGGTTTTGGGTGGTGAATAGCATGGGCTTTGACTTTGCACCTCGACGAGCGAGCGAGGCGTCTCTGAGGGATTTGAATGATCGAGAGCTGGGAATGTACGATATGTTTTCACGGAATGGGGAGCATGGATCTTCTGTGGCAGACATATGCAATGTGTAAAGAGTTGGATGTGTTCTGTTATCCCTTTTATACCCAGAAAGTAACGTTACATTGAAGCAGTCCACTTTCTCATCTGTGAACGACTAGAGCTCACCCACGACTGGCCGTATCATAGCCATCTTCTGCGTACTCGAACAAGATCTCTGTTCGACGAGCGAAGCCAAACGATTTCATGCGACAATCAGCTTTTCGTCTCCCGTAGCATGCAACTTTATGACTCTGCTCTGCTTTCCGTCTCTCGTAGCGCGCAACTTTAGGCGCTTCGCCAAGAAGTGAGGTTACCTAACAACTCTGCGTCCAAAGTCCTAGATCAGGCTAAGATGCGCTTGGAAGCGCTCTGTGATGAGGTGAGGTTTGGTCCGCTTTGTCGTCTTGGGGCTATACGCGTTTGAACGCGCTCTACCAAGAGGTGAAGTTAGCTCTCTGTGCTGCTGATGTTGACTGATACTCCAAGCCTGATCAATTCGATCACGACTCCGGGCACGTGAACCTCTAATCATACTTTCAGAGACGCGCGTGACGCCAAAATCAACGGTCGAACTGGGTAGCCGAGCCGGGAGTGAATGGTTGGTAGACATGGCAAGGGTAAGCTGTGTTGTGTTCGATACTCAATCTCCTGACATTGTTCAAGGGTAAGGCAGAAGTCTAACCTTCCGTCATTCTAGACCCCGCGCTTTTGTGTTATCGTCATGCTTGTTTCTCGTCATCGTAGCCCATAAGTCCCATTTCATCTTTCATCATCCTCTACTTCGCGTCTCCATGGGGTGCTCGCTGATAGTGCCGGGCGGCGTCGATGAGGCTGCTCCAGAGTCCTTTCTTATACCGTCGCCGTCTATCCTCTGGTTAGGATCCAGATTGTCAAGGAAGGGGCTGAAAGGCGCGGCGATGGTATGTTCCCGCCCTTTATCGTGACCTATACTTGAGGTGCTTCCCGGCCACCGGCGTTGCTGTGCGTGCATACTCTCGAGTGGCTCGCCAACGACTCCGTACTTGTCCCAGTTCACAGGAGGCATCCTCACCACGCTTTGAGGCCCAGGTATTCGGGGGAACGATTTGCCCGTGTTTGAGTCCTTCATGGTGACATCCATTTTCGTGTCCTCGTCTGTGCGTGGTGGTTTGGTGCCTTCGTCTTCTCGCGTCGCGCCCAGCTTCACTTCCTCCTCCCCGTCTTCGTCATCATCGTCCTCTTCATCCAGAATCGCCTGTATGTCACCCAACTTAGGTCTCGACTCATTCAACCTGCCCGCCGCGAGTTCCGTCTTGAAGTGCTTCGGATCGTCCAGCGCCAGTTGCTTGATACTCTCAAGCGTCTTCAGATCATCCTTCGCCTTCATCTTCTGGAACTGCAGCGTAGATATAGCCGCCCGTAGAGCAATAGCGTCCGTCGCATCTTCGCTCGAGAAAGGCAGGTTCGGCGGTTGCGGTATGTATTCTGTCGGTGCTATCGAAGAGCTCGGCTGCTGCTGCTGCTCTTGTGGAGGCTGTGGAGGAAGCGGGGGTAGGGTCGCAGCAGGCTCGCTGGGCGAGAAGGTGAAGTTGCCTCCATTCTCGGCCGGCACAAACGGAGCATGGACGGTCGCGGGGAGTACGGGCTGCACCTTGGGCGTTATGGGGCTGTACGCCGGCGCAACGGGTGAGGAGGAGCCTGCCGACTTCTGCGTGTTGGTAGTGTCTAGTTGCGGTGCGGTCGGGTGGTGGGGATCGTGATGGTGGTGGTGGGAGGGCGCAGGTTGGGCGTCGACGGTCGACATGTGCGAGAGAGGTCAGTGCGTAGATGTGCCGCCTGAGAGGAAGATCGCCACAGGCAAAAGTGTTGTCGCTCTCTTCTCCCACTTTGTCTTTTTCAGAAGCTGTCAATATGGAGGTCGGCGAGTGTTTGTTGGTGAGAGAAGTGTTTTGCAGTCTCGGAGCACGAACGACGACTTTTTCTCGTTTCGTTTCCTGCAGGCACGCGGGGAGAGCAGCAGCAGCAGCAGAGGCAAGAGCGACGGGATGAGCAATGTTTGCCGCTCACGAATGACGCCGACTTCCAAACTCCGAAGCCTACTCGCACCTCACCTGGTCCTGACCACGGACATCGACACCAATCTAAGCGCCCGTACAGACAATATCCCGGCCTTGATACCTCAATCCCATCTCGCAGAGTGTGAGGCCCATCGACATCTTTGTGGGCGACGGGCGGCGAAGGTCCTCACCGGCGGGCACTGCAAGACCAAGCCTATCTCTCTTTCTCACAACCAAGTAGAAATAACTCTCCTACACCTCTGCATCTCCCTCCTCTCTCTCCTATTCCCTCTTTCCAGTTCCAGACTCATCATACCATTCTCTACCAGGTCGACGCAGTCAGACATGGCCCCTCCCACCATAGCCTCCCTCTCCACGGCCAAAAAACTCGCCTTCATCGTGCCCTCTACAAACACCGCCGTAGAAACCCTCACAATCTCCCTCCTCCACTCCCTCCAAGCCAACATAATCCCCCTCTTCACCCGCACCCGCGTCCTGACCCTGGGCACCGACTCCTCCTCCACCGCCCAATTCACCCCCGCAGCCTTCACAGCCGCGGCCCAACTCCTCGCCGACGCTGCCCCAGACGCCATAATCTGGAACGGCACCTCGGGAATGTTCGTCGGCGGGGATGTAGCTGCTGATAAGGCTCTGGCGAAGACCCTGACGGACGCGTGCAATGGAATTTCTTGCTCGACAAACACCCTCGCGACCATCGCCGCGCTGGAATACTTCTCCATCAGAGACATCTCCATCGCAGTCCCGTACACCCCAGACGTAACCCAACGCGTGAGCGATTTCTTCACCCGCGAGGGCTATCGCGTGCATAAAGCTTTGCGGCTGGAAGAGACGCCGCCGACGAACGATGCGATTGGGAAGTGTTCGGCTGCGGCGATTAAGGATCTTGTGAGGAGGGCTGTGACTCCCGAGACGAAGGCTGTGCTGGTCGCTTGTACGAATTTCCCGGCGACGCTGTTGGTGGGGGAGTTGGAGAGGGAGTTGGGGGTGGTGGTGTTGGATAGTATTGCTGTGTCGGCTTGGTATGGGTTGAAATTGCTGGGGGTCAAGGGGACGAAGGAGAAGATGGAGGGGTGGGGGAGGTTACTTTGTTCGTTGTAATGGGGGAGTATTCATAACAGGGTGTCAATGGTTTCAGAATATTCTGGTTTTGTTTTCAATATAAGAAAATGCTTTATGATCCTACATCCATCCATCGCTTTATCTACGCCTGGACGCCCGCTTTACGAACCCGACGAGATGCTCACCCAATCCTTTTTCTCCTGTTCACTCGTACATGCCGCCGAGCCTGACGCACTAGCCCCATAGCGCTGTTTCTTTTTGCACCGTCTACTTCGCAAAGTGGAAGTCATAGTTGAGCCACTTTCTCGCCAGCACCTGGTTAACCTCCAATCCAGGCTTGCCGTAGGTCAGTGGCGAGAAGAACCAGAAGCCCCAGACAAGAACGGCAACGATGATGCCGGATGCAGCCCATGTAGCCAGGAGTGTTTGTCCAGCGATCCGTTCCCGAATTGGCTTGCTGCGCTGTTGCTGCTGTGCCTTGCTTCCCTTCTTGCCATCCACGATCGCTTGACCGGCGGGGAGGTTGGCGACTTCTTGTGGTTCGATGTTGAAGATGAACTCCACAACCGCGCCGGCGACTAGGGCACTGGCCAAGTGAGCTGGCAGGTAGTGGTGCAAGAACAGCTGACGGCCCATGATGAAGAAGGGGAAGTAGTGGGCGGCCCAGACGAGGAAGAAGAAACCGGTGCTGTTGTACAGACGAGAGCGCGTTCCTGTGAAGATGTTAGATTGAGATCTGATGTATATGTCATGATTGATTTACTCCGATCAAGCGCATCGACTCCACGACGCACAGACATCTGGTCTGCGAAAAGGATGCCGGCGAAAACGGCTAGCAATGCTGACGCAAACCACCAGCCAAGTGGGTTGCCCATGAAGTAGATCTGTCGTTTGGTCGTGGCCTCCGTCCAGAAGCTCACGCCACGGAGGAGGAAGGGCCACTGAATGGGGAACGATGCATATGGATGCGAGGATGTAAGTGCGTTGTTGTGGTAGAACATGGCCCGCTGAAGCTCGAGGTACTTCTTCATGAAGGGCATCGACTTCGGCTTTCGGATCTCCTTCACCAAGCGCGGAGAGTCTGCTTCGATGCCTTGCACTTCCTCGACATACCACGAGTTGGAAGTCTGCAGGGCATTCTTATTACCGTTGATCTCAGCCTGCTTGTATGCCCATTCTGGGAGTGGTGTCGTGTGAGTCCACATTGCCACCTTGGTAGGGACGTGAATGAGCTTGAAGTGAGAGGAAAGGGTCTTGAACTCCTGCCCGTCTTTGCCGTTGTCGACCTTGATCTGGAAGAGTGTGTCGTTGAAGCGATCACCATTCGCCTGGTCGAGAGGCACAGTGGTGAACTCCTGGTTGGTCGGGTGGTAAGGAGAAGCCACATCGTGGGTGAGGAGCCAGGTGTCCGTGACCAAATGCCTGAAGCGAACAATGTCGCCATTCTTTACGCGGTGACCCCGACCCTCCATTTGAGTGGAAGGAATAATCTGCCAAAGGTTGTTGGTGTCGTTGTGAGGGTATCCGGTAACCTGTTGGCCCTGAGAAGAGATACGACCATCCTCGTAGCGCAGGGGATACTTGTCGACATGAGAGTGCAGGTACACCTTTGTGTCCTTGTGCCGCATGGAAAGGTTGTCGAAATAGTCAATGGGCACCGCATTCTGCGCCATCAAATTGTCGGAGAGTGTCTCCTGGAAAGCCGGCGTCATGAAATCATCACCCGGTCCTGAACGCGAGAGGATCGCAAAGTGTACCTGGAACCAGAAGAGGTACATGAGGAATGGGACAATGATGAGGCCAACCATGCGCGCTCCAAAATGCTGAGCCCATTCCTGGAGACTGAGCGATCCTTGTTTGCGGTTGATATCCAGAAGCTCCCACAGATCGATCAAGACTGGGACACCCACTGAGAAGAAAGTGAAGGCTCCCACGTATTTGGTGCTGATAACGCAGCTCATGGAAATACCAGTGAGAAGCAGCCACTTCCACCATTTCCTCGAGAATGGGACGTGTCGTAGCTTGTAGAAGCGGACGTAGCACAGAATGCTGAGCGCCATGAACAGGACCAGAGTCGCATCGAGGAGAATCAAGCGAGTCTGGCCAACATGCGCGTTGTCAAAAAGTACCAGGGCAGTCGCGAGAATGCACGCCGGCACACTGTATCCCGACTCCCACATAATCAGATATACCACCGACACCGTGAGAGCTCCCATGAGCGCAGGCATCGATCGATATGCCACGTAGGGCACATGGTTGTCAATGTATGAGTCGCCAATGTTTTCAAAGAGGAAAGATCCATCGTAGCCAACAAGCCATCCGGCGAATGCGAAGAGGAGCTTGCCAAAGGGAGGGTGGACGTCGAAGAAGTATGTTCGTTGGAGGTAGTATGAAGCGAACTGTGCAAGTCCACGATCAGTATCATATTCAAATCCCCCATTTCACATCGAATACCATACCTTGCCGAAATGCACCTCGTCAAAAACGACCTGGTTGGGATGGCTGATGCCCCAGAACCTCGTCAAGAAGCCCAGGATGGTGAGGAGGGTGAAGGCAATCTTGTGGTCCCAGTCCTTCTGCACCGTCTCTTTGGTCGCATCCTTGACCGCGTTGAAAGTCTCGTCAATCTTGCCGTTCATCGCAGCCGTGACATCGTTGTTGGGTGTCGCCGGACGCTTCTTGTTGGAGCTGTCCTTGGGCCCTCTCTGGCGCACTGCGCTCTGCGGCGAGGACATGGCGGACGTGTGGTTTCTTAGCGGCCGCCAAACCGCTGGAATGAGGTGTCGAATTAAGGCGTGCAGGAGGAGAAGGGAAGATGAAGAAAGGAGTGTGGTGGCGCGCGACCAGAATTATTTCATGCCAACTATCCGTTCCTCGAGAAGAGAGGGTCCCGCGAGCTGACCTGACCTGAACCCCTGGCGCGCGTTCGGGCTAGCTGGCCGATCTTTTTCACGTGGATACGAAGAAAGCTTGCTTCTCACCACCAAAAGGATATTCACCATTCATCACACGTTCATTGATAGTAGTATTTGGATCTCGTGAGAATACTACGTCTAGCAAAACACACACGGGGTATCTCACGCCCAAAGAATCATCGGCACATGCGCCTCCCGCTCAATATGCACATGATCCAACCCGAATCTGCCTCCCCTTCGTGTCGTCGATGCCAAGTCGTTACTGCTGCTGTACGTGGTCAAAATAGAACTGTCTCTGGTTGGCTGCACCACCCTATGGTGCACCACTCGTGGCCGGTAATGGTGTCGGAGTGCCGAATGCGCCTTCTTGTGGTCTGAAGCCGACGTTGGCATACGCTTCTTGTTGCTTCTTGGAGTCAGGATGCTGAAGCTGACTTGTGCCAAAGATGTGCTGCGGCGCTGAAGATTCTTTGTGTATTCCAGGAAGAGACTCTCGCGCACTCCTCTCCTTCTCAGCGGAATCAGGCGTTGCGTCGATAGTGCTCGCGCCTGAGATGTTGGAGATGTTGCGAAATCCGGTAAGTTCCCGCTCGCCTCCATTCTGTCTATGCTTGGCCACGGCAAGCGGAGATGCTTGTTCTCTGCCAAACTGGCCGCGATTCCTGTCTGAAGTAGGCGGCGCAGCAATCACGCTTGACGGAGGTTCCACTGGATCGCTGTTCGCTGGTACTGTCCCTGAGCTTGAATGCTCGACTGCAGTTTTTCTCTGAGGCATTGGTGTCGCGAAGGGGCTCCCATTTCGTTGCACGCTGCCACTAAGATTTCGTACAAGGTGTTTCGAGATCTGAAGCCCAGGCTCTGCTGCCCAGTCAGGGGTATGAGATATTGAGGTCATGGCGTGGTTGTGGATCGGAGCCTGAGGCCTAGCCCATGGCGTTTGCTCCAGGAACTGTTCATGCGCGATTCGTTCGCTCTGCGGCTGCACCAGCCCTGTCCGATTGGGGAAGTGTACTGGCGCTGGCTGCGAACTGGCTGTAGTTGCTTTCTTGGAAAGCTGTTGTCCGTCAGTGATGGTACTCACATTTACACAAAGCCTTTGCATACCTTCATAGCCTTCATATCGTCTTCCAACGAATCGCCTTCCGCACCCGAGATGTCAGGCGCGGCAGGAAATCCCACGTACTTCGCGATGCCGCTGAGAACCGATACCTCTTGGTTGTACTTGGCCTGCTGCTTGAGCTGTGCGCTCTTCTTTGTAGGCAGCTTGTAGATGTATCTCTCGTTGTCATCCATCCCACTTTCACGACGCTCTTTCTGAATATTGTACCAGTCCTCTCCAAGCTTATACATAACATCTTCCCGGAGTTCGCGTGCGTGCTGGAAGTATTGGCTGTGCAGCTGACTCCGCTCTCCCAGTGTCGATCGTCGAAGACTTTCCATCTTGTACTTGTAGAACGCCTTTGCCTCATTGACCTGTTTCTGGTGCCGAGCCTCAACGCATGCGTTCTGCCGTAGGAACTCGGGATGCTTGCAGTCCGATTGATTGAGCATTTCCAATTCAGCATCCACGGCCGCGAGTCGTTCGCTGAATATCTTCTCTCGAAATGACGCAAACTGCTTCACCACGTCTTCGAAAACTGTAGACGCAGCTTGCTTATGCTTGAGATCTTCCGCCGACTTTGCTGCAGCTTCTTCGCTCTGCTCTTCTTCTGCCGGTGCTGTTACTTCTGCAACTTCTGTCTCCGGTGCTGTCTCTTTCGCAATGCCCTTTTTGTACTTTCCTTTCTGCTTTCCCGGTTTTCGGCCCCGACCGACTTTTGGAGCGATCGCGACTGAAGAATCTTGCACTTCGAGGGTGTCATCCGCGTCATTGCTGACTGTAGGTTCCTCAGTCTCCTCAATCGTTTCTGCGTTTGCGACTTCCTTATCGGTGTTCGCGTCGTCCGCGCCAGAGCTGTGGCTTCTTTTGCGAGGTGACTCTCCCATGTTCGAGTCCGCGCTCGTCAAAGAGCTGTCCACGGTGTCTGATCTTTTGCGCTTTTGCCCTGGAGTCGGAGAGTCAGTATCATTGTATGCACGAGCGCGAGGGTGGTCGCAATCTGCTTGCCCGCACATACCAGCAGTTTCTACGGTGCTCGTGCTAGAGGCTGCACCTGGACCGACTGGGATAGGCGACGGCGGGTCTGAAAGGTCGTCATCGGCTGTCGCAGCTTGACTGAGCTTGCTGGGTGTCTTTCCGGCATTGTCCCCCTGCTTGCGGGTTTTGTCTGGTGTGTGGTCGAGTCGTTCAGTCTCGGCCTCGGAATCCACCTCTAGCGACTGATGTACAGAGGTCTGAGCTATCGTCTCTTTGATTCCATTCGCATGCTCTTCTTCGTCTTCCTCGTCGATTGGATCGCTGAGGCTGCTGGATCGGTCGTCATTGTCGTCGCCGACCTCGGCGTCGGCAGCAGCAGGCGACTGAGCGCCAGTGTCTTCGTCCGCGTCGTTGTCAGGCATCGTCGTATCTTTTAACCTCGCAGGTGAGGCTCTGGCACTAAGAGGGGATATGGATGGTCTGGGAGTGACCTCGCGACTGCGAATGGGCGAGCGCGGCGTCGCTGGGATCGCATGCAGTTCTGTAGACGCCATGTCAGCGAACGAAGTTCTCAAGTTTGCGACCTGTATGCCACCGTCACGAGGACTCGACGGCGCGGCACGGCGGGGTGGTGGTGACGCACTGGCTGAATGGTCAGTGGCCGTGGTGCTGCTGCGACGCGCTGCCGCGGCCATTACTACCGCAAGCGACGTCGCCTACGGTGCCGATGGTGGATTCGGACAGTGCTGGCGGAGTTCAATTCGGCGGCTGTAGTCTTTTCGCGGTGCAAGAAGAGGGGCGCGGTGGTGAGCGTGAGGGTCGCCAGATCGTCGTGCGGTGTACGAGCGGGTGCGTCGAGGTAGTGGAGAGCGGGGATCGAGGATTGTGGGTGATTTGAATGCGAGATAGAGATGGCGTGAGGTCGAAAGTGTCGGAGGCGCACCGGGGGAGCAGGGCGGCGGTGTGGTGGTAGTGGAAGGGCGGCAGAGAGTTGGAGCGGGTGGTGGAAGAAGAGGAGGGCAGCGCAACGCAACGACGGCTGCTTGGCCGAGAAGCACCTGTGACGCTCAAAGGGGTCCAAGCTCGAAAAATGCAGAGCCAAAGTCTGGAAAAGCCGACTTCGATCTTTCTAAATTATATACGCCAGCAACATGTCGAAAAGGAGCGGCAAAGAGTCGAAGAGTGGTGACGGCAAGGTCAAGAAGTCGAAAAAGGGAGACAAGCATGCCAAAATACCAGAGGATCAGAAGCAACGTGCTGCCGAGTCTGCGTTCAGTGTCCTGGTCACCGACGACAAGACAGTCAATCCGTCGCTATCCTCTCTTTTCGCAGTGAAGGTACGTTCGCATTCGGTAGAAAGTCACTGATTTGAGACTGACTTGTTATAGCAACCTCCGGTCAAGGCGAAACCAGCGTCAGCTCCAAAGCCTCGCACCACAAAGCGCGAGTCCAGCGATGAGGCAGAGGATGAGGATAACGATGCCGAACTGTCTGAGTTAGACGAGGATGAGGTTTGGAGTGCGTTAGATGAGTCCGAAAGCAATGCGGAAGAAGAGCAAGCAAAGGAAGTCGCGATTGAAGATGAAGAGGATAGTGTTCAGCCGAAACGCAAGCGCAAGAAGAAGGATGCCGATGTACAACTGGAGGACGCCTACATGAGCAAATTGGCCCGTGAGGAGGAGCGAGATGCCGAGCGCATGGCTGCTGAACGAGCTGCAAAGCGCCAGAAAGCAGCTGATTTGAAGGACGATGACGAAGATGAGAATGAGGGTGAATCAGGCAAGATGGACGAAGACGAAGACGAAGTTGAAGACGACGACGACGACGAAGCAACCTTGCCACCTCCAAAGCACGAGACAGAGCAGCAAGCCGACGATGATCTGGCCAAGGCAAATCGCACTGTGTTCCTCGGAAACGTATCCACCGCCGCCATCAGCTCCAAGTCATCTCGAAAGGTGTTTGAGAACCATCTCAAGTCCTTCTTTGACGATCTACCGGCTTCAAAGGACGGTATCAAACACAAGCTGGAATCGATCCGATTCCGCTCCACGCCCTACGCATCTGCCATCCCAAAGAAAGCTTCATACGCCAAGAAGGAGATCATGGACGCCACCACCAAATCGTCAAACGCCTACGCCGTCTACTCGTCTCCTCTACTCGCACGAGAGGCCGCAAAGCGCCTGAACGGCACCATCATCCTCGACCGCCATCTCCGCGTAGACGAAGTAGCCCATCCATCCAAAGTCGACCACCACCGCTGCATCTTCGTAGGCAACCTAGGCTTCGTCGACGATGAAAGCAACATCCAAGACGCCAACGAGGAAGACGGTCGCGAGAAGCGGAAACGCGGTAAAGAGCCCTCCGATATCGAAGAAGGTCTCTGGCGGACCTTCATGAAGTGCGGTGCTGTCGAGAGCGTCCGCGTCATCAGAGACAGCACCACGCGAGTCGGCAAGGGCATCGCATACGTACAGTTCGAGGACGAGAATGCCTTGGAAGCCGCCCTGCTCTACAACGAGAAGAAATTCCCGCCCATGCTCCCTCGCAAACTCCGCGTCTCTCGAGCAAAAGCCCAAAAACGCAACGTCAAACCCGGCTCCGACCGTCCTTCGACTTCCAAGCAAAACCCCAACGGCTACCAACGCAAGCTGACAGGCCAAGAAGCCTCCAACCTGGGCAGAACAAGCAAACTCCTAGGACGAGCGGCCGCCGCGAAAGCCCGCAAGCCAGAGAAGAAGCCCGCCGCGAGCAGAGATTCCAAACCAGCGGTGGGAGGGGAGATCAAGGGACCCGAGAGCTTCATTTTCGAAGGACATCGAGCGACTGAGAAGCAGGGAAAGAGTGGCCTGAAGCTTGGGGGGCGACATACCAAGAACAAGACGAAGGTGACGAAGAGGAGTTCTTCGTTTAAGAAGTCCGGTAAGAAGACTGCCTAGAGACGTGGTGTGAAAGACAGGGTTGAAGTAAAACGATGTTCGACTTGTGTGTAGTAAAGAACTCTGTTTCTGAACTCGCTGCAGTGATTTGAATAGAGATGCATAGCGAAACCAAAACAAATGCTCGGATGCGTGCCGTGCTGGTCTTCTTGTGTCTCTCGAGACCTGTACTTAAAATCCATCCAGTCTGTGTCCTGCTCTGCTCATGAATGTTGTGTTGTGGTGATCCCTCATATCCCGAAGTCCATCCAAAAAGAGAAAGAGCGCCTCGCCAAAACACAATAAAAACGATATTACAAATGAGACCCGAATAAACGATGCATGCCGCTTCCAGGCCATCTCGTCCCCCCTTCCCTCCCTTATGGAAGACTTCCACCTCCCCACCTCTTCACAAATCCCGACAGTGCATTCCTTTAAATCGCCCAACTCCCCCTCCGATTCGTCGTCGCCCAATTCCCCCCCGGCGCATCTACCCTAACCATGTTCTTCTCCTGCCGCGCCCACTCCCTGATATAAAGCTTCAACGCCTGCCACCGCACACAACTATCCTCGGAAATCCCCTCGCCGCCGCCGCCCTCGAAATCCTGTCCGAGCCGGATATATCCCCTCGGGCTCTGCTTCGCCTTGACATCGTCCTGGCGGAGTTCCGGGACGGGGATGCGGGAGATTTTGGAGAGCTCGTCGTCGAAGGGGCGCGCGAGGGACGGGTAGCCCAGGGAGAGGTAGTTGAAGACTTGGGTGACGAAGGCGTCGGGGTATTCGCGGGAGAACATCTCGTCGAAGTCGCGTTCGGAGACGAGGACGGCGTCGAGGTGCGCGATGTCGGCGCCTTTGAGGCTTGCCGGGGGTGAGGGTGGGGTGGTGATGGCGGCGAGGGAGGTGTGGACGACGGCGCCGCCTGCGGCGAAGGACTGTTCGAAGGGGTTGCTGCTGTCGGTTCGAGGCGCGGGGGTCATCAGGCCTGTAGGGCCGGAGGGCGGCATGAGGCCGTTGTTGGTGGATTGCTGTTCTTCGCCGCCGATACAGCATCCACCCCAAAGACCCTTCCCAGCAGCGCCTTTGGAGGGGCTTGAGATGGAAGATGCTGTGCTCTGTACTGCGTTCTTAGGCGCAGCATTCCAGAGTCCACCTTCGTCTTCGTTGACCTGCGCAGACTGAGACTGCTCATTCAAATAACACATCTGCTGTCGAAGCTTATCCGACCCCTGCGTGACATCAAAGCGAGCCGGCTCAGGTGACGGACACCTTGGGAACACCAGGTCACGTCCGAGCATTGGTGGACGGGCACGATCACGCATCGACCGCATCTCATTGTCCGGCTGATGGATGCTGGGAGCGGCATCCGGGTTCCACCACGGCGAATGTGACTCCTTTTTGGCAGTCACTTTATTCGCGTTGCGTTCCTGTTCCATCTTCTCGGCGTGCCGCTGCATCTCCAGTTGTTCCCATGGCTCTTTGGTGCTTTCACGCCTGATTTTCACGAGATACTCTTCTTCGTCGAAGCCTTCCCAGGTCACTGGGCGATCTTCAATCTCATCGTCCAGACTGTCCTGATCGTCGTTAACGTAATGCTGGACAGGCTCGTGGAAGTCAGAGTTGGGGAAGGCCGCAAGAGCTTGTTCTTGAAGTCTCTGCTCGGCCTTCCTCGCCTCCAGCTGCAAGAAGTAGTTACTGAAGTTCTCGTCGACACTTTCCCGAATGCGAGTGGCGTGTTTGTAGAACTCGTTGAAGGACGAATCTGAAGCGGTGATTGGTGATCCCTGGCCTGGACTACAGGACATTGACGAGGGACCAGATTCACGCTCGCTTTCAGAGCTCTCAATCGTATCAAGGTCTGGCAAGCGGAAAGAATGGCTGCGAGTGGCATTCAACGCTGCCGGCCTCGGAGGAGCACTTCCATCCAAAGGAGAAACCGGCCGCTTCATGTCTGGCGGTATCAACTCGTGACCAGCATCTGAGACATTGTGGGCGTGGTCATTCGCCTCAGTTTTAGATTCCCTAAAATCCGGCGTCTTCCAGCCTGCGTGTTTCTGATGCTCACGAGCATGAATCGTGTGCCCTTCTTCCGTCTTGTAATCCTGGTAGTTGACCGCGTTGGAATCTCCCACCCTACGGGATCTTTTGGCTGTCGACAGCACTACGGGTGTGAATTTCCTGGGCGTGGCATCTTCAGACGCAACAGTCGACGCATCGGACTCCATACTAGTTTGCCTGCTAGGCTTCCTGTTGCCTCCATATTGCGTTTCTACCAGCTGCGGCTTGAAACGTATGTGCGAGGACGAACTCTTCTCGTCTGACCTGCCCTTGCTGCTCTTGTGGGTAGTCTCAATCGGCTCCGGGGCGAAACGACGGGGTTTGGATTTGTTATCCTGCGTGCTTTCGGGATTCTTGCGGGAAGATTTCGTGGTCGTCTCGATCGGTTCCGGAGCAAAACGCCTGGCCTTGGGAGCATCCTGCTTCTCCGGCGAATGTCTACGAGCCGATTTCGAGGATTTGGTGGTTGTTTCTATGGGCTCAGGTGCAAAGCGCCTGGGCTTGGGTTGATCCGGTTTAGTTGCGGCATCGGCGGGCGCATTCTGCGGTGAGGATGGAGGCATTGCTAATGTACGGGCAAATGGCCCTGACGTGGAATACCGCCTCTCCGCTCATACGCTCCTGTTCCGTAGGCTAGGGGGGCCGACCAGGCCAGTAGTTGGACAGAAAGAGGGTCTCGAGGGAGGCAGGCGTTTCCTTCAGAGCGTTGAGACGCTGGGATGTTGTGCAACTGATGCAACGATGACCGAACGGAAGACGAAGAGGATTTCGGAGGGTTTGCGTGCTACGCAGCGTCGCTGGTGATGTGGAGGGAAGGGCGATAGATCGTGGAAGGCTCGGGCGGTCGAGTTGGCTGCGGTGGTAGAATTGCGGTGGTTACGGGTTGGCTCGTTGGCGGATGACGACGATTCTCACCTGAGGCGAATGGCAGCAGAGACGGGGTGCTGGAAGCGTCCGGCTGCTCACAACATGCAACGATAACAGATGAGTAAGAGGTGATTCACAACCAGAGTGAAGGTGCACGGGGAGGGAGTGTTGAGAAACGAAACCCAGCAGCGCAGTCGAGACGGTCTGCCATCACACAATGGCTGCCCATCCTCCCACTACGCTCCCACCCCCATGCAGGGCCGCGGCGGACAGTCCTCCCTCGCCCGTCCGCCCATTCCTGTGCTCGATCGACGGCGCCGACGGTTCTGATTGCACCAATCTTCACCGAGTCCATCCTTTCTGCTGCCAACTGCCCCGCCATCGCTCTCTGTTGTCCTCCTCAAACGCTACCGATCGGGACGACACGGAGAGCCTGCACCTGTTTCACCTCCATTTCGCTTTGGCTGGCGTCTGCGGCAGCGCCACCGCTAAAAAAGAAGTTGCACATCTGGAACGGCTGGCCAATTCCAGGGACAGCACCACGCCCATCTTCGTCATTGTCTCCTATAAGCTGTTCGCTCTTCCTTTTCACGAGAACTTCCGAATGGGTTGCGCTGGTCCGCGATGTGTATACTTGTCACTGTGCGCGTGCCTCGGCTTGCAACACATTCAATCTGTGATAGCCTCGTCAAGAACAATGTCGTGCTGCTGCTATCAACAATCATCCTGTACATATAGCCACACCGACAGTTGAGCGTGGACATTTCTCATGCACCAGCCAAAACGGCCCGCAAAGTCTGACCTCTGATAGCCACCGCCAAACGACTCTCGAGACTCCCAACGTGTTCCTTGGGCCGTTGTACTTATGCGTCGGTACTCCTTCCGACTGCCACGATGCCATTATTATCTTCGAACGGACGGACCACTGTCTCGGAAGCTCGAGGGTCAATTGCTCGACTGACTGACTGAGCCTCTCGTCAGCAGTGTACGACCAACGTGACCTTGGCGTGGCCTCTCGCACGCTGTGAGAGAGGTCCCACTTCGCCAGATGATCCTGAAGAGCTTCATCAAAGACGAAATGGTTGATGGAATCCTCCTTGTTATCTCGATTGCGGACTTTTCACCACCGATCAGGCTACGTTGTGCGTCGAACTACTGTACATGTGTCTTCACCGCCGTGTGTTGTTCGCGAACGACCCACGCGCATGTATCGGTCCGACGCCGTGTGGACTGTGGAGTGCAGCTCTAGTGCGCAGTCATGCCCGTGGAGTGAGTGTAGAGGCGCACCATGAGGCTTGACTTTGCTTGAAAGCACATGATGGACTGTCCGGTGATGTCGGAGTGTGTGTCTACTACATAGATACAACAAACTGACTACCTATCCCGTGACTACAGGTACGAGACATCCACCCAGCTGGCATCTGCGTAGTCGCTGCCGAGGACATCTCCAATGGCCACAGCTGCACTCAGCTTCGTGGCGAAGTCTGCGCGTGTTCCCTCACTGCCAGCTCCTTTGTTCTCGAACTCGCCGAACTCAACACCATCAGTCCTGGGGTCGTCAGTGTTCCAGATCTTCCATCCAGCGGAGTTGATCACATCGGTCATGGAGGTGGCCTGGAAAGCAACGCGAGCGTACGCTCTCCATGGACGGCCCAGGTAGTATGCACCGCTTTCGACGGAGTTGCCAGGAGCAGCGGCAACCTTGGAGTTGTTGATCACGTAGTAGCTGTCGCTGCTGGAGGAGTCTCTACCAGACGCGGTGATATATCCGAGACTAGCTTCGAGTACACCAATCGTGACCTGCTCGAACCACGCCTGGCCTTCTTGTCCGAAGATGAAATCGGTGGCTCCCTCGATGTATGATTGAGCGTACAGTTGGGCTCCGATTTCGGCTAGGATGGTGTCTTGGTATCTGGAAATCGTAAGCATGTCTCATCAAGAGCGAGTTCTCTACGTACCCTTTGAACTGGCAAGCATAGTAACCTTGGTTCTGTTCAATGTCAGAAGTGATTCAGCCAACGCCTAAGACATCCCTTACCGCAGCATTCGCGGACAGAGCCAGCGCCTGCGATCCCTCTCCATACGAGTTGACAACATTCACGTTGTAAAGCTTGAAGTTGCTGGTCCAGACACGAAGAGTAGCCGTGGCATCATTGTTGTCGACATCCTCCTGGCTCAATCCATACGTAATCGTGACCTTGTTGGCGCTGTAGGAGGTCGTGTCTTCGGTGTATCCATAGATGGTGACCGGACCACTGATTTTCTTCACATAGACTTGCTCCTTGTACGTGCCGGCTTCGATGAAGATGCTCTGCTCGGAAGATGAAGACGATGAAAGAGCGTCGACAGCGTCCTGGATCGTCGAGTAGTCGCCGCTACTGCCCACCACCAAAGCCCCTGATGGTGCCGTAGTCCGGGATGCAGAATAAGCAAGGCCAATCAATGGCGCAAGAGATGCAAGAAGACGCATTTTTCAGAAAAGAAGACTTGAACGAATGTAACGAATGGAATCTTAACAGACCAAGAACTGGGAAAGCATATACGGGATGCAACTCACTATATAGCAGACTTCGTCTCCTGCTGGCATATACAAATATCTGCGCATCTATTAGAAGCAAGCAGGTTTCACCTGATGACCCCCAATTGACATGGGCGCTGCCCAGTATTTAACCGCCATTGCCCCAGATAGATTGAATTAGTCCGTGTCTCGTATGACATTGAAATTTGGCCGCTTCGTCGCTTCGCCGGGGCCATGGCGTGTACGATCCTGGTTGTTCTACTACTGTGAAGTGAAATGCATGATCTTTGGAAGTGTTGCCTTTCTCCGGATGTTGATGGCAACCAAGCCCACGATGGCTGCTCGCGTTGGGTGCAAAGCCCGCGTGTGACGGAGATGGGACGTTTCAATTCGAACAGAGCACCTGCGGAATGGTTCGCTTGTTCTTTTGGGGGCATCTGTACGCGTATCGTATTGAGATGAGGTGGTGTCAATGCCGTGTTATGCAAGTTCCAGCACCACTTTGTGATGGTAGCTCGAGGCCGAGATGGACGTGGTTTGCGAATGCGATTCCGGTACCACCAATGCGAGGTTAGAGCAATAGCCTGTAGTCAGTCTCTCCAAAAATAACGGGGTTGGGAATGCAGAAGAAAGCAAGGTTGAGATGTGAAGATAGAGAGCAAGGAAAGCACGTGGCCTGAGCTCAGGGCAAAATGACCGTGATGACACCAGCGCGTCAACCTCACCTGTCACCCGCCTCGTCTCCCCTCCTCCCTTTCCATCATCATCAACATCATCCAGTGGAGAGCACAAGACTTTGCAACAGGCCACGGCGTTGGACCATGCAGTCGTCGCCCAGTCAAGAAGACAGCATGGCTCTCCACATCACCCCGCTCCAGGTGTTGACACGACGGCATCTGGAGCTATGCCACTGCTCGCCGAGGTCCCCCAATCCACATGCACCCTGGGCACTGCCCTATGTGAACGATACCTGTATCGCGAGCAACCGTCATAGCTCGCGAGTCGTGGAGCTCTTCTTCTTCTTCGAGGTCAAGTGATTCCTCTTCTCCCCTTCTTACGACTTTCCTCCCCTCTCCACCAATCTTTTACTTGTTAGAACAGCCACCATGGCCGACATCCCAAAGAAATACAAAGCCGTCGTCTACGATGCACCGGGCAAGATCTCCACGAAGGTGGTCGAGCTCGACACGCCAGAGCCAGGACCAGGAGAGGTCCTCGTCAACTTGACGCACTCCGGTGTCTGCCACAGCGATCTGGGAGTTATGACGAACCGCTGGGCAGGTCTGCCATATCCCACACAGCCTGGCCAAGTCGGAGGCCACGAGGGCATTGGAAAGGTGGTGAAGCTGGGCCCAGGAGCCGAGCAGTCCGCTGTGAAGGTTGGAGATCGTGTGGGAATCAAATGGGTATGTTGTGTGGTCGAGTACATGGCGTCGGCATACTGATTGGACATCAGATTGCCGCTATCTGCGATTCGTGCCCAGCTTGCTTGAGCGGACACGATGGTAAGCTGTCTTCCTACTCAGCAGATCGAACAAGTACTGATTTACTACTCAGGTGTCTGTTTCAACCAGAAGATCAGTGGATATTACCACCCAGGCACTTTCCAGCAATACGCCATTGGCCCAGCCTCCTACGTGACCCCTATCCCCGAGAGCCTCCCCAGCGATGCCGCCGCACCCATGCTCTGCGCCGGTGTGACGGTCTACAGCGCCCTCCGAAAGTCCAGCGTAAAAGCAGGAGACTGGGTAGCCATCCTCGGTGCAGGAGGCGGGTTAGGTACGTAACACCACCGCATATCACACAGCCAGACAACCATGAAGGACATCAGACTGATATTTCATGAACAGGCCACCTCGCCTGCCAAATCGCCTCGCGCGGCATGGGCCTCCGCGTAATCGGCATCGACGCCCCATCCAAAAAAGAAATCGCCCTCTCCTGCGGCGCCGAAGTCGTGCGTATACTGAAGGGCAGAAGGCCCCCCCCCCCCCCCCATTCTGTGTCTAAGACATTCGCTGACCTTCTACCCTTCACTTTTAGTTCATCGACCACACCCAAGGCAAAGCCGAGGAAGAAGTCAAAGCCGCCACCGGCGGCCTGGGCGCACAAGCGGTCCTCGTCCTCACCGCCGCCAACGCCGCCTACGCCTCGGCCATGACCCTGCTCAAATTCGGCGGCACCTGCGTGTGCGTCGGCCTCCCCGAGGGCGAACTCAAAGCCATCGCGACGGCGTACCCGCAGTTCCTCGTGGCGAAGGCGCAGACGATCCGGGGCGTCGCGGTGGGGGATCGGAGGGAGGCGATTGAGACGTTGGAGTTTGCGGAGCGGGGGGTCGTCAAGACGCATTTTCGCACGGCCAAGATGGAGGAGTTGACGGAGGTGTTTGAGCAGATGGATCGGGGGGAGTTGGTGGGGAGGGTTGTGTTGGATTTGAATGCTTGAGGAGAGAATTTGTACCATGACGATGATGACAGATCGGTGTTGATGAGGGAATGAATTTGAGAGACTTTTCGAGGCACTTCTTCATTCTTCAAAGCCCGTCCATGCCACTGTGCAGCCTCTCGTGAGGTTTCTGGATAAGGAACGTTTAGCGAGAAGCTCTTCGACTACGACCAAACGTTGATGTACAGGGCCACGCACGGGACGTATCTCTGGTAAGTGTTTTCATTTCTCCAACACCTTTTCCATTTACCATTGCTATAATGCTTTCTTATACTTCATAAAACATATCCCTCATCATTCACCCTCATCCCTCACCATTCGTCGCCCCCTTGGTCTCAAAAATTCCAACCCCTCTATCTAATCCCTCTTCCCAAAAACCTTATCATACCCCGTCAACACATACCGATACCTGACCTTATTCTCCGACACAGCCGTCACCGCCTCCTTGCACCCTTCCTCGCTAATATCCACCGTCTGGATCCAGCTCTGAATCTCCTGCTTGCTCGCCAAATCGAACATGGCCAACATCTCCGGGCGGTTGCCGATATGCGACGCGCCGATATAGCAGCCATTCGGCGCGAAGTCCTGCGCCATGAGAGTTGGGAGAGGATGGTCTCCGAAGCCAACTGTGTGAAAGCGGCCCATGACTTTCAGGGTGCTGAAGTAGTCCTTGAGGTTGAATTTGTGCGTGGCGTCGGCGCAGTTGAGGATGAAGTCGAAGTTGAAGGCGTAGGGCTTGTGCCAGTCTTCGTCGTTGGTGACGATGAAGTGCTTGGCGCCCATTTTGAGGGCGTCGTCTTTCTTGGAAGGGCTGTGCGAGAGGACGTAGACTTCGGCGCCGAGGGCGGCGGCCCAGAGGACGGCGAAGTGGCCGAGACCGCCCCTGATATGATCGTTAGTCTGGAGTCTCTTGCACCAGAAGACTGAGTTTGTTCCAACTTACATCCCAACGATAGCGACCTTCTTACCCGGCCCAGCACCTAACCGCACGAGCGGGCTGTAGACCGTAAGACCTGCACAAAGCATAGGAGCGGCAATCTCGCTCGAGATATTATCCGGAATCTTGAAAGTAAAGTACTCGTGCGCGCGGACATGAGACGAGTATCCTCCCTGCGCGATTGTTCCATCTTTGTATGGCGCGCCGTAGGTGTCGACGGCGTTGGGGCAGTAGTTCTCTTGGTCGGCCTTGCAGTTGTTGCAGGTCAGGTCGGCTTGGATCTGGGCGCCTACGCCGACGCGGTCGCCGACTTTGATGGTTTTGACGTCTTTGCCGACTTTGATGGCTTTGCCGACGATCTGGAGGGGTGGTGTGTTAGCATTGGGGGTTGTGAATGCTGGGGGGTGGGTTGACGACTGACCTCGTGACCGACGCAGATTGGAAGTGGGCAGTCTCCCCATCCGCCTGCACAGCTATCAATTCTGCTTCGCTCTTAAGAGACATTCAATACTTACCAGTGATAGTGTGGACATCAGAGCCGCACACACCGCACGCCTCGACAGCGATATCAATATCACGGTCCTCAAAAGGCTTGAGCTTGAACTCCTGCTTCTTGAAATCCTGCCACTTCTTCTGGTCCTCGATCATGAAGCCCTCGGCGGTATCTGGGTAGACCATCTTGACGGATTGTTTCAAAGCTCGAAGTGGTGAAGAAGAGTCGGGTGTGTGAGAGTGAGGAAGAATGAAGATAATCAGCTCACAGAATGCGAGATTCAAGTAGTCGAGAAGTTGACGCGAGGCGGAAAAATCTCAGCAGCAGCATTGGCAGCTTGTGAGGAGTGCAGAGAGCTTGGGGGCGACCTCTCTGTGGACGGACAGGGTCGCCCTCTGACCTCACTGCATGCGTGAAGCAAGCATCATCATGATCGTGACATCAAGACCACGTCCCAACCGTCTCGACCGCTCCGCGTAGCGCGTTTTCTTTCCCGTCCATGGTTGACGTATTTGTCTTCTCTGATCAGAGTTTCGAGACAGTCTTCAGAGGTTTTCGAGGCTCTGCTCGCGCCATCCACCGAGCGCTTATGTCTGTCGTCGCTCGGTCCAATGCTGCCCGAGTGGGGGTTGGCGGGGCAAAGTTCGCCCCTCACTTCTGCAGAGTCGCTCAACGACAGGCTTGCAGGGAATGGAGTCCAGACCAGGCCGGCGAATGCGTTGTTGTTTGTTGTAAAAGTCGAGTAGATTCGACTGAGTGCAAACAACAATCGCCACGCTCAAGGTCTCTCAAAAGGCATGGCCGGCACAAGATTCTCCTTACTGTCATGAACCCAATCTTCTTTGCGCCTCTCAACCTGCTCAACAGTCGTGGTGACTTTGATCTCATTGTTCTTGAGCTCCAAAGGACTTCCAACACTCCCTGATGCTTGCGTCCTCTCTTCGCCGCCGTCTTGAGTCGTCTCTGTAATCTTGACCTTAACGAATCCACTGCGTACTCTCGAAAATAATCCTCTTTTGGCATTGTCCCGTGTTGGGTCCCAGACTCGATCTACCGTAGATTGGACTCGACGAATGCCGGAGGAAAGGTTTGATTTTGTTGCGGATAGTTCGATCGCGGGAGTCACTTCGCGCGAGGCTCCTGATGTGGAGAACAGGGTCGGGAAGAAGCGGCTTACTATCCCCTTCATCGTTGGGAGGCAACTCGCGATAATGCCCACTGTCGCTTCCAGATTCGCATACAGCGCAGCCAGTGGATTGTCCCAGCTCGGATCTTTCGATATCGCAATGGCGTAGAGGGCGTAGAATCGTATCAATGACACTGCGCAGACTGCGCCGCCCAGCCCAAATACAGCCATGAGCATCCGTCTTTGCTTTTTGGGGAGGTTGAGGCTGTTGACGACTGGGAGAGGGAGGACTGCGGTAGCGATGTCGGTGGCGATGCTGAAGCTCGAGTTGAAGAACCTGTGAAGATGTGAGCTCTATCTTATATAGTTTGTTCTCAGCACCATGTACCATATCGGCAATCGATTCAGGCACTTGCCTGGTCGCTCAGGGTGCCAGAAATGCGAGGTGGGTTGGCAGAGGAAGATGGTAATGAAGACCGTGTATGCGGTGAAGACTGCAATGACCGCGCCTGTCGTCCGAGGCTCTGTCAATTCTCACAATCTCGGTCGCGGTCTGACGACGGTCCTGCTCACCCAATATGTATGCCGAAATCCTGAACCTCTTATTGTTCCCAAAGATGCGCAAGCATTGCAGGACGATGGACAGCTTCGCTAGGCCCAGGCCGAGGTAGTAGTTCCAGATCGATATGAAGAACCATAGCAGCAGGTACATGCTGTCATGGTCTGATAGGGAATCTTGGTGCTTGCCGAGTCCATATCGTACTGTTTTCAATCAGTCAACTGTTTCCACGCATGCGGACCCTCTCGCACGTGCCTTGGATGCAGACGCAGATCGAGAACTGCTCACAAAATCAGCCGCGACATAAAATCCCAAGCAACTAGTAGCCCCGTACTCACCATCGACGTGAAGATGAGAGACAGCGTCACCACAAGATCGTCTATCCCCGGTTGGTGACTGATAGCAAACCGCGTCCATAGCCTAAGTGCAACCGCGACAGCAGCAATAAAAGTGAAGGTCATCACCACACCAATGACCGTAGTAGGAGAAGCATGGCCACTCAACTTCATGTTGGTTCAAGGGCCTTGAGCAGTGTCGGCGATGTTGTTGGGGAGCAGTAAAGGATGCAGGAGGGTGCGACAGGCCCCATTTAGGCGATTAATGGAAAAGGAGTGCTACTTGGACCCAATCGACCAAGACCTCGTTTATACATGCTCAAGCCTGAGGTCGTCCCCCAGCGGGTACCCTGGTGATGAGCTGACATCCTACACGGTGGTTCAGGATGTTCTCGGGCACGGACAGGGCGTTCACAACTGGTCGATTTCCCACGGCATTGCAACTCTGATCGGGTTGCAGTGACTGCTCGCGATGGCCGAGTTGGGAATCGCAACTGGTTCTGGCCAGGACGACCTTCCACCTTTGTTGATGAGCATTCCGTGAGTAGTCATTGATGTGCCTGGCGACGTTGATATGCACACGTCTCGGGTTCGAGTCATGTTTATGAATCCGAGGGAGGTGAGTTTGGGATAGCTGATCCTGGTGAAAGTCTCTCCACGATGTCGTTAACAGGCAATGAGCCAGCATCGGGACTTTGGTACCAGGTGATCCCAAGTGTGCTTCACATTGGATTTTGGGCTGCCCAACAAGCATCCCTTCACCATCTTTTTGCCAGGCCAGGAACCTTAAAGTGATGCGTTCAGTGATCGGGCGAGGCCGATTTCAAGTGTGTTGTCTTTTTCTGTGCTGTGAACGATGTCGTTGGTTATTAGAGAGTGAGCTCTTACTCTCGAGGGCTCTGTTGCTCTCCGTGACCGTCTTCAGATCAGTTGACGTTTTAGCAATCCGTCATCATCTTCACTGTCGTCGATCAAAGTGTAGTCAATCTGACCACGCTGATGATCTGCACGGCCAGCAGCATTCTGCAACTCATACCCTAGGTGTAGAAATGCGACCCCCATCCCGAAACGATCGCAGCAAGCGAGTGTTCGACACGACAGGCTAAAAGGTGTGATGGAAGCGAAACGGACCTGCCAGCTCAGGCGACCCGAACCCTGATTGCTGGGGTACATCCAAACGATACCCAGAGAGCTCTTCGACGCGAGGCTCTCCAACTTTTCCCCAAGAGAACCCCTCATTCATGCTGCCCCGCTCTCTGCAGATGGTCCTCACGAGGCTCACAAGGAATCAGATGGAGCCAACGATCTGGTTCTTCCGCATGACCGCATGCCCTGAAATGGGAAACCGCTGTGATGATGCGCACGCGATTTGTGTCGGATGTTCGTAGGTATTTGTTGGCGTGTATTCAGTTCGTCATCTTGTCGCAAGCTTGAGACATTCCAAAGTCCAGTATTTCCTTTCCTTCGAATCGTACCTTCACAATGCCAGCCACGACACAGGATGGAGATCATGCAGTCGAGAATGAGCCAGCTCCAGAAACGAGTAGGACGATGAAAGCTGTGCGCTTCCATGGTAAAGAGGACCTGCGATTCGAGGACATTCCCGAACCAACATGCGGACCTGGCCAAGTCAAAGTGAAGCCAGCATGGTGTGGAATTTGCGGGAGTGACCTGCACGAGTACGTACGAATCCCAGTAGAGATCAAGCGCAATCCCTGACAAGCGCGACAGATATATGGGCGGTCCATCGCTTTGCCCGGAATCCAAACCACATCCCATCACTGGCGAGACGGTTCCTTTGACCTTTGGCCACGAATTCGCTGGCGTGATTGAAGAGGTGGGTGAGGGCGTCTCCGAAAGATTCAAGGTCGGAAGTCGTGTGGTTGTCGCGCCTATCATATATGATGGAGATTGTGGAGCTTGTCAAGATGGACTGGTCAATTGCTGTTGGAAGAACGGATTCGTTGGGCTGAGCGGTTGGGGTGGTGGTCTTTCAGAACACCTTGTGGTTCCAGAGTACACTCTCTACAATTGTCCGGACAATGTTCCTTTGGATGTTGCAGGTGAGTAAGTAGGACGCAGTCGCTTGAAGAAGCTACTGACCGTGTCTGCAGCACTCGTGGAGCCTCTTGCCGTAGGATGGCATGCTGTGAACTCCTCTCCATTTAAGAGAACCGACACAGCACTAATCCTGGGAGGTGGTCCCATCGGTCTATCAGTCATCCAAGCCCTTCGCGCTCGGGGATGCCATCAAATCATTGTTTCAGAAGTCAGCGGTATGCGAAAGCAATTCGCAAAAGATTTCGGCGCTCGTAAGTCTCGCATCAAGGAATGTCTTTAATTTCACCGCTGAAGTTGTTTCCGCTAGACGTGGTCCTCGATCCAACGAAGGATGACATTGTTGCGAGATGCCTTGAATTGACGAACAAGAAGGGGGTCGACGTTACGTTTGATGCTGCTGGTGTACAACCGGGCCTCGACCAAGCAGTCAACTCCCTCAAAGCGCGTGGTACCCACGTCAATATTGCCATTTGGGAGAAGAGGTATGTTGCAATCATGGCCGAAAGCAAAGCTTAGGAACGTTATGGCTGATGTATTGAAGATGCTCCCTATGGCCCAACGACTTAGTATTCAAAGAGCGAAGATATCTTGGAGTAGCAACTTACGTCAAAGCAGATTTCCAGGTATGTAATAATCCATGTTCAAGACAGCAAAGCTGATGTTAGTCCAGGAGGTGATTGATGCTTTATCCGACGGCAGGCTCGACATGGCTCACCAGATGATCACCAAAAGAATAGGCATGGATCAAGTGCGGGAAGAGGGATTCCTGACATTGATCAACGATAAAGAGAATCAGGTCAAGATATTGGTGGAGGGAAGCGGAGAGAAGTGAGAATGTTTGATCGCGAAGTCTGCATGAAGGAAAACAGAGCGACAGAAGAATGCCTTGTCAGTTCTCTTGCATGTACGAAAGGATGTGTTTGAGGTGTGGATGGTGTCAACGCCATGTTGAATAGCCCGACAAGCGCCATCAAGGTCTTTGCCAGGTGACGTTGCTGCCACAGCATTTGAGCTGGTCAGAGGTCCATAATAATTCGAGAGTGACTTCATGATGGTACCGTCCCATGTCCTTTGCATCGAGCGTGTATACATGTAGCAGTCGAGAGCCCAATACTAATAACAGTCTAACAGAGACTTTGGATTTGAACGGGGTCGATTCATGCCACAAGCGCAATTTCCAGCTCCGGCCAGTCGCGATCGATGTCCGTCTGGCGCGACTGGTTCGCGGTCGAATGGGATTTGTGTGCGGCTAATGCCCAGCCAAGTATCGTAGTATACCGAGGCGAGTGGTGTTGTGACGGTTGTGATGGTGGTGTGAGGCTTGCTGGAAAAGCCTGCTCCCGCAACAACATGAAGATGATGAAGATGCCAACTTCCCACCTAGCCGGAACAAGGCATTGCGTTGGTCTGGAACGGTCCCGAATCCTTTCAACGGATGCGCGAGTACGGGAAAGGTACGCAGCATGGCATTCGCAATGAGGTCAGAGGAAATCTCGCAAGAAACATTCCGCGAGACGCGCCTGAATCAGTGCAGGGCAGCTTTCTTGGCCCTGCCTCTGCACGGCCTTGGAAGTTGTGGCTCAGTCCTGGCCAAATGCCGAATTGACTTTGACCGAGCCCTCGATCGTGAGAGGCCCGACGGCGAGCCGCGGGCCAGGCGGCGCAGACAGGCCAATTGCAAGTTGTCCTCGCGCCAAGCGGGCAGCGCAGCAGGAGATTGGGATGATCTTGTGATGTGGCGTCTCGAGCGACAAAGCCATCCCATGACGTAGGAGGTGAGTTTGGTGAACTTCTGTCGTGTCGCGCTCGCTCCATCACCACGGCAAGTTTCTGCGCCAGGTACATTATACGCCCGGCTGCCTGCCTACACCACCGGCCCTCGCACGACAGCAACTTCCCTTCCGCTTCCCCTTTACACATACAGACCTTGTTCCTCGTTGCACGCACCTACCGACATCCAATCGCTGAACCATCACCATGGGCATCGTCAAAGGAGGCGCATTGCGCCTTTTCCAGACCTTCCTCTACGCCCTCGCCTTCTGCTGTTCCGCAGTCATCCTGGGCATCTACTCCTACTTCCTCTCCGTGCTCGCAGACAGAGACATTGCCATTCCAACATGGGAGAAGGCTGTGGAGGGCCTGTCGGGTGCCGCAGTCCTCTACCTCATCTTCGCCGTGATCCTCACATGCTGTCTGGGAGGAATTCAGGTGTTCGCTTTCCTCGCATTGGTACGTTTCACTCAGTCGCATTCTCAATGGCTTGTATAACTAACCGACACAGGTCCTTGACATCTGCTTTGTCGGTGCTATGATTGCCATCGCTGTCATGACCCGCCATGGAGCGAGCTCGTGCAGCGGCATTGTCAACACTCCGCTCGGAACTGGCGAGGCAAACTCCCACGCAGCTGGCTTCAATGGAGACTTTGGATTTGGCGACAACGACACTCTTACCTACGCTGTGTCCCTGCACACCGCTTGCAGACTCAACACTGCTGCGTTCGCCGTGTCCATCATCGCTGCTATCCTCTTCCTCATCACTGCTGGCATGCAAGTCCTCCTCGTCCGTCATCACAAGAAGGAGAAGCGCTACGGCCCATCCCCATCTAACAACTACACTTCTGGCTTCGGCAAGCGCAAGTTCTGGCAACGCAAGCCAAAGGGCAATGCTCGTGACACCGAGCTTGGTGCTGGAGGTCTCGCTGCCCATGGCCCTGACATGCGCCCAAGCCACGAGACTGGCACGACCATTGGCAACAACAACGCCGCTGCCTACGACAAGGATGCCTACGCACCACAACAAGGTTCCCACGGAACCTATTACGGCGCACCCCAAGGGACCGCAAACCCATACACAATGACTACCGGCACTGCCACCAATTACTAGGAAGGAGATCATTGTCCCCTTCATGACCATGACCGCTGACCTACCCACGCGAACCACGAATATACCCCTTAGGCTAATATGAGCCTTTGTACTATAGAGAGCAAAGGAATCCACCACCAGGAACCAAGAGAGTCTGAAAGAACAGCGCTTGGAGTTGGTGCACCGTTTGCTTCAGCGGATGCAGTTTTGTATGCTATGACCAGAAGATACCAGTAATGTAATGACCAAATCACCAATGTTCTCCGTCTTTCACCATGCTGCCGTGCTTGCTGAAGGGTTGTTTGCCCCTTCTCCTTTGTGTGGGATCATCTATAATATCACGCCTTGTATCGTGTGATAGAGTTAGTGACAGCGCACCAGCGGATCAGCACAAGATCACATTGCCAAACCATGAGTGACGAACGTCCCAACGATGGACAGTCGACCGAACAACACGCTTTCCAATTCCTGCTGCAATACTTGGACAGAATCGTCAACAGAGTCGTCAACAAAGCCAAAGGCCTCGAGACCAACATTGACCAAGCCCTGAGAGATCACTTGGCAACAAAGGATGGCGGTGGAGCGGTCATCGATACCGGCGAGTCGGAGGCCGAGGAAGAAGAAGACGACCATCCGGGGAATGTTGCCGGTGGAGGAATCGTCGACACCAGCGGGGCGAGCGATGAGGAAGAAAACCAATCTCCAGGTAGCCTTGCTGGTGGAGAACCGAACGAAACCAGCGAGCAGGCGGCTGAGGAAACAGATCATCGTCAGGAGAAACCAACCAGTGAAGCAACGATGCAGAACAGCTCGAAGCACGACGGGGTACCAGACCACCCTCCACAACCCCTCACCGGCAGCGACAAACCCCATCTCCATCAGCACCGCAGACCACGCAGAAGTCTCCCAGATGCTGCGCACAGGCACCCTGCTCCTCCAAAGCTGGGGCCTCGACAAACCCACACAGCAAGAGAAAGCCCGCATGTTCAGCATGGCGTCCGTTTTCGACAGGGTGACGAAGGCGCTGCGGGTGGACATGCAGGGCCGGGAGAGGGCTTTGGAGGGGATTCTTTGGGAGGCTGCGCGGGATGGGGAGTTTCAGGCGTGGAGGGTGGAGGATAGGAGGGGGCGGGAGGAGCGGGAGAGGGGGTGGGAGAGGGGGCGAGAGAGGGTAAAGGGGGAGGGTGAGGTGGAGGTGGAGGTGGAGAAGGGGAATGTACAGGTGCAGGAGAAGGGGAATGAGAAGGTGAAGTTCGGGAAGGTGGTCGAGCAGGAGGGCGAGGAGAAGAGGGAGAAGGAGAGGCAGAGGAAGAAGCTGCAGAAGAAGCGGAAGCAGCAGCAGAAGAAGCAGGATGGCGAGAAGCAGGATGGGGAGAAGCAGACAGGGGAGAAGATGAAGGAGAAGAGCGTGGAGGATGAAGACGAGTGAACGAAGCACTTTGCCCTATTGCTGGCGGGCACATCTCATGGTATGTACTTGCGCCATTTGCTTGGTGCTTGCGCTCTCGTGTGAGATGGTCAGAAGATAGCATCAGCAATGCCATGAACCAGCCGATCACTTCCTCCCATTCCTCACTGTTGTATTGTGCTTGCTCGATGTCTGAAGACTTCCTCCTCCACGCGGCTTCCATCATCCGCTTCGTCTTATGGCTCCTACTGGTGCTATTCGCTCTTCTGGTTGCTGTTCTGTATGCCACGACCAGAAAACATCATCAGCAATATCATGATCACGTTCTCTATCTCCTCTACCTCCTCTACCTCCTCTACCTCCTCAATGCTCTTCCCGCCGTTTGCTCACCTGTTGTGGTCCCGTGTGTTGAGATCAGGAGAGAGCTGATTGATGACTAGGTTGTTCATGTTGTCCAACATCGACAATGGAGCTGTGCTTGCTGGGACTTGTTTGCTCCCTTTCTGGCCTTGTATATATACCGCCTTTGATGGCAGGTACTGGGAAAAACATCAACATCAACACTACCAACAGCACCAACATCATCATCAAAGTCAACGACAACACCAACATCAGCATCAAAGTCAACACTCACTCAGCAATAGCTTCAACAACAGCACCAGAAAACTTCAACACCTCTAGGAGTCTGCTCAGCAAAACACCCGCACAAAATGTCTGGAAACCAATCGCAGAACACGAACAACGAGCTCCTGGACGCCGTCCAGCAAGCGTTCAACGACATGGAAAGCCGCGCCAGAGTCCTGCAGGCCACCATGCGTGATACCGTGGAGAGGCGCCAGCGACAAAATCCCGCCAGCGGCAGTGTGAGCACCCAAAGCACGGGCACCCAGACCGATCGCAGCCTCACCCTCAACGGCTCGCAGCTCGACTTCCTCGAGGGAAGGTTGAGGTCATTGCAGACCGTGCTCTCGCTCTGGGCAAGGGTTTTGTCGCTCAGTATGGCAGACAAGGCTCGCATCGTCGCGGTCTCCAGCATTAGTTCCGCGATTGCGGAACAGCTCCAGATAGAGTTGGGACCCAGGTTGGGCGAGCTCGTGCAGCAATTTGCTGATATCGGTATGATGGGCTGGGTCAACCAGGAGCGTAGCAGGATTGCTGCGGCCAGGGCAGAGCGGGAGGGTTGAGTGGAGTTGGTGAAGTTGAGGGGGTGCAGAGACTTTTCTTTTTGCAATTGATTAAGGCTCGAGTTTGGCGTGGTTCATTTTTTCTGCACTTATGCCACTCATTCTGCACGGAGTTAATGGAGTTCACTCTGCCTCACCACTCCCCACCTTCTCCGGAAACACACGATCCCAATAATCCAGCGAGATCTCCTGATAAGATTCCCTCTCTCCCTCGCGGTAGTTGTCCGCCAAAGCCCTCAACGCCGTCCACTTGCCGTTGCTCATCGCAAACCTCGCGGCGATGTTCCGACTGACTTCGAATACTTGATCGCGTTTCATCGCCATCGCTTGGTCGACTAGGACGTCGCCGGAGAATTCGTCGCCGCGGTAGTGCTTGCCGGATTGGAGAAAGGTGAGGTTGAGGGTTTTGAGTTTGCCGTGCGTGTTTAGTACTTTGGAGAAGTTTTGCAGTCGTGCTTTGGTTCTGGAGATTGAGGCCTCGTCGTGGGCATCAAAAGTGACTTCGAGCTCGATGTGGCGAAGACGGGGGAGGATTCCGCAGTCCTCAATGGTGCCTAGGTCGATCAAGGTCGTGAGAGACTCATTGGTGTTTTCTTCACACCGAAGGCTCAGTTCCACCGCAGTGTTCTGATACAGCAATGGAAGACATTCTTTGTAAATCAGTCGACACGTGAGGAGGATGGCTGTAGCCGTGAGAGATCCCTCTCCGCTGGATTGGACGTAGATTTCGTCGAGGACGAATAGAGGTTTTTGACAGTGAGTTTCCTCGAAGACGTACTCGAAGATGTGCACACGGAGTTCGGCGGGCAGGTCTAGTAAAGCGCTGTGGCTGGACATTGTGATTTGGACTTCGTTCATGGAACTTCAGACGTTGGGAGTGTCCACGAAATGCGACGGCAGACTCCTGTATTTGACGAACACTGTCCAGGTGGTGTTGAAGCAAGATATATAGGCCGTTCTTTCTGCTATGAGCGATGTCCTGAGATTGACACGGCAGTTATTGGTTGAAGCGAGGAAGACGTGAAGTCGCCTTCGGCTTTCGGCAGCCTCACGGACCACACCTCGAAGCCGGCCAGGGCATTCAAGATTCAAGGGTTGTTTGCGGCATAACTTTTGGTGATCGCTGTATCTTCTGCAACACCACAGCTCACCAGCTCATTGCAACCTCGAATGCGATCCATCGCCCGCCAGAGCGCTCGCTTGGCCAGCAGCAGTCGAGTCCGCCAGCCATCTCGCCCACGACACGCCCCAGCTCAACACCATGTTCGAAGCTTCAGTAGAACGGTTCAACATTCGATAGACACACGCGGGCCAAATGGAGAACACGAACCGTCGACCCCAGCCGAGCAAAGGCAAGACGACCAAAAGTCTCAAGTGGAAGATGCAGCAAAGTCAGCCAAGCAGAATGAGACGAAGAGCACAGAAGAGGAGCCCAAGTCTGCGGTAGCCAAAACAAGAAGGACACGGATACAGAATGCGAAAGATCAGAAACCGCCCAAGCCTCCGCCGGTACCTGACTGGTTTCTCAACCATAATGTCAAGCTCGTGACAGAGTCAGTGAAGCCGAATCGAGAGGCAAAGAGCGCTCAAGTTCTGCGTTGCGTTGACAAGGATACCGGGCACACTTTGTTCACAGTCCCTTACTACGAGGCATGGCCTGTACCTGGGTTGCCTGGAAGACCTACAGAAGAACACAAGTCGGACAAGGAAACGGCAAGGAAAAAGTCACTCGATAACAGTTTCTTCGACAACAAGTTCACCTCCACCCAAGCAAAGCCTGCTTCTTCCAAGGCACGGTCGTCGGCTCTTATAACGCCCCCGTCGGAAGAAGCAGAGAATGAAGTCAACCCACATTCGTTGCTACGCTGGGCTTTGCTGGAAGCTGAGACGGGCATCAGAGCTGGCTTCACAGTGGCAGGACAGGTGCCGTCTGCTTTGAATGCAGCGTCTCGAGTGGACATTTCGTTGAATTGTCCCGATTCAGATTCTCACGAGCAGATGGATGATATTGTAGAGGATTTGGCGAACCTGACGCATTCGGACATAATTCGGCTGGACGCCAACGACTTCGCCGATTTAACTGCAGACTACGTAGGAGGGGGCGAGGATCTTCCTGGATCGTTCTCGTCGTTGGGATACGATGTCTTCGACGGATACACAGCGAACCAAGCTGGGTATAGACGTGCTGCCGAGGAGGACATGTACGATGAAGATGAAGAGGACGAAGCCGACGAGGAAGATGAAATGCATAGAGACGGCAGCTCTGGGCGATCGCGAACTCTTGACGATCTCAGGAGAGCGCTATATGCACGTCGCTTCGATCTCGCCAAAGCTTTTCAAAAGATAAACGTGACGACAATACCGATTGGAATCGCGCCAGAATCTAAAACACGACCGACCGGCGATCCCGCAAGCAGCCCTTTCAGAGCAGCGCGTTCTTCGGATGGCCCCGAATACGATCGAAGGAGGCTCATAGACCTTCTCGACAATCTACTGGAAGCACCCAAGCTCAAACAGGCTTCTGCAGCGTCATATGTCGATGGCTTGAACAACCGCCTTGCAAACGCTTCGGCGGGACGGGACTCTAAGCAGGGTATGACAACATCAGATCGCTCGTACCAAGCTCTGTGGAGACCTTGGAGATCAAGTCCTGGTTGCTGGTACCCTGATGTCGCAGGTATCATCGCAAGCCGAGTGAATCGCACGGCCAGTGATAAGGATGCTAGTACGTCGTTGAGACTCGAGGCGGACGGAAAGCAGGTTCGTGAAAATGCCAGCTCTTCTGGACTTTCTAGGCGGATAATCGTTCACGTTCGCGACTTGAAGGATATTTGCGGTTCACAAAAGGGTGATTCCATCATTCGGGATCTCGTTCGTGTGGTGCAGAAACGCCGTCGAAGTGGACAAGAGATCATTATCGTCGGTACAACAGCTCAGGACGTTGGTGGTGGACGCTTTGGTTCATTCGAGCCCAGGTTGGATGAGTTCCGTACGGTGACGGTGCCTCCATACTTCAACATGCCCAAAGACGAAATCAACCAGCTGAAGACGGAGGATTTGATCAAGGACAGCGGCGATATTCCAACGTATCGCAGGATCCTCGAGATCAACTTGCGACACATCCAGAGTATGCTGCAGCGCCTGCGACCAGCCGACTCATTTGACTTGTTCTCAGCGCAGTCACAAAGTCAACTCAGACTGGCAGGAAACGAACTTCTCGGCCAGACAGTTCTGCCATTCGATCAAGTGCAGCGCCTGGTCCTCACAGCAATTGGGCTATCACAAACGCACGCTCAATCAGACGTGGTGAACGCATCACACATTGGACTGGCAGTCTTCGTTGCCGGTCGGGCTGATCGAGCTCACCGTGCTTGGTCGGATCACAATCTCCAGCAGAGTGCAACTGCTGAAGCCGATGTGCTCAAAGAGTCGTCACACAATGCGGAGGCTGACAAGGGGAACGGGAAGATTGAGAAGTTGAAGAAGGGTTGTAACCAGCACGAAACGAAGCTTCTGCCAGGAGTGGTCGACCCGCAAAACATCAAAATCGGCTTCAACGAAGTACATGCCCCGCCTGAGACGATCGATGCATTGAAGACGTTGACATCTCTTTCCCTGCTGAGACCTGATGCTTTCAAGTACGGTGTTCTTGCTGCCGATAGGCTTCCCGGATTGATCCTGTATGGTCCACCAGGCACGGGCAAGACCTTGCTGGCGAAGGCTGTGGCTAAGGAATCTCGTGCAACGGTGCTTGAAATCAGTGGCGCTCAGATCTATGAGAAGTACGTGGGTGAGGGCGAGAAGATGGTAAGGGCTGTCTTTAGCTTGGCCAAGAAGCTCTCGCCATGCATTGTCTTTATTGACGAAGCGGATGCCATTTTCGGCAGTCGCTCTTCTGCAGGAAGTCGGAACACCCACCGTGAGATCATCAACCAGTTCTTGCGGGAATGGGACGGAATGGACTTGCACAATGTCTTCATCATGGTGGCGAGCAACCGGCCCTTTGATATGGATGACGCAGTGCTAAGAAGACTGCCAAGGCGATTGCTGGTCGACCTGCCGGTAGCGAAGGACCGAGAAGCGATTCTCAAGATTCACTTGAAGGAGGAGCAGCTGGATGCAGCGGTGGACCTAGGCAAGCTTGCAGAGGACACGCCTCTTTATTCGGGATCTGACCTCAAGAATCTGTGCGTGGCAGCGGCGCTTGCATGTGTGCGAGAAGAGAACGAACTAGCCGCGAGCAAGCAGGACGATAAGGCGTTCAAGCTGCCTGACAGGAGGATCCTGTCGAGTAGCCATTTCGAAAAGGCACTCAAGGAGATCAGTGCATCGATCAGCGAGGACATGAGCTCGTTGACCGCCATAAGGAAGTTCGACGAACAATACGGCGACCGTAAGGGACGGCGTAAGAAGTCATCGTACGGATTTGGCAGCGCAGATGTTGGTGTGGATGAGTCCGCGGCGAGGGTCAGACAGCCGACGACGACAACAACTACGCCTCCACCGCCGTGAGAGAAAGTAATCAGCAATGTAATAGAATAGAGATAGAAGCCCGTCTGATGTGATCTTTGCCTTGGCGGCGGCGCTCCGAACAGAGTCGCATTCGCCAGTGCATGACTTCGCCCGGCTAGGCAAAATCCTTCACCAAGCGATGAGTGTAAAGAGCCACCATCGTGAAGCCAAGCAGATTCAAAGACGTAGGCGTGTCAGAGACAGGACCGGACTTAAGGAAGCAGAATAGGTCGTTTAGATAGGGCCGTGGTTGGATAGGCAAAGTTCTGTAAAAGCCACAGGCAAGGAGTCCACGCAATCGTGGTCCTGGTCGAAGTCTTGGAGAGCTTGGCCTTTGTGAACACGAGATGTGATGCGTTAGCGCCGTAGCGGTAGCGGTCCTCGCATTATTGTTTATGCAAGGCCGTTGACAGTGGTGATGCTGTGTTTGTTGAAGTCGTGAAGTCTATTGAATGTGTGCAGTTGATTGAATATACGTGATTGAACAGTGGCGATGAAGTAGAAGGCCGTCTTTATAGTTTCCCTTTGTTGCCAATGGTGATGACTGAGGTTGCCGGGCGACAACAGGGGCACCCATTTATAGCGGGTGCGGGTGCATAAGCCGGAGGATTTCAGCCGAGAGAGCGTGCTGCGAACTTTCTTGGAGACGAGACAACGCTGTGGCGGAGAGGCTAGCCTTGTTACACCAGCCAGTGCACTAACTACATACTACTGCTACTACCCTCGCTCGTTACCACAAACAATCTCCAATCCATTCACTCACGACTGCTCTCTCATCACCGTTGCCGTTCGCTTTCCATACATCCAACCGACAAACAACCTCGAATCCCCGCATACATTGAGCACTCGCATGGACGAGGCGACAGTCCGACGCTCCACCCTCGTCTCCTAGGCGCCCTCGTCGCCGCGGCCATGCAGCTCCTCTCCACCACGACCACCCTCCTCTCGCTGGCCGCAACACTCCTCACACCCCTCGCCGCCGCCAGTTCCACGATCCGAAACCCCATTGGCGCCCTTTCAGCTGTGCAGAATGCGACAATCCACACCCATAACCACCGGTTAACCGCCCTGTCGGAGTTTGATCTGACCTTCAACATCCGCGACGAAGTGCATGTTCGATTACATCTCGAACCGAACCATGATATCCTCGCGCAAGATGCGACGGTTCAGTACCTTGCGCCTGATGGCAGTGTGTCGCGGAAAGAGACGGTGGATCGGTTAGGGCATAAAGTGTACAAAGGCACGGCATGGGTGCAGCGACCGAGTATTGGACAGGTGCGATATCAGCAAGTCGGATGGGCGCGTGTATCAGTCACGAGGGATGGGAAACATCCCATTTTCGAAGGCGCGTTTTCGGTGAATCACGATCACCACCACGTTCAGAGCTCGACGAACTACAGACGGACGAGACATCGCATGGATCCGGACCTTGAAGAGGCCGATGATGATTATATGGTTGTTTGGAGGGACTCGGATATCGTGCCGGACGAGGTGCATTTGCAACATCAAGAGTTGAGGAGGGATGTGGACAGTGGGTTTGGATCGTGTCTTTCGGATCAACTCTCGTTCAACAGGCGCGATGATCATCCCGTTTATATGGCTATGAAGATGAAGCGGTCGGATTCGTACGGGATTATGGATCTTTCGAATATGTTTGGCAAGAGGCAGATTGATGGGACGACTGGTGGCAACTCTGCTGGAGTGAACCTCGCTAGTACCGTTGGCCAGACACGAGGATGCCCGACTACTCGAAAGGTGGCGTTGGTTGGTGTTGCTACTGATTGCACGTACACCAATTCTTTCAACTCGACACAGACTGCGAGAGAGAATGTCATCTCCCAGATCAATACCGCCTCGGGGATCTGGGAAGGGGCCTTCAATATCTCGCTTGGACTGCAGAACCTGACTGTTTCGGACGCCAACTGCCCTGGCACGCCTGCTACTGCTACTGAATGGAACCAGGCTTGCTCTGACTCGGTCGATATTCAACAGAGATTGAACCTGTTCTCTGCCTGGCGTGGAAATCAGCGCGACTCGAACAGTCATTGGACTCTCCTGAGCACTTGCAATACCGGATCTGCCGTCGGTTTAGCTTGGCTTGGTCAGGCTTGTGTCGGTACAGCCATCACCACGAACGGCAGTGTTACTGGAAATGGCCAGAGCAGCGGCAATGGACAGGAGACCGTGACTGGAGCCAACGTCGTAATCCGGACACAAGGTGCCAGTGAATGGCAAGTCATTGCCCACGAGACTGGCCACACTTTCGGTGCCGTCCACGACTGCACGTCCCAGGCGTGCGCTGACAGCAACTTTGTCAACTCACAGCAATGCTGCCCACTTAACAGTGGGACGTGCGATGCTGGCGAACGTTTCATCATGAACCCGTCGACGTCTCAAGGTGTTCGAGACTTCAGCCCATGCTCCATCGGCAACATTTGCTCTGCAATGGAACGAAACTCCGTCAACAGCCAGTGTTTGACCGACAACAGGGGCGTGACTACTATCAGCGGACAGCAGTGCGGCAACGGTATCGTCGAGCCCGGCGAAGACTGTGATTGCGGTGGTCCGGAAGGCTGTGGGAATGATGCTTGCTGTGATCCAACGACCTGTAGGTTCACGCAAGGCTCCGTCTGCGACGACTCCAACGAAGACTGTTGTCGTAGCTGCCAGTTCGCCTCAAATGGCACTGTCTGCCGTGCCAGTACTGGCGATTGTGATCCTCAAGAGGTCTGCTCTGGCTCGTCCGCTACTTGTCCACCGGATCAGACTCGCGAAGACGGCTCAGGGTGCGGTGATGGCCTCCAGTGCGCTTCTGGACAGTGTACCAGCCGTGATCAACAGTGCAAGTCTGTCATGGGCAGCTACACTCGTGGTAACGACACCTACGCGTGCGATAGCTCTGGCTGTGCAATTAGTTGTGCCAGTCCCGAGTTTGGCACAGGCGTCTGCTACGGTTTGCAACAGAACTTCCTCGACGGAACAACCTGTGGCGGTGGAGGCCGTTGTCAAAATGTAAGCTCTCATCATCCCCTTCCTATCCACTTACACCCCAACTAACACATCAATCACAGGGACAATGCAGAGGCTCCTCAGTCGGCGGCCAAGTCAAATCCTGGATCGACGATCACAAAGGCGTCGTCATCGGCATCTGCGCCGCCATCGGCGGCCTCCTCCTCCTCGCCATCCTCGGCTGCCTCATCCGGTGCTGCAAACGGCGTCGCGGCGGCTCTAAGCGCGTCCCCAGCCCGCCTGTGCCTCCGCCGGGTGGTTGGCAAGGCTGGAATGGCGGCGGCAACACCTCCCGCCAGATGCAGCAGCAGCAACAACCCGGCGGGAATTTCTACGCCCCTTCATCATCGCATCCTAGTCAGGGGTGGTTTGATCAGGGGAGTCAGCGCGGTGGTGGTGGGAACAATACTGCCTGGCCGCCTCCTCCGCCGCCGCCGGTTTATCCTACAAGAGGGAATTCTGTGCGGTACGCATAGTTCGTTCGCGGCATTCGTTCATTTTTCGGCGTTTAGATGAAGAAAGGGGAGGGAAGAGAACCCTCGGTCAGCATTTTGGTTTTTTTGTTTCTGTTGTTGTTTTGATTCTATGGCATCTTGTCACGACGACCCATGATTTGCATTTTGAGAGAAGGGAAAGAGGCACAGAGAGAGCGACGGCCCGATGGGCTTGGATATTCCGAGTGAACGAACACCGTCGGCGAGACAGGACGGTCGCTAGGATACGGCTGGTCTCGAGGAAGGGAGTCGGGACGGGTGAAGAGACACGGGGCATTTGAGAAATAGTTGTACATAGGCTCATGAACTGCAGTGCAGTACAGTGCAGTGCAGATATGGCTGAACAGATAGATGAGGAGACAGTTGTATGCCAGACAGACAGGGGATTGAATAGTTGTATTGTCATGTCATCATTGTCCTTCTCGTTACTTTCAAGGTTGAAGGGTCATCTCCGTTGTTTGCAAGTTGTCCGTGACATCTGAAGGGTGTTTGGAAGCGTAGTCGCTTGTATTCAATTGGAGAGAGACGACAGTAGCGCACACACACAAGCGCAAGACGGGAGACGGTCAATGATAGCTAGCTGATCATGATGAGCACTACTGCTACTATCTGGCCAGAGAAAAGGCGTTACGGAAATGGTATCCCCAAGAAACCCCGCGACCCGAGACATGAAAAGCATGGTATGCACATAAAGATCTCCTTCTTCATTCATCCGTTCGTCCAACGATATCCTCTCTCCATTCGTCGGATATGAACAATCACTCCGCTATTTCTTCGCCTCCTTAACGGTCTCAATAATCCTATCCACCACACTCGGATCACTCAACGTCGACGTATCCCCCAACTGATCCTCCTCCCCGGCCAAAATCTTCCTCAAAATCCGCCTCATAATCTTGCCGGACCGCGTCTTGGGCAAATCGGGGACCGCGAAGACCGCCTTCGGCGCGGCGAACGGACCGATGGATTTGCGCACTTGCAGGATGAGGTCTTTCTTGAGGGCGTCGTTGATCTCGTTGCCATCTTTGATGGACACGAAGGCGTTGACGGCCTGGCCGGTGAGTTCGTCGTTGATGCCGACGACGGCGGCTTCGCCGACGGCGTGGTGTTCGATGAGGGCGGCTTCGATTTCGGCGGTCGAGAGGCGGTGCCCGGAGACGTTGACGACGTCGTCGACGCGCCCGCGGATCCAGTAGTATCCTTCGACGTCGCGGGCGGCGCCGTCGCCCGTGAAGTAGTAGCCCTTGTAGACGTTGAGGTAGGTGTCCATGTATCTCTTGTGCGCGCCGTAGACGGTTCGGGCCATTGAAGGCCAGGGTTGTTTGAAAGCGAGCACGCCTTCGACGTCGTTGCCGTTGATCTCTTCGCCGCTGACGGGGTCGATAATGGCGGGTTCGATGCCGAAGAAGGGAAGGGAGGCAGAGCCCGGTTTGGTGGGTGTGACACCTCCTAGGGGTGTGATAACGTGGGAGCCGGTTTCCGTTTGCCAGTATGTCTAGACATTGATCAGTAAAATGCCAACGACGCATATAGTAATAACTCACATCAACAATATGTGCCTCCTTCTTACCAACAATCTCGTGGTACCACTTCCACACCTCTGCTGCAATTGGCTCACCAACAGATCCCAGCACTCGGAGCTTCTTCATCTGCTGCTTCACGTGCTCATCACCTGCTCGCTTGAGCAATCGCAAGGCAGTTGGTGCAACGTAGAACTGTGTGACGCCGTGCTTCTCGCAAGTGTCCCAGTATCTGCTAAAGTCGGGGTATGCTGGAGTTCCCTCAAACACAACAGTTGCAACACCAAGCACCAGAGGTGAGTATACAACGTAGGTGTGTCCAGTAATCCAGCCCACATCGCCACCACAGAAGAAGACGTCCGAATCGTGAATGTCGAAAACGTACTTGCCTGTCAAGGCCGCGCCGAGCAGGTAGCCTGCGGTAGTGTGCATGACACCCTTGGGCTTGCCAGTCGATCCAGAGGTATAAAGCAGGAAAAGGGGATCCTCGGAGTGCATGCTCTCTGGAGGGTAGTATGCAGGCCACTTCTCGGTCTCCTCGTGCCACCACAAGTCTCGACCCTTGGTCCAAGGAACCTCTGCGCCAGTCCTCTTGTATACGAGACAGTGAGAGACGTCTGGACATTGCTTCAGGGCCTCGTCCACGATCTTTTTGGTGCCAATAAGCTTGCCACCTCGCTTGCCCTCGTCGGTCGTAATGACGACCTTGGACTGGGCATCGATGATTCGGTCTCGCAGAGAGTCGGCGCTGAATCCTGCGAACACCACCGAGTGCACTGCGCCAATACGCGTGCAAGCCAAAAAGGCTACGACAGCTTCAGGGATCATGGGCAGGTAAATGGCAACAGTGTCACCCTTTTTCACGCCCATCTGCTTCAGCACCCACGCCAGCTTGGAGACATCCCGTAACAGCTCGCCATATGAAATGGTGCGGCCCTCGCCCTTCTCATCAGCCTCGTAGATAATAGCTGGCTTGTCCGGGTTCTTCGCCGCATGACGATCCACGCAGTTGTACGAAGCATTGAGCCTGCCCTCCAAGAACCATGCATTGTCGCCGCCTGCGAGAGATCCCGTGTGCACCGTCTGGAAATCCCGCTCCCACGCCAGGTTCTCGCGGGCCATGCGAGCCCAGAATTTGTGCGGCTCGGTGATGGACTCCTTATACAGCTCCTTGTACTGGTCGAGAGATTCGATATGAGGCTTGGACGGGTGCTTGCTGGGGGTTTGGCAGACATGGTGAGCCCTGGTTCGTGTGCGAGGCTTGGTGGTGGTTAAGCTTACCCAAAGAATGCCTCTGGCACATGGTAGGTCTCCGCATGGTGGGATTCTGGGATGCCGCCGGCGGCGGGCTGCACCTCGCCTTCAGACATGCTGCTGTGCTCGGGATACTCTTTCTATGCGTGCTGAGGAGTCCGCTGTCGTTCGTCCCAGGATACTACAAGGAGAAAGAGCAGGAAGATTGGGGAGGAGGAGAAGAGGTCAAGTGGAGAGCAGTAGTATTAAAGTGTGGGCGCTGCGCAGGTACAGCAGGGAGCTCTGAACAGCTCTTAATACTCGGCAGGTCGGGCGGGTCTCTCCAAGGGTATCTTCTTACGCTGGCCCTCGGTCGTCTGGCGGCGCGACAATGGATGAGTGTCAATCCAGACCGGACAGGGCCCACCAGCGCGGCGAGCGTGATTTGATTTGAGAGGTGAGGGAGGGCGGCGCGGAAAAGGTAGGAGAAGGCGATTCAAGCATGCTAGCCGATGTGGTGATGGTGTTTGCGGTCGGTGACGTTGATTCCTACCCCGCGGTCAACAGGAGCGCAAAGTGCTGGGCGACGGCTTGGCTGAACAGCTCCGCTCGTGCGAGCAGCCACGCTTCCTGCAACCAACGCCCTCCTTACACACACCCGCCGCCCCTGGCCCGTCCGCCCAAGCGATGACACGACCGTCTGCTGGTGAAGCGATGCTTGGAAGTCTGTCATCAGCAGGCATCGAGCACGAGACGTAGAATAGCTCTCTGGTTCTTGGCAAGGCTGTTCAAAACCAACACCACCAATGCACTCCAGTCTTGGCTGTCAACTACCCGTCGTCTCGGGCGATCATGGACCAAGGGCCACATCTCAGTCTAGGATCGCGTGCACGAGACCTTTCGTTATACCCCAAACAACCATTCGTCACCTCAAACAGAAAGAGTGAAAAGACCGCACTTTTGTTCTCCTTCGTTGATATTGCCCTTCTGTACACTTCGCTTCCTGTACGCTATCTGCCTTGATGTGAGTAGACTTTTCTACCGCTACTACGCATAACCCGCCGATGCCGCTTCAAAAAAGGCCAGCACCCTATAGCACAAACAGGCCGCAAACGAAGAAAACGCTGTGCCACGCTATGCAAAGCAATCCCACAAACGCTTTTCCCTCCCCCGCCCCTGATTTGTCCCGCCGGTATTAGAACATGGTCAGAATCGTAAGTCGGAGTATTAGTACAGGACGCGAGAACACGAGATGGCCGTCTCAGAGCATGATCGAACTGTCATGGCCCCGATTAAGCCTGAGCTCCACCCCGTCCACCTCGCTGAGGCGCAAAGTTGCCACGGCCTCCTTTCTGTGGTGCATTTCCACCACGTCCGCCCTGGAAGTTGCCGCGCGGAGCTCCCTGACCACCAGCACCACCGCGTCCACCACGACCACCCTGGAATTGGCCTCGTGGGATGTATGGAGTCGAACCTTGCCGGATGCGTCGCTCCTCGACAAAGATCTTCTCGCCGCCAAGCTCGAATGGAACGTTCAGAGCTGCGTTATAGCCGTCAGCCGTCTTGAAGTCGACGAATGCGCAGTTCTGAGAATAGTCAGTAGGTGCCAATTTGGACAAACTGTATAACATGGATATGTACCTTCTGCCGAGCAATGTCGAAGTAGGAGAGCTCACCGAACTTCTCAAGCTCTGCCTTTAGCTCATCGTAGTCGACATTCTCGTGCACGTTCTTAATGTAGCCCCGATGCTGTGGCTGCTCCGGCTGCGGGACGTTGGCTTGACGGGACTGCTGGCGGTTGTGGCTCCCACCGACTGCCGTCCACTCATCCTGCGAGTCAGAAGCTGCCGGTTCCTGACGCTGCGCGGCCGGTCCAGAAGGCGTGGCCGCTGCTGGCGTAGCGGCTGGTGCGGAAGGGGCGGTTGGTGCGGCCTTCGTAGCTGGCTTCGAAGATGAAGCAGCAGTTTGAGGAGCAGCTGGTGTAGCGGGAGTGGCAACTCGGTTGGCTGCAGCAGCGAGGTTGGCCCACGTCTTTGGTGCTGCTGGCCCAGCGGGCTTGGGCGCTGGAGCAGGCTGTGGAGCGGCCTGGTTTGGTGGGGAGGCAATTGGGGTGGGCTCGGGGTCCTTGGGCTTCTCAGGCTGGACCTCAGACTCCGTGGTGCTTGGTCGCTCATTCTCGTTGGACTGGATGGTCTCTGGGGCTGTGGTGGCTGGCGTCTCTTCCACGGCCGGCTCCTCGATCTCTGCATGCTCTCCGTTGACGACAAGTGCCGTCTCCTCCTCCACGTGGTTGACCACCTTCTCCTCCAATCCCTTGCCGACCTGAGCCGCATCATGCTCCACTGCTGCTGGGTCGGCAGATTTGGTGAGAGTCTTGGGCTCAGCCTCCGTCGGCGGTGGCTCTTGGAAACCACTCTCAGTGCCTGACACCTGCTGAGCATCTTCCACCTGCTGGGCAGTCTCAGTCTCCGGCTCATCTTCCTCTTCAACCAGGTACCTGAAGATGTCGTTCAAGACAAAGTAGCCATTGGTCTGGGTGGCGAGCACGAAAGTCTGGGTGAACTTCTTGTGTGGCTGACCCTTGTTCGAGATCTCACCAATGACTTGAATGACGATGTTCGAGTCCGAAGACTGCGAGTCAACGTTGGTGACGCGCACCTTGCAGTCCTGGAAGTCCAGGTCTCTGATCTTGTCATTGATGGCACGCTGACCAACGCACACCGGCACCTTGTCCGTCTCCTGACCCGACACGAACTGCGAGCGCTTGTTGTAGAAGAGGTAGAGCTTCTCAGGGCTCCGCGAGAGGGTGGTGTAGTATTGCTCGACGAAGTACCAGCCGACCTCGTCCTTGCTAATCTCCGATTGGGGCTGTGGTTGTGCGTTCGACGGGGTAGACGAGGTCGGCGGGACCTGCTGAGCAGGGGCCTGGGATGCGGCGGCATTGGCGGCATATCCGTAGCTGTTCTGATCTATGCCGGCATAGCCCTGGTGATGCGCGTAGCCATTCGGCATACCACCGACTTCGGTTGCCATGATGGTGAGTGTCGAGGGTGTTGAACGAGACGGACGAGGTCGAAGGGAGGCTGTCGGGCGGTAACAGCTGCGCGTAGATGCAGCACGTGCGGTATGAGCAGTGTGTGGCGGTGGATGGAGGCAGCTGGGATATGGTGACGATGCTCAAACCTCCGAGCTCGAAGAAAAAGCCTGATGCAGATGAGCGCGTGTGACGGCCGTGACAGACGGGTGGTGGAGACGCGAGACAGCGGAGATGACGAGGACGGAGGTGTTAGGAGAAGGCGCGAGCACTGTGATGGATGAGCAGGCGCGAGGGCGGATCAGAGTGGTGTATGAGAAGAAAGGGCGATGTGAGCCGGAGGTCGATGGTCGTTTGAGGGGACGTACAGCAAAGAAACTTTGCCGAACACGTGCCCTTTTTCCGATTCTCACTCACTCACCCGCACATGTTTTCACATGCTCGACCTCCAATCACATGCTTATTGTTTACACTATCTCAATTTAGCTAATTCAACGAAAAGACCCTGCTTCTGCATTGGGCGTTTGAATGATTCTTTTCTGTCATGCTAACTCGCTTGAACGCTACAAAAGGGCAATGCAAACAGGTATAGCCTCCCACAGCGTGCCATGGCTCCCAATGGCTTTTCTCGCGCCGTTCCTATCATCGTCGTCGTTTGCTTGGAATGCACAATGGAACCACGGCTACCTGTGCTCGTCCCGTACTTGAGCCATCGTGGCATGGGCCTCTGCTGTTTTGGACCATCATAGTCTTTCGCCTTTGCAGCCCTCAATTGGCCACCGCGCGACTCAGACGTGGACGAGCCTGTCTCTTTAATGTGGCTTAGTGCTGCACTGGGGTCCCCTTCGACCTCAGCATGCCATCGCGGGGCATTCTAATCCGTGAATGCTTAACAGCTCAACTCAACCGATTCCGTCCTGTGCAACTGTGACAACTCTTGTGGCTTCTAGATCAAGGGTGCTGTTCAACTTTGTACGGGTAGTCCTGTGTGTTGTCGTGAACACTTCATTACACGTCAGCTCGCGTCACTTCAAACGAACACTATCGACTCACATAAACTCTTCGAAAGAAACCCCACGAGGTCTCTCCACCTTTTGCTTATTCTTGCCCTTCATCACTACTTTGGTGGCTGGCGTAAAGGAGACTGTGGCCCAAGAACGGAGAAGCTTTCTCCAGTAGCATGCCGTCGCTGCTGGTGTCGTATACCTTTCTCGAAATGTTATCTTTGCCGTGTTGGCGATGATCTGCGCTTCTTGAGTGTGGTTGCTGAAGTATTGAATCTTCTCCTCCAGGTCTGCAAAGTCTCGTTCGACCCTGACACAGTTCATGTCCGTGTCGAGTAAGTGATAGTAGTGGGCGATCCATTCGACATCGTGAACAAACAGTAAGGAGTCGCAGTTGAGGAGGTGGGTCATTCGAGCGGACCATGAACGTCCCTCGGTATTGACGACGTATCGGTATTTGCAAAACGCGTCCATGGGCAGAATGTCCTGAGGAACATCCCAATTCATCTCCTGTCATTAAGTCAGCTTTTTCACCGCCTTCACATGCCCAACAAGCTAGAACTCATACCACCACGTCTGCCCATTTCTTGCCATCCGTCACATTGAGCAACGGCTTCCTGATCTCAGGGTTTGTCCACGAGACACCGCGCCATGCGAGTTTTGGAATCTTTCTATTGAGGGGCCCATCATGTTTCCTGGCCCTCTCCTGCATTTGCCGAAACCCTTCGTTTTCCGGAGGGTTCGCCCAGAAATGGAAATCAGGCGTCAGCCAAAGGTCGTCATGTTTTGGATCTGCATATGCTCTTGTAAACGCCCAGAGTGGGCTGGATTTCGCGGGATCAAGTACAGGCTTGTCGTCTACGATGATGGTCATTTCGACGTCGGGGATAGGTTCGTTGGCCGATTCTGCCGCTGTCAAAGCTCTCAGAAGCTGCTGAAGTACCGCTATGATTCTATGCCGAAAATCCTTCCTGAACAATCCTCGTGTGTTGATGATGCGAAGCTGTTGATCGTGAATAAGGACTCGGACACCTCCATCGTTTCCGTCCACCAAGTCTATGCTCTGTGGAGTGATCTTCCTGTCTTTCCAATATTCCACCGCTCGATCGATTTCGTTGTAGAGCTCGGGGAAGGCAATGTCGCATTGTTCCTTGGTGAGTCCATGGTTGTTGCGATCACGTTCCCACTCGTAGCTCCAAGATTCGACTTTGGGTTCGGGTGACGTCTCGACCTCGAGTTCGGTTTCTGGCACTTTGTTGTCTGCAGCAGGTGTCGATTCGGTACTCGACGGCGGAGGGTTCTGAAAGATGCGCTCGGGGAATTCAGTCCACGATCGAATGCTGAACAGCTGTATCAACAGAACACATAGCAGCACGGCGCTCAGCGCCTTCCAAAGCGCCGAGTTGTACATTGTCGTTGGCGGCATTAGAGCATTCTTCCCCATTGCCGGTCAAGCGGGCATTGCGTATTGTTGTTTTAGAAGTGAAGTGCAAGCTGTGTGGCTATCGCAAAAGGCATGTAGCGAGTATTGAGCATGCGACTAGGTGGTGGCCGGACATGAGCTGCGCTGGCTCTCCAGAGAATTGAGCGCTGCAGGTGTAGGAAAACACAAACAGGATAACGTGGTAGGAGTAGGTACCGTCGGGTAACTATGCCACAAGAGCTGGGTGCGACGGGTAGGTGCAGCGGCGTGGTGATAAGAGCAAACGGTATTGCACGCATCCACACTTGCTCGTCCCGGACTTCTTGCAGCAGCGCTGCTCCAGGATGGCGCTCTGACGTGATGGCACCGGCACAGCAAAGGGACGGCCTGGTAGGGAGCTCTCCCACCTGTTTCACAAATTTGCCGCCAACTGGGAAATGATCCTGCGCATCCGCTGCCGTGAGGTGGCATGGAGCTGTGCCTTGCGACACGCAAACACCGGCTGCTCACACATTCTCTGTACGGCCGTCTCCTCGCTCGAGCGCTGGCAACCCCGGTCGTGAATCGCAGACCGCTAGATTGTCCGTTCATGCTTCGCGGAACGATCAACCACATGGAGAGACAATTTTCCGCGGCTCTGGCGTCTGTAGTGTGCAGATCGCTGTCAAAGTACGATGGACATACGCCAACGTTGCACGAACCTCCTGCTCCTTTTCTTCCTTCTGGTCATGTGAAAAAGCTTGTCAATGCTTGTCTGCAACAAGCTATTCATCAGGCGAATCAAAGAATGCGAAGATGAAGCCAAGCTTTACTCCCTCCCGTTTCAGATCCCCCTTACGTAGGAACTCCTGCGACAGTCGCAGGTACTGATCTCCTTTCGTCTCACATAAGCTCTCTCTCTTGCAACTCGAAGTCCAAAGCAAGGCTGGAGTATCTGTATCAGATCCCTCCTTGCCTCAAGCTGACGTGGACGCCTATATTGATATGATGATTGGGCTTTGGACCATCTCTTCCGACCACAGGAGGCACCACATCAACCCCTTTCATCACAGTCATCAACGGATACGCGTAGATGTCGATCCCGTCCGCCTCAGCAGAACAAGTCGTACCCATGATCAGTCACGACCATCATCTACTATAAGGCTCACAACAAGTCTCTAGATACAAGGTACGCGATGTTCTCCCCATTGCGACTCATCAATCGTTGCCAGTTCATGCTTGCGGATATCTCTGTATCTTGCGGCTCTGCGGCAAACTTTCAACATGTTCTCCGCTGCTCCCGATATAGAAGACTCTGCCTCTGGAAGTCGCATCAAAGAGTCGTCTCAGAATCCAATACCATGCCATCCGGCATCTTGGCTCATTGGGCTGCCATACGAGGGTTGTAACAACCCAGAGATAGCGTGGCTCTTTAGTGTGGAATCCGGGTCCTGCCCGGACTGCTACCCCTTTTCTCCGGGAACTGTGCAGACGAGCCAACAAGCTCATATCGGCGAAATTCCGGTTCCTCGACTTCATATCGCATCTTCAGTTCTGCCGTGGCTTGACGATCCCGTCATGCACGATATAATACACCACCGTGCTATCATCGTCCAAGGTGCCAAGGAGCAGTCTCTTGGGCAGATTCTCTCGCCATTTGCCAGTCCCCTCGGCGCTTTCAGACTGCTGTGCGTCGAACAAAAGCGCGCCCTCGGTATGCGACGGACTCTTCTCGATCGCATCGAATGCCTCTCCGAATCTTCTCAATGTCCACCTCTCTCGAAGATGGCTCGGCAGTACCCATTCGCGATGCGGTTCCAGGTCCGGCATGCCTGTCTTCCCTTCATCTTTCTGGATCTGTAGCAGCTCGATCTGCTCGTCGGGGTGGACGTAAAGTCGGTTTGGAGGCACACCGGATAGCATAGGTCGTGGTAGAGGACGAGACTTGTCGGACGACACGACGGTATGGAGGCGAACTCCTGACCATTGATGCTGGTAGCGAAGGTTGTGGGCGATCTGAAGTGCGAGGTTGTGGAAATCTGATGTGTGTGGTGAGTCCGTTGGCAGCGGGTGTGCGTCGAGGCATTTCTGCAGCGCTGAGGCTGGTGGTGGAGCGGCCTTGCTCGAGTCCGGCACTCCCATCCTGGCGACAACAGACTGGATTGATGTGGTGCTACATTGGAATGTTATGATTCGAAGGTAAGTTCCACGAGGAAAGAGCTTGAACTTTTCGGCGCCGGCTGAGCGGCTCTTTCCGCGCCTCTACCTGGACGACATCACATGGAATCTCACATGTCTTCTGCTGCAACATCGAGGACAGCTAGTCTTCAATCGGAAAAAGGTGACTGCTGATTATCAAGACACGATCTAGGAACACAAGAGTGGCATGCTGGTACGCTTCCACTACGCCTTTTTACCACCAGCTGCAGCTGTTCTCCATGACAGCAGTGGGACCCTGGGCGTACCCCGACTTTTGGGGCCGGACTGACGTCGCTGCATTTGAAATCGATATGGTGGTTTCCTTTACTCTTTCTAACTCTACAAAGTCTTGAATCCTTTCATATTCAATTTGCTCTCGATCTCTCGCTTCCACAGCTACGTTCTTACCAATCATGTCTTCCAACATCCACCTTTACACCGACCAAACTCCCAATGGGATCAAGGTCTCACAAACCCTCGAGGAGCTTGGGTCAGTGGTGTGGGAAAATATTAAACCTATCATCGAGACTGACGTACTCTTGCCCCAAGACTCAAGTACGAGGTCACCCACATCGACATCTCCAAGAACACGCAAAAAGAGCAATGGTTTCTTGACATCAACCCGAATGGTAGACTCCTTCTACGTTCAAAAAGGACACTTGCTAACTGCCATTAGGACGAATTCCTGCTCTGACGGACACGTTCACCGATGGGAAACTGATCCGAGTCTTCGAGAGCGGCAGCATAATGCAGTATCTCGTCGAGGGATACGATAAGGATCGTACGTAGTGAACTTCGTTGGCAGGGTCGTAGCCGTTCAAGTCGAAGCACTAACCGTGATCAAGACAAGATCAGCTTTCCACGAGACTCCCGCGAACATGTCGAGGTATCGATTCTCAAAACCAAACGGCTTCCATGGAATACTAATCGTTGCACAGATGACAAGCTGGCTCTTCTACCTAAACGCCGGAGTCGGTCCCATGCAAGGCCAATCCAACCACTTCACCCGCGTAAGAGTCCATCCACATCAAAACCAACATATTGCATCTAACCCCCGTCCCTCAGTACGCCCCCGAGCACATCCCATACGGCGTCAACCGATAGTAAAACAAACCAACCCCCTTTCAGAAACCAAACCTTCGCTAACCCTCCCCACCAGCCAAAACGAAACCAAACGCCTCTACGGCGTCCTGGACAAACACCTCGCCGACACCAAAGCCGACTACCTCGTCGGCAACAAATGTACCATCGCAGACATCGCGCACTGGGGCTGGATCGCCGCCGCGGGCTGGGCGGGCGTCGATATTAGCCAATTCCCTAACTTGAAGGCCTGGGAGGAGCGCATGTGGGCGAGGCCGGGCATCGAAAGGGTACGATTCCTTGTCTCAAAAAGCAAGGGATGAACTTTCGTCGCTGACATGTGGTACTTTTCTATCTAGGGCGCCAACGTTCCCAAGCCTTACAAGATGAAGGAGTTGTTGGCGGACAAGGAGCGGATGGACAAGTACGCTTCGGAAAGCCGAGCTTGGATCCAGAAGGGCATGAAGGAGGACGCTGAGAAGCACAAGTAAATCTTGACACAGCCCGTGAGGGATAAGGACTTTGAGAGGGTCTAATCAATGGTGAAGGCTATGAACAAAAATATGTCAGACATCATATCTACATCAGAAGAATCGTCTCTCTGTACACTGTTTTGTACAACTCGCAAACCTCGGCATGAATGTCTTCCCCCCCTTCCAAGGTCGAGATTTCGTTTCATCTACATCTGATCAAATCCCTCCACGCCCATACCAGAACCCCCAGCCATCTCATCCTGCCCAGTATCCACATCAACAGCCTGACCCGGCGTCAACCCCGTCGGCCCTATGGCAGCCATATCCCCAAACCCCGCAAAATGATTCGGCCAATCGAGATTGCCCCCAAACATACTAGTGTTACTATCCTCCCCAATCGTCGGCGGATCCATATTGAACGGCATGAACCACGCGGTCGAGGGATCGCCCCAGAAGCCGTTGTTGTTCTGGTTGGCAGTGTTGTTGGCAGCGAAGGCGTTCCAGTCGAAGTTGTCCAGATTGGTGGCGCCCATGTTGTCGAGGAGAGCGACGTTGCTCATGTTCATTTGGTTGGCGTTGCCGTACGAGTTGAGGACCATTTGGCGGTCGAGTTGGGGGAGGTACTGTTGCGCGGACATCATGTTGGATGCTTGGAAGCCTGGAGGGAAACCGGAGTTTGGCTGTGAGAAGTTGTCCATGCCAGTTGGGAATGACTGAGTGTTCGCCAAGTCGTGAGTGACCTGCTGCTCCGAGGCTGGTTGCTGTGATGATTGAGCACCGCTTTGCTCTTGAGTTTGTTGTTGCTGGGATGTCGTGGCTTTACTCTCGACCCTTGAATGTCGCTTCTTAGCCGTCTTCCTTGCTGCTTGTTGCTGTTGCATAGCTTGCGTAGCTCGGCTTGGAGGACTGAGTTTGGAGAAGAACTCTTCCACAGTCTGCAGGTCACTCTTCTGGCCTAGCACAGCGTCAGAGCCCGGTTCTTTCTTGATCTCTGCGCTCGGCTCTTCGTAGTCGGTCCCACTGACACCATGGGGATAACGATCAAACCAGTCGCCATACTGGAAGATAGCTTGCTCGCCCTCTTTGCCAGCTCTTCCACCCAGACGAGCAGCGTCGGCGTGCCTTCGATATAAGTCTCTCAGATTCTCCGTCACGAAGTGGAACATGCCCCAATACTTCTTCATTTTCGTCAGGTACTTGACGTTCCACGCCAGATTCTGCTTGCTGGAGGCTTCCAGCTGTGCGTTCTTCGAGAACGCACCATGTATATGGACTGTGCTACTAAAGAAGGCAGCATATCCTGCAAATGGCGCCACTACCAGGTGATCCATCGCTTCATGGCTGAGTGCGGAGATTTGATTGGCAGATTCGACGGCTGTTCGTGATGCCTCGGCGATGAAAGGTTCTGGCATATCCTTTGGATATATTGACCGCGATCCTGGAGTAGGAAGAGCGAACCTGTTCATGAAGAGCAGAGTCTGGTTGTACACAATGTGTAAGAAGAGGAATTGATTGGCGATCTTTTCTGAAGCATGGTTCTGAAGGTTCTCCTGGTTGTAGTGTAAGGCTGGTGGTAGAGATTCCTTCCACGCCTCTGTCGCCCGCTTGATGTCGTAGAAACTTGACTCTTCCGACCACATGGGATGCTCGTCACGCTCTTTCCCGCCTTGGTTGAGGTAGTTGATGAGCTTGCCCCAGATGGCGACCAGACGAATTAGATACGCCGCCACTCCCATATTCTCCTTCGCATCCGATAATTCTCCATTTCCTGGTTCGACCGGATTTGGCACTGATCCCTCGAGGTCTTCGGTAGGTCCATTGATTTCCATTTGGTAAAAGCTCTCCTTGACGGGAAGCTGCGCCCGGATGTATTGTTCGCCAACGAAGATTGGTCTGTCTGTCCCACTGGAGTTGAATCGATCCATCAAAAAGCAAGACCACATCGTCCGCCTTCGAATCTCACGATCCGTGAATGTGATTTCGTTCTTCTCGCTTTGCGACCGGTCCTTTGGATCGTGATCCAAGTCCCTGTGTAGTTGTAACGCATACGCCATGCGCTGTGCCATTCCGCCGAACATCCATGATCTGCCACCTTGGCAGGTACCGAATTCATGAAGTCCAAGAATCAAGTAGACGATCAGGATCGTGATGTTTGGGGTATCGTATCTTCGCAGCGCAATGTCTCGAGCAGCGCTAGCCCAGCTCTCACCGCGCAGGAATGCAGGATCAGTACGGACGGATGGATGGTTCGAAAAACGTGCAGATATGGCGCAGACCGCCAACATCAAAACGGGAGGAACGGTTCCCTGAGAAAGCTTTCGCATGAAGCTGGGCTTATGCAGTAGGTGGTAGCTTTGACCATAGACATAATCGAAGAAGACTTCGGCCAGATGCTCCTGCAGGTCTTTAGGAGGGAGTTTGTCGGCACCCTCAAGGAGGAGATTCTGCTCTTCAGGGTCTTTGGGTTTCGCTGCTTCCTTGTCTTCCGGGGCTGTCGTTTGCTCTTTGCTGGCAGGCCCTTCTTTCTGACCAGATGCCCATTCTTCAAGTTCATCGCCAAAAGCCTGCTCTGCGCCTCGCTTTCTCGCGGAACCACCTGCTTTAGGCGGAGCAGGAGCAAGGGGCGGCTTTACCACAGCTCGCCCTGTGGTACTGAGGATTCCTTGTTCGTCTTTGGGTATGATCTTAATCACACGGTCCTCCATCCTTTTCAGCCGCTTGTCCAGCATCGCCATGTAGTCTGTTCGTGGAGCCGCTTTTCGAGTCGTGACTTTGTACACGCATGGAATTCGTGATCGTAGACAGTGCTTGCAGGCTGGCTTCTCCCCGGAGCATCGGATCTTCTTCCTTCTGCATGCAATACAAGCCAATGGCAACCGCTTTCGCTCTTTGCCAGCCTTGGTCTTCAGTTCACTCCATGCAGGCGCAGTACCCCCATCGACTTGTTCTGATTTGCTGTTGTCCCCAGTGGATTGACTCGGGTCAGCATTTTCGCTTCCGAATTGATTGTCGTTCATTGTGTCGCTGCCAAACTGCGCCTGACCTGTGGGACTCGTGCTGTCTGAGCCGCCAAGGCTATGCTGCCTCACATTATTGGGGAACGGCCCACTGCTTCCAACGCTGAGCCGATGGCGATTTCCAATCGTTGGCGATTGCCTATCTTGCAGGCCTGCGCCGCCTTGTGTCGGAGGCGAAGGGAATACGCCATTGTCTAGCCCACCGAAGTTTGGCATGGACGTAGGCGCCGGTGCATAGTTGACCCTTCCATGTATTCCATTCCCACTCGCGGTATCGAAACCGTAGTCGCTGCCAGACTGACTTCCGCCGTAGGCCGATGGCGGCCCAAAGTTGTAATCCGATTCCATGCTACGTTTTGCCCACTCGTGTGTAAACCATGCGCTCCTACTCTTTCGACCATGAACGCTCCAATCCTGGTCGCATGAATTCCAGAGAAATGTCCTCGCTTGGTGGTTTCATTGGAAAAGACGTCTGTCGTTTCGTTCGTGGGCGGAGGACTGCGATTGAGCAGCGTGCTGCTATAAGATGCAAGGCATAGAGGACGTGGTCGCGTAGAGTAAGCCGGGTATATCAGGGTGTAACGAGGAGGTCCTTTCGAGTAGAAGGCTATCCCAGATGTCAAGCAAGCGGGCCGCTGCGCAGTCTTCTCTATGACCCAGTGAAGCTGGTTAGGTCCGGAGGGGATAGATCAGGACTGTTTGTTCGTTTGCTCGTGAGGGGGAGGGTGTGGACAGTGGATCGGGCTAAGAATACAAGTCAATGGCGCGCGAGCAGGCTCTGTGCTCAGCCTTGGCCGTGTGCTCGTGGACGAGGACGGGGGAGGTCGAGGTGGTGCTGCTGGTGGCCGGCGAGGTGCCCCACAGTTCCCACACACGCAAAGATGGGGAAGCTGTGACCACTGCTCGCCGATGTATTACCCATTTCTCTCTGTTTCCCTGCGCCGCCCGACCGCGACTTCACCCAGCCATCGATGAGCGTTCATCATCAACAGTGCCACCTGAATCCAATAGCCGAGCACCGCTTCCGAACTTCACGAGGCCCAACGATCGACCGCAGACTTTCCCCAAGCTGAAGTCAAGAGATTTAGGGCCGTCGCCAGTGAAAGGGCATTTCGGATTCTTCCGCGCCACCGCGACAAGTGGTACATTCACCGCACGCGTCAAGGTATGTCAAACTTGAGCCATGATGGAAGCATATGTTGAAAAGATTCAATTCAATCTATGGGTATCTTCGACGCAAAATGGTGCGTTCACACAGCCGCTACGAAACAACCACCACACCTAAACCATGTCTCGCCCTTCGACAAACCGCCCCGATGGAGACGGGGTACGATCATATCGCTGGCCGTCCCATACACGTCCGTTTGGTGACGGACTTCGCTCCCTTCGAGAATCGGCCATGAGATACCCGCTCGACTGGTCTGCATAGGACGGCGGCGACCCTGAAGGAGGCTGGTACAAAGCCTGGCCGTTCGAGTACGAGGTGTCGTAATACTGCGAGTTGGCGCCATCATAGGCAGCATCTGGGCGCGAGAGTGAATCCATGCCGTCGAGCGTCTGGTAACGCCCTTGGTCGCGTCGTTGCTGCGCTTGCCCAGTTTGATTCTCGGCCTTGCCTGCCTTCCTGGCTGCTGTCCAGTCCTTAAATCCACCTGTCCGCTTGAGGTGGAGAACGATGGCGAAGAGTCTGCCAATGCCAGCAAACAAGTCGTAGGGGTTGAGGGCATTCAAGATGGCCTTGTGGACAGGTAGGCGAGTGTGGTGAGGTCTGGCTGCAGTGCTATACTCGGTCGCACTATAGGCGTACCAGAACCCGATTGCGAGGATCGCCATCTCGACGCAAGTGATGCAATTCTCCAGGCCATACAGGACATCGTAGTAGGTGAAAGTGTTGCTGGCCTTGATCACGTTGTGGTCGAGAAGGATGTTGAAGATAGTCTGGAGGCAATTTCGTTAGCGAAAGCTCTTCGTACGTAACAAGAACACACTTACACTTTGGACAAAGCGAAGGAAGACGATAAGCTTGAAGCACACAAGCTTTGCGAGACCCCTGCGTACCTTCAGGCGGTTCTTCATGTGTCCATAAAACTTCAGGATGGCCAACACACACGCGCCGACACCGATAGACTGGATGATCGTGTACCAGATATGTCCATATTTGGGGTTGAGCGATTGAACACAATAAACTCCGGCGGCCTGAGTCGCTTCCAGGATCACAAGGGCAAGCAGCTCAGTCAGAGGATACTGGAACACGAAGACCCAGGTTATGCGAGGCCAGTCAAAGTTGAGCTCGTTGCCTTCTTCAGCCGCCTTGACAGCCTCGAATGTATCGTTGTCGAACGTCCCACCTGGAGCGGCGAACTGAATGTACAGGAGGAAGAGCGCACACAGACAGAATGCCTCGTAAAAGTCGCCAAGCGGATCGAGATAGGGTGCGGCGTCGTAGCTCAAGACCTCGAAGAAGGATACGATTGCAAAGACGAACGGAGCGAATACCAAGCGGATGATCTGCCGTTGTTCTTTGGGACATCGGTATCGACGAAGGTGGTTGAAGATGAGTGCCACGGAGATGAGGAAGGTGACTGCGGTGCCAGCGCCAGCTACGTATAGCAATGGCTTATGAGCAGACCCAGTCTCGCCATAGTCGTTTGCGCCTTTGGGCACAGGACCTGAATGAGTGTCGTCAGCATCGATCCGAAGAGAGCAGCCTACGGCTTTGACTGCTTACAGTTGGATTCACCCATTGGCAGTGAGTGATTCGAGTTAGCGGCGTCGACGTGTGATTGATGTTGGAGTATGGGATGAGATGTCGTATAGGAGGAGGATAGCTGCTAATCTCTATATACTACCTCGCTGTCCGCTGGAGATATTCTTGGACTGAGCCATCTGCGTCAACATGCGAGTCCGAGCGGCATCGCCTAGCATATCTGCCAGGCAAGCAGCATTGAGCTGGACAACATGGGGCTGATAGATGCCCGTCGACCATAGAGATCAGCATTGCGCCGAGACATGATTGGAGTGAGTGCCAAACGACGTCTTTCAGCTGCCAGGGAGCCTGCAGCACGGCGAAATCCCATGGAGAAACCGACAGGGCACTGAAGCGCAATGATGGCTGCTTTGAGCAACCCGTCGCGCCCATTGCCGGATCCCGCATCCCTCGACCATGCGAATGTGGGTCTTGGGATTCTCATTCGCCAATGAGACGTCGACATGCGCCGACCGCTCCCTATCAAGGATAGTCGAATTCGCATGGCTGACTTTCTTAGTGGTGAGCTTGTGCTGCTTGTCTTCACGACAAGCCTCGACGCATGGCAGGGCTGTGCACTGCAACCACTCAACGTCGACGACTCTTGTCCAGTGCAGGCAGTAGCGTGTCGCAGGAACGATGACTACACACCGGGGGTTCGACTTTAACCATGCTTTTTGATGTGTGGTGACGACAGCGGTACACTTCGCTGTTCGGCGAGGGCGGTGCTGGTAGGCGAAGGTGAACACGCGTTTTTCGCGAAAACCGTCTTCTCTGGTGTGCCGTGCAGCATACCGCAATAGGGAAGTGGGATAGGAGAGGGTGGTATGTTTCTTCTTTCTCTTGTAACAGTTCCACTTCGTAATTCCTTCGATTTTTGAGACACTTCTCTCAACTCCTCTGGCTTTTAGCCATGTTTCTCACCACTGGTGTTTTGGTCTTGTCGAGGAAGATCAGTGACAAGAGGGCCAAGGACAAGCAGTCTAAACAGCAATTGCTAGATCAAATTCGCAGCATTCGCCCAAGATCAATCAGCAACTTGCCGACTATCCCCAGCGAGGAAGCAGGGCAGCCATTAACCAACACCTCCAGCAACGCCACGGAACCGGGCAGACATTCCAGGGATATCAACGTTGAAACACCAGGTAACTTCACAAGCTCCATCAGACTTCAGACAGAGTACGCTTCGCACCCGCAGAGGCCCTCCAGCGATTATGGAACATCTTCAGAACTGAGTCCCAGAGGAGCACCGCCACCATACTCACTCACCGGAGCCTCCTCATCACGCACACCATCCATCGCAGAATCCAGCCTCCTCCAACCAGACTCAGCCATATCCCACGGCACCTTCTCCGACAGCAACACGCTGGCCAGCAGCGAATACAGCACCTCCACAACCACAACAGCAGAAGACCCTTTCCTCCGCATCCGCACCAAAGGCACTGACCTCAAATCCGGCTTTCCCTACGCCCCGGAACTCTTCGAACTCCGCGTCCGCCCAGAACTCTGGGAGAAATTCACCGCCCAGATCATCGGAGTGACCAAATTCAACAACAAGGACTACGCACAGATGGTCGGCGCCGCAACCGCCACGGCCCTCACAGGCGCCCTCTTAACCAGCGTCTACGTCGGCCGATCGATGAACCATTCCCTGCGGGAGAAGAAAGTCAAAGCCGGGCTGGAGAACATGTCCGACGGCGGGCTGGGCGATCTGCTGAAGCAGTGGAATGAGAACGAGTTTAAGAAGTTGGGGATTTTTGTGCATTTGGAGTTGAGTGCGTCGGCGATGAAGAGGGCGAATCATCGCAGTCCGACGATGGGTAAACACCCTTTGATGTATTCGCGACGGGAGGATCGCCAGAGGAAGACGGAGGAGAGGAAGTTTTGTCTGGTGGTCAGTCGGTTGGATGAGGAGGGTGTTCCCGTGGATGCGATGGAGGAGATTGTGCAGGAGGCGGAAGAGGAGCAGGCGAGTCATGATAAGGTTGTCGAGGCGCCGAATCCTGCGGAGAATGTGATCTATGAGGTGCCGGAATTGCCTGGCGATGAGGGCAGGTTTCCGGTCGAACTGCCTGCTGGTGTGTCGCTGGGCTATGGTTCTGGGAAGTTCGAGCTCAAATGTGTGGAGCTGGACGGGACGCCAGTGACTGCGGTGGACAGGGACTTTGATCCTGATCGTAAAGAAAAGATTTACGACGAGGAGGATGACGATGCGAAGTTGATGCCTCAGCCACTCATGGTCACGGCGGAGACGCACGCTGCACTTCACAAGGAGATGACATGAGAAACCACGAAATGGTATTGGATTTCACCTGCTTCAAACCGCGCCGAAGGCCAGGGAACGCACAATCACGGACCGACGGTATGCCCGCGATACTTCTCCTTGTCGTCGGTCAACTGATCGACATCCACCTCCCTGCCATTCTTCACCATCTCGAGCAACATGCCCTTGGAACAACGACCCGTATACCGACACGGCCGAGCGCGTCCAAAGAGCTTATCATGAGCATTGGATGCAGCCCAAAGCTCCGTAACAAGGAGTAGCACCAGCAGCCCAGTGACGGTACCCACGAGATCCAGAGAGTTGAGGTGCTCCGCCAGAGGCAAACAGATTATGACAATCGCCACGGCCAGCCTGGCCATCAAACGGAACTTCTTCGTCAGTCGAATCCCTTCATGCTGGCGATGTACATGAGAGACTGAGATTAGCGCCATGCACAACAGCGCAATGCCGAAGCCTGCGCAGTAATACCAGCGAATGCCCATGGGAATATCCTCCTCACTTCGCTCTTGGTACTGCTCCGTCAGCCAGTCAAGATGTGAATTCGGCGCATCGTTCGCAACGACGAGTCGAGATAGACCGCCTCCTCCGAGCACGAACATCATGATAAAAGGCAGATGTGCGAAAGACCACGCCAGAGCACTGATTTTGTGTCTTCGAATCGCGTGCGTCAAGAGGTTGGAGGAGTCGATTTCGAAATACATCCAGTTGAAGATGAAGCACTGCACTAGGCCGAGCATCGCTTTTCCGAAGAAGGCGTCTATGCCGTTGGTAGCGCTTTGGTAGAGGATGGCGACGACAGTGTATCCGAACACGAGTGAGACGAAAGCATTCGTCCGCTCAGTGCGATGCTCGATGTTGACAGCCGGGATGAACTCGAACTTCTTGTCGAGCCACACTTTGGCCTTGCCGCCGGTTTTGTTGAGGATCATCTGAATGATGACATACCCCATCTGTCCGAGAAAGTCCACAAAGAGTGCCGGCCAAATGAGCGCGAGTTGGCCGGGCCAGCCTACATGGATCGAACCGATCCAGAGGGCGACTGCGATGAGGGTGATGATGATGTGGAAGATCATGACCGGGCGGACCATAGGCAGGAGGTAGCCACAGAGTAGGAGGTATGCGGCCATGTATAACCTCGCAGCTAAGTAGAAGCCTATCAATGTTGGGTAGGTGTGTTCCCAGGCTTCGACGATGTTGGTCGTGTAGCCGAAGAGGCAGGCCAGGAGGAAGAGGATCGAGACTCGTTGGAAGACGTCGTCTGTTTCGAACCAGCTGATGAACTAGAACGCAACGTTAGCTATCTATACACCAGCCGATTTTGGTGACGACCACTTACCAACTGCATATCATTCCAGATCTTATACGACAACGTAAACGTGATAATAAAATGCAACAGCGACAACCCCGTCGGATGCTCCGACGTATTGTCGCCCTGAATCTGCAAGATGCCCACATACAGCAGATCAACAAACAACTCGAAACTCTGCACTTCCTCTGAGCCGGACGCTCTCCAAAGGATACCGCCATGAAAATACTGTCTCAGGGTCGGTACTTTGAAGAGCTTCAAGGGAGTGGCGAAGCCTCGTTCGTAGGCGTTTGAGGACTTGTCGGAGAGTGACGAGGAGTGCGGCGTAGACACCCCAGAAGCGCTGGGGCTGTCGTCGTCGTAGCTTCGGACGTGGGCATTGTATCCAAAGCGGTTGAAGTGGGCGTCCAGAGACACTCCATGCTGTGGCAAAAGCGTAAGTCGAGGATCCTCATCGGTAGTAGCAAAGCCTAAGACTGCATCTCGAAACTCACCGTGGTAACGCGATCCAACTCCATAGCCAACGCATCCAACTCATTATGAACCTTGGCAAACCTCTCAAACATCTCCGGATGCTCCGACCGTAACTGATCCCTCCGATCCTCATGGTGGTTCTGCGCATCCCTCAGCGCCTCCAGGTGCTCTGGCGTGCCGGAGATGTACACGTCGAATTCCTCATGGCTGTGGATCTGCTCCAGGCGCGTGCGGAGGGAGATGGCTTCTTCAGGAGACGCCGCGACGTGGATCTTCTTGCCGCTGGGGTGGAGGAAATGTCGAAGGCGTTCGCGAAGGTGAGCACCGTGGTGATGGTGGTGCTGGGATTGTTCTTCTGGGATGCTCGATTGGAGGCCGATTTGTTGTTTTTCAACGTCGCCAGTGGCTGGGGAGCTCGTCATATTGGCGGCTTGTATCCCGTCGAAGAACGACGGACGCGCTCAAGCTGGAAGGAGCTGGATGGAGGAGGTGACGTGAAGCGACATCTTTAATCAACGACGCCCAGGAAACGCCTAGACTTCGCATTGGGCGTCGTCCAATCCGAGATGCCAAGTGCAGCCACGGCTGAACAATTGCTGACTGTTGAACCGGCCGTTGTATGCAGGTCGCTGATGGCAGCCGATAGGCTAGGGGCAATTTGAGTTGAACCCTATCCGTGTCTTAGAGGAGATGGACCATCGTTCAGAGACGACGCATGAGGTCGTGGACATAGAAGTAATTTAGTAGAACGAGCGCAAGACGTGGAACAGAGTCAGGAGACGAGTAGAGCAGGAAGCCAACGTGCAGACAAAGCGAAGACCCAAGCGAAAGCTGCCCTGCCCAGCCGTCGGTTGTTCCACGTGCTAAGGTGGTTCTTGATCAATGCAAGCATGCCAAACTCGGGTCTCGCACTTGGCAGGGTAATGTTATTAGTGCCGGGGAATTGAAGAGATTGTTCTCGGTCGCCGTGATTGAACCTTTTCAAAACTAAGTAGGAGACTGACAATCGAGAGCAGCATCACGCCGTAGCCCTGGATATCTTAAACACATGAAAAACGTGACTGTTTGTCCTCAAGAACTGAGTCGGGATCCTTCCCTTCGAGTGCTGTTTCACCTCCATCCAAAGAAACTTCTCAAATCAATGGTATCCAACCAAGTCTTGGGCGAAGGCGCAGGAACAGCAGTCGCCTGGACCATGCTTGTCTGGCCAACACCAAAGAAGTCCTGAACCTCTGCCCAGTTGCGCATGATCCAGTATGCCACGGCTCCAATCAAGCCGCAACTCCCAACAATCTGGAGCATGAAGTATCCTCTTCGCCTGAATGCCTGTCCAAACGCAAGAACACCGAGCGGATCTCGAGGATCAATTACTCCAAGATCACCACCCAAACGGCCTCGCCCCGGGCGACAGTCATTGGTGGTCGTGGTCAAGGCCTGATCATCCTTCTCACTGCTTCCAGAGCTCCGAACAGTCGTACGGTTGTTGAACATTTGCACGTATCTACCACGCTCATTGGCGAGGCTACGTTGCAAATCCTGAGCCCACTTCGCCAGTCGGACCTGGCGGAAAGGCTCAGATGGTTGTTCATTGTATCGCGGCAACGTAGCAATTTCAGCAGCGTTTGCTGACAGCCGCGAGTTGTCAGAATACGCAGGCGAATCTGCACGGTAGTAGCTTGATGTCGAATGCGGTACAAGGACCTTGCTCGGCTCTACACTACCGAGGCTGAGATCGCCAGGGCTGCTCGCACGTAGAGAAAGTGAGCGACCGACGTGGTAGCCCAAGTTTCCCTGTCTCCAGAGCACGAACTTGATGGCTGATAGATGGCGCATTTTCGATATATTGTCCGGGGTGAGGAAGAGTTCCAAGAAGCTGCCCAGCTCACTAGGTAGTAGTGGCTGCATATATTGTGAAGACATCAGTATGCTGGCGTCGATAACTTCGGTGTCATCACCCAGAGCTGATGACACTGCAAATGGCTCAAGCCGCGATGTATTTGCCTCGTTTGACTCTGCTAGAGCGTACGACTCGACACTCATGGAGCCGAGTAGCTCGTGGATCTGATTCTTCCTCATCTCGAGGGCTTCTGCTGTCACGGTATCCGCACGACCAATGACTGGAATGAAGTTGTTCCACTTGCATAGGTGTCGTACAAGTTCTTGGTGTTTCTCGGTCAGCCCACATTGGACTGGATCAGAGCCGTCCTTGGGGTTTGGATCGAATAGGTATATGATTGCGTCGATTTGTGCGCCGCCGTCGCTGTCCATAAGTTAGCCACATCATCATTTTCGCCCACCAATGAACGATCCACACTCACCCACTGAGCAGATTGACCAGCTCACTATCCCCCATACTATCCAAGCGTGCAGTCCTCTGCATATCAGACTTCACGTATTCTAATAGTCTTTGGATATCACGATCGTCGTCCAGTCCACGAGTATCAATGAAAGTGAGGTTGCGGTCCAGCGCACCTTCGCCGATGCTCTTTCTACGGTGGAGCATTCGGCGGCTTTCGAAATCCGTCCACCACGATGGCAAGGGCCTCGTCGACGCATGAAGCTCACTGAACACAGGTCGGCAGTTATCGTCGTCGCCGTTGTATGAGGGATGGGTCGATGGTCCAACTACTGCAGGGTCGACGTGGACAATATGCTCGGATGAGCGAAGGACACTGTTAATGAAGCTTGACTTTCCAACGCCCTTAGGACCAATCACCATGATCTTGGCTCTCCCTAATTGCCGGCCCAGCTCGGTGAATGGCTTTCGTCCTGGCATCGCTAGACTAGGCATGACGAGCTGAGGTGTACGTTCAACTTGACGTAGATCATCTTCCTCGCCTCCTGAAGAGAAAACAACCTGGCTGCTGGCGTCGTCCACTACGCTACTCTCTTCATCGCTAAGCCTAAACGACTTTGGAGAGCCGGATCGAGGCTCGCTGGGTGTGGCAGACTGTTGATGCGGACTGAGCTTGATGGGAGTGAGTGGATGGCTCATGTTGATGGAGGATGTTCCAGAGCCTCTCCGTAGGTGAGGGTTGCGTAGTGGAGAAGCAAATAACTCCGGCGAAGCACCTGATGCTGCCTGTGTGTGAGGCCGTTCTGAAGATATTATGCGTTGACCTGCTGCCATGATTGTAGGATGCACACGGTTTGCGGGTCGCCGCCGTCCAATAGTCAGATTACCATCGGCGTCTGCTTCTGACGATCGCTCGGTGCTGGTGCTTGCAGTTCTTGATAGGCTACCGGTGGAAGAGAATGTCGAGTTTATTGTTTCTTCCTGTTGATTGTTAGTCAACGCTTCCCTTCATTCACGCCTGCATCGTAACGCTGAGACGCCCGAATCACGGTTTCCACTAGCATGACATACCAGGCTTTGGACGCCAAACGAAGTATCCTCTACGCTCGCCATTGGCGTTGTCTGATCATCCTCCTCTGGTACAGCTGAAGCCCGTGAAGGCTTTCGTCCTCTTTGCATGCTTCGCTCCATCTCTTTCTCGGTCTTGAGGAAGAAGGTCGTTGGGCCGGAATGGCCAGGATTGGTAATGCTCGGCTGCCTGCCTTTCCTCGTCTTCGCACGGGTTTCAGGACTTTGACTGGTATTCATCGTAACGTGGGGCCACTCGCTGAATGCTGTTGTCTACGGCTTCGAGATTCGAGCAGGTGTTGTTGCGACGGTATGATATGGCGGTTCTGCCGTTGCTTCGGACGACGGAAGGGCCGCGCTCGCCAGAGGTCTACAATAACGGTCGCTGGTCACGACGCATGGGCAATAATGTCGGTTGCCGCCAGTCCGTGTGCTATACGTGCTTCATCAGAGTCGCCTTCCGTTACCGCTCAGCGAGGTGTGGTCTGGTCTTCAGTGAGGAACGGTGAGCCGGACGTGATCAACGTGATAGCGGGGGATCGTGCAGTGACGCTGGTCAGGCGGCTCTGGCAGCAGAGCACGAGATGCGTCAGTTGATGGCGGCTGGACGTGTGCGACGAGGAGCACGGCAGCAACAAAGAAGTTGCACCGCGCCTACGGAGATGAAAGACAGAGTGTCGCGTCAAGAGGTGTTGTCCATCACATAGACGACGATGACACGCCGACCTCACTGCTCTCACCTATCTCCGCGTCTCCACTCAATCACACGCTAGCGCCATTCCAAGCTCCGTCCGGCCAACCTCTTGACGGGAATGCTGTGAAGCAATGCTCAACCGACACAAGACCACCGCGATTCTCGAATGTCTACAGTATGGGCTATATGAGATGATCTAACACAAATGTGAGGCACGTTGCAACCTCAAGCCAGTAATCCTCCAAAACCACTCATTTCTCCTCAGACAACACATGTCGGTTTCCCCCTATGATAACTCCTTCCTAGACTTAACACAACAGGTCGCACCAAGTCGTTTTGCTCGACTGCATCCCCTCAATGCACTTATACCCAGCATTACGCTTCAATAATCAGGACAATTAAACCCATTGACCTCCGGAAAAGCACGCCCCATCGCCTCATTGATCTTACCGGCCTTGTTCATCAGGTAGTTGAACTTCACCTCGGTGAACCCCTCCTCGATCTGGTCGCACATATAGGAGGAGAAGACTTGTTCGGCGCCGTTGGAGTACAGCTTGTTGCTGACGGCGTCGCAGGAGTCTTCGTTGTATGGAATGCCGATGTTGATTTTGTAGTGGACGATGGGGCCGCAGCTTTTGGCGGTGCAGCTTTGGGCGTTTGGGGCGATGCTGCGGGTTTGAGGGTTGGTGGACGTGGGGAGGGCGGTTGAGGCGCTGATTAGGGCGATGATTGTGGCTTTGAGGAGGGCGAGCATGGTGTCTGGTGGGTTGTTAGGGGATGGATGAGGTCGGGAGATGGAGACTTACCTTGTTGTAGTGTGGTTGTATGTTTCTTGTTATGGTTTGGCTGTGACTCGGTGTTGCAGTGTATCTGTTGTAGAGTGGTTGTATCTGTGTGGTGTATAGATCGATTCAGATCTTCAAGGCTTGCCCGATGCTCTTGTCCAATGTTGGTGAGATTTGGTCAATGGTGGTGCCTCGAAGACTTATTTTCGCTCATTAGTATGCTCCCAGGTCTGCACATGATTCTCAAGAGTGACCAGTCATGTCCAGCACTGCTTGACACGCAGCAGTCATGTTACGTCGGCCACTGTACGAGTCCATGCTCTGTCGCAGAATGGCCACTCTTGACGAGAAACAACGCACCATCACGCTGGCGGAGACACACACAGAGCCCAATGAAATCTAAGAGAGGTCTTCATGTAATAACAACAATGGCATCTACGCCTTGTCAGGAGCTCATATGTTTGGGGGAGAACTTGAGGTCGTAAAAATGGAAGAGCCTCTTTACCGTTTCGCACAATGGTCGAACTACATTACCATCGTCCTCACCCGAGGTGTCCCTCAGCCTGGAGTTGTTTCGAGGTCAGGGTGAGTTGGGCAAAGGTAAAGCCAATGTCCAACAGTCCCGGTCCTCGTCTTCGTAAGGCGTTTCCGTATCTGTAGAAGCCTTCCTCGAGCGATGCGTGTGCCACGGGGAGTAGAATTGAACAAGAAGAATGGGTGTCACAGCCTGTGGTGTCCAGCAAGGCAAGGCTGTACCTGCAGGCGGCTCAAAACCGTCAAGACACCGAAGCTGAAGTCGAGCTGACAGGAGAGACCGAGGAATTCCGGGTACACAGCACGATTGCCGCAGAAACGGACAAGGATCCTCAAGAGTGCATGATCAGGATCCGTCCTTCGCTGTGCCCCGACCTTGCTTTACATTTCCACGTTGGTCGTCGTATGATCCTGCTGCTTGTCGTTGGTGTTGGGGGGCATAAGCCTCGACATCACGGAGGGAGTGATAAGGAAGCTTGAAATCACCAAGTAGTGGGTAGCTGTGTCCAAGACATGCAGTCGGAGAGGAGAGACCATTCGGACAAAAGTCTGGATCAATGGCTGACGACAGAGGCGTCGTCGAAGCAAAAGGGCCATGCAGCCTTTCCTCGTGGTGGTCCTCCAACATCCACGGCGACACGTGGGCGGTACTGTAAAGGCGGAGTTTATAGCACGAGATGTGATTTGCTGGGGCGACATTTCACTTTGGAACCGGCTGCGCTCAGGATCTTGATCCTTGTAAGACACGAGGTCGCACTTGGGAGATGCCCATGTCTGACTGTGATACCCAGATGCTGGTCAAAGGGAGATGCTGGAGGCGGCGTGGCTGCAAACGAAAGGAGGGCCACCCAACCTCAGCATCTCGTCTTTGACAGAATAGTAGATCGATGCCTCGCAGTAAAAGGCGGCAAACATTGACACATCTCCGACCGCCTGACACAGATCGACAACGCAAAGCGCAGGCTCCTGCTGATCGTCACCAAGGCCCTCCCTCGCCATCTTGCCGTCGAAGTCAAAAGCAGCGACAGACTTCCGTCACCTGCCTGACTGACTGCGAGACTTGACTGACCTCTCTGCTCCCGGGCGCTTTTCATCATCACCACCACCACCACCACCACCACCCTCACTGACGCGGTCTGCCGCCATTCTCCGAGCCAACGACTGTGTGTGCTACCGCGATCTGCATTCGAGCCCCGTTTCAGACGACTGTCTCACTTGCCTCGACGGAGGGATAACAACACCCAAAGGCCCCGCCACCGCCCTCTCCCTCCGCCTCCTCACAATCCATCTCTGCTGCGGATCACAGAAACGCCGGAAAATTGAAAGTCGAGGTATGCACGCAGTCGTCGCCGCCCACGTGGTAGAAACGTGAGCCGAAACTAACGTGGCGCCATTGGACGTGCAGGAACAACACGCGAACTCCTCTCAAGCCACGAGGGCAGTAATCAACACGCAAACACGCACCATGGTTCGTCCCAACCGCGCAATGCTTCCTACGACATCTACTTACATGCCTATGCAGACTCGCAACGACGCTCGCTTCAGCACCTACTCCGGCGCACCCTCGCTGCAGCCATCCATCGCGCCCACCCTCGACACCACATCCAACCGATCCTCCACCCAGCAGTATGGCTCGCGCTTCAGCGAGCAGACTTTCTTGACGCCGCAGACCATTCCAGAGCGGGGAGTCCGCACCGTCTATGGGAATGCAGACCCCGCCGCCGCCTCGAGCTCACTCACCCTCTCATCGAGCGACCCTAAGACGGCCGAGATCAAGACCTTCGCCAACGTCCTCGACCGCATGAGCGATTCGCGCGCAGACAAGCAGAGATTCGTCATGAGCAACAACAAGACGGAGGAGGTCAGCAAGATCGCCCTCGGCGCCAAGGTGGAGAGAGCGCTATCGAGGAGGATGGTCGGGCAGGATGCCACGTTTCGCCCTAAGAAGCCCGTTGCCATTGACGAGAAGCGGGCGCTGGAAGTCGAGGCGAATTAGGACGAATTCGACAGTAGCGTTGCCAGAGCGCGGACATATCATCATGACTTGAAGGTGGACTGTCCAGATTTCAGGGCAGATGCCGTGAAGAGGGCGAGCACTGGTTGACGAACACGTCGACATCAAAAACTTTTGGAATGTACGGTTCTTTGCTCTGGTCTCCTAGCGAATAGGGAGGATGGGAATGGCGTTTGGGGCGGTTGCGAGGAGTTGCTTCTCCTGTTTTCTTATGGGGCATGTGGCTTGGCCTGCTTTACGATACGACTGCATCTGCAATATCCTGCGTTCGACTTCATGCTTAGATTCAAAAGCAGACTGCTACAACGGAGGAACAGAACGGAGTTATGAAAAGTCGTCTGTGCTCTGATAGTACCGCTCTCGGGTTCTCATTATCATGGGCGTCGAGTATACGCTTGCAAACGAAGGTCTGTCCTGATTTCAACCTTTCTTCATTTCTTCTCGTGTTCGTCTCGCCTGTTGAACCTGGACGGTCGACGCGAGGCTGCCGTGAGAAACGACTGCGTAACCAAGGCTTAGGAGCGACTCCACAGTGGGACCTCGGTTCGATGACCATGCAAAGGTGTAATCACGATTCAATCAACAAACGCTGAACATACTCTCGACTAAGTTTCAACAGCGATAATCCACAGAATCGGAATATCATCACAATGGGTACCAACGACATCGCCCTCCTCTGCACAATCTACCCAGCCTCCCAAGAAAAGCAACAACGAGCAAGTCCATCCCCCCCCCCCATCACCATCCACCCATCAACTAACAACCCCCTCCCCCAAAAAGATCCTCTCCCTCCTCCAAAAGTCCGCCCGCGAATACTACAGCCAGGCATCTTCGAAATGCACCACCTGGAGCTACTTCCTGCCCTTCCCCCCGCCCAAGAAACCCGATACGCCCCTCCTCATCGGCGGCCTCGAAATCTACACGGACAAGAACGCTCTGCAGAAGCAGATCGATGATCCTGTGTATTTCCAGTCGTTTCAGGAGATTGTTAAGAAGGAAGGGCTGTGTGTCAAGGAGGATGAGCTGGTGGCGTGGTATTTGACCGAGGGGTTCGTGGCGAGGGGGGAGCATGCGAGGCCTTTTGGGGGGAATCTGATCAGTCTGTCGAGGTTTGTTGGGGATCGGGAGGGGATTTTGAAGGCTTTGAGGTGAGATTTTGTAATGAGGATGGGGATGGGGATTGTGCTGACGATCGTCGTAGGTCTTTCGTTCCGTTCGTGAAGGAGAAGGAGCCTTTTGTCTTGACGTATGCTGTCTTCACACGACCCAAGGCGCCGAAGGAACTACTCCTCTACGTGAGGTACACGGATTCGAAGGGCATGCAGAGTCACAGCAAGGCTCCTGAGCATGTGGAAGTGGTGAAGGAGATTATGAAGCACACGGAGGGACACATGTCCAAATCGACGACGATCTGGAAGGAGGTTGATGATAGCTTCGTTTCGACCGTCGAAGGCGGTCCTACGGACTCATCGAAACTTTGAACACTTCTGTTCATGTACATAATTATTGAAGGACAGCGTTGTTCCTCCTACACAAGCCCATTATCTTCAGTTGATTTCTCAACCAGAGTAGGCAACATCTCCAGCGATAATGACAGGCTGCTTATCGGAAAAGTTCTCAATATCTCCCAAGACCTCCTTGGCCTCTGGGCTGCTGGCAGCTGTCTGGAACTCGCCTGTACACCGCACCGGATTAGTACGATCTGTAGATTCTTCATGGCGTTCCTTCTTCATAATCGCTACAGTACTCACCAATGTTGTCGAACTCCAAGATTGCCTCCACGGTGTAAGGCGCGTCGTCGGGGAGGTAGAGCACCTTCCACGACTTCAGACCATATTGCTTCCACTTTGCTTCGACCAATGGCATGTGTGTAGACTTGTAGTAGTCTTTGTTGAACTTGGCCCCCTGTGGGTAGACGACGGTGACGTAGCTGGGCATTGTGGTGGTCGTTATAAAGGCTTGTGGTATTGGTTTCTGTGCTGTGAGGAAGATCAGTAGGGAAGCTCTAATCAGAGATCAGTGTTCTCTACTCACCTAAATGTATCAGAGGGTCGGTCTTATGGTTTCACTGACGAGCGAGTGCGAGTCAATATATATTTCTCATCAAGAGCAGTGACAACAACAGCAGAGCTTCCAGCCAACAGCCCCGCCTCTGTCACAGGCGATCCCAGAACGAGAACCCCACCATCCATATACCCGAAGACAGGCCAGGCATAGTTGTCAGTGAACTTAGTTAGCCCCGTCCAGGGCGGTGAGGACTGCGTATTTCGCACTCCTGAAGGCAAGCAGAAGAGGGCGGACAGACCTCAACACTACTGGCATCGTTTGTGACTTACACGGGTTTATCAACAGCCTGTGAGTCTTCTTGTCCTCCTATCATCCGTGTACTTCTCGTCAAAAGTCCGAAAGCGCTTGCACCTTGAATTTGATGGTTTGGAATCGACAGAAAGAGATATTGCCATTCGTCCATAGCCTTACATATGCTCCCCTGCTCTGTCCAAATGATAGGGTCGGCGGGATTACGACTTCACGGCGCTGGAGCGTGGTGTCTCCTGGGAGCGACTGCCAGATTGTTTCATCGTACATACATCGATTCGTTCCGATGTGCCTTGTCAAGGGTGTATACATGTTTGCCGTGTACATGTTTGCCGTTACCGAAAACAACAAGACCCCTTGTCACAAGCTCGCGCTCGGACCCTAAACGTCATTTCCCCAACCTAACTTTTCCTGTTGCATCGCGGATCCTTTCCGCGTGAACTCTTTCTGAGCACACGACAGCAGCCATGGCCGAGAACGACAGACCAGCATCGCCTCCCCCAGAGGAGCGCGAACGCCTAGACAAGGAAGCAAAGCAGAAGGAGCAAGAAGAGCAGAGCAAGCTGCCATACAAATGGACTCAGACGATCGGTGATGTCGACCTGAGCGCAACCATCCCCGCCAACATCAAAGGCAAAGATCTGGATGTCAAGATCGCCAAGACGAGCCTCAAGGCTGGCATCAAAGGCCAAGAGCCCATTATAGATGTACGTCCATCAAATCCCCAATCCTCACCACCACCACCATCACCAGAAGAAACTGACATCCAGTCTAGGGGCCCCTCCCCCACCCGATCCACGTCGACGAATCCACCTGGACACTCGAAACCACCTCCAGCGGCAAAGAACTCAGCATCCACCTCGACAAGACCAACAAAATGGAATGGTGGGCGCACGTCGTAACCACCGCCCCAAAAATCGACACCTCCAAAATCACGCCGGAGAACAGCAAGTTGAGCGACCTGGACGGCGAGACGAGGAGTATGGTGGAGAAGATGATGTACGATCAGCGGCAGAAGGAGGCCGGGCAGCCGACGAGCGAGGAGCAGAAGAAGATGGAGCTGTTGAGGAAGTTTCAGGATCAGCATCCGGAGATGGATTTTTCGAATGCGAAGATTAGTTGAGTGGGGAGGTTTGGGTGAGGGTGGGAGGATGGTATACCGAAAGAGGGTCGATGAGTGCCTGAGAGAGATGTCGTGGAGGTCCTCGCAGCTTGTAAGCTGTAGGCCAGGCTCATGCGTTTGCTGCAGTGAGGCTGGATCGTTAGGAGGCGGCGAAACGAATGTGATACCTACAACATAAGTTGACAAAACCGAGCTCTGAATGCTCTCTGTTCTGCTTGTGTATGACCCCTTGGTGTCCCCTTTCCATCACTATCCTCGGCGTTCAAATTCAGCTCAAATTCGAACATTCATACCCACTACTCCTAAGCCATCTAAGCAGCTTAGAGTGCAGTCATCAGTGCAGTCATCAGTGCAGTCGCTAGTAAAAGGTTGGAGAAATGGAAGTCCCACAGGTTTCCACTTTGACCGGAACTAGGAGGGTACCGTGAGCCGAGTACGTATAGATACAGTCGATACAATATATACACCCCCAGATCCAGCCATCCACAAATCAAAACCGACTCCCCTGCATCGAATACGGCCACTCACCCCCCATATTCATCGCCTGCACATCCCCCATCGTAACATTCGGACCGCTAAACGCAGAATCCGAGTTCTGCAACCCGGAGATATCCTCCATGATCCGCTCCCAGTCCATCCAGCTCATATCGCCCATCTGCAGCGGTGACGTGCCGGTGTATCCCTCCGACCACGGGAAATCCATCGATGCGTTCAGGACGCCTGAGAGGGGCATGGCGCCGACGGGGAGTTGGGCTTGGGTTGAGCTGACGGGGTAGGTCGGTGCTGTGCTTGTAGATGAGGGCATGTTGATGGATAGGTTCTCCATGTTCTCTTGTGGGATGGTGAGGGCGCTTATGCTCATGCTATGCCGCGGGGAGGTCGTTGTCGTTGTCGTTGCCGTCGTCGCTGTCGCCCCGTCTCGGAAAGCTGAGGCTTTCTTGTACAGCTTCTCGATGGGTTTCCAGAGCATGCCGCTGCGACTGTCTGCCACATGGCGGGCGTGGCGCTCGTAGGCTTTGTCGACATATTGCCACGCCGTGCTTGCTAGCTCATTGTCTCGGATGGAGCAGAGGCCTGCGAGAGCTACAGCAAGGGCATGCCATTGCACCCAGAAGATCCATCGCCATCCTTCCGTCTCGGGATCTACATGCGTCGATTCACTCTCTTTCAAACTGTTCACGGCCAGCTGCAGGACAAAAGGCGAATCGACGCGCGGAGGGACACTGGAGACGTGCTTCTGCATTGGCCGTACAGCTCGTAGTACGCTCGACGCCGCCATGGAGTTGCCGACCGTGTAGAGGAACCTATGGAACGGGATCGAGAGGTCGCAGTATTGCAAGTACTTCTCTCGTAGCTGTTTGCCGAGACTCAGCGACGAGTCTAGTCGTTGTTGCCACGTTTGTCCTTTGGATCCGCTTTCTTCTGGCGTTAATAGTTTCATAGTCAAAGTCGTCGCCCAGTGTGCCATCAGGTTGAAGGTCATATCGCTCAGACCTTCTTCTCGATTCGTTATTATTTCGGTCGACTCGTTGAACTCGGAGTCATTCACGTTACTCGGTAAAGGCGTGTCGGATGTCGACATCTGTACCAGGAGCTCTGTTCCACGATCAACTGCGGAGAAGGCGTCGAGCACACGGATCTGGTGCCATAGTCTTCGCTTGATCTCTTTCATGTATGGAGAATCGGTCCCAATCTCGCGATGAAGTCCCATTCCGTGTGCAATGCGTACCACCAGTCCTGTCATGGTCCATGCTCTCCTGCTGCGATCCGTTATCCTGGCGGATGCTGTGTAGAGCACGAATGCCTGCAGCGTTGCGAGGTCACTTGTGTTTATCAAGTCGGCCTAGAATCCGATTAGATTGTGGTTTCATCGAGCTTTGGTGGATTGACATTGGTAGACACTCACCTGTGCCATTGCCACATCGACGTGCCTCCTGTACAAGTGCAGCAGCTCGTTACGTGACTGGCGGAAACGAGCAAAGCATTCGGCGTCACTGATCGTTGTCACTGCCGCAAACCACATCGTAGCCCTTAGAGCCCTGTTCGGAGGAGCATCTGGCGCCTGGCCGAAATAGCTATCCCCCTGGAGGAGACGTTCGACTGTGGGTCTGTGTAGTACTTTGAAGACAGGGTCCACGTTCTTCAAGAATATTTCGTCGAGTTGCTTCAGTACTGCAGGCGGCGGGTCTAGTAAAGCGCCAGGCATAACGCTTATCGAGGCCGGCGGACAGATTAACAGATCGTGTTCTATTGATCCTTCATGTGTACTTGTCGAAGCAGGGACTGGATGGACTATAGCCGGCTCCGCATCTGATGGATCTTCTTCCAGTGCGTCTCGCAACGCTTGAACTTCGTTAACGAGCGTCGCCCAGAACGGGCTCCCCATGTACTTTCCAACACTCGGCGACGGTGTATCATGCTGCTCCCTTGGTGTTTCCGGTTTGTCCGGGGAAACAGCTTGAGGAACATCTTCTTCTTCTTGCAGCCCGACTTCGCCACTGAGACTCTCGACAAGGCTCTATGCTATGTCAGATGGCGAATCTGTCAAGATGGTCTCCAAGACAAACCTCAAGTTTCGTTATGCGGCTGCGCAGCTCCGAGTCGACAGCACGTTTTCCAACGCGTTTGACTCGAGGCTTGCGAGTGCTCTGGGCACACTGGAGGTTGGACCGCTGACATTGCCCACATGGGAAGGTTCTATCGCATTTGATCTTTGCTTACGTTAGGCTCGTCGGGTCGACTCTAGACTCTGCTGGGGTAATTTACCTTTTTACGTTGACATGCCTGACAAGCGAGGCGGATATGTTGTACGCCAGTGGCGTCGGTCGAAGCCGGAGGTGGAGGAGGATCCATCTCGTGTACGCAGGGAGGCGATGCGGTGGACGCTCTTCACGAATTCACGCAAATCATGTCGATGATATCAAGACAGGGACGGTAGGCGTAGCGTAGCCGATGCCGGGAGTAGCACTGAAGGGAAGCTGAATGCTCCGTGCCGAAACGATGTTTACGTGAAGGAGACCGGGATGACTGGCGGTTTACCCTGCAGTCCTCAGCCTCGCTATGGTGTTGCGCTCCGCGGATGAGAGTAATGTTATCGGCCGAATGCCGAGTTCTAGGGTGGTGTGACTGATGTCCGGGATGGAGCATGTCAGCACTCGCTCAAGATAGCCTTTTTAAGCCTTTTAGGCCTCTATGACGGCGTTTTCATGAGCCATCCGAGCCGAGTGCGAGGTGACAGAGATCTACGGCATACTGTCCTGCAATCAGCCGTGTGCCCATCGACGAAGTGAAGACTGATGGTAGGAGGATAGGAAGTAGGTGTAGGTCGTGCTCACGTCACGAGATTTCGCGACGCAGCTGCAAAGGAGGGTTTCTTAGCGCGCGAGCTACGACTTCACCTGCCTCTCTCCAACAACGACGACGTCGGCATTCGCTCTTTGTTCACACTCACCCGACATTTCCGGTGCATCCTGACCGGGTCTTTGGCAACAGAAGACACACTCGCAAACATGCCCGAAGCCATCGCTACGACGAAGCGCAAGTTTTACAGAGCGCTGGATGCCCTCTCCACTTCAGCCAGCGCGCCCTCGACACAAACAGCCCCCCAGCCAACTGGGTCCACCTCCAGCAGCAAGCGCTCTTCTGCAGCCGCCTTCGACGAAGCTCGCGAGAGGGTAAGAAAGCGATTGCGCCAAAGCACATCTAACGATTCCCTCAGCGGCTTCACTCCTAACACTTCAGTCATATCTCTCGCGGGCAAGCCGTCCGCGAGGAACACCAGCTCGCCCTCGAAACCGCCGAACTTCTCACCTTGGTCGCAAGAGACATTCCTCGCACGACTGAAGACGTTTGGCAGCGTCAGTCTCTGGCACCCAAAACCTGATGCGATCAATGAGGTTGAATGGGCGAAGCGAGGGTGGACATGTGTTGATGTTAATACCGTCGCTTGCAAAGGTGGGTGCAATAGACGGGTGGTCGTGAGCGTGGATATAGCGAGGCGAGCAGAGCAGAGCAGAGCGGCAGCAGAACAGCAAGAGGAAGGAGAAGAAGAAGGGGAGGAGGAAGAGGAAGAAGACTTGTCCTTCGAACAAGCTCTCACGGAACGGTATAAGTCTCAGATCGTGGAGGGCCATGGTCAATCCTGCCTCTGGCGCCAAGAGGGCTGCAAAGACGACATTTACCGATTGCAAGTCGTGCGACCATCTGTCTGGCAGCCAGAGCTTCACAAACGAGTGCACTCTCTTCTCAACATCTCGAAGTCGATAGAACAAGCCAAGACGCGACCACTGGAATCGTTCAACGACAAGGTCATGAATGATCTCCCACGCGAACTATTGGGACTTGGTGGTTCCTCGGAGGTGAGTAAATCCAAAGCCTTCGAGATCGCCATGCATGGTTGGCGAGGCTCTTCAGAATCTGGCAACGACCTACTCCATTGCGACGCTTGCTTCCAGCGCGTGGGCTTGTGGATGTATCAACCAGACTACAAGCGACCTGGCACTAGCAGCAGCGACCACACGCCAAACGACGAGGGCGATGAAGCAGGCATCCTCGATCTCACCGAAATGCACCGCGACCACTGTCCCTGGCGCAACGCGATTACCCAAAAGGCCACCGGTAGTCTCGATGGTCTCAATGCCTGCCAGGTCTTGCAGCGAGTCGTTTCAACCGCAGCACGTGATCACAGACGACGATCCGCACCTCAAAACGTCGACGAGACGGATGATGAACCTGCGAGCGAAACTGCATCCATTCAGCCATCGAAGGAGGAGATTGCACGGACGGACAAAGAGCGGGAATCACGACTTCGAAAATTGAAGAATCTGCTGAGCATCAAAAGGCGTCCGACCACCAAGGTCCCGGCGCAGAAGGCGAACTGATCATGGAACAACTGAAAGACGTGGCTATTATGAGAGTGACGCGTTCGAGCGCTTGCGATTGTGAAGCAGTCATGAGGAAATGTAAAACAATTGATGATGATCCTAAGGCTCCAGCGAATGATATCCAAACTTGTCAAGTAATCACTCTGTCTATGTCTATCATACGTGCTGTCAAGAGGAGTACAAGATTCCGCATCAAAGCAGCCGACTCAACCCACCGAAGTTAGGAGTCGAAGCAACCATGAAGCGAGAGACTCAAACCCAAGACGACCGCGTAGCTTTCAACAACGACAAAACATGAGTTCGAACACGTGCAAACCGAACAATAACCCTCAACCACCCAACTCCTCGCCAGAAGAACGAAAGAACGCGAAACACTATCCTCCTCTCATCACTTCCTACCAAATCCATGAACCTCGTCCTCACTGCTGATGTCACTCAATCCTTCCCAAACACTCTCCTCGCTCAAGTCGTCTCCATCGCCAAGACCCACGGGTGCTTTTCTGCCAACATGGCCGGACAGTTGCACAGGGTCGATTCCAATGCTCTCGAGCGTCTCATCGATCTCTTGCTGGGTTGTTCCCTTGACTTCCTCTCCCTTCGCCATGGCGGCTTCCGCCTGCTGCTTCTGACCCTCAACGACATCGTACAAGGCATAGACCTGATCGCTTCGCTTCTCAATATGTGCCGTCAGGACATCGATCTTGGCTTTAACGTCTTGTCTGCGACGCTTGGAGATCGCCGGCTCGTGCTGGTTGTACAGCCTGTTTTGAGACTCGCGTTGTAGCTTCAAGTGCTTGATCTCGTCTTCAAGGTTCTTGATGACCATTGCGAGTGCTTCCTCAGGGGGCTGGGAAGGTCGAATCGTAGCATCGGTCACGTCGCCTACGTCTCGATCGCTGGCTGGGACTGGCTTAGGTATCGACACCTCCTGTTCACCCTTGGCACAGACAGTGCATCTGGCGACGTTGTGGTCAATGCAAGCGTTACCAGTCGTCGTTGGCATTTGGGAGCCGTGCAGTGTGATATCTGGCACAATGAATGCTGAAGTCATCCCCTCAGTTTCGGAATTGCGTCGTCGACGACGGCTGGTGTTGCTGACCATGGAAATGCTGCCAGTCTCGGTGTCCTGCTGCGGCTCCAGGATATCCTGCGACGAGTGAGGCGACTGGACTCGCACAGTCTTTGTAACCCTGGAGACATCGTCGCCACGCAGGCTGAAACGGCCAGTTCCATCCTCGACGCCGCCAGCCAAATCTTTCAGTGATGATTTGCGTGGCATGCTCTGCCTCGAGACCGACCGAGCTGTATCATCTGTCTCCATGTCGACCCTGCTGGACGTTCGCTTCCGAAGGCGGCCTGATCGCTTCTCCTCCTCCAGCTTCCTACGCAGATTGGCAACGTCCTCAGGATCCAACACACTGAGCTCGGTCAGGTCTTCTTGGGCTACCGTCATCCTGCCATCGATTTTCGTGTGTCTCGAACCCCCAGGAACATCGAATTCTTTCGTCGAGCGGGATTCGTTGGCGTTCGTCGTAGCAGGTGCGGAGATGTGTCGCTTGAGAGACACGGGGTTCTCGTTCAGAGAAGCGCGACGAGTGTTTGATCGAGACCTAGAACGCCCATTTGCCGTACGCTGATCCCGGGCATCGTTGCGAGGCTGAGTCCCGGAAGCTGCGTCTTCCCTCATCTTTCGTACTTCCAGCTCGATTCGAGTAGCTAAGTCTCGGACGAAGGTGGAGTCATGATGGTCGCTGGATTGACGGCGGTGGTTTGGCTCACGGCTGACCTCTCCATCAACAAGAGTGCGTGGTTCCTCAGACTTCTTGGTCGACCGAGTTCGTTTCAAATGATTGACTTCCTGCTGACGCCTCTTTTCGACTTTGCTCTGCGCACCTGAGGCTTGATTCCTTTCCACCTCACTCTCCATGTTCTTCAGCCTGTTATTCTCGTCCCGTAGTTCATTGACCGTGTCTTTCAACTCCTCGTTCTCTTTAGAAAGCTCGGCCCGAGCAGTGCGCAACTCTTGGTTTTCACTGCTGAGCTCCTCGTTTTGGAAGTATACTGCTGCAATTTGCGTGACCAGACCGTCCCGTTCCTTGACAACTCGGGTGGAGGTGATTTCTGCAACGCTGATCTTACGCTCGGACTTTGACAGACGCTCCTGCAGGGCTGCAACTTTGCCCTGCAGTCTGGCTTTATCCGTCTGAAAGCCTGCTGCGTCCAAGGTATCATCCTCCGACCCCAAGGCGCTGTCGGGTCGCCGACTTGCCAACTGTAGTTGATGCTTCATCTCGGCGACTTGAAGTTCAAGCTCCTCAATGCGCTTCTGTGCTTCACTGTTCTCTGACTCAAGCCTTGCGGTCTTCTCACGAGCGTGTTGCAGAGACACAAATATTGCCTTCTCATCCTCGGGAAGTGCGATGCCTTCTATGGCGGCGTGATCCTGAGCTAGTGGCTTGTACGTGGTAGACGCAAACCTGGAGCGGCCTCCGTTCGTTCGTTTGACCAGAGGTGTCCCGTCTTTTCGCATGCCCGACACAAGCTCCGTGATGTCGGGAAAGTCTGGCAATACAAATGACTGGCTGATCGTGTGCACTGCCGACTGTACGGTGGCATTACCCTGTACCTGCTGGCGAGGTGTTTGCTGGGATGATTCGAGGCCACCATTGGTGGTGAATCGTGTGGGAATGACGCCGTAGTTTGCAGACGCATGTCGCGAGCTTACGAAGCGCGAGCTGCGTACAGTGCCCATCGCTGGCGGTGGTTGCGATTGTCCAGGCCTCACGTGCATGTTGTCTGATACTGCTCTTTGCTTCTGGCCAGGGGTGCCCTTTTTCGGCGCCTCATTTGCTCGTGCAGACTCGGTTGCGCGTCGAACTGAAGCCTCCTTTCTCAATGTGCCATCGGGCTTGCGGGGTCTGACCGGAGGAGTGCCCGTAATCTTGTACTGGCTGTTGTCGTTTCCGAAGTTGAAAACCAGCTCCGATGACATGTCATGATCTCTACGAGCGCCTCGCTTGATGCCCCGTCCAAGCTCAATGGACATGTCGGCGCTGCCGTCGCTGCCCGCCTCGGAGGGCTCTGGGAATTGATTGTAGTGGAGCGGGATGTCGTCTTCGGTCGCATCATAGCCCACTTGAGGTGTTGAATGGATTGCATCCTTGAAACTCGTCGCTGTGGCCGTGGCGAATGTGTTGTCGTCTTGGGGAGAGCTCGCCCTGCTGCTGGCAAGTCGCGTTCTCGCTGCTGCGGCTGCTGAATGTGCCATGACGATCGGTGCGCGTGCCCTTCTATTCTTTTTGCTGAACCGCTACCATATGCGTGCTGCTCGTTATGTCATACGTGGAAGTGAGTGATTTGGTGCGCGCGCAATTGTTGAACATCTCCCAAATCTCGAGTGGAGAAGTCGCGATGTTGACGAAGGTAAACAAACGGCTCGGGCCGCGACCGAGCTCCAACCTTCCCAGGACCTCCTCGCATGTCACACATTCACTTCTTCGTTTCCCAATCCTTACCGCATGGCCAGACTGAAGATAGCAGTCTAATGCGAGCATATGTGCCCGCTCATGAGACTGGTACTTTTGCCACGATGCGCGCCAGCCCTTTGGAGACGGCCAAGATTCAGGATGGCTAGACCTTTCAGCCGCAGATGTATACATTCTCCCCATCTCCTTCAGGATCCTCAAGGGCCAGTCTGCATGGTACGTACACTCCAGGAGATTCATCAAACTTCGTACTTTGTCGAGCGGAGTCTGCTAGGGCAGGTTTGAGACAGGAAGCGAGGACAACAAATCAACAAGCGAGCATTTCAGCCCCAAGACGACCCCGAACAGACGATTGCTCCAGCCGAATCTTCTGCAAGTACGGCACGCAGCGGCTCTTACAGTCGTCTTGGATTTCAGCTACAGGGACCATGGCCGCACTGTTCAAGCAGTCGAGATGCGATGGTCCGTATCAGCCATAAGTCAATCTGGTCCGATGCGTATTGCTCATTCACACTGGGGGCGAATGTGAAGGTCATAGCAGACATGCCCAATGCAAGCCTTCAACAGGACCGCCCTTGCTGTCGAATGACTACCGTATGGCGTACCCTCGGCGATATACCTGCGGCACGCCAGATTTCTTGGACGACGAATTCGGCAATTTTTCATGATCCTCACGCGCGCCATTAGTAAAACCGGGTTCGCGAGATTTGGGGCTGGTCTTATGGCTTTTTGGGAAACACCAATCAGCACAGCCTCGTTGTCTGCGATGCAAGCCTCACCACGATTGTGCCGATCAGCATGAGGTAAGAACTATTGGCAGACGGTCTGCAAATGCTGCAGGTTGGTGGTGCCTCGACCAAGCAGCTGAAAGCCACTGCAATACCTAGGTACTGTTACCAAGATCTCCTTAGGGTCTACCGAACTCTTGTCCTGTTCCCTAGGCACCATGTGGAGACCACCATGGCCCCAGACACTCGTGGCTGCTGTTGATCCTGAAGGTTTTAGTATATGTTCATCGTCCCTCGCTCGGCTGGTACAAGATCACATTGTGCGCCATGGCCTTCTTCCCACTTCTTGCTATTTCTGTGATTCTTTTCGATTCTTGGTCTTATGCAGCAACACAACAGTTCTCCATTGAGCTGGCATGGGCAACAAGGGCACCCGACGGATTCGAACGGCCGCAGATCCTAGTCAATGGACAATCTCCTGGGCCAGCGCTTGTCATCGACCAGTACGATGAGGTGGAGGTAAAGTCAAGGCAATACTGCATTGGAGGGATCATCTCGACTGACTTCTCCCAGTTTCTCGTCTGCAACAAGTTGAATGAATCGACTCCAGTTCATTTTCATGGCATTGAGTAGGTGCAGGCGATCTAACACTGCACTACATGTTCGTTGATCGATGCGACAGACAGCTTAATACCCCTTGGTCCGATGGAGTCCCCGGCCTGTCCCAAAAGCCCATCCCACCGCAAGGGGAGTTTCTATACAAGTGGACCGCTACCGAATATGGCACCTACTGGTACCATGGCCACTATCGATCACAGTTGAATGACGGCTTATTTGGACCAATCTACGTCAGACCATGTGCCACACAGGCAATGCCATTCAGCAAGATCAGCAGCGATCCTGGTGTGTTGGCATCGCTGGCAAGAGCAGAAGAGAACCCACAGCTCGTTACAATCTCAGACTGGAGCCATGTCACGTCGGCAGAGTATTTGCAGATCGAGAACGCCACCAATGCAGACGTCTACTGTACGAACAGTATACTCATCAATGGTAAAGGAAGAGTCGACTGCTTGACCGAAGCCCAACAGCATCAAGCGTTGGCTCCTCCCTTTCAGGCACTCTTCGACGGTCCGTTGCAGGGCACCTGGATGAGTGAGAATGGCTGCTCGCCTTTCACGCCGGTTACCCAGGCCAACTACACGGCAAATCTCAGCGCGCTGCCGGAGATAATCACTGGTTGCCAGGCTACCAACTCGCCTTTGCAAGAGTTCGACGTCGATCCACGAGACGGATGGGTCTCGTTCAACTTCATCAGCGCCACGGCTATCCAAGCACCTGTCCTGTCCATCGACGAGCATCCCATGTGGGTATACGCCGTGGACGGTCGCTATGTCGTGCCCCAAAAAGTCGATGGACTCCAGATCTTCAACGGCGAACGCTACTCGGTCATGGTACAACTCAACAAACGCCCAGGCTCCTACACCATACGAGCGAGCAACTTCGGCCTAAACCAACTAATCAGCGGCTTCGCAACGATGAAATACACCCGAGGAGGAGGAGGTCGAGGCTGGCACAACGGCGGCTGGGGCCGAAATGGCCAAAACCGCAACCCCTGGAAACAAACCCCCTCAACTCCCTCCTTCACCTACGGCGGCTTCCCCATCTCCCCCAACATAACCCTCCTAAACGAAACCCTCCTCCTCCCCTTCGAAAACGCCCCACCATCCCGCCGCGTCGACCAAACGCACATCCTCCGCCTCGCCCGCGCCGGCGCCCCCTGGAAATGGACTCTCGACGGCACAACCTCCTACCCAATGCAGCCCGTCGAATTCGCCGAAAACGCCCCCCTCCTCTACAACCCCACGAGCATCGACGCCCAAACCCCCAACCTCGTCATCCGCACCCAAAACAACACCTGGATCGACCTTATTATCGTCTCCACCGAACCCCTCGGCCCACCGCACCCGATGCACAAACACAGCAACAAAGCCTACGTAATCGGCTCCGGCGTCGGGGTCTGGAACCACACCACCGTGGAGGAAGCCGCGCTCGCGCAGCCGCAGGCGTTCAATTTCGAGACGCCGTTGCTGAGGGATGGGTATATCACGCCGGCGGCGGCCGGGGCGCCGACGTGGTTGGCGATTAGGTATCATGTTGTTAATCCCGGGGCGTTCATGCTGCATTGTCATATTCAGCCGCATTTGGCCGGGGGCATGGCGGTGGCGTTTTTGGATGGGGTGGATGCTTGGCCGGTCGTGCCTGGGGAGTATGGGAAGAATGGGGGAGGGGGGAATGGGATTGGGAGGTAGTAGGAGCTGCTGTGTATTGGTTTTGGATGGGTAGTGAGAGCATGGAGTCGATAGTCAGTGCTGAATATTGAGGGAGTGGAATGTACTGCGATATGATGTCCAACCAAGATTTTGTGTTTTGATAGTGTATCGAATCCCCAGAACGAGGAAGCTCTACTTGAGCGCCTCGTATCTTGCCCGGCTGTGCTTCCTCGATTACTAAACGCAGTCGCCTACATATATATGCACATGGGTATCACGAGACCCGAGAACCAGGACACGCAAGCCAGGGGTCCAGGTGCATGAACATCGCGTGCGTGCGGGCAAAGGGGCATCATCAGAGTGAAACCGTCGAGAACGACGCTAAACACCAAAACGGCAAACGCGATTGAGTTTCTTTCAATCCAGGGTATCTCGACGATCTTTGGCCAGACAAATCTCACGCCAAAAAGACACAGCGTTTCAGCGCTTGTCGTCTACGCGCTGCAACGTCGTAGATCATTCTCATCAGGTTCGCCCGGCTCGAGACTGCCACAGCCTCTCATCACTGCTCGCCTGCCCCTCTCCGGTCGAGACACCGTTTTTGGCGGGTCTTTTCTCCTAGCCTTTGTGTTTTCTCCAATCTCTTGTGCGCGAATGACTTTTGACTCCATCTTCGTGCAGCTCAGCACAGCCATAACAGTCTAGTGTGCTCCTTGTTTCCAACAATCCGGTTTTCCATGGAGCTCCAGCCGCGGAAGATAAGGCTCGACCTGCTCTTGCATCTTCATCCCTTGCGAGTACATCGCTCTTTGTTCTTGGGTCTTACCCACAGAGCAATTCCGAAGCAAAGCCCCCCTGGACTTTTTGTGCTCGACACCTCTTTCAACACACCCAGCCTGGTTATTCGGGAGGTCTCTACGTCCAAGCACGGGATTAGTGCGCTGTCCTGGGGACATTTGCCGATATCATCTGGCGTTCGCGAAAACAGGGCCGGCCGATGGCTCACACCGTAGCCTCAACATGACTCTTCGCCTGGTGTACGTCCATTCTTCTGCCACCTATTTCGATCAGACCTGGACCGCCGAAGATCCTGCGCGGCCATCCTCCTCTTCCAAGCCTGAACACACCAACTTCAAGTCATGATCATCCGATCGGTCTGGTCGGGCTGAGTTCCCTGCAATTTGTCGTAGAACTGCTTGCATGGCTCATCCAAGAAGCTGCCGGGATATATGAAGTCGATCAAGACGTTTCGCACTTGCTCCCAATATCGAAGTTGCAAATCTTGCAGTAATCCCCAGAGCAGTTGATTGAAGAATTTGACAGTCGAGCCGCAGGTGACACTGATGATGAACACAGCCCACAAAGCTGCCTCCGCCGACTTGGGCTCTCTAAGAGCATTCTGATCCAGACCTGTGACCTCTGCCCAAGCGGCCTCCAGACCGGTGTTGTACTTTCGGTCACCTGCAAACGATTGACCGTCCGCTCGTTGCCCCTGGAAGATGGTCAAGCACGTGCACGCAATGCGTAGATGGCTCTGGATTGGATGACCAGGCAACTGCGAGCCAGAAAGAGTTGCGGTAGCTGAAGTCATAACGATATCGAAGAGCAGTTCGTTTAGGCGATTCTCGACGCCAGGGCTGCCAAAGTCGAAGCATGCCGTGCGACTGATCAGGACCAGGTACGAATCGGATAGAGATATACGCTGCTGGAGCATTGCAAAGCCCCGAGGCAATGCGATTGGAAGTTGGCGGTTGAACAAGCCACCCGAAATCTGCACCGACTCCATGGCGTTGCCGCTGTCCGCCAACATGCCACCGGCGGCCGAAAGAACATCGCTCGCGTTCGACAGCTGCGGTCTCCCAGTGCTGGCAAGGATAGCAGCGCCTGCGGCGAAGGACGTCGCGGAAAGCTTCAGAACGTTGGTCATCCAAGCGACCAGAGGCTTGAGCGGATTTGCTTCCTCGGTGCTGGGCTGTTCCTGCGGCTGCGACTGCGACTGGGATTGCGATTGCGATTGGGATTGCGTGCGAGAAAAGGATTGGTTCTGGAATTGAGCACGACTTTGGCTCTGTGGATCGTGGACCTGAACATTGGGCTGGCTGGGCTGGAACTGTTGCGGCTGTGGCTGTATGGACTGGTTAGGATTGCTGTCGGTGGGCGTCTGAGGACCGTCTCTCTGATGCCTGTCCTCGCGGTTCCGTGCTCTTGTCTCTCGGCTCTGAGCAGCGCTCGCACGCGCAGCCTGTGCCCGTACAATGCGGCGTGAGGCTTCACTGTGTCGGCCTCGTTCCGAGACGATGACCAATGGCTGACTGCTTCGACCAGACTTGTTCTGATTGTCGCCTTCGTTAGACGACGGGTCTTGTCTCGGTGGCATGAGAGGCAGTCATGCGAGGGCTCGCGCCTGTCGAGCCTGAGGGGTAAGAGCAAGGGCGGTGGCTACGATGGACAGCAAGGATACCGGATCTGAAAGGGCGGAGCAGAGTCAGTTGTGTAACGGCAGACCAGCTGCTTGGGGGGGGAAAGTAGCATGGCAGAGGGTCTGGCGCGTGCAAGAGCTGGTGCTAATAATCGCGGTGCCTGCATGCCCGCAGCAGTATAATGTCATACACGAATCGGCTAGAGGCTTGCAGATCGCGGCGTCATACTTTCTAAGGCCTGAGCTGGCTGGGAGGCTCTGTGGTGCGCTTCTGGGACCAGATAAGCTCCCAGCGCCTGATCGATCCCGGCGCTGACGACCGCCTCTTTGCCGCCGTCGACAGCCCGGTTTGCACGCATGTGCATGTGTTATTATTGTGCGCGTGCGGGCGTGCAGGCTGTTGTCGCGCTCTGCCGCAATGGCGGACTGGACGTTCGATTCGGGACGAAATGCGGACATCCATGGACAACGACTGGCGCAGCCATCAGCGCCAGCTCCAGCCGTGGCCAACAACAAGAGGTGTCGCTGTTGGTAGACCACTGGAGGAAGGCGCCCCTCATCTCAAGCCGCTTCGAGCAATTGCAGCTGCGGGCCGAATTTTCGCGATGACGTAGGGCTGGGATCGATTCTCACGACGGGTTTTGCTCGACTGCAATCCTTCATCCATCGCTACAACAAAATCACCACGTCCCCTCCGGAGATCGAGAATTGACCGCTGTGAACGAAACCAGATCTCTTTGCATTCTCAGCAGCAACACGATTCCGGAGATACAGCACACATCGCACTTCCTAGATCGCAACAATAGCACGCTGTCTTCACTTCTGCAGCTGCTAGTGGGTAGTCTGGGCTGGAGGAGTCTCGTGCGCTCTCGTCCGTACAGAAATAAACCCCCTCTGCCCTATCGCGCACGCGCGAGCACGCCATGGCCGACGCCGCCTCGAATCTCGACATACCCTCGTCGTTCCGCTCAAAGTGGGTTGACACAGCAAGAGCGACCTGGCACCGTTTTCCCTCCAAGTTTTGGAGCGACTAAGCTCTGGATCTTACTTGCGATTGCTTAGACAGCTCGTGGGCAACGGAGATGGATCTTCCACTTTGAGCGCGGAGGACGAGGGTATGGACGAGAACAATACTACGATTTGGAATTGGAAAGCCAGCCGGACCGACCCCTAACACACATACATACATATAGCGGAGGCAGCGACACGGCTGACAACTGCCAGGAAAGGCTAATGCTTTCCGCATGTGATCGACTAAGCCTGTACAAGATCACTGGTTTCGATCCCACTGAATCATGGCGCTTTACGGGATCGGCCATCAGACCGACACCCCCTCTCCCCAAAGTCAACTTCTCTCTGACAAGTGGACTTCGCAACGGGTATGATTTGCTCCATCCTGCGTGTATTTTTCACGATCTCATCGACGCCGGGCTTCAGCTCAACCAGAGATTCGACCGAAGATCCCTTCACGTGGACAGTGGGCATCCTGCTATTGTTGAACGTTTTTCTGGTCCAACCGCAAACACGATGTTGTTCGACCAGAGTTCAGCACGTACGAGTCCGTCGCTCATCATGGGATTCGGCATACCGGAGGACTGATGGCCTCAAGCATCGTTGCTATGATCGCACTGCTGGATGGTTCATCTAGTACGGAATGCCAGCTTCCGGAACTGAAGATGCTGGCAAACGCCACCAAAAGTTGCAGCATCTCCACCTCCACCAGTCCGGTAGGTCTCTTGGCCAAGTTATATTTGAGCTCACTTGCCAATGCCGAGGAAGGATTCTCATCGGGTCTCCATTTCAGCTACGTTTCATGTTCACAGTGTGTCATCATAGATGCCGACACAATCGTATGCTCTGCAACATTACTTCACCGAATTTAAAGACATGAATCGTGGCTCGTCTACCAGCGTCAGCAGAATTGCCGGCATTCAGCAGAGCCGGACAAACCCCACACTTTTCCCCACCGCGAGCGGGCAGCGTTTCCAGTAGCCAGGATGCATACATTCTCAAAGTCGGAGGAACGCCTTTCTCTTGCACAGATAATAGATTGATGAATGGCTCGGTGGTTCTACAATAGTTAATCTTGCTGCAGCAATCTATATCTGCGATGCAAGGCCGATCGTTTCAGCCCTTCAAGGTTGTTGACGTTTCACAACATCACATGTGCGTTGCCGAGCGACGTGCGATCAGGTACCGCATGACGTCCGAACCGTTTCCTCCCGCTGCCAGGGAGATGCTGCTCGTGACCACTACCGCAACCACACATCGCAACCTCTGGCTTCATCCTAGCGTGTCAGACGACCCTTCCTTCGTCGCGTAGCGTCGGCCAGCCCAAGTAAGGTTTGAGCACATGGCCGCTGGAGCTCCTCGAGCTGATCTGGTTCTCCTGCCCACCGCGACTCGTGGATAGCTTTTGACCCATCACCGCGTTTGCAAGGCAGGAATTGCTCTGCCTACTCTTCCTCCTCCTATTTCACTTGCCATCATGCGCTCCGGCGCGGTGATCGCTGCGGCCGCCAGCTTGCTGGCCAGCCTCAGCGCTGCGTCGACGCTCACGCCGCCGGTGCTACCGCTCATTGTTCGCAGCCCGTATCTCTCTACTTGGCTGGCCAACGCGAGAGATGAGCCTTGGTCGAAATGGCCAATGTTCTACACGGGACAGTCTGTAGGCATGATGAGCCGAGTCGTAGTGATCAGTCCAGCTGACGGAGCTGCCTAGATGGGCTTCAGTGTCCTCGCCTCGGTCCCAGACACCAACACAGTATATCCTTTGCTCGGCCGACCGCACGACTCCTTGGATCGCGAGAGTAACCACTATACCGTAGCGTTTCCCAAATATCTTGGTGCGCAGTATGATGCTTCGACGACCAACCTGTCGTATGCAATCCCATCGTCCAAATCCGCCAATGGCAGTGTCGAGATTGTCCTGTCTTTCCTCTCCCCGATAACGCCGACGTCGACTCTGCGGCAGTCGATTCCCGCCAGCTACCTGACAGTCCATGTCAAGGGAAACTTCAACTTGGACATCTATCTCGATCTGAACGGCCAATGGGTTAGCGGCAACCGTGGCTCCAGGATCGAGTGGGACTTGCACGAGACCCATGAGAAGAACGCCAGGAAGCTCAAGACCTGGCGAGTAAAGAGGAGCAACGAGGAACTGTTCACAGAATGGCAAGACCGGGCGGAATGGGGCACCCTCCATTTCACTGGTCCAGCCCATGCCAGCCATGAATCTGGCACTTCAGGCCTTCTCCGACAGCGATTCTCGCGTACCGGCACTCTGAAGAACGAGGTTGATGATTCATTCCGCAACATCATGGACGAAGAGCCGGTATTCGCGTTCAGCAAGTCGTTCAATCTCAGTGGAGATGGGTACACAGACGAAGCGGTCGAGGATAGTATCCTGTTTACCGTCACCCACATCCAGGATCCAGTGACCCAATTCGCCTCCTCGAGGGGATTGACCATGATGCGGCCGTTGTGGATGTCGTACTTCTTCACCAATGATGCGCTGATCTCGTTCCATTACGAAGACTTTAAGCATGCGTTCGCTCTCGCCCTCGACTATTCCGTCAAGGTTGCCAAGGATGCCTATGCCAGCGGTAGCGATAGCTACAAGGACATTATCGAGTTGAGTGCCAGACAGGTGCTTGGTGCTACCGTATTCAGTGGCACACCCGACAACCCAATCTTGTTCCTGAAAGAGATCAGCTCGAATGGCAATTGCCAGGTAAGCCTTGAGACTTGCAGACCGAAATAATGTGCTGACCAGACTTGTCATCTAGACTGTCGATGTCATCTTCCCGGCGTTCCCCTTCTTCCTCTACACGAACCCCAAGTGGCTGGCCTACTTGCTTGAGCCTCTCCTCGAGCACATGCTTAGCGGCCAATACCCCAACGACTATACCATGCACGACCTCGGCACACACTTCCCCAACATGACGGGACATCCAGACGGAAGAGATGAATACATGCCAGTGGAGGAGTGTGGTGACATGCTGATCATGGGTCTGGCTTTGGTCAACAGTCTGAAATATGACTCCAGCTCGGAGGCTCAAAGCCCATGGAGTGCTCTTGGCAAGCCCAAGGATGTTGCCAGCCTTGAGGCGTCCGACAGTGTCAGCCCATTCTCCCTGCCTGCGGTCTTGGAGACCCGCGAAGGCATTTTCGGTCTTGACGACCAGTGGGGAGGCGTCACAGCCAAGCATCAAGCAGAGAAATGGGTCTCCCGTACATACCGCCTCTGGAAGCAATGGACTGGCTACCTCGTGGAGTACTCGTTGTATCCAGAGAATCAACTCTGCACGGATGACTTCGCCGGCTGGTTGCCACTGATGACCAATCTTGCCCTCAAAGGCATCATTGGCATCAAAGCGATGAGCGAGCTCGCCGAGATCGTTGGAGAGAAGGAGGACGCAAAGCACTACCGCAACATCAGCGAAAAGTACATCAAGACCTGGGAGAAGGAGGGTATGGCGCGTGATGGCGGCCGAGCCAAGTTGGCATATGACTGGCAAGGAAGCTGGACCACGATCTACTCACTCTACGCCGACGCACTTCTGTGCTTCCATCCCAGCCTGAACGCAACGCCGAGCGGCTTGGAGATGCATCGTGCAGGTTCGCAGGAGCCGTTGCTTCCAGGCAATAAAGACGACTCGAGCAACTTCATCCCAGACCACATCTACAAGACGCAGTCCCGCTGGTACGTCACTGCGATGCAGAAGTATGGCTTGCCCCTGGACTCTCGCCACTTCTACACAAAGGTAAGCATTGCGAAGATTTTGTTGATTTGACAGCACGCTGACCGTCGATTGCTAGACCGATTGGGAGTTCCAAGCTGCTGCTGTTGCTGGAAAGAAGACACGAGCTCAGATCCTTGACAAGGTCGCGAAGTGGCTGAATGAGACCAACACAGACCGTCCCTTTACGGATCTGCACAACACTGAGGGAGACGGTGGATTCCCTGGACCAAACTTCTTTGCTCGACCCGTCATTGGCAGTCACTACGCCTTCTTGACCCTCGAGAGAGCGTGCGGCGGTAAGGCTAGCCAGGCTTTCGCGTATGAGGAGTAGGGACACAAGCTTGGAAAATTGAAGAGGTTGGATACTCGGACGAACTTTGCATATGACCTGCGGGAAAGGAGGTTACATCTTGGAAAAAAGAATGTGATCTTTGCTGCACAGGAAAGGCGGGACGAGTATATAGCTTGTGTCGAAACAATGCCACGAAATGATGAGCACGTTGTGGAACGTCTTCATGTGCATTTCCCCTCTTTCTTGGTGAGCAAGCAAGCAATGATCTGGCGCTGTGTAACATTTCATAGAGGGACAATTTCGTCCCATGACTTTTACCAAGCCATGTCCAGCGCTGGTCAGCGCGAGACCTCACCAGGCGATTGGCTGCGACATCGTGAGGGAGCTCACGCCGCCATTGAACACACCCTCGACCTCTTCACGAACATTCAACCATGGCGTCGGGATATGGATTGGCTGGAGGTATGTCGCAATCCTACCACGACCCTCGAGAGAAGCTTCTGCGGACACCCACGAAGCGAAAGACCATGGCTGATTCCCACTTCACTCACAGGTCCCTCCCGCTGCTTTCCCTTCTGGCAGGAAGTCCTCGCCTGCTACGTCGTGAACACCAACTCCGAAGACGACTCTGGCAAGAAGAAATGCGCGCCGGTGTTGGAGGATTATTATGAGTGTTTGCATCATCGGAAAGAGGTAATACACACCAACACCACAAACCACAACCCTCGCCATACACCCATAACATCTTTCGTGCAGAAGATTGGGCATATGCTAAGTGTATATGTGTGATATCACAGGCCACCAAAATCGCCGCCCTCCAAGCCGCCTACCGCAAACGCGAAGCCGCCACGCCTCGAGACGATGCGCCCAACGCGGGACAAATACGGAGTTTGGGACTGTTGGAGGCGAGCGATGCGGAGAAGGATATTAAGCATGGGAATTTGCTGCCGACGTATTCGAGTAACAATCCCAAGGGGGCGTGATGGGGGAGTGTTGTGAAGAGGGATTGGGTCGGGGGATAAAGAGCGGTCGTTCGTCAAAAGGAAGTGTATATATGTACGGGACAGGAACGTGTATGCGACTTGGAACAGGTGTGATGATACACCGGTCACAGAGGACGGCTTCTCGCTGAAGTCTATGAATGTGGACGGCTTTGATCTCATGGGAAGTCTGTCAGCGTTCCGTCGGCTTTGCACAAAAATGGCGCCCATCGTCCATATCGCACCCCAATACTGTCTTGCACCACTTCCAGAATATTCACCATCTCCACCGTACTTCCCGGGTTATCCGCTTCCGCGACCTTTCGAGAAGGAATCTGATGCAGATACAAATGCACATCCAACAATTGGCCAAACGTCGGCCCCAGAGCAGGTCGGATCGTGCAAGATGCGAACAGACTGGCCGTATCGTCTTCCGTCGCGGGTTTATTACTGGCTGTGCTAAACATCACAGTGCAGAGCTCATGCTCACGGGCGATATGCCGCAGCGACCTCATCAGTGATGCCAGACCTGCTTGGCCGTTGGTGTAGTTGCTCTTGATCAGCGGGCTGATGACTTTGGAGATATTGTCGATGATGAGAAGGTGTCTCGGTGGCTCTTTCTTCGTCTCGTCTGGTGCTGGCATGGGCGGCTGTCGTTTTGGAAGCGGATCGTCGAGCATCTCATCTTCATCTTCGCTGTCTTCGATGGTGCTCTTTGGGACTGGCTTGGCTTGGACATCTTCTGGTGGGTGTTCCAGATTCTCGCGTAACTCTCCCACGGCTTCCGCGAGTCCGATGCAGTCGAAGACTTTCATAATTTTGAGGCGCTCCAGCATCACCTTAGCGTCCTGATTCATATTCTGCGACTCCTTCGACGAGCTCTCCAGTGCATGATACAATCCCAACAGGTCGAAGGAGAGTGAGCTGTCAATGACCGTGGTCGTGGCATGTGTCGAGCCGCAAAGGTGGGAAAGAAGCAGTGTCTGGAGAACCTCTTTAATTTCTTGATCTGGCTCCGCAGTGATGCAGTGTATGCTGCCGAAATCGAAGCCCCCATCAAGAGCTTGGTCGATGGCTTTGACTCCCGTGTTGAGCTTCTGGCGTTTGGCTGGTGGTTCTTGTAGATCATCCAACTCCGTTGGCCATGTGTCGTCGTCGGCTTTGGGCGTGTACATGTCTGCAGCCAGCATTGGGGGCGCTGCAGCTGCCATTTTGGGGCGTTCCGGTGTTCATTCACCTGCGATTTAGCGTTGGTCGTGGTTGGCTTCACGTTGGAGGCTCATCGTTGGGTCATTGCGCCTTTCGTTTGGAGGGCTCAGATGGAGATGATTTCCAAGCAGTTACAAGTTTCTGATGCTTGTTGTCCAGAAGTCTAGTTGTACAATCGGCGTTACAAGGCAAGAGCAAGATCATCAAGCTCCACCCTCTTAAACTCTTTGAAGCTAGCTTGAAATTAGGCGAGTCCCGTACACCTCGCTCCTTCGGCCACACAGCAGCAGCGCTGACTTGTTATCGCGGGGACATGCGAGTTTAATTGGAGACGTATGTTCACTATAATAACTATGTTGGTGACCTTGCCGTCTAGTCAATGCTTCCAAGACGACGATGACTCCCCGCAAAGAAATCCCCATCATCGACATCAGCCCCTATCTTGATCCCTCAGCTTCACCAGAAGCCAAGAAGAAAGTCGTCGACGAGGTCAAGTCGGCGTGCTCGCAGTATGGCTTTCTGCAAATTGTTGGACATGGTGTGCCATTGGAGGCCCAGCGTGGCGTGTTGAAGTGCTGCAAGACGCTCTTCGATCTGCCTGTTGAGCAGAAGGAGAAGTTGTCTCTCAAGAATAGCCCCTCACGACATGGCTACGAGCGTATGAAGGAGCAGGTGCTGGATAAGAAGGCTTTGGCGGATGATAAAGAAGTATCGTGTCATCTGGTTTGCTTGTCGTAGGTAGAAAGCTGACAATGGGAAGGGTTTCTACATCGGCAAGGAAGAAGAGTATGCGAAGGGGTTTAGACAGGTATGGGCATTCGCACAATTACTTCAGGTTCCCATACTAACAAACATCCAGGGACCAAATCAATGGCCAACCCTACCCCTCGCCTCTTTCCGCGCCCCAATAACAGACTACTACAACCATATGCTCACACTCGCTCGAAGTCTCCTCGAAATGCTGGTCCTAGGCCTGGGCCACCCCATCTCAGTCCTGGACTCATTCACACAAGACCCCGTTCAAAACCTCAAACTCCTGCACTATCCTCCTCACACCTCCAAGGATCCGAAGCAATTCGGCGCCGGTGAGCATACGGATTTCGGTGCCATCACGATGCTGCTCCAGCAGCCTGGCAAGGAGGGCTTGCAGGTGTATTATGCTCCCGATGATGAGTGGTTGCATGTGCCTAGTGTGGAGGACAGGTATGTGGTTAACATGGGGGATCTGGTGCAGAAGTGGACGAATGGGGCGTATCGCTCGACGGTCCACCGAGTCGTTAACGCTGCTGGGGATGATCGGTATAGTGTTCCTTGCTTCTACGAGGGGAATTTCAGCGCCAAGAACCCCTTCAATCCGGATGATCAGAGTGGCGAGACGGTGGAGGAGCATGTGAGGAAGAAGTTTGATAGCAGCTATGGTTTGAAATGAAATGGCTGGTGATCGGGCTGGCATATATTCCATGAGCACTTCTGTATAAGCTGGGGTATCTCATACATCAACGACGTCTCTTCATAGGGTGTACCGGAAGGTCATCTTCTCATCACCGTGTCGTGCCTCTTCCAGACCCAAAGTTCTTGCAAATGCAATCAGCCCGAGCCGTTTCCCTATGCGTCCAGCCAAGGTGTCAGGTGCAGGTACATCGCCGTAGATATCCTCGCGTTCCTTTTCTTCCTCGCTCCAGCTTCGAATGACGTTGTCTCGAAACCTGTTCTCGCGAATGAGGAAAGTCCGGAACGCAACAAACCCGGCAAGCGATATCAGAGAGCAAATAAGCAGGATGACGAACGATCTAACGTAGCCGGTCTTCTCATCTTCTGGAGTGAACAACAGGGCCATGAAGACGCCTGCGAGGTTGCCCCAACCGTTGATTCCGAGGAGAATGGCGCGTTTCCCTGGCTCAGGTGTGTTGTTTGCGAGCCAGGCTACAGTCAGCGGCGATGCAATGAACGAGCCCGAAAGCAATACGCAAAGCGAGAAGTATCGCAGCCAGTAATTGTTGATTGGCGACATGATGGCCATGGTTAGTCCGATAAGGAGTAGCAAGAGGCCAAACATGATGGGTACGAGGCGGCGTCGACTGCGATCGGACCATATCGTGAAGATGAACAGCACGATTGCACCGAACGCGAATGGCGGCGCCGAGAGCAAGTTGGAGGCAGCTGGGGACAAGTTGAGCGAGGGTGAAAGTTCCTTGACCAGTATTGGGAGAAGTACACCAAATGCGGTTGCAGGTATCGCGCTCAGGATGTTCACGATCAGTAGGTGCCAGATCTTGTAGTTGGAGAAGGCGGACAAGATATCATTTCTCGTCAGACCTGAGTCCTCCGTAGCTGATGTGCCTGGTTTCGCCTCAATGGTCTTCCTCACAGATCCATGGACTTCGCCGCCAGCGAGAAGACGGTCGTGAGCTTCACTTCCACCATGGTCGTCCCCGGTGTCGGCAGTGCTTGGCCTCTCGACGTCGTCACCGCCATGGACTGAATGACCACGGAAAGCGTCCTCATCAGCACCCTTGTTGTTCTTCGTGTCCAGCCTCATACGCTCTTCTGCCCACCATCTTTCCTCCTTCGTGAGGAACCAGGCTGATTCCGCAGAGTGTGGCAGCCAGAAGAATCCAATAAGCGCAATCGTCATTGTCAAGCAGCCCTCTATCAGGAACAGTATCTCCCAGCTCTTCCATCCGCTGCTCTCTACAGCTTGTCGCGGCGGTGTCGATATGGGAGGGTCGTCGTCGTGACGGCCTGGAAAGTTAGAGAATACCGCCCAGCTCAGCACGCCGCCGAGTGCGCCTGCCACGGCGGTCATGCCGTAGAAAAATCCCAATCGAAAGGCGAACTCGTACTTGGTGTAGTAGAGCGACAGATACGACACTGTTGTCGGGTAGAAGCCGCTTTCCAGCGTGGCTATTGCAACTCGCAATACCATCAGATGCCATCTCTTGCGGACGAAAATGTGCAGTATGGTACTCAATCCCCATAAGCTCATGCACACGGGCACATATCTTTTCATCCCGAAGCGTCTCCCCAAGGCTGCTCCCACAGGCTGCAGGAGCACGAACACGAAGAAGAACAGGGCCATGGACTTGTTGACATCGTGACGGGAAAGGCCCGTGTCGTACGTGAAGCCTGCAGTCTCAGCATTGCCTATGTTACTCTTGTCCAGGCTGTTCAGCAGAAACAGGATCGCCAGGAAGGGTAGCAAGATACTGTCCAGCTTGCGGACTGTTCGCCGATTCAGTCTTTGGCTTCGCTCGCTGTCAGGCCTTTGCGCCTCTGCACCTCCCACCAAGGCGTCGGTCTCGTCGTCATCATGAGCTTCATTGGGGTGTCCCGGCATGGTGCCTTCCTCCGCTTCCTCGTCCTCAGACGACCGGCGTAGCTTCTGCAGTTCCAAGGCATTGTTTTCTGCATCATCCGGCATGCTCTACCGCGGTGTAGAGTGCTGAAGAGGCCATAGTCATGTGCGTCTCAGAATGTTGGTCGTCTTACGTTGTCGGGCTGAGCTGCAGGCCATCCTTCACGCCAAGACATCCAACCCCCTGCCGATGAACTCGCACTCTCGACCTTCTTCTTCGTATCACTTACTATTCTTGATGAAAATCCTCACCACCAGAGTTACCGCTCAAACGGTCGCATATGTCCGCAGACAGTTTGCGACCTTTTTCGCGCCGGTCACTCCTTTCATGCCACGGGAAACGAGGGAATGCCCACCGCTCTCCGAACATGAAGAGCACATGACTTCTGAAGACAATACCCGATGATCTGCGAGACTTCAGCAAGAGCAGGCGCTCTGTTCTTAACACGGTGCCATATCGGAGCTATTGATGTGTGATACAGTGCTGCTACTACAACTGGAGCCGCCTGGCAGCAGATGAACCAAGCCGTTCAACACATCAAGGGTAACGCTTTGAGAATATGTTCAGCGCATCTGCCTCAACAAGACAACATGCTCTACTAATCTACATAGTATTGTGGTAGCGTTGGGACCTCCTGTGAAAAGCCGCAGCACGTATAATGAGGCAACCTGGTCTCTCAAAATGTCGTGGTAGGTTGGATTTCGATTCGGTCAGTTGTACAGTAACAACCAATAAAGAGCAGTCTAAAGAACATCACGATCAATATCATACAAGCAACGGCAAAGATCATCTCTGGAAATACGTTACGAACTGCACTGCTTCACATGCTCTACAGATGCAGAAAGCCTCCTCCACATTTGGACGCAGCCGGACAAACCTATCTAGGGAAACGCGTAGCCATCGACCTCACCTCTTTTTCAAGGCGGGGCCTGTGGCGTCCCCTTGCTTTTCTGTCGTGCGCGGCATTCGAGTCTGAAGCAGTGCGAGTTCGAATAACAACTTTCGCTTTCTTCCAGATCGGGACTTGAGCGAGAGCAGCTGGCCAATGTTCGTCCTGGATACCACCGCTTTGCTCGATGATCGAGAGAGCGGAAGAAGCCTCTATACTTCGGCAGCCTCTGATAGGCCATGTGGAGTATAGGTGGCAAGTTCATATCCGCGAATGCGTGGGATTGGGCTGGAAGAAGGCTTTGCGGAGGGTACGGCGCCGGGCAGGGAAAAGAAAACCATGCGCTTTCCACCTCGCGTTTTCCTCTATGATCTTTCATGGACATAATCACACCATCTGTGTAAAGTGTTGAGAGACGGCGCCCTCGTTGCATGACTACAATGGACGACGACAAGGAAGCATTGCTTCAACAGGAGCTGGACCCGATGTCCGACAACACAGCGGTGGAGCTGGACAGCCTCTACGATAAGGAGCCTGCACTTTCATTCGACTACATCTCAAGCAATTCAGACTCGGAAGGAGAAGATTCAGTAAACAGGACAGCGGTCTACGCCGTTGAGGACACTGAGGATGTGGAGCCAACAATCATCCAAGCGCCGAAGACAGCTTTTGTGGCCCGCCAAGATGTTAAAAAGCTTCCCAAGAACTCCATCGTTACAATCGGTCCCAATTGGGCAGGTCCCAACAAACTTCGTCGTCGTTTTAGCGATGCATCAGTATCCTCCGCTTCATCTGGAATCACTATAGTGGAGGTGCCAGCGCCAGAACCGATGCTGGATATGCTACAAGCCCAAGCACCCGGGACGTACAAAGTCACCATCAAGGAAGCGAAGGTCGTTGGTACGGAGCCAAAGGCGGCCGTCAAGTACACCCTCTTCCCAATGGAATACAACGAGCATATGGCGACGAAGGAGTATCTGTCGTTTCTACTGAAGACATATCCTCTCCCGTCGATTTCAGGGGCACAATGGTACATCAAGATACGCTTTGGGTTCTTCTCGGTATACCGACGACTGTTCGCCATGGTCATGCTGGCGAACCTCATCCCTCTCTTCGTCATGGTCGCACGGGCGTCATACACAGCGGGTGGTCTCCGGTTACCTCGTTTCACGTATGGACAGGCGACTACTGCAGTCGGTGCGAACTTGCTGGTATCGGTAATGATGCGAAACGACCATGTCGTGAACTGCATGTTCACCATGGCACTTTCGCTTCCACATTGGGTTCCGCTCGCCATTCGGACGCGTGCAGCGAAGGTCTACAGCTATGGTGGCATTCACAGTGCTTGTGGAGTTGCGGCATTCTTCTGGTACATCTTCTTTGCCGTCCTGGTCATCACGCAGTTTCGAGGTGAAGGGTCAGACGAAGATGCACTCGCCATCACCACTGCGCTGATGCTGATGCTGTTCATCTTCCTCATCGTCCTGGCCCACCCCTGGATCCGGTCACGCTTGCACGATGTATGGGAGCTCAGCCATCGGTTCGCAGGTTGGACATCGATTGGCATCGTGTGGGCTCAAATATTCATCATTGCCAATGCAGAGACGAAGAGAGCGTATCCAGGCAGTCACCTCTCCCACTTTGGCACTGCGTTGGCGAAGACGCCAGCCTCCTGGTTCCTCATGATCACGCTCATGATCATCTATCCCTGGATTCACCTGCGGCGGCGGTCGTTCGAAGCAGAGCAGCTGTCAAGCCATGCTATTCGACTCAAGTTCAATTATCGGAAGGTCAGTATTTCCTGGTACGCGCGTACCAACATAGCATTAACACTTCGTGTTAGGTCCCTATAGGAGCTGCAGTCAGAATTTCTGATTCGCCCCTGACCCAGACACACGCCTTCGCCGTGATCCCTAACCCTGACGGCTCCAGGGGCTACTCGGTAATCATCTCGAATGCCGGCGACTGGACCAAGAAGTTCATCAACGATCCGAAGCGACCCAACAAGCTCTGGATGAAAGGCTTGCCAACCCTCGGGGTTGTTCACATCTCTTCGCTCTTCAAGCCTGTAGTAGTGGTCGCTACTGGCTCAGGAATCGGACCATGCCTATCCTTCTTGCAAATGCATCGCAGATGGCCTGTTCGAATCGTATGGTCTGCTCGCTTCCCTGAGGTCACGTATGGGACGTCGGTGGTGGCATCTATGTTGGAAAGTGACAAGGACGCCATCATCATCGACACGAAGAAGACGGGAACTCCAGATCTTGCGGGAATTGTCTATGCTAGCTATAGAGTTCGTTCTCATCGCCGTTTAGCGCTTGATCACATACTGACGAAATTCTAGGAAATCGGCGCCGAGGCCGTGGTCATCATCAGCAACCAGAAAGTCACAGAAAAGGTTGTGTATACGCTCGAGACGAGAGGTGTCCCTGCCTTTGGTGCAATCTTCGATTCATAATACCAAGCATCAACAATCAACGAACGGCATAATGAAATCGTACGTGAACCTAGCCTCCTCGCTCTGCTCAAAGTGGAATAGTCATCCCTATTACTCGAAAACTGTCTGAGCGGCTCAGAGGTCGAACAGAAGCGTAGTCGACTTGAAGAGATCCGAGAAGCGACAATTCCGTGCGTTCCACTTTTACGAACGCCTCGACCTCTCCCTCAAACTCCTCTCCGTCGAACTTCTCCCTTGCGTCTCCAGCGCCTCAATATAACTCGTGATCATCCCCATCCTCGCCTGAACCCCCTCGCCCCTCGACACAACCTCCATCTTCACCCTCCCCCGACTGCGCATATGCATCTCCAAGACCAGCGTATTCACCAACGATGTCATCTCCCGCTCCGGCGGATGGATCTTCACCCCGGTCCTGCTCCCATGCTCCCACCGCACCTGCTCGACGCCCTCGTCCGGCGTCGGAAGCGTCAAGTCGAACGTCACCCGCGAGATGCTTGTGACGGGTAAGGTCTTCCAATTGTCCCGCCAGGCTTTCGCTAGGGTGTCGATGTTTAAGTATTCATAGTCAGTTAGTCCGCAACGGCGGCCCTCGGAGTCTTTGGCGTAGCGCGAGTTGTGGTCGCGGCATTGTTGGAGGACTTCGGAGTGGGCTAGAGGGGCGAAGAGGATGATGTTGAGGTTGTGTTCGAGGGAGGGGTCTTCATCTGCCAGGCGCTGAAGTTGCGTGGGGGAGTCGATGGGGTGGTCTTTTGTTGGCATGTTTAGATGGGGTATTGTTGCTGTTGTTGTTTTGGTTGTCAGAAGTTGAAGAGCTATTGTTTGTGACTTGTGAAATGTGCTTAGTATATAGCTTTACCTATGCTGTCGATCAGACCTTTTGCACTTGCAAGAGCTTTGGCAGGCAGCAGGATCACGCATCATGTGGCATGCGGCATATACTCCGCGGACTTCAATGAAGGTATTGGGTCAGGGTGTTTGACCGATGGCGCTATGAAAAGACCAAGAAATGAGAGAGTCGGAGACGATGTCGAGCAACAACTTTTTAGGTGAGCATTTTGGGTCATGGTTATTAATACCGTCTCCTAACTTCGTTGTCGAACCTGTCGACACAGTATTTCATAGCAGTATCTTGGCCCGATCGATACTGCAACTTTCTAGCCCAAAGCCTGCTCGTTCGCCGGAGGAAACTTGAGAGTGAAGTCACACTCAGACACAGCCTAGCACAACATTCAGCGAGATATCCTGGCAGACTTCTCACACCCTGCACATCACTTACCGCCTTCAAGTTGTTCTCATTCAACTGAATCCCATTCATAATCTCCGTCTTCAACATGTCAAAGGTGGGCTTGTCGGTGGCGTAGGTACCAGTCAAACCATTCACTTGGTTCTTCTCCGTCTGTTGTGCGGTTTCGTACCTATCCAACAAGAACATGACAAAGTCAGTTTCCCCAATCTTTCGAACACATCTCCGGAGGTGTTAGAACGTACTGCGCAAGACCAGGAATCGCCGGATTCCCAGGCGGAGCAATCTGCTGGTTGAACAGGCGAAGATTCATACCCTCTTGGATATCAGATTGCAGCATTCCCTTGGCGAGATAGAAATCGGGAGTGGGACCACTCGGGTGTGCTTGTTCGACTTGTTCGGTTTTCAAAGTGCCATTGTATTCGGAATATTGGCCTTGGATGTTGAGGTGGATTCCTGTTGCGAGGGCGACTTCGGCTTGGCTGCAGGGACGCTTCCAGCCAAAGTTGCTGTTGGGGAGGGAGATGGCTGATGCTGCTGTGGTGAGCAGCGCGAGGCTGGAGATGATGGTGGACTTCATGGTGCGGATAGAGGATACCAGATGAATGTTTCAATCAAAAAGAGATGCAGGAACCAACGACTCACCCCCCTCCAAGAGCGACACACCCACTATATGAACGATCCGCAAACAAGCAACCCCCAGCCATTTGGCAAGTCCCGTTGACGTGCTTCCATTGCAACAACAGATCATCGCCCATCTGCCTCAGAAAGACGGACAAGCTTCTTGCAAAGCTTCACCAAAAGACAAATAAGCTCACTAGTGGAGGTATAAAACGGCCAGCTCACGACGTTTTGGGATGGTTTGGGGCTTTGGGTGACGTAGAGCTCGACGATCTGGCACAATCCGAGGTCGCGTACCTGGAGCTCGTCGAAAGCAACTGTTTGGAATAGCTGGCGTGAACACCTCCACGGCGGGACACGAGTTCTCACAGCCGGTGCGGTCGCTCTTGTTCCGTCCTTATTATAACGATTTGGGGAGTTTTCGAGCGTCTACAACAGACTGCGCTACAAACACCGACCACTGCCAAACTCAGCATCGGACTGTTAGAATCACTGAAATGTTGGTAATCGTACCTTGCAAAGACGATCGCTTTGTGCCTCTTTTACACTACGCTGTCACTCCTGAGTCCTGAACAGCATCTCGCCGTGTCCATGCCAAAAGAATCCACCATGCAGTGCCCTGCAAACGGCATGCCAGACTATCAATCCTTCATACAGTTCGTTTTTGCCGTCAATCCCTGGGTATGGATTCGTGTCACATCAAGGCCGAACACCAGACTCCCGCTTCCCATCACGTCACCTAGTACGCTCTCTGCTGTCCGACAGTCATGCCCTGAACCGACTGCGTCGTGAAGCCTCCCTGTGCTGCCTGCTGCGAGCGCGCGTTGAGTTCCGCAAACCAGGGATGCGCAAGAGCCTGCTGAGCGCTGCACCTCATCTCAGGACGCAGCTGAAGAAGCTGGCCCAGGAGCTGGAGGCCAACCGAGTCGACTTGTGGGAGGTAAGCACGTAGTTCCTGAGTCGCATAGACTGGCCAGGTCTGCTTGTACTCCGGGAAGCTGCTGATGCCGGGCCAGCTGCGTTCGGAGGGAGTGCCCATGAGGCGGAAGATCTTGAGCAGTTGGTCTTCGTTGGTAGTACCAGGGAAGAGTGGCCGACCCGTGAACATCTCCGCCATGATGCAGCCCGCGCTCCAGATGTCGATGCTAGTGTTATAGGTTCGGCTGCCGAGCAAGACGTCAGGTGCACGGTACCAGAGTGTGACCACTTCGTTGGAGAAGGTGTTGACAGGAATACCGAAAGCGCGTGCGAGACCAAAATCTCCGAGCTTCAGCTGGCCTTGGGCGTTGATGAGCAGGTTCTGTGGCTTCAGATCGCGATGCAGCACGCGGTTCTCGTGACAGAAGGCGATGCCGCGCAGGAGCTGCCACATGAAGCTCTTGATAGTCGCAGCATCGAGCGCACCACGCTGTCCGCCATTTGGGTTTTGGTAGCTGTCCATGTACTTCTTCAAGTCCTTGTCCATGTATTCGAACACCAGCATGAGCTTGTTCTCGGTATGGATCACATCGTAGAGGCTCACAATGTTCTCGTGCTTCAGCTCTTTCATGAGGGAGATCTCGCGGATGGCGGTGCTCGGGGTGCCCTCTTCGCTATCGAGGTGGATTTCCTTCAGCGCGACGAACTGGCCGGTCTGGCCGTTGCGGCCCTTGAAGACGGTGGCATATGTGCCCTCGCCCAGCTTCTCCAGCTGCTGGAAGCTGGAAGGGTGGCGCCTGTCCATCGAGTCGACCTTTTGTCCTCCACCCAAGCTCCTGACCGAGATGTTGCTGTCGGTTCGGTTTCCAGTCGTGAGGGTTCCCACGTGGGTCGGTTGCAGTCTGCGCTGCGGCGGGGGCTTGTGGGTGTATCTCGGGTCCCAGAGGGTGGCTCTCGCGGTGGTGAGCTGGCTGGCGACGGTCAAAGGCGACGACGCTTTGCTCGTGTCGCGCGACGCTGGTAGGCGGGAGTGGGAGGAGGAGTCGGAGGAGGCCAGGATTGAAGATTGCGGGTGGGTTTATTATTGTGAGTCCAGCCTGGAGTGATGGAGTGATCTGCAAGTCGAGGAGAGTTCGATTGGCTGGGAGCTGCGTTTGCGGGGCGACCAGGCGTTTAAAGATTCATTCGACGATTTCTGCAAGGGACACGTCAAAGGAACGATTGGTCATGTGCGGCCTGCAGTGCGCCTTGAGTTTCTTGACAGCTCCTGTTCGACGGCGCGTACGAGCGACGGCAGCGCCTACCGCATGACTCCCAATGATGGTTTGGGCCGGCCGGCAAGTCCGAGCCAGGAAAGTCTCACTGGGATTCCAGGGCCAACACCGCGTCAAACCAACACATCTTCAATACCAATGTCGAACGCGGGGAGCGCCGAATCACGAGTGTGAGAGCTGCAGAGATGAAAGATATCAATTCAGTGGGACACTAGCGCTTCCAACATGGCGGCCGCTCTCACCTCGCCTCGTACAGAGGAGTCCATCCCAACTTCCAGGAAGGGAGACTACGAGAGCACGCAAGTGAATGAAATAGGTCGAACCAATCACATATGCGTCTCAGACTCGTGACCGCACGTTCTTTGATGTCGCATGGCAATGGACGGCACCTCCATCCGCTTCTCAGGAACGAGACCCTGGCCGATACCAAGTGAAGAAGAGATCGACGGTCTGGGGACGCCTCTCTCAGGTCCTCCACCTTGACGTAGTCACTGATTGTGCAGCTGCTCAGTACACGACATTGTTTCGTTCTTCGACTCGCTTTCGTCTGCTTCACTGCCAAACATAACAGGATGGCGGCAGTCTTACTCTTAACTCTTGCCTGTCTTGCTTGCCTGAGCCATGCGCAGGCTGCAAGCAATTACTCTCAATATGTGAACCTTTTCCTTGGGACTACCAATGGTGGAAACATGTTCCCAGGTGTCTGCGCAGCACCTCATGCTATGGTCAAATTGGGGCCGGACGTGGAGTCGGGCACTACAGATGCATACTCTGGCTACCTTCCCAGTGGACAAGTCTGGGGCTTCTCAATGATGCACGAAAGTGGCACTGGTGGTGCTCCCAAGTACGGAGTGCGTATTACTATCGAGTGCGCCGGCCGAAAATACTGACCTTGCATGCAGGTCGTCAACCAAATGCCAGTCAAAGGCAATGTCTCTAACCCGCTCGTCGACCTAGGCCAGAACAGAAGTGCGCCTGACACAGCTCAAGTTGGGTACTACAAGTCTTCCTTATCGAATGCTATCGACATCGAAGTCTCAGCCACCGACCACGCTGGCTTGTATCAATATACCTTGCCCAGCGGCCAAAACTCGATCGTAGTGGATGTATCCCATGTGCTGCCATCTTTTAGAGGGCTAGGATGGGGCCAGGGTTATGCTGGTGGTGCTTTTCAACTGCAAAGCAACGGCTCTTACCAGGGTCACGGAATCTACAACAATGGCTGGAACTTGGCTCCGGACTGGACGATCTACTTCTGCGGCCACTTCGACCAGGCGCCAACTAGCCAGAAGACTTTCACGGGCAATGGCACTACCTTGGCTTCGTACGGTAATGGCTCATCGACCCAGGGCACATATAGGCAAGGAGGAGTGTTCACATTCGACAAAACGAAGGTCACAAGTCGAGTTGGAATCTCGTTCATCTCCACGACCAAAGCATGCCAGAATGTTCAGTCAGAGGTTCCCAAGGGAACAACACTCGAAAGCCTCACCTCACAAGCACAAACGCGTTGGACAAACGACGTCTTTGCGAAAGTGCAGACCGATGAGACTAACACGACCGTACTCACACAGCTTTACTCTTATCTATACGGCATGAACTTGCTCCCCTCGAATCGTACCGGGGAGAACCCAGGCTGGCAATCTAATGAGCCGTATTACGATGACTTCTTTACCTTTTGGGACTTGTTCAGATGTTCGACGTCGCTTTGGCAGGTCATTCTGCCTACGGCTTATGAGGAGATCATCAGGTCGCTCATCGATACGTGGAGACATAATGGCTTGTAAGTGAGCTCGTGCGTTGTGAATTGGATGTCTGCTAATTATGTCTGTCGCTGCAATAGTATGCCGGACGCTAGATCCTCCAATTACAACGGAAGAACTCAAGGAGGTTCAAACGCCGATAATGTCCTTGCTGATGCCTATGTCAAGGGTGTTCGAGGCAAGGTGAACTGGCAAGATGGCTATGCTGCCATGAGGACCGATGCTGAAGTTGTTCCACCGAACAGTAAGTACATTACGCTGGTACAGATATAGATCTAATAATTCCTTGTCAGACCACGATCCTATCGCGCCTGACTCTTCGACGAAAGAAGGCCGTGGTGCATTGCCAGACTGGAAGAGCTATGGTTATATCACACCAAACTTCACGCGAGCTGTCTCCCGAGCAGTTGAGTACTCTGTGAACGACTTCAGCCTGACGCAGGTCGCCAAAGGCTTGGGCTATCGCGGCGACTATCAGAAATACATCAAGCGCTCTCAAAATTGGCGAAATCATTGGAATCCCAAGCAATCCTCATTGAACTTCACAGGATTCGTTGTGCCACGGTATGGAAACGGCACGTTCGACTATCCCTACGATCCCGAGCAATGTGGCGGTTGCTACTGGGGCGACCCATACTACGAAGACCTGCCGTGGTCGTACTCGTTCAACGCCCAACACGACATGGCACATCTCATCTCTCTCGCGGGCGGACAAGACACCTTCGTCAGCCGCCTGGAGAAGTTCTTCGAGCCGGGCGTATACAGCGGCAACGGCGCATACGGTAACACGCTCTTCAACCCCGGCAACGAACCTGCTTTCAACACGCCATACCTCTTCAACTTCGTCGGCAGGCAAGACCTCTCCGTGAAATACTCTCGGCATGCCGCCTTGGCATACTACAACGCTGGAACCGGAGGGATTCCAGGAAACTCAGACGCCGGGGCCATGCAGACGTGGATTCTGTGGAACATGATCGGACTGTAAGAAATTGCCTAGATCTTGGGGTTTTCTCTGGGGAAAAAGAGGGTATGCTGACCACGCCGTGTGCGACAACTAGGTATCCGATGACCGGTCAGACGACGTTCTTGATAGGCTCGCCGTTTTTCCGACGTCTTAGCATTGATCTCGGCGGTGGGAAGAAACTTGTCGTCACTTCGAGGGGTGGGGATCGGTCTTCGGCGCCGTATGTGCAAAGTTTGAGGGTAAATGGGAGGAAATGGAATCGCAGTTGGGTTACGTGGGATGAAGTGTTTAAGAGTGGCGGGAGGTTGGATTTTGTGCTCGGAGCTGAACAGACGAGGTGGGCTACGGGAGCGCCTCCGCCAAGTCCTGCGTCGAGTGAGAGGAATGATCACTGGGGGTGGTAGAGACGGAGGCTGCACTGTGGAAAAGTCAGCGCCCTCATATCTGCCCTCAAGAGTTGATAGCATCGATAAAGATCAGCCTCTGGCCGTCTCAATTACCCTGCCCAAACGAATCCGACGAGGTGTCTCACGCGTTCAATCCTTGGTGTTTGGGTTGGCACGTTGCGGCCAAGAAGATGCCATGTGCGGGACGCCACTCGCGCTAGTCCAGACGCTAATTCAGACGCTAGAGATTACGAGGCCTAATCCGGCTCTAGCGGTGTGCGAATAGTGCAGGTGGTTGAGAAGGATGACTAGCGCAATCAGAAGCTTGGGTTTGCTGCTGTTTTCGCGAAAGAAATGGGGCACGGCCAAGCGAGAACATCGTGTGAGAGAGATGGTGATTGGTGCCCAGCCGAAGGCAGAAAGAACGCAAGGCCATGCGAAGGCGAAGGCGAGCGCGCGCGAATTTCATCCCCAGCACCTTTCTTGGATCGAGACTCTGGAACCCGCCGAAGACGACGGCGTCACGCAAGCTGCTCAGCCCTGGCACATGGCTCTCTAGTTCTCACAGTCGCCCGTCTTTCTTATTGACGAAGACAGCCTTCCCCGGTAGGTCACGCTCGTGCTCTTTGTCTCTCTCTCCCTCTCTCCCCCCTCCTCACCCCAGGTTTCATCGACACCCTTGTTCGGCTGCTTGGCGGCACGAGGCATGTGCTTGTTCCGTATCTAGATAGCTCTTACGCCTCCCGCGCCGACTGCACTTCTTTCTCGTCTTGTCAGCGCCTCCTTCTTCCTTTCTGCGACCTGTCTCCTTGGGCGGCGACAAGATTGATCTTTCAGCATGGCGTCCATCACGGCCACGGTGACGGAGGTCGTCAATCAGACTGTTACCCGGACAGTGGCTTCGGCTTCGGCGACGAGCACCATGAGGGCAACTCCCCAGGGCGGCGTTCTGGAGGGTGCGAATCCTACTCACTGGGATTCAAAGGTTGGTCTACCGAGACCATAAGAAAGACTCTGCCACTGACCACGACTTAGAACCCCATTGTCCTCTTCATCATCCAAGCCGGTATCATCATCATCTTCTGCCGTCTCCTCCACTGGCCTCTATCCAAAATTCGACAACCACGAGTCATCGCCGAAGTGATTGGAGGTATCTTGCTTGGCCCCTCAGTCTTCGGACGCATACCGGGCTTCACCGATGCCATCTTCCCAACCGCATCGATTCCCAGCCTCAACCTCGTGGCGAACTTGGGACTGGTCCTCTTCTTATTCTTGGTGGGCCTCGAAGTGGATCTTAGATTCTTCTTTGCGAACTGGAAAGTTGCGTTGAGCGTGGGTGCCGCTGGCATGGCGTTGCCCTTTGGGTTGGGCTGTGCGATTGCTTGGGGTCTGTACAATGAGTTCAGGAACGAGCCTGGGACTGTGCCTATTGAGTTTGGGACGTACATGCTCTTTATTGGTATTGCAATGGCTATCACGGTATGTGTGCATGACCTCCTGAAATGAGGAGCTTGGCTGACACCTTTCTAGGCTTTCCCCGTCCTGTGTCGTATTCTGACGGAACTGAAACTGCTCAACACCCCCGTTGGTGTCATCACACTCTCCGCTGGCGTTTCCAACGACGTTGTTGGCTGGATTCTGCTCGCGTTGTGTGTGGCACTGGTCAACGCTGGAAGCGGACTGACAGCTCTCTGGGTTCTACTAGTCACTATCGGATACGGGCTGTTCCTCTTTTTCGCCGTGAGGCCCGTTTTCATGTGGTACCTGCGCAAAAGTCGAGCTCTACAAGACGGCCCATCTCAAAGCGCAGTGGTCATTACACTCCTCATCGCGTTGGTATCTTCGTTCTTCACCGCTGTGGTTGGTGTGCATGCGATCTTTGGAGCTTTCATGGCTGGTCTGATCTGTCCACACGAAGGAGGTTTTGCCATCAAACTCACTGAGAAGATCGAGGATCTGATCACGGCGCTGTTTCTGCCGCTCTATTTCGCACTCTCTGGACTCTCAACCAACATTGGACTGCTGGACAACGGAATTACTTGGGCCTACGTTATTGGAGTCATTGCAATTGCGTTCATCGCAAAATTCATTGGCGGAACATTTGGAGCGAAGATTAACGGCTTGGTCTGGAGGGAATCATTCACCATCGGAGCACTTATGTCCTGCAAGGGTCTTGTCGAGCTGATCGTCTTGAACATCGGATTGCAAGCTAAGATCTTGAGCATCCGGACATTCACGATCTTCGTGGTCATGGCACTGGTCACAACCTTCGCGACAACACCTCTCGTGCAAGCTCTCTACCCCGAATGGTATCAGCGAAAACTGGAAGCCTGGAAACGAGGAGAGATCGACTGGGAGACTGGCAAGCCAATCACGGACGAAGCGACCGATCTCGACAGCATCGCGCTGCAGAAGTCTGAATTTGCTAAGATCAGAAACTTACTTGTGTATTTGCGACTCGACAATATGCCCACTCTGCTGGCGTTCGTGTCACTTCTGGGCGACAAGTCTACGAAACCGACTGCGAGGCATCATCCATCCAAAGATCAGCACGAAGACGAGACGCCTGATTTGTCAACGCAGAGGAAGGTCGCTGTCCACGGTGTCCGCCTCGTGGAGCTGACAGATCGTGGCTCGGCGGTCATGAAAGTATCGGAAGTCGACGAATACTCCGCCTTCGATCCAGTTCTGAACGCCTTCCGCGTGCTTGGGCAGCTGTTCAATCTCTCAGTTTCTGGCGAGGTGGCTGTTCTGCCGGAATCCGGCTTTGCTGACACACTCGTCGACAAGGCAGTGGAAGAGTCATCCGATCTCCTGTTGATCCCTTGGAGCGAGACCGGCACCCTATCAGAGCAGCAGACCGTCTCAAACGACAACGTCAAGCACAAGCTCTCGAGCGACCAGTACAATGCATTCGTCCAGAAGGCATTGGACTCCACGCAGTGCAATACTGCCGTTTTCATCAACAAGGGCTTCAGCGGCTCTCTCAAAGCAAGACCGGCCTTGTCACGCACCCTGAGTAGCTTCAGCGTACGCAGTGGGCGCGACCATCCGACAACGCTCCTGAACGTGGATCGAAGTCATCACATCTTCATGCCATTCTTCGGCCTCGGCTTGGATGATCGTGTAGCCCTTCGCCTCGTGCTGCAACTGGCAGAGAACCCAGAAGTCACCGCCACGATCGTACACTACGAATCCGACGACGCCATCGGCAACGCACCGCCACAAGAACTTACTTTGGACAAAAAAGATGAGACATCAGATAGCAAGAAACCCCAACTACGCACCGCGGGATCCACCGCCTCCAGCGGCAACGAGCACGCCACGTTCTTCTCTGCCATGCAGAAATCCCTCCCAGAGGAACTGGCTTCTAGGGTGGTCTTCGATACCGTCCACACGTCCAATGCACTCGACGACGCGTTGGGTCGAGCACAGGTAGAAGTCGCACAGAATCCCAGGAACGGCGGAGACGTTGTCGTCGTCGGGCGTCATATCGGTCATTTCAAGAAGACGTGGCAGAGCTCGAATTGCCTGGGTGCGTCTGCGGAGACTTTCGCGGACAGTGGCATCAGGGCCAGTATTCTTGTTGTTCAGGCGAGGGGGAGCAGCGTGGAATAGTAGAGCGTGTTTTGGTATGTGTGACGAGTTATGATATCCCATATAGGTAGTAGTGATGCCGGGCGGAAGGTCGCGGACTGCCGCAGAGTTCGGGCGGTCTAATGACTAGGTAGACTTGAATGTAGTGACGAGAGATATGATCATTACGACCATTCGATTTCGGTGCTACCTCCCTATCACCACTAGTCACATCTTCCGTCCAGGCTAAAATCGTTAGCACAAGCTTTCCGAGACACTCTTCACATGCAAAAGCTACAGGTACTACTACTTTACCACCCAGCATTTACCCATCCGGGCCTCCGTCATCACGAAGCCCCCTTCGCTTGCAGCAGGCAGGGGCAGGCAGGCTGAAGAAAGGGAATCGGCAGTGCAACGTACTGCACTCTGGCGAGGTTGCCGCGAGATGGCATGGGGTAGACATGGATCTTTTATGCGGGGCAATCATGGGGCTCCGTGGATGGAGGGATGGATGATGATCGGACCGGAGAGATAGGGAGCCTCATGACGTTCTGTTTCGCGATGCGAGGGCCTTTTTCTTTCGAAGTGGTGTCTATACATACATCTACGGTACTGTTGTACTTTCTGTACGCGAGCTGAAATGATGATGAAGGGGTGAGTGAGATTAGAAGGGCATGAGCAGATGACGCCTCCTCTGTCTAGCATGCTTCATTCTCTCTCAAGGTGGATGGAGGCCAGGCCCCGAAATCGTGGAACCGATCGAGCAGGCCGCAGGATCTCCTTTGCTTTGTCTGCACAGCTGCACATGAGGAAGAGAGCTGCCGTGCCACTTCTGCACAGCTGCGAGCTACTAAGGAGTAGGCTTCGGGGTGGAGCCAATTGGCGGGCGGCGGTCGAGTTCCTGAGAAGACGCAAGGCATGTGATGATGCCCAGTGGATGTAGGTGCGGCTGGTTTGGGGAGATGCGCTCCTTTGGCGGTGGTAGTGTAGAGTTGTTGTGTGTCGTTTTCGGCAGAGGGGCTTCTGCCGTTGTCGGCTCTTCGTTGTAGCTCGTCACGCGGCGTGGAAACTAATTCTAGTGCTGCTGCCAGTGGAGACCAGCGCATGACCTATGGCGGTCAGCCTATGACTGCTCTGGAGCATTGAATCTGCCGTCAGGTGCTGGCCGGCCATGCTATCATCGTCGTTGTCGTGGCTGTCGTCCTGCCGCCTGAATTGTTGTGGCTCCCATCCGTTGCTCAACAACATCGAAAACATTCCGCATCGACACCGCACCCCCGAACCCCGACGCCCCAGCATGTCTTTCATGTGAAAGGCCGAGACTTTGACGTCTGTCCTACGTATGGCCCACCGAGGGGCCTTCAATTCCAGGCGCGAACAATGTCGAGCCTCACACGACGCGGCGATGGTGGGAAAAAAGAGCAGGGCGATGAGTTGTGGAACAAGATCGCACAAGTCACGCTGTGTCCACAGTATACCACGGAATCGACCAAACCCGCCAATGCGGTCGATATTGCGAACGATGTCCTCGGCAGGGCATACAATTTGAAGCGTACCTGGAGCGGTCAGGGCAAAGCCGCAGCCGTGCAAGAGCAAGAAATCCGCACACGTATGAAAGATGCGAAAAGTTATGACGAGTGGAGGACCGCCGCTGAGAAGTTGGACATTCTCTTGGGCAAGACGAATTGGAAGTTTGTCGAAGAGTCGAACGATTGCGATATGGTGCTGCTCAGGAGACGGCTGGACAATCTCAAGGATGCTATCAACCAAGGCGACATGGAGGAAATGGTGCACTTGATCCGGACGTCACTTAAGAGAGACCTGGGAGGCATGTGTCATGTTCATCTCTATCAGCATTGCAATGTTGGCACGAAACATTTGATTGAGGAGTATACGGATGTCGTCAAGTACACTATCGAGGAAATTTGCAAGTACTGTGAATCTGCGGATCTGGCGACGGTCGACAGGTACCTATCGATGTTGAGATTGGCACGACAGTCTTTTGGCAAAAGCGCATTGATGCTGTCGGGTGGTGGGACTCTGGGAATGTGCCACATTGGTGTCGTCAAAGCGCTGCTGCAAGAGAACCTACTACCGAAAGTCGTTTGTGGCTCATCTGCTGGAAGCATCGTTGGCGCTGTTCTGTGCACGCAGAAAGGTAGAGCCATTCTGGACAAACTGGACGAATTGTGCAATGGCAACCTCAACGTCTTTCAAGCGCCGGATGAGATTCAAGGTATCGCAGGCATGGCGGCCAATATCCTCAAAGGCGAACCGGCTTTCGACATTGCGAACCTTTGCCGCGTGATGCGGACGCTTCTTGGGGACATGACATTCAAGGAGGCATACAACATGACTGGCATGATCTTGAACATTCACGTTTCGACTCGCGATAAACTCCATCTTCCTCGGTTGCTAAACTATCAGACTGCGCCGAATGTTGTCATCTGGAGCGCAGTGGCATCTTCATGCGCATTGCCATTAGTTTTCAGGCCACCAGGACTCAAGCAGAAAAACCCGGATACCCAGCAATTAGAATCGGTACATGGAGACCATCGCTGGATCGATGGGTCTATCGAAGGCGACGTTCCGTCTCAGATCCTGGAACGTCTGTTCAACATCAACAACTTCATTGCATCGCAAGTGAACCCGCACGTGTCGAGGTTCCTACCGCAGGAAGGAGAAGCTGCTAGTATGTTGCGAAAGGCTATGCTCATTACAAGATCAAACTCCATCTTCCTGCTTGATGGGATCATGGACCGTGGATACGATGCGTTCCCCATCAAAGCCGCTCACGCCGTGCTCAGCCAGAAGTACGATGGCAATGTGACCATCCTGCCCGATATCTCCTGGGTCAACTTCACAAAGATTCTTGCAAATCCAAGTCACGAATTCATGGAGCAAGCAACGCGCGTGGGCGAGAGAGCATCTTGGCCTAAGATCAGCCGTATCAAGATCTCAGTCGATATCGAGCTTGCCCTCGATCGAGGCATTAAGGACATCCAAGCCATTCAAGTTGGACAGCAACCGAATAGCGTCAAGTCAAGGAGAAATGTGTCGTCCACGAGATCAGAGCGTGGGCTCGGGGTTTGGCGGAGTAGAAGCTCTGGACCTGGAGGCGTTGGACTTACTCCCATCCCTCGTCTGCAACGAGGTAGAGCGAACATATCAGCCCACCGCCCGGTCAAGTCTATGGTCGAGCCATTCACCACGCCGCCTCCACAGGCCGTCGCGGCTCTCCAAGCCCCTGAACAGATACAATCTTCATCAGACGAGACGATCTCCGGCCACTCATCGCCAAACACTTCGTACGACGATGATGACATGGAGGACGACGACACCGACGACGACGACGAAACCATCCGTCTCGCAGAAGAGCACGAACGGATGAGGATCTTCAGATCGCAGCCCGCGTCGCCCAGTATCTCGAAGAAAACTTTCTGGGGAATCGATTCGGCTGGACATGCAACGCCTCCTTCTCCTGAGGGCAAGAGGGCTTGGAGTAGTTTGCACATGTCGAATGTCGCCGATGACTTTACGTTGGAGCGGAATAAGAAGCGTCGACAGGAAGGGTGATGGAAGAGCGAGCGAGCGAGCGAGTTTCATTGGGTTGCAAAAGCGATGTACAGTTTTGACGAGCTATCGAGGTTGGCGTTTAAAGAGCTGGGAGCGTTTTTGAAAGATACCCATGGGTAAAGGGAAGGAGGACTATAGATCACCGACAGTGTTATTTGGGGATAGCGATTCGGCGTGATTGATACGGTGGTGGACAGACTGGAAACGTAGTCGAATAGAGACACTATCTCATATGTATATACACCAACCGACAGAAGCATAATGATCACCCAAAAACCATTCGAATACTTCAACTCGTCCCCCAACCCTCTAGATTGACGACAATCGGCTCCTTGCCACTCCTCACAATCGCCCAGACGACGTCCTCGTCAGAATCGTTAACTTCCTGATGCTCAGCATAAGCCGGAATCAACGCATAACTATCACCACATCAAATCAGCACCCACCCACCCCCATCCTCATATCAACGAAGAAAAAAGAAAAGCAAAAGCATACTCCCCCGGCATCAACTCCACCCTCTTCCTCCCGCCCTCACTCACAATCGCGCCGTGCCCGGCATGCGCAAACACAATCGTGTTCTCCTCGCCGTGGTGGTGGACCGCGGAGGCGGTGTGGGGTTTCGCGATCATGCGCGAGGCGCAGATGTTGGAGCAGGCGTTGACGAGGGCCTTTTGCCGGATCATGCCGGTGGTTTGGTTGCCGGAGGTGGAGAGGGCGGTGCTGGGGGTGTGGAGGATGGGGTGTTGGGGGTTGGTGGGGGGCATTTTCTGGGGCGTGGTTGGGGGAGGTGGAGGTTGAGCGGTCGCGAGTCTTGGGTTGTGTTGTGGTTTGAAGATTGGTTATGATGTAGTTGTGGGTTGAAGATTGATTATGATGTAGTTGTTGATGATGAGAGGTACGGATAGAAGGAACCTACTGTAGTACCTAGCTGCGAAGCTCTAGACTCCAGAGATGTGGCTTGAACTTTGAAAGTAGAAGTTGTTTGAGAGCATCATGAAGATACTACTCTTCTCTTTGTGTATTCGTTCTTGATTCATGAAATCCAGACCAGTGCATCATAACGTCTCGATTGCGAATGGATAATTTTTGAACACTCACGTTCACCTACCTTGATCCACTCCCTTCCGACAGGCCGCCTAGTATCTCTCCAGCTTTTGCCACCTGTTGGATGAAGTCTGAAACCAGCTCGATGCACGACTTTTGGAATGCCACTCCAGAACCCCAAGCTCTTGATGTAGGACTCTGCTGCCTTCATGTCGTCCACGGAGCAGCAGAAGTCGGTCTTCGAGGAGAAGTTGATGTGTATCTCGCGAAACAGTTTACAGAGATTTCTATGAATGTTCGCGTTCGCCGGGTGTTCTTTTCTGGTGAGCTGGAGGGACGGTGTATGTGCGCGAACATATCGTTGGGCGCGTTTTTCGCGGCGAGGAGACGCGTTCTTCGGGGTGGGAAGGCGTGTTTCGGAGCGAGATTGATGCTGCTTCAAAGAAGTCGAGTATGACCGCCTTTTGGCCTACATTTTCGAAGATGGAGAGATTGACTTTCCGCTGGCAGGAACATCAAATGCTATTGAATGCGGAGGCCCTCGTGCTTGTACGAATGCAGCAGTGCGCCCGATCAAATGGCCGGTGGTGTTCACAGGACCAATGTCGGCCAGGACGAGAAAGTTCGGCATGTGACTGAAAGCGATGACGAACAGGCCGAGGCATCTGCGCCGAATCCAGCGAATCAGCATCGCGCTTTCCCCGTCTTACACCTCCGGGCTTGTCACTTGACCGCCGCCATGCGGCTCGCAGACATCACTGCAGTTCCGGGTCGTGGTCGATTTGACGCAGATGGCTCGGCTGGAGTGCGTCTTTCACATGCCAAAAGCCCGTATTTGCGTTTCCCCCGGCATAATAAGCTAAGGTCAAGTCTGACATTCTTCTCCCTTTTGTTTCGCTCTCCCCGTCGCTGCGTTCCCCGCGCTCTTTGTCTACTCTCCCACAACGACAACTATCTCTTTTCTTGTTATTCACTGTCACCAGTAACACACACCATGTCCAAGGTGTTCAAGGCCGAGGAGGTCGCGGCTCACAAGAAGCCCGACGACCTCTACATCATCGTCGACCAAGATGTCTACGATCTTACACAGTTCCAGGATGAGCATCCCGGAGGCAAGAAGAGTGCGTGAACTGATCAGTGAGAGATGAAGAAGCATGTGTAGCTGACGGTATCAAAGTCCTCCAGAGGGTTGCCGGCAAGGACGCGAGCAAGCAGTTTTGGAAATACCACAACGAGAGCATCCTCAAGAAGTACCAGAGCAAGCTGCAAGTCGGATCTCTAGACAGCAAGCCGCAGCCTGCCGCGCCAACCCCTCCGCCATCACCACCGGCCAAGCAAGAGAAGGAGAAGGTTGTCCCACAGGCCGAGTCTGGCGTTGTGGCCGCCGTTCCAGGCCCCGATGCAGAGGAAGAGGCAGAGGCAATGGATCAGTTCGGCGACATGGTCCCATACGCAGACCCATCCTGGTACCAAACTTACCACACTCCATACTTCAACCAATCCCACGCAGATCTCCGAGCCGAAGTACGACAGTGGGTTGAGGACGAGATTATGCCAAACGTTACGGAGTGGGACGAGGCCAAGAAGGTGCCAGACAGCATCTACAAGCAGATGGGTGAGCGTGGATACCTCGCCGGTCTCATGGGTCTGCATAAGTGGCCCACGCACCTCACAAACCACGCCGTCAAGTCTGTGCCAGCCGAGAAGTGGGATCTCTTCCATGAGATGCTGCTTACTGACGAGCTGTCCCGTGCCGGATCCGGTGGTTTCGTGTGGAATGTCATCGGAGGTTTTGGTATTGGTGGCCCACCAGTCGTGAAGCACGGCAAGAAGGAGTTGATTGACCGCATCATGCCTGGCATTCTCAACGGTGACAAGCGCATCTGTTTGGCCATCACTGAGCCAGACGCTGGATCTGATGTGGCCAACTTGACTTGCGAGGCCAAGCTTACCGAGGATGGCAAGCACTACATTGTCAACGGTGAGAAGAAGTGGATCACCAACGGTATTTGGTAAGTGTTGAAATGCCGCCATAATTGTCCAGAAACTAACGATGTCCAGGTGCGACTACTTCACGACCGCCGTGCGAACGGGTGGCGAGGGCATGAACGGTGTCTCCGTCCTGCTCATCGAGCGCGAACACGAGGGTGTCAGCACTCGCCGCATGGACTGCCAGGGTGTCTGGAGCTCCGGCACAACCTATGTCACCTTCGAAGACGTCAAGGTCCCAGTCGAGAACCTGATCGGCAAGGAGAACCAGGGATTCAAGGTCATCATGACCAACTTCAACCACGAGCGTATCGGCATCATCATCCAGTGCATCCGATTCAGCCGTGTCTGCTACGAGGAGAGCATGAAGTACGCCCACAAGAGACGCACTTTCGGCCAGAAACTCATCAACCACCCCGTCATCCGTCTGAAGCTCGCACACATGGCCCGCCAGATCGAAGCATCATACTCATGGATGGAGTCCCTCATCTATCAGGCCCAGAAGATGAACGAGCACGAGGCGATGTTGAAGCTCGGTGGCGCCATTGCCGGTCTCAAGGCCCAATCCACCACGACTTTCGAATTCTGCGCGAGAGAAGCATCCCAGATCTTCGGTGGTCTCAGCTACAGCAGAGGTGGCCAGGGTGCCAAGATCGAGCGCTTGTACAGAGACGTTCGTGCATACGCCATTCCAGGTGGAAGTGAAGAGATTATGCTCGACTTGAGCATCCGACAAGCATTGAGGGTGCACCAGGTACTCGGCATGAAGCTCTGAGGCGGTGGCAAGATAGAAGCAGCAGCAACATGCATGGGAAGCGGAGTCGGGCATAGCAGCCGGTGTGTGGTGCGATCAGTCTTTTGGCGGCACATGTGACCTATATCATCCCACATTCTTGTATACAGCCGAGGTGGAAAGAAGCTAGGAGCTTTGAGATCTACATCGATATTCGACATTCAAAGTTTTCTCTTTGTGTTGAAGAAGACTTCCTTCGAAGATATGCATTTCTAGTAGATCGGCCGTCTAAGTTCGTTGACATTCTCCCATGCGTCTAGCATACGGTCATAGCACATCGCGAGACATGCGACAGGTATCTCCAATTTCAGCCTTTTGAGAAGCATCCATTCATTCATCCATCCCTCACATCACACTTCCCCTGCGTGGGAAGTTGACACCTTCTGTTGCTGAAGCGTCACAGAACCAGCTGACTTTCTCCCCGGCCCCACGGTTGACCAACCCACTAGGAAGATTCCCTCCCTGCTCCGTCTCAAAAATCTTCTTCAAGATATCCTTCTTCCCACCTCCCGTCGCGACGAATCCGATCTTCGCCGCGTGCAGCACGACCGGCAGACTGAGCGTGATGCGCTTCGGCGGCGGCTTGGGCGAGTCGCTGATGGAGAGCACCCAGGCGTCTTGTTCTCTCAGCAACGGGTGATCCGGGAAGAGCGAGCAGGTATGTCCGTCAGGCCCGCAGCCGAGCAAGAGCAGATCAAAGAGCGGGAGTTTGACCGAGTCGCGCGCGGCGAAGATGGACACCAGCGTCTTCTCGTACTGATCCGCGCATTCCTTCGGGTCGTCGAGGTACTGCTCATCGATCGGGTAGACCTTCGGCTGGCCGAGTTCCTGCGGGATCCTATCAAGCAGGTCCTGCTTCACCAGGTTGTGGTTCGAGTCCTCGTGGTCGAGCGGCACGCAGCGCTCGTCGGCGTAAAAGACCTCCCATTTGCTGAATTCCGGCGTGTCGTCTTTGCTGCCGTTGGAGGGCGCGAGGAGGGCTTTGGCGAGGGTTTTGGGGAGGGAGCCGCCGGAGACGGCGACGCGGAAGACGCCGTGGCGAGCGAGGGCTTCGTTTTGCTGCTCGAGGACGTATTTGCGCAGGTTGGGCGCGAGGTCTTTGTCGACGTCTTGGAAGGAGTAGAGGTTTGGTGGGCCGCCCATGGTTGTGGTTGGGTTCCGCGCAGGCAGTAGTAGAAGGAGTAGGAAGAGAAGTAGATGGGTGGCAAGAGATATCGTCACGGTAACCTTTTCGTCCTTCTCACCTCAAACTTCACGCAGCGTCGGCAGTGGTAGTGTGAAACAGCTAGTTGAAGATCACTCACGCACTTATCAATTGCTGATTGACGTAGAGAGGTGTTCAAAAAAGGCTCCACACCACGTTTCTGTGGACTTCTGTGACCGATGCGGGGTGCTCTTCGCTTCAATTCGCCTCGAGCTTGTCCTACGCCCTGCTCGTTTTCCGCGAGAGCCGCATGTGGAAAACGATGCAGGCGTGAGGGAGAGAGAGGTTCGCATCCCGTTACGAAACATCACCGACGGCATCGACTTTCGTGGTGCGCTGCAGCGAGCGATGTGCAAGGACGGCTGACTGCAGCGACACACACCCTGACGAACTCGCCCTGCACAGTGACATCGTGTCGTCCTGCACGTCAACAAATCGGTGCTGGCCGGCAGGATAGGTATCTACCGACCTTCTTCCGTCGCCTGGAATTTTGCAAAGTGAATCGAAGAGGATCACGTGGAGATTGGCGATATCAGGAAGCTATCCAAACAGACGTCTACGTTCGAGGGCTGTAGAAGGATCTGCAATGGGAGCCGGCAAACCGAAGCAGTTTACGAGGCCGCCTCCAAAGAAGAAGCCGCAGAAATCATCAGTGCTGGAGTCTGTCGATGACTTTCAAGATGCAGCCGATTATGAAGAGAGTGCTGGAGGGAAGCATCGTGTTGGCGACCCTGTCAAGTCTGGCAGGGCTTTCGTGAGAGCAGTGAGCGATAACAGCATGTTAGTCCAACGATGTCAGAGCTAATCATTTCCTTCCAGTTTGATGTCTACGACAAAGGTCTCTCAAAGCATCCCTCAAGTTTTGATCTGGCCTACAACAAAGCTCGTCTCCAACTCGAGATCTCCCAACATGAGAACATCCTCGAGCACATCGGCGTGGAAATGCTGGACTGGCTGCAACTTACCCTGGAATCCCACCGATATGCGTTGAAGTTGAGCGGAGACAATCCGGACGTTCTGTTCAATACGGCCCAGGTGTTGAGTTCTCTGGCCGAAGGCTTATCTGGAGACGATCGTTCAGATGAAGCCGTACCTCTACTGCATGAAGCCCTGGAACTGCTCTCGTCGTGTCTTTCGAAGCAAGAGATGATGTACGAACAACATCAGCTCGATTTCCCAGATACCGAAGAAGGCGGTGTCCCTCTAGACCCGGACGAGAAGCCAGCGCCGACCGAAGATACTGACATGCAGGATGAGCAGTCGGCAGTGGTCGAAGTACCGATTTCTGCGTCTGATCTGCTCGATACTGTGCACGCCTCCTTATCAGCCCTCATTACTCTTGTACCCCTGGCGGATCAGCCTGGTCTTCAGAACCTGGGCGAGATGGCGCAGACATTAACCGAGTCAAAGGCACCTGACTACATCAAACTCGTTCCAGCAGAAGAGCAGGACAGAGCTCGCTTCTCAATCGCCTTGGATCGCGCTGGATTCATAGCGGCGTTCGCCAACGCACAGTTCGAGTTCCAGATTATCGAGCTGCAGACATACGTAGAGCGTCTCGAGACATTCAACATCCCAGGCAAAGAAGCGGACGCCACAGCCCTCAACACAGAAGCCGAAGCGCGGACAGAGCTGGTATTGGCAAGTCTGGATCGATTCGGCGAGTCATCAGATCTTCCTGCAATGCTCTGCTGGAAACAAATGAGCCTGTCTCAAGACTTGTATACTCAAACGACGAAGCTAAGCACCGAGGATGCTCAAGAGCGCAGAGCCGAGACGTACAAAGCAAAAGGCGACCTCGAACTCCTCCGACATCGCGTGGCCAACGTACCGAAAGCTGACCTCTCAGATGGCGTTAGGAAGAGTGCAAAGACGCTCATTCAGAATGCTCAGACGTACTACAAGGGCGCTGTGTCCCATGCGAAAGTCAGTGGGGATAAAGATGTGGAAGAAGAAGCTCAGCAGAGGTGGGATCTGGCGAAGACTATTGCTGCGATGATGTACGGTGGCGATCAACCGGCGGTCGAGCCGGACACCTTAATGGAGGCTTTGCAGGGTTGTGTTGATGAAGGGTTTGTCAGTGAACAGTTGGCGCAGGCGATGATGCAGGGCTCGTTTGCGTCGGGGAGCTGAGTGTGAAGATGTCTTTTGGCGGTATGATACCCTGTAGAGCGTACGAATGTAGATGGCAGCCAGAAATGAGGCGTATGCAGTGGGCGTGAGTTTTGAAGAAAGTACTTGCGATGCAAAATGCCTCTTTCGTCCCTGATGCTGGGTATCGTTCTATCATGCAGCTATAATGCCGGCTAGGCACAAAGAATTTCACTTTTCATGCCTCGAACGTTCAACTCCATAGCGCCGTCGCTCCCAAATCACACACGAAAAATCCTTCTCCGTTCAACCATCGACATCCATCTCCTCGGCACCCTTGCCCCTCACCAATCGCTGCTTCTTCTTCTGCACAACCTTGTTCTTCCCCTTCTTCGCCTTCTGCTCCTCCAACTTCTCCTCCTCCAACACATCCAGATCCTCCTCCTCAAGCTCATTCTCCTCCAGCTCCATCTCATTCGTCTGCGCCTCAACCTCCTGCAGCACCTCCTCCACCTGATCCCGATACTGCGGCGGCAGCAAATGCTGGTTCTCCGCCACCAGTTTCCGGTCCGCCTCGAGCTGCTTCTCCTTGTTGCCCTTCATGCGGTTCTTGTAGAATTGTCGCTCTCTCCGCGCGCGGATCTCCGAGACACGTTGCATGGCCTGGAGAGTGGTGGCGACGAGGTCGCGGTTGTAGCGCACAGGGATGTTGCGGCGTTGGGCGAAGGCGAGGGTCGAGTCGACGGTCATTTCTTTGCCGTGTGCGCGGCGGAAGGCTTTGGTCCAGGCCAGTTTGCGGGGGTTACGCTTCATTTTGAACTGTTGCGAGTATCCAAAATTAGCATGATTTTTGGTCGAGATATGTGCAAGATTCGTTCTTGAAGAACGACTACTCACGTTTTTGTGGCATTTTGATTTGCAGAAGCGGAAGGCCTTTGCGTCGTTGCGGACGAATGTGATACCCTTGGACGGGTACACCGGCTGCGAGCAGAAGTAGCACGTTTCGATCCTCATCTTGGCGGGGGGTGGGAGTGTTGGGTGGTGTGTCGTGTGAGCGGTCGAGGATATCGATTCGAAGAGTGAAGTGGGTGAACTTTTCGTTGCCGATCGCGGCTAGAGCCGAGATGCCGAAAACCCTAGCCCGAGAGTCTCTGGCTTCTGCGGCGAGATCGTCGACTCTCCCGATGACTTGCGCCAACGATCTTTGTTCTCTGCTCTTCTGACAACTTCACTCGAAACGATACGCTCTGTCGAACTTGGACCTCTCGGGCACCTGAAGCGATCATCCCAGAACTTGAGAGCATCATGGCAACAGCTGTTGCGATAGGCGTAGGAGTCGCCGCTGCAGCTTTCTTCGTATGTCTTCTCCATCGTACTTTCATTTCGGGAGCCCACTAACATCTCGACAGGGGCGCGCAGGACTGGTAGCTCTACGAAGATATCGAGGAGGAACGAGTGCGTTAGGAAAAGCATACTACAAAGGCGGTTTCGAGAAACAGATGAACAGGAGGGAAGCAGCGTTGATTCTTGAGACATCGTGAGGACACCCATATGCCGCAAGTTGTACATGCTGTTGGACATCAGACTAATGGAATGATTAATAAGAGAACGAGGCGTAACGAAAGAGATCATCCGCAAGAAGCACCGACAAATGATGCTCCTAAACCACCCCGATCGAGGAGGCAGCCCATACCTAGCCACGAAAATCAACGAGGCGAAAGAGTTCTTGGAGAAGGGAGCGCAATGAGTTATTAAAAGAAGTGCCGAATATCGTTTAGCGAGGCGTTGGTGGGAAAAGGCATCATGGACAAGCAAACTTCGGCATTCTCGACTCCATATATCAATCACACTCAAACTAAGCAGGCGTCAGAGCCGCTCTGACGACCTCATCCAAGTTCTCCTCCTCGATACCAAGCGCCTCTCGATCCTCTCTCGCCTTCTCTTCGAAATTACCGCCCTTCCCATTTCCCAAGTAATAGCTATACAACCCATGCATAGGCCCGCTCTTCTCAAGCTCCGCGATAGTGCTATGCTTAATCTCCCAGTCGGCGTCAGCAGTCCCCGTGGCCTTCTTGACGGAATCGAAGATCTTGGCTTGAGTCGTGCAGACAGAGGAGATGTAGATGAAGTTGTTCGCGTAGTGCTCCAGAGATGCTCGTGGGTTTTCTGACGATGTCACGGGCAGTGATAATACCTTTGCGATGGAGAGACCGACTTGGCTTATGGAGGCGGTGTTGTTCTCGCCACCATCATCGTACACTGAGAGCACGGGATAGCGTTAGCAGGCTCCGAATCACATCGCGAGATTGCTGAATGGGAAAGGTAACGTACGAGTTGCCTGGCGATTCCGGACATCGATACCGAACAGACCCCAGGTCACACTCTAAAACAAGAATCAGCACAAGATCGAGAGAACATACAAACAGCTAAAACTCACAAGCTCCGTCCACGGCCCTGTCACAGGAGAGATATGCTTCATGCCGGCATCGCGAATCAACTTCCTCGCAGCGACCTTCTGCGCGATCACGGGATGCGAAGCCAAATCGCCCGTCAAAGCATCCAAAGAGTACTCGTTCGGAACGATATACTTGACGCCCGCCTTGGCCGCCGCCTCGATTAGCTTAGGCTGGTCCCCAGCGCCGCTGTGGGCCAGGCAGAAAGCCGCGAGTTCGTTGCCTTGGAAGGCTGACTGGAGAAAGGCTGCATCGCTGTAGGAGCCTTTCTTGACGGTGATTTGGGAGGAGGAGGGGAAGGTTGCGGACGAGTCTGTGCGGGAGACGATGGTTATGGAGATGGTTTTGTTGATGGCGAGGAGATGCTTGAGGATGGAGGAGCCGGTGTTGCCGCTCGCCTGGGGGTGCGTTGTGTCAGTATATGTTGTATTTCAAGGTCGTTCTGAGTAAGTGTTTGGGAACGTACACCGACGATGACGATCTTCTTGAGGCCAGACATCTTGTAGAAGTGAGTAGTGAAGCAGAGTGGATAAGAGGCGTGTTGAAGATACAGGTAGGTATGTTCTTTGGCTGCGATCTTTATATAGGTAGCTTTGATACCATGTACTGCTTGAGGAAACTATGTAGGTACCACTGCTAGCGTCTAGTAGCTGGCCAGATTGGATCTCCTTGGACATGCATGACGTGCGGGCATTGTTCCGCACATCAAGTCGTCCTGGTGTTGGTAGAAGTCATGAAACCAGCTTGCTGAGAAATGTTTCCGGTAGGACAATGTTGTGGTGGAGACAAAGCTGTTCTCCTATTCCTCCATGGAGTCGTAAAGTAGCGCTTTGCAACTATCCGCGCGGCTGAACATGGAGGCCGGCGGGAGGATTGGTAGCCTTGGCCCCTGCTGGAACTTGACCCATGAATTGTACCATAACCATTTGCTGAAGATGCATGTTCAAGCCTTTCCCTTCCGTTCCTTGTCACGCCATTCCATGAACAAGCCGACGTCTTTGACGACTGCTCCGCCAATTCCGAGCTTCTGGACCCACATGGGAAGGTTTCCTCCAGCATCGCTCGCAGTGCCCATCTGCCACTTGACCTTTGCGCCGTCTTCCAGAAGTTCGCCTCGTTCGATACTGCAGTATATGCCCGGGGTGTACTTCGAGTCTTTGGCGTACTTTGCGTTCGGAACCTTTGACATGTCCACCGGTATCTGGACATCGACGAACTCTGTATGCCCCTTCTTGCCAGCCAGTACCAGGACAGTGAACACTCGTGTTTGTAATGGGAATGGAAGGTTGTGCACCATCTCCATGAGATACATCTCCACATCCGTCCATTGTCCCACAGCATGTCCAAAACGTTGAAGCTCATCGCGCCAATCAAGAACCTTGTGCGCGTCTTCTACGTCGGGTGTGTAGTCCTTCTCATGTTGACTGTGATCTTTTCTGAGCCCTGCATCGAACTCTTCCCAGCTTGCTGTGCCATGCTTTGCCGCGTTCTCGTGAATGCTCGACCGAGCATACCAGGACTCTGATCGACCTTGCGTACGGCCTTCTTGCGGCAGATCATGGGCGCTGATCTGGTGATGTAGAAGCTCGACGGTGGCTTTGGAGGGTGGGGAATGTTTGTGTGTGTCTTTGACTTTGAAATGCTTCGGTAGGTAGCCTGTCATGAATTGTTGTCCTTCTTCTAGGATCGCATGTACGAAGTCTCCCAGCTCGTGGGGCGATCCGCCGGATTGTAGGGATGCCAGGTCTGGATGGTGTGGAAGTTGCGCGGGTGGGAGTGCTTTCATGCGAATGAAGGTCCCCAGGTGGTTTGGGTCTGTTGGGTCGGCCATGTTGTAGGTCAGGTGGTGAGGTGTTTGGTTAATGCAAGGAGAGGTTGGATAGGTGAAGGAGATGCGAAGATGCAGGACCTACTGTCAGCTACAACAACAAGTGAGGGTAGTCACACGATATCCGGAAGTCATGGCAGCATCGACTCGCAAAAGTGACGACGCGCACGATGATGCTCACTCAAGCTGCAACGTCCTGAACTTTGTCGATCTCAGGTGGCCGGGGTCTTCCTAGGGCGAACGGAACAACTCCACCTCATGGAGCCGACGAAATATATGTATAGTCGAAAGGTACTTCCGACCACAAAATATCTGATTCAAACCGGGATATGACTCCCAAAAGGTTGGCCATGACTTCGAACGTCTTCCAGATCAACGATAGGGCCGCGCATGACGAAGTAGTCTCTCAGTCAAAAGAGCATCCTACCGTTATCAACGTCTCCAACTCCTCGCTGCCCATCTGCAAGAAGTTCACCTTGGACTACTCCTCCTTGGCCGAAAGATGGCAACCAAAGGGAATCAAGTTCGCCCAGCTCGAGTTCTCCCGGGATACCAGCATGCTGTTCAAGTTCTCGCCTAATCAACTGCCAGTAACGGTCCTGAGGGTTGGAGACAGATGGTGTAAGACCGTCATGGGCGCGAATATAAAGGGCCTTGAAGATGCTCTCGGCGAGTTGTTGAGGGAGTCGAACCGGTCGTGAGTGAAAGATGAGAAGAAGACGGCAAAGAGGAGACGCAAGTGAATGAAGAAAGTCGAAGTGGTTGTTGATTGGCTGCCTTGGCGATGCTTAGTCACCGCTTGCTCTGGCAACCCGCTGTTTGTTGAGATCCTCGACGACTTCATGTCTTCAAATGTTCTCTCTACGGCTTGAGCACGTCAACACCGGCATCACCTAGACAAGCATGTCTTTACCGCAGCATACGATTGAAAACGGCGATTCGGTACAGCAACGGATATCTGGATTCAAGAGAAAGCGGACGGCTCAGGACTCTGTCGAAGAAGACATCGCCTGGACTGCGGTTCGCTGCCAGAGGCTGCTGAGGACCATCACTTCACGGATATCGTCTTTGCGTAGACTTCTCGAAACAGATGCCACATTTCAGACGAGTTCAAGCGGTGCCTATAGCGAAGTCAGAAAGCACCCACCAAGGAAGACCGAGCACTGGTCCTCTGTTGATCCCGCGTGGGTACCAAATGGCAAGCCTAAAGGTCAAGGACGAACATACGCCGCCAAGCCGAAACCAGTGGTCAGGAAGGTGTTGAAGGCGCGGGACCCCAATTTAGTGTTTCCCAGCCCCTTCGTCAAACGCATTGGAACGGCTGGTATCTCCAAGGACGAAAGCTCGCCAATTCGGAAAGAAGTCCAGCCGGAGAAGAAGACCCGAAGAAGCAGACAACTTCCAATCAAGCCACAGTCAGCTAGACAACAAGCTGAGAATGGACTGGTGTCCGCAGTCTCCAGTCTGTTGAACTTTACGAAAGCAGTCGCGCAGGTGCGAAAGGGGTCGCGCTCTCTTCTGAGTACTTGCCTACGCCAAGTACCAGGCTATATTGAGCTCATCATGGACGACAATGAAAATCATGCGAACCAAGAAGACGTTGTAGCGGAGGTCTTTACCTATCTTGAAGACTTCGGGACAAGGGATGGCTGGCCTGGGTTAAAAGAGGTCGTCCGACGTCAAGGTATCCATCTTGTTGCTAAAGCTATCAGCGACAATGTACTGTCTGAGAACAGTATCCGTACGATGGTTGATATCTGCAGCTCGCAAGGCGCTCTCTCAGAAGGGCATGACTTATTGCAAGCATGGCTCGGTCGGAACGACGCGGCCTCGAATGACAGCCTCGAGCGTCTGGACTCTTTCTCATCTCACCACCGATGTACTGTACTGAAATATCGGACGATCAACGAGCTTTGCAAATCACAGAGCTCATTATTGGTTCGCTATGGAAGCTCGACAAATTTCTGGAAGGACATGTTGAGCTCCCTCACGGGTGATGCTTGCCTGGAAGCAACACGATGCCTTGTAACTTGCTTGTCTACATTTGGAGGCCTCGATTATGAAGGAGAGTTGAAAGCTGGAATAAAATCACACATGCGAGACCTCGCACTCAAAGTCACGGTCATGGCGACTGCGAGCATCTTGCCTAAAGCACGTTCCTCCGGCGGTATGGGCCTATTCGAAGCACTACAAGCAGTAACCGCTCATATATGCTTGACTCGCACAAGCAATTCCCAGAAGCGTCGTAGACGACGAGTGCATCTGTCCGAATTCGAAATATTATTCATGTTGGGCTCTCAACTACTCCTGGGCCTCGATACCAAACAGCAGACTGCATGCGGCGTTTTGAGCTTGGACATCATGACAGAAGCATTGGATATATCGAACCCACCTGACAGTCCCAGGTGGCAGTCAGAATGGCGCATGTATCAGGAGGATTTCGCCGCCGAAATCACGAAGGGCATCGTCACCCTCGAGAAATACATTGGCACCACGATAACTGGCCCACTACTCGACGGGGCACTCCATGCGATCGAGAGCGGATCACCAGTCGCATCTTTACTCAAGCAAGTGGCTTTGGAAACATCAAACGTGCTTCGACAAAACAACGACGACCAGCTTGACTTCGATCTGGAAGACTATATGAAACGCCTCAATCAGCCAAGGGAGCCTGCTTCCAGCATGCAGACGCCACATCGTGGCAACCAGAATGGGCGATTTCGGTGGGAAGAGGGTCTTTGCGAATGGGTTACCGCAACGCCATTTCTTGCACGTGCGCCCTCTGAGGGACAGGCGGACTCTGGATCTGAGGTCGACAAGGATGGAGACGAGCTCGCCCCAAGTCCTGAGTGCTCACCAGACGTGCTGGCACTGTCACCGCCATTGGAACGACGACGTGTGCAAGTCAAGAGTCCGCTGTGGGGCAGGAAGGTGACGAAGGGGGTTGTAGTTTTGCCTGCCCAGAAACCACGAAGCGCCAGACATAGCGAGTCTTGTCACATTGGATACGAGAGTGGGGATGAGCTATCGTTTTGAAGTCGAATGGAATTCTTGGTTCTGGCCCCGAGTCCTGCTCTTTAACAGTCGCCCATCGTTTTCACAGCGAGGATGAGTGCATGTGCGAACAACTCTTGGCTGCAAATCGGTCTATGTTGTGGAGCGATCGATCCATATCATACCGTGCAAGCCCGATTCCTCAGCAGTTTGACGACCTCTGCGAACCCCTTCGCCGAAGCTAGAGTGATAGCATCTTCATCAACCCGTGCTCCTCGGTCCAGGAGCACTTCAACAGTTGCTAGATCCCTACTCCAAGAGGCCCAATGCAGTGCATTTCACCCCTCATGTGTGAGCCGCGCTTTGACAGCCAAAGAAGCCCATCGCGGCACACTCCGCAATATCGACGTCCATTGTAAGGGGTCACTACTAGTCGCTGGGACGGAATCCAGGAGGACCTCTATCACTTTCTTGTGGCCGCGATTAGCCGCCCGGTGCAAGGCAAGACAGGTTACCAACGCATCATGGTCTACGGCACCATGGTCTACAAGAACCTGCACCACGTCATGGTGTCCTGTCTCTGATGCCAACAGCAATGCATCTAGATTCAGGTCTCCGCGGCTGCGCATGTGTGCACCCGCCTCGATTAGCATCCTCACTGCCTGCGGGTTACCCACCGCTGCCGCCCTTGTTAAAGCAGTGTCGAGAGGCTTGCCTCGAAGCTCACCGTCAGCCCCTGCGGCTAATAACAACCGTAACACTGGAAGGTTTTCTCTCTCCAGTGCGGCCTGCAGCGCGTTGCCATACCGCCCACCTCGAGCGTTGACATGCGCCCCCCTTTCCAACAGCATCCGCACCACCTGTTCGTGGCCTTCCTCTGATGCCGCTTGCAGGGCGTTACCGGACCGGCCAGCTTGAAGATTCACCTGCGCACCCGCATCGAGAAGCATTTGCACTACGTTGTGGTGACCTCTCCATGATGCTGCTTGCAGGCCGGTGCCGTAGGGCTTGGCTTCGGTGTCGATGTCGGCTCCCGCGTTTATCAATATCTTCACCACGTGGTCATGGCCTTTCCATGCGGCGGCCTGCAGCGCAGTGCCCCATTCCCCTCCCCTGGCATTGACGTTCGCTCCTGAGGTTATGAGTAGCTCAGCCACGCTCGCATCGCCCCTTTCACACGCTGCTTGTAGCGCGTTCCCATACCGGCCCCCTTTGGCGTGAACGTCAACCCCTGCCTCTATCAGCGCTTCTGCAACCGGCCGCAGCCCGACTGTACTGGCATAGTACAGCGAGGAACCAGCGTCATCTACGTCAGGTATTCGGCGGAAAGGGTCAAGCCAGGGGAAGTCAGGCCTATGCACAAGAAGCCAGTCCAGCCGTCTAGATTCGGATAACAACAAGAGTGCCTCGCTGCGGTAGCTGCCTTCACGCTTCAGCGAGGAATGGTGTTACCAAGACGATGCAGCGTACTTCAGCAAGGGGAATGTGTGTTGATCTTCTCCAGTTGAGGCCTTTGCAGGACTGTCACTATAGTGGGTTAGGTACACCAGGCAGCTTTCCGAGAGCAGGTCGTGTTCTCTCGCGGGGAAGAGATGGAATTCCTTGGCTGTGCTCGCCAGGATACGTTGAGATTCCAAATACTCCTTGACCGAGAAATGTGCAAGTCGAGCTTTGGTGTGCTTTGAGGCTCGTTTCACCAGAGGTTCAGAACTCATGCTCTCGCTCTCGGTGTCACGGGCCTCAGACAACAAAGTGCCTTCATCGGTGACCACAAGCCCAGCCAGTACTTCCAAGACGTCGGTCCACCCGCCCCGGTTGTCAAAGTCAACGGCTCCCTTTGCGGTCGTATCTACAATCGTCGCCTCAACGAGCTCGCCCAGGCTGAGGGGTGAGTGCGCGTAGGCTAGCCATCGGAGGAGCACCATCGCCTCTGTACGGTCCTGGTCCTGGATATCGCATAACATGCGCTCGTATGTCCCGTCTAAAGTCCTCGGCAGAGCATACAAAGCCGCCTCGACAGACTTCGGCTTGGTGGATTTGAGCCTTTTCAGCGCTTCCAGCTGACAGTATGCCCATCTGAACCTGGACGAGAAGGTGTACAAGTCAGCGTGAGATCAACTTATGGCACTAAGGAGTGCTCGGCCTACATTCCATCCGCTTTTTGTGAAAGCGTGTCTTCGAGCAGTCGCTTCGTGGCGTCGTCTAATTGAGATAGCTTACGATCCAGTGATAGCTGGGTTGAAACGTACTTGCGAATGTCAGCATCTACTGCCCTGGCTGCAATGAGCATCGACTCCGCGTCGACTCTCTCCGCGAACTCACGTATGTCGCGGATATCTTGGCTCGTCACGAGGATACGCAGATTCGGTGCGTTGTTCAGGAGTCGTTCTATGCTGTTCAAGAGCTGTTGCCGCACGTCGTGACCTTCGGGACACTCGTCGAGTGCATCTAGGTGAACGAATATCTCATTGTGCAGTGCAGAACAGGAGAGCAGAAGAGCTTCCAATTCCTCATCTCCTGGCAGGATTTGCCTGCACTTTGTGTAGGCTTCGTACAGTGTCGACAAAGCCGGCTGTTTGGTGCCAAGCTGCATAAGCAGCGAGCGCAGCAGGCTGCCATACGACTGCTTCTCGCTGTCCGAGAAAGAGAAGTAGAAGAACGCTTGTACTGCATTCGAGGAGCTATTGCATTGCATCTTGATGTCTTCGATGGCTGTCGAAGACAAGACCGTCTTGCCACAACCTGCCTTCCCGTGGATCCAGAGACACTTGATCGAGCCCGCTTTCCACATTTTGTATGGGCGGGAGTTCAACAGCCAAGCGCCTGTCTGGGGCTCGTGCCGCTGGCGAGCAGACATGTGGTTTGTAAACGGGTCAGGCGGTTTGAGCCAGCGGCTGATGTTTTCGAGGCGTTCTCGATGCTGTGCAGCAGAATCTTCTTGTTGACGGATGGCGGCCATGAGCCGACGTCTTGCCCCGTCCTGTCCTTCACCATAATTTGCACCCGGCGTCACTCCAAAAATGCCGTAGAGAGCATAGTACTTGTCTTCCTCCCGGGTTGTTATCCGGCATTCCATCCATTGCAGTCGCTCGTCAACGCTACAACTTAGGCTGGCGCGATAGTCATTGAGTATTTGCTCTGAAATCTGTGTGATCTTGGCAATTCTCTCCTCGAGAGAAGGTCCAATCGGAGTGGTATGGATTCTTTCCACATGAGCCATCGCGCCCTTGTTGCCGATGACTTCCCACGTCTTGGTCACGAAAACGACTATTGGCGGCGCCAATAGCTCTTGCAAAGTCCAACCCCTACGGAACCACTCACTCTGCTGGAATTCCTCACTGTCGTCAACCGACTCGACATCCTTGAGGTACGCGACGCAGATCTCGGCATTGAAATACCACTCGAACATCAGGTTGACAGCTTCTGAGAGCTCCGCGGCATTCTCCTGGTTGATGCAGCACGTATCGATCCATATCCATTCTACCGATAGATGCTTCCTCGCGTACTCTGCGAACTCTTTCACTTTCCTAAAACCGAGTCCATCCGTGTTACGTCTCTTTTGGACGTCTTTGATGGTCGCTTCGAATCCGGCGACCCACCGATGGGAGAGAATGGCGTATTTCGGCCTGGTGTGATTGGGAAACTCGGCGAATTCGAAGGTCTTGACATTGAGGAGCCTCATTGTTGCTCTTCGCTGTGCTACTTTCTGATGGTATTGATGGCACTTAAAGGCGCTTGAGGGCCACGATCAAGTAATGTGAGTCGAGTTCACGACTCTCGACGATAAGGCTGGACATGCGCATGACTGCGCCTCTCACTGCCTACGACCTGCAGGTTCCACATACCTCGCAACGCTTCCAGAGCGTGTGCTGATATTGAAGTCTACTCTTTACCTGCTCTTCATACAATAGCGAGCTCGATGAGGTGTTGAAGTGCTGTAGTCCAGATGGAAACAGGAGATGCAGTCGCGGAAGGCCACACGCCAATGGTTAAAGTTTCAAGCTAGTCACATCCGCAGGGTAGAAAGTCGGAATGACAAGAACTGGAGCGTCTTTTCTTTCGTCTCGACGACACCTCAGCTGCAACCTGAGGACATATTCCGACGGGTGATCTCGATGACGGACGCAGAGACGGCCTTTCGAACGTCTTCAACGGTCAGGCCAAGTCACGTTGACATGACGACGGTGGCTCTCGTAACGCTAATCGACTGGTTCGGCTGCCGCACACAGATGACGAGCCAAATATGGTGTGTGGGCTTGAGCACTTTTGAGGAAACAGCAGCCTGCCTCACGTTGATGGCATGGCTTGCTTGACAGCTGTTCCATGCATTTGGACAGATGAGTTGGTTGAGCATTCGAGGGGCCCGTGATTGGTACAAAGAGCACGGCAAGGGTGGATGCATCAGATGCAATGGCCCCGGTCTGTCAGCAGCTGCAAGCACTTTGGGCTCATGCGAATGAGAGAGGCGTGCAGCACAGCATCTTGCCTACTGTGTAGATAGCTGGTGCCTGCTGTCCACGAGAGCAAGCACGCCGTATATGCTGCTTCTCGTGTGATGTCGTAGTATTGTTCAGTGATATCGATCTCGAGGGCCCGCTTGCGGTGTAGGTTGCCGCTAGGCGAAACAAAGACCGGGCTGCTCTCTCCACAGCCGCTAAGTTGCTGCCACCTCGAGCGACCTACCTCACATACAGCCCTCGACCGTCGACATCGCCCTCCCTCACGCTCCCTCCGCCTTCTCCATCACCACCACCACTGTCTTTCCGCCCGCTCCTCCCGCATCGGGTTCTGATTCTTGGCCGTCGCTCCTTGAGGCCACGCCTCGCTCTGTCCCAACCAGCGCCGACACCACCGCTCCTTCACCACCTGCCGCCGCTGCCCGCCAGTGGCCTCGATCTTTACCTCCCACTTCCACGCCCCCGTCCGCGCAACACCATCATACAACCAATACCGCCTCCGCCAGCAGTCTCTCGGACTTCCATTCTGCACACTTCCGCCATAGCTTGATCCGCGCACGCACGCCTGCTCAGCACCCATTTTGGTCCGCTTGCGAAAGCATACGTCACTCCTGTATCGACCACGTCGCCGCCTCGCCGTCGCCCATCGCCGTGCTTTCATCTCGCACGCAGCTGCATGATAGCGTCGACTACGCATTGGCTCACTTGTAAAATAGACAACACACGAACATGGATCAGCAGCAACAGCAGCAGGGCCAGTCCGGCCCACAGGGGCAAGGCGGCCGTCGTCTACACATCGCCCATCGCCGCAGCCCATCTGAGATGACCCCATTGATGAGTAAGTCGTCTGTTCCCACCCTTTGGGCCATGTGAGATGGCCATTGCAAGTGGTCACATGCTGACGACCTCACAGTGGAGCAGCTGGCTCTTGCGCAGCAAATAGAGATGCTCCAGCAGCAACAACAGCAGATCGCTGCCACGCATCAGCAATATGTCAATATGGGCATGATTCCCCAGCAGCAACAACTTCCCAATCAGTTCCAGCAAATGCAAGGTCAAATGCAGAACCTCAACGTGTCTCCCAACCCTGGCGCCTTCCAATTCCCACAGCAACAGCAACAGATGGGTCAACAACACCTTGGCATCCCCATGGGCGGCATGGGACAGGCCTCTGCACACCGACGCAACCAATCTGCCATGCCCAACATGGGAATGGGAAGCATGGGTCCTCCACCCGCTCCTTCCTCCGGCGCTTCCGGCTCTGGCTTTGCTGATTTCGGTAACTTTGGTGCAGGACAACCCAGAACGGAGAATAATGCTCCAAGTCGTGGAAGAGGTGGAGGTTCTACAGGAGGTGGACACGCTCGCCGACATTCGTTGGCTTTGCCAGAGGCTAAGAAGGCCGCCGAGCTCGCGGAGGCGAAACGAAAAGCTAGCGGCTTCCAGTTCCCCATTCCAGGAGCCGGCGGTGCTTCGCCATCGACATCCAATCGCTCGGCGAGTCCAGGCCAGGGCGATCCATCTCAGAATACCCCAGCCAGTGCAACCCGTGGAGGGTTGGCAGGACGAGGACATGGACGCAGCCAGAGCATGGCCGTCGGCAATGGACGCGGTATGGCCCAGAGCAACCGTGGTGGACCATCTGGCTTCCAGTTTCCTCCACCGCAGGCGACCAACGATGGCGGGGCCAACCAGTCTGACTTGAATCGACGTGGCAGTCAGGGCCATGGCCGCACGGGATCCCGCAACTTTGAGGGCAACTGGCGAAACCCGAACAACAACCCATCCGTCAGCGAGCCTCAGAACAACAACATGGGCAATTTCCAGATGAACCAGCATGCCAGCGCTCAGCCATTCCAACCAGGCCACCGCGCTCGAGGTTCTGTCAACAACCAGTCCATCAGCTCACTGCAAAACTTCCAGTATCAGCCACAACCACAGCTTATGCAGCTGCCCCAGGGTCAGGTTCTTGTCCAGCAGCCTGGCATGTTCGGCGGACAGCAGCTCAATGCACTTCAGCTTGCACAACTTCAAGCGTACCAACAGGCAGGCATCCCAGCTCCAAGCCTTGCTCAGCTCACTGGTCAGCACAATGCTCCCGCAATGAACATGGCGAATGCACCACAGCAGCGCAAGACGCTCTTCACCCCATACCTGCCACAGGCTACGCTCCCAGCTCTGCTTGCCGACGGCCAGCTTGTTGCTGGAATTCTTCGCGTGAACAAGAAGAATCGCAGCGACGCCTACGTAACTACGACTGACCTCGATGCTGACATCTTCATTTGCGGCAGCAAGGACCGTAACCGTGCCTTGGAAGGCGACTTGGTTGCTGTCGAACTACTCGACGTTGACGAAGTCTGGGGCCAGAAGCGTGAAAAAGAAGAGAAGAAGAAGCGCAAGGACGTTACCGATCAGCGTAGTGGCAGCGTCACCGCCGTCAACGATGCCACAACCCAACCAGAATCCTCTGCTACCGACGGCGGCATTCGTCGTCGCGGAAGCTTGAAACAGCGTCCAACGCAGAAGAAGAACGACGATGTTGAGGTTGAAGGACAATCACTACTCCTCATGGAAGAGGACGAGATCAACGACGAGCAGAAGCCGCTCTATGCTGGACACATCGTTGCTGTCATTGAGCGTGTTGCCGGCCAGATGTTTTCGGGTACCCTTGGTCTACTTCGACCAAGCAGTCAGGCCACGAAGGAGAAGCAGGAGGCAGAGCGCCAGGCACGTGAAGGCGGCCATTCTAACAACCGCCCAGAACGCCAGCAAGAACGCCCCAAGATCGTCTGGTTCAAGCCTACCGACAAACGTGTACCGCTCATCGCCATCCCTACTGAGCAAGCCCCGAAGGACTTTGTGGATCGCCACCAGGATTACGCCAACAAAATCTTTGTTGCATGTATCAAGCGTTGGCCCATCACCAGCTTGCATCCGTTCGGTACCCTGGTCGAGCAACTTGGAGATGCTGGCGACCTTAGAGTGGAAACCGATGCACTTCTCCGTGACAACAACTTTGGCCCAGATGACTTCTCTGATGCTGTCACTAGGAGTGTTGGCCACGAGGACTGGTCGGTTGCCAACGACGGCGAGGCTGGGCTTGAAGGTCGTCGTGACTTCCGCGACGAGCAGACGTTCACCATCGATCCAAACGGCAGCAAGGAGCTTGACGATGCCATTCATTTCAAGCAGCTCGATGATGGCAACATTGAGATCGGTGTCCACGTTGCCGATGTTGCCCACTTTGTGAAGGCCAACTCCCTCGTCGACCGCGAAGCCAAGAAGCGTGGAACTGGGGTATACTTGATGAATAGGACCGTCAACATGCTCCCGTCCAAGCTTTCCCAGGACGTTTGCTGCTTGATGCCAGGAGAGGAGCGCTACACCGTCTCTGTCGTGTTCAAGGTTGACGCCGCTACTGGCCGCGTCATCGACGAGGACACCTGGGTTGGCAAGGCCGTAATCAAGAGTTCTGGCAAGCTCGCATACGAAGAGGTCGATGCCGTTATCAACGGTAACAACACTTCTTCGCTTGGCGAGGAGCGCAGCAACCAAATCCTCATGCTGCACTCAATTGCTCAGAGGTTCAGACAGGCCCGCTATGCCAGCGACGAGACGGACATTCCACCACTTCGTCTGCTCTACCAACTCGATGATGAGAATGTGCCAGTGGAGCACAACATCTTCGATTCCAGCCCTGCCCACGAGATGATCGAGGAGTTGAGCCACAAGACCAACGCACTTGTCGCGCAGAAGGTTCATGCTGTACTTGGTGAACGCGCCTTGCTCCGCCGACAGACCCCTCCAAACCCTCGCCGACTGCAGACTTTCGCTGAGAGGATGAACAACATTGGGTACGAGATCGATATCTCGAGCTCAGCTGCCCTGCAGAACAGCCTCTTCCGCATTGAGGATGCAGAGATTCGCAAGGGCATGGAGACGCTCATTGTCAAGGCAATGGGTCGCGCCAAGTACATTGTGCCAGGACGAGCACCTGACCCAAGCTTGGGTCACTACGCGCTCAACCTGCCAATGTACACGCACTTCACGAATCCCTCGCGTCGCTACGCAGACATTGTCGTCCACAGACAGCTGGAGTCTGTCCTCTCCGAAGGCGCCATCGAGTTCTCCGAGGATGTTGAGTCTTTGAACAAGACCGCTGAGTCTTGCAACACCAAGAAGGACTCTGCACACGCCGCACAAGAGCAGAGCGTACACATCGAATCCTGCCGCATGATGAACAAGCTCAGCGAAGAGCAAGGTGGCGACCTCATCTCTGTCGGTATTGTGGTCTGCGTCTACGAATCAGCCTTTGACGTCTTGATCCCCGAATACGGTTTCGAGAAGCGTGTCCACTGCGACCAGTTGCCACTCAAGAAAGCCGAGTTCGACAAGAACACCAGACTGTTGGAGCTCTACTGGGAGAAGGGTGTCCCCTCCTCTGCATTCGTGCCCGAGGATGAGCGTCCACAAGCCAAGGGCCACCGCCCTACGAACAGCACCGTTGCCCGTGAAGTTGCCGCTAAGCAAAAGGAAGCTCAGGAAGTCGAGCGCAAGGCAATGAACACCGGCTCCATTGACGCCAACGATGTTGATGCTCTCTTCGACGATGACGACGACAATGCTTCCGAGGTCACCGACAACACTGCTGGTGTGGCACTCAACGGCGATCGCGCCACCCAGAGCGGACCCCCATCGCCAACTCGCAACGGCCTTGCCCCACAACGATCCAAGTCCGACTCGCGCATTCTCAACAACAGCTCGGCCCCAGAGTCCAAGCTGACCAACAAGGACAAGTACCTTGGACTTTTCAAGCTCAGGGAGGAGAACGGCACCTACATCCAGGACGTCAAGGAGATGACCAGGGTGCCAGTGTTGCTGAAGACCGACCTGACCAAGAGCCCACCGTAAGTCACAGCCACAAATCGTTCTTCACAAAGCATGCTAACCATGTTGCAGGTGCTTGACCATCCGATCTTTGAACCCTTACGCTTTGTGATTGCCTCGGCGTGCTGGCTTTTCCACACCCTTGTGACGATCGACTTATCTGTCTATGATCACGACCCCTTGTTTCAACCATGTGCCTGCTCTTGCACACACTTCCAGGAGCGCGACAGCAAGGTCAGACCGGCGAAAGCTGGACCCTGACCTTCGACCATGCCGCTCTCCGAGCCACTGACCGAAGACGATCATTACCCACACCTGCGAGATTTTCGCAGCGAATTGTGCAGCAAGCTATCATGTTGCATACTCCCGATGAGAAAGAGAGAGGAGACGATGGAGGGCGACATGTCTATGAGAGAGACATGTGAATCTTTTGGGCTTGCGAGTATCATTTTGAGAGAGAATAGTAGAAAAGCAAGCAGTTGATGCGTACAGATTGTAAATGATGGAAGGTGGGAGGAGAAGATGGGGGGAACGGTGAGCGAAGGAGGGATGAGGAGGGAGGAAGAGAGATTCTTAAAAGTGATTTTGTTTTTAAAGCGCTTTGTCTATAGCCTTGATATTTTGAAATGGCTTGTTTTTTGTTGGTCGGTTTTTGTTGTTTCCTGAATTCGTTTTGGGTTGTTGGAAATCTCCAGGGCTTCGTTGCTCCTCGCAGCTAGCTGTCCAGGCGCTCCACATCGCCGACGACTCGGTCTATTTAGGTACGGCAGAGTTTCCCCTGATATTAAGGAGTTTCAATGCTGACTTCCCAGTATTCGCCTACGACAGCCGCTGCGATGTGCGGTAGTGCATGCAGATGCACAGCCCAGAGTGTACATATCTCAGCCACCACAACGCACAACGCACAGCACTCCACCCATCCACCCAGTTGGCTGGCGGCCTCTCGCAAGGTGCTCATCGTCCAAAAGAATGGCAAAGAAGCAGCGCCCGCACTTCTGCCTCCTCCACTTGCGGGTGAAGACGATTTCTCTCTCTACAATCTGCCGAGACCATGTACTTGTTAAATACTACGACGCTGCGTCTGGAACAATTCTTGGGAGCATTCAACCCCCCTTATGCCATTCTTTCGCATACTTGGGGAGATGAAGAAGTGACCGTGCAAGACGTTTTCAACGGAGTCGCCGACCACAAACGTGGCTTCACGAAGATCAAATCCGCCTGTCGGCAAGCCGTGCAAGACGGCTTCGCATACATCTGGATCGACACCTGCTGCATCGACAAGACGTCCAGCGCCGAGCTGTCCGAGGCCATCAACTCCATGTTCCGTTACTACGCCGAGGCGCGCGTCTGCTACGCCTGCCTCGTGGATGTCGTGGACTTGTACGACGGCGAGAGCGATCAATCCCGCATGGACGCGTTCTCGAGGAGTCGGTACTGGACCCGGGGCTGGACGTTGCAGGAGCTGATTGCGCCGCCGGAGGTGGAGTTTTTCGATCGCCGGTGGAAGTTTGTCAATTCGAGGACGTCTGCTGCGGCTCATGTTGCGCGCATTACCGGGATTGATGCCAGCCTGTTGGCGTCCCCGGGTCGAGGCGATCTTGCGCAGGCGCTCGCGAGCTACAGTGTAGCGGAACGTTTGTCATGGGCCGCCGGCCGAGTGACGACCCGTGTGGAAGACAGTGCTTACTCCCTGTTCGGTCTGTTCGGTGTCAACATGCCACTGCTCTACGGGGAGGGCAGCGCGGCATTCGAACGTCTCCAACAGGAGATCCTGCGAGCTACGGCTGATCTGTCCATACTCGCTTGGTCGAGCGACCCTGAGCATGGCTTGACGCCCCTGGCGAGGTCGGCGAGGAACTTCAGCAATAGCCGGGTCGTTGTCAGAGCAGATGCCCTCCCCTTCGCAGCTGGGTCTGAGGACAGCGATACTGCAATGTCAACTGGAGGCTTGCGTGTGAGAGCGAGCCCCCGTCGCCGTCGTACCCTCAAAGCCAGGAGGACAACCCGGGCTGGCGATGCTGCTAGGATGTCGTTATCAATCCGACATAACAGCAATCCTCGCCCTCAAGCTAACCGCATCATCCCCCTCAACCCAAATCGACCTCCAGGCGCTCATGAAACAAGACCGCATCGAATGCAGCGTAGGCTGGTCCAGCGAGCCCGGCCAACAACGCCTCGTCCCAGTAGACGTCCTCGACGCCGCCGACACCTCCCACATCAAAACCCTCTTCATCAGACGGAACCGTGTAGAAAGCACCGATCACCCCTCCGCCTTCCTCTCACGCCCCCGAGGATGGACCACACTCTGGCTGCGCATCGACAAGTCCCTCTCAACCCACGACTGGGAAGTCCTGAACATGTATCCGCGCGCCTTCTGGAACCGCGCGAACTACACCTTCGACCTCGCCCGAGCCCGCGAGGAGCGCATGCGCAGCGACGAAACCGCCGCCGCAGGCGATCCCCTCTCGACGTTCGGTCTCCCCATCTCCGCCGCCATAGCCATAAGCAATAAGCACCGCGACCGAGTCGCTGTCTTTTTCACCCAACACAGCCCCTCGCTCGACGACGGTATCGAGTTCGAAGTCGGGCCCTATGAGAACGAAGAATCATTCCTCGGCCATGACTTTGGTCGGACAAAAACAACGGAATCGAGACAAAAGCTTTCCTTGAGCACAATCGACATCACCAGCAGCAACCTGCCCGCGACGCTTTCTTTCGACCTTCGCGCCGTGCAAATCTCGGGGCTTAATGTTGCGGTTTTGGCGGTGTCGATTGCGCCGCCGCCTTCTTCTTCTGCTCAGGACAAGAAGACCCATCACGGTTTGCATGGCATGAGTCGTGTTCGTGGGCCACTGCATTTGCTCAAGAAGCATCGCGAGGAGTTGTCGTCCTCGAGTATTTGAAGGCGGGGGACTTTGACATTCACTCGACGGAACATTGTAATTCCGGATGAAACTTTGTAAAGAGTCCCACACCCTCTAAACTTGGTACGACTGGGCCTGTCTTTACCACTCTTGAGGTGCACGGAAATTTTTCAATGAACCCACAAAAGACGAGTCGATGATAACAAAGCTAATTGATTCCTTTCGTGCCTATGCTATTCTCTCGCCGGTGCGGCCCAAGTCCTCTACGAAGTCATCACCACCAAGCTGGACCTCCTCTTCACCCTCTTCGCTCCTACCATCAGCAGGCTTGCGTTCCAACATCAGGTGCTCATGGCGGCGCATGTGCACCCGTGGACGAGTGGTCCCCATTGGATGCAGTTGATCAAGACCTTGTTCCATCGAAGGATGATCTTGACTAGTGTGTGTGTGTGAGTATATGATAACTCATTGAGGTGAGAGGTGCGATTGTTGCCAAAAGCCAATTCATGCTCGATCTCAGCGGGGATAGTAGAACTGAGGGGGTTGTGCTGGCGCACCATGATGAAGCTGAGGCTGCTGAGCCGGTGGTGCTGGAGGCTGCTGAAAGACCCCCGAAGCTGTTGGCGGAGCTTCTCTGGGTACTTGCTGAACAGCTGCCGGTGCACCATGCACTGGTAGCGGCGTTTGCGGAGTCTTCACGTAGACGACCTGTGGTTGTGGATATGCCTCTGGACGGTATCGGAAGCTCTGCTCATCAATTGCACGATAGCGGAAGTGGACTGGCTGGTCAAGCGGCTGCTGGGGTAACGGAGCATATTGAATCGGTGCGACCTGTGCGTCCACGAAATCAAGACGGTCATCTCTCACTGGGCGCGGAGCCGTCATCTGAGGAGCGCTTCCGCGTCGATGCTCTTCATAGTCTTCGAGCCTCAAGAGCGGCTTTTCTGGATCGTACGGAGCAGGGCCAGGACCAGAACCAGACTCACCCAATCTTCCGTTGGTGGCCGGCACTCCATGTGTACGATACACAGGACTTGCCGGTGCTTGGTGCTCGCGTCGAACGTCTGCCCAAGGGCTTCCTCGATACTGCAAACGAGGACTCTCTGCTGCAGTCAGCTCTTGTCTGGGTGCAGCTGGCAAATGCCACGAACGCCCAGGCGAGTTGCCCTGGTGAGGAGAGAGACCTGTGAAGTTCGTCCCCATTCTGGGTGATGGCACCTCAATTCGGCGACGCTTGTCAAATGCCTCACTCTCAGGCGTGGCGGGATGCGACCGATTCTTGCCTGACCTCGGGTCGCTCTGTTGCATTGCTGCAGACGCCATTGCAACCCTTCGCAGGTCTTCTTGCGGCTCAATAGATGGGACGGGGCGGTCGTGGGCCATGTTGGGCGATACGATGATTTCCGACAATTGGCGTGGCTGCATGAATTGAGGCTCAGGGTGTTGGTTTCCGAATGGCGGTGGTGGAGGGTGCTGTTGAAGGTAACGCTGCGACGGTGGAGGAGGCTGCTGTTGGTTGAAGTAATGCGGCGACGGTGGCGGTAGAGATGCAGAAGGAGCCTGAAGTGGTTATGGTAAGCATATTAGCGACTCTCAAAACACATGGTAGTACTTTACCTTTCGAAAGCGCTGGCCTCCGAACTCGATCTCATTTGAGCTGTCTGGCACGTAGACACGAACAACTTCCCTGCTTTGTGATCAACCGGTGACTTTTCTCAGACTTCAAATCCACTTACTGCTGAGCCGAAGGCGGATGCACCATGCGTCCATTGCGCAGCGACTCCCTGACAGCACCGATCTTCTGGCGCACGTCCAAGTCTCTCCTCTGCGCATTACGCGGACGGGGCTGATAGCGCTCAAAAAACATCTTCGAGTGCTCGTCGTTGCTCTCGGCACCAAGTTCATCGTCGACAGCCAACCTATGGCTTATCTCGAGGCTCGTGTCAGTATTGTAGCCGCGAGCGTTAGCACCTTCAGCGTCGCTGTCATCGTCGATGACTATGGTCTCAGGATCATCATCATCAAGAACGATGGTCTCAGGGCCATCATCGTCGTCCCCATCCTCCTCCTCCTCATCATCAATGACGATGGTTTCTCTAATGACTTCCTCTAGCTCATTGTCATCTTCGTCTTCATTCTCTCCGCGCCACTCGATCAGTTTCTTCAAGCAATCTGGCTCGACATGCTCTCTGGCTTCCTTCCACTCGAAGGCTCTCAGCAGGTAGTCATAGTCAGTGTAGGAATGTCTGATTCGAGCAATCACAGCCAGTTGCACGCGACGTGGCAGATCGAGATTGGCGACGGTTCCTACCCGCTTACTTCCCGCCTTCCAAGCATGCCTTAGGATCTCCTTAAGATCTTGTTCAGGGATCTTTGGGAAGAGTTCTTTGATAGCGGCACGGACCTGGTCATCAGTCTCGTGTTCGATCTCCCGATCAAGGTGAAGGCCGTGCCTAGCCATGGCTGCAGCCATCCTGCTTCTCTCGCTCATGTTTGCAAGGTCTGCTTCTTTGATGAACTGCCCGCGGATGTAGGTATAGCCGAGGGCCTGACATGCCTCTTCGACGACATTTGTCTTGAAGTGATGTCCGATCCGATGGATGTGATGCGAGACCTTGTTGGGATCATTGGCGTGCTTGCTGACTGGTTTTGCCTGTGGTAGGTAAGTACTCGTAGCTTACCACTTCCGATGATGGATCGAAACAGTTGGATTCAACACGTGTCGGGGCAACGTACATTCACAATGTAAACCGGTAATCCTCTCTGCTTGGAGAGCTGTTTGCAACGGTCCGAGAGGTCTGGTGTTCCTGTGGCAACGTAGGTGAATCCAGCCGGAGCACCTCTGGTCGTGGTCTGTTCCAGAGCAGTCAGTATCCCTTCGTCATAGGGGTTCGAGGCAACAAACTTGGGTGTCCAGCTTCTTTTTCTTGGCCAGGACGCGACTCTGCTCAGTCTTGTACGGCTTCGCTCGGCGTTTGGCGATGGTGCGAGCGACGCTCGTTGGGCGAGTGCTAGGCGCTCGCGACGCCGGACCAGCTTTTTGGACGGCCATATTGCGATCAGAAAAGACAGAAGATTAGTAGAACAACGAAAGGAATTGCAACGCCTCCCGAAACGCCGGCCCCGAGTCACACTGACAGAAAGAAGCGACCGAGCAAAGCAGGAGCTAGACTTTCAAAACAATGGATGGTCCGAGATCTGGTCACTCGGTGGGGTGCGGTCTTCTCTGGTCTGGTGGCCGACAGGTGCTGCCAGTGAAACGGATCCGCGATCAATGTGGAGTGGGTGGTGGCCTGGCGTGTGCTGGTCCTTGGACGAGTCACAGTGCACTATGCGATGTTGCGAGAGGATTATCCTGTGAAGCTGCCTGCTTCGTCAGAATCTACACCTGATGCCCGGGCGGGCGACGCGATGAACGACTGATCAGACGCACGCAGCCTGGGTGGCAGGCGCAATGCGGTCACAACACCGTCGAGGGCGGCACTGTCAGTCTGTCGATGTGCAGTGAGTGTTGTTGTGAGAAGAAGGAAGCTTTGCAAGGTCGCGCTCGGTTTTGTGGGCAGTGGCGCGGCGGAGCGGGAAGAGCCGGGCGCAAGTGCCAAGCCTCCTGCCTCCAACTCCAACCTCACCGATCGCGGTCATTGCCAGGGCAGCGACGTCGACCGCCTCCACTCACTCTCAGCTTCACTCAAACCACCGAGGGGCCACAAAACATCGCCAACATGGCTGCCCTTCGCGCTACGCGCCTCATCACCACCCCACGGGCGCGTTTCCAGATCATCCCCAACATTGCCGCTCGCCCGCAACAAAGACAGCTCACATCGACCGCCGTACGGAGCGCCGGCGACCACGCACACGAAGACCATTATGATCCTCCAGGCGGCTGGCTATTTGGCGTGAAGCCAGGGGAGAAGTACGAGAACGAGGGATGGGAGAACGTGTGGTTCTATGGCTTCTTCGGCAGCTTGCTTTTCGGCGTGGTCGGCTACTGCTACAAGCCTGACACAAGGTACTACACACAGACGCTGGGACATAATTGCAGCAATGCTAACACTGGGATAGCATACAAACATGGGCACTCGAAGAGGCACGGAGACGACTCGAAGCCGAGGGCATTTTGGAGGACCCGGAGAAGAAGAGGTAGAGGGACTTGGTGTAATGACATTTCACCTTTGGGCGCGTTCGACCGGCTGGAGATGCTTAGACCTCGCGGCACACTGATTCACCATGTACATACCCAGCCGCGAATACGATTATAGAGCAGCCGGTCTGTGGAGGTATCATGACTGTGGAGGTATCATGACAATGCTTAACACCTTTTGTCTTTTCCTTTGGAGACAAGTCAGAACATGATCAGACACGCCTATGTTACCATGGAAGCTTTGTGACCACGTGTGACGGTTCTCTCGAACAGTTCGACCAGAGCGTAGAGCAGAGACTTCTCATGTACCATTGGAGGTACCGCTAATTGTCGCCGGCCTTTAAGATTCTGTCCGCTTTTAATTATGGGGCCAATTCACAAGCAAGACTGACACGAAGCAGATCTGTAGCAGCCAATGTTACCATTTACAATTCCTTCAATCCCTTGAGATCGGGACAGTTCGCGAGATCAAATGGTGCGGCAGCAGACCCGACACCAAGAGACGAGCAGCTCAGCCAAGATCAACTTCATGACAAGAAAGGTATATAATCTATTCGTCAATCAGAGTGTACTCACACGATCACCCCTCCGCCTTCTTCACCCCCTCATCATCCGTAACCAACGACGCCGCATTAAAATCCTCCGTCGTCGGCAACTCAACATGCACATTCGACGCGACCGCCATCTGCATCTCCACCTCCTTCGCCCTCACCTCCAACACATGCCCCCCAGCCTTCCGATCACCCTGCATGAAATGCAAATGCTCGCCCGCCACCCCAAACCCCTGCCAATTCTTCGGCGTTCGAAACCCAATGATCGTCCCCTCCACATTCTCGTACACCTCCACCGATTGCTTCTGACTGAGTTCGGAAAGAGGCTGTCCTTTGTACTCCTGCCCTCGCACGGTCCTGCACTTCAGGTACTCGAACTTCCCGTTGATCCTATACGTCATGAACAAATTCTTCGCGTGGTCATTGAACCCATCCAGCGCACGGTCGACGTCATTCTTGTCCTTGAACTCCACCTTCGTCGTCTGCTGCGGCACGAACTTGGTGCTCACGGCGAAGGGGATCTGGTCGTCGGGTGAGGCTTCGCGGACGTTTCCCTCGGCTTGGAGTTGATAGACTGTGCCGTCGAGGAAGAGGAGTTCGCCATTCATGCGAGAGAAAGTGCCGAGACCTTGGTTGCCTTTTTGAGCGAACTTCGACGCGGTAATGCCGGTTTCACAGACGCCGTCCATGAGGGCGTTGAGGAGGGAGTATTGGTAGATGTGGTTGTCTTCCATTTTGATGGTGAGTTGAGTTTGTTGATGACAGTGAGGTGGTGCCGTTACAACTTCAAGAAAATCATTCGATGGGCCGGATCGGAAGAGGAAGTTGTAAGTGGCTCGTCGACCTATCCGGCCGTAACCGAAATATATAGAATCGGGGGCAAGAACTTCGACGGGACTTCTCAATAGAACGTCATTGCACCCCATGATGCAGTGTTCGCGGGACAGTCTCCACGCTTCTCGTGCCATTGACAAAGCTGCTGACCAGCTAGAGCATGAGAACAAGATAGGGCATGACGGCTTGCATGATGGTCATCGGGAATCTATCTACTTGACATTACGGTCTATATGCGTGCAGGTGAAGTCTAATCGAAACGCCAATCCGTCCAGAACCTCTCAACCAACGCTGTCCTTGATCAGATTGGCGGCGAGATCTTTGGCATGCGAGTAGTCGATCCTCACATCGACCAAAGACAACCCCTTGTGTGCGAGTGTCTGATCCATGACCTCCTCAATTTGCGAAGAATCGTTGATTCTGAACCCCTTTCCACCAAAACTCTCCGCATACTTGACGAAATCCACGCCACCCAGGTTGATGCCACTGCTTCGACCGTACTTCATCTCTTCTTGGAACTCGACCATGTTGTACGCCTCGTCGTTCCAGATGAAGTGGGTGATGTTGCAGCCTTGCAAGACAGCTGTTGACAGCTCCTGAGATGAGAACATGAAGCCTCCATCGCCACTGAGTGACACAACCTTTTGCGAGCATGGTGGATCTTGCGATAAGGAGGCCGCGATTGCCCACGGCATACCAACGCCCAACGTCTGCTGTCCGTTAGAGCAAAGTAGTTTGCGTGGCTGGTATGCGTAGAAGTAGCGCATCATGTAAATGTACACCGTTCCGACGTCTACAGTGACTGTTGTATCCTTTGAAACTCTCTTCTGAAGGGCCGAGATGAACTGAAGTGGTTGAACCAGGCTTGCGTTGCCTCCCTTGGAGTTTTCATATTCTTTCTGCCACGCCTTCAGCTCTCGAGTCAGGCCCAGACAGAACTCGTCTTTCGCGGGATCCGTGACGTTGGTGACTGCATCGCCCAAAGCAAGAATGTTCTCTTTGACAGATCCAAGAAGTTCTGTCACAGGATGGTAGTAAGCTCCATAGTCGCAGGACGTGTAGTCGACATGTACGAGGTTGAGGCCGCCAGTTGGGTTCCAAGAACTCGCGTCGTACTCTGTGGGATCGTAGCCGAGTGTTATTATCAGATCCGACTTAGCGAGGAGTCGGTCTCCTGTCTGATTTCTGAACAGTCCAACTCGGCCAAAGAAGACTTGATCTGCCAGAGACTCAGGAACGGCTCCAGCAGCCTGGAAGGTCTCTACTACAGCAATCGGGTGTCTCTTGAGGAACTCTCGGACAGCTTCCACGACAATAGTGCTCGATGCCCTCTGCCCCAAGAACAGGACGGGGAGCTTCGCGTTGTCGATCAACTTCGCCACTCTTTCCACCTCAGTCTTCGGTGCTGGGCCGTAATTGGGAGCCTTGAACGCAGGACCAGGAAACGCCCTGATCTTGGACTTTCCACCCGCAACGTCCATTGGAATCGAAACAACAGAGGCGCCCTTTGGATTGCCGTTCGCGGTTCGGAAACTGGCCAGAATGACTTCGGCTGCTTGATCTTCGACATCGACATTGGTGGCAGATTTGGAAGTCGGCTTCAGGATATCCAATGCCTTCATCGATTGATGTGTGTGCTTCGTGTTCAAGAGGCGTGGCACCGATCCGACAATGGCGACGACTGGATCTCCCTCGGTCGTTGCAGTCACCAATCCGGTCGTCAAGTTGCCTGCTCCAGGTCCAGAAGTAGCCACGCATACACCTGGAATGCCAGTAATACGGCCCAGAGCCGCGGCCATGAACGCCGCATTCTGCTCATGTCTGCAAACCACCAACTTGATCTCTGGGTGGTCTGTTAACGTATCGAAGATGGCGTCCACCTTGGCTCCAGGAATCCCAAAGACAAGTTTGACGCCGGCATTGTAAATGCTTTCGACGATGATCTCTGCCACTTTCTGCTCGCTCTGTGCGGCCATGATGAAGCTCGTGTGACCAGAGATATGTGTCAGGATGGAGATTGGGGAGAATATGGGAGTTCAACTTGCCATATAGTCTGCGACGACCTACCGCAAGAAAGTCTCGTGCTTTCCGACGTCGTCCGCTGGTTGTGAGAGCCAGCCCACACCTCGCCTCATGCAGCTGCAGGTACCGCCATCGCATCGTTATGTCATAATCATCAGCTAATGTCATGACTGAACCCGAACTCGGCTGATCCTTGCGGAAGCTTGCCCTGCGACTCTCTCTCGACTTCACACCATGCACATGGTCCGAGAACGGGAGCGGTGCTGCTCTCGCGCGCGACGACAATGTCGCTGAAGCGCAAACATGATGAGCAGAGGGAAGACGACGGCAAGGAGGAGCACAACAACGTATTTCGGTCCTCGCCTATAGAAGACCGCGCCTCAACGTTCATCGGCTATTTCTCGCCAACCCTCAAACCCAAAGATCTCCAAAACCTCGCCGAGTTCCAGAGCGCTTCGCACAAGATCGTCGCATGGCGGCGCGAGAGCAACCAGCAGTCGATCAACAAAAGCAAACAGTATGTGACTGGATGCGACGACGACGGAGAGAAGTTCGCAGGCAAGAAGGTGGAGAAAGTGCTTGAATACTCGAACGTGGAGGGAGCCTGCCTCGTTGCTCGATGGTACGGAGGTGTACTCCTCGGACCCGTCAGGTTCACGCACATTGAAACTTGCGCGAAGAACGCGATTAGCGCATGGAAAGAGCATGAACAAGAGTCGCGGATGAAAAAGAGAAGGCTGGCAGAAGACGAAGCTATGCGGACGAGACTTTGCAAGACACTGGTCGAGAGAGATCAGAGCATAACGGTGTTGAGGGAGCTGGCTGCGAGTAAAGAGCTGATGGCGAAGAAGGCGAAAGATGGGTTGGAGAAAGAGACTCTACCGAGTTCAGATCCCCCAAAGCCCGGCGCCAATCCTACCATCGACTATACTGCCATGCCCTTGGACAGGCTGAAAGCTCTAGAGAAGGCGAGGGATGCGACTCTAGGCTTTCTTTTGAAGCGCATCGACAAGGCGGAGGCCGAGCTGAGTGTGGAGCAGAAGCCCGCAGAAGAGCCACCATAGTCTTCGAAACGAAGCCGATCTGGCAGCTGCCAACAAATTGGGACGAGACATGTTTGTCGGGAATGCTCTCAATGTTATGGTCTGTCGATATCTGCTAACGCTCTGCCTTCTCTATCCCATCAGCATCGAGATAAGGGTCTCCTGTTGTATGCGGCCCAGCGCTCTCACGCGAGATCTCCTTTTCCAGATCTTTCGCTCCCACTTCCTCCTCAACAGCCTCATCCTCAGAAGTGCTGTCATCAGCTTGAGAAGCTGGTCGTTCTGCCTGTTGCTCGGCCTTCTTCTCTTCTCCCGGCTTGGAGTCTCCCGTTGGTGCAAATCTGGATCTTTGGCGAATTCTAGCTCCGTAACGGTAGAAAAGAAATGGAATCGGGGCGAGAAGACAGGCAATGCCTCCGATCAGAGATCCCGCACCTCCAATGCCAAGGGCGGTAAACTGCATCTAATGTCAGGACTGGCTATGCGTGATGGTGTCTTGCACTTCTTACCATTTGCTCTGTGAAGAGGGGAGCCACAGCACCAAGCGCAGATCGGGTGACGGTGTTGCCTGCAATGGCACTAGCAGCGAACATCAAGTAGGTGTCTGCTCAGTGTGTTAGCGTGATGAGCATTAAAGAAGCTAGGTCCTCGTGTCATACCCGTGAGGTAGTTCAGGTAGCTGACGAAGATAAGTACGATGCCCGTGCAGAGAAGAGCTCCAGCAATTGTAGGTACGATCCAGTGAACGTAGTTGAAGTTGGCGCTCCATGCAAACCAGACTGCAACATGTGTCAGTAAAAGAGTGACATCGGAGAGAACTTATGCTGCCGAACGTACACATTGCAGCCGGGAACAAGATGCCGCCGATCATAGCCAGAGGCATACGATCCTCAGGAGTTCTCTCGATACCTGCCTCCATCTTCTTCCTACCCAGTGTGGATTCGTAGAAGACGATGCCTCCAGCGATGAAGGCACCGATCATCGTGCCGATTAGAGGAAGGGCGCCAACACCGGCGTTCCTAGAGATGATATGTCAGCCCAATTCGAAGTGAGGCTGAGGAGGATGTACGTACCAACCACGATGTTGCTGGAAGACCTGTAACACAGTATTGTAAGCAACGATATACAAATGCTAGCAAGGACCATTAAGCACTTACAATTGGGTAGATGGTGAAGAGCATGTACAGGAGAGCGTAGACAATGCTCATGTAGATAGCCACCAAGAAAGCGATGGGATCGAACAGGATGATCCACGGCCGGGTGAGAGCGACCTTGTACAGACCGACCAGTGTTCGACCTGACGCTTCCACGGGTGATTGTACGTTCTCGAAGCCTGGCATCTTTGCGTTTCGAATCCGCTTGGCCTTGTTCGATAGCTGTAACGTTCATCAGCATTGCCTTCTCCTCGACAGACGGGAACATAGTTCGGAGCTCACCACTTGAGCCGGCAGAGTCTCAGGAATTGTGAACATGAGGATCATAGTCCCAAAGCCCATCCATAGCAGAACGTAGAACGACCATCGCCAGTTCTCGGTGATCTGTAGGAATCCTGAGATGACTGGTCCCAGTCTGGAAGACGTACAGGAAGGTCAGTGTCTGGTCTGGCGATCTAGGTCTCGATATGGTGATACGTACGCAGGCCCTGCAAAAGTCATGATGCTGAACACAACCATTGCTTGACCACGTTCAATGGGGCCCCAGACTGCGCAGACGTTAGTCAAGCTGACCCACCTTGAACAGGCTTTGATAGGACATACTGTCAGCCAAAACGCCAGGAGCATTGCTCAACGCAGCGGAGGCAAATGTGCCCGTCAAGAAGCGTCCAGCCAGCAGTCCACCGAAGTTTGGCGTAAAGGCACATAGGAAGTTAAAGGCCCAATAGGCACCGAAGGTCAGATAGAATACCCATCGACGACCGTAGAATTCACTCAGTGGCGCCCATGCCAAAGGACCGAAGCAGTATCCCAGCAAAAAGAGCGTGGTGACAAGATTCGCCGCCTCCTTCGATACGTGAAGCTCTTCTGATATGCTTTCGAGACATCCAGTTGGTGCAGAGCTCGCCATTGTCGCATTCACCACCAAGGCCACGGACACAACCGTGATGTACCATCTTCGCGTCCTCGACCAGGATTTTGGGTTCTCGATGTCATCTGGTCCAAAGTCGACATGGCCGTCCTGGTTCAGATGGACTTGCTGCTGTGTGATTTTGCCTGATCTGTATGGTTTCGCCGTCGGACGAGAGAGCATGCGCTCGAGCTGGTCTCCGAACGCCATCGCTGAAAATGCAGCCAAAAAACTGACGTTTGTTGATGTCAAGAAGCACCAGACAGATGGAAAGGACAAAAACAAAAATCTACCACGCCTGGGGTACCTACGAGCCTAACCCACCATTGAGATTCGACTTGCCACCCACGACCCACGGAGTTAAAGCCATAAATTTTACTTCTGGCAGCAAGAATGTGACTTGTCCGCAACGTAATCATCCAGCAATGGCGTGCCTGCACCACCACGGCAGAACGGCATCTAGCAGTCCCAAGACCGAGGATGCGAAAAGCCTATATTGCTGCCACAATGTGCTGTGGCTGGCCCCTCGCGACTGACGATTCTTCGAGATGGGCAATACTCCTCCGTGGACAGTACGTTGTGGGGCACTCTGTTGCACCAAACGCGGCCGGCTTGTTAATCAACATGTCGGTCTTTGCGGAGCTTCAGGCCATTCGGATGCATCACGGAATGGGGTCGCGGATGTCGGCATCGTCTCGGAGGGCGTGGGCAGCGAGTCTCTTTGGGCACTTCATTCTCTCTTTCCCCTTGCGGTCGGCAAGCTCGCCGAATAGCAAATTTTCATACCGTATACCCCAAACGAGATGGTCTTCCTTGAATGGCAGATCCTGAGAACTCTGATAGGGTTTCCGCGGATAGGTCCAGAAGGCGAGTGCGAGTGCGAATGCGTACAGTTCAGCACAGTACGTCCTGATGACTTCTTCGGTCGGCACGTAGTCTTATAGATACACCGTGATCGAAGGGGTGAAGTCGAAATAAGCTGGCCACTACAGGCTTTTAAAGGCAAATGGTCGTGCTTACACGTATGTTGGTTTGCTGACGACGAGCCCCTGGGGGTGCTAGAATCGCTTGTGGTTAGGTTTACGACGAAAGTTTATTACGACTGAGCTGACAGATCCGTTGCATCTTTTTTCGAGTTCTTCTCTATTACTCCCTGGCCATATAAGCAGCTGCACCCGATAAGTCTTCGTTGCAGGTCTTCGACTCCATGTGCTGTCAACGGCCGGGTCGCACAATGGCAGAGGCATTAGTGAGACGCGTCCACGTCAGTCGAAACAATACGACATTCGCGGTCTGATATGTCTATCGATCTCGAGTCCATCTCTTGTCACAAACCAGAAGATCCGCTCTACAACTTCGCCAGTCTTGGCTCCCTCTCCAGCTCGCGGAAGCGTTTGAAATATTCTATCGACTCTGGATTCGAAACTGTATTGCTCGGCTTAACGTCCTTCCCGCTGATAGTCTGCTTGACTGTCGCTTCGACTTTCTTGCCGTTGATCGTAGTCGGTATTCCATTCTCGGGCACCTCGATGATGAATCGGGGCACATGACGGGGCGATAACCCTGTCCGGATGGCTTGTCTGATCGAATTCGACAGCTCAGACGTCAACTTGTGTCCAGGCATCATGACCAGGAACAGGAACATGTCTTCGTCTTTGTCCTGAGGTCGCCGGCGTCCAACGCAGAGTGTGTTCGAGATGGTCGACGTGAATGGCGGTGCTTCGACGATTGAATAGATCTACTTGATCGTGAGCATGATGGTGGGGAAGAACGCTCAATCCGACTTACCTCGCCAGAGCCGAAGCGTATTCCAGATGGATCTGCGAGAGAATCAGTAAGGCTCATTCGTATTATTGTATCACGAGACTCACTCAGCACGCCGTCACTGCGACCATGCATCACTAAGCCTCCGGTCCTCGGATTGTACTGAAGCCAATCGTGCTGTGCCCATACGTCGATGTTCTGGAAGCGCTCGAAGTACGACGATCTGTACTTTGATCCGTCCTCATCGCCCCAGAAGAAGCAAGGCATGCCTATGAGGGCGTCAGCAAACTTTGTCGTATTCATTTGAGGTCGCAGTCCATACTGGGAAATGGCTTCCTAACTATCATCTCGCCCGCCTCGCCAGACTGCATAATCGAGCCACCTGTCTCTGGGTCTGCAATGTCGACGTCCATTCCCAGCGCGAATATCTGCATCTTTGAAACATCAGTATGAGACAATGCCGCCGCAACTTGATGACCCTCAACTCACCTCTCCGGCGTTGATGGGTCCACACGGGTCTGCAGCTATTAACGATGTAGCAGTATCGGTTCCGCCAGCCGTGTTGCAGAGATGTACATGGGAGGGGAAGTTTCGGTAGAACCATCGATATTGCTCTGCCGATAGAGTTGCGCCTGTGGTGTATACTATTCGTAACGAAGAGAGGTCGAACTGTTCGCTGGGCTTCACCTTGGCCATTTCCAGCTCCAGCAGGTATCTTGGTGACGTGCCAAAATAGGTCACCCGGTATTTATTGATGATGCGCAATAGCTGCGTAGTATCTGGATACATCGGAGAGCCGTTGTAGACAATCGTGGTCGCGCCTGCTGCGAAATATCCTGCTTGTTGTCACTAAATGTACTTGTAAACAGTAAGCAAGACTGAAGACATACCACACATGACATAGAAAACAACCCAGGACGTTGAAGAGTATTGGAGGATCACATCCTTGGGAGTCGTTGAATTGTGGACGACCGCAATCTTCTTCAGCTGCAAGAGCAGCCCGTGCTGATGGACGATGCACTTAGGTGCGCCGGTCGTGCCACTGCTGTAGCAGATCATCAGGGGATAATTGAAGGGTACCGGCGTGAACGTCAATTTGTCTGAAGGATTAGCCTTTTCCAAAAAGTGGTCGATAGTCTCGTGCTTTATGTCCTTGTTTTTAACCGGTACAACATATGTCTGCGGCTTGGGGTCCAAACGTTGAACAATCTGGTCGACCTTGGACGATGTTGAGAGCTTCTTGCCTTTGTAGACTGTATGTGAGTCTGCGAAGAGGATCTTCGGCGTCGTCTGCGCGAGGCGTGACACGCAGCCCTCAAGACCAAGATCTGGGCTGATAGATGTGAAAATGGCACCAATGCTCGCAGAAGCGTGGTACAATACCATTGCCCAGACTGAGGTCGCTACAAGAGCTGCGACCCTGTCCCCCTTTGAAATGCCGCAAGACCTCAAAGCACTAGCTGTCAATCGAACCCTTTCTCTGAACTGGCGCCAGGTAACGACTTCATGATCGTTTGAAGCGAGGTCGCTGTCCTCCTGCAGTCCAATCAGGGCAACGGCATCATCGTCCGGATTCGCAAACAAGGCGTTCTCGGCATAGTTGAGCTCTAGGCCTTCGAACCACTTGGGATTGCGACTCATAGGGATGCTTGGATCGTAGGCTTTGGTCACATGTCGAGGGAGATCTGGTCTGAAGTCCAGCCACGAGTAAAGGTCTTTCCAAAAGTCTTGAGGTTGCTGCACGCTCCAAGAGTGAAGATCACGGGTCGTCTTCAGATTTTGAGAGTAGGTCTTGTTGACATGTCTTCGGTACTCATCCATTGGGGTATGTCCAGCGTTGATTGGCCTCCATAATCGCTCTGGTTCGTCCTTGAAAGTGCTCATAATCCTGTCCTTTGTTATGCTGAGCCGTAGATGCTAGCGATTATGAAAAAAAAGACCCCCAAACAAGAGCTTAGCAGAATACTCCCACAAGATTATAGCCAGTGATATGAAGATCGTATAGTGAATCTTTTCGACAGCAGTGAGGTCTTTCACAGAGCGGTCCGGCAATTGCGGGGGAGGTCGGACCGAGGGTCAGTGAAGAGCACCTCACCTCTGGCAGAAATGGCCGTATTCGAATATCAGTTGCACTGTGGCTTGTCATGACCATCGACACACCCCATGAAGCGCATGCCTGAAGACGCAAAGCGTATTTTCAAGTTCAATCGTAACCCGGAAGCGTCGAGACTTTTGAGGTAGTCGCTTCCGGTGCCAGGTGTGACTTCTGCAACCTGTGCTCTTCGCCGTGAACATCGCCGCCACACGACTGTTAAGATGTTGTGTCTCTGAAGGCAAAGTTGTGCATCATGACGCGTGAAAGTGTTGTAAAAAGCACGTCCGCCAAAGAAAACACGTGCGACGTGAATGAGTAACGCACGGACTGTATTCTTCCCAAAATGGTTAGATCAAGCTAACTCCTGACACTCAAAAGTACAAGCTGTTCTCATCGACGAGCATCATCAACATCACGTTGCATCTTTCCTGTGCTGAACTTCGAGCTGCGACTACAGGGCCATCTCGAGTAATCACTCTCGAAGATGAGCACACAGAATGGCGACGTTCGCCACCGCCAACCGAACGGCAAAGTGTCAAATCTGGCTAACGGAGCCACAATTGCCGGGAAGAACGACATCGCTCACACCACAGACGAAGACGCCAAGAATGCAGCCAACACAATGAATCTGCTCATATGTGTAGGGGGCATATATGCATCATTGTAAGTTTTCATCGAGCAGCGTTGGGAACTCCACGGCTGACCACAAATAGTCTCACATGGGGTGTACTTCAAGAACGAATCACCACAACCAACTATGGCACCGAATCGCAACGCGAAGTGTTCAAATATCCAGTGGTCATGAACACTGTTCAATCGGCCTTCGCAGCTCTGCTTGGCTACCTCTATGTGTTGGCTACCAGGAAGACGTCCTCGGATCTACCCATATTCCCTTCACGGAAGATTGTCTGGCCATTGAGTCTAGTCGCCATCACCTCCTCGTTGTCTTCACCATTTGGGTATGCGAGCTTGCAATATGTCGATTACATTACCTTCATTCTGGCCAAGTCTTGCAAGCTCGTCCCGGTCATGCTTTTGCACGTTACCCTTTACCGCAAGCGGTACCCATTCTACAAGTATGCTGTGGTTGCACTGGTGACAGCTGGCGTGGCGATCTTCACCCTTCAGTCCTCGAGCGGATCGAAGAAGAAAGGAGCCAGCAGCAACAGTGTATACGGTCTGGTGCTACTCGGCATCAACTTGATGTTCGATGGCCTTACGAATTCGACACAAGACAACATTTACGGCAGCTTCCGGCCATACACGGGACAGCAGATGATGTGCGCTTTGAATGTCATGTCGACGTTTCTCACCACGGCTTACCTACTTGTTTCGCCATATCTGGTGCAGAGTGGAGTTGGAGCCATGTTCGGCATTGATGCAAAGGGAGCAGGCGAGCTTCAGGACGCTCTGGCCTTTATCCAGCGTCATCCATCAGTCGGTTTGGACATTGTCGGATTTGCCGCTTGTGGTGCTTTGGGGCAGGTCTTTATCTGTGAGTCCGCCGATGACTTTATCCAACTCATGCTAACCAATATCAGTCATGACTCTTTCCATCTTCGGCAGCCTCTTGCTAGTCACCGTGACAGTCACGCGGAAGATGCTGACCATGATCCTTTCGGTGGTATGGTTCGGCCACACACTCAGTGGCATGCAGTGGCTCGGAGTCGGTCTTGTGTTTGGAGGCATCGGAATGGAGGCAGAGCTATCGAAACGAGAGAAACAGCGAAAGCTGAAGGAGAAAAAGTCTGGTTGAGAAGCGTATGCCGCGTCTGTATTGATAGAACATAGACCAAATTGAGCTCCTACATCTGATGCATAGTTCTTGTCTCATCAACCATCCACATCTGGGCTTGTGAATTGTGAATCAACTTATCTCGACTTTCACATGCATCCCATGTTGAAGCCCAAATTAGTGGTTCGGTAGATCATGCGCTGGCGTCGCGGCATCGACGGCCCGCCGCGGTTGCCATGCACAAGCCCAGACTATTTCCATACCGCCTGCTTCTTCTTCTCGCTCGTTTGCAAAGACAACTTCAACTTTTCGCCAGGACCTTCGAGCATTAGACAACCCGCCAATATGGACGGACTTTCCACGTTCTCCGCCAGGCTCGAGGGTATCAAAAAAGCCGACGATGAACGTGCTGCGTTTCTCGAGGAGGTCATAAAGGCATACGACGAGCTTAAACTCAAATTCGACGAGAGAACCGACGACTACAACAATGAGGTCGCATCGCGTCGACTGTGGCAAAGCAAGGCCTCGCAGAGCGAACAGGCTTTGGCTCAGCACAAGCAAGCTTCAGTGCGTTCCGTAGGATGTATTCATGTTCACTGCTAATCACATGTAGGCTTCTAAGAACTTCGTAGTTGCCTTGATCGACGGCGATGGAGCGATATTCCAGGACTGGTGTAAGTCACGGACATTTGAAAATATACCCGTGATCACTGACGGCGTTGGCAGTATATTCTTTAGGCAGAGGCGAGGGTGGCGCGGAGGCCGCACACCAACTTCATACAGCACTACAGAACCATCTTAAAGAGATCTATCCAGATCAAAATGTCGCGGACTGGGAAATGTGGGTCCGAGTCCAAGACCTTAAGCAACATTCACTGACCTGCAGACAGTGTCGCTCAGGTCGTGCTTAACCTCTCAGGACTGGCTAAGAAACTCCACGATTCTGGAATCATATCAAACCCCAACGAACTCCACGCCTTTGGGCGAGCCTTCGGACTTGCTCAGCCTCTATTCAGCTTCGTCGATGTCGGCAATGGCAAGGAGCGAGCTGATCACAAAATCCGCGAGACTCTGAGGCTTTACCTTCCAATTGCTCAATGCAAGCATGTGTTCTTCGGTCCATGCTCGGATAATGGGTGAGCATTCTTGCTTCCCTTGTCGATGCCGAAGCAGAGAAACTGACATAGTCGAAGGTACCTACCGGTGCTAGAGTCGTATCGCAGAGACCTATCCATGGCGTCTCGTATCACCTTGATCGAGACACGACCAGCGGAGGCGGGCTTCGTCACACTCGGTCTGAGGCGTATCAAGCTCGATCTGGTCTTCCGCACCGACAATCTACCATCAAAGACTGTGCCAGTCTTCTCTCCAACACCAGCCAGCACTCCAGCTCGGACACCGTCAGCATCACAAGCCAGTGGTGCTCCATTGACCCAACACGTGTCCAAGCCAGCAAGTCCAGCACCATCCTCCGACTCAACCAGCTCTGCCGCCGCGGCCTCTGGTTCCTGGGCATCCGTTGGAAAGAATGGGGCGAAGAGCAAGACGATCAACATCGCCTCAGATCCAAAACCAAAACGACGCTTCATCCTCGTCAACGCCCACGACGAACGTGTCGATCCCGAGTTGCCCAAATTCGACCCTGGCGCCGAAGGCCGTTACACAGAGCGCGTGAAAGCCAAAGGCAAGTGCTGCAACAACTTGTACCTCACAGGCAAGTGTCCAGCAGGCAAGTACTGTGACTACGTCCACACTGAGAAGCTTACACCAGGAGAAATCCTCGTCCTCAAGCACAAGGCGAGATCTCGTTCCTGTCAGCAGAAGTCATGGTGTGAGGATGTCGACTGTACTTTCGGCCATCACTGCAAGTTTGGCAGGAGTTGCCACCTGGACTACTGCTACTTTTCTGATACTCACGGAATGGACACGCAGCCTGCTAAGCGCAAGTTTGAGGATGGAGGGGAGGAGTGGCTGCCTCAATATCTTAAGGGAGCGGCTTGAGAGGAGGATGCTGTTTCACAGCGCTGCGAAATTTAAGATCTAAGTATAAATGAAATGGTCAAACGGCGTTCTCGAATTCAGCTGCTCTACCAGAATAGGCACGTCATGTTGTTAAACATCGTCCGCGATCTGGGTCGCGGTAATATGGCGACTCGATGGTAGTCTCGATCATTGCTCTTTCAGACAGGTCGATCTTATCGCATCGCTCTGTCAATTCGACTGCATTCGGCAAGGTCTCCCGCGGTCGATGATGGTGAAAAGCGACTTGTTTTCTAAAAGTAGTTTTGTCGGTTTCACATTTAGCAGACCCCTGAATCACATGACTCCGCGTCAGCTGCCCTTGGACCCTGGCGTGTCTTTGACCAAGAGCGCGTCGCACGCGTCTGCCGTTCTGCTCCAGAACCATTGAGATTCACTTGGAGCGGCTCACTTCTGTGTGACGCAGCATGATTGTCTCGTGGTGTCGCTTAGCTTGGCATTCTACAACACATGCACTTTCCATGAGCATCGCCAAAACACATTGCTGTTCCCTGCTGTAGCTGCCTTGCGTTTCCAGCACGAAAGGCAGTCGCGTCGCAAGGATGGCGTCTGAGGAAGGTACCTTCCAAACGGTGAAGGCGCTTCTGCCTCAGGCGGACGCTGGCTATGAAGCAATTCTTCGTGAGAAGAGCTCGCGGCTTTATGTCGCAATTCGAAAGCACACTCTTGACTTCATCCCACTCGAGCCCGCAGTGGATGATTCATGTGGCTCAAAGCACACGGCGTGAGTAATCACCATCAAAGCCGACCACCTCTGTTGCGACTCATGCTGACCGCGGCCATCGCAGAGACTCGCTTTGACCCGCATCATATCTGCTTACAAGGCTCAAGCCACCCTGGACGACGACGACCCTCTGGAGCTCAAGGTCGACGGCGAGTCTTTCTCTCCGGACACCTTCGTTTCGCAACTACCGGTCCGCGAACAGTTCCTCATCATGAGCGCACATATCGAGCCAGCGCCTGCGTCCCAGCAGAGCTTCAACAGCAGCAACCAGAGCCAGAGAGCGCCTCTCCAACCAGTCAGCCGCCAGCTCACTGTTCCACTTGCGAATTCCCAAGATGAGAACCCCAAGGCCGTCACACCAAGCTTCCCGGCTTCTCCTGCGATCGCAACGCCGCCACCTGCTGCTATGAATGCACAGTCTAAGATCGAGCCCGAAGAGACTCGCACACCAGTAGCACCCACCCCTACACCTCAAACCGCACATCAACATCGACCATTCAAGCAAGAATCGACGGACAGTGGCACGGACAGTGCACTCATGCCTGTCGATAAAAGTGTACCCGTACCTACTGGTGAAGCCCTGAAAGCAGAAGAGCAAGACCAAGAGACCCAGTACGAACCCCGTGACCAGGGCAACCCGTTCGCCGCGTCGCAGGATGCCGATGATTCTGAGCGTAGGCGAGGCCAAGAGCTGCAACAACTCGCCGCTGAGACCAATCCTGAGAGACTAGAGGCTGGCGTCACCGCCGGCTTGGGGGTGCTTTCCATCATCGAGAAGAACCTCCAACTGGTGGGCAATCATCCAGACGCAATCAATTGGATGGAGCAAATCGAGAAAGTCCGCAAGGATGCTAGCAAGTCGCGCACCGTTGTCGGTGTGGTGGGCAATACTGGAGCAGGTAAGAGCAGTGTCATCAATGCAATGCTCGAAGAAGAACGCTTGGTGCCCACGAATTGCATGCGAGCGTGCACAGCAGTCGTCACGGAGCTTTCCTACAACGAATCGACGAACCCGAATATGAAGTACCGGGCCGTGATTGAATTCATCCAGCCCGAAGATTGGGAGAAGGAGCTTCATGTGCTTTTCAAGGAGATTTTCGACGAGACAGGACAAATTTCCATAGACATTGCAAACGCTGATTCTGACGCCGGCATCGCATACGCCAAAGTGCGCGCTGTGTATCACAAGCACACTCGCGATATGCTGGCCAACACCACCGTTGCGTCGCTCATGAATCAGAAGCACGTCAAGAACGTGCTAGGCAAAGTCCGAACCATCAGAGATCCCGAGCCCAAGGCCTTTTACAAGCATCTTCAGCAATACGTCGATTCCAAGGAGAAGGGTACCGAGAAGCGAGACAAGAATGGTAACATCAATCACAATGCCAAGCGCGACTTTGAACTCTGGCCATTGATCAAAGCCGTCAAAATCTACACAAAGGCAGACGCCCTGTCGACTGGTGCCTGTATTGTAGATCTTCCAGGTGTCCACGATTCCAACGCAGCTCGTGCCGCCGTCGCCACCTCCTACTTGAAGGAATGCACCGGACTTTGGATCGTTGCTCCCATCAATCGAGCGGTGGACGACAAGGCAGCTAAGACCCTGCTTGGTGACACTTTCAAGCGGCAACTGAAGTATGACGGCTCGTACTAGGCCGTTACATTCATTTGTTCAAAGACAGACGACATCTCTCGAATGGAGGCCTCAGACAGTCTCAACCTTGGCAACGAGTATCAGGAGCTTGACGACAAGCTGGTGGAGGTCGAGCGTCGTCGCAAGGAATTGAACGCAGAGCTCAAGGAAAAGAAGGGCAAGAAGTCAGACTACGAAGAGACCATCGATCAAGTCGAAGAAGACATCGAAAAGTGGGACGAGCTGGCTGACCAGGTGGATCAAGGAAAGGCTGTCTATCAGCCAACACAGAAGAAGCGCAAGAGGCAGGGCTCAAGTTCTGGATCGAACAAGCGGCGGCGGGCACGAGTAGAGGATTCGGACGACGAAAGCAATGAGCGGTCCTCTCCACCAGGAACGACGGATGAGGCACCAGAAGAGGCCAGTGATCCTCTCACCGAGCAGATCGTCAACGCCAAGCTCGAAGAACTCAAGCAAATGAAGAAGGACGCTCGCCGCGAGAAGAACGCGCTGACTGACCGCATCGATGAACTGAAAGAGCTCTTGGAGGCCAACGCGGATGAGACAGACGAAATCGACGCTCGGCAGAACGCACTCTGCATTGCCGGCCGCAACGACTACTCCCGTCACGCGATTCAACAAGACTTCGCCGCTGGCATTCGCGAGCTCGATCAAGAGAATGCCTGTGACGAAGACCCGGATTCTTTCGATCCATCAGAAGACATCCGCAACTATGCTCTCGTGGCGAACTCTCTCCCGGTGTTCTGCGTGAGCAGTCGGGGATATCAGAAGTTATCAGGACGTCTCACGAAAGACAACGATGTTCCTGGGTTCCGCGACGTGGCGGAAACGCAAATCCCCCCACTCCAAGCACACTGCAAGAAATTGACAGAGAAGGGTCGCCAGGCAGCCTGCCGACGATTCTTGAACAACACACAATCCCTGCTCACATCCATGGGACTCTGGGCCTCTGACGACGGATCTGGTATCAAGCTTACGGCCGCTCAGAGAGACGCCGAGAAATCATTCCTCTTGCGCGAACTCAAGAAGCTCGAAGCTGCTTTGGAGAATACTGTCAACAACACTCTCGACGATGCCGTCGCTAGTCTCGGCGAGCAGCTGTTCGAGAAGTTTGAAGGCGCTATCAAGACTGCAGTGAACGACGCTGTGCCCACTTCTTCTCGGTGGGGCGCTCGCAAGGATGAAGGAGGGCTTTATTGGTCGACTTACAAGGCCACTGTTCGCCGATCGGGAGTCTACACTTCTGCCTCAGCTGGACACCGCGACTTCAATGGAGAGCTGACGGAGCCGCTTTACAAGCATCTTGCGACGGCCTGGGAGAAGACTTTCCAACGCCGCTTACCGAATATCTTACAGACATGCACGAGGTCTGCAACTGATGTGGTGAGGAAGTTCCATGCCGCCGTAGAACAGCGGGTGCGTGAGAAAGGCCATGGAATCAGCCGGATTGGCATGATCGGCGGGCAGCTCCAGACGCACAGCGCGAAGTTTGCCGATCTGGTTGCTGGTGCAATCGAAACGCTCAACAACGGCCAGAGAGACATCAACAGAGAGTTCACACCTGTTATCGCGAACGCCATGGAGCCCTCGTACACCTTTTGCGCCGAAGAGCGTGGTGCTGGTCAATACATGAGGATGAAGGCTCACATGCAGGACCATGTCTCAACGCAACGCTCGAACATGTTCCACAATGCAGCAGAGTCTGTTCGCAAGAGCTTGCTGAAGCTCTGCAACCAAGTCAAGAAAGCAATGCTTGACAGATCGGACGAGGTGTATGTTTCCATGAGCAGAGACTACCTGACGCTCGTAGGCGTACAGAGAAGCGAGAATCGAATGTCGCGCGAGGAGCGAGCTGCCCGTCGTGAGGTCGATGATGCTATTGGCGCTGCCGATGCTCACTTCGGCAGGGTCTTGAACGCGGCCCTCGAAGACCTGAAGGTTGAGGAGCAGGAGAATGACGGAGCGGACACCATGGAAGAGATTGCTGAGAATGAGATGGAATTTGAGGACGATGTCGACGATTCCGAGGACGAGGACGAGGCCGGCAAGGATGAGGCGGACGATAGCAACACCGCGGCTGATGACACCGCTGATGTTGAGATGGGAGAAGATGATGCTGTCTCGAGTTCGCGCGGAATCGACGACTGAGTCAACACTGTGTGTGTTCTTTGGATGTGTGTTGCTTCGCTCTGCTTTTCACGGTCATAAGCTGTGCCCTCCGAGTGGCAAAGCATTTGCTTGTTCTCTTCAGTGTGTTGCAGTGGCCGTCGTTGCCAAAGGCTGTATCAAGTAGCACTTCATAATGTACGATGAGTCCGAAGTAGTGGCGATCAGAGGGTACACCGTCACAAGAAGTGTCTAAGACAGATGCGGCACTTGTCAATCCACGAAGTGAGGTGAGGTCAATCTTCTATTTTTAGGATGCCGCCTCCACCTTGGCACTCTCGAAAGGCCGAATCTTCCACGCCAGACAGGGCTGCCCTCTCACAGACGTCACATCATTCTCGATCCTCCATCCATAGAGCCTCCCGACACGCCGACCAAGGGAATTTTGCATTCATCGGGCCTCCAACCTATGCTGATGCGATCCTGCTTCGGTTCGCCTAAGGCCATTCTAAGCCAGAAGGGACCGGGAGAGGCACCGTCGTCCTCGGCGTAGGGCTCTGGAGCGGGTATAGTTCGTCAAACTCGCTACCTTTGCCAAATACGATGCTCAGCCACCGCAGACTACTTTTTTTATCCCATTGTGCCTGAGCCAACACCTGCAAATTTTCATCCTCCCGCCAGCTATCGCACCCTGTGACAGGCCTGACCGCCGCCTAGTATCGCAGCGTACACTCGTAGAGCACACCCCGCTGCCCGTCGGCATTGGTGGCGCCACGGATCGTCGACCTGAACAAGAAGGATCTTCCAGGTCGACATAAGGATTACTTCGCTCGGTTCGCACATTAAATCAATGCTTTGATATGGCTGACCAGAATAGCAGGTTCCCGATCGACCCTTCCATTGACATGGTCTCGTGAGGCGGTAAGTAGGCCTTCCACTTTCCGCAAGCCACTATGTAGTATCTTCGGCTCCATCCTCGCATTTGGTGTAATCTCTCACAATGAGCCTCTGCACGAGGAGTGCACTAGTACTACACCAGTCTTGTGTGAGATGACAACTGCTCTGACATCTGCCTTTCCTTAACGAGCCTTGTCATCCGCAGCCTCTCCCGTTTATACCTTGTCTTGCCCAAAACACTTCTGATCCTAGCTTAGATGCGGGCTCTAAATTCCAGCGCAAACCCCTTCCTCTACTCAAAATCGATCTCTACGCCTCGCTGCTGACGCGGACTGTGGTCGCAGCCTGCTGTATGGATCGGAATCTAGAGCGCTCGCAGCAAGGACGCCTTCGATATCAACAAAGTAGCCCGACACTTCACCAAGCTTCGGTCCGCGCTCCAGGACCACATTTCCCGCACCCAGGACCGCCGCAGCAATGGGAGGATGTTCCGTTGCCGTATCGGCCACGAGAATGGAGAGACCCGTCACAACCAACGCAACGCGAATCAGTCCCTGAACCACTCTTTGCTTGGCGCCTTCGTCCACGGACAGATGAACCCTCTCGCCAGACTGATCCACCGAGACAACACCATCGCCCTCGAGCGCTGCGCAACCTCTTCAGTAGAAACGAATACGAAGAGCAAGGCCATGGTGTCGACCCATCCCTACTCTATCCCCAGATGAGTCCCTACGACGACCAGGCTAGCTCTCTCAGTGCTCCTGACCAGCTGGAACATTTCCCACGATCCGTAAGCCAACCAAATACGCCGAGTCTTTGGCCCCCACCAGAGCGCGATGAAGTGGACGAGCTGCCTCTTGCGATGATCCCCAGATCGCCGACATATCCGCCTGCGACATCAAGCCGACTGCGTGGGCACGCCAATATCACAGACACCACTTTCACAGACCAGGAGGAGTTCTCACTATTTGTTCAAGCCACGGCTGGTATCATGCCGCCGGACATGGGCCCATCAATGCCTCGCCCTGCCCGGCGGGCCACGACTGATGATGTGGGTCATCTACAGTCTCCCGAGTCGGAGCGACTGGTCTCGCCTTTGCAAGAGACACCCACGACAATGCAGGCTCTGCAACAGCTAGCACAGCTCCCACATACCAACCTGAGCCCAGTGCAGCGAGATGTACGACTTCCACAGGCCCCGACTCGCTCTCTCACAGCGGACCAAGCTGCCATGGCGGGAGTTGACTTATGGATCGAGCCGCCAACACCTTCGTACGACGAAGACGATGTCAGTCCCATCGACGATGAATTGCCTGATTATGCATCAAGCCAGCAACAAGCGCAAGCCGCGCAGAGGGTAGAGGCGGCCAGAAGAGCACAGGAGCTTCAGCGCCGATGGCGACAGAGTCAGGGGAATTATTGAGCTTCAACATACAAGAGCGATGAGTGTAGTGCACCAGGCCTCACAGTGCCACGAGCGCAGTTCGCTCGACGGAAAATGTACATATCTTTCACTTACTTAGCAAGAAGTGGCCGGCTTTGATGAAACCAGCTGGCTTGACGAATGTAACGACTTTGCGATGCTTCTGAGGAGCCTCTCATACTGTCAGAGTTCTCGAGATGACAGCGATTGGACTGTGTCCTTCAGAAACGTATCCTCACCATCAAACGACGACGTCAACCGAAGAGAAGGCATTGGCGTGGGGGCCGAATCTCGAAGACGTTCGGCCCACCAGATCGATCTGATCTCGGAGCGGGCCGGTTTCAGATCGATGACCGATCCATTCATTCCCTGCCACCAGACGTCAACGGTTTGGGGGCGGTATGCTAATGGGTTGCTGCAAGGGACAGCAACATCATCACAGTCAATTCCCCTTAACGTTGCTCAAAAAATTTCGACTCTTGCTCAATAACAACTCAATATGGCCAAAGGAGCTGCTCGGGTGATCTATTGGCAAGTTCGTCACCCATTCAAGATGGATACAGTATTGACTTGGACATAGGTTCCGGACAGACCTTCGACTACACGATTCTCCAGCCTTACAAGCGGCCCTTGATCTCAAGCTCGAAGTCCTCTTCCCCATCTGGTGTTGGGATAGCCACTATGTCTACCGGGCGAGAGTTGGCGTGAATCGATTCCAGTTCTTGATCGACTGTCAAAATGATTTGTCTGAAAGCATCACGAAGCTCAACAACAAGAGCAAGTTGTTCGTTATGCGGGAGCCTGCGGTGAGAACAATTCATTCGAAATCAATGGCTACACTGGATCTGACTGTTCACGTAGGTAACGTTACTACCCAAGCTCTTCAAAACCTGGAAAATCACCCACCTCGTCTTCGAAAAGGACACAGACGCCTATGCCCGGGATCGAGACAACCAAGTCATGGAAATGGCGAAGCAAGCCGGCGTCGAAGTCATCGTCAAGTCAGGCAGAACTCTCTGGGACAGCGATGAGCTCGTCAAAGCGAATGGAGGAAAACCCACAATGAGCAGCACGCAACTCCAAGCCGCGGGTGCGAAGGCAGGAGAGATTGCGAGACCCATCGATGCCCCAAAGAGAATTCCCGATCCTGGCGATATGGACCTCAACATCGAGCAGACGAAACCCAAGCCCGAGCCGGATTTCAACGCCAAGTATCGCGACAGCGAAGAGGCCTCCTACAGTTCCGGCATCGCGGGTCCGAAGGGCGATTACTCACCCCCGACGATCGAAGAACTCGGCATGCCAGCCGCAACGACACCGCATAAAGGGGGCGAGACGGTCGTGCTCAAGATGCTCGAGGAGATTCTGGCGGATGAGGAGTACACGGGGACGTTTGAGAAGCCCAAGACGTCGCCGGCTGCGTTTGAGCCGCAGAGTACGTGTTTAACGTCGCCGTATTTGCATTTTGGGGCGTTGAGTTGTCGTTATGTATGTTCCCTTTCTTATCTTTTCGTTACCCTCCTCCTTGGTTCGCTCAAAGTGGAACGGATCGAACTGCCGTGTCTCTCTGCCTTTTCGTGAGAGACAGCGCTGCTGATTGCCCTCCAAGCTGCTTAGAGGGCTTGCGAGGAATGGAGATAGGTGTTGGCTGACTAGTGTCTAGTTCTATCACAAAGTCCAGGATATCGTCGACAAGCGCAAGAAGGAGAAGCAGAGTGTTTCCAAAATGCCTGAAAGTTTGAACGGACAATTGGCATTTAGGGACATGTATTTTTCTGCGCAGGCGGCGCTGGGATGGAGTTTCGCTCAGACATGTGAGTTGACCAACGTCCCATCGAAGCCAAGATGCACATGGCTAACACGTCCACCCAGACAACAACTCCCACTGCCGCTTCATCCCCTGGCACCTCCCCAGCAAAATCAACACCTCCAACAACCTGATCACAGGCAGCTACGAGGTCGACGATCCGGAAAAAGACGCCTGGCTCCACCGCTGGACGCACGGTACCACCGGCTTCCCCTGGATCGACGCCATCATGCGGCAACTCCGGCAGGAAGGCTGGATCCACCACTTAGCACGCCACTCAGTCGCCTGCTTCCTCACGCGAGGGGGCGCGTACATCTCATGGGAGCGCGGCGCGGAGGTCTTCGAGGAGTTGCTCATTGATCATGAGACGGCGTGCAACGTGGGCAATTGGCAGTGGCTGAGCTGCACGGCGTTTTATGCGCAGTTTTATCGGTGTTATAGCCCCGTGGCGTTTGGGAAGAAGTGGGATCCGGAGGGGAGGTTTGTGAGGAGGTATGTGCCGGAGTTGAAGGTAAGTGCAAATCTTCCCCGGAGAGATGGTGTGGACTGGTTGATGGGGAGGGTGCTGATTGGCGGTGTGACAGGATCTGCCGGCGAGATATATCTATGAACCGCATAAAGCGCCTATTGCGGATCAGAAAGCCGCTGGGGTGCAAATCACTGGGGATGGTAGCTCCTCCGCGACCTCGTCTTCTTCTTCCGGATTGAAAACCTACCCGAAACCCATGTTTGACTTCAACACGCAACGCGAGATTTGTATCCAGGGCATGAAGAACGCGTATCGTGTCGGCATGCACGGCAATGATCCGAGGGTGTTGGACGGGTCGTGGAAGAAGGCTTTCGACGATGATGCTGAGGGGCCTACGGAGGGGGTGAAAGGGGGCCCTGGGGGGCTGGAGACGTGGGACGATGTAGAGGAGGGTGGGGAGGAGGATGATGGTCCTGTTGATGAGTTGAAGACGCCGAAGGGGAAGGGGAAGGGTAGTGGTAAGGGGCAGGCGAGTTCGAAGGGTGGGAAGAAGGGTCACAAAAGGGAGCATAGTCAGAGTACGCTCGATGGGGCTTTTGAGAAGAAGAGAGCGAAGGGATGATTCATCTCTCAGGGTACATTCTGTGGTTGGATATCTTCAAAAGCAGAATCACAAACGAAAACGCTGCAATTGGCTATCTTCTCAACGCTCTGATCATCAAATTGGTATCTCATTTCAAATTCGCAACATGACTAAAAAAACGAGAAGAAGAAACCGTCGACGACGGCCTCGCAGCTTGGGAGCTCGGCTGTCGACGGAAGAGCGAGGACCGTCGGGCGGGTATTGTTGGGTTTACTGCTGGGCGTGAGTCGTCCCTAATTCGCAGTGGCTCTGGCATGTCGGCGCGATTCATTGTTCTCGACAGCGGGAGCTCTGTGCGAGAGCTGACTGCACTGGCGAAAGACTCGCGTAGGGACCGAGACGCTGTGTCTGTGAGCGGCCAGTCCATAGAGGTGTGGTCGTCACCAAGGAGATCGTGCAGTGCATCGCTGCTCAATGGTGTTGCTTCGAAGGGCTCGTTCGTTTCCCCGTTGGCCGTGCGACGTTGGCTTTCATGGAGAAGCATTGAGCCGACGCCACTTCGATATGGGTGGCGAGGCGGTGGAGGCTCGACGCCTCTAGGTTTTAGCGAGGAGTCATGTTGTTCGACCATCTTGCGAAGCGCGTCAGAATCGATGCTATCGGCGTTGGAATCATTCGAGTAGACCGAGCCATCTGAGGCATCATCCCGTGTGGGCTGCGCACTCGCTTCACCAGGACCCGAATTACGCAAGAAGTCAGCGAGTGATAGTATGTTGTCGTCATCTTGGACTTTGGCCTCCTTGGGTTGTAGGGTCTTGTTCTGAGAAGGAAGGGTGCGTATGAAGTCGGCAAGGCCGCGTACGGAGTCGCCCTGCACTCTGGCCTCACGTGGCTCATACGTCGACCTGTGTGTCTTTGGCAGACCAGGCAAGACCTTGGCGAATGGTGAAGACCTGGCTTCAGTGGTGTTGTCTGCCGTCGAATGGTCAAGTAGGGTGGCCGGCTCCTTGCCTTTGGCTTTGCTGGTTGTCCTCGTAGGTGGAGTAACTTGAACATCAGAATCATCAGGCAGTCCATGCCATTGCATGCCGTCACTGGCATACTCTAATGATCGGACGCTTTCGATGGGCGATCCTAGCTCTGAGGCACTGCCGTCGTCCGTCAGCGTTGGCATTTCGCCACTGTCCATGGAGTTTCTTGAATTGACTGTCGACGGTCGAGAGGCAGCGACCGTAGGAGCCCCGTCCCTCGGCGGCGCCTCGAAGACCGCATCTGCAGGCAAGGCTCCCAACGAACCCAGCATACCCACGAGCTCATTCTTCGATTCGAAGACGCGGAGGCTCTGCTGGATGTGCGGAGCTCGAAGAACGTATTCGAGACCAAGATCGTAGAGGCGTTGGCTGGAGCCATTCAGACTGTGGAGGGCGACTTTGAGGCTGTCATGGGCTTTCTCGAAATTGCCAAGCTCGAATTCGACGTGCCCCATGAGGAACATCGTGAAGGCAAGAGTCCGCTCGTTTGGTTCAGCCTCATCCAAGATCTGAGACGCGGTTGCATAGTCGCCAAGCCGTGCAAACACCATTGCCGAGTTCAGCAAACATAACGTGCTTTCGAGATTGCGGCTGATGGTTCTTGATAGGTAGAGGAACGTTTCAGCAGATGTTTGCCAATCGAAGCCATGGTATAGAACGGTAGCGTGCTCCCACAGGTCCAGCTGCTCGCTGGCCAAATTGGTCGCTTGCGTAGCAACGTCGTCAAATTTGGTGCCCAGCAATCGAGCAGGATGTCGTGGAGGGATAGAAAGTATTGTTGGCATGGTGGTCGACGTTTTGAAGTAGATAGACAAGGTACGCTTTGATCATAAATCTTTGTTTGCTTTCAGACAGTCGTGAATAGAATGAATAGATCGAAGTAGTGAACACTCAAAGGAATCAGGTTCGACCAGAGTTCACATACGCGTGGAATACACGTCGACTTTATGTACTGAAGTTTAGTTAGACTGGGCGGTACACAATCTTGCAGGGCCCCTTCAGACACACCTGAAATCCGTGAAAATGCTCACATGAAGGCGGTCGTTATCAGCTGTGAAGTGCAGTAGGCGTAGAGATGTGGCGGCCACGTTGCTACTAGCTGTGGTCTTCGTCGACGGAGCGTGCGGCTCAGGTGAAGTGTAGTTGTGGAGAGAGCGCTCTGGAGCAAGCCTCAGCCAGCCTCAGGGACCAATGGCGCAAGTAGTGGGCGAGAGGCTATTGCCAGCACTTCGTAGGCAGGAAGGCCACAGTCTTGTATTATCTCGACATTTGAAAAAGCACGCTCAAGGATGGGCGCAAACTCGACCCATTCGTGTCGGCTTGTGATCAAAAAGACTGTTTGCAGAGCGCCTCTGACGAAAGCTTGAAGGTGTGCGGAAATCAGAGATGACTTGCGGGGATAGACGAACAGGAAGATCTCGGCCATCAAACCATCGTGATGCAAGTCGGTGGTGCTCGGGACTCTGAGCATCCGATCTTCAGGTAGATATTTGTTTGGACATTTGTCGACCTCGATACCGAAGAGATTTAACGATTCGGGCAGGGATGTGCGACGAAGGATCTCTTCGAGCATGCCGCTGCCAGCTCCGATCTGAAGATAGAGATGTTAGCAAAACAAAGCAGCATCCAACAGCTGCGGGGAGCCGTTGTTTGTAGCCAGGTGTGCTTTTGGCCGCAGTACGTACACTGAGCACCAATGAGGCCTCTCCACGGGGCAGACGGGCCAAGAGGGTCGAGATCAGCGTGGAGCTGATGGCACAGCAGCAGTCGGGGAAGTGTTTTGGCTGCTCGGTCAAGCTAGCGAGAATTGCGTCCATCGCGATGGTGGTGATGGTGATGGTGATGGTGAGTCACGAGGTGTTGCAGCAGAGATGCAGTCGAAAATGTTTCATGGTTGAAACACTTCCAGCAAGACGACTGCGTGCCCCGCCGTCGCGCAGCAGTCCAGTATGCGGCCAGGTTTCATGATACAGGCTACCACGTCGATATCATATTGGCTCTCGTGTGGCTCATGGGGTTAGCAGCGGCCTTTGATACGAAATCTGATTGTTCTCAGGTCATGCCATGGTGTTGGGAGCGCGTTGAAGACCGACTGAAGGCGGGACATGGTAGATGGTGATGGTGGTGTGGAGCCTGGGCACGAAAAGTAGTGAAGACAGTAACTTGCCGTGGTAGCCTTGGGACATGTCAAGCCGTAGTATTGGATCGTGTAGCAGAGGGGAATGCGATAGTATTTGCGTGACTGTAACGTGCTTGGAACAGGTATTCCCGGAAGTCGCAGTGTGGTGGTGCAAGTAATGGAATGGAATAGTGCAATAATGGCAGAGGTGAAGTGGCCACGACTAGACCTGCCCACTCGGCGTCTGATTCTGCTCTCAGCTTCCCCGTCGCTGCACGATCGTCCGTGCTCTGCTCTGCATTCTCTCTCTCACTCTCACGCTTTCACATGACTGCGAGCCTCCTCCGATGCGGCGATCGAAACATTGCCGACGTTAGGCGCTTCTCACCATCGTCGTCCACGTCCACGACCCGACAGTCAGGTCACTCACCCGCAAGCGCTTGCGTTACCGCACCTCGTCCGACTTGGAATCCCAGCCCTGTGAGGACGAGCATTCTTCTGTGGTAGCAGCCGTTGCTGCTCCTGCTGTGCTTCGGTGCTTCCAGGCTAGAAACGGCAAAAGCGGTAGACATGCCGATGGATGCTCTTCCCAGCCCCCCGACGTGAACACGTGCGAGCGTCAACATCACGCGGTCATGGCCATACCAGCAGGTGGCACTTGACCTGTCGTCTGCAGGCCACGGCGGGATCACCTGCTCGGAAGGGCCTACGCTGTGTCATGGGGAGCCTCTCCTGCAAGCACCCTCGGGCCATGCTCACCAAGGACACGCCGAGATCGTCCAGCGCGCCACACGTGCTGCAGACCAACACCGCCTCACATCATCGCGGCAAACCGAGCGACGCCGCCCGCCGTGCAGCACTATCGCGGTCATCGTGCAGGAATCCGGTCTCGAGCTCGGCCGCCCAGGCAGGATTGTTATTGCAATCTCTGCTATACCTCCAAAGGGGTCTGCCATAAGACGCGAGGGCTGACGGCATCAATAGGCGCTCGTGCGACCCTCGATGGAAGAGCGGATCAGGAACGTCTCTGCTGGAAGCGTTGGAAGCTTGTTGCGCATCCCGGTCGTTGGCCACCTGCAGCCGTTGATTGGGGGCCCGCAAAGATGACGCTTATGCCGACAGGGTTAGGGCCTCTGACTGAGCCGAGTGCGGCCGCGAGGCTATCGGTGCTCCCGATCAACGACATCCAACCAAGCCCTCCTACTCTCTCTCCACGACCGCTGCGTTGCACCCAGCTCTGGGAAACCCGCTCACCTTCGATTCGGCACGCATGGAACGACATCCGCCTGACTTAGCTCGTCCCCTGAAACAGACAGCTGTAGCTGCCGTTCAGGGCAGTATTCGAGAACGGCTAGAGCGCAGTGAGCATGTGCGGACGGCGAGTGGCCACCACCCTCTGGCTATGACAGCGTCTGCGACCGTGCTCCTTCAGCCTGGATGCCGACTCCCATGGACCGCGATGCGTTTCAGCAAATGTATCAGCGTGCGTGTACAGCTCTGTCGCTCCATGTCTCGCCAACTTCATATGCACCCCATCGCCGCCCGTGGAATGGCAAAAACTCAGGCGGAGGAGATGCCCTCTTCAGTGCTCGACCGAACAGGATACGCGCCTTGCAACGTTACAGACAAGGGAACAATCTTGCTCATCTCGGACGGGTGATCCCAATTGCATCGAGCACGATGCCGCAATCTCTGATGCTCTCTGCTGCGTGGCCCAGGCATCGCCATGTGCGGCAGGGCATCACGCATGAACGCGACTGCTGCGAGAAAAAGATCCAAAGTGGGAGCTGGACTAATGCAGAGCTACTGTATGCATGCTGCTGGATGGTGTGCTGCAGCAGGCCACAGACGAAAAATGTGGCGCAGTGCATCCAGCTTAGTGCATGGGATCGCTCGGATTGATATAAGCCTGGCCACCCCGCAAGTAGTCACAGTTGCTCGTCAACCGCACCCTTCGCCCGTCTCATTGGCCGACATCCTCCTCCCTTTCCTCTCTTCTCTCTCTACTACCTGGGCGCGCCATCTAATTCCAGTCGTTGACACCTCTCTGAGACATATTACGTCGTTTCCTTTCGTTCTTTAGCCCTTCCCATCGCACACAGACGCCGTCTATCCATCGCATCGCTTACATTATCCACACGGTCGGGACCGCACCTCATCTTCAACGCTCATATCATCCGCTGCCATGCCTGTGCAGCTCTTACCGGCCTCCGCGCAGGCCTTTGCGCCTCGATCGTCTCCAGAGATCGTCCTCAACACCAAGGTTGAGCCTTGGTTAACGCAAACGTTGAAGCGCATCAACCGAATCAAGCGTCCTTTGAACAGCGTTCCACAACACTTCCGATGTCTGACGGAGACCCTCGGCGGCTCCAATGCCATCTGGACGCTGGCATCCCTCATGTTACCCAAGGCGCCTGACTCGGACCTGCGCAAGGACTCCAACCCGCTGATAGAAGCGCTCTTCAACTATCAGCTGATCCACGTGGAGGCTTACGTTGTACACGTCGACATGGTATCACAGCACGAGGTCGCCTTCAAGCTGACGCCGGAGACGATCGAATCGCTGGTTGAATACCACAAGGAAATCTATTCGATCGACGCCTCGGCGAGCACATGGAGTTGGCCAGAGAAGGAAGCACAAGTCAAGAAGATGCAGGATGAGTTCGTGCAGGGTGCGAACAAGTTTGTTTTCCGTACCAGTGTGCGCGCACTCGAGGGTCTGGAGGAGGATGGCGCCGGCGAGTTGCTCGAAGGACGATCAGAAGAGGTCAAGAGTGCAATCATGAACCTTTTCCTGCCGCTCCTTCCACCGCCACCGCGGATCGTGGATGTCATTCACCCAGCGCCAATTCTGCCGAATGCCACCATCCCCGGCCACTGGTGGGCACCACCTCCCCAGCACATGGCACCACCTCATCCAGCTCCTGTGGATTCCTGGAAGGTTCTGCCGTCCACTCCTTCGCCAACGGCGACCTCTTGCAGCGACAACCAATCCAACACCTTCTGGCAAGATGTCAACCTCCAGCTGCCGTCGCCCACGCCGTCTTTCAGCCAACCGTACACAACGGCGCCGTCGCAATATTACAGCTCGCCTCAGTGCATGGCACCAATGCCAGCAATGCACCTCCCCAGCTCGCTGCCACAACACTGCGGTAACGACATGGGCATGGGAGGCTACCACGAGTTCGGCTGGAGCCAGAGCACCTTTGCACCTCAATATGCCACCACGGTATGAGCAAAGAAGTGATCCTACCTCCTCAGCCAGTCGTTGAGCGACTACAACGTCGGCGTCCTGGCCACACCCGGCGACGTTTCTACTGGAACACCTTTTCGGAGCCTGATGCGCACAGGCGCCCTGACATGCGACCACGATGTACATAATGTTACGCGATGCGATGCGAACGATACCCGATGTTGATCATCACTACCCTCAACATCACCCCGCAAAACAGCGAAACAGGGGCATACTGGACGGCGTTCTGCAAGCGACTCTTTGTTTTCTTTTTCGTTTGTCTTTATTTTAGCGAAGCGAGCATTCGATGTCTTTTCTGGATTTGGGGATCGAATATCACGACGCGCGATGGGAGAACAACGCATTACAACCTCGGGAGGCATGCAGTGCAACAAGATGAGAAGACAACGAATTCTCGACCTCGCGGTCAACCAACAAATTATGGGAGGAAATGATGCATGCTTTTTGACCGTCTGGACTCTGCGCGTTGTTATCGATTCTGCGCAGCGACATCTGGAATGTCGATTCGATTCTTAACAAACCGCCTTTGCGAGCGCCTGGAAGCCCGCCGTCCGTACGGTCGTACACTCCGGTCTGGCTAGTCCTGACAGCGGATACGACCAGGATGGCGTGGGGATGAAGGCGCTTCGCACGATGATGGAACTTTGGTACTGGTGACCAACTGGACGACCCCATCGGCGATCGGCAATTTGAAAAATTGTTGAGCAAGGAGCGTTTGAGACGCTTTGCTTGGTAATATGACCTCCATCATCTATAACACGATCTGGATCTTTCATCGATCTGGCAGCCCGAGATCAATGGAGTGCCGTCTGTGAAAACGGCGGTCACTCTTGAAAACTGGAAACTATCACTGAATGTCTGGTATGTTCAGTGAGATAGCACCCGGGATCCCGAACCGCTTGTTTCCAATCGCAAGTCGGGAGGAGGTAGACCTGCGCTTCGAGTGGTTGTCAGCGATGAAATTTTGCAGCGTGTTTTTTGTGCGAATGGGCCGCCTTCACTGGTTTGGTGCCATTCGCCGTGGATGATGGAGGTCAGCAGGATAGTGGCCATCCTACTATACTCCTCTGTTTGAGTGAGAAGTCTGCAGACGCTGCGCGTTTGGGGCAAGTGGATGCTGGGAATTTTAGGAAGGATGGAATGGTCGCCTACCTACAGCTTGGACTGTTTGAGGCTGATTCGGACTCCTCGACTTTACTATTTCGTAGTATCGTAATTCACTCGTTCGAAAGTGCTTGATGTTCCAAAGTGAATAGCATATCAATGGGAGGCTGAAGTGTGATATGGATGGGTAAGCCCTCGCTAGCAACGGCTCGGGCGTTGCAGCCGGCGCCTTGCCGTCATCGGTCGGCGCAACATGTGAATGGCGTCTTTGTGCTTCGCCGTTACGCTCTCGTCGCCGCTGCGCCGGTCCTTGTGCCTGTGATCTGTACACTCCACGATATCGCTCGCGAGCCCGAACGACTCTCACAATGCAGGAGTAAGGTAGCACGTCGGTCCAGCCTGCCGCCATGCCGCCCGCCAGCAGTCCCCGTTCATCCACGACTGCTCCAGCGGCTCCTCGTGTAAGAAGAGCCCCCCCTCACTTCACCTGTAGCCCTATCACGGCGAGACTCGCCCACGGCTGTCGCAAGGCCTCTACTGACCCATTGCGCACCCAGATGAGCCCACACAGCCCCCCAGGAGCCACACCACCGCCGTCGCAGCGACCACTGACGCCGCTGTCATACCTCAGCTCCCCCGTGCCCGACCTGGCCTCGACATTGCACACCCAGCCCGCCGACGACGATGCCGACGAGGCCAATGTGAGCTTTCTACGCGACTCGCTCGAATCACTGGACCAACCCCCTGCCCACGAGTCCGCGACGACCAGCAGCTCACTATCGCGCGGGACACACGTTGACTATTCTCGAGACCCACGGCGGCGGACAAACTTGCAGCAATCACACAGCCAAACCGCACCGGCTCAAGCGCCCACTGACAATCTGGATGACCTCTCACGGAGGGAACGGCTGCAACGAGTGCTCGCACGCCTAAATCGCATACACGACCCAGCCGGCTCGTCTGCCTCAGCCTACGGCAATCGCACTCCTTCGCCCAACCGGCAGAGACTATACGATTGGGCGCCTTCCCACGACGAGCCTAACCAGCAGGAGGATAACGAGCTCGATCAGATCTTGGCGGAATTGCGGCGACAGCAACCTGATACCCACCCAGACATCCTGCGCGTGCTTAGTCAAAGCCAGCTGGACCTGACTCGACAACGTGAAAGAGAATCGCATTCGAGCGCGACCGCAGAACAGACAGATGCTAGCGAGAGGAGAGATCGTTTGAGGGAGCGAAGAAGGCGGGAGAATGAGTGGGTGAGTCTGCGGAATCGAGCTGTGCTGCAACGAGCGAGGCAGGAAGGGTCTCCCTCAGCGACGGAGAGGATGCTGAGATATGTGATGGAGCGCGAACGCAGTGGCATGAGTGAAGAGGAGGAGCGGGCGAGAGGCTCAGGGTGGTTCAATCCCAGCGGCAGCCGGTCCAGTACAGAGCAGCATAGGAGTGGCGCCTCTTCAAGAGAATCCTGGCCATTGCCTCCCAGCGCGAACGAGTTACGTGCGAGGACGATTCAAGAACGAGCAGAGGCCATGCAAAGGCGATATCTTACCGAGAATGCGGCTCCACGACTACCACGGATCTCAACTCCACCTGTACCTGCAACATCCACCCCACCGAGCATGTCCTCACATTTCTTGGAGAGTGCTCTGAAGTATCTCAATCAACTCCGATCGTGCTATCGCTACGAGGAAGCACTTTCGGCTGCGATCGATCATGGACTGGCAACTAAAGAGTTCTTCGCGGACAAGCACGATGACTTTGTCATGGATCTGGAAGAGCTGAATCCGCTCCCCTCTTCTGCGTGGCTACAGCCAGGGACAGTACTCGAAGGGCATCAACATGCGACAAGCGGTAACGCCGCACTGCTGCAAACGCGGCCCACGAGCTCGTCAGCACATTCTGTTGAGCAGATAAATCCTAACTTCCGCAGCCATGGCGCCTCTGCGTCCTTCGACCATCCTCCTGGTTCGACGAACGTGCAACCTTTCGATGCTACGAGACCCTGGCTCTCACACCAATTCACACCGCCAGCACAACTTAATACGACTTTTTCCACAAAGCCTTCGGATGCTGGCCATGATCACTGGCCGGTCCGAGTCATCATTCACTCGGTGGACCTCGAAAGGATGACATTGCAGGGGACGATGGAAGCGTACGACGTACCTCAACACCCGGCCAGTGTCTCGATCTTGCAATCCAGCGAAAGACCGAAAGCCGGGAAAAAGCACGCCCCTATAACGACCTACCTCGAAGGACACATCATCGACCTAGCAACGCACTCTTTCCTCACACCCAGCGCTTCAGAAGTAAAACGCTCCGGCCCACACCCAACAACTCCCTCCAACGCAACCCCCTACACAACCCTCTTAGACGCCATCTCCTTCCCCTCAGCAAACGCCCACACCGACGCGGCCAACTGGCGCAAACTGCCTCCCTTCAACACGCTCCCCTCGGACGAAGAAACCGCCCGCCTCCTCCTCTCCCGCGGCCGCATGAACGAAGTCTCCGAAGAATACATCTTCATGCGATGGAAAGAACGGTGTTTCGTGCACGCGCGGGATGACAAGTGCAGCGAGGCGGATCGCGGAGGGGACCAAGACCGCGGACATGGATTGACGATTTCGGGGTTCTATTATGTGAGTTTGAGGAGGAGTGATGGGGTGGTGGAGGGTTTGTACTTTGATCCTACGAGTACGCCGTATCAGCATTTGAGGTTGAGGGGGAAGAGGACGGGGTGGCCGGCTTTTGAATTTAGATGAGTGGTTGGAATTGAGATGGCGGAGTTGGCCTCTTTTCGAATTATATATGAGAGTTGGCTTGCTTGCATCGTGGGGCGTGGAGAGATGGGATTAGTAGACGTTTGGGAGCAGGTGGCATACATCGATTGTGCATCTGGGCTTCATTTCGTACCGAATGGATCATTCATCTACGAGAACATCACTTTTCAGGATATCGAGAAATGTTGAGTGATGTGACGTTCTTCTCTATTCGATCGGTGCTACAAATATGTGGCACACGACCACGCAGATACTGTACATCATAGGCGGAAGGCCGCCGAAATCTACAGGGAGCACAAGCGGCAGAGAGACACTGTGCTTGCGTATCGAAGAACCGAGACCCCTGCAGCCATTGACTTTGCCGTTTTTGTTGACGATACTGCCCAAGAAAATTCCTCTCCCATGCCCATTTTCCTTTGCCCACCGACTGATGCTTGCCAAACGACGTTTTGTTTCCTTTGATCTTGAACGCGTTTACTGCTCGGTGGAGAAGTAGTTGAGGAGGATGGAGCGCTCCTGCGACTCCTCACCCCAGTCCTTGACGACGACGCACGAGCAGTTGACGACCTTGCGTGCGTTGCCCTCACGGTCGATTTGGCCTAGAAAACCAACAAGTCAGTCAAACCATCCCCGGTACGCAAACAATTTTGCACGGGCTAAATCCTACAAAGACCAGCCCACTCGCCGAGCTGCTTGCCATCCGGGACCTTGATGAGCGGGATGTTGTGCTCGCCGCACAGCGCGACGACCAGCTTCTTGTAGGCCTCCTCCTCGCACGCCTCGTTGAGCACACACATGTGAGCCTGTCGGCGGTCGAGCGCCTTGCTGGCCTCGCGCAGGCCGCGGGCCAGACCGTCGTGGATCAGGGCGATCTTGAGGACTCCCTTGAGGGCGTCGAGGACGGACATGCTGCCGCCCTTGGCGGAGGTGTCGGCGGCGACCTCGACCTCATCGGCCGCGGCGACTTCCTGGGTGGGCTCTTCTCCGTCCGACTGTGAAGGGGCATGTTAGTGAGGGTGTTCGTTTGGGGTGTTCGTTTGGGGTGTTTGTCTTGATGTGAGGCGCGTTGGAGGCTCGATATGCCGGATCGAGATGTGGTCTCGTGCGGCCGATTGAGTGCAGATGAGGGATCTCAATGTCGCAGAATTGGTGACTGAGACATGGATTGGGGGAAACTCACCATCTTGAATGCTGAGTTGACGCTTTTTCAGAGTTGTCGAATTTCCTCAAAGAGCGCGCGTTGCGTGGTGATATAGTAGTAGTGGATTGGGATGGTAAACGCGGTGGGTTGCCGTGAAGTCGCTGATGAATTCTGGCCTCCGCGGTCAAGTGCGTTCTTGGCGACGCTAGCCGCCCGCCAGCCGAAGCTCCGACCGATCTCCTGGAGCTCCATCTCCATCTCCACGACTGATGACAGCATCAACCACCGACCGACGAGCACAATGTCGACTTCAACTTCTCGCGCAGCCATGAGGCTGCTGTCGCCTCGGATTCAGTACTTACAGCGTCCGGCTCGATGCACGCAGATCCGCGCCTCGTCACGATACAGCAACCCAGCCAAGCGGTCCTTTGCAGGTGCACCGGCACAGAGTCCTTCGTTCGCGGAGCCGTCCTTTGCATCTATCAGTGGCAGCTCACTGGAGGGTTCAGCTGAAGATGGAGCTCGTGAGCCTGTGGGCGCCCGTGCGGCGTACGAGGCTTGGGAAGAGAAGAGGCAGTACCACTTGCGAAGGATGAGATTCGCAGGAATGGGATTGCTCATGAGCATTTTTGGTCTGGCTGCATTGGTCTACAATCTGGATCTGGATGAAATGGAACAGGCGGAGCAGAAGAGGAAGGGTCAACAGCTGGATGCCGGCGAGGATTCGAACAAGCATTTCCAGGGCAAAGAGGTCGAAATTATTGGTGCAGGCGAGGACAAGCGGATTGTAGCAAGGGAACCTGGTGGTGAGGTTGAGCTGGTTGAGACTGGCACGAGCAGTGTTCCACTATTCCCCAGGACCATCTACCTACCCACGTCTCCCGAATCCGTTCCCATCGACGCAGCTGGAGCGGTCGATGCGACGCAGCCGAATGCTGCAGGCAACCCAGGCAACATCGAGAACCAAGAGGAGTACACGCTGTTAGGACTTGGGATTCGAAGTGTCTCATTCCTCAATATCCAGGTCTATGTCGTGGGCATGTACGTCCGGACACAGGACATTAGCGCTCTCCAGGAGAAGTTGATTCACGTCATTAACGAGCGCGCATCAACTTTGATCCCCTCAGAAAAGGAGGAATTGAAGAAGCGGCTACTGGACCCACAAGCTAGCAGGGAGATCTGGGCTGAACTGCTGAAGGTACCGGGCCTGAAGACTGCGTGGCGAATTGCACCCACCAGGAACACCGACTTTGGCCATCTTCGAGACGGCTGGATCACGGGTATCAACAACCGCATGAGGGAAGCGAAGCAGATCGCTCAGGGCGCCGAGACAAAATACGACTCGGAAGAGTTTGGCAAGGCCATTGGCGAGTTCAAAGGTATTTTCAAGGGAGGCAAGGCGCCGAAGGGATCTGTTATGATCCTCTCGCGAGGACCCACTGGCACATTGGATATCTGGTTCCAGGCGAAATCTGGTGCGAGTGGGCAGAAGTCCATGCAGAGGCTGGGTTCCGTCAATGATGAGCGGATCAGCAGGTTGATCTGGATGGGCTACATGGCCGGCGACAAGGTCAGCTCTGAGCCAGCGAGGAAGGGCGTTGCCGAGGGATGTGTGACTTTTGCTGGCCGCCCCATTGGCAGCGCTGAGAGCAGGGTGGTGTAAAATGCACAATACGTTGTGAGCTATGTTTTAATGAGTCTCAACTCACTACCACGGCGTGTGAGGAGTTTTCAGCGGCACATTACCTCAACTTGATTGCGGGTTTGTACAGATATCGTCTCCTCTGCGATGTGATCTTGCTGCCTGCGACATAGCCATGGGTGGCACAGTCGTCTACTCCTCGACTGGGAAGCCAAGTGTAAGCAGTTATGTGTCGCCAAGGCATGTTCGTGGATGGAGGAGGAGAGACGTTTAGAGCGTATGAGCGCCGATGTACTACACAACGAGTATATTGTGCAGGATTGATTATTTTGATCACCCGATTTTGCAGTCCTCCTTCGATCGCTTCATTCATAATGTATTTGAGAGTGGTGTTCAATACATGTAGAGACGCATGTGAATAGCGAGTAGACGTCACCACCACGTGGCCAGGATGGCTCGTGCCTGCCGCAGCATCCACTGCAGCGCGAGAACGAGCAGAGCATCAGATCGTCACGTTGGCACTGCACGTCTTTCGTTTCTTCCCTTGCAATCTTGTATAATCTCTGTGATACAGCGCATCTGCAGGGCTCCGTAGATTTGATCATCTCTCGCCCTCCAAAGGACTCTTCCTCACAACAAGACTCAAAATGCCGAGCGTCGACGCAGACGCAAACGCAGGATGGACAGGGGCATTCGTTACCCAAGTGCAACATTACATCCCGATGCTCAAGAACAGCAACCCACGCGCGCCTCATGAACGAGCACACGGCGATAAAGGCCCCAAGCCCTTGACGGCCGAAGAGATTCAGGCGCATCCGGAGTATCCTCATACTCACTGGGATTTGAAGCCTGAGAGCAGAGGCAAGATCGATGTCGCCGAGGGACGGGGAGGACCTTTCAAGCTCGCGTATGAAGTGCATGGCCATGGACCCAGCAAGATCATCTGGATCATGGGTTTGGGTGGTTTCATGAAGACGTGGCAACGGCAGACGAAGGATTTTGGCCACTCTGAGGCTGACAAGTATACTTGTCTCGTTTTCGATAACCGGTAGGATGCTCTTGACGATTCGTTCGATGTGGAAAGTGTACTGAATAGCTATCAGAGGAATGGGTGACAGCGACAAGCCACTTCTTCGATACACGACTTCTGAAATGGCAAAGGATATTGTCGAACTATTGGATCATGTTGGTTGGAAAGACACGCGAAGTATTCATGTTGTCGGTATCAGTATGGGCGGCATGATTGGACAGGAACTTGTACTGTCTTCGAAATAGTCTCTGATCCCCTACGAGCTGCTAACTTCGCGCAGGCCCTCCAAGTACCCGACCGGATATGCAGCTTGAACCTCATCTCGACAGCCCCTAGGATCATTCGCACACTACCCTACTTCGAAAACGTTCGCAATCGAATGAATCTGATGATTCCCAAGTCACTGGACAACCAGATAGCAAAAGTCAAAGGTGACTGCTATTCGGCCGAGTGGCTGGCCAAACCAGACGAGACAGAGCACGTCGTACAACCCTTCCCAACCAACGGCGATCGATTTGCGGCTGGGGAGATTAGCAAGCGTCTATCACCTGGCGTTTTCACGCCGAAAGGTTTCTTGTGCCAGCTCTACGCGGCAGGTTTCCATCACAAGTCTGCAAAAGAACTCAAGCAGCTCGGAGACGTGATCGGCAGGGATCGAATTCTCGTCTTCCATGGCACTGGAGATCACATGATCGATTTTATCCATGGCGAGGTGCTTTATGAAGAGCTGGGAGGCGATGAGAGTGCTGTCACCAAATCCTTCCATGAAGGCGTAGGGCACGTTGCGCCGTTCGAGCTCAGAAAGGAATTCCGCAAAATCATTGTGAACCGCATCGAGAAGACGGAGGCGTTGAACAAAGCGCAAGAGATACCAATAGAAGAATGACCTGCCTTTTCTGTACGTCGACTACTGCGAATGGTACCAGTCATACTACGAACGCATTGTAGGGCTCGCTGACCGACGAATGAAGCAAGTTGTACCTTCAGCTTAACCCCACCCCATACGAGAGTAGTACATCCATTTGTTTGCCATTGTCGCCCTTTGCTTACTACTCAGGTGTTTGCACCTTCTGAATCGGGCAGATTTCCCTGGAGTCATTGAGGTGATTGTAGTCGTCGGGGACCGATTAGTCTGACTCACGGGGATTACATGCTGGAGACATCTGGCCATGATAAGAATCAAAGGATTGGCTTACCAGCAGTGAAGAAGCAACTCACCAAGATGGCATCGAACAAAGTCGCAACGCTGCCAGCAGCGGACTGTGCCGCCGAGGGCACTGAACAACCGAAGCGTGAAGCGATTTCACTTGTCCAGTTCGAACCGAAGGTGGCGATGAATCCGGTAACAGCTATTGAGAGGACGCTGCTATATACGAAGGATCCAAAGGGTTACTTAGTGGAGGCGCTCGGAGAGGCTGTCTTCGAGGAACGAAAGCCGACACTATGCATACCAGACGAGATCGATAAGGATGTATGTGCTGCATTTACGTGATATGAGGAAAGCCGATTGCTCATGAGTATAGTTCTATGGGACCGGAAAACACAAGTCGAACTTCGAACAGCATATTGCGAAACTCCTCGGGAAAGAGCGTGCCCTCTTCTTCATTACAGGTGTTCAGGCCCAACTGGCAGCTTTGATCTCATACTGTGACCGAGTGCCCAACTATCGGGTCGGATGGCACGTATCTTCGCATCTCGAGTCCGCAGAGAGGGATGCCTATCAACATCTGTACAAGCTGAAGAGGATTCTCTTAGGAGAGTCTCCAGATGAGCATCCCACCGTGAACGAGATCAAGGAGGTCTTGTCCCGTACGGAAAGCTGTCGACCGGCAGCGATCTTGATAGAAGTTCCCAACAGAACCCTTGGATGCAAGACTTACAGTTTTGAAGAACTCCAGGCCATATCACAGGCGTGCCGTCAAGCAAATGTCAAACTGCACTGCGATGGAGCCAGACTGTGGGAGATTGAGCCATATTATCAATCCAAAGCAGGGAAGTCGATTGCCGACATCTGCGCCTTGTTCGACTCAGTGTACGTGAGCTTCTATAAGGGACTGGGAGGCGCTGCTGGTGCCATGTTGCTCTCCAACGACTCGGACTTGATCGAAGAGGCCAAGGTATGGCAACGAAGGACCGGAGGCAACGTATTTACATTGATGTACCAAATCATCGACTGCGAGCGAGGATTCAATGAGTTCTATGGCGGCTTCAAAGCGAGGTGGAAGAAAATGACCGACATTGCGGATGGCGTTCACAAAGCGACAGCAAAGTACAGAACGAAGGACGGTTTGCCGTATGTGCAATTCAATCCGGAGGAGCCAACGTGTTGTCAGGCACATACGGTGTTCCAGGGGTTCACGGCCGATGAACTTCTTGCGGCGAGGGATCGGGTGGAGCAGAGGAGCAATGTTCGACCGTTTGAAAAATTGCGGAAGAGGCAGACGGTTGACCTCAGGCCTAAGGAAGAGAGGGAACGAGATGCAGCTGGCGAGGAGATACCCTTGCCGGATACCACGCAGTTCATGGAGTGGCTCATGATCGAGACGACCTTACAGGTCGAGACTCAGGTGTTTGTCGATGCGTATGTTGCTTTGTGTGAGGAGTTGGCGGCGACTGCGACCGGTGTGGCTTGACTTTTCAATACAGACGGTTGAATTGGATGATACATCGTTCTTGCAGGCATAATCTAAAAGTCTTAGAGGTTCCATGCTGAAGTCGTTTGGTTGATATCGAAGTCTGCAGAGGTCTCTCGAGTGAAAGTCGCCGGGCCAACGCGCCACGATCGATCAACATCAACAAGTCCGAACTCAAAGTCCTCGCGACAACGGCCGCCAACACCACGCCAACGACTTCACACTCACGACACATACAACTCCAAAATCCCATTGATACGACACTCGACAGACGATATACCGAACTGGGATTGAATGCGGCCCCCGGCGGCCAACCTGGAGCCGACGATATGAGCACCTCAAAGCTGGAGCCGACCACGTTCCTGACGCCGACGACGTGTTTCACGGTCGCATGCGTGGCCTTTTCCCTAGTCGCCCTCTCGGCCGTCTGGCGCAACTCGAAGAGTACTCAGTCGACGAACGAGCAGAAAAATCCAGAGCAAACGCTATCGAGACCGCAACCCCAACGAAGAGTCGCAGCGGATTCACTGTACGCGGAAACAAGAGATGAATATGTCGAGCAGGAGGCAGAGGGACCGATACCACCCCAAAGTCGACAATCGCAGATAGCAGAGCTGATTCTCCTGAGCGCGAGGATTGCGCAGCTGTTACGAACATGTCAACAAGAAATGCCGCAGGCGCGATTACCTGTTGTCGATCTGCTGAATGAGATATCGATTCTCACGACTTTGCTCTGCCGTGTGCAGCAAGAGATCCTCACGAACCCAAACTTCTTGAGCCAGGAAACGCTGTCTGCGTGCTATGAAGCGACATCGAGCTCCGTACAGGCGACGCTGTTATCACTGGAAGCGGCATTGAACAGCGGCGTGCACAGTCTGAGCACTTTCTTGAACACCACCAAGCATTTGAAGGACCAGCGACCGATGCTTGACTTCATCCTTGAGAGTGCTAGCACACACAATGTACTGCCTACGCCACCTTCGGAGACGGCACTGGAGGCTTCTCTTGCCATTGCACAGAGTAGTCATGCACATCTCGATCCGTCACCGGCTCTCCAGGAGCACACAGGTATTACACCAAGCCTTGACGATTCTTCCTGGTCCCAACCTCCTCCGTACAGTCCTCCGAGTGCGGACAGCTCTCCGGCATTCTCCATCCGATCAGACGAGAAAGTCGAGACGCCTGCCACGGTAGCGATCTCGCCAGAACGTGAAGACTCTCCGGACGATGGCAATGCTTTGTACGATGCAGTCAACGACAACGACAGCGAAGCACTGGTAGACCTGCTAGCCGACGGAGCTGACCCATCCAGACATTTTGGTGATCTGCAACGGACTGCATTGCACCAGGCCGCCCACCACAACTACTGCGCCTGCCTCGTCGTGCTCCTCCGACACGGCGCCGTCATGAGCATCGAAGACGCAAAGGGAGACACAGCACTCCATCTAGCCGCATGGGCGGGCAACGTCGAAGCTCTCTCAACACTCCTGGCCCACGGCGCAGACGTAGACTGGCTCAGCGGCCGAGACGGCTACAGTCCCCTCTGGTGCGCTATCAGTGCCTACCAGATCGACGCCGCGCGTCTGCTCTTGAAGCACGGCGCTCGACTGAGCTTGCGTTCTGCTTCCGGCACGCGAATGATGCCTTTGCATCAAGCAGCCGTGACAGGGCAAAGCGCCATGTGCGAGCTTCTCCTCGATCGCGGAGCCCAAGTCGATTGCGTTGACGACGACTTGAACACCCCATTACATTACTGCGCCGCAGCCGGCTCGGTGTCCTCTGTCAAAGTCCTCCTCCGCAACGGAGCGGACATCGAAGCGAGACAAATCCATGGCTTGACGCCTGTCTCTTGGGCGAGTCACAAGGGCCACACTGAGGTGCTTGAGCTTCTGCTAGGCTATGGTGCTCGTCTGGACTGTAAAGCTGACGGTGGTGCCACGCCGTTGCACCTCGCTGCGAACCGTGGGCATACTGCTGCTGTGCGGTTACTGTTAGAGAAGGGCGCGAGTCGAAAGGCCGGACGTGCGAGTTGGGACGGAGTGGTCGGCACGCCGGCTGAAATGGCTAAGGCGAAGGGCCATGCTAGGCTTGCGAGGCTTTTGCAGAGGTGAGAAGGACGGGATTTGGTGATGAAACTTACGATTTAGGTGGACGGACGGATGATGGACTTCGAACGATTTGTGTTAGTACGACCTTGTGTACATTCGACTGGATACCCGCATTTTGATTTCGTGTGTGATTGATGGTTCTTTGGTAGTACATAGTTTCTGTACGGTGCTGTTCAATCAACGGCCGCCTTTCTCAGCTTCGTTTTCCAGAACTTCGATCAATCCACCAACGAGGTGGAGACTGCCAGTAGCCAGGACCTCGACCTTGCGTCCGTTGGAGATCTCACGGGCTTTCGTCACAGCATCCTCTATCGTGCTGACGACATGCACCTGGGCTTGCGAATCGATGCCATCCCATGTCTTGGCCAGCTCCTGTTGGACCCGCAGACTGGTGACATCGTCCTTGTTCGTGTTGATAGATACAAGATCTGCTTTGTATCCGGCGTCTTTGTAGGTGGTGTTGGGACAGAAGATGGCGTGCTTGAACGGATGTGAATCGTTCAAAGCCGCAGCGAGGACATCGTGGAGGCGTTTGGCGAGGGACGAGGCGTCTCTTGTCTGCTGATTGAAGATCAAGATCCGGGTTGCGCCTTCACTTTCGGATTTGGCGGTGCGGTCTGCGAACCAGCGAGCGGCTACCTCGATGCTTTCGAGGGTGTGCCCGCCGTCGATGTACCAGGTTAGGTTTGAGTCGACGGGGTCTGACCTCCTGTCACAGCGACCACCGAGATGTGTCTCTTCTAGGCCTTTGATAAACTCGGATGGAAGGGTGGACGCCGGATCGTATGGGTCGGGGATACCGCTGAATCCAAGCCGATGGAGGTGATGTGCGGACATCGAGACAGCCAACGAAGCGTTCAGCCTCTGGAAATGGCCTTGCAGGCCGAGCTCGATCGAGTCTATTGCCTTGTGCACCGGGACTTCATATAGTATCGTGTCCCTCTCCTTCGCTCTCTCATGCAACACACGCATGGCATCCTCGGGCTGGGGTACGGTAAAAGCGGCCACTCCAGGCTTGAAGATGCCCGCCTTGTGCCAGGCAATCTCACCGATTGTGTTTCCCAGTAAGGCTTCATGATCGATTCCCAGACTCGTCACACCATTCACTGAAGGTTGCACCAAGATGTTGGTCGTGTCGTATTCTCCGCCAATACCGCATTCGATCACAGCTGTTTCAACATTCTCTTTCATGTAGCAATGCAAGGCCATGAGGGTGAGGTAGTGGAAGTATACCGGCTTCCCATCTATGCTCCTTGGGTCTGCTTCACTCGACGCAGGCTTGGTCGCTTCAAACCGATCCCATACCTCCCAGAAGCATTCTGCGAACAGATCCTCGGAGACGGGCTCATTGTTGATCTGTATCCTCTCTCGCACGAAGCGAAGGTGCGGTGATGTGTACAGTCCTACTTTTGACGGCAGCCGTTCGGCCGGTATGCTCCTTCTAGTGGGCAAGTACTGCGCAAGGATAGACGAGATGAAGGAAGAGGTAGAGCCTTTGCCCTTCGTGCCAGCCACGTGAATGGGGTTCAGCCGGTCGAAGTCAGACGGCTGTCCACACCTATTAACGAACGTGTCCGATTCACTTGACAGACACAACCCACACCTCGTACCCTACTCGACGCACCCACCCGATCATGTCAGGAATCGAGCGCTTGTTTGACCCGGGACCTTGCTTTCGAATGGCCTCGACAATAGAGAAGTTACTCTGCAGGCCATTGAGAGCTGCGACGGCGGCATTGTAGTCTCGGCCGGTGCTGTAGTACCTCGCCGAGTCTCTGAGTCGCCGTATACACGACCTGCAGACGGGCATGGTGAATGTGTCGAGAAGTTGAGCTGGTCACTCTGGGCGAATTGAAGGTCGCTCTCGGCGAGCGATGTCGATCCTAGCGCACGGCCCATCCCGTAATCAATCCAGCGACGCGCTCACGTCACGTCGTCTCCATCGACGCGTTGTCCCATCTCGACTTCGACTTTCCCATCAACTTCCATTGCACTTCAACGCAAACCTCTCTCAACATACAGAGTTGTGAGTTGACCGGCAATCATGGCGCGAGCCAAGGAAGAGAGTGCTAGCAAGAAGACCAGCACTCCTTCTTCCTCCGCTAAACCAGGTCCCAAGCAACAGAGCATCGCAGGCTTCTTCAAGAAACAGCCAGCAGCAACCCCATCAAGTGCCACACCTGCCAAGCGACTTCTCGACTCCAAAGCTTCCAACCTGGCGTCAGACATTGGAGATGCGTCCAGTATTCTCGCTTCCAGCCCGCCCACAGCTGCAGGTGCGTCCGCACAGAGCTCTGTGATAGAAGGCCGGGGCAAAGAGAACGGTGAGCCTTTTGTGGTCGATTTTTCTGAGCTCTAACTAACCTGCTGATAGAAACGCCAGGCACGTTGTACTCCAGCCCGTCTCGAAAGGCAAAGAAGCAAGTCAACTACGCTGAATCCGACGACGACGAGGATGAAGTGTTCAAGCCACTCTCGGGCAACAGACGTGCTGCGAAGCGACGTCGTATCAGCGTCAAGGATGATGATTCCGAGGATGAGTTTGGGCTTGATGCCGGTACTCAGGCAGCAATGCTTGAGAGCGATGAAGGTGTGTACTCTTCTTACCCGCCCACTGGATCTACGTACGATCAAGCTTCAGTCGTACCCAGTACAGCAGGCTCTAGCCAGCTTCGATGGCTTTCAAATCCGAAGCTGACAAGTAGTTTCCAGACATGGATGATTTTGTCGTAGATGACGAACTCGAAGACGACGCAAAACCAGCCAAGAAAAAGAAGCGAGCGTCCGCTGCTCCGTCGGCGAAGCAGTCCCCAGAAATCAAGCCGCCGTCACCAATTCGTGACGACAGCGAGGAGATCCCGGAGTCTGGGTCGACTGCACAGCAATGGAAGTTTGACCCGGAGGCGCCTCTATCGACAGATCCTTACAAACCACCTCCATCACGAAAGCCTACTTCCACTGACTCCCAGAAGAAGCAGAAAGCACACCATACGGACCCTTCTGAGCGCTACACTTGGCTTGCTAGTATTCAAGATGCAGATCGACATGCACCAGACCATCCAGACTACGATCCACGGACTCTGTACATTCCTCCAATGGCGTGGAATAAGTTCTCACCCTTTGAGAAGCAATACTGGGAGATCAAGTCCAAATTCTGGGACACGATCGTGTTCTTCAAGAAGGGCAAATTCTACGAATTGTACGAGAACGATGCAACCGTCGGCCATCAGCTATTTGACCTGAAGCTCACCGATCGAGTCAACATGCGCATGGTGGGTGTGCCAGAAGCAAGTCTCGATCACTGGGCAAACCAGTTCGTTGCGAAAGGCTTCAAAATCGCTCGTGTCGATCAAATGGAGACTGCGCTTGGCAAAGACATGCGAGAACGCGACACAAAGGCGAAGAAGGAAGAAAAGGTCATTCGAAGAGAGCTCGCTTCTGTCCTCACCAGCGGTACTCTGGTCGAGGGTGGCATGCTGCAAGACGACATGGCTACCTATTGTGCTGCCATCAAAGAGACGGAGACTGACGGTCGACCGCATTTTGGCATTGCTTTTGTCGACACTGCCACTGCTCAATTCCATCTGGCAGAGTTCGTGGACGATGTCGACATGACTCGCTTCGAGACATTCGTCGCTCAGACTCGTCCTGGCGAACTTCTGCTCGAGAAGGGCTGTATTTCCGCAAAGGCTCTTCGAATTTTGAAGAACAACACTCCGCTGACCACGATCTGGAACCACCTCAAGCCAGACAAGGAATTCTTGACAGCCGATAAGACGCGAATGAAGATCAATGGCGAAGCATACTTTGAGAAGGTCGAAGACGATGATTCGGACTCATGGCCCCCTGTGCTACGAGAGGCTAGCGAGAACGAGCAGGCTTTTTCTGCCCTCGGAGCACTCATCTGGTACTTGAACATGCTGAAGATTGAGCGTGACTTGCTCACCTGCTCCAACTTCGCCTGGTACGACCCGATTCGCAAGGCATCGAGCCTGGTGCTAGACGGACAAAGCTTGATCAATTTGGAGATCTTCGCCAACACATTCGACGGCAGTACTGACGGTACTCTGTTCACGATGCTGAACCGTTGCGTAACTCCATTCGGCAAGCGCATGCTGAGACAATGGGTCTGCCATCCCCTCGCTGATGCCCGGAAGATCAATCAACGCTTCGATGCTGTTGATGCACTCAATGCCGATAGAACCGTCATGGACCGCTTCACATCATCACTGTCGAAACTGCCGGACCTCGAACGCTTGATCTCTCGCATCCATGCCGGGCGTTGTAAACCACAGGATTTCGTCAAGGTCCTCGAAGGCTTTGAGCAGATCGAATACACAATGTCTCTCCTTGGCTCGTTCGGCTCTGGTGAGGGATTGCTGGGTCAGCTTATTGAGTCGATGCCTGATCTTGCAGGCGCACTAAAGGACTGGAATGATGCATTCGATCGGCCCAAGGCCAAAGAGGAAGGTCTTATCATCCCAAAACCTGGTGTCGAAGAAGAATTCGACGAGAGCCAAGAGCGTATCGACGGCATAGAGCAGGACCTGGAGAAGCTCGTCCAGAAATGGCGCAAGGAACTTGGCTCTGGCAAAGTCAAGTTCACCGACAATGGAAAGGAAATCTACCAGCTGGAAGTGCCCCTCAATGTCAAGGGCATTCCCAAGAATTGGAAGCAGATGTCAGCCACCAAGCAGGTCAAGCGATGGTACTTTCCAGAACTCGAAGGCCTCGTGCAGGACTTGAAAGAGGCGCAAGAGACTCATGGTCAGGTTGTTAAGGCCATGTCTGGACGATTCTTCGCCCGCTTCGATGTGAGCTACACGACCTGGCTGGCAGCTGTCAAGGTTGTGGCCAACCTTGACTGCCTCATCTCCCTCGCAAAGGCGTCGGCATCGCTCGGTTCTCCCTCTTGCAGACCTGAGTTTGTGGAAGATGACGAGGCTCGCGGCGTCCTTGAATTCCAAACTCTCCGCCACCCATGCATCGAGACGACTACAAGCTTCATTCCCAACGACATTGGACTGGGAGGAGATGCTGCGTCTGTCACATTGCTGACCGGAGCCAACGCAGCGGGTAAATCAACCATTCTGCGCATGACCTGTATTGCAGTAATCCTGGCTCAGATTGGCTGCTACGTGCCATGCGACTATGCCAGAATGACACCAGTGGACCGTATTATGTCTCGACTTGGCGCACACGACAACATCTTCGCGGGCCAGAGTACCTTCATGGTCGAGCTGAGCGAGACGAAGAAGATCCTTTCCGAGGCCACGCCACGATCTCTCGTCATTTTGGACGAACTCGGCCGCGGAACGAGCAGCTACGATGGCGTTGCCGTTGCTCAGGCTGTCCTCCACCACATCGCGACGCATGTTGGTTCGTTGGGCTATTTTGCTACCCACTACCATTCGCTTGCCACGGAGTTCCAGCATCATCCTGAAATCTCTGCCAAGCGCATGGCTGTCAGAGTTGAACATGACATTCGAGACGTAACCTTCCTCTACCAGCTTGAGGACGGCGTCGCCGAGGGTAGCTACGGCATGCACTGCGCTGCCATGTGCGGCATACCCGACAAGGTCATCGACCGTGCTGAACAGGCTGCGCAGAACTGGGAGCATACAGGCCGCATCAAGGAGTCTCTTGAGAAAGCCAAGGAGAGCAACTGGCTTCCGCTTGGCCTGCTCAGCGATGTTAGCCACGTGCTCAAGGGCTCTACCGATGAAGAGAGTGGTGTGAGTGAGAGAGGCCTGGACGTGCTCCGCAAGGCTATCGCAGCTTTGTGAGGATGCCCGTCATTGATCGTCCCTGTACAATATACTTAGCGCGGCGTTTTGGCATGGCTCGAATGACATTCGTGACAAGAGACGGATATTGCTCTGAGCACTTGGTATTGAGTACAAGGTCTAGATAGTAGTAGAAACTTTTAACTCGCTGTCTATATTACATGCAGAGCCAGACCTTTCTGTCTTGTAAAATCTATCTTTCTCCAGCAAGACGCCTGTCCTGAACCTCAGTCAAAGCTCGGCTGCCGCTGACGTATGCCACTGTGCCCACGACTGCTGCAGCTGGCAGAGTCTGGAAGAGGTTCCAGCTCGAGTAGTAGAGGAAGAAGACGCCCTCCATGGCTACAATGCTGCCGAGGAAGAGTCCATGAGCCACGGGACTCGCGCCGAATGCTTTACCCAAGTGATCAAAGTTTCCACCAAGCAGCAACCACCCTCCAATCAATGCCGGCAGCGTCACGATGACAGCCAGTGTGAACACCAGACTGATGATTGTTGGCGGAGACTTGGGGTCTGCGCGAAAGATGTGATGGATCTCGGGCTTGGAGGTGTAGCGTTCGGGCGCGGAGGGCACGGCGGGAGGGGTGCTGGCGTCGTTGTCGATCTTCAGGTTGAAGGCGTGGCCGGCGTAGGGAATCGAGGAGCCGAAGGAGGCGAGGGTTATGGAGGCTTTGAGGGGTTTGGAGCTCGTGAGGAATTGGAAGGGGAGGTCTTTCGAAGACTGTTGAGGAGGTCGTCAGCGTCCGCGTCTCTCGGTGTCTCCACTGCCAGATGTTGTATACTCACCACGTCGACTTTGGCCTTGCCATTATCCTTTACGCTGAATGCGAATGATTCCTCTAACCCACTGTCTACCTCTTGCAGTGTCAAGAATGCCTGGTGAGGCTTCTTGCCTGTCTTTCCCTCTTGTGCGGTGAGAATGACCTTCAATGTGGAGGAAGCTGGGAGGACAATCGGTGAAGAGGACGATACTGGCGAGCCTGCAGTAATTCTGAGAAGGGTATGGTTAGCTGGAGGGGTAAGTAGAATGCACTTGAGATTCACTCACTTCTGCTTTGCGGCTTCAGCACCCTTCCCCGTGACTTGCAACGTCGCCTCATCAAAGGTCCATGAACTGGCCGCATGTACAGCAGAAGACAGCGCGAGCGCCGCGACACTGATCGATTGTAGGAGCTTCATGGTGTTGGTAAAGACAGTGTATCAGTCGGGCAATGGTAGTCAGTCGTAGTGAACATCTGTCGTAGAGCTCAATGTAGGAGGTACGGCTCGCCTCGTCGATGCTAGTTTAGCGCTAGCCGTTCTGGGAACGCCAAGATCTCGACTTCGAGCGTGAAAGTCCAGCAAGGTCTCAATACGCGATCAACGACGTCGCAGACAAGTCTGAAAATTACAATATAATTCAAGACGATAATATGAGTCCTAAGCGTCTTTCATGAATTTTTGCGAGACTGCCGCAGTGTTGAGGTTGCCTACGCGTTGTTGTTGTGCCTTTGGCACGTGAGCTTGGGTGAGCGGACCCACACTAGCGTCTTTATGAAGCACCACTCGCACCTCCTTGATTGTTGCCTTCTCTCATCTTCAACATTCACGCGCTCCATCATGCTCGCCATCCACCACATCGCTCAACACCTGTACAACAAAATCAGATAACTTCCTGATTCGGATAACGACCGCATCTTCGACTTTCACATGCTCGTTGGCCGCGCGACCTGCCACTCGTGAAGCGGGTCTGTGCGCTCGTCGCCCGTTTGCTTCGACACAAAACTTCCAAAATTCAAGCCAACCCCTCCCTCGACCGCTTACATGTCGGGTCCACCCAACTCCCACGTCTCGGTGTTTCATTTCACTTCTCGCATCTCCAACGCGAAGATCCGGAAATACAAACTGGCCACCGAGCGAGGCATGGGACCTGCCTCTGATTTCAAGTCCGCCATGGCCCACGAACGCAGCGACGCTGAACAACGAGCCAAGCCAAGCCCAACTCCACCGACGCCCGCCACGGAGTCGCCGCCAGTGCTGCCGCCGCCCACCAAGAAGCCGCGACTGAAGTTGAATGTCCGGGAGCAAGAGTCTAACAAGAACGTAGGTGATACTATCAGAGTCTCCACGCGGACCAAGCGCAAGACCAGCACCTTCCAATATCCTGGAGAGGTGGAGATGGTCATGGATGAGCCCCAACCAGCACCCAAGAAGACGAAGAAGAAGCAGTCGCCAGCACCATCATCTGGCTTGTCCTCCCTCGAGTCGGCGCCACCATCTGAGAGGGAAGAGAGCCCGTTCATCGACCCGCCAGCTGCCCCCAACAGCAACGACTATGGTGGCGATTTCATGAGTTTCTACGTTGCGGGCGGTGATGAGGATGATGCGGTCGAGGCCGAGAGGAAGTCAAAGGCGAAGCCCAAGGGAAAGTCACGTGCGAAGACGACCTCCAAGCCCGAGTCTGAGACTCCCAAGCAAAAGGAGCCTGCTCCAATCCATCCACCTGCGAAGCCAGTGGAGAAGCCTTCGCAACCTCAACAGACTGCCCCACCGCAGCCAGCTCAGCGACAGCCAGCTCCTGCTGTTCAGCCGCCGTTCCAACCAGCTCAGCAGCGGCAACCACCAGCTCAGCAGCAGCAGCAGCGTCCTGGTCCTCCTCAGGTGCCATTCCCCATTCCCCCACCAATGCACCGCGGCCCACCTCTACCGCCTCAGCCACCTCGTCTTCCTCAACCCATCATCAACTTCATCGATGTCGTCTATGACCCCAAGCCGACCAAGCCGGACACTGTTGCCGAGATGGTGCAGAAGCTACAGGAGTTGTCATCTGCCCTCACCAACTTCGGTGGCGTGCCTGCAATCCCACCAACTCCCCCGCAAGAGAAGGCTCGACCTGTTCCTCGCGGTCCACCAAAGCCCGTGTTCAAGCCATCGCCACCAGAGAAGCCAGCTCCAGAAGAGGCACCCGAGGCGGACTTCTTACTGTCCCACTTCAAGGATGACGACGAGAGTGAGTCTGACGATGGCAATCCAGTCGATATGTGGCAGCGTGCCCTCGCTCATATTGACGGTCCACTTTCCTACGGCGTTGAGTTCATTCAGAATGCACTGAAGTCCTGGGCCCAGCAGCGCATGACCCATCAGGTCACCCAGCAGTGGCAGGCTCAACAGCAACACCAGCTCCATCAGCAGCAGCTTCAGGCTCAGAGACGCGGACCCGGTCGGCCTAGGCGATATGATGAGCCCAACTTGCTACACGGTCCTCCACCGATCATCCATATGGATCTTGCACAGACTCCAGAGGGCGTTGCAATCAAGAAGTTCCAGACCATATTAGCCTCGGGCTGCCTCCAGGTTAATGCCATCCTTCCCATCGAGCTTTCTCGCGCTCTTCGACACCTCTACATGCAGATCGATCACCTCATCAACCAAGGCTCCAAGAGCAATGACAACTGGCAGCCCATGTCGTACCAGGCGCAGATCACCGCTCACAAGATGCGAGTTGACAAGCAAAAGGAGGATAACAAGAAGGCAAGCGAAGAGGCGGCCCGCCAGCAGCAGATTGCCAACCAGCAGATGATGGCTCGTCTAGGCATTCCAGGCCATGAGATCTCCTCGCTAACAGGCGAGCAGGACCACGCGATGGAGCTGGAGCGTCGACGCAGCAAGCAGCATGCCCAGGCACAGCCTTACAACTCCCAGCAGCATCTCAACCCATTGCAACTGGGTCCTCGGCCTTCCGGAACCCCAGCAGCCAACGGTCCATCTCCACCACCAAGCCGTGATGGCGCCAACCCATCGCAGTCTACCCCGGCTACCAACACGACGCCGGCACCAGGTCCAGCGTCGGCTTCTGCTGGCTCGCCACCGCTCTCCAACGCCGCTGGTGCCGACATTGACGGCGATCCCAACGACCCGGACAGCAAGGCCGGACAGGTGCACCTGGATAAGATGAAGCTGTACATGCCTGGCTTCCTGCCACGATCCGGCCAGTCGATGAAGTTCTCCTTCGCCCCACACAGCGATGCTGCACTTCGTGTCTTCGGATCTGAGTCCTTCCCCACGGATGAACCAGGCTCCAGCTTGCCCAACAGAGGCCCGATGAGCGCACCACCATCAAGCACCACTGGTCCCTCAGCCGAGGCGAGCACTGCACCCAATGAGCAAGGCCTCAAGGCTCTTGGTGGTGACGCCGCCAGCCCCATCCAGATCGACTCCGACACTCCGGCTGAGCAGGCCTTTGGCGCTGATGGAGCCCAAGACAAGTCGAAGGTGGAGCCAAGCAAGAAGACGCCAGTGGTCGGCACGGGTGGCTTCAATGCCATCAACGTACCAGCTCCTCGGCCAAGCTCTGTACCTGCCGAGTCCCCAGACACGATTGTGGTGGCGTTGAGACACCCATCTGGTGCCATGTCTGCTTCCGCATCTCCTTCCATCAGCAAGACGAACGGTGTCCCGCGAGTCACCAACTTTCCCGTCTAGGCGACGAGCTGATGCGGTGTTTGCTTGTTAAGATCGTGCTTTCCAGCATCATCACTTGCAGACGTTCATATTCACATGTCATCGAGACGAACCGCACGTGTTTAACACTTGCACACGAGATTGAGAGAGAGAAAAGGGGACGAAAACAGGACAGAAGGGGATTGGCATTGGGCCGGTCTCTTCAGATACGGCATGTTGGAATCAGCGTAGTAGTCACTTGACTTTGACTACGGGTGCTTCACTGTACTTTTAGCTGAACATATACCGCTGTACCATAAAACTCATGCGTAAACTACTCCTTTTTCCAGTCAAAGTGAAATATTCATCCCCACCACTCCCAGGCCATTGAACCAGCTTAGAGTGCCATTAGCAGCGCAGTCGCCTGTGAAGAATCGGAGAGATAGCAGTACCACTCCATCTTTCAATATGAGACGTACGTCCAGCGTTGCCTAGAACACGAAGGGTAGGTATACTTTCGCTTTTCCCGTTCTCGTCTTAATTCTCATCCATCCCCATTCCTCCCAAGCCGTCCATGTAGCTTGGAGTGCAATGAGCAGCGCAGTCGGTCGTGAGAAGTCGGGAAGATGACAGTTCTATTCGATCTTACAATATGAGACGTACGGCTCACTTCGACCAAGAACACCGACGAGACTACTTGCCCTCTTTCCATTTTCCATTTCTTCTTGATTCTCACGGATCCGTGTTCTCTGAAGGCGATCCTCCTGCCCATTCGTCTGATTAGGGTCGCGAAAAGCCCGAAAGGAGCCAACGCTATTCCATGCCCACGGTGCCCTTTTTCGGTTTGATAAGCACTCCTCGCGATCCGTCAGAGAGTCTGCATTGGGGCAAATGGACGAGGGGCGTGTGTATATCTCTTCGGAGAGCCCTACATTCGAATCAATCGACTGACCAACAAACAATCCCTCCCCAAACCACCACAACAATGCCCTCCACCACCAAACGAGCCATCGACCACCTCCCCGCCCCACCCCCCTCGTCCTCATCCTCGCAACCCCACCGCTCCCTCCAAGTCCTCGTCCTCGCCGCCCCGCGCTCAGGCTCCACCTCGCTCGGCACCGCGCTGCAAACTCTGGGCTACAAGACCTGCGTGGGCGTCGCGCATAGTTATTTCGTGGAGAATCATTTCCCGTATTGGACTGAGGGGATTGGGATTGGGTATCTTGGGTGGGAGGGGGCGGCGTATAGGGTGGGGGAGTTTGAGAGGTTTTTGGGGGGGTATGAGGCTGTAAGTTTTTGATCGGGGGGTGTTTGAGGTGGAGAGGAAGGGATTGTGATAGGCGTGTGTTGTGGGAAGGGGTGTTTTGTGCTCCGTCGATGGCGGGGTTGGTTGTGTTGGGTTGGGGATTGTTTTGGGATATGAGTGTTCTGGTCTGACGTTCGTTTCTTCTGTGCAGGTGACCGGATGGGGAGCTGCGTTGTTGGCGGAGGAGTTGGTCGAGGCGTATCCGGAGGCGAAGGTGGTGTGTACGGTGAGGGATGCGGATGGTTGGGTGGAGTCGTATCGTAAGTTGAATTTGTTGTTTGAAGAGATGGAGTGAGAAGAGAGCTGATTTTTGATGTTGTAGGAAGTACGATTATGTGCACCTACCTTTCGTGGAGGAAGTGGCTTTGGTTGTTGCCTCTGTGTGGTGGTCTCGAGCGGGAGTTCGTGCGCTTCAAGGACACCGCCATACACGCCTGGAGTTACGGCAAACCCTTCGACAGGGAACAGCAAAAGAAGTACTACCTCGACCACAACGAGCGCATAAAGAAGCTCGTCCCGCAAGACCGACTGCTGATGTTTGATCCGAAAGACGGATGGGAGCCACTGTGTAAGTTTTTGAACCAGGACATCCCGACGACTTCCTATCCGCACGCAGGAGTCCGGACCGGATTTCATGAGGCAATGTGGGTGATCTGGAGACGGGCGGTTATGAGGGCTGCACGCAATGTGGGAGCTGCAGGTGTGGTGACTGCGTTGTTGGTCATGACCGTTCGGAAGTACTGGCTGGGAGGAAAGCTACCGGTGGTACCCTATTCGTTGGCGGGAAGGCGCTGAAACAACATTCCATTAGAAGGGATTGACGAAGAGGAGCTGATAACGGAGGATATGATCAATTCAGAATGTTCGTGCGGATGTTGCTCCGGATTAAAGTCGCCCTGTGTCGTTCTGATGGTGGTCAGGGCCATCCATTGGGTGGTGATTGATTTCGCACTCGCCACACAAGACAGACCCGCCTAGAGCCGTGATGTGATGTGCGGACAGGAATGATTACATGAGTAGTGGCTCACAAACCTGATTGCCCGAGATGCAGGTCCCGCGTCCGACAAGCTTTATAGCATGACGTATTGGTGGAAGGAAGGCTTTGTTTGTTGCTCTTATGATGTCGAGGAGCGCGCCAGCTGGAACCAACGCAGACGGATCGAGGCTGTGAAATTGCGCACGCGCGGACGCAACGACAGTAGCGTAGTGGTGTGTGGTGGAGGAGGGAGGGACGTTGTTTGTACCGATTACCAGGGTAACAATGGCAACTCGCGTTGAAATCTGGCCTGCCGATCGACCAGGATAGGTTAAAAGCCTTCAGCACGCGCCTTTGTGCGACCAAGAGATATGACGTCGGCGGACGTTCCCGCGGCCTTCCATCATCGCAAGCGCCAGGAGAAAGGCGGCGCCAGCAGTGCGAGAGAGCAACAGCTATATCCTGTCCTCCGCCCTCAGCCACACCTCCGACACCTCTCACCTCCAGACACACTCCCATCTCCGTGCAGCTGCTACCCGTACCCACTGCCATTGACTCCAGCTCCCAGCTCTTGCTGCAAATCACACCCTACCCCAATCACTACCCAGTCAACAACAGCCCATCATGCATCGCACGTACAGGTGAGCGCCCAAGCATCCACAACAGCTCCAGTATCCTGGAGACAATCACTCACATCCGTCCAGCATGCGCCAGTCGCGTGCCCCTACGGCATCGCAGATCCAGAACCCACCACCGCCGTCGTCCTCCACCAAGGCCGGCCGCATCTTTGGCAAGAGCAACATCGGTAAGAAGCATGCGCCATGCGAGAGTATCGCACATCTAACAGCCTCCCGCAGGTCACACCTTCCGCAAGTCGGTTCACCCCGGCGCCTTCGGTCCTGATCTCGCCAAGAAGCTGTCCTCGCTGGTGAAGATGGAGAAGAACGTCATGCGCTCCATGGAGCTGGTCGGCAGGGAGCGCATGGAGGTCGCTGTATGTGAGGAATTGAAAGGATGAGACACAAGACAATCGCTAACGTCTGCTTTAGCAACAACTCTCCATCTGGGGTGAGGGCTGCGACGACGACGTCTCCGATGTCACCGACAAGCTCGGTGTCCTCATCTACGAGATTGGCGAATTGGAGGACCAATTCGTCGACCGCTACGACCAGTACCGTGTCACCATCAAGAGCATCCGCAACATCGAAGCTTCCGTCCAGCCTAGCAGAGACCGCAAGCAGAAGATCACCGACCAGATTGCTCAGCTCAAGTACAAGGAGCCAAACAGCCCAAAGATTGTTGTGCTCGAACAGGAGCTTGTTCGTGCTGAGGCCGAGTCCCTCGTTGCTGAGGCCCAGCTGTCCAACATCACCCGCGAGAAGCTCAAGGCTGCCTTCAACTACCAATTCGACGCCCTTCGCGAGCACAGCGAGAAGCTGGCCATCATTGCCGGCTACGGCAAGCACCTTCTGGAGCTTGTTGACGACACTCCAGTGACTCCCGGTGAGACTCGCAATGCTTACGATGGCTACGAGGCGTCCAAGGCCGTCATCCAGGATTGCGAGGATGCTCTCACCAACTGGGTCGAACAATCCGCAGCTGTCAGCTCCAAGCTTTCCACCCGCACACGAACCCTGTCCCAGCGCCGACGTAACAACGCTGCCGGTGTCGACCTCTCCGGCCAGGACCAGGACCGCGAGTCTGGGCTCTGGGTGCCAGCCAGCCAGCACCAGGGTAACCAAGAATTTGAGGATGAAGAGGATGAGATCGCCAGGGGCCGTGAGGAGGAGCGTGTGGCTGCTTAATTGATTTCACTTCTTGGAAACCCTTCTAGCTTTATACCCTAGCAGACACGGCGAAGCGGTAATACTGTACGTGAGCAGGATCACAGCAACGACCTGACGAAGTGCTACGTTTTGGTGGTAGGATTGGGCTCTGTAAACAGGATAATGTCTTTTATTTGATTGGCGTCTTAAGAAGATACATCTGTACCTTTCTTTACTCTTCTTCGCATGTTGATGGATATGTATACACTGACTATTCTACAGGTAGAGAGCACTATAAAATGGTCCACTTGATCGGAAGCTGCGGATTTGTATACCCGCACATTGGAGCTGTCGGCCAACGCACTTGCCCGCCGTACTTCTCACAGCGGGAAAATATCCTGCCGACTTCGGGATATCTTTGACAAGCTGCACGTACGAAGTTCTCAACTGCACCTCATTAGTGCTAATCAACCTTTACATCACAGAAGGCCACTGAATCCCCAATTTCCCTAATATAGACAAGCAAAGATGACCACGAACGGAACAGCTTCGACCTCATCCAAAGTCCCACCAGCAGGGATCTGGGCACCTGCTGTGACGTTCTTCGACCACGACAAAGATGAACTGGACCTCGTCTCACAAGCCAAGTACTACAAGTACCTCTCGCAGCATCTGACCGGACTGGTCATTCTCGGTACGAATGCAGAGACATTCATGCTCACGAGAGATGAACGAGCTCAACTTCTCAAGACGGCGAGGGAGGCTGTTGGGCCGGATTATCCTATCATGGGTAAGACTTCACCTCCTAAAACCATTCTTGATCAATAGCTGACGGTGTTTTGTCTGCAGCTGGCGTAGGAGGCCACAGCACCCGCCAAGTGCTCGAATTCATCCAAGACGCCGTCGCCGCCAAAGCAGACTACGTCCTCGTGCTCCCCTGCGCCTACTTCGGCAAACAAACCACCGCGAGCGTCATCACCAACTTCTACGACGAAGTCGCGCAGAAAAGCCCCCTCCCCATCGTCATCTACAACTTCCCGGGCGTCTGCAACGGCATCGACATCGACTCGGACGTCATGACGAACCTCGCGAACCGCCACAAGAACATCGTCGGCACGAAACTCACCTGCGCGTCCGTGGGCAAGATCACCCGTCTAGCAGCCACTTTCCCCTCGACGGAATTCGCCACGTACGGCGGACAATCCGACTTCCTGATCGGAGGCCTCGCCGTCGGATCCGCAGGCTGCATCGCGGCCTTCGCCAATATCTTTCCCAAAACCATCTCCAGAATCTACAGCCTGTACAAGTCGGGCCAAGTGGACGAGGCGATGAAGTTGCATCGGATTGCCGCGAACGCGGAGAGTTTCAGCAAGGCGGGCATTGCGAATACCAAGTTTGCGGCGAGTGTTACCAGTGCAAGGTATGCGGGGATTGAGGATGCGGAGAGGAAGTTGTTGCCCAGACGGCCGTATGAGGGACCGAGTGAGAAGGTGAAGGGGGAGATTCGGGGCAAGATGGCGGAGATGATTGGGATTGAGGAGGCGCTTTAGGAGGGGGAGTCGTTGTGGTGGTGGGGTGGTAGACGGTAGAGCATGGGCGGTGAAGCTGAGTGAAAGTGAAGCGCAGCGTTGAGGGGGAGCGTGAGAGCACCCATGAGCTTTGAGAGTATTGTGATGGTGAGCTTTGGAGCTGGGTTATATAGAGATGGGGCGTAGACTCTCTACTCGATCTAATGCATTGAGTTTTTGCAACGCCTACTCCCTCCTGGTACTTTATTCGAGAGGCCAACAGCCTCCCAAGTGCTTCCTCAGTACGTTCCTAAGGTCTTGATTCCATGTTCAAGGGATTCATCCGCTTCGTCGATACAGCCTTGCCGACGACGCCAGTGAGTTCAATGGTGGAAAAAGCTCTTCAGGCGTATTATTTAGTGGGGGTTGGTCATTCATCTGCCTCTTGCCATGTCCAAGGGTTGGGAGCAAGGGTACATTATCAAGGACAGAGGAGTTGGACCTCGTGTGAACGTTGTAAACCGCAGAACTAATTTGAGAGTAGAGCATCGACACTCGTAGACGTAGTTCGGTTTCGAGATACCAGTACGACGTGCTCGTCACCAGATCTTCACATCCACTAACAAATCACCCCTTCGTGCAAACTCCCAAACTCCCACTCTCACAGAGGCACCGCCTCACCCTCAAGCCCCAAGATTCCCCGTAACCCCAGCCTCAACCCCCTCCAACACCTCCCTCAACTCCCCCCACACCCTCCTCTGCAACCTCGACCCCTCCGGCCCCTCGACCAACCCAGAGCACTTGGTAACCCTCGAATTACTCAAATAAGACCCATGCGTCTCCTCGCCCCTCAGCGCCCCATCCACCAACGTGCGACTCCCCACTTCCGTGCTCCGGCACATGATCAGCTTGATGAGGGATATGAAGTGATTTCCGGAGAGTTCGCGCATGAGACCCGAGTGGCACCAGCCTGGGTTGACGAAGTTGAGGGTGACGTGGAGTTGGGAGGTCGGGTGCAGGCGGGCGAGTTCGCGGCAGGTGAGGACTTCGAGGAGTTTGGAGAGGTTTTAGCGGTCCGACATGTTGGCGGTGGCTTTGGCGTTGATGTGGGCGAAGATGGAGGGCTCTTTGCGTTCGGTGAACTATGATCACACCCAGTCAGTATCTACACAAAGACGCTGTGAATGGTGGGAAGGGGAGAAGATACTCACCGGCGTGAAATTATGCACCTCAGACGAAACAATCGTCAAATTCGGCGTGATGTTGAACTTCCTCCCCGTCTCCTGCAACTTGGGCAACATCAACAGCGCCAGTAAGAACGTCGAAACGACATTCACGGTAATCGTACTCTCATTCCCTCCCACAAACTTATACTCGCTCGTCGCGACCCCAGCATTCTCGAGGAGGACATCAACCCTCTTGAGACTCTGAGCTCGTTTCGCAAACTCCTTGACGCTGTCGTAGCTCTCCAAGTCCAGCTGCCAGACTTCGACGACGCCTTTGCGGCCGGTGGTGGATTCGATGTCGGTTTTGGCAGCCTCGCCTTTTTCCGTGCTGCGGCAGGCGAGGATGAGCTTTTCGCAGTTGAGGTTGACGAAGTGGCGGGAGGCTTCTTTGCCTAGGCCGATGTTGGCTCCGGTTACGATGACGGTTTTGCCCGTGCAGTCCTTGGTCGGCTTGGGTGGCGTGATGAGGAATTGGGAGTAGAGGAAGGTGGGGAGGTAGTCCATTGTTGGCGAACTCTGGGACATACTTGTTTGGTTGTTGATGAATATGTCTGGGTGGAATGTAGGTCTTGAACAAACGGCGGGGTCGTTGAGCCTCCTGGTCTTTACTCTCAGAGGTCCTCCAGGCGAGCCGTAGCGAGAATGGGATCTTCTTGTCTCTTCACCAGCAAGGCATTCAGTCGGGGAAATATCGTCTTCTCGGCCGGCTTCTCAAGTTCCCAAGTCCGTATCGAGTATGTCAACGAGATGAAGTCGGTGAAAGCGGAAGGCTCTACCCCGACCAGGCATGTGGTGACCCGTTATGCCACATGGCAAAACCTTATTGCCGTCCGTCCCGCAGTAGCGAGTAGCTCGCGACATATGTTCCATATCTAGTTACTCCTCACGCTCTAGATCTGGAGCCGTCCTCGAGCAATCTCCCGGGACCGGCATTGCATGAGGTATAGTCCAGTCGCCATCCAGGGTAGCGACGGTGGTGATTCTCCCGATATGGTGTCGGCCGTCCTGTAGGCAGCAAAGAAATTGTAGCTGCTGAGGAATCACTTAAAGAGGAGCTCTAGTGTTGCTTAAGTCCGTCACTTCATGCCGTATGTGGCTGGTGCAGTCCTTGCCTAGCGTCGATGCTGAGTTCGACCTTGCAGTCCCGATTTGCAAGGTCCAGCTCGGCGGGAAGACGTGCATAGCTGGTCAAGGCTGTTACTAGGACAGGCATTCTTGTTGAAGGTAGTGACAAGGTCAAGGAACGATTCTAGATGCTCGTCATCCCAGAAGGAAGCGGAAGGACCCGCTGGCAGTTGCAGAGAGTTTCACCTGACAGCACTGGAGATAGGGGTCCGGTGTTTAAGATAGCTGCCAACATTCGTCCGTGGCCCCATGTCTTCTTGACACATTGCCGCCGACCGTCAATTGCCGAACGCTCAAGAGATGCTGAAAACCTGAATTTCTGGTCTGTCGAGTTTCGAAACCATGCGATGCTGCCGGACGCCTCCGCCATCGTTATGCCCATTTCCCAAGTAACGCCATCAACCCTGCTCCAAGCATCATAAATCCGATACTAGCATAGACGACCTTGAGAGGTGCCGCCCGCATCTTGGGACTAAACAAGAAATCGTGTGCCACCAGCTCAACCAGCGACGTGTAGATCAAGATCCCTGCCGATATCGAGTCGAAGACGCCGTTGACGATGAGGGTTGTCTGGCTCTCTGGATTGAACGTCGTCCTCACCCCCAACCCAATCGCTATCGCTATCGGTGTCGATAACGCATACCCGATGGCCATTAGGTAAGGCGTCCATCTCTTCGACGTCGGCCAGTCTATGCTACCGAGCCGCGCCCCAAGCGCAATCCCTTCGAATGTCTGATGTAGCGTGAGCACCACATAGAGGGTGGCGAACTCTCCCCCAGCTACCGATAGCGTCAAGCCGATAAAGACGGAGTGGAAAATGACGCCTGAATCAAGTCAGCAATCAAAACGAGTCAATCTCTTGGGGTAACTTCACAACTTACCAAATTCAAGGATGAACAAGCCAGTCAACTGCGCTGCGTAAGAGTCAGGGTTGAATGCATTCTCTCTTGAGTGATTAGAGTCGGCTCTGTCCTCCGATATGCATCTGTCCTCTACTCTCGGTTCCTCTGAGGCGAATGTCTCCTGAAGCGGAGTCGACTGCCGTTGAGATTCGTCTGACAGCTCTGCAGAACTTGGATCGTCTCGATACTTGCAGTCGGCAGGCGTTCGTATCGCAGCAGTTTCGGACGGCTCGGGCTTGGCGTGGTCCTGATCGGACTTCTCATATCTTGACGTGAGGACGTGGACGATGAAGATGACGAACCAGGACATCAGGACGATACCTGCCGCCCATGGGTATTCGGTGATTGGTCCGGTGAGACAATCATCTGTGAGGGCTTCAAATGCTGGCACAAGTAGCTGCGGTTGGTAGGTTAGTGAGAGCAAATGATTGCAAGAGGTAAGAAAGCATCTCACATGTATAAGAGCAGTGGCAAGGATCACGCCCGAGCCAAAGTATCGTGCAACGAAGAAGACTTGCTCGGGAACCTTGAGATCTTTGGAGGTGCCTCGGCTTCTCGCTGCGTAGACAGGCACAATAGCCCCCAAGGCTGAGCCCACCAATATGACGAAGATAGAGGAGATGCGGAGACCGATCCGTCCGTCGAATTTGTTGCCCTCCGAACAGGAGGACATTTCGGCCAATTGCTTCAAGCCAGCAAGCTGTATTTGGCTCATCCGAATCGTGTATCTGAGAGGAAATTGAGAGCACGGTGAGAGTCGTTTGGGTGGTGGTGGTGCATGCTTGCAAGAAAAGAGCGTAATTGTAGAAAGTCAGGTTGGCAAGAAGACCCACGCAGCGCACCTTGATGGCTCCGGGCCCTGTCACACGCCTGCTCCTCATCTTTTTGGGGGAGCCTTCCAAACTCAAGTGATCAATTGCTGATTGTCACCTGGTCAGACGAATGACTGGTTGATTATTCATTGTATTCGGGCACATGTTTGTGGCCTTGTGCTTCAAAACGTAATCGAAGATCCTTCCTGTTCCTCCAGTTGTGGGCTGGTGGAGAATCGTCGAAGTCTGCGATTAGACTTTGGCGCTAATGCACGTCATGAACTCCCCGAAGGAGATATTCCGACTGGCTCCTCCTCCTACCACAGAAGACCAGATCTCTATCCTGCGTGGGAGGGATACAGCAATCGCGAGAGTGCGACGTCTTGACGAGAACGGCTTCGAACTGAACATTATTTTTATTTCGCGTACGTTCCTCACTTATCCCATCCCCACAGCCTCTTCAGAGTATCACCAATCGTCTCCTTTCCACGTTCTCGCCTATCCGCTCTGTGCTGCTTCTCCTCTTCCAATCGGTTGCTGATCTGCTGCGCATACTCCATCTGTGCCCTGCTTTCTGCTGCCATGAGTTGCAATTCGAGCTCCCTCTCGTGCTTCGGCAGACCTTCAATCCGCTTTTTAATCTCCTCTTGCTGTTCAGCTGGGAAAGAGCTGAGGTTGTAGTTAATGCCGCTTTCCGCTGCCTTCCTACGCGCTCGCGCCCAAGCACTGTCCTCTCCCAAGGCTTTCGTCGTTGTTTCTGGCTGGATGAGAGGCGGTAACTCGACCTCTTCCAAGCCCTGCTCTTTCGCTTCCTTTGCCCTGCGTTCTCGATGCAACATCTCGTGATAGAGCTTGTCGGCGTGCATTTGTATCCTCTCCTCTTCCTCGTCTGACCTCTGCGTCGCAAGATAACCCAATGCCTTCAGGAATCGAGCCTGCATCGTGTAGCATCTGTTGAATGCCTTTCCCTCCTCTCGACACATCGTCATCTTGGACTTCCATGAGCCACTCTGCCAGCATTCTTTCTCGGCAAGCTGGAAATCCACGCAATTCTCCACTGCTGCTCTTCCTATTGCAGCTTTGCGATCTTTGTAGGCCTCTACGACAGCTGCCAGGCGATCTTGATCTGTTCGACCGGCGGCTTCAACCTCAGCTTGTGGTCTGTAATCCTTCCAAAGATGAGCGTATCTTCCATCCTGGAATAAGGACTGTGGGGGAACGGCTGCTTCATCGCGCTGAGGCGCCGCTTGCTGATTCTGTGCGTCGAGGCCTGGCGAGTTCAATCCTATTTGAGATCGATACGTGTTGGGCGCGGCATCTGTCGATGGCTGCGATGGGACAGGTGGAGTTGATGGGAGTTGTCGAGGAGCTGGCGAAGGTTTCGTCTGTTCGTACTTCAATGGCGATTCCTTCTCGAGAAAGTCGCGCAAGGCGGGATCAAGTTTCTTATAGGGATCGTTGGTGGGGTCATTGCCGCTGCTCCAGTCCCAGAACCAGCCCATGTTGTGGAGAGGTGATGTAGGTGAATGAAAGTGAGACTTCCGGCACAGTGGATTCGCGGATGTAGTGGGCGGACCCAGCTCCGCAGCTGCATCAGACCTAAACACGACTTCGCTTCGTACGTCAACAATGCCATCTTGAGTCCACATCACTCCATGTCGAGCATTGGATAGCAGCAATATGTCTCTTGCATCACCAGCCAAGCAGGATAGGATAGAGAGGCATTTATCCCGCCAAAGAGGCGCTGGGTGAGCATTTCCAAGCCGATCATGGCCCCCGTAAGCAGTAGACTGATTATTCTCAAGAGTACGTACATTAGCCACCAGTTTCGGCTTTACTTTTGGAGTCGCCGCACCAGAGACTGTGGTTCCAGTGGAAACCGCAGAGCCTGCTCCCAAGCGTAGAAAGTTGGAAGATCATGGCAACACGCGAGTACACGAAAGGACCCACGAGACCCGTGATAGCGAACCCGCACCAAAGACAGATCGCCGACCGAAAGCACGACGACGACTGGAGAGCTTAGAGGAAGATGTTCAGATGGAGGCAGAGACGAGCGCAAAAGACGATAGCTTCTTGGCTGTTAAGAGGAAGACCAAGGCAAGAGCTGTGCCTAAGCCTCGTAAACAACAAGTGCTTTCAGTCGCGTCGCCTCCAAAGGCTGCTGAGGACGAAGCACCGAGTCGCAGGCCTAGAAGGCAAGCTGCCTCAAAGGCTATAGACAAAGTGTCGCGGGGGTTCGTCGAGGAAGCAGGAAATGTCGACAAGCTGCGACGAGGTCAGGACACGATGCCGGCGAAACGCAAAGTTGTCAGAAAAGCTGCAGAAACGGTGGAAATCGAACGACAGAAGGCTGTTGTTCCAAGCCAACCATCGCGCAACGCAGAAGACGGGTCAACAAAGGATGTAGCGCCAGTTTTGGAGCTCACGAAACCGATACCTGACTCGATCGAGCACGACGTGAAGAAACCTAGGCGGGGACGTCCCAAGCGCAAAATAGTTCCAGACAGTCCCACGACTGTTGAGGCTCTCGACCAAGGCAACGAAACCAGCACTGTACGATTGCCTCTGGCAGAAACTACTACAAATCCGATCTTACCCTCGACATCCCCAGAAAAGCTGCCAAAACCATTAGATGTTGGCCAGCCAGAGACCATCCAACAGAGATCGCCATTGCGTATCAGATCCCCTTCCAAGGCTCGAACCCACAGCAAAGACGTCGCGCAGGCGAAGCGCAAACGATCAAAGTTCGTTGTTAACAAGGACCCCCCTGCAGACAAGGCTGAGCCCAACGTTGTTGGTGTTGGTGCAGGTATGGAGAGCGAAGATGTCCCAGGCATATCGGGGTCTCGATCCAAGTCCACAGGCAAACGCAAAGCAGCTCCCGGTAAAGTCGAAGCGCGCGCTACTTGCGATGTGGATGGCCCTAGAGCCAAAGACCAGCCCAAGGTCAAGCCTAGTAAAAAGGGTGCCCAACCTGAACGGCAAACTTCAGGTACGGACGTGACAGCAGCTGAGTCTCATGTACAGCATGCAGAGTCAAAGCATCGAGACTCGAAACGAGAGCGACAGCTTGTAGAGGCAACCAAAGGAGACGTCAAACGTACCGTTGCAACACCGGGCGAGCAGCTGACGAACGAGGAGGAAGGTGTCGATTGGCTGCTCGAGAATAACTACACGAGCAAGCACATTCTCACAGGGAAGCAGACATGCAAAAATGTCAAGCGAAGGCCTCCCAGGAGCGTTGCAGAGTTGCCGGACGTGGATCTTGACGACTTACTGTCGAACATCGCAGCCTACGTCCCCCAGAGTTCACGCCCGACAACAGACAAAGTAAGGCGGCGAAGGTAGCTTCAATGGTGTAGTTAGCTTCCGCAAAGCATCAAAGAAACTGAACCCAGCAGCATATGCCATGCAACATGGACATGCAAGCTGCATCCCTTCTACTCATGGTGACCACGGACCGAATAGTTGATGCAAATAGGACCGACCTTCGGGTCTTTTCAGCGTGGCGCACGACGAGTTCGCCTAATGGACTCTCTCACAAACGCAAGACGGTCAGCTCACCCAGGCCTCGTGCTTCATCGGCAACCGAACAAGCAGCTGAGTCATGCATTGAGGTAACAACATCTGACCACGAGCCTGCAGGAAAAAGGGCGGTGGAGCAAGCAGCAGATTTCGCGCCTTCCCACGAGGCTGGTCGGGAATCTGACGAAGGAGAAACGTGAACAAGGCACAGACCACCAACAACAACGTCTGCCGGGACGACGGGGCGGCCGGGACGAGGGATGAGTTGGACCAACAACAACTCTCGAATCTCGCTCGCGTTCGGTCAAAAATGTCAGATGACATGATACGGCTCCTGATCCTGTTGGATCCATCCATCCCTCCCTCACATGATGCTCAATCACCCTCACCTGGGGGCGGCTCAGCTGATGACACCGGCGTTGCTCATCAGTGGTGGCCGGACGTCGTAAACGGCACGCAGATGTCGTTCATGTTGGTAGTGTCTAATTTCTCCTGCCGCTACTGGTGCGATTTGTTTCTCCAATTGTGGCTGCCGGACGAATGGCAGCAATTACTGTCGGGTCAAGAGCTTCGTTGAGAGTGGCAAGCAGGCCCCTATTCTGCCCTAACGTACTTGACCCCGAAGTGACGCAGACCCCGAAGTGACGCAGAACTTCGAAACGCTCGATACTCTCGACTACCTACGTAACGCTACGGTAATATAACTCCCTTCGCTTTCGCTATTATCGCCCTCGGGTACTTCCTCGATAATATCCTCGAGTTCCGGAGTCGGAGAGGCGTTCCGCTTCCGTTTACGAGTCTTTTTCTTCGCTGTCTCCGCTTCGGCTTACCGAGCGATTTCGAGGATTTCCTCCGTATTAAAAATAAACCTCTCTTCTCTAGGGTTGGGTACAAACGTTACGAACCCCTACTAGTCTAACTACCTATACTATACCTATCTTAATCTTTATAATAACGCGCTCTCTACTATACTATACGTTCTTCTTATTCTTTTAATTAATACTATATATAGAGGTAAAGTATTTAGCTCTTTTAAGAAGAGCTAGATCTAGGCTCTTTATAAGTATATATACTAGCTATTATTACGGATTACTAAGGTACTAGATATATTAAAATCTATAATATTAGCTATTTTATTACGCTATTAAGTAGATATATAGTATATACTATAG